CATTGTTAGAATTTTGGGCGTGTGGTCTAGTGGTATGATTCTCGCTTTGGGTTAGGCTCGCAAGACCTGAATTAAATATGCGAGAGGCCCTGGGTTCAATTCCCAGCTCGCCCCAAATTTTTTTTGAGTCCATCTCAATTGAATCAACAAAGCATAGGTCAAAAAACATACATACGAGGAGGAATTCTCAAGAGTTACTTTATTTAAATCAAAGAGAATGCCAATTAAAATCAGTAGTTATACAATTGCTATGTTTTTTTAACTACTGAAATTTATATGTATTCTTTTAACCAGTCTGCAGAATAAAGCTTTGAGACCATTTTTTTCACGAAGTAATTGCTTTACATTATCTACAAGTTGAAGCTCCGGATTTAATGATGGATTGACTAATAAGTTTCATCCCTATACTCATAAACTGACGACCATCTTCATAATGAATTATTAACAAATTTGAATGAAACTTCCTCTAGAAACTTCCTCTAGAAACGTTTGAATAATTCTTTTGTGGCAAGAAAATCGAAATCTATGAACTCATAGTTATCTTTTCAAGATGAAATATCCAGATAAGTTTATCTCTATTTTGAAGAGAATAGAAAGTTTCAAGGAGCTAGCAGTAATATGCGAGAGGATTAGCATTCGACTCAAAAAGTAAACAATAACATATTATACGGGTGGTGCTTTCTTTTTACGTCATAGGAGGAGTCTTTCGAAAGGAATAACTTCTTCCAACTTTTTCTATCTTATCAAAATCCAGCTCAGCTAATTGAAAATCAAAGACTTCAAGATACTCTTTTATTCTTTCTGTGTGGCTCGAGGATGTGATGGGTAAAACATTGCTTTGAAAGGCCCACCTTAATAAAACTACAGAAGCAGATCTTTGATATTTTTTTGACAAATCGGCCAAAATAGGATCAAGAGGACCTCCCTTTGCGAAACTTATAGGAGTCAATGGTGAATAACCCTCTACTAAAATTTGATTACTCTTGCAAAAGTCAACAAGACTGGCATCTTGGTTGTAAGGATGAAATTCAATTTGATTGACAGCAGGAGCAATCTCGCACACCTCTAAAATTTTTAATAAGTTGCTGATTGTAAAGTTCGACACTCCTATATTTTTCGCTTTTCCTGTCCTATAAGCGTCTTCCATATACCTCCATGCTTGTTTCAAGTCGTACCCATTTTTGTCTTCAGTTATATCGGCGGAATGTAGCAAGAATAAATCTAAATACTGTATACCAAGCGTTGTTGTTATCTTATCAATTGCTTGAAGTGGATCTGGACTGAAAGGTTCCATTGGGACACCGTTATTGAAAGATATGGAAGTTCCCGGCCAATACTTGCTAGTGATCCAAAAACTCCTTCTTTCTATGCCCTTCTCAAAAGATTTGCCTATAGCATCGGCTACTTGAGAATTAACAAGATAAGCTTCCGCTGTATCAATATGGCTCACACCAGGGAGACCAATGGTATATTCAACTCTTTCGGTTACAGTGGTTAGGTCGACACCTTTTCTGTGTGCTCCTGATCCAATTGCCAAAGCCGGGATATCGTTACCATTCTTAAGTTTAAAAAAAGTATTAAAAGACATTACTCATGTGTCGCCAATTAACATAAATTTTCTGGGAGTTATGTTTCAATTGCAACAACTTGATTCATTTTATAACAGCGACAAGATAATGCTTACAAATAAGGAAGTTCAAATTTCCGGAACTTTCCCAATCGGTCTACAGAATGCCTTACTGACATAAGATTTATTTAGTTATAGTGGAAGTCTACAGATATATCATATAAACACCCCTTCCTAAATAAGTTCATTCTGTTGTTTAACTGTAAATTTATTTCGGCTCAATGTTACAAGTACTGCAGCATCTCATAATTTTTCTTTTTTGGTAATCCATTTGCTTACAGTGTTATTGTTGATCACCTTCGACAACATAACGGAAAGAAATTATCTTTAAATCGAGGGGAGCCGAGCTGTTATCTAACAAACAGGTACTAGGTAATTACGATGTTGCCGTCACTTCCGACTTTTCAGATCAGACCAAATAGTTAGTTTGTAACCATATATTTTAAATTACTTTTGGTTGCGATTTCTTGACACTTATTTCAGTAAGTATTTCAATAATGATTATCAAACCTGTAATAAGTCTAGGCTTCGTGTATATTTCCTGTAGCTATTCAAAATTCAATAATCCAAAATCACAAGATTTGCAGCCTATCTAGTCCCAGATTATATCTATATGGCATCTATAAATGAATCAAGTCAAGTGCCTGACTGACATGACTATAATTGAGGATAAATTCAGTGTGGTGACGTATTTCTTATATTGACTGATGAAGGTAAGCTCACTTTTTCAGTATAAAAAAAGATACATTACATGAGCTCTACTCAAAATTTTGAGATAAACCTTGAATCTTTTGTGCATATCGACTAATGCATAGATACTGTATCGAAGTCGCAAAGAAAGTGTATTCCAGCTCGAATATGACATAGGGAAACCACCGAAACACTTCAAACAACGAATACTTCTACCAATTTCCCGAAATCTAATCCGTCCCCACTGATTGTATCGAAAATTTTTAAACCATCTAAATTGTATATCCCTTTGCTCACACCTAAAATCCTTAAGCTTGTCTCGAATACTGAGTTGCATTCAAGAGGACCTATTTGGATATCATTATCCAAAATAAAAACTCCGGAAGAGACGACTCTCAAGGAATTATATAATGAATAAAGCTGATATTTACTATATACTAGAATATCAGTCTTTGAATCAGCACTATTTGAAGTAACGAGATTGGAAGACGAGTTACTAGCAGGATACAAATTCTGCTTAGTTTGAACAGCTCTGTCTTGGGTCATTAGGCGTATATTTAATTTAGATGGTGACAAATTAATGGCTTGCACCTTCCATTCAGTCACCGCTCCTGATTTTATACTCAAACTACCTTGAAATGTCAATTTCAAACCGGACAACGTAGAATTACCATTTGTTGTTAAATTTACAGTCACGGACGACGCCGAAGTACTTAGGAGCGACTTACCATGTTTGCTCTTTGAATTTATGTTGCTAGAGAATATGCCACTAGGAGATGACATTAACCCCGAAGAATGCAACGCATTTGGACTCTTTACCTTGTACATATTAATAAGAGCAGATTTCCTAGCGTTTGAAACTTTCGAAGGAACAGCAGGAGCTTGAGCCGAGACTGACAAAGGAGCAGCTGGCTGGGACAGCATTTGATAGTTTCCTGATGATAATTTCAACGAATTATTTATAGGAGGGGAAATTATTCCCAAGTCTAAGCAAGGCGACCAATTCGTAGTGATCAAATTACTAATGTTGTCGTATGAATTAGATAATGCATTAAATATTTGGACCTGAAGTACCAAAGTGATGTTGATAGTCCTGAAAAACTGATTTTTGTTATTCTCAGGATTGAGAACCTCCCTATCAAGATATTCATTATTTGTAAGCTTGTATATCAAGCTAATAGAATCACATACCTTGAGCATAATTGGAAACTTGGTATACTTATACTCCTCAATGGTTCCTGCTTTATACAGAATAGATAGATTTAAAATCTTGAAAAAGTATTCATCCTTGGTTTTTTCAGTAAGTTTCGTAATTTCTTCGGATGATTCAAGATTTAGATTAGTGAGCAAGACTTCATTCTTTCCAGCAGGTTTCGTGGATTTAAGTCGAATTATCAAAGATACCGAAACGGGTATGCTTAGACTTGTACTAATGCTGCTATTTTTGGCATCGCTTTCAGTTTGAATTGTTGACGTTGACACCTTTTCAGACGCTTCATTACTTTTGAAAATATCTCCTAAGAGTTGGTAATTTGTACCCGAATCTATAGTCGACGAGACATTGTTGTTTAATTCAGAAAATAGATTCACAGAAATTGGGGCTCTATAATCTGGTAAGCTGCTTTTGAGTTCGCTCTTTATAGACGTATCAACTGATCCAACAACGCTGGGGTCTACCCAGCATGAAAACACGACATGAGGATCATTGCATTTCTTTCTTGGATAAGTGATAGGTATGGTAAACTTCCAAATGGTATAATGCGTATCATCTTTGACCCCACTAAAAATTATGTTCAGTGATTCTAGTGACTGACTAGAAATGAGGCTCTCATTTCCAGTTTTGCTCTCTTCATCCTCATTTCCATCGACATCAGGCACAGATCTTGAAGCAATAAGGATACTATTCGCAGTATCATGCTCACCAGATAATATCGAAGCCTCTAAATAGGCATTATATGGTATATTCTCTTCGTTAGCCGTATCTGTATATATTATATAACCACTGATATTCTCATCATAAAATAATAGTCGTCGATTCGATGAAGCATTTAGATTTAATAGGAATGTGTCTAGCTCGGTTGAATTGAGTAATTCACTGGAAATCGTAGGGAGAGCTATCGAAATTCTCATTTCACTCAACAGTATACAAAAATAAAGCTATCATAGATATATCTTGTGTCTCGTTGAATACATAGATTGAATTTGCGAGATATGTCCTGTATATACGCGATATTTTACTATTAAACAGATTCTATAAGAGACTGTACAGATGAATGCCTATACTTTAAAGTTCGTTTGCGGTAGCTTTTCACCTACAAAAACGTACCTTAAACTCTGTCCTATTTCATATATGATACCAATAATGCATCCGAGAACGATAAATATAACAGTGACAGCATATATTGTGCCGATCACTCTAAATGCTTCCATGCCATTAAAAACTCTCCAAAATTCTGTGTTTGACAAAGCCATTGTGCCCAAAGGAAACGTCATGGCCCAAAAGTTTCGATTGAACTTGATAAACCCTGCAAACTGCCTCTTGAAAAAGAAAGCATTATGAGGTGCGTACGAAAATTCTTCGTCGTAGTGCTTCGTGAAAGGTCTAATTTTGGATAGGCAAGATATGATAGCAACAAATGTTATGTAGTGACCGAAAGCGGTGATGAACATCGCAGCCAATGCACTTGAGAATAAAATGACTGAGCCTATCACATAGCTAATAGTTTCCGTACCAATGCTTTCAAAATATTTTGGAGGAATGTAGGATAAATAATTTGATATGGGTACTCTTGAATGGTTATCCATTATCAACTCAAATATGTTATGACCAAACAATAATATTCCAAATCCCCCTTGACCTAATATACCAATAGGTAAAAAGCTTGAGAACACCAAACTTGTTGATGGAATTTTGTAGACAATGAGTTTCCAGAAGTATATCGTGATGATGATGAGACCCATCAGAATGGCATTTGCCCAAATTATAAAACAGACTACCAAAGTGATTATTTTAAGGCGTGTAGATGGCAAGTCACTTACAAATAGTCCCCCAGATGCTGCAGCCACCGACAAAGTGACAACCGGTAGCAAAAGTGTAGCATTTAAATCCTTAGGCGGGAGATGATTATCACGATTTCTATTCTTAGCAAGGGCAACGACATAAAATACGATCGCAAAGGTATACAAAGAAAGTACAACTTCGATCCACCAAAGTACCCAGACCCCAACAATCCAGCTTGTGCGAGTCAAGTAAAATAACATGTTCAATAATGTTCCATATCCCATAGCAAGACAACCCATGAAAGGGGCTTCGCTTATGTCCATATGAAGTTCAACTAAACGCTTATAATCTTTCACGAAAACAACACTTAAGGAAGCTAATGCTACAAAAAAAAAGAATATTGCAATACCCCATAATATAATCCCACAAACCTCTAACCATTTGCCAGGATAAGGAAAATTATATAAAAGACTACTTGCCATACCTGTACCCATAACAGGAACAAAAAAAGCAAAGGAGAAGTCATCAACGAAGAATTTGACTAAAACATCCCATAATCTTTTCTTTCGACTTGTTTCTACTGTTCCATTAGACTTTATTACTGAATCTTCGTGTAGCTCCAGACCTTCCCCAGAAAAATCAGAAATACCTTCTGATTCTGCCGAAGAACAGTGGTGTTCCATAAACAATCTTTCCCAAAGTTTTGACTAAAATGACACAGGTAAGGAATATTCTGGTTTTTGAAGCTTTTATCCTACCAGTAAAATCTTATGACGCAAGTTTAACGAGCACGCAAAAAAAAATCGGTGCATATAAATGTGACTCTATTTTTTGTCGTGACAAAATTCCCCGATAGCCGCTCAATTATTGCCTCGTTCAAACAATTCTAGTGTCAAAAGCGAAGTACCAATTGCAGTAATGGCCGCCACCAACAAAGTTTATTTCCGCCGAGAATTCCAATTTGGGTAATATTCTGTGTATTGCGTAAAATTGGAATGTATATACAGTATAATGTCGGACGTGTTCTTATCTGTAATACGGTTGGCAAAGAGGCACCGCCTACATACCATATCCGGAATAAAGAATCGGGTCAAGCGGCGTTTTCCCCTCCGACATGATTGTACAATATAAATACAGTGACACTTGTCTTTAAATAAAACTCCCCTATATTCACTTCATAGGTTTATTGGAAACTCATATTTATCAAGATTTATTATCAAGAGCTCTTTTAAAGAAAGTCTCTTCCAAAATACCGTTAGTTAAATTTTACATATAAATTTTTTTTCCCGTCGGACTAGCGAGAGTACAGACAGGCTCCCCGATGCTCTTATCTTCAGTTAACAGTACTAGTTACCTCGATGTTCAAAGGAATGACATGGGGCAATCTGCGAATCTGCTGTGCAGAGAAGTTAATTCCGGGAACTATGATACGGTATCAGATATGAGATTTACTAATGGGACAGCTCCTTCTATGAATTCTTACACAACAACGTCTTCGCCTAGAACTCATGATATGAAATTGGGCATCCAGTCTGACTTGGATATGGACGTCCCAGATAATAATTTTGGTAGATTGATCTTGCAATTGAGAGAATTATTGGGCAGCAGCAAAGGTCTTTCTTCAAAAGACATCGATATCGAGCAGGCTAAAAGGATCATGGAGAGCTATGAATCAGATGAAAGCGAGTGGGGGAAATATGCGTTGCACGATGCTTCGAGAAATTATTCAAGAAATGGAATAGTAAATATCAATGGCAATGCAAACTTGCTTATTTTAGTGTGGTCTCCTCAAAAAGCAAGTGCTATCCACGATCATGCAAATGCACATTGTTGTATGAAAATTCTCAAAGGTAAACTAGTTGAATCTTTATATCAAATACCAGACCATGAAGGTTCTGCATTGACACCGAAGAAAAAGACCACATTAGATAGCGGCGACGTTGGTTATATTTCAGACCAAATAGGGCTACACAGCATATCGAATCCCCTTAAAGACCAATATTCAGTATCTTTACATTTGTATACGCCGCCGTATGCTTCCATGTATGGCTGTTCTATGTATGATGCTAGTACTGGTAAAAAGCATCATGTTGACATGAGCAAGTACTACAGTTGGCAGGGCCAGGTTGTAAATTCAAGCAGTAGTTCTACATGTTAGGATTTGCCCTTTTTCATTGCATCTTTCCATTTTATTTAAGTCTTTTATGCACCTAGTCTAAATAATACGAATCATTCCCATATAGAGGCTACGTAAGCTATATATATTTACACTTCCTATGCTGCACGCTTCAGAGCGTCAATAGAGATCAATTTCTATGTTATTATTATAGAATCGTATAGTTTCATGTCACGGGACCTAAATTTTCGATGGAGAGATAACATTTCGTTAGAGGGACGCTTCAAATAAGATACTTATAAAGTCTATAATCTAGTAGAGTTATCACTGTGATTGCTAAGTGGTTGAAAAGGAAATTCTGAAATATAGATCATTCATTGAGAGTTGTTATTTACGGGTGAAAATTCCAAATTTCCTTCATAAAAAACGATAAGATGACATCTCAACAACTAGTTTACTACGGACCCCGACCTTTGAAGCCCTTGAATGATAAGATGCGTCATGGGTTTGACGAAGATTATAACTCTGAAAACCTATTAAGTCTATTGGCAAATACTTTCTACATATACTTTGATGATAAGAGGCATAATACTAATGGCAATCCATTGCTGGAAGAGATGAAGCGTAGTCCAGAGTATGCGAAAAACTATCAACCGATAGCAGATTGGAAAGTAATGAAGGAGAGACAAAAGACAATAAGCGCAGTCTTGGTTTTATGTTTAAATTTAGGAGTGGATCCTCCCGATGTCATGAAGACGTATCCTTGCGCGAAGTACGAAGCTTGGTGTGACCCATCATCATTCGCAGACACTAAGAAAGCGATTGAATCGATAGGCAAGAGCCTTCAGTCTCAATATGAGACCTTATCTTTGCGTACTAGATTTAAGCAGTCCTTAGATCCTTGCGTAGAGGACGTTAAGAGGTTTTGCAATACATTAAGAAGAAATGCTAAAGACGAAAGAATTTTATTTCACTACAACGGTCATGGTGTCCCTCAACCAACAACTAGTGGTGAGATATGGGTCTTCAATAGAGGATATACCCAATATATCCCAATATCCTTGTACGATTTACAAACTTGGCTCGGAGCACCGGTAATTTTTGTTTTCGATTGCAACAGTGCTGGGAACATAGTTCACAATTTCAAAAAATTTGTCCAAAAAAGAATTGATGATGACAATGAAGGGAATCATGATTCAAGTGCGCCTTCTCCAACCTCTGCCTATTTGGATTGCATTCAACTAGCAGCATGTAAAAGCAATGAGCTATTACCCATGAGTCCTGAGTTACCTGCAGATCTATTTACTTGCTGTTTGACATGTCCAATAGATATAAGTGTAAAATGGTTCATAATGAGATCCCCGTTGAAGGACAGTTATTACTCCATGTTACCTAAAAATTCAGTAGGAAATGTTATCATTCCTGGCAAATTAACTGATAGAAGAACTCCATTAGGAGAATTGAATTGGATATTCACTGCGATAACTGATACAATAGCCTGGACCTCTCTTTCACGACCGATATTTAAGAGATTATTTCGACAGGATTTAATGATGGCAGCTTTATTTAGAAATTTTTTGCTAGCAAAAAGAATTATGCCTCATTTAAATTGCAATCCAATAAGCGATCCGCCATTGCCAGATTTGGTTCGCCATCACTCAATGTGGGATTCTTGGGACTTGGCGATTGACCAAGTCTTTACTCAGTTAATTAAATCAAATCAAGTAGACCCTTACTCCGGCATACATTTTCATAATAGACAAGGCTCACAAACCTTAAGAAATGGCACCGCCAATAATGAACCACTGAATGCAATGGCATTGAATGGCGTTCAAAGGGGTAGCACTGGTTCTTCAGCCCCTCAAAATATAGCTAATTATCAGCACTCAACTTTTTTTGAGCAGCAGTTAACTGCTTTCGAGATATGGCTCAAATTTGCAGGACCATCAACGAAGGAGTCTCCAGAACAGTTGCCAATTGTATTACAAGTCTTATTATCTCAAGTGCATAGGTTAAGGGCGTTGATTTTACTATCGAAGTTTTTAGACTTGGGGCCATGGGCAGTGTATCTTTCTTTATCAATTGGTATATTTCCTTATGTCTTGAAGCTACTACAAAGCCCAGCACAGGAATTGAAACCTGTATTAATTTTTATATGGGCAAGGATCATGGCAATAGATTATAAAAGCACTCAACAAGAGCTTTGCAAGGATAAGGGATACAACTACTTCTATTTGATTTTGAATTCAAACCCTCTGAACCAAATAGGGGCGCCAGGAGCACCTGGAGGTTTTACTGGAACGGCTGGAAGTGTTCTCATTAATGATGACCACAAGGCAATGAGTGCCTTCATTTTAACTTTATTTATCAAAAACTTCAGAAATGGACAAAGGCTCTGTTTTTCTGTAGAAATTATTAATAATTGCTTAAAGTTCTTGCAAACCAGCGAAAACCCGCTTCTCAGACAGTGGTGCTGCTTATTGTTGTCTCAACTATGGTATAATTATCCTGACGGTCGCTGGATCGTTTACAAGGAAGGATATTTAAATAGATTGTTAGGACTTATTACAGATGCCATTCCGGAAGTAAGGACATCAATAGTATTAGCAATCACAAACTTTTTGAACGATGAAACGCAAGCACAACAGCTGCGGTCACTGGGTAATGTCACAGCTGATTTAAGAAAGGATGAATTGAAGCAACAAGATTTGAAATTGGCCAATGCAGTCTTAAGCTTACTTGGAGATGGATCATCTATGGTTAGACGGGAATTGGTTTATTTCATAAACAGATTCATAAAAATTTATCTCAAATTTTTCTTAGTTGTTTCTTTTAATCAACTCGAAGAGGAAATCATTTTGATTGACAACCCTAACAATTTGAATGATTTCCGTAAGCAGTCACCAGCATATGGCTCAATATTCAGCTCAATTTGGAAATCCTTATTAATTTTATCGGAGGATCCTCACTGCGAAGTTAAACAATTGTCCGAGATTTTAATAGATAAGGTTATGCTAAAATTAAATGACAGTGAGCTTGGACCGTTAGCAAGAGAGATGCAAGATTATTTGCTAAACAAATCGAGCATTAATATTAATGAGAACTTGAAAACAACGAAACCTATAATGAATAAAAAGTTGGGTTCACCGACTGGAAATGAGCATAAGCGCCAAGTCTCCAGCGGATCAATTATACAAAGACGAAATAATATGCTTACTATAAATGGATCATCCATTAAGACGAGACCTGCATCAGCAAGTAACCTCAATAGGATCGAAGAGGACCAAAAAGACAGCGACACCAGCTCTATTTCTTCGCGGATCAAGAATCTTACGCTTTCCAAAATATTCAAATCATTTAATATAAATGAAGAAAATGATTTAAAGAATTTCACTAATATGCTAAACTTTGGTCCAGTAGCAGCAACATATGGATCAGAATTTAGACCTAAAACACCACGTTTTAAAGAAAGAAATATATATGAAGACCCCGAGCTTCCTTCTGATTCAGGATTTTTTGATTATAGTTGTGAGTATTTTCAAGAGCCTCAAATGTCGAAGAATGAAATTGATGAGCCCGGCTCAAAAGAATACGTTGAACGTTTGTGGCGTCGAAATAGAAACGAAACAATTATCCAAGAGACTCAACCTCAAAAGGGCCTAGCTGTTCGCGGTGACTGGGGCAAGAAGATAAATATAATGAACAACAAGTCTCAACCAAAATTAATCAAATTCACACAATTCGAAAAGATACTAGCTGCAAGTGATGAAAAAGACACCGTTTCAGTATGGGACTGGGAGAATAGCAAGATTATAAAGAAATTTTCGAATGGCAATCCATTTGGAACCAAAATTACTGACATGAAATTTCTAAATGAGGATGACTTACCGTTATTGTTGACGGGCTCGTCTGACGGAGTCATAAAAATATACAAATCCTTTCACGCCCGCGACGAGGATAATCAGATCGAATTGATTGCTGGTTGGAGAGCTTTGACGGATCTATTATTGACTTCAAAGAGTTCAGGTTTGATATCAGACTGGCAACAGTCCAGAGGGTCATTGCTTGTGAGTGGAGATGTCAAAATTATTAGAGTGTGGGATGCGCCGCGAGAGCTTTGTTTGGTGGATATTCCTGCCCGATCGACATCATCAATTACTTCTCTTACATCGGATCAGGTTGCAGGTAACATTCTAGTTGCAGGATTTGATGATGGAAGTCTACGAGTCTATGATAGAAGATTAGATGCTAGAGAATCTATGGTTAAAATATGGAATTCTAGACCCTACCACCAAGGAGGTCACCCAGTTGGAAATAGCTCTATCAGAAACGTGCATATGCAGAGAGGTGGATATAGAGAACTTGTAAGTGGATCTTCTGATGGCTATATTCATTTGTGGGACATAAGGAACGACGAACCTGTTTTGACTTTCAATAATGAACCCGAAAAATCCATGAGATGTATAGATGTACATGAGCATGCACCAATAATCGTAAGTGGTTCCAAATCTTTGAACATTTGGACTACTTCCGGCGATAGGTTGTCTTCTTTAAAGAATCCACACGACAATTACCTATCTAACAGAACTTCCTATTACTTATCGAATCTTGCTCTACACCCACACAGAATGATGTTAGCTACAAACTACAATCAGGATAGTAGCATTAACGTATACACTTGCACAGATACTTTAACAGGCTATTAAGTATTTAGACTGCTCTACTATGAATTCGCAACCTTTTCAAAAAGATTCCGGTCTCGGGATGAGGAGCGGTGCTATATGACGGCAATCTTTTTTATATACGTTGGTTAAATCAGTAAAATACATTGTATGTAAAAGAGTCAGTGTAGAGGATAAACTGTAAGTCAGCAAGAACTGGAGTAGATTTGAGATGTCTATGTCTTCGGATTATGAAACTATGATAGAAGAAGAGAATCGAGCCGAAGATGATATAGGGCTTCGAGGTGGAGAACTTAATGAGAATAATAGAAGTAATTTAAGAGATATATCACTACTGCAACGTATGCTCAGTGCTTGTCTGGGGTCTGTAGTGACATCGCTAGTCGTTACACCGTTTGATGTTATTCGTATTAGAATACAACAACAAGAAATGCTACCAAAAGATTCTGTTTGCTGTCAGTTTACGGTGCCTGAAGGTGGGAAGAATACATTAGCAAAGTCGTCAGCTAAGGTACTACAAACGGCAGGAACTACCAATTCTTCTGAATTATTCTGGTTGGGAAAGAACTACTGCAAGAACGCAGAGAACTGTACGCGAGTGACTTCAACCTTTCAAGGCTTCGCTACAGTAAGCAAGAATGAAGGTCTTGCAACTTTATGGCGAGGATTATCAATTAACTTACTTATGGCCGTTCCGTCGAACATTATCTACTTTACTGGCTATGACCATATCAGAGATCACTCACCACTATCTGATCATCCATTAAATCCCCTCTTCTGTGGTTCTTTGGCCAGAATTTTGGCTGCGACCTTCGTGTCACCCTTAGAATTAATTAAGACAAGGTTGCAGTCAATTCCCGCGGGGGTAGGAACAAATTCAAACGTCATGAAGGTTTTGTTAAAGGATGTGTTCTTATCAGCTAGAGAAAAAGGCATAGGAACTTTGTTCACTGGTTTACAAATAACTTTATGGAGAGATGCGCCGTTCTCTGGAATTTATTGGTCCTGCTATGAACTACTCAAGGACAAAGTATCTAAAACCATCGGTGTTGACTTTGGTGGTGTCAAAAACTCGGTTGGCCATGATTGGAAAGTATTCTCTGTTAGTTTCATTTCCGGCTCAATATCAGGCTCAATCGCTGCATTTTTCACTCATCCTTTCGATGTGGGTAAAACTAGACTTCAAATAACAAATCAGCAACTCTCCAAAGGCAAGAAAGAACGATCAATGTTTTCCTTTTTATTCAGTATTTATAAAAGAGAAGGCATTGGTGCTCTATACAGCGGATTTGGTCCGAGGGTTTTGAAGGTAGCCCCTTCTTGTGCTATAATGATTTCGTCATATGAATTAAGTAAAAAGTTATTCAAAAATGGAAATAATTTTTCTTAATATCTAACTGTCAGCCATCTTGTACATAAGCTTTCTTGATCGGATTGTTACAGAAGAGGAATACAAAAAATATCTTGTATATTCGTTCCATTATCTTCACTATATATATAACATAGCATTTAATTCATCAAATAAAGAAAAAAAAAAACAAAAGCAATTTAAAATCTAGTTCCATTGCTCACTTTGTTGAAAGCTGGGTTCTCTGAAACGAAATCCAAGAACACTCGGGTCAGTTTGGCCAATTTTCACGGGTGAGGCATCAATGTTCGTGTGCTTGAGGCTATCACTGTCCGAATTTTGAGCATTCGAATGGGTGCACGGCGTAATTAATCTACTTTTGCGATTACTTTTAACACACTCAGCACAGAGAGATGAAATATCTTTCCCTTCGAAAGGTCCTCGATTTGAGGATAACTTAATGGGGCTGGAGCCGCCGTTTGGTTCGTGCTCCTTTTTAAAAGCACTGGAATTTTCTGAATCAACGGCACTCTTGTTCATACCATTAAATAAACTTGCTGAAGCCACTTTCAACCCATTCCCAGATTGATTGTAATATTTTTTGGGTGACACTCTCTGATATTCTGCATTTGCTTCTAAGCTGAATAAGCAATTATAATACTCTGATGTTGCATCGTTCAATTTTGTTGAAGTTGATTGCAAAGCGACCGCAAAATCCACTAAAGATTCTTTCAAATCTTTTGAAATTGCCCTTATGTATTGCTGTTCTAACACATCCAAATTCCAAACTATTTCCTCCAATTTTTCATTAAGTAGAGTTGTTGAAGAAGCATTTGGGCCATACTTTATCTCGTTCTCTCGAAGAGCTTTAATAATCTTCGCTTTTGCGTTCACGAGATCTCGCAACTTCTTCTCTCGCTGATTAACGAATTTGAAACTCAATTTCAATTTCTCTAACTTGTCGATAAGTGGGACACTTGATTCGCATTGTGTGCCAAATAGGTAGCTAAACTCTTTCACCATTGTCTCACAATCAGCATTGGGGATTTCTACTGCCCAACTGATCAAGTCATTTGCAATATCTGATTGTAAAGCGATGCGCTTATTTTCTACGCGCACGAGCTTATCAACTTTTGCTTGTAACTGATGAGCCATAATGCTACCAGCCTTAATATCCTTATTATTATTACCGATTGACTGATTCACTTTATTCCAAGTACTCCCACTGTTGTTACTGTTACTCAAGCCAGAGAACGCTGAGAATTTATCGATAACCTTTAAAAGCGCTGTCGCTGGACGATTAATAAAAGAATCAGATACATTTTCATTGTTGGCACCAAAAGAGCTAGAAGCAGTTGGGAATTTTGTTATATTGGAAGGTTCAATGACAGATTCGACTTTGTTGCTGTTGTTTTTGGGTAGATTCTCATATCTCCGAGGATCAATGCCTCTGATATTAAATATATTTCTAAAACAAACGTTAGCAGCCATTACGAAGATATTCAATAGTTCATACTTACGACATCTTCAAATGCTTAATTCCACGGAAAGATAGTTGTGGAACTTTAGTCGTGCTGGAAGGAACAGAATAAGCTGAGAAGACTTAGAATTGAAAGTAAACAAGATCTTTTTATTTGCATTTGTAAACTTCTAATTTTGATGTACATGAGAAATACATCTTTTTGTGCAACCGCCCACAGAGCGCTCTATATTGGAAGATTTTATTGACATCGTGAGCCGTTTTCTATGGATATATATATGAATGGCAAAAGAAATTAAGTTTCGCCTTATCAAGAAGGAATTTTTGATATATAAATCGACGGCGGTGAAGTGGCCGCATTGGAAAGAACAATTTTATTTTTTTGAAACTTCTTCGTCGATGTTCAAGCCACTAAAATCAACTAGTTTTCTCTTCACGTACAGTAAAGATCCTTCCAAACGCTTTTTGGTGGCCTGTGATTTCTCATCAATTTTATGCACCAATTTGTCGGTCTTTTCCACAGCAAGTTCTTGCTGCTTTGCGAGAGCTGGTAATTTTTGTTGTTCAAGATTCCAAAAGAGACTAGCTGTATTACTGAAGGTATGAGGCAAGAAATACTTGAATGATGCTAATCCCAAGAATACTGGGACAGTAGCTCTTGCAAAAATTCCCCTTTGACGAGCTATGATATTTCCGGATAAGAACGCTATCAAGATATAAAGTGAGTTAGGAAGCAAGTCTTCATTCCTATCATGGAGCTTGCTGACAGTGGTGGTAAAGCTTCTTTCAGTTTCATTGTAGTCATGATACTTACTATTTAAATACAGTTCACCTTTTTGAAGGTTCCTATCAGCTAAATCCACAGTAGATTGAAAAAATGACTCCAAAGATTTAGACGAGCGAACTGAAGCACCTCCGATTATAGTCGTTGTCCCCAAAGCTCTCAGCTGTTCCTGTGTGGTAGGAACGATAGTTCCAGGAATGGGTACTATATCTGCATCATCATCATAAAAGTGTCTCTTCGATTCATTCTCAATTGCTGAAGAAGAAATAAAATAAGCCCCTGAAGCCGCAATTGGAATAAAGTACAGAATTGAACGAATACCAAACATATTAGGTTTATAAATCAACTGTAATCTAATCAGTGTCAAGAAAGAGCTAGATCCAATTGGACAAATTTGAAATCAAAAAAAGGTTAACTAATGTCTCTCTCTTTTTTGACAATGTCGCAATATTTTTTTTGATATCAAGCTCATCTGATTCATTCTGTAGATTTATGTGTCAGGTTGTTAGGCTAAAATAACTATGATTCGAAGTAGTAGTCAGGGCATTCATGTATTCCTAAAAACCACTGCTACCTTCAGGAGCACACGAAATTCTCTCAGGTATCACTCCGAGTCTAGCTATAATGGAAATACAAAAGTATTGAATATTAAAGCCCCATCACAAACTTATTTCGAAGATGACCAACTGAAGGATCCAGTAGATGGAGATGATCTGATTTTACCATTTCAGAAGAGGAGATATGGTGAGAATTTCGGTCAAGTAGTCAGAAGTGATGAGTTGAGAAGGAATAATGAATTAATAGATGATGGCGAAAAGTATGTTAAATACTCAACTGACGATGAAACCTTCGATGGCTCTCCCTTTCGTACTTCGGATGGCTCATATATTAAAGGAAACAATTCAGAAGAGGCACGGCTACATGATTTGACATTGAGAGGTCGAGTTGACCGAAATGTAACCAAACTACCACCTGCAATTGCGACAACCATAAATAATAATATTTTAAGGCTAGCTGTCCCTGACCGACTTAGGGAAAGAGCCGCATCCGTATATCAAAACTTATCTCAGGATCAAATTCAAAGAGATCCTGAAACTGCGCTAGATTGTGATGCCCATATAGGTGCATTGTTTTTACAGGATTATTCTCATTGTCATCATGTGTTGTTGGAGTTGCAAAAGAGAGTGGGTGAGGATAAATTCAATCCCAAGAGAATCTTGGACATAGGCTATGGACCAGCAACAGGGATGGTGGCTCTTAATGAGATTTTAGGTGATTCATTTCTTCCCGATACAAAAGACGCCTATATTGTAGGTAGAAATAATACTGAAATGAAAAAAAGAGCCAAAATAATTTTATCACGGCAGCTAAATGAAAATATGGTTGAAGGGATGGAATCTGAAATTAACAGAGGATCAAATGTTGAAGATGAAGCACAAGAGGAAAATGTAACTGAGACTGAAGAGAATGTGAAACATTTGGAGGACGAATATGTGGGTCCTGTCCGCACGTCTGATATTAAGATTCAAACGAAGCTAAGGGATACCCTTCCGGTCACGAAGAAATATGACTTGATTATTGTCAACAACTCCTTATTGACAAGAGAATATAGCTTTCCAAGAGATGTCGATGAGAATATTCATCTGATACTTAAGTTGTTGAGTCCAGGAGGGCATTTGGTTCTTGTAGAGAGAGGTAACACTTTGGGATTCGAAACCATTGCCAGGGCAAGACAACTTATGATCAGACCGGAATCGTACGACTCCGAAGTAGGAAAAATCCCCCGTCCGTATATCAAAGGATCTACATTCAAACCCCAAAAAAGACGAACCGAAATAGCTTCTGAAGCGAAAAATAACCTGGAGGATCTTGAACAGGATATCATTAATAGGTATGGAATTGTAAACGAGGATGACTTGAAATTCGAATTTGAAGATGATAAAGATTTTGAGCTTTCGACGCCATCTTCTTCGAAGCAGAATGATGGCATAGATTATCATCTTAAAGTTTTGGCACCTTGTCCACACCATAACAGATGCCCTTTACAACTTGGTGATCCAAAATATTATAAAATATCTTCTCATAAACATAGATTAAACTTTTGCTCTTTTAGCAAAACCGCTGAAAGGCCTAGATACACTTTGGAGTTGAAAAAGGGAAGGAGACTAGCGACTAACTGGGATAAGTCATCAGAAGATGGGTTTGGATTAGAGAAGTTATCCAAAAAACAGCTTAAGAAGTTAGAAGGAACAGGACGGCCCGGAGGTAAAAATACTGAGAAAGGTTCTTTTTCATATTTAATTATGGAAAGGGCCCTAAATGACTCTACAACTGTTAAAAGAATAGAAGAACAAAGAGAATTCAATAAAACAGACATCAAACAAGAAAGCGATCCACTTAGTTGGCCACGAGTAGTTGGAAATCTCTCTAAAATTAAAAATAACGTGAAGTTAAATGTCTGTTCTCCAAGTGGGAATATTGAAACTTGGCAGATACCGAAGAGCTTAGGAAAACAGGTGTATCATGATGCCAAAAAGGTTTCACACGGAGACTTGTGGGCTCTTGGGAAGAAAAGCGTGATTGTTAAGAATCGTGTTTCTGATGATGTAATTCGGAAACTCGATTCTTTGTCTAAAACTCAAAAGAAATCATATTTGAAGGAGAAGAGAAAGAAGCAGACTAAAAAGTTGGTCAGCTCTTCGGAGGAAGCATTTGAGGATGATGATATCTTGAGCTTAGTTGATACCTTGGCAACTAATATGGAGTCATCCAAAAAGTATAAAGCTAAGGGTAAAAGAGCAGGATTTGACGTCGATCCCAAGAAATTCGATGGTAAATAGACTTTTACATTGTACATAGATTATAATTACTTGCAAATACGTTTATTTGATAGATACGAATAGTGAAAGGTCAATAGACCTTAATAGACATGGAATTAAATATTTAAAACCAAACTTAGTAGGAAAAATGCAAACAGCTTAATGAGAAAGGACTTCGGAACTCGTGCCTGCAATGTCTATAATACATAATGTAAAACCCACTTGCTTATTCTGGTGAGATATCATGCGCTCATTAACCTCATTACTTTCTTCTGAATGATGACCCTTCAGTTAACTTGGCTTTACCACCAGTAGGTGTACATAAAACAGTAGAGCAATTTTCACAGGTAACGGCTGTTTGAGCATGGCTGAACACGGTAGTAATATTTAAACATCCTTGGCACTTGACGTCCATGAAATAGGATCTTGGTTGTTGAACCAAAGTTTTCAACTTATGCTTTTGAGCTTCTGTCTTTGGATTTGGGTGTAATAAATCTTGAACTAAAACCATATTGTATAATAATTGTTTCCTCTTAAATTAAAAACCTTAACTTCTTTGGCTCAAGTATAGAAAATTTTTCGCCCTTGTGAAAAGTTTTTTCTGGCTTTGCTGATTTTGTGTAATATGGACTTTGTGTTATATGGCGCTACTCCACAGTCGCTTTGAATATGAGATCGCCCACTAAACAAGTTAGTTCCGTAAAAGGAAGTCAACCACCAGCTAATTGCAGCAAAATAGATCCCACATTTAAAAGTAGCCCAGAGGCAGCTTTTTAAAAGCAGCCAATAATGCCTGAAGACTGCTCCAAGCCTAGAAATATTCATATCACAAGCATACTAAAGCTGAATTCGAGGTATACCAAGTTGCGGGTGAGCTACCATGTTTGATTTACTGTCTGGCATTGGGCTCAAAATAGATAGGCTCGATACAAAGTTGGGAAAACCTGGTTCCTCAGCTGACAACACTGCAAAGATTAGAAGAAGGGACAGTCAGCTGAAAAGTAGGCGATCTCATCAGAGATCAAAGCCTTCCAACGGGGGAGATCTGGGAGATCGAGAAATCGAGGAGTTACATTCAGATATAGCTTCAGCTATTCAGCCCCTTCGACACCTGGTTATGACAGACTCAAAAAATCAAGAGCTTTTCTTGAAGTACTTCACACTTATCGTGATTCTTTTGCCGTCAATTTTCGCTGTCATTATTCCCACATCAAGTGGCGATATCGATATTGCAAGTATTGCTACCGATGGGTTGATGATTGTCTTGGTCAGTTGGTTTATAAAGTTTACAATTGAGTGGCCCTGGTCTTGGATGCGTCAAATAAGAGATACAAGACTGAAGTTAATAAATCATATCAATTCCACCATATTAAACAACAGAAGTTCTATGGCGTCTGATCTTCAATTGAATCAAGAAGTACTGATAAACAACATTCTATTGATTAAGAAGCTAAACAAGCTTGAGCTCTACTCGATTCTCCTTTCGTTTTTGGGATCACTCTTCGGTTCAGCTTTGATGTTATGGGCAAGAAATTATATGATTATTGAGGAGTCTAGAAAAAAAATTGTTTTCAATAATTTGAACATTTGTATATTCATGTTTTGGGGAGTTCTAAGGTTGGTTTTAGCATTATCCGAAGTATTGCAAAAAACAACCGTCGACGGAATTAACGAAAATTTCAATAGCAAGAATGATCCCGCCCTGGAATATGGCCTAGTCACTGAACATAACTTGGACACGTTTTTGCAACCGAAATCTGAGATTCAAAGAGATGGTGAAAAGAATACACATCATGGCTTAGAAAAAGCAGCTCTGTTGACCCCATTTGAGCTATTAGAGTCAGATGGAGACATTGTCAACAAGGAGAAACAGAAAGAACTTGCTAGCTATGAGACAAAAATATCTTTGCTAGAGAAATCAGCTTTAAAACAAAAAGATGCTTTAGACCTATTGGCAACTTGTCAGGATGCAGAATTCAAGAAAATCAATTTGATTTTGAATAAGTTAGAAGATACTGTAACCTCTATAAAAGACGTAAAACTTCCGTCTAGTTCTAATGGGAAAGGGAGCATTTACTTAAAACCATTTCCTCTCAATTTCGTGAATGTCGACCGAAAATCAAAGGCTCTGTTTGCGCCTCCAGTTCATGAAATACCAACTATTTTTGAAGAAGACGTGGAGGATGAAGAAGAAGGTAAAATTACTAAAGCCAATATAGGTAAGGATCAACCTGCCATATTGAGTGCCAGGCTACCTAGAATGATTTTTGAAGAATCTTCGGGCATTGATCAGGCGACAACTAAAGATGCAACAAGTAGTGATTCGAATGAAATGCCATCCAATTTTTCTCAACATGTAAGCGGAGGTCATTTTTCTTTACATGGACTTCCTTTCCAGTCTTCTATCAAAGACTTGATTACAAGGCAACTTTGTCAAGAAGGAATCGAAGCTGATGTGAGATTTAATGACTTGGTCGGGTATGAATCTGAGACTAATTCTTCAAATATGTTTGAAGATCTGCAGAGCGAAGTGGCATTGGATGACTCTTTTTACTCTTTTTTAAAAACTACAAAAATAATTCTACGACGGCTAAAAAAAAAAACGTCAATTACTGACTTAATAAAGAACCCTTTTATAATAAAAAATGTTCTAAGAAATGAACTAGTGCCTGTTTTAGACAGGTTCATTAGGGATAATGTTGAGAAGTATTCCGCAAGCATCATACTAACAAAATTAATCATTTGGGAAATATTTTCTAGATATGTGTTCAATAATATCAACATATTAATGACGTATTTCTCTGACCTACATAAGCATTATTTTGGTCCACTCAAAAAATTTGAGAAATTGTTGTTCTTGATATGCATGAAAATACCTTTAAACATTCTACGATTCCAATTAAGCGTAGCTTTATTTTTTCCCAAATTGCTAGTGAATATATTCGTGATTTATCCTTTTCTCAGGATTAAGAATAGATGGAGTCGAGATAATCACGAAAAGAAAGATGGCTCTAAACCTTCAAGCGGAATTAAGGAATTCCACCTAAATTCAAGCGCTTCAGGTATGAATCATGTACATCGTATAGGGCCAAACACAAGGACAAGAAAGCGTATCTTAGATAAGCTATCTAAATATTATGATCTTGATTCTGATGCTAGCCCTTTGGATGTTCCAACTGTGACTCCTGTTATTTTGCATGACGAAGAATAGCATTATTTCATAAATACATATACATATATATATAAACCATGCCACGTAATTAAAGTATCACTCTGTAATCCCGATCCTTTTTTTTTTTTTTGTTGTTCGATTTGCAACCTGTGGCTCGATAGCATGATAGTCGAGATTGGCTCGATGAGATAAAATGTAGATATCACGGAAAAAAACAGGAAGTCCTAAATAGTTAACATTCATATTTATTATTAAACTCAAGGAAAGGAATCTAAATCTTTAGCCAAAATAGCCAATAAGAGACGTCCCAAGAAAATACGTCCTCCTTATAAGAGGTACGTATATGGAAGTGGTACAATACAGGCGTCTAGTGGCGATGAAGAGGATAGTAGTTCGGGTGGGCTGGTTTTTATCAATGAAAAGAGCAGACTAGAATACATAGACGGAGAGATTAACTTGAAAAACGAAGTTATTGATAAGGAACATCCTGAGAGTCTATGGCCGATGTCACAATTTGAAAAGGTCGATGTGCTTGGACGTTGTTTAACAGGTCCCAAAACTAGAAACGAAATTGTCGAGGAAATATCGGTAATGAGGCTACCACTAGAAATAATTATCTATGTATTGGAAATATTGGATTATAATGACCAGTTGAGACCTAAATTTTTGAGGATAAGTAAATTATTTTACAATATTGTACTACCAATGATATATCGGCACCCAAAATTAAAGGCTACCAACTTCTTTGCTTTTGTTGATACTATTTCATCCAATAAAAATATAGGGAATTTTATCAAGGTGCTTAACTTATCTTACATTATTCAAACTGGTAAAAATGCTTTTATTGCCAAGTTGCTAAAGAGGTCGCGTAAGCATTTAGAAGTATTCGTAGCACCACAGACAAGCTTTGGATTGGGGCCCTTGATAGCTTTAAAAAACTGCGAGCGACTAAAAGTGTTGGATCTAAGACTTGTATCAGAAACCTTGAATTTGGTGGAATTGTTTAAATCCATTAGTAAATTAAACGAGTTGACTCATTTATCATTTCCGCGATCCTCAATCGAACTATATGACTACTCAAGCATAGCATGGCCTCCAAAGCTTTCGTTTCTCAGGATCTCTGGGGGCGTTACAGATCTGTTTTTAATGGAATCCCATTTCCCTTCAACAATCAGACAACTAGAATTTGCCCATTGTCCGTCTGTTAAAAGCTTTGGACTCCACAGTGTTCTTTTTAGATTGGGAGCTAACTTAACGTCGTTCAAGGTACAATATCCAATGCCTACCCTTGAACAAAACTCATTGGATAGGATTTTCAATTACTGTCCCAATTTAATAGTCCTAGAAGTTGCGGTCGACTATGTATCTTCGTCTTTCTTCGACGAAGAAAACTTATCGTACCTACCATACAAGAGGCCTTTAAAGACTTTATATATTGACAGCAGCGGTATGCTAGGTACTACCAATAGACTTGATCCCATTGATTTGGCTGTTGCGATTAACGAAGAACGTTTACCCTTACTAAAAAACTTACAATGTACTGCCAAGCTTGGTTGGGATCCCGATTCCGAGTATGTTTCATTCATAGCTGACTCATTAGATGAAAGGGGTGGAGGACTATACATCGGTTATTAAAGGACAATAATATGATGGGATATTTAATGACCTGTACATAGATAGCTTATTTAATGTATCAACTTTTTTCTTTAAAAATGTACTCTTGTAGCTTCATAGTTAGTCGAAAAGCATGGGAGAGAAGGGAGAAGAATCCAAAAACACTACTGTGTACGAGAAAGGAATTTATAGGAATTATCACTCTGCTACAATTCCTCCGGTAGTCAAAAAAAGGTCAACCTTCAATAAAATTGATCATTTTTTGATATTCGGTTTATTATCACTTGGAGTTTTAGTTAGATTATACAAGCTTCATATCCCTCTGGCTGTTGTTTTTGATGAGGTACATTTTGGTGAATATGCTCGAAGTTATTTGCATGGTGAATTTTTCGTCGATGTTCATCCACCGTTGATAAAGTTGATATATTATTGGATTGGCCGTGCATTTGGGTGGGATGGTGTCTTCGATTTTTCGGAGATCGGTCGGGATTATGATGGCACTGTACCATATCTCTACATGAGACTTTTTTCTGGGATTTGCGGAGTTTTGACTATCGTGGTTTCTTATGGAACGTTAAGGATCTCTGGCTGCAGGGCAACTGTCGCCCTTTTTGGGGCATTTTTGGTTGCCATTGAAAACTCACTTATCACTCAATCAAGATTCATATTGTTGGATGGCCCTATGATTTTTTCACTAGCTCTCACAGTATATGGAATGAAAAAGATCAGACTTGATACTGCGTTTAAAAAGGGGTGGTTCCAATCATTGGTAATTATTGGACTTGCCCTAGGTATCACCATATCCAGTAAGTTGTCTGCTTTCTACACACTTCTTTGGGTGGGACTCGTGTCAGCTATACAATTGTGTAATCTTTTAGGTGACCTAAAGATAACTACTTTACAATGGTTTGGACATGTAATTTACAGAATCATGGCGATAATTGTCCTACCATTATGCATATATCTTGGTATATTTTCGGCACACCTTATGTATTTACCATTTAACGGCTCTGGCTCTGGTGCAGTCTCCCCTAATTTTAGGTCAACATTCGCAGATTCTAATGATCTCAAAAATATGCCTGTTGAAGTGTCTTATGGCAGTACCGTTACTATCAAAAGCAATACCTTAGAAGGGTACCTACATTCTCACGATGCAAAATATCCAACAGGGTCTCATGAGCAACAAGTAACACTCTATAGCTTCATGCCTGATGAAAATAATGAATGGATGATAGAGACAAAAAATCAGTACAGGAAAGCCCTGTTGGAAAATGAAGCTAGAGTAGTCAAAGATGGTGATATAGTTCGGCTATACCATAAAAGCACAGGGAAATACCTCCACGTGAATAAAGTCAGGCCTCCGATATCAGAACATGATTATTCGAACGAAGTATCCTGTAATGCTACTAGGGGTCTTTTGGGTGATGCCGATTACGAATTCAAAGTCAGGATATTGCTAAAAAAGTCTCATGCAACCCTGGATTTGCCTCTTATTAAATTAAGAGCAACTGAATCAATATTCCAGCTTATTCATCAAGGAACAAAGTGTGTTGTCATGACGCACGACATAAAACTTCCCTCATGGGGATCAAATCAAAGAGAAGTTTTGTGTGTAGAAGAGCCAACAATTCCCAATACATTGTGGTATGTTGAATACAATTCGCACCCTGCGCTAGACGAGAGCGATCAAGCAGAAAAAGTAAATTTTCAATCTGTTTCATTTTGGAGAAAGTTCAAAGAGTACCATAGAGCAGTATTTCGAATTAACAATAGCTTCACTGATCCTCATTCATATTCTTCTACTCCTCAATCCTGGCCCTTACTTTTGAGGGGAGTTAACTATTATGGCAATGATGCAGCAGAGAAGAAATTAGAAAATGGTAGCCATATATATTTCCTTGGGAATTTGGCCGTATACTATTTCTCCTTCACTGTGGTCCTAGTGATGTTCTTTAGTTATGCTCTTTATTCCTTTAGACATATGAATCCGTTTGCAATACAGAAGGAGTCCATTGATACGGTTGTATTTTATGACCATGGGCTTGAGTACACACTAGGATGGTTGATTCATTATTTTCCATATTTTTTAATGTCCAGACAGCTCTTCTTGCATCATTATTTGCCATCTTTATACTTTGGAATATTGCTAATTGGACAGTTTGTTGAGTATCAAATTTCAAAGAGAAAAGTTCTGGGCTATTTAACAATGACTCTTATAACAATAACCAGCCTTTACTGTTTCATCAGCTTCTATCCACTCATATATGGTACACCGTGGACAATCAAAGACTGCAATCATGCGAAATGGTTCTCAGGTTGGGACTTCAATTGCATGAACTATAGTAGTTGAGATGAGTAAATATTCATCACAATAAAAGTTAGATAATTAAAATAATTAAAATATTATGTAAGTCTATTCTATCTAAAAGACATAATGATCATCTCAGCTCCTGGTATCCGAAATCCCTTTTGCCACATCAGTAATCAACGATTCACACCATTTAAGTAATGCATCCTTTTCTTTGATTTTCTCGATCCTCTCTCTTTCCACATCTTTTAAATTATTGCTCAAATCTTCAATCAACTTGAGTTGATTTGCAGGAGATACTCCTATGCCTGGAAGTGAATCTATGAGCATAGATATTTGTCTAGATTTTAATATTATGTCTGTCAGAAGCTCATTAATAGTGCTATCGAAGTTTGTTTCTGCTGCTGCTCTTGCAGAGGGATGGTTAGATACGGAGTTCGCATTGGTTTGTTTATTACTATCGGCTCCGCTTCCTTGCTGTTGTTGTTGACCGGGAATAGGTGCACTAGCAGCTAAATTGATTGCTGATGTCGGGTCATCATCTAATAATCCTGGTTCACTATTGGTGTTCACATAATTTACTGTGGCGTTAAATTGCTCTACCAATTGATCTAAGCATATTTGTAGTTGCGTGAGTCTATCTGCCATGTCTTCAATGACTCATTTATTCAGCTTTATTTAGTTCTCTTAGTGTTCTAAGTCGTTCTATATATGGATGGGGTCGTAAGTTAAATCTCACCAGGTCGTGTGTAGAAGTCACCTCATATTGCAACAGGATCACACAGTGTAAATATTTATTAATCCATCATCGATTCATGGCTCCCACGAATAGCACAATTACAGGATGAGCCTTTCTTCAGAAGTGGCTCAATGGCAGGATGACTCAGAAGCACCTTCTTGTGGATTATGCCAGTCTAAGTTTACAATATTCAATAGAAGACATCATTGCCGGAAGTGTGGGAAGGTTGTATGTGGTGATTGTTCTACTCAAGAAATAAAATACCTACCGAACACCTTTATTGTAAACCCAAGCAATATAAAGAAGAAGCTGCAGCTGAATGAACTTTATAAGACATGCGATGAATGTGCGGCTGAAGTTCGTATGATCAGGAGGGCTTTGTTCGGTGGTAACTTTGGAATGGAGACTCCTGCAAATGGTGGCGAAAGGTCTGATAACAATGCCACTGATGAAAATGATACATTTATTGACAGCTCAAGCTCGACGAAATATGCTACAAGAACGAGGACAAGGCTGTTGAGATCTTCAACTCAATCATCGCTCAATGTGAATCGTCATAGAGATAATGAAAGTGATCTCAATTTATGTCCTATATGCGGCACCGACTTGCTCAAGGCTTATATTAATGAGCATAAGAAGAAGATAGATGAAATTAGTAATATCGATTTTGAAGCGTTTAAAGAGAGTCATATCAGCAACTGCCTAACTGCATTTGATTTTAATCTTGATCATCAAAGGTTCAACTCTCCTGATCAAAATGACGCTCAGAAGCATCCGAGAAACAAAATGCTTGTGTACAATATGCCCCCAATCCCGAAGCCGAAATATGAAAGCATTCCTAACATAGAGGGTTCTTCGTTTGATACGGTCAAACAATGTGGGTTTTTCTTAGAAAACAACGAAGGACAAAACACTTCTAACCGAGAGACTAAAATCGGCTCCGTTGAGTCAAACTCGACAATTCATCAGACTTCTGAGAAACAGAATATAGATGCATCGCTTGATCACGAGTGTGTTATATGCTTAGATGAGTTAAAGCCTGGAGACAAGGTAGGTCGGTTGGAATGCTTGTGCGTTTTCCACTATAAATGCATTAAGGATTGGTTCAATAAGAAGGGCTACGGCCAATGTCCTGTTCATTTCTTCCATCAATAGATTACTAGGGTCATTTATTTCGGCTTCAAACTTTTTTCATGCTTGACATGATATATTTTACGTGTGACTTCAATTCGTTCGCTTTTTGCTTATTACTACGATGATCTTTTAGATAATTTGTACTTGGTTTTACCATGCAATTTTAATATATATGTTTACGAAATAAAATACTTCTATAAAGCTTAAGTTACTGTTCTTCTCTATCCCTCTCATCTCTGTTTTTCTTACGGCCATTTCTACCATGAAATTCCTTAGTTTGACGAATTGCTTCAGCACTTGCTCTGTCAACGTGCATATGCAAAGCATTCAATATATCTTTGGATGGGGAGGGATCTTTTGGTAGTTTTTTATCTAAGACGCTTTCAATTCTTAAATACATCTCTAAGTCATATTGGGTAACCAAAGAAATAGATTTTCCTGACTTACCAGCACGAGCAGTTCTTCCCACTCTATGTATATATGCCTTTGAATCAGTTGGTATGTCATAATTTATAACCAAATCTACAGACGGAATGTCAAGACCTCTTGCGGCCACGTCTGTGGCAACTAAGATATTTGATTGTCCTGATTTGAACTTGTTCAAAGAACCTAATCTTTGTGCTTGTGTAAGTTGACCATGCAAAGGGGTTGCAGAAAACCCGAGTATTCTTGCAAGAAGTGCCGTTCTTTGCGAATGAGCACATGTCCTTGTAAAAATAATAATAGATTTTCCGATATTCTCATTCAATAAGTGAATCAAAAAAGTGTTCTTGTAACCATCGCTCACCAACATCATTGATTGAACTAGATTATCAGCTGTCTGGTACTTATTAGACACAGCAACTTTTACTGGATTGTGCAAAGATGCTCTTTGTAGCTTTTCAATTTTACTTGTCATTGTAGCCGAAAATAAATAAGTGGTTCTTTTAATAGGAATGACTTTAAGAATCTTATCCAAAGCTGGTCCAAAATCCATATCCAATAGTCTGTCTGCTTCATCCATAACGAAATACTTCAAGTTTTTCAAAGAAAATCCTTTGGTATGCTCCAAATGATCCATTATACGACCAGGAGTGGCTATTAAAACGTGTGGCTTTCTCATCAACTCTCTCGCTTGATCCATCATATCCATACCCCCTACGATACATGCTGTTCTTAGGCCCATCGATGACCCCAATGCATCGAAGGTTTCTTTGATTTGATAAGCAAGCTCCCTAGTTGGAGCCAAAACTAGTCCATAATATGGGGTCTGTGCTTCCCACAAAGCCTGCAATATGGGTATTGCAAATGCTGCAGTTTTTCCTGATCCCGTCTGAGCTAATCCTATAATATCCTTACCCTCCAAAGCTTGGGGAATCGCTTCTGCTTGAATAGGTGTTGGCTTAGTGTATTTCAAGTTTTCGATCGCTTCCATTAATTCAGGAACTAAGTGAAGGTCTTTGAAGTCCTTAACTTTCAACTCGGTGTCATCATTAATAATTTTTTCTTCATTGATAGCCTTTCCTTCTTCATTTTCTGTGCTTCTATTCTTTTCTTTATCTACCTTCTGCTTTATTGCTTGTTTTCTGATTTTGTCAGCTAGCAGTTTAGCATCAATGCCACTTTTGTCTGACTTACTCTTTTTCGGTTGTTTATGAACCTTAATAGACATATTGTTTTGCTATTGGTTTTAAACTTAAGAATCAATTTAAATTTAGTAATGGAATTAATTAATTTTTTTTTTTTCCCTAAAGGAACACCCGTTTTTGAGAAGAGCATCGGTTTTTTTCACTCAAAAAAAATTAAGAGAATATACGTTTTAGTTTTAAGGTACTTTTATTCAAACTAACCATGGCTAAAAGAAGACAAAAGAAAAGAACTCATACAAAGGTATCCAAGGAGGAGTTGGAGAAAATACCAAGATCTATTGTGCTTAGATTGGGGTCGACTTTGAAAAATCATTCATTAAGTCAGTTGGTAAAGGATTTCAGAAATATGATGCAACCCCATACTGCAATCAATTTGAGAGAACGTAAAGCAAATAAACTAAAGGACTTTATAGTTATGGCAGGGCCCTTGGGGGTTTCAGATTTATTTATTTTTAACCAATCTGAAGAAACTGGAAATATTTCACTTAGGATTGGAAAGATGCCAAGGGGACCAACCCTTCAATTTCGAGTTAATCTGTATTCATTATCTAAGGATGTGAGGAGAATACTAAGACACCCGAAGCCTGTAGGGAAAGATTCGAAGGAGTTTTTGAACCCTCCACTTTTGGTCTTGAATGGGTTTCTGTCCAATCTCAAAGATGCTGATAATCATGAAAAGCTATTAGTAACAGTATTACAGGGACTTTTCCCTCCCATTCAGCCTCAAAAAACCCAAGTCAATTCTATTAAGAGGGTACTAATGTTAAACAAGGATTCCGAAACTGGAGTTATAGATTTAAGGCATTATGCGATAAGCACGAAGTTGGTGGAAGAAAACAGAAATATTAAAAAATTAGTTAGTTCACATCATAATTTAAAAAAGAGCCTACCGAACATGACAAATAATAAGGATGTGTCTGAATTAGTACTCGATCCCTATTCAGTTGGAGGCGATACATCAGAGTCAGAAGTTGAGGATGATGCAGTTGTTGAAGTTAAAGGAGAGGATCCTTCAAGCATCAAGAAAAACACTATTTCGAAAGAAAATGTAGCCGATACTCCTACAAGGAAAAGGGCTATCAAGTTAGTAGAATTAGGACCACGCATTAATATGAACCTCATGAAAATCGAAGAGGGTTTGACTGGATCATCAAAGACTTTATACCACGCCAACATCCACAAGTCTAAGTCGGAGAAAGAAGACTTAGAGAAAAAGCATGAAGAAAAGAAAAGGAGAAAAGAAGAGAGAAGAAGCAATCAGCAACAAAACGTTGATGCGAAGAATGCTAAAAAGGAGGAAAAGAAAGCTAGAAGAAAGGCTCGTGCAAATGGTGAAACAGAAAATGGTATTAGCTCTGAAGAAGATGCTCCAGAGATTAATCCTGAAGATTATGAGAATGATAGCGACCTTTACAGTGACATCGAAAAACTTGACGCATAAATAGATTCTATATTACCTCAGAGTTATTTTTCAACTCATTTAATTCATCAATAAGGTTTATGATTTGTATTCGTACATTAAGAGAGCTGATAAGGTCTTCCAACCCATCACTGAAAAACTCTTGTGCATATTTCAATTCGTGAGGGACTAGACCCCCAAACTGATATAAGGGATCCTTTTTATGACTTTTGTCAGTTCTCTCTGTATTACGGACCACTTTATTCTTCCTGTGTCTCAAATTTCGAGATGTGATGTCAACTGTATCAAGGGAATTTTGAACCTTTTCTTGTTGTATAACGTCCAGCTTTTCTGTCTCAGTATCTGTTGATTCGGTGATATTATTACCGTTTGATTCTTTGATCGAACCTATTAAGCTGTACTTATTATTATCATTAAGTATATGCTTACAAGCTTCATGAGATCTTCGATCAAAATTATCGATACCGAAAGTTCTTCCAAACGTACTATTGTTAAAATTTGCTCTGCTTAAATTCATAAACCCATCTTTAAACTTTTTTCTGACATTATCATTCATCAATTTTTCATATTTATCGATTAGTTCTATTAACTCAATTGTCTTTTTATCGACTGCTGAGAGACCCTTGTATCTAAGAGCTTTGCTATCACTGGCTTCAGAGTTAGACATAATATGTGTGGAATCGAAGACATAGAAATTTAGGACCATATTTAAGACACAGTACACCTCACGTGACGTTAAGACATTGACCTAATTATGATCATATCAAAGCATATGTATGAAGAGGTTATCTATATCATAATTTGTATATATTCTTCAACCTGTTGAATTCTGTTCTAGGAAGTATACTGTTAAATCCAAAAGGATCACCGGGTCCCGCACGGATTAATTTTTGCTCAGCTTCTGACCTTTCCTTGGTTCTCATTAGATTGCCTTCCTCCCAAATACTATAAATTAATTCCTCTTCTCCAACTACACTATCTGCTTTTCCTGTGTAGATTATGCTAGCCAAATCATGCAATATGTTGGCCGTTAAGCCCCATACGTCATACACCTTTTCATTCGTCTCGGAGTGTCGACGCGAGCCTAAATTACCCCAAGATGATAAGCGAACCTTCCGATTTTTAGGTTTGTTACTGTGACCGATATCATCAGAGTCATTTTGACTCTCATCTTCTGAAGCAGACAAATCTTTAATGTCCCTTAACCACTGTACCTCATTTGGAACATCTTGAAGAAACACATAAGATCTTAGATTCCAGGGTATACCACCCCATTTAACTTTATTATATGACCTTTCCATGGACTCCAATGGTTTATCTTCACCTGCTGGGTATATGAAATCTCTAAGCGGACAGGAGAATATATTAGAACTCTCACCTGGGTTCAAATTTAAAGTTAGCTTGTTTATGATTTCTGATTCACCTTTATTCTTAGAAAATCTCAATATTCCAACACAAGGACTGACAGCCGAGAATGTTCTTGATAAATAACATGGCAAAATATTAACACGTTCTATAGCAACCCTCCAGTTCTTCCAGAGAGTATCATCATTAGCTTCGATTCCAATCTCTTCGCACATTTCTCTCCTAGCAACTTCCCACTCGGTTTCCAATGCTGTGTCTGCCTTTCCACCAGGTAATGAAATATGCCCCGGAAAGTTTCTTAGTTTAGATGACCTTTTGGTCAAGACAACCCTCCATTCTCCTAAAGCACCGAGAAACAAAAGAACAAAGACTGATGATCTCCTTGCAACTAGTACACGATGCCATACAGAATGAGGCTGATTATGATAGTGTACTGTCTTGTACTTTTTTAGATTATCAATTAAGTATTCATCGGCTAGGGAAGGCATATTTCTCTATTAGACATATATGATTATAGTGCAACGTATGCTATCGTTTAAGTTTAACTTTATAATTTTGGCACGTGAAAGTCTTGAAATTTACCTACACACAGTTACCTATTTTATTATGTGAGAGAGTTCGAATGTTCTCATATATTGTTGAAATGTTGACTTTTTTGCAACTTCAAGTAAGCGATTGTAAAAGAAAACCTTCTTGACTGTAGTAACATTATAGAGCTTATGTACATCGCCATTTATATACCGAACGAAGAGTCTCGTACTAGCACTACTTCGCTGGCTGCAATCTTTGATGTCTTTGAGCCTCACTTTCAGCTTCCAACATGTGGCATCAAAACTCATTAGGTATATAAATATTAGGTTTTTATCTGACCAAGGGTGTTGTCTTCGAGCCTATGACAGGTTCGTCGATTATTAGTATCGAGGAAAATCTTTTTGCATCTATCCGTGACCCACCATCTTCAGTTGAAACTGAAAATGTATCGGTAATACAGTCTTCCCCATACTCCGAAACTGACCACTTACTCCACTTAAAGGGCCTTGATACCGGTTACAGGGCCCTTGCAATTGCGCTACAGGCTTTCCAACCTCAAAACTCAAATTTTGCTTTTGATTCATATACAGATGCTTTTGATATTAGTCGTATTGTTGCATTAGCTCGTACTATCACAGCAAAATTGAATGAGCCTTTTCCAGATACAGAAGTGTACATTATTGTATTCAGGTCAATTCTACACAAACATGTCCTAGAGTCATCTCAAAAGCGAGACCTTTTGGCATACATTGATAAAAGATCACATTCAGAAGCAAATCAATCAGGGGGCTTATTAAAGTATTGGTTCGGAACTCCCGATAAAATATACGGCAAAAATCTTGCAACTTGCTGGTGGCGGAACAAGCGCGATGCAGTAAGAGGGGGAGGAGGAAACTATCATAGACAAGCAATGAAAGCAGTTCAGGGATGGTATCAGCATTGGAAAGTAGAAGAGTACCAGTTAAACATAACAAAGGATGGCTATACTATGACCAAAATCAAATAGCTTCTTTTTTGTGTCATTAAAAAACTGTGGTCTTTCTTTCTTTTTTTATTGTTTTAGCCGTACGCAGTAGTGTAGATTAAAAGTGGTATGATTTCTCAAAAGGTTAATTGTAGCAATCTAATGTAACTTACTCATAGCTTAGTATTGAGCCAGTAGACTACGTGAACAGCTGAGTAATGTCAGATGCAATAAACAGTCTAAGTTCTAATAGAGGGCCCCATGACGAGAGTCAAAGGAGTAAAGAGAATGGCGTAGAAAAAGAAAAGGTAGCAGCCTATGATTCAGCAAGTCTTATCCAGACTTTAGAAGAGGAGCTATATGAAACATCTGACTTCGGGAAAGCATATTTAGCTAAGTCTAAACTTGTTGCTGAGGCAATTGATGACATTGGCTTTGGAAGGTATCAACTGTGCTTGCTTTGCGTTGCAGGAATGGGTTGGTTTTCTGATAATGCATGGCCAATTGCCACCAGTTTAATATTACCATTGTTGGATGAGCTGGATGGTGTACATCTGCCAACAAATAGAGCACCTTATTTAACATTAGCCCAAAATTTGGGTTTGCTAGCAGGTGCTTTATTTTGGTCTTTAACATCTGATGTCATTGGACGTCGGTGGGCATTTAATATAACGTTTTTCATAACAGGTTTATTTGCTACTTCTTCAGGTGCTTCACCTAATTTCGCAGCAGTAGCTGTGTTCGATGCCTTGTGGAGCTTTGGTGTCGGTGGTAATTTACCAGTTGACTCTGCCATATTTTTGGAGGCCCTACCTACTTCTTATCAATGGTTATTAACGGTAATGTCAATTTTCTGGGCATTTGGACAGTTGATTGCAAATTTGATAGGTTGGGGCTTGTTAGGAAATTTTTCTTGCGATAAGACCAAGGATATCTGTCTAAAGGCTGATAATCAGGGTTGGAGATATTTCTTGTACACTTTTGGAGGCTTATCCCTATTAATGTTTACTGCAAGATTCTTATTTAGGCTCTCCGAGTCTCCTCGGTTTTATTTAGCGAGAGGAGACGATGCACGGGCGATTGAAGTGCTTCATCGTATTGCTAAATTCAATAAAACGGAGTGCTCTCTAACTCTTGAGGATCTAGAATATATTGATGGCTTGCAATTGGATGGCCCTAAGGAAGAGAAACCAACGCACTCTCTGTTGTTGAAAGCGAAGATTTCGTCTTTTAAGATGACTCATATACGTGAATGTTTCGGTTCTAAGAAACTTGCAATTTCGTCGTCGATGGTGATATTTACATGGGCACTAATTGGTCTTGCTTTTCCGTTATATAATGCTTTCATTCCTTATTATCTTGGAACCCGGGGAGGTGCTGCGAAGACATTGTCCACGTATGAGACTTATCGTAATTCATTAATCGTTTCAGTGATGGGTATACCTGCATCTTTGCTTGCCGGACTTTTAGTAGAACTAAGAATTGGAAGAAAGGGTACTCTATGTATTTCATTATTATTAACAGGTGTATTTTTGTTTTGCTCCACAACTGCGAAGACGAGCAATGCAAATTTGGGATGGACTTGTGCTTTCTCATTCCTGTCAAATATTATGTATGGGGTATTATATGCCTACACTCCTGAAATATTTCCCACTAAAGTTAGAGGTACAGCTATTGGTCTCGCTGCGTCTGCAAATAGGATTTTTGGAGTTTTTGCTCCAATAATAGCGATGTTTGCAGACTTGACTACATCAGCTCCGATATTTGTCAGTGGTGCTTTGTTTATCGTATCCGGTGTCTTGGCTATATTTTTCCCATATGAACCCAAGGGTAAGTCTAGTTTTTAGTCCTAGAGCGACTCTTTTATGTTATATTTGTAGATAATAATCGACTTAATGATATTGTTTCCGAACTAGGAAAAATAATCCGAAGCATTGCTTTGAATATATAAGAACAAAAAATCGAATATCTTAATTTCTTAGAGCTCAATTGTTATCTCATTTGTGTTAATATCAATGTCGTTTACAATTAATCTGGAAATCTGTCAGTTCGGGGGCAAGTTATATAAGTTATCCCATGATTCAAAGGTAACAAATACTAAGATGGATGTTAATGTGTTCTTACCTCACTCAGCATTGAGTGGTAATTCAAAGACTCCAGTCTTGATTTACTTATCTGGATTAACTTGCACCCCAAACAATGCCACTGAGAAGTCATTCTTCCAATATTTTGCAAACAAATACAAGTTTGCTATTGTTTTTCCTGATACATCACCTCGGGGTGCTAACATAGCAGGAGAAGACGATTCGTGGGATTTCGGTACTGGCGCTGGATTTTACGTAGATGCAACTGAGAAACCTTGGAGTGAAAACTATAATATGTATTCATATGTTCACAAAGAATTATTAACTGAATTATCCAAAGAGTATCCTCAGTTAGACTTTGAAGATAAAATCTCAATTACTGGTCATTCTATGGGCGGATTGGGAGCATTATCAGGGTTTCTCAAGAATCCTGGCAAGTACAGATCAGTATCAGCTTTCGCTCCAGTCGCCAACCCATCTACCTGTCCGTGGGGAGAGAAAAATTTTGGGAACTATTTAGGGAAGGATAAAGAAGAATGGTATAAGTACGATCCTACCGTCTTGATTAAAAATTATAAGCATGAAAATCAACCCGATATTTTAATTCATCAAGGTTCTAAGGATCCCTTTTACTTCAGGGATAAACAACTTCAACCAGAAAACTTTGTTAAAGCTGCAAACGAAGCAGGATATAAAGGTAAAGTTGACCTCAACGTTGAAGAAGGTTATGATCATCTGTACTTTTTTATTAGCACATTTGTTGAGAATCATGCTAAACACCATGCAAAATATCTCGGCCTACTGGAATGACTAGAGCGAGAGCTTCCCATACTCAGTAAATATTAATTTTTTAATAAATATACACCAAAGGGAGGTAAGCTTTCTATTGTTCATTGAATTTTGATTCCCATGCTGAGCACCACCTGATCTTGGTTTCATTAGACTTGTTAATTTCTTTGATTGATTTGAGAAGCTTTGTGCAGATTCTATTTATATTTCTCTCTATATCTCTGGCCTCTACGTCCACAGTTTGATTTAACATCAAATCGACAATGAGTTTATCAATGTACGAAACAAGCTTTTTCTGATCAAGATATATTTTATCAACTACCTCACCTTTAGGAACAGAAGGCAATGACTTTACCAAAGATGAAAGCAAGAGTTTAACTAATTTGATTTTCTGTACCCATTTTTTCGAGAATTCTATCAACTCCTTTTTACTTTCAGATGAATCTCCAGGACTATCAAGGGACAGGCTGGAGCCTTGGTCTTCCTCGAGGCTTTCATCATCACTAAAACCAAACGGATCACCATCATCAATATCCTGAGGATCGTTTGCCCATTCCTCAAACTCGTCAAAGCCATCCTCAATAAGAAGAATACTTTGCTTTATTTTGGATGAAAGTAAACCCAAGTTACCTCCCTTTAAAAGCTTTACTAGCTCATCGCAATGTCCCCATATTTGACCAACCGATACCAATCGTTTATCAATTCCATTCTTATTCTCCTCGTCAGATTCATTATTATCATTTAAGCCATCAAATATATCAAGTAACTCAATGGCGAAAGAATAGCTTGACTGGAGTATGAGTTTATTAGTATCACATATCTCGTCATAAAATATTTGAGAAAGTATCACAGGCTTCAATTGAGCCAAAACTGATATAATTAAATACTCAGTATCTGATAGAGACTTCAATACATCAAATGCTGCATTTGTCAGACTCTTAAGGGATTCGGGTTTGAAAATGATACCAACTTTTGTAGTGTGAGCCTTGATGAGAGCAGCCAACTTTGACATTTCTTGTAATGGCTCCGCTACTTCTGCAGCCTTTACAACTGTGTCCTCTCCCTCAGAATAAAGGCTTTTCTTCCAAAACTCTAGAGAGTCTTTGTAGGAGTCTATAAGCTTCCTCAATTCTTCTTTCGTCTTTTGCATCTTGATCTCAAATCATAAATGAAGTTTTCGTTGGCATATTTTAATTTGAACGATGAGCGAGATGAGATTTTGCGAAATTTCTAATAACTACATCAAAGGTGTTTATGGGAATGCTAATTTCTACTATTAAAGGAATTTCGGATTATTTTGATAAAATATGTAGGTAGAGTTCATTAGATTTAGGCTCCTTTATGTATAATATCATAAGTTGGCGTAGAAACCTACCAATCGTCTTCGTCTTCGTCGTCGCTTTTTGAAACCTTATCTTTTCTTTTGTTCAAGGCTACCGCCAAAGCATCTGCAAGACTTGCTGGTTCTCCCGAGGGCGGACTTGCACTGGGAGCAGTTCCTGAAGTAGTTTCACCCTTAGCTTCCAGTAAAAGAACATTGGATTTCTCTAATTGTGTCTTATCAGTCTTTTTCAATGAGCCTATGCCACCCGCTCCCCTTATAGAGGCTAAAAGAGCATCTCTGGACTGATCGACAGCAGGTAAGGCTTGCGGCGGTCCTGTACTAGACAAATCCCCTGGGGGAGGAGGAGGAGGTGGTGGTGGACCACTGGAAGACAAAGCAGGAGGTGGTGGAGGCGGTTGTGGGATAGATGGACCGGCATTTGTCTGACTGATGCTTGAAGGCAATGGCGGAGGTGGTGGTACAGAGTTACTGTGGATATTAGGCAATGGAGATGGAAGCGATGCCGCAGAGTTCACACTCTGGTTCGTTGAAGGGGGTACATGGTTAGGCTGACCAAAAGGACGATTATTGAGCTGAGGAGGAACATGTGGAATCGGCCTATCATTGTTAGGATTAAAGGGCTGTTGATTTTGCGAAAAGGAAGGTGACGGTACATTACCCCTAGAAGCTCTGGGTGGCGGCGGCGGCGGTGCTCCTCTCGAAGCTCTCGGAGGAGGAGGAGGTGGTGCTGCTGTACTTCCTGCTGCCTGTCTGAAGGGAACAGGCGGACCATTATGCGCTCTGGGAGGAGGAGGTGGTGGAACTTGATTCATTCTAGGGGCAGGGGACGGAGGAAGTGGCCTATTACTTTGCGGTAACGCAGGTGCTAGAGGACGTCCTTGAGGCATACCAAATGGGGATGAAGGTTGGCCCTGCAGATTTGGTGAGTCGACGATATGAGCCATGTCATGTGGAACGGGAACAGCAGCGTCAGAAGGTGGAAGCCTGAACCTAGCTTGAGCAGGTACATGACTTGGTTCCGGCGATGACTCTGTGGCAGAAGACGAATGCATCGAATTTTGCTCATCAATAGATGGGGTTGAGTGATGTGATAAATCTGGGGTTTCTGAACTTGAGGTTGGCTTAGAAGAAGAAGGAGGGGGAGGTGGGGGCGCTTTCTTTGTTTTTGATCTTAAAGACGAACTAGAGCTCACTCTCAGCTCAACAACAGGCTTAGGTGGTCCATTTTTAAGTCTTCTTGGAACTGGTGGCTCTAACCCAACTAAAGGTCCACCTTGCTGCGCAATATAGTTCTTGATAAAGTCACGATTATCGGCTATCATATCTTCTGTTATACCAGCAGCTGCCAACTCAGCATACAAAGATCTCCATTCTGGAGGAGGCTCATCATCGTAGTATAAGATCCCTTTGCTTCTTCTTGACCTTTGTGCCGTATTCACATCCACGTATTCTCCACGAGGCCCAGGTCCTTTGTGTTCCAGAGGCCCCAAGTTCTTTTTCAATGCAATTGCATTCTTGTTATTAACTGTGTGCTTAGAACCATGCTTTTTTCTACCAGCTACTCTTTTATGAAAGTGCGTGGCTTCGCTGGTATCTTCAAATAACAATCCAGCTAAACATTCTTCAAGTTCAAAGGAATGGAAGAACGTTCTATCCTGATTGTAGTCAAAATCGATATATATCTCCTGATCCCAGATAACTCCTCGGTGGCCTATTATATCCACTAATTTCAAGAAGAAAGTATGTCCAACTAAATCATCTACTAAGACAATTGCGCCCATTAATCCAGTGTATGTCCATTTTGTAGGGTCGGGATAAGCAATGTACAATCTAGCTACCGTAGCATCTATGACTTTATTATTAGCCTTTGGGATAGCCCTTTTAATTTTTTCTTTATCTTGAGTTGTCAAGATACCCATAGCTCTCTATTAGCTGACAGACCTGCTATTGGGGTAGATATGTTAATGTATAGTTTTATTTCATGTTGTGAACACAAAAGTGCTGGTAGTTTTTACAGGTTTGAGATTCTCAAGAGAAAAAAATAAGATAAAGTATTAACGACGTTTCTAAAGATAGAATCTGAGTTATCTAGCTATTATAATCGTTTCTATATGTCTGGTCGCCAGGGAGGTAAAGCAAAGCCATTAAAGGGCCCTAAAAAAAAGCAGCTGGATCTTGATGAGGATGATTTAGCCTTCAAAGCTAAGCAAAAAGCCGATGCTCAGGCAAAGAAAGAAATGGCTGCCAAAGCAAAAAAAGGAGGACCATTAGTTGGAGGTGGAATTAAAAAATCTGCAAAGAAATGAAACAAGGTTTCAAGTTCGGTAAGGCTACCTGCTACTTCGTTGTATTTTGTGTAGTTGTATACCAAAAGACAGGATCTTATTGCATCAATGTAGTCCTTATAACTCAAGTCACTCTCTATAAATTATAATGCAAGATGGGCTATTAAATCTTTCTTGGTCTTTGTTCATCTAGCAAATGGATCTTAAGCCTAGCAAAGAAGGCTTAAAAGAACTTAACGTGAGAAAAAAAGTATTCATATATGGTGAAAGTCGAACTTACAACCCTTATATGGAAGACACCACGACTTGGCCACCTAAATCGCGGAGAAATGAAGTGAATTCCTTTACTATGCCTGTATATACTCGTCTCCAATCGTAGTTTACATGATGCTAAGAGCCATGAGCTCACACGGCCGAATGCTTCAAGTCCGAAGGCTGTTCAAAGCTAGTCGTAAGATAGTAATTCGATGTTGCTATCTCCCAGTATATAAATATAAGAGGTCATTAGTGTTATATCCCTATCTATAATCTTATTGTTTCTAACTGTACCTTATGCCTTGGTGTCAGGGTTCAGAAATAAGCACCGCAATTCAAATGAAACTTTTTTCCGAAACTTTCATGTATTTAAGACTTTATCAAATAGTTTAGTTTCGTGACAGGAATAAATCGACAATTGTCAAGCTCTTATTCAAATGGAAGCTTTCGTTGTGCTAACGTGAAAAGAGAATAAAAGGAGGATAAAGAACTGTCCATTAGAATTGCGCGATGTAGTATTAAATATTACTAAACAGCTATCTCACATAAAATCCGGTAGACGTGCATTTGGGCCGCTCGCCAGTAAATCCGAACAAAAAAGTTATATCCGCACAATGAGATGATCAGATATCGTACGAGTAATAAGCAAGTTTCAGGAGAGGGGGAAATAGAAGTAATTGTCAGCATATCTATAATGCTTTTTAAACAAAACTATAGAATATAGTTATTATTAAATTAATGTCGAGTGGTTTATAGATTAAGTATGAGTATAGAGACAGCTGATAAAAATGACGACAAGAAGAACCCTAAATTGTCTGATAAGTTAGGCGACGCTCATATGAATCTCTTGCCAAAAAGAAAATTAATAGTAAGTTTGGGTGCCATGTCTTTGGGATTGTTTGCAACTTTTGTGGACCAAACAAGCCTCACTGTATCCTTGCCTCAGATAGGGAAAGACTTGAATGCTCAGACTACTATTAATTGGGCTGCAACAGCACAGCTTATGGCGAACACAGTTTGTCAAGTTCTCTTTGGGAGACTAGCTGACATATTTGGCAGAAAGAGGATATTATTGATGTCTTTGGGAATCTTGGCTATCTCAGATTTGTGCTGTGGGTTCGCTCAAACTGGTGTTCAATTTTATGTTTTTAGGGCTTTTGCGGGAATTGGACAAGGAGGAACTCAATCATTAACTATGGTGATCGTCAGTGACATAGTGACATTGAAACAAAGAGGAAAATATCAAGGTATATTGGGATCACAAGTCGGGTTGGGGAACGCGATAGGTCCTTTTTTAATGTCTGCATTTATTGAACATTCTAGCTGGAGAAACTTTTACCACATGATGCCAGGTTTGGTCGCTTTGGTAATGCTAACTATTTTCTTCACTATAGATAATAATAAAGCTGTCCTAGACAGTGTAATATCAAATAAAGAAAAATTCAAAAAAATTGACTACTTGGGCATGTTGTTCAGTACGGCGAGCTTAACACTTTTATTGGTCCCGATAAGTGGAGGTGGTTCAACTTATGCTTGGGATAGTACCAAAGTAATTGTTATGTTTGTAATTGGCGGAGTTTGTATGGTGATATTCTTGATCATTGAATGGAAAATTCCTATTTTGCCAATGATCCCGCTAAGTTTATTCAGCAGGCCATCTTTGGCTCTCATTTTAGGGTCTAATTTTTGTTTCGGTCTAGAATTTTATGCTTTCATTTATTATATCCCTTATTATTTTCAAATTGTGAAGAAAATGGACTCCATTCATTCTGCAATATTAATATTACCTTTGGTGCTAACTCAATCTGTGAGCTCCATAATTGCAGGAAACCTTATTAGTTTCACAGGAAAATATAAACTCATAATTCTTACTGGATATGGGCTTTGGTTTACAAGTTGCTGTCTTCTTTTGTTATTCAAACCTGACACTCATGTGGGTATTATCGTGCTTGTTTTACTTATCATGGGTTGTGGAACTGGCTGGACTTTTCAACCTACGATTGTTGCAGTTCAAGCTCACTCTAAAAAATCGGAGAGAGCGGTGGTAATTGGCTGTCGTAATGTTTTAAGATCATTCGGTGGTTCAGTGGGTGTTGCAGTTTCTTCACTAATTATGAGTAACACTTTATTAAATAAGATATCAGAAGAATTGAACAAGGAGAGCTCAGATGTTCCTAAAAGTTACTTATTGTATTTGAAAAAGCATATTTATAGCAAGATTGAACTTTCTGGGTTAGATGAAAAACAGATCAGTGTGGTTCAGGATATGTATATGGGTTCCATGAGAAACCTATTTTATTTATACATTCCATTAATAGGAGTCTGCTTTATAAGTACAATTTTTATTGTGGACAGAGGACTACTGTGTATAGATGAAGCTCCGCCAGTCAATGCTACGGAAGACAAGAAGCTCAGCACACTTAGCGCGGAGGAGGATTGTGAATCCCATTATACTATTGAACAAATTGATTCTGAAACAAATCAGGAAGTGAAAAATATCGAAAGCCCACAAAAGTTGAAGCTGAAGCTGAATTAATTAACCTGAGTACCCCTTTTGGGGAGATGTATATGATCGCTATATTTTAGAGATTGCCAAATAAACGTTTCCCAAAATCTTGTAACTTTGACCCGTGTGTATCGATAAAATCTTCCAACGACTCAAGGCCCTCATTAAAATAATCATTTATCTTGTCATAATCAGACTCTTCTTCTTCATTAAAACGTTTCATATATTCTAAATAAGATGTATCGATTTCAATTCCATAATCGTTTAGTATTTTATTCGAAGCGCTTTTGAAGTCATTGGGCGCACCAAATGAACCAAAGAGTGAATTTTGAAATGGAAGACTCCAAATCAGTCGTCCATCTTCTTTTCCTTTAAAGTAATTGCTCGTTATTTGAGCCACGAGTGGAAGATCTTGTTGCATGAATTTCCATCCTCTCATATAAATCAAGAGGCCAGCTATTACAGTAACAAGTATTAATAACAACTTTATGGTCAGAAATACCATTCTAACCCAAAACTTGACCATACGAATACTTGCCTTGTAAAAGCAATAGATAAGAATAAAAGCGAATGCACATGTTGTAGCCTCTGGATATGTCTTGTAAGCGAACTCTGTCCAGTCAATACTCTTCTTAGCAATGAATACAATGAGTGCTACAACTGTACTTAAAACATTTATCGCAAATTCTTTCGTCTCAACCATTGAAGGTGGTGTTGCCCATATATGAGAGGTTTTAATATGTTATAAATACTCCTAAATATTTAGTTTTACCAAACTCAAGTTTCAATCGATTCAGTGGGGAACACGCTTGTCATCACGTGTAAGAAACTTTCGAGGACGGTTACCCGATAATTCGAGATGAGAGATATAAAGGCTGACTGCTCTCAACAAACAAATCTTTTGCTTCTTTTCTCTATTGAAAGTTGAACACTCCGAACTAGAAATTTGGCAGATAGTCAGAAATATGCTACATATGGTGTGTTTGTCGTGTATTCCTTAGGAAATATAACCTTAGTAGCGCACTTTGCCTATTAAGTTAGGAAAGTGAATTTTACTTTGGTAGGCTGCGCCCATTTGTGGATAATATTGTTAACTACTTGTTGACAAATCTTCGGACAGAGCAAAGTGTGATTATTAAGAATGTCTTTGAGATTCCCACTTGAAGGTGTCCCGTTATATCACGATATTTACGTTTGTAGCATCGATCTTTTATTTGATGATAATTATCTTATCCCATAAAAAGAAACCAGTAAAAACTGTAACAGTCAAATGTTATCAGGGTCGAGTTTGTAACTGTCGTCCATCTCTCATGCGTGTTCAAATGGTAATTGCTTTTGACCATTTTATCTGCTAAGAAATATTCTTTCCTACCATTTGTCTTAAAACACAAAAAGCTGTAAGTTCGAATTCAAAGTCACGCTAAGTTTAGAATCTTGATATCAACTAAGTATAAAGTTGAGTTCATTCATTTAGATTGATTTCGGCGGCCATAACAGTATGATACAGAGAAAGAGGCCACCTCAACTATCGTTGCACGAGGAGCTCAAGCAAGTCTATGACGATTGCTGTAGTCTATCAATTAAAAACTTAACGTTGGAGGAGCACAGCAAGTTAGAAGAATCACTCAACGGATGGAAGAGCTTGCACACATCGCTTTTATTTAAGATAGACGCATTTGAAAAGAGGACTAAGGCAATGGACGAGCAAGATTTTACTGTTTTAAGTGAAATCAAAGCCATTCGTGATCAGAACGTCAAACATTTGATAAGGGTACAATTAAGAATGGACGAAATTAATCGAAAAAGTAATATCTATAAGAATCCCCTTGTATCTAAAACAAGCGGCAAACTGACATCATCAAAGTCTGTTCCATCACTAAGGTCATCGAATCCAAATGCGTCTAATTCTTTTACTAACAGCAACGTTACTACCAACACACAGCGAGCCATGCTCAAGTCTCTAAGACCCAATGGCTCTCAATTATCAGGATCAAGGACTTCCAAGAGTATGTCCAATAGCTTCAATGGCCAGGCATCGAAGGCAGCTATTCTGTCTTGGCCGCAGCGCCCCCCTAAACCAGATAAGAACAATGTTACTGGTGATATTGACGATTTATTTGACGATTTTGATCAGGAATCTTTCGAATTCAATGATTCTAACTGGGAACGTATTCGAGAATCACATTCACCTCCCAACTTGATAGACTTGGATACTTCCGACAACATGCTTGTTAATGGGAGAAAGCTAAGTCACTCCATGGAGGACTTGACGATTAAGCCTGTTCCAAACAACAATCCAACTCAGAAGCCTGCTGCATCCACAAGACATAAATCACCTCCTTTAACTCAAAATTGGAAAAGTACGTCAGATATAAAAAAGGAGAAAGAAAAGCCAAAACCTTATGTTTATACCAAGCCCAAGCCGATAAACATTAATCATTTGTTAAAGAAACCCACTATTCCAGCCAAACTGAAGTCAACAAGGAGTCCTTCCCATCAGCCTCCATCAAAGTCAGAGGCCTTGAAACAGAAGCAGCCTCAGCCTCAGAACACCAAGAAGCTGAATATTACATATAACTACGTCAAATCAGGTCCAGCCGTCAATCAAAAACTGGCAGTGAGCAATAAAGCCAGTGCAAGTACAACGAAAAATTCTCCACCTAAAACAAAGGAAACGGAATACATCAATAGTCCAACTATGGATGATTTATTAGGTGCATATGATACCCATGACGTAGAGTCATCGAATGGCAGTGAAAATGGGTCGTCTAATTTAATGAATGAAAAGGAACAAGATGAGCTTATCTCATCTATCAGAGGTATTGATGAAGCTTCTGCTAAGCAAATTTTGAATGATATTGTGGTCCATGGTGACGAGGTTTATTGGGACGACATAGTTGGGCTAGAAGGAGCCAAAAACTCATTAAAGGAGGCGGTTGTTTATCCTTTTTTGCGTCCAGATCTTTTTAGAGGATTGAGGGAGCCTACGAGAGGAATGCTTTTGTTTGGGCCACCAGGCACCGGTAAAACTATGTTGGCCCGAGCTGTGGCGACAGAATCGAAATCCACTTTCTTCTCGATAACAGCTAGTTCAATTACTTCCAAATATTTAGGTGAATCTGAAAAGTTGGTTAGGACATTGTTTTTACTCGCAAAAAAGTTATCACCATCTATTGTGTTCATAGATGAAATTGATTCCTTATTAAGTTCTCGATCTGAAAATGAGAATGAGAGCTCCAGAAGAATCAAAAATGAATTCTTGATCCAATGGTCCGAACTTTCAAGTGCAGCAGCTGCCAGAGATAAAGAGAGTGATGATAGGGTTTTGATATTAGGTGCCACAAATTTACCCTGGTCAATAGATGAAGCGGCAAGGAGAAGATTTGTTCGCCGCCAATATATTCCCTTACCTGAAGATGAAACTCGTAAGCACCAGATTATAAAGCTATTACAATTTCAAAAGAACACTTTGTCAGAAGATGACTATAGTGGAATTATTGAACTCACCGAAGGCTTCAGCGGTTCAGACATTACCGCTCTAGCAAAAGATAGTGCTATGGGTCCCCTCCGGTCTTTAGGCGATAAATTGCTTCTGACTCCTACCGAAAATATCAGACCTATAAATTTGGAGGATTTCAAAAACAGTCTTAATTACATAAGACCAAGTGTATCGAAAGAAGGACTAGAAGAGTACGAGAAATGGGCAACGAAGTTCGGCTCATCTGGTGTTTAAGTTCGCTTTTGAAAATGATAGTCAAATATGTCTGAGTGACTTTTTATAATAATTACTTCATGAGAAGCAATCCTCACTTCGAATTGAGAACGTATTCTCTAATGTTTTATTAGAGAATTGAAATTTGCATCAACAATTCTGCTGTTGAGTCTAAACTTCGCAGAAACTATTCAGTTAGTGTTTGTTAACATTAGCTATGACAGCAAAATATACAACGAAATAGATAATGTGCTGCATTTACAAGACAGATTTTTACGTTGGTTTTAATAAACATAAATACTAATGCAATTATATAAGGGATATCTAATCAAGGAGATATAGTTATAATTATCTCTTTAATGAGCACTTTAAGTTCACTGTAATGAAAAATAAATCGATTATTTAGTGACTACTTACTGAACTGTACTCTTTAATAATTATCTTTTGGTGTCAATGGTGCTATTTCCATTTTTTAAAATTCTTAGTAACTGACAATGGCATGCAATAAACTGGATCTATTGGATTCAATTCAAAGTGCTCGTGATCCAAAAGAGCTAATCCAGCTATACCAAAGCATGTGTGGAAAACGTCAGTTTGATTACCTTCTCGATCGCTAAATCCACCATTTTCCGCATCTTGGCAACGTAAGATAAATTGCTGTAATTTTTCTGCATTAATCCAGTGTTTCTTTCCTATAATTGCAAGGGACGAGACAGCCCACCAACTATAGCACACATCAGGCAACTTCTCTGGTCGACCGTTCATACCACCACTTGGTAGTACCTGTCTTTCGCTTAACCAGCTACCGACTCTTTCTTCATTGATTAAATGCAATCGATCTGTTATAGCTAATGCACCCAAAGACGTAAATACCTGAGCAGCATGACTTTCAGCTCCAGGGACCATTCCGAAGCCACCATCAAAATTCTGGCACTTCATTATGAAATCCACCGCAGGGTTGACTATTTCTGAGGTCAATTCACCTAGTATTGAAAGCGAAGACAACGCAGTATAAACGAATCTGGTATCAATTTCTCCAAACTTATCTCCCTGAAAACTACCATTGGGAAGCTGTAGTCCCTTTATGAAACGAACCAAGAGTTCTCTTTTGGGCCCTAATAGGTCGAGTTTTCCATATATAGACAATATTTGAATGGCAGAGAGCGTGGATAAGATATGAGCATCATGTCTGTGAAACGATCCAAATCCTCCATTCTTTTGATCCCATGCCCCCATTATGAAACTTATCACCTCATCTTGCGGTAAAGCGTCTAAGTATTTCATAGTAACTAACGAAGTGATGCCCCAGTAAAGTCCATTTAATCGCAAGTGTTCGGTCAACCAGTACTCATATGACTGTTTTGAAGTTTCCGAATCCAAGTCCTTGACATATTGGACGTGTTTTTCTTTAATGAATGCCATTAGGTACACCTGGCTAATGTTAGTGCTATCGAATTATGTATTGTTCTTATACGTGTACATAATACTATATGAAAGGCCCTATCAATTCCACAAAATCAGTGCCGCGTTAGAAGAATACCTCTTCAAAATCGAATTTTTTCGAGCTTGGAGTATAGGTGACGTAGTTGAGCAACCTAGGGCCATTTAGAATGCTAGTGACATTGATAACCTTGCACCCGTTATAAGTGACCTCAAAATTCTCAAAACTCGAATCGTTCAACACAATTATAGTAGGTAAAGGCTCGATTCTTAATGAATAGTCAAACCTGGGATTTATGACCTTTAAATCCTTAAGAAAAGGCAGAAGTGTTCCTTGATCTAATATCGTTTTTACTAATTTCCTGGCTTGTCTTATCTTTGTAGGTAAATGCTTTTCAGACGTATTGATATTTTCTGGGATGCAGCTTTCTTGGTCTTTGTCGAGTCTTTCATTCTCAAGTTCAATTTCGCTTGGAAATATGATATCATTACGTTTCAATTTGTTCACTAAGTCATCCTTAAAGAAAACTATTTCTTGAGTCAAATAGTTTATTCTTGTGGGATTCCAGCCAAGTATTAAGTTTCCTTTTGGTATTAACCTTTCCAATCGTGACATAAAGAATTTAGGGATCGATTTTTGAGGAAGCAAATCTAAATTCGAGCCACCCAAAGAGCATGTGGATTGCCATGGATCATTTTTCCCTGGTATGAATATGAATTTGGTAGATCTTACTAAATTTGAATATCCTGCTAGAATTTTGGCCAAATTATCAAAATTATCTTTGTAAATCTCAGAATTTGACACGTCTGACAGTATTGAGTTCGTCGAACTTAAAGGAGTGGATGTGAATGACCCTGTAAATACTATTGCTAGAAAGTTGTCATTTTGATCTTCTAAAGAAGCCTCCAATTTCAGGAATAGTTTATTAAGTCCTTCTAGGACTTTATTATTATCGAGAAAGCAGTCTGAGCCCACCATAATGATTTTGTTCTCTATGAGGGTTTTTTCTAGGCTCACTAGCTTCTTTTTAAAGCTTTTGTTTATTTTCGTGATAGAATTTAATGCATAGGAGTCTGAGCTTTTTAATTCTTGACTGATACCAAGAAAGTCAATATTGCCATAGTTTTCCAAACTTATGTCTCTTCTTTCAGCAGGAGGTTGAGTGATATTGCTGACATGAAAGCATCCACCAAGGTAGCTTATGGACAGTGGAGTACCACCCGATGCAGAATATATTCCTTCAACTACTACAAACATCCCCGTACAGTAGAATGAGCCTTGTGTCTTGAAGGCTTGAGATAAATTGAGCTCAATGTAGTCAGTTTGATCTTCAATTATAAAGTCATCATTATTATTTTTAGACAATAAACCAAGCAAAATGAACTTTGACCCGTCTCGCCCTAGCATGTTTTTGATGAGTGTTATCTCACTACTAGTCCCTTCTTTATTCAAAGAGGTATTAAGAGCAGAGATACTTGCAAAGGATGGCTTTTGGAAGCTTTCATTCCTGGAACACCTGTCCAAAATTAGATTGTATCTGTTGCTGTAAAATTTTATAGATGATGATAAATTTGCAGATATTTTGTTGTCGTTAAGAACAAGTTTGAACTGCTTCCTTGATTTATCGAATACGAAGCTTGGTTGTTCAGGAGGAATTATTACTCTATAATAGTCATGCCAATCGATGTTTTCAGTTCCATCGATCTCCATGCTGTCAACTACGGTATCAGACCTCGCTGCTTTTGCTTCCAGAGTTCCATTACTCTTGCCCAAAACTTCCTTAATAACTAGTGATAATCCTTTTCCATCAATAAATATACCCCTATCTTCTTTTTTCCAAATTTTCACAATTTCTTCCATAAGCTGTTGACTTTGAGGTCCCTTCCATTCAGATCCAAACTGATCTCCAATGGTTTCTGTTAAAATGTTTAAAGCATCCGTCTTAAGATTTAGTCCATGCTTTTTTGATAAGATACGATATGCTATGGGTCGAAGATTAGATGGCTGAAGCCTTATGGGCAACGAAGTGGTCGTCTTATCCATAATTCTCTCAAGGAACTAGGTTTTAATTATATTCTGCTTAACTTTACGCGTTTGTTTTTGAATTCTCGTAAACTTTTTTTTTGGAGATCTTACGCCTATATACAATTCACCAATGATCAGATACTTTAAATACATGCGAGCGTCTGCTTCAAAGTCAGAGAAGTTAAGTCTACGCCTAGACTTTTGAAGGAGCTCTCGATTTCTATGTCACTTAGTTGTTTTAAAATAGAGTTAATGTCAACTAATAGACTTGCTATTAGGTCTAATTCATCCAAAAGTGATTGTTTCTTTTCGAAGCATTGATAAACCCTATCAAGATCGACATCCTTATTGGTCTTCATCTGAGACTTGAAGCTTGAGATTTGTGAGTCAAGCAATTGAATGTTGTGTTGTTTCCTGGTTTCAGAAGAAGTTAAATTTTCTCTTAGTTTGTAAACCAAAGACTGGATCTCTGCCACTTCAAGTTCCGAAGAATTACCTGTGGCAATAAGAAGACGTGAATATTCATCCAACTTTTCTTTTATTCTTTTGTACTTTTGACCCAGACTCCTATTGGCTCTTAAAGAGATATGCCATGGTGATTTTTTGAAGCTATCAATGAAATCATCTTCATTTTCTTTTTTGGCCACACCAAGTCTTACCCTTTTTTGTAATAGCATCTGTCTCTTTTTTGCAAAGCGGTTCCGAACTGATTCCAATTGACGTCTCGCGTCTTGAAAATAACTGAAGTTTACCATATCTTGCAATTTTTGTTCCACTTCAATACGTTGATTTGCCAAGAGCTCCTTTTCATGAGAGAGCTGGTCTTTAACATTTTGAAGTTCCCTTTCCTTCCTTTTTTGCTCGATCAAAGATAGCTCATGCTTTTGGAAAAGGGCTTCCTCAAAATCCAAACGAATTGATTGCTCAAGGTTGTCCTTCATGGATGCTGATTCATCTTTCAACCTTTCAATCACTTTACGTAAAGAATCTATCTGAACTTTGTACTTATCCTCCAAATCACTTATCTGTTGCTCAAACTTTCTTTGTAAAGCTTCATTCTTTGATTTTTCTCTAAATACCACATCCTGTAACGTTGTCAAACGAGTGCTCATTGCAGAAGAATAATTTTGACTCTCTTTCTTTCTTATCACATCGTCAACAAAGTCATTATCAAGGTCTGGTTCACGCAGTCCTATATCGCTATCGAATGTAACCTTTTTTCGAATTTTTGGATCAAATTCGGTCTTCAAAACATTCTGCGCAGAATTCTTGAGCTGATTTAAGCTGGAGTCGTCCATTTCAATTTTATTCAAGCTGAACTTCGTTAAGTAATTCCGCAATTTATTGAAAAGTCCTTTCCTCTCGGTTGGTAAAGGACTCTTGGAGGTATATTTTCTGCCATTTCTGTTAGTTAATACACTTCGCTTTGAGCGAGGTGTTGTATTTAAGAGCTTGTATAAGCTATTGGGCTTAACTTTTGATGGTGTGAACTGTGAGCTTAATGATTTGATTGGAGAGCCATTGTACCATTTCGATCTGTCTAGCGGTGGATTCCTTGCATGATGCCGTAATTGTGGTCTATCTATAGCTTTTTTTAAAAAATCTCTTTTTAATTCTGCGCTCAGCGTACGTTTAGTTTCGTTTGACGCGAATCGACTTAACTCAGCATTCAGATAGCTTTGTTTATTCCTTTCAAAATCTATTTTGGGGTATAAAGGAGATCTACTTGGTCGATAGCCGAGTTCTCTTGAGCGGTTATATTTTTCTTTCAATGATTCGGTCATATACCCTCCAGATCTATATTGATTATAGTGCTTAACTGTTTGTGTATTATGTTTTCAAAAAAGATAAATATTAAAACCGCGCGGTATGTACAGGATGGGAATCTTTAATTGCAAACATGAAAATGAATCTATCTTGAACAAAGAATTTACCCTACACTTTAGTGATTGTAGTGAAATCAATTGAATCTATGAACACTTATTGATTCATATTAATATCTGATATTCGTTACCTTGTTATATATTGGGTACTTAAATAATACTCATATTTATCTAGTTGCGGAGGAGCTTGTGCTAATACTCAGATTGAGTTCTGGTTCGTTATTAATGTTCTGAGGTTCGTCGATACACTTGAGACCTCTGTCTCTTATGAAAAGTGAACTGATAAGGCAAATTGCTATCAAAGGAATCAACACATAAAAGTAGTTCCTTAATGCAAGAACATACATGTTCTTGACCACATCAGCTTCTTGCGAAGTTAATTGATTCGTTTTAATCTTATTGAAAATATGGCCCTTCATATAATTTACGTATTCAGGTGGAAGGTCGATCCCTTTTTGATTTATTTTTTTTAAAAGACTGTTACTTATTATTGTTGAACCGACAGCGATGCCCACTGCACCACCAAATGATCTCATCACATTTCTAGTGGAAATTACGACGGCCCTCTGGGATTTCTTCGCTTGTGCCTGAGCTGCAACCATGGTAGGTTGAAACGTAAACCCTACTCCTGTTCCCATAATTAATAATATAAGTGCGCAAATGCCGTCGTTGATCTCTTTATCCCATAATCTTAGCAAAGCGATCCCGAATAACCAAGTGAAATATCCGAAAATTACAGATGGAAGGTAATGTTGAGTCCTTGTTATAAGTTGGCCGGAGGCTATTGACATGGCTGCTTGACTTAGAACCAACGGTAATATAAAGATCGAGGCTTGAACCAGGTCTTTATCTCTCACAATTTGGAAGAAATAAGGCATATAATAGAGAAAGCTAAAATATGTCATTCCAAAAAGAAAGCTTGATCCTAATATCAAGCTAAGTGAGGGCACTTTAAAGATTTCCAAAGGTATCATTGGTAGCTGTGGAATTTTCCATTCAATGAGTAAGAATGATATGAAACAAAGGCCACCTACGATAATCATTATTATTACTTTTGGGCTATTCCAAGGATAAGAGGTTCCACCACCACTGATTGGTACTAGTAATAATGTCAAAGCAACTGTCGCCGTTAAAAGACCAAGATAATCGATTTTTTTCATTTTATCTTTTTTAGTTAGGACCTGGTTTAATTGCTCACCTCTGTCTTCAACCAAGAAATAAATTGTAACGATTACAATACAGCCTAACGGCGCAAGCATGTAATAAAATCCTCTCCAAGAGTACTTACTGTGGAAAGCTGCCATTATAAAAGGGCCAACTGCATTTCCGACCCCGACACTTGACCCAAGAATACCTTGGTACTTTCCTCTCTGTTCTAAAGTTGTTATATCACTGAGTATCACCATTGTCAAGGAAGAAACTCCACCGTTTCCAATTCCTGCAAAAGCTCTGAAGATATAGAACTGTAAGCCTGTCTGAGCAAACCCACAGCATAAATCAGCAATAACTAAAATTAAAAGACATGCAAGCATAACAGATTTCCTACCGAATATATCAGAAACCCTTCCAAAAAGTACCTGGCAAACAGTGTTTGCCAAAAGTGATGCTGTACCAGCCCAATTTATAGTGTTCTCTGCTCCCAAATCTTTCGCAATATATGGTAAGGCTACTGTTACACCTGTTTGGTCTGCAAATGAAATAATCGAACCCAAAGCCAAGCTACAAAGACAAATAATGAGATTCTTCGTTGGCAAAGGGTTAAAATGTGCATCACCTAATCTGTCTGATAGTTGGATTTTGCCAGCAGCGTAGGCTTCTTTTTCGCTGACTACTGAATGGTCTTTCTTGGTGGATTGTTCTTGCAGATTCTTTGACATTAAAAACAAAAATTCTATCTGAGTTTGATCTATAGTGTGAATAAAGCTATGCTACGAGTAATTGATATAAATCCTAGGTATTTGAGGTAGTTAAAGTATGTCTCAAAGAGTCAAGTGGTTTTTTGGGTGCGAACTCAATATCTGATTCCAGTTTCCTAAAGCTGAAAAAAAATGCGCAAAGCGCATTTTGAAGTCGAGGCAGAGTATATTGACAATAAGATCAAGGCTATTGAAATTAACTGAAGGCACCCACTTGCTTGGTCTCGATTTGACAAAGGATGAACAATATTCTAGGCAATTCAAGAATTTTTTCGTAAAAGCAAAATTTATAGTGTCTAGAAGTCCTTGGTTGGTTAATATGGTTTCGGAGCTCAGGTTACTTCCTTAAAATTGTCTCTTTGACAAGTAGAGCAACTTGCTGCAAATTGGTGCTTTGGTGACTTTTGCTAAGTGAGATTATGAACCTAGCTTTTTGAAATAGCTTTGTTATATCGCATTGGTATTAATTCAGAATAAGACTTTGCCACGATATATTAAGAATGCCATAAAATACCAATGAAAGGATGTTAGCAACTTTTATCTTGAGCTTGGATCTTATATGGTCAATATCCAACGCCGATTTCGCCACATGACATTAACCTCCTACTTGATGATCCTAAACAAACCTTGTAGTTTCCTGCTTGAATTACCCAGTTTTGCGTTACAGGGTCCCATATGCTCAAGTCTCTATGAAGTATTTCGAAATTGACCTTCCTACTTTCTCCGACGTTTAGTGACACTTTGTCAAATCCTCTCAAAATTTTAGGAGGTGATGGCATAATAGTCTTTGGATATTCGATGTACAACTGGGCTACAAACGAGCCACCTAAATCACCCACGTTTTCGACGTCGGCAGTGACTTGATACAATACCTTCCACAATGCTGGATTGCCTCCTGGTCCTCCTCCAGCAGCAGGTGGGAAATGTCTGTGTCTCTCATTATAGCCTTCCGGATAACGAGCCTTTTTATCTTCACTTGTACTCTTATTAGAAAGATAGGGATATATGTGCCATGGAGTATATTTAATCTTGTCTAACGGAAATAGAGCTTCCTCTGGGTCGCATATTTGGAGTTTAGATTTATGTAGAGGCAAGTACTCAACAAATTTGCCCACTAGCTTTGAAGGTACATCAACTTTTTTTAGTTCAAGACTATGTAAATTAAATGTGGTGTACGAAAGCCCAAAACCAAATTCAAAACGTGGATCAATGCTGTTATTGTCAAAATATCTATAATCAAGAAATATGTCTCGCTCTAGGTTGTCTTGAGGATTCTCTGATTCGAGATCCTCAATGATTGGGACGTAATCCTTCATATTTTTCGCAATTGTAAACGGCAATTTTCCAGAGGGATTCACATCCCCGAATAATACTTCAGAGATTGCACGCCCGACGTACTGACCTAGGGGAGGAACAAAAACAACTCCGACTACATTGTCATTTTCAATCCACTGTTCCATATCGACTGGGCCTACTGAGTTCACAATCACAATCGTCTTTTGACATTTTGCAGCAATTCGGTTTACGAGTTCATCTCCCTCGTGCCAGAGTGATAAATTTTTTCGGTCTCCATAATTGCCATCAACTTTAATGTATCCTTCTCCGGAGTCGGCATTAACAACAACTATAGCTACATCAACAAATTCAGCCAAATCGGCTGCCCTATTAACATTTCTTGAAAAGTCGACAGCCATTCCTTGAGCTATGGCCTTTTTAGAAATTGCTTCATATGGCGTTATCACAAATGGATTGTTAACAGCTGCAGAACCCCATCCAGTCGTCAAAACACCATCTACACATTGTTGGTCGATGCAGTTGAACCCATTGGGATCAATTGTTGCCCCAATTCCTGCTACAAGTAGCTTTCTGCATGTCGTTTTAGAAATTGGTAAGGACTGACCTTCGTTTTTTAATAGAATGACAGCCTCTCTTGAAACGTTCAATGAGACATCTTCACTGAACTGACTACGTGAATCCTGATGCTTATTCTGCAAGACCAAGGGACCCGATTTATGAAAAGCGTTCTCGTGGTCAAGTGTACGATGTGTCCAAGAATTGAAATTTGGTGCTCTCTGCTCTGATGGTAATTCAATGGCATCTGAAGTGAAAAAAGGTACTAATATTCTAACTGCCATGTCGGTAAGTCTTTCCAATGGAAGAGTATGATTGTACACTGCCTCAGTCAATTGTGGACCCCAGTGGGATTTTCCTGATGTCCAGCCATTGAATATTTCACCAGGCATCGTCATATCGAGCCCAGATAATGCTGAATGAAGTCCAGTATGCTGTGCACCCCAATCCGACATTACGAATCCTTGAAATCCTAATTCTTCTTTTAACAAATAATTCATTATTCTGGAATTTTCGCAGGCATAAGAATTGTTGACCTGGTTATATGAGCACATAACAGAACCGACGCCAGCCTTTACAACGTCCGCAAATGGCCAAAGATATATTTCATGCATTGCTCTATCACCAATATTAGAACTGATAGAACTTTTAAGTGATTGCCAGTCATTCTCCTTCCATTCTCCAACCTGCCTAAAGTGTTCCTGTTCATTTCCTATAAGGTGTCTTACAGTGGCGACTACGCCTTCCTCTTGTATTCCTCGAACTGTTGCAGCACCTCCAATTCCTTGAAGATATGGATCAGCGCCGAATCCCTCCCAATTACGACCTCCTGCAGCCTTTAAGCCAATTGGTCCTACAGTCGGTCCCAAAAAAATATGAACCCCTTTACTTCTAAATTCTCTCCCAATTGCTTTTCCCCTTAGAAACATTAAGTCTCTATTAAAAGTGGCACCTACTGCAAGACCAGTAGGAAAATTTGTAACAAAATCAGTAAATCTGACCCCATTTGGACCATCTTGTAGGCAAAAACTTGGAATCCCAAGTCTAGGAACTGAACCTGTATTTCCTACGCAAGGACCAGATCCCCATCCAATACCAGTAGTCAAGTTCACCATCTCAACAATTGTCATATTTTGAACTAAATTTCTGGCTTTCTCATAGGCTTCTTGCCAAGTGTTTTCCAATCTTCCACCAACGGCTGTATTGTGTGTTAGTAAATTTCATTGCTTAATAGATCTTTTTTTTTTCAGTTAATACTAACGAGATGGGTAATAAGGAGGAGATTCATAGTTTTGATCAACCTTTGAATTTGGAAGAAGGAAGGTGCCTTCTTGGTAAGCTCTCAGTTTGAGGGTAAACTCAGATTCATTTTTAACATCCAAGTTCACGTCTGTAATATTTTCCGAATCTGTGCCAAATATCAGTAAGAGAAAGGCTAAGAAGATGAATAATTTATTATTCGTCATAGCGCTTTGTCCTTTATCCAAATAATGGGTTTCGATAGTTTTTTGCTGCAAAAATATTATCGAGAAAAGAAATGTTCTAAATTATATATTTATTAAAAATGAAGTGGAAAACTAAGCTCGAAGCAAATTCTTACAAATATTTTGAACTGAAATGTACTAAGTACTCATACGTGCAGTTACTTGCACATGTGTTATAATATTTGGAGCAGCATTCTTACTAGCCGCTGAAGAATCTAAAGGATTAAATGCAGAAGATCTCCTCATAGAGTCAGCGCTTGGTCCAGATGAAGGCGACAATTTACACGGGCCAGCTGGGGCAGTTGCATGCTTTAACTGCAAAGATGTTTGATCCAATTTGTTAGTGAAATTTTGATTGTTACTCAAAGGCGAGCTCACTGTTACCTGATTTAGCGAGACCCCTGGTTGTTTGGTTGGAGTACGAGTAGACGAATCAAAGCTTCGTGTCGGTGAGGGTTGTAAATTTTCATTCTGACCAATGGTGACGTAAGTTGCAAAAGGTTCCGTTAGGTTTTCAGGATGCTCAGGAGTTTTCAAGTTACCATTTAGATCTGAAATATTATTAAGAATTGGAGGCGTATCTATGGAAATTGGGGTCAATCTCGCTGTTTTTTTTAAGAACTTATCCAAAGCTTTCTCTGAGGATGTAGCGTCTAATAACAAAGCACCCTCAAAATAACCAGGTCTCGAATCATCAATCTTAATCTGGCTTTTGAACCTAACGCCGTTAAATAAATTAAACAAATCTGTTCTATAGGTCTTCAGTAACCTGTTGCCTGAGAGGTATACATTATCAAATTTGTGTGGAATGTTTTTAAATAACAAAACAATGGGTTTCAAATCACTCAATTTGACCAACTCGTTTTTTCGGAGATCAATTTTCTCCAAAGAAATAAGGTCTTCCAAACCCCGTATGTCTTTTATTTTATTATTGTTGAAGCTTAAAGTTGTTAAGTTGGGTAGGTTTTTTGGTAAATTCGTGAGATCTGTCAAATAATTATCTGAAAAGTTGAGGTATTTAATATTAGTAAGTTGGTCAAGACCTTCAGGTAATTCTTCTAATAGATTATTTGATAAAGTAAGTTTCACTAGATTTCCTAGTGGCTTAAAAACAAACGGTGGTATTGACGTTATAGACGTCTCAGATACTGTTAGTTGCTTTAATAAGGACCATCTTCGTTCATCAAGTGTTTGATAATCCTTTGGATTTTTAGTAACCAAAATATCGTTAAGCTCCAATTCCTTAGGAAGAGATCCAGTTCCTGTAGTAGTAGCCCTCGCTCTAACAGGATACTTAAATGCATTGTTATTATACTGTGGATACTCGTGAGCTTCATGCGTCGGTGACCCTTCAACCCCGTTGAAATGATTATTGTGTTTCTTCGTCTGCTTGTGTGATATGAAGCTCGACCTTCCCGATTCATCATCGATCACTAAATTAAATAAGACTTCTTCTATGTGATGTGTTTTAGAGTTCTTTATTATCAAAATTCTTAGTTGATCACTCAATGTGTTCCATCCAAATATTTCATTCGGTTCATAATCAACTATTTCTAGCACCTGCAAATTCTTGAACATCCTAACCGGAACCAAGGTGTCACAAGGGTACTCCTCGTATGAGGTGATGCTGCTGACTTTCGTTTTTGGAGATATTATCAAACATGGAATTTTTGTGAACGAGGAATATAGATATCTCAATTCTTTATTAGTAAGTTTAGGATCTTTATTGAATCCAAATGATCTCCAGTAAACTGAAGTACTGGACACGATTGATTTCACAGAACTTATCGACGAAATAGACCTAGTGTCGTTATCATAATGTTTAGAGTTTTTGGCATTGTTAGCCATAAACAGAATAAATGTTGGTTCGTGATTTGGAATGTCCAATTTAATATTTAGTGGGCCAACGTCGACTCCTAGTGAGCATGAATCAATTCTTTCAGTGATATAGTACAAGTGGTGAAGGCTGAAGCTCAATCTTAGGGGCCTCACTTTGGTTTTCCCTCTATTTTTTGAAAAGCAGAGTAATCCGTTGGCCAAAGCCTCTTCATTTCTCCTGATATAAGATGATAACCTTTGAATGTATATGTCTCCCTCGATCGTCTCAGTATACCCAAATGCACCCATCTCTATGAGTGATGGTTACTGACTTCGATCCGACAGCTGAAAATATCGACCAATTTCCTTTTCCTGGAACTGCCTAAACTTTTCTTCTTCAATCGAACTGTATTATTATTGTAGGGAGAACCGCTGTTTGTTTTGATAAAATAATCCAAATATATGCAGTACAGAATATATGTCAATACAGGTGATAATATATGATCGCTACAGTTTTATTATTTTGAAGAAATCAAAGGTTCAATAGTTAATTCTCTGCGCTGATTGATACGTATGGAAGACCAGGGACGGTTTTACCAGTTTGAAGTTGCTGATGGACATGGCAAACAATACAATTTAAATACTTTGCGGAATAAAGTTGTAGTAATTGTTAATGTTGCAAGCTTATGTGGATTCACCCCTCAGTATAAAGAGTTACAGGAGCTTTATGAGAAATATAAAGACAACGGGTTAGTAATATTAGGGTTTCCTTGTAATCAGTTTGGCAACCAAGAGCCCTTGGAAGTTAAAAATATTGTGAAATTCACCAAGGATAAGTTCGGAGTAACATTTCCAATAATGAAAAAAGTCCGTGTAAATGGGGAGAATACTGAAGCGTTGTATGACTATTTGAAAACACAACAGCCCGGGCCGCTTGGTTTTAAAGGAATTAGATGGAATTTCGAAAAATTCATCGTCAACAAAGATGGAAAAGTTGTGAAGCGATTTGAATCGAAGACGACGCCATCACAATTTGAAGCACTTTTAAGAGAATTACTTTTTGATTGACCAAGGGGCTTAGATTTTAAAAAGAGTAAACATACAATTGAACATGTATATAGACTTATATGAAATACAGTTAGTATTATTAATTTGTTTTCTGTTTCTTACTAGCAGATGAAGAAGGTCCTCCTTTCTTTCTCTTCATTGTATCTGGGTTTATTTCCTTTGTTATACATGCCAATAAAGTCGTGCACCTTCTTGAGATTTCACTGGAATTCCTGCTTTGAAGAAAAAAATCAAATTGAAACAACGGTGAGTCTCTAATCGCGTCTCTAATCTTATCATAAACGTCTGGTTTATCAAGACCAAATCTGTACAATTGTACCAATAAAAATCTGTCCTCTTCTTCACTGAACGTTTTCTTATTCGAAGATGATGGTGGGTACTTAAGTTTGAGCTCTTGCAAGGGATACTTATACTGAGCCAATTTCCTTCTCAAGGATTCTTTTTGCAACTTTATTTTTAGTATTCTTTCTTCTCCGGCTTCAATCTGGCTTATATATCTTTCGTACCCTTCTATTTCCTTATAATCAGTCCAAAAATTTTGAGCGTATTCTCTCACTTCATCCTCTGTTTTGTCATCAAATTCAGCAGCAATTGCACTTATTGCATTTCTACCGTACTTGGTATTCAACAGAATAAAATGATTGAAATCTTTCCTATTCCAATTTGAAAAGCCTTGAGATAATAGCTCTTCCTTTAGCTGCTTTTCATCTTCAGTTAACGGCCTTGCATTATCTATTTCGTCCTGCTCAAGTTTTTGTTCTAATTGTCTTTCTCTTAATGTCTTGGGGGCGCCAGCTCTGAGCGGAACTTGATATCGTGTCTGCTTTTTATAAAAATTCTTCTCCAACTCATATAATTCAAACAACTTGGGTGCGTAGAACTGATGATCATATAAATTCAATTGCTTTGGCGGACGTGGGCCCGATTTGGGTGCTGACCTATTACCAGTGTTGAGAACGTCTTTATAGTACATGTCAATGGAATAATTTTCCTTACGCTCTCTCTTACCTGGGTTGATCCATGCATGTCCAATATTCCCAATAGTAGCAGGCTCCTTTTTCTTGAAATTTTCACCATTCCATTCATAAACAGATTCATCGTTTGAAAAATGTTGCAACGCACTCAAATCCAATTTCGCATACTTTTTATTAAGCTGTTCCGTCTTCGTCTCTGATGATTGTAGAATCTTTTCAATATCGATATCATCAGTAGAACCTGGATCATCATCGGTTTTTGAAAATACATTTGATGCTCCATATTGAATCATGTTCAATAGATCACCCTTCGACGCAGCCTTGTTACTTTGAACATTACTTGAGTTCCTGCCCTGCTGAATGACTAATTGATCCAACCTTAGTTTTTGTGTAGCTCTTTCCAAAACTTTCTCTTCAATAGCGTTCTCGGTTACGAATCGGAAAACCTTCACCTGCTTAGTTTGGCCAATTCGATGTGCTCTATCCATAGCTTGGAGATCAGCTTGAGGATTCCAATCAGAATCAAACAAGATGACAACATCCGCCGTAGTCAAATTGATACCAAGACCGCCAGCTCTTGTAGTCAACAAGAAAAGAAATTTATCGCTACCAGGTTTGTTGAATTCATCTATCGCATTAATTCTATCAGCATGATCGGTTTGGCCGTCAATTCTGCAATAGGTAAACTCCCTGAAGATAGAGTAATCTTCTAAAATATCCAACATACGACTCATCTGAGAAAATATTAAAACCCTCGAACCTTCCTTCTGCAATTTTTTCAATAATTTGTCCAAAATGATCATTTTCTGAGCATTGTAAACCAAATGCTCATCAGTTGTGAACGGAGGTCCAGGTTCTGCTCCTTCAAATAAATACGGGTGATTGCAGCATTTCCTTAACTGCATAACAATATTTAATAACCTTGTCTTCGATTCCTTTTTCCCATTTGCTCCATTAACTGCATCAATGTCCTTTTCAAGTATTTTTTGATACCACTTCTTTTGCATATCAGAGAGGCCCACATATATATTCATCTCTACTTTAGGTAAAAGAGATTTCTCAACTTCCGACTTAATCCGCCTCAAAAGGAACGGTTTTAAGACTTTATGTAATTGTTGGATAATATTGTCTTCTTCGTCTTTGTTTTGAAACCAGCTGTCAAAAGCTTCACTATCACCAAAGACGTCAGGTAATATAAAATTCAATAGAGCCCATAATTCGTGCAAATTATTTTGCAATGGAGTACCTGTGATAAGCAATCTATTCTTAGAATGAAATAGTCTTATTATTTGGGAAAGCAATGACTCCTCATTTTTAATTCGATGCGCTTCATCAATAATGATGTATTCCCAATCAAATTTTTTGAAAGATGACTTTTCTTTAATGACTATTTCATATGAGGCAATCACCACATCGAAATCACAGGTCATTAATCTATTATGAATCAAATTCGCTCTCTCTTCTTTGTCACCCATTAAAACCAATACATTAATGTCGGGGATCCATCTATTAAATTCTCTTGCCCAGTTGTCTAAAGTCGATTTTGGAGCGACGACTAGATGGGGCCCATTAATATTTCTCATAAATCTCAAGTATCCCAAAAACGAAATAGTTTGTAATGTCTTGCCTAAACCCATCTCATCTGCTAATATACCCGATAAATTATTTTCATGTAAAGATATCAACCAGTTTAGACCTTGAATTTGATACGGACGCAATTTACCATGAATATAACCTGGACTCTCATTGAATTCTGTGATAGTAGGAGTGTCCTCTTCATCGTTCAACAATTCCAAGTCCTCCTCTTTCTCCGTTTTACGTCTTTTTTTGTTTGCTTCAATCGTGCTGTTGTCGTTCTCTATTTTGTTCAACACTTCTTTAATCACAGGGTCCTTTGTTGCCTTCGCGTTGATAAAATGTTTAAACAAATCTGTTAACCCCAACAAATACTTGAACCTTTTGATCACCTTGCTCACATCAAGAATTTGTTTCTCTTCTTTCACAAAGTATTTCAGCCTATTATCTGACATAGAGAAAGAATTATTTACGCCGTTTCCATTAATTTTTTTCTCCGGTTCAACTTCCACAGACGTTGCCTATATAGTGTTAGCAATTCATTCATCCAAGTTTGAAAATGTAAATACATACCTTTGACTCAGAGCTGTTATCAAGCTGAACATTATTACTCTGACTGAGATGAACTTCACTCATTTTGATATCAGGTCTATTTAATAGAATAAGTTCAATAACAAATATTTTTCGTGCTCGAAAACGTACAAATAAAATCGAAGAAAATCAACATAAATTCGTCCACAGCGAATATCGCGTAAGAAGCTCAAATGAAATTTAGAGAAGGCTCTTATTTCTGTTCCGCACAGAAGAGTGTAACTTGATAAGTATTCTTTGTAAATAGGATGATAGGATTCATAGGATGAAGCATATTTTATATGAAGCTATAACTGAACCTGAAGATATTGATTAAGATATAACACTTCCTGTAGAAGTACCATTGAATCAAAATCAGAATATTCTATTTCCAATGATATTATATTCCAATAGTATGATCTTTTTTAACGATTTTGGATATATTATTTCTATAAATCTTCTATGAATTATGCATTACATCACCATAATTATTCTATAAAAACAGCATCTCTCGATAATAGAGTAACTTTTTTGAAAAACAGTCTCCACTCTAGAGGATCACCTTTGGTTTTTATGAAGTCAATTTTCCAAAGCGATAGCAGTGGATCACATTGCATAATTTTAATGACACCCTTTAAAGGTAACTTTGATCTATCCGCTAGGGCATTAATGTTGATGTATATTGCTTTCAGTGCCAATTCTTGCTGTATCTCATGGTTATCACTAATCAGTGTTCTAATACCAATTCTGTTGAGAGAGTCTTTAATTATTGATGTGAGTGATTCTATTGGTAGAACTGAAAAGAACCTAGTCAAATTTTGAGTAGCATTAAGTTGTAGTTTATTGAATTGAATGACATGATTTTGACTTTTGGTCATCTGTGACATTTTATGCTGTGGCAAAGTAAATTGTAGTATACTAGGATCCTTTGAAACGATTTTCAAAATTCTTTCGTATGCATCTTCTGAATGGTCAGGAAGAGCAGTTCTTTGGAAGAAAGTGGATGGATCTTGGGTGGCAGGAACAAATTCATCAAAACTATTAGTCATGAACGCATTAGCTGTAGTTGGTTGTGATAAACTCACATATTTGACATCGTTGCTCGAAATATTGGTTCGCGAGAGTTCCTGAAGATAATCATCATATAGACCTACATGCAAGCTCGAAATTAATCTCTCTGCCAAGACTCCGCTGTCCTTACACTGGTTATTTATGTTCATGAACGTATTGCTCTGATTAACCCATGGATGCAATCTTATCTGGAGCATAGTAAACCTTTTAGACGGAGTCGACTTCAAAATGGACTGTAAGAGTGGCCGAACTGAAGCACTAAAATAGTTCCAAGGCGCTTCTAATAATTTGCCATCATAGTCTACGTACTTAGTGAAATCTTCGTCAATGCCATACTTAGGCTCCTGCCACGCAATCTGTCCAGTGAGTAGAACAAATAGAACCATCCCACATGCCCATATGTCAGACCTAACAGGATCATACCCATCTGAACTTAGAATTTCAGGGGCCATGTATGGTGGAGAACCACACTGTTCGTGTGATAACCTTTTAGATTTTCTTCTCTGATATACTGTCGCTAGACCAAAATCACCTAACTTTAAGTTTCCTTCTTTATCTAATAATATGTTTTCTGGTTTGATATCCCTATGAGCGACTCCCTTCTGATGTATATAATCAACTGCATTGATTAACTGTCTGAAATAGAAATTCGCTATCTCCTCATCTACTCCCACATTGGGTTCAATCTTGTCAAATAAGTCTCCACTCTCTGCAAGCTCCATCACCAAGTACACCCAAATGTTATCGGTTCCAAACATATGTAAGTTGATTATATTGGGATGACCGGAACACTCTTTATGTATCCTGACTTCTATACCTATCTTTTCATCATTCACACCCTTTGAATGAGAAGTCGCTCTGTGAATGTATTTCACAGCTACAATCCGTTTTGGATCCTTCTTTAACTGGCCAACCTTCACGATTGCAAAAGTCCCTTCCCCAACTGTTGCACCCACCGTAAGATTTTTTAATTGAGGTAATGGATCCACTTGTACAACATTTTGGAAGTCACCCATGAAATACTATAGTACTATAGTTATGGTATATTTGAGACTTGAACTTATATATATATATATGTATGTATATTTCGATATATAGTTTTGTTTACTTTGTATTACTACTTAGTGTATATAACAAAAAAATACAGCCCATACATTTTTGCATGCATACGCTAATCATTACATTCTTCGCTCACTCAGGTATATATATTTTCAAACCTTTCAATTAAGCAACTTTCAAGACAATTTTTATGAATCTCTCTAGGATAAGGGTCTTCCGAATAAAATGGAACGGAGCTGTACTTCTTTAGAAATTAATGGAACCAGTACTGACGAGGATATGGTGACTTATATTGATTCATACATAGAACTGTCACCTTTAACTAGCAAATTTAGAGAGGAAAACCCCAACTTACAGTCTATTGAGGTAAAGGATGCAGAGAGACGATCAGATATACCAATTGACACAATAAGTACGAATGAGTCACCCATTCCTATCGGTCATAAGGAGAAGAACAGCCCAACTTCGAAGCTTAAACACAAAATGAAGAGGCTCTCTTTGATAGGACAGAACCACTCAAATGTTTCGAATGATGGACTGGATAAGAAACATAAAAGATTTTCTTTGAACTTACCAAGGAGTAGACTTTCATCCAGCAGCTCCGCAGGTTCATCATCTCATTTCTACAGAGCTAGCGGCAGCTCTAGATCGAGCCTCTCTGTGAAATCGTCGATGTCTAATACAGAAAGTGACGAACTGGGAACTAACTTCTGGAAATATCATATCCTCAAATTTGGAAAGGATTTGTACTTGACCACCAATCCCACATTGAAGCATGTTTACTGTCGTAATGGGCCGGGATATTATGTTGAGATTCAATATTTTGGAGATCCTCGAAATCCTTCCTCCAAAAATGGATACTCATTAACTTTCAGAGATGTAGAATCTATGGAGATGAGCAAGAAAAAGGAACCAATCATGAAGGTCACGAAGAAGCCTGAAACTGAAGGTGGCTATTTCACAATTGCAGTTCATTGTCTGAAAGTATTGAAGAAAGGAGAAATTGAAGCTTCTGAAGATCAAACATTTAAGGGTTTATCGCTCCCAGTCGTAATAGATCCTAAATTCATACCTGACGAAATTATTGATGATACAAACCATTCTTATCTGTTTAAAAATTACGAATTTAAAGACTTTCACGATGTAAAATGGGACATAGGATCCATCCCCAGAGTAAGAAGCAGCAAAATGAAAAAATTAAGAACCAAGATGGCTAATGTTCCACGTGGATTGAACGAGAAAGAAGAAGTAGAAGAAGAAGAATCTGATTATTTAAAACTTGTGGGCAAAAAGAATGTCTATTTTCATCGAAACTTTCAAGCGAATGGTTTCTCAGGTAAGCATTCTGAAGACAGACCGGAAGAACAGAAAAAATGCTTCTACGGCGATGATATACCCAAAGTTCTTGGTCTTTTCAGACCCTATGAAAGCAAAATTCACAAAAAAATAATCCATTCCTTTAATAAAAGCATCAACAAGCTTCATCCCAAGCAACAACTTTCGAACCGTATTAGCAGTGACAGTTTGCAGTACGACATTGGCGCTGGTTCCGAAATTCACCACTACTATAAAGCTGGCGATGGTTTGTATGGAGATGCAAATCCGCCTGATGATTCTCCCGATGATAACACTCTTGGATGGATCACCTTATATGAGTACCCAGTACTCGAAGGCACAACAAACAAAGGAATGTACGATATAGTAATGGGTTTAACTTTGGCAGTTGGAATTGAAGCTTATTTGGACTTCTAACCATGAGAGTTCCTTGGTGTACAACGGCAATTGCTTTTTCTATATCTTATCTTAAAATAACTATTTATAAACCTATAGACATTTAAGCTCTTGAATAAGCTCCAATATGGGTTGTGTGTAGACCATTTCATCGACGCGCATATTTATCTATTATCTATATAATTCAGAGAATCTGATGGCAGGGACTGAAATTCGAAGCTGTAGGAGGAGCATTTACTTCATAGACTTACTGCTGACCTATATCATATGACTAATAATACGATTGATATAGAAAGCAGTGCAGATTGTGGCATCAATGGTGGAGACTGGAAGTTCTGTCCCAATTCAAAGCAAACATTTAGGATATGTCTTAACTTAAAGACATTAATTGATAAAGTAATTCCAATTGTTTTCAAAGAAATAGATGTAATTGGCGAAAATTCGCCAATAATTAACAAGAATGTCATAGATTTGGTCTACACAGCAGCAGGTGGGAAGGGCGATGGAAAGCCAGGTACATCTTCATATAAGTATAGAGCTTCACTTGTATTTTGCTTGCTTAAAGTGTGCGATTGGTACTGGCAACAGGCTGAATATGAGTTGGCCAATAATGACTTATACTCTTTAAGAGCTACGACAGCACAACACTTAGCTGCACTTATAATAGGAAACACAACTGATGATGAGTATTTGTTCTTAGGGATGTTGTGTCACAGATACACTATCAGGCTTAGTGGAGAGGACTCAGATCCAGCAAACGCACTAGAACTTGCAGTGGACATGCATTCTACCACAATAATTGGATCATCGGGGTATCAGAGATGTATCAAGTGGATGTGGAGAGGATGGATTACTCAGTCTTCAACTGATCCTCACTCTTACGTGTTGTACAAAGGAGTCTCTTCCAGTTCAATCAAAACTCATTTCGATCCCTCGAGGATTAAAACTCCATTTTATCAAAGTTGTTTAGAAATTTTTTTCAGCATTGTTTACTTGATTCTCTTTACAATCATAGTTAACTCACATGCGGAAGAAACTACTGGACTAGATCCTTTCGAGGTCATATTTTACTTGTTTACTCTTGGTTCAGTCTGTGACGAAGTTATTAAGTTCTATCATGTTGGATATAACTATTTGGGATTTTGGAATGTTTTCAACGATCTAATGTATACCCTCATAACAATATCAGTTATCTTCAGGTTTACAAGTCTCAACAACATGGGTCAAAAAAGAGAATCTTACGATGAAATTTCGTTTAGAATTTTATCATGCGCCTCTCCATTCATGTGGACCAGATTGCTCTTATACTTGGATGCAGAGAAATTCGTCGGAGTGATGATTGTTGTTGTGAAGACAATGATGAAGGAATCGATTATTTTCTTCGTCTTATTGTTTGTTGTCATTATTGGCTTTTTACAAGGTTTTTTGGGATTGGATGCTTCTGATGGGAAGAATGAGGCCACAAAACGCATCTTGATTTCTTTGATCAAATCTGTTGTGGGTGGATCAGATTTTGGAGTCGTTGCGAAGCTCGTACCTCCGTATGCCTCAGTTTTGTATTACATCTACTCATTCCTTTTGACGGTCATCCTTATGAACATATTGATTGCTTTGTACTCTACCGCTTACGCTGCTATAGTGGAAAATGCTACAGATGAATACTTTGCATTAGTGGCACAGAAGACTTTGCGCTATATTAGAGCTCCAGATCAAGATCTATATGTTCCACCGTTTAACCTTATTGAAATGGCAATTTACCCTTTCTCTTACATCTTCTCAAGAAATGTGTTTAAAACATTGAACCGCTGCACTATGATGATAATTTATTCACCTTTACTCATATATATTACAGCCTATGAATTGACTATCGCTAGACGCATCCAGTACAACAGGTTTAAGGGACTACCAGATGATGCCAATGAGCTCGATACCGAATGGGATTTGACAGACGGCTACCCTAGCGACATCACATTGGAAGGAGAAGGAGTTCACGATCATGATACTGAGGTTTCCCGAGTTCTCGCAGATCAACGAGCTGGAGAGATGGAAGATCCAGAATTCAGAATTGATTTGAAAAAGTTTGATCGAGACATCGAAAGGATAGTCAAGCCTGTCGAAAAGGCAAGCAAAGCAGGCATTAAATGGGAATACTATGAGATATATGCAAAGTTGGATCAGCTTACTGCCCTTTTAGAATCCGTTGTTAATGAAAATAAGGAACTCAAGAGTGAAATTAGAGAGCTAAAGAAATAGTATTGAGAATTCTCTCGCTATTTTGTTCCGTTATATTAAAAACATAGGTCATCACACACATGTTTCAATGTAAAAGTTATCAAACGTATGTCATTTCCACTCTTCCGTATTCATTATTTGATCTCTATTGTAATAGTATTTGAAGAATATTATCATACTTTGTATGAATTTGATTTGCCTTAACTACGTAGAGCTCTCCAACTATGAGACTTTTCCTGTAATGCGAAAACGACTTCTTACCGACTACTGTGAAAGAAAATTTGAAAGTTTAATGGAGAGAGGAACTAATAATAGTGAAACCCTAGTAGACTTATAATAAATAAGTATACAATGCCAGAGGACTCAGTTGGCTCACTAGATAAGTCACACTTCAGAAATGGGGATGATATACTGTTTGACTATGGAAAACAAAGCAATACTTCAACTAGTGCCCCAGCTCAAAATTTAAGCAACGACAACATAGCCAAAAAGAAGAAGAAAAAGAAGAGTAAGAGCAAAGATAGTGATCATAAACTGGCCATAAGAGCAACATTGAACAATCCAGAAGATGATTATCCTACTTCGAGAGTGATAAAACAGGCACCTAATGGTGATGTGATTGTGGAGAGCTTAGAAGAAGAAACTGAAAATCAAAAGAACGATTGCCATGGTCAGAAGGGGATAGCGAATATATGGGATAACGCAACTTTAGAGGAGCAAGAGAATTTAAAGAAATTTTGGGAATCTTTAAATGAAACTGAAAAGATGAAATTAGTTAAGATAGATAAAAAATCGATAATGGAATTATTTCGAGATGAAATAAAAGCCGCTAGTCTGTCGCATCACAGTAACTTCGCCCAATCAAGCTCTAGATCATCTGGCTGCAGTTGTTCGTACTGTGGTAGAAAAAATAGCGTCATAGAAGATGAACTTGAAAACATATATGATACTCACTTTGATGATATAATCGACTTTATACATGAGGTTAGGGACATAAATGATCTAAATGCTTTACCTGGACTTCTATTTGGAGGATTTCATATGTTAGAGCAGGAACACAAACTTCAAAAAAGACAAGCAAAGCATAGACATTCTCATGATGGTGAAAATTGTAATCACAATCACGGAGCCGTTAAAGCAGCACGTAAAAATTCTGATTCTAGTCGGCCCAGGGATTCATGCTCTCCTGAGGTTTCCCATGATTCTATGATATCTAACAGAAATATGCTAGAGGCAATTAATGACAATCAAACTGGAATGGATGAGCAGGAAGCGTTCAATCAATTGCTCGATCCCAAACTTTTTGAAGCATTAGAGGGACTTGATTTAGACAGAATCAGACAAGTGTCAACTAAACAAAGCCAAACAAAAATAGCTGAGAAAGCTAATTCTTTGAGAGAGATTATTCGAGATTTTCAAAGAGCGGATAAATCTCAATTGGAAAAGGGAATGGCATTTCTTCAAGGTATGGGAAAAGTTTTCAAAGAAGAAGCGAGAGAAAATAGTGGAGAAAGTTTTAATGAGGAAATATCTAAGGGACTATCAAAATTTGCTGAAGACTTGTTAAAGAATGACGGGAATACTTTCATAGATATGTTGGAATCATTATCAGAGTCTAAATCAGAGAGAGAAGATCTACTAAAAAATGACAGTGATGGAGATCAAGCTTTTTCTAAAAAGATTGATATATCTGATATTATTAAAGATGTAGAAAATAGTGCCAGTGAACCATTTCGGGATCTGAAGCGACTCAATGAGCTTATGAACGATCATGAACTTTCCTTAAAACACGACCATGGTCCAGAACTCCAAAAGATTGACAATATGAATCATTATGATATAGAGGATGAAGAAGTAAATGGAATAGGAAGAAACGAAGACATGGAGGAATACGACTATGCTGATGAAGATGACGTGGATGTGGACGAGGACGATGACGATGAAGATGTGGGAGAGGATGGAGTAGAAGACTATGAAGATGAAGATGAAGAAATTGATATTAGTGATACAGAGTCGGAGATTTCTGAAGAGGAGAAAATGCAAGAAATTCGTCGTCTCTTTTTAATTCAAGTAATCAAGTTATTTCAAGAAAGATTGAACAACGCATACAAGGAGAAGCTATCTCAGGATAGGACAAAAATGTTGATCGCTGAGTTGGAAGCGGAAGAGAATGCGAAAAAAGAAAAAGAATTGAAGAAACTTAAGCAAAAAGAGAAAGCCAAGGAGAAAAAACGGATGCAACAACTAGCTAAAGAAGAAGAAAGAAGGAAAAAAGAGGAGGCACAGCGATTGAAGGAAGAAGAGTTGAGAGAAAAGCAGGAGGCAATCAGGGCCGAACAGAAAAGGAAGAAAGATGAAGCAAAACAAAAAAGAGATGAGCTGAAGCGCAAAAAGTTAGAAGAATTACAGAGGAAAGAGGAAGAACAGAAAAAACGTTTAGAAGCGCAGCGGAAGAAAGAGGAGGCTAAACGGTTAAAGGAGGACCTTAGGATAAAAGAAGAAGCACAGAGGAAAGCTGAAGAACAAAAGCGTAAAGAGCTGGAGCTTCTTGAAAGAAAGCAACAAGAAAAGTTAGAAAGATCTAGGATAATTAATGAAAAAGAAAGCGTCAAACCATCTCTCTCAGATGATAGTCAAAAAGCTCAGCTTTGGACGGCTTCTGAGGGAAGTGGATGGGTATCAGCTGCTGCTCCTGAAGAAGCTAATTATATTGCACCAAAAAGGACTATAAATGATGAAATAGTCCCTTCTTCAAACAACCTTTTAAATCAACTAACTTCTCCAGTGCTGGTTCCTTTGCTGACTACCCCTACTCCCGTAACCGTTTCTAACACGTACCTGGATTCTAATGCCGCGACATCTTCTCTGGCTATATTTCCAGGAAGCAATATATTGAAGAATCTGCTGTTATCACATGCAAATACCAGCGGTTCACCGAATATTCAACTGGGTATAATGAACAGTCCTTGGAGCGGGCACAATAAAATGGCGCCACAAAGCTCTTATCAAGCCCCAATGAACACAAATTCTTTCAGTCCTTTTAACAGGTCAAGACCTGCGGATGTTGCACCAATGGTAGCTCCGAGCAACCTTAATTCAAGTGTTTGGAATTCTAATACTTCTCGTAACGGATCAATATGGAACAATAATAGTACTTCAAATCCACTTTGGGGCGAAAGTGCTGCTGGACCACCTGCAAATTCTTTATTACCGAACAATGATCTATTGCAATTAACCATCTTTGATGCCTTTCAGCTTCTAAGCAATACCAATCAGCTTGAATTTGGTTTGGCTCCTTGCCTCAAGTTGTTCCAACAGACGAAAGCTTTGTTAGGTAATGAAAACCTTAATTTGACCAGTTTTCTCAATGCATGCCGAACCTCACCAAGGTATAATTTTGATTTTGTTTACGATGAATTCGGCACGGTGACATACATCAAAATTAATTTGGTTCATCACACACCAGCAATCTTATCTGCTACAAGTTTGCCGCAAGATGGATCGTCTCTCACTTCCAACTTTGCTCAAGGTACAGATACAAGCTCAATTTTAAATAAAGGACCTATCAGCAATCAAATCAATGGGACTAGAAATCTATGGTACTAATTCTCCTACTCGTTATTGTTACGAAATATCTATCACTTTTAATACATAATGTATAACTTTAGTACGAGTTTGTAGAAAGAGATCTTGCAGCCATATAATTTCAAGCCTATCTTTGAATATCAGAAAAGCACTCTCTGTTTTTCATCGACTGTATAGAAATGGGTACTCATAGTGAAGAAACTTTGGTTATTGATCATTATTGATCCGATTCCTACCCTTTCTGGTTTGGTTCAAGTTGGTAGTTTAGGTTGCGAACGACTATTTCGGAGATTCTGGTGCACGTTGCGACGTTTTCGGTTAGTCACAGGACCATTAGTCATGGGGTCTGGTTGCCACGATGAGAAGCTTGCCACACCCCTTCTAATGTAGTGCGTCAGTCTATCTCCTATGTATCGAACTTATGGAATCCACAAGTATTTTTTCACTACTCTTATTAGATCGGATCATAATATCTACCGGAGTTTATAGAATAGAGTATGGGTATAGATCAGCACAAGCAAGAGAACATGTCATATGTACAAGACGAACCACTCACGGCTGAACTAAGCCCAACAAGATCAGTTGATTCATTCTTTGCTGAAGAGGAAAGAATACAGGAATTGCGAAGGACGAAACAAGGGTCAAGGTTGGAAAGAGCTAGAGATTTTGCGTATATGATATACCATGATGTGATACTATCTTATTCAGGATATTCACTTCTTTTAGTGTCTCAATTTTTCAACTCCATAATGACAGTTACGTGCAAATTATTAGTGACGGATAAAGAGCTTAGCGGATCACTTCATCCACTTCAGATTTTATTTGCAAGGCTGATCATTACCTTTGTTTGCTGTCTTTTATACATGTACTCGACTAAATCTGTTCCGGATGCTCCATGGGGTCCGAAACATTTACGTCGTTTATTGATGATAAGAGGTACTGTGGGTTTCTTGGGAGTTTTTGGGCTTTACTTCTCATTACAGTATTTAAGTTTATCTGATGCAGTGGCAATTACGTTTTTGGTACCAATGGTCACTGCGTTTCTTGCATATGTCATATTACATGAACGATATTCCGTCGTCGAAGGTGTATGCTCTTTATTATCACTATTCGGTGTCTTGTTAATTGCTAAACCTAAATTTTTATTTGGTAAGGTATCCGATAGTGAAACCTCTGGGGATGAATCTATCGAGAGTTCTTCAACAGAAAAACGGTTATTGGCTTCAGGCGTAGGATTAATTGGGGTACTTGGTGGTTCATCCGTGTATATTATATTGAGGAAGATCGGAAAGCAAGCACATCCTTTAATAGCTGTCAGTTATTTATCGTTGACTTGTACTATCATTTCAATTAGTTCAATTATTGTTTTACCTTCTCTTCAGTTTGTTCTTCCTAAAACTGCATACCAATGGTTTTTGTTCGTATCTATTGGGATATCTGGGTTTTTAATGCAGTTTGCCCTAACTGCTGGTGTACAGAGAGTCTCTGCGGGCAAAGCTTCTATGATGGGATACACCGGTATGATTTTTTCAATTATTTGGGATTTAATAATTTGGAGTCATTTTCCAGGTTTCCTCAGTGTACTTGGAATCATCCTCATTATCGTAAATGCAGTCATGTCTGCTAGATATAAACATTCAGCTCCTCCATCGGATGCTGAAAACGCTGATGTTGCATCTTCTGATGTTAATGATAAATTCAACGGTAGCAACCCTATTTCAATGGATGATTTTGTAATCTTCGACGATGAAAGTGTGAGTGAAGAAGATGGTCAGGATGAGCATCAAAATAAGAATCAAAAGACCCTCGAGACAACAGGTAGTTGAATTCGAACAGTAGCAGCTTATTAAGTTTGTCGCTGACCGAATCGGGTGTCATATGTCCTTCAAGTGACACAATTTCTTTAAACAATTAGTGCATTATATAATGTTTAGTTCTTTTATTAGTGTTGGCGAAGTAGTCTTGCCACTTTATTTCGATATTTATATATTTTAAAGGATAAATATTTAGTAGTCAATTAGATCTCTTCAACCCACCTCAATTCATTTCTTAAATGGCTTAATCTCATAAAATTCTCATTAATTGATTGAGACGTGGTCACTGCTTCCCTACTAGTGTTTGCTAATGAATTTATGTTACTAATGAGTTTCCTGGAATTGTTCAAATTGTTTTCGATGAAATCAACCTTTAAAAAATCATTGCTTTCTGGGTTCGAAGGAAGTGATCTCACCGCTCTAACCCACTTCATAGGTTGCCTGACTTGACGGCCTTGACTCTGATTTCTAGAGCTTGTTTGTCTCAAAGAATCATAACTACCTTGTGAATTGCTGACGTTCCTTTTGTGCATAGATTATATTATGTTGTGCTGTTGTAGGGGTAAAATTAACCTTCGGGATTTAACGATATTTAAAGCGATCTTATTACTTTTTCAATTATATTAAAAGTATAATTAAGTCTATACAAGTCTATCATATTTCCATATTTTATCTAACTTAGAAGGTAAATTTTGAGGATCAACATCATCTAACTTCCAATTCTCATCAAGCTCCTTGAGTAATTTTGAGAGGGGGTCAGGATACCACCTTGAACCTGAAAAAGAGAAATAACCTAAATGACCACCAATAGATGTAGTTATCAAGGCGAGATAAGGGTTGAGCTCACATTCACTGTATGGCATGGTTCTGGACCCTATTACAGGATCGTCTAGGGAGGAGAGCATAACAGTCGGAACTCTGACCTTCAGTAATCTCTGTATGGGAGATGCATGTCTGTAATATTCATCAGCAGAGTTAAACCCAGCTAACCTTGAAGTGAAAGTGTTGTCGAAGTCCTTCAAATATTTCAAAGAGTACTTATCAGGGTTCTCCTTGTAATTTTCTATAACAGAATGGAATTCCAAATTGGTACTGTAAAACTTTTCAAGTAGTTTCAATAAGTTTTGACACATTGTAGGAGAATAAACAAGCCTACCGAGGTAGGATTCGTTTAAATAGAACGAGCTATCAACAAAATCCCATGGTGATCCAACCACCACTGCTCCTTTGATATTATGATATACATCATCTGATTCTTGAGCAAGATAGTTGGCTGTAATGGCACCACCCAAAGAGAACCCTATTAGATAGATTCTTTTATTGGGCCACTTTTTTCTAATATGCTCATTTATCAAATATCTCAAATCATTTGTCCACAATCCATTGAAGAGTTGAGGAGTGGTAATAGTATGATTAGCACAACCCCTAGCATTCAAAACTAAAGCATCAAAGTTATAGGGGTCCTCTGTAACTTTATGTAAAAATGCTCTAATATAGGACTCGTAAGATCCTCCAGAAAGTCCGTGCAAGGCAATAAGAAGAGGTTTAGTCTCGTCAGCAAGTAAGCCATCTTCTTTTGCAGGATCCAAATAGAAAGTCCTTGGAGGCAATTCGTTGATTTGAGACTTCGGTTTAAAGGCCTCATGATCCAGGGTATCATCGTTATACGATTTGGGAACAACGTAATCAATTGCGAAAGTACTTTCACCTTTCCAGTGATCATAGTTTAGCTCCTCTCCATTGGGCACTTTGTATGTTTCGACTTCCACAGTTATCAATCTTCGCCTATAGTTGACCAAGTCGACATTTTCAAACTTACTTAAAGCTGTGTAGGCGGTTTGGGAATGTCCAGATGCTAAAAATGGATTCACATAATAGTAAGAACCGTCGTATAGCTCTGGAACCTTTTGTTCAATCACTTTTGAAAGAGTCAAAGACTCATTAGCAGCTTTCGACCTAAATTTCACCGGATACTTAGGGTAGTGGTTTTTAATCTCTGACTTAAGCAAGTTGAACCCCATTGTACTATGCCTTTTATATAACAACAAAATAAATATTTATGTCCTGCTATGCTACGAGAAAATCGGTTCCGCAACCGAAAAGAACAATCAGGCCAGCATAATTGTCCTAAACTGTAACTTGACGAGAGCAACATGCAAACCATATTTAATTTGGGTCATAAAACTGCTATTTACAGCCGATAAGATTGTGTAACCTATAAATAAAGGAATTCGCCACTTAAGGTATATTGCTAAGACTTTCCTATACTACAAGTAATACTAGCAAAGACCATCATAATGAGAACATCTGTTGCGTGGTTAGTTACAATCGCAGCCTCCCTTTTCATATCCTCGACGGAGGGAGCTAAACATTCAGCTAAAATGAATAGAATCCCATTGGAAGAAACGTTAGATGCTTCGAGGTTTAAGGACTACACTGCTGCAATGGCTCAAAAATATGTCAATATGTTCAATTCCGCTGCTGATGACGGCAACAAAGTTGTTTTTGGACAGAATGGTAAGCAAGAGCCACAAGTTCCATTTGTTGAGCAAGCCTCTCATGAAGCACCATTAACGAACTACATGAATGCTCAATATTTCACTGAAATTGAAATTGGAACACCAGGCCAAAAATTTAAGGTAATTTTGGATACTGGGTCATCAAACTTGTGGATTCCTTCGAAAGAATGCTCTTCCTTGGCATGCTTCTTACACTCCAAGTATGACCATGATGCTTCATCCACCTACAAGGTCAATGGCTCTGAGTTCAGCATTCAATATGGAAGTGGATCCATGGAAGGCTTTGTTTCCCAGGATCTTTTAACTATTGGTGACTTGATTATCCCCAAGCAGGACTTTGGTGAGGCAACAAGTGAACCTGGTTTGGCTTTCGTATTTGGAAAATTCGACGGTATTCTTGGCTTGGCTTATGATTCTATTTCTGTCAACAAGATGGTGACTCCTGTTCTGAATGCCATTAGCCAAGGTCTCTTGGATGAACCTCAATTTGCCTTTTACTTGGGTGATAATTCTAAAAATGAAGATGATGGTGGTGTAGCTACTTTTGGTGGTTATGAACAAACTTTATTTAGTGGTGATATCAAATGGTTACCAGTTAGAAGAAAGGCCTACTGGGAAGTTTCTTTCGATGGTCTTGGATTAGGTGATGAATACGCTGAATTGAAGTCTACAGGTGCTGCCATTGATACTGGTACCTCGTTAATTACGTTACCATCATCCTTGGCTGAGATTGTTAACGCTAAGATTGGTGCTGAGAAGAAATGGTCTGGTCAATATGAAATTGACTGTGCTACCAGAGACTCGTTGCCAGATTTTACTTTCACATTCAGTGGTTACAATTTTACGTTGTCTCCATATGATTATACATTAGAAGTTAGTGGTTCATGTATATCAGCCTTCACACCAATGGATTTCCCACAACCTATTGGGGACTTGGCAATTGTTGGTGATGCCTTCTTGAGAAGGTATTATTCGATTTACGACTTGAAGAAAGACGCTGTTGGTTTGGCCAAAGCTAAATAGAGCATCATGTATGCTATACCCTAGTTATTCAAGATTTAAAATTATTTTATAGCTTTTATTACTTCCATTTTATTCCTTTAAAACAGCTGATGACTTATTTTACCTATTCTTTTGTACAGTTTTTCTGCGATGGCTGGCTGTTGCGAAAAGGATTTTGTTATCTAGCCAGCCATTTTTGATTTGATTCGATTTGATTACATCCTCCTTAAAACCACAAACTTTAGATCACTCCTTACAATGTGTTCAAGGATCAGAGACGTATCATAAATCTATATGAGACATGTCTTATTCGTCCATTAAACTGAACCGTGAAAGCGAAGACCAATCACTAAGTGCTTCGCAGCCTCAACATGAGACTGGTGAAAGGCTTGTTAGATTGGAGATTGAGTCTTCATCTACATCATCTGTTCCTATTTCACTTCCTTATGCATATATAATGGGTAATTCTAGTTCTTTCGACACTGTGAACATGTTGATGACTAATAATGAAACTCCAAGATACTCAAACACTTCTCGTTTCAAGGATCAATCGCCGACGCCTCAAACAGAAACTACGAAAGAGGCTTTCAATCAAGTGCCAAAGAGATTTTCACACTTCATCGATGATCAGAGAAGTCCAACTTTGTTTGCTGAATGGGATGATTTAACAATCGATTCATCCATCAAAAGCAACACAAGTACAAACGAGCTATATCCTGGGTCTTCGAAGGAGCGGTCGACGCCAAGAAGTTGGGAAGCAAGGTCAAAGTCACCATCAGATCTTTTATCGAGGGATCTCTCAAAGTCAATGAGTTCTCAAGCTACTATTTTCTCAACAAGACCTGACAGCCCGTCGAGGGGTGACCTAAAAAGAAAAAAAGGTAAAACAGCTGTATCTTTGTACAGTAAAGAGAGCCGTGGTTCAGAATTATCAAGAAAGAGTGCAATACGCTTTAAGCAAGGAAGTTGGTTGTATAGACTAAGGATCCGTTTGCGAAAATTGTTTAAAAAATTCAGGGCTTTCAGATTTAACAACTTTAAAGCTTCAAGTAAAAAATCTTCAATCGCTCCTATCGCTACTCGAAGAAGAAACTCAGTGTTACGAAAGGCAAGTAGTAATACTAGAGAGGGGCCAAATAAGAGGTCAGTGAATCAAATAGTTCGGTCAAAATCTATGTCGTCAAAAATTCAGACGGGCCAAGATCTGGTTAAAAAAGGAAGCTCAGGAATATCTTTCAATACAAAATTGCCTGATAATAAACAGTACATCATAGAAGGATCTAACTCTTTCAGCAACGAGAATTCAAGAAATGGTGAGGAAATAGATAGAGACGACGAAACGGGATCGATTCCACCTCCCCCTCCTCCTCATTTAGTTTATGACAAATTGGGTAGTCCTGATAGAGACAACAACGATGTGGTTGACCTTTGGAGAAATTACCTAAGTTACGTAGTTTGCAAAAGAATCCAATTGAGACAAGAGATTTACATCTTTCAACAACTTGCGGAAAAGCGAGGACCATTAGTGTTTGGAACACCCAAGGGTACTATTCTGCAACATAATTTAAATAATGCATCAGCATTATCAGCTAGTGAAGACTCAAACAGTGACAATAGTAATGAACCGCTGGATATTGATGACTGTGAAACAAGGAGCACTTCTACAGCACTTACTGAAACAGACAACGAAAGAGTTGATGAATTTGTAGATCCCCCGGCTGAGGAATTCACCAAAAGTTATATAAATAGAAGATCGGTGTTGGGCGATATGCTAGACTATGATTCGGACATGGAAACATCTAGTCACTACCTGTCCTCATCGTCGAAGGAAGCAGATATGTCTTATTCAAAATCTGTGACTCCCCGAAGTTCTATCCATAGGGAGTTTGAGAGATATGGAACTTTGTCAAAGAGGAACGGTAGAATATTAGGATTAGCATGAAAATAATGGCATAACCAGCTTATTACATCGAATGATATTAATGATAGCTTAAATCAAATATACATTAGTAATTTATCAATATATACAAGTAAACGGAAATCTCCAGAAGTATAAAGAAGATAAACATATCCGTCGTTAGCACTTCTGCAAATAACAGAACAAAAATAAAAACTTAAAAATCTTCATTACTGTCGGCCGTCTAGTTTTTAGGTTCTTCAGACGAACCATTGTTTTCATTATTCTGGTTTTCGTTATTCTTGTATAACTTTTCAAAAACCTTCAATGATTCGTTTTGTAACTCTTCAGTCTTGTTCTTCAATTCAGTGTTGTCGACTTCTTCAGAACCTTGAGCCTTAACGACGAGCTCTCTTAATTCAGCAACTAGGGCTCTTACCTTATCAGCATCTGCAGAGTCCAATTTATCCTTGAATTCGTTCAAGGAGTTCTCAGTGTCATTGCATAATTGATCAGCTCTGTTTGCAGATTCAATAGCCTCTCTTCTGGCTCTATCAGATTCAGCGAACTTTTCAGCGTCGTTGACCATCTGTTCAATTTCACTCTCAGATAAACCAGAGGAACCTGCAACAGTGATTGATGCGTCTTTGTTTGAAGCCTTGTCACGAGCAGAGACTTTAATAATACCATCAGTATCAATATCGAAGGTGACCTCAATTTGTGGAACACCTTTTGGAGCTGGTGGAATTCCAGACAAAGTAAAGTTGCCGATTAATTTATTGTCTCTAGTTAATTCTCTTTCACCCTGGAAAACTCTAATTTCAACGGAAGTTTGACCAGCGGAAGCTGTGGAGAAGATTTGAGACTTCTTTGCTGGGATTGTGGTGTTTCTGGAGATTAATCTTGCGAAAACACCACCCATAGTCTCAATACCTAAAGACAATGGGGTAACATCCAATAACACAACATCAGTGACATCACCTGCTAAAATACCACCTTGGATTGCGGCACCCATAGCCACAGCTTCATCTGGATTAACAGATTTAGATGGTTCTTTACCAAAGATAGACTTGACTGTTTCAACAACCTTTGGCATTCTTGACATACCACCTACTAAGATAACTTCAGAAATATCGGAGGTTGATAAACCAGCATCCTTCAATGCTTTCTTACATGGCTCAACAGTTTTCTTGATCAATGGGTCCACTAAACTTTCAAACTGAGACCTTGAAAGCTTTTGGTTGATATGCTTAGGACCTGATGCATCAGCAGTAATAAATGGCAAGTTAATTTCAGTAGAAACTGTAGAAGACAACTCAATCTTGGCCTTCTCGGCAGCTTCCCTAATACGTTGGATAGCCATTCTATCTTTCTCTAAGTCGATTCCGGATTCCTTTTTGAAAGTTTCAACAATGGTTCTGACAACGGCAATATCGAAATCTTCACCTCCCAAATGAGTATTACCATTGGTAGATTTAACTTCGAAAACACCTGCACCGATATCTAAGATAGAAATATCAAAAGTACCACCACCTAAATCGAAAACTGCAACGACTTCACCATCCTTCTTTTCCAAACCATAAGCTAAAGCTGCGGCAGTTGGTTCGTTAACAACACGCAAAACGTTTAATCCAACGATCTTACCGGCATCCTTAGTAGCCTGTCTTTGAGCATCATTGAAATAAGCTGGACAGGTGACAACTGCATTCTTAACAGGCTTACCTAAATGGCCCTCAGCGGTTTCCTTCATCTTGTTCAAGATGAAACCTCCGATTTGTTGAGGAGAGTATGTTTCACCTCTAGCTTCAATCCATGCATCTCCATTTGAGTGCTTTACGATCTTGTAAGGTACTTGATTCAAATCTCTCTGCACCTCTTTGTCTTCAAAACGACGACCAATTAAACGTTTGGTGGCGAACAAGGTGTTCTCAGGGTTAACGACGGCCTGACGCTTTGCAGGAATACCTACTAATCTTTCACCATCCTTAGTGAAGGCAACAATGGAAGGAGTAGTTCTTCCACCTTCGGAGTTCTCAATGATCTTAGGGACCTTTCCTTCCATAATAGCGACGGCAGAGTTAGTGGTTCCCAAATCGATTCCGATTACAGGTCCACCAGGAGCAGCCGAAGAATTAGCACGGGAGAGTGTCGGGAGACGACGAGAGACGTTCTTCAACGAGTTTCTAGCAGCTAACATCTTTAGCAAATTTATTTAAACTAATGGGGGTTATACTTGTTCGACTAATAAAAAATAGCAACTGCCGGTGCTTATATTATATTGAAAATTTTAATGAGGTCGTGCGAGTTCCCATCAATTCTGGAAAATTCCAGAAGGAAAGTTCGGCTCGCTTCTATGAAAGCCATAATGGTAATACACTTTGAAAAATAGAATAAAGATAAAGACACAGTTGCAGAGAATAACATAAATTAAAGACTAAGTATACAGATAATACATATAAAAAAAAAAAAATTTTTTACTAGGTTGACCTTGGATGTGCAATAGCTGGGGTAATGGAAGAACGGAACATGATCAACAATTTTAGGCAGGATCGGAACAGAAAAATTGCTCGAAAAAATTAAGTTAGCTTATCAAATCTGCGGGTAAGTTACCGTTCATCACCCATGTTAAGGACTTATCTCCCCTGAACTCTTCGATATACCGTATGATCTCCTCTGCTGGTTTGTCATATTTCTGCATTCCTCTAGCAATAGCATCACATAGTTTCTTGCGTCGTTGATATCTTTTTGATTCTTTGGACCTCGAATCACCTCTCCATTCATGCTTTCCATATTTGTTGTCCATTTCGCAGAGAGGTGGTTGACCACGAAATCCTTTTGTGAACTCGTCATATATCTCTTTAACAGTCATTGGGTTATGAAGAAAATCTATGTTTATCTTCGGTTTTTTTGTAGCTGCAAGAGCATCATTATATGGCGCATCTGAATGGGGAGCGCTGTCTGTGTCTCTTCTCTTTGAATAAGATCTTTTCCTAGCTTTCTCTGGATGACGCTGTGCTTGTGCTGCGACTGCAGCAACTGCAACATCATGTAACGCAGGGTCCATATTACTATCAATATGCACTGGCTGAGAAGATAAATCTTGTCCTGGAATATGCTGCTGTACCTGATCTCGAACCTGCTGCTCTACTTGATCTCGAACCAGTCGCTGTACATCCTCCACTTGATGATCTACTTGCTGCTGAACATGCTTTTGAACGTCATTGCTCTGCTCAACTTCATTGTCTTGAATAGCCTGCAATGAGCTTAGTATCGCGTGTTGATTCTTGTTCTCAAAAAAATCAGACATCAATGCAGTCAATTTTTCGATTTTGCTGTTCTGATAATCAAAGACATGTCTTAGGTATGATAACTCTTGATTTACTGCTACGAGTTTTTCACTTTCAATTTTATTAATACTTTCATGTATCTTGTTAAAACTATCTTGGATGTAGTTTGCGGTATAGACATTCACATCAACATCACCCCTTGAGTGGGCATTACTTGCTCCTTCAAACTTTCCATCATTCCTTAAGCTTTCGAGCCTCCCACTGTTGTCTAATTCTTCTGGATTAGTAGACATCTCCTCCATGCCTCGTGCTTACTGAAATCGTTTTATTGCAAAATGTCGGGGGATTTTGTAGAATAATAACTTAGATAAACAAACATGAGACTTTTTTCTCATAAAACTAACAGTTTGACGATATTTTACAGATAAATGTCCTGCACATTGTATTATTGTCCCTTGAGATTCAAGGTGTGTAAAAGGAAAGAAGGAAATTAAATAAGTCTGCTACTAAGATTCTAATGCTATCGAATTCGGGATCATTTCTCTTTTATTACTGACTTCAGGTTAAATTCATTCTATTTTATCATTATGCTAAATTTATATTTGGTCATCACTTGTATTAGTCATTGCGGGTCCAAATAGTGCAAGCATGCCTATGCAAAATCCATTTTGATTGACATATATCACTCTGCATCTTCCAGTAACACCACTGATAGTTTCTGTGATATCTCTAAGGTCGTCAAGATCCAGAGTTCTTGGCAAAAATAACCCATAATTTTCGGCATACTTCGAAATGCTCGTACATAGCTCATACACTGAGAAAGGCTCCATTTCAGTCAACCTGAAAGGGAATTTCTTATGCTTGTAGGAAGGGCCTCCCCATGGAGGAGAGCAGAATATAAAATCAAATGGATAAGGGGATCTGCTTTTAATGTCGTCTGGGATCCAAGATGTATTTAAAGATCCATCTTCATGATCCTTGGATAGCTTATTCCAGTCACCGACAACGGGCCATAACTTATGGTCAACTCCGTATACGGCAGCATTATGCATCGTACAATTGACGTTGACAGGTTGAATATCTATTACTCCGACACGGTCAAAATACTTCGCAAGTTGAATACTATTCCCTCCACCACCGCTACAAACATCTAAAATCTCTTTGGCATCGGGTAACATTTTGGATACTATTTTCGCAGTATATCTGGCAACAGCCTCTGGTGTCACCGAATACCATAATTCTGATGTCATATAGACACCCTCATCATATTTTTTGAAAAGTTTATATCTTTTTTGCCAGTATTTTTTGCATTTGTCAGGAAGCGTATAATAAGTGTGCATTAACAATTCCTCATCTGTGCCCGTATTAGACTCAAGGTCTTCATCCTCAGTATCTTGAGACATTGCTTGAGCTCCCGAAGAGCTTGTGGCCAGCTGTGGAATTTTTTGCGCATGAGAAAAGCGATGGCTACTGCATAATTTAATCATCTCGATTTACTGAATCAATTCTATGGTCTAAGAATACACTAACAAAATTATATATATATATATACTACCATAATATTGATCTAAACTGATCTCTTTCTTTTTGTCTGTGATTATAGCTAGATTCTCAAATTTTCCAAACTTTTCCTTCTCCCATATATATTTTGTTTTCGTCTTGCATCTTTTGAAGAGCTCTATCAATTTCAAGTAGTCCAAAGAGCTCTTCTTGCGGCAATCCTTCATTTACTGCCTCTATTACTTGCTCAGTTGGGCAAGAGTTAGACTCATTGTCAAGAAGTGGCGAGTTAATGACCTTGGACATGAGCTTGAGGAAAGATGAATATCTCTCAGCACTAATGTCAGTTGTTAATGCGTTTGCTTTATTTGCATTTTCAGTTAAGGCAGATACATGTTCCGTAGACAGCTGTGATTGAGATATGTGCAAATTTTCGAGATGGTCCTCAACGTCAGAAGAATTTTCAGGGACATTTTCTTCTTCCTCTTGGTCTTGAGGTGGAGGAGGTGTGGTAGAAGGTGTACTTTGTTGTGGATCAACTTCTCTTAATCCCCGTGTTGACCTTGTTCTGACAGTGGTAGCCCTCGGTATAATCTCTTCGTCGCTGAGGTCACTGTCTTCTTCCTCGTCTTCTTGCTCGCTGTCTAGAGGGCTTGTTCTTTGTTTTTTAGAACGAGACTTCTTAGCGACTTCCTTGAATAGCGCAAACCTCAACATTTCTTCTGCCACTTTCGCATCCTTCACTTCAATAGTCTTCGATAATCTAACCTTTGCATGAGCCGTCGCTAAACGAATTAAAGTTTCTAAAGTTCTAGCAGTTATGGGTGCTGTATGTCTCTGATTATTATCAATTAGATCATTCCTGAGCGCAGAGTATGTCATTACAATATAATCTGATGCCCTTTTAGTCAAAACCGGTTTGATTCTCTGTTTCGCATACTGAATATACTTTCTTAAAAATGGAATGGATAATATATTTGGTGTCTTTCTAGATCTTGATGCTTGAATACCAGCATGGAATAAAGCATTGAATTTTTCAAAAATTGGCTGTTCTAGTTCTTCTTCTTCATTTGTTTTATCATCACCAACCGCCAACGACAAGTTTGCTTTTTCTCTTACGGGTTCACCTTCGAGCAAGCCTGGGGGAATAAACCGGTGCATTCTCAAAACATGCTCAGATATAATTCTATCTTTTGCAGGCTGAATATCATCAGTTACCACAAATAATAAATCGAAACGAGATAGCAACGAGTCTGGTAGTGCTATATTCTTGTGTGGATCTTTATGGACATCATACTGTCCAAACACTGGATTCGCTGCTGCGATGACTGAGCAACGAGCATTCAATGAAGTGTGAATTCCCGCTTTTGCGATAGTCACAGTTTGCTGTTCCATGACTTCATGAATAGCGACACGATCAACGTCTGACATTTTATCGAATTCATCGATACAAACGATACCTCTATCTGCTAAGACCATTGCGCCAGCTTCCAACCTTCGTTCGCCCGTTTCTTTATCCGTTGTGACTGCCGCAGTCAAACCAACACCAGATGAACCCCTACCAGTAGTTGCTATTGCCAAGGAAGCAGTATTTAGAACGAATCTCAAGATTTGTGATTTAGCTGTCGAGGGATCACCGACCATTAAGATATTGATATCACCTCTCAAGTGAGCACCATTGTCTAGATTTTTTTCAACACCCCCAAGAAGCATAAGCAACACTGCCTTTTTAATATAGTCATGACCATAGATGGAAGGAGCTAAAGAACTCGAAAGAAGGTCAAAAATATTCTTGCTTTTAGATAATTTGTTGATATTTCTTATATCTTGATCGGTTAGTTTTTCTTGTGAAGCGACTCCAGTTGATCTAGCATGTAACGGGTACACAGAATTTGCTAAAATTACAGTCTTAAAACTTGAGCTATTGTTCACGGCACCTCCTAATGCACGATAGACTCCCACAATTTGAACACGATCCCCGGGCTTGCATAAGTCTACCAAGTCATCATCTAAAATCACATCTATCGACCTAGGTAATTGCCCTGCAGGTGCTGTTTCTGGCATTTCTTGCACAGAAATCTTCTGATGATCCCTGTAAGTCGAGTAACCATATTCAGTCGTTAATTTATTTCCGTCAAGATCTTCCGTGGGGTAAATAGCAGCAACAGAAATAGGATCAAAAGACGTTTGTTGATCACGGTACTCTCTAGCGTAAAACCTGCTGGTCTTTTCTGCGTAATGCACGGACCTTATAATCTTTGGACGAACTAATGAGGCTCTTGTAACTATCCCTTCAATTGAGATCATTTTGGATATATGTAATGAATTGATCGTCCTTGGGGTAACATGATGGTCGCCGAGTGAACCCTTAAATGACAAGTAGAATTGTTGATCTTCTTCTATTGTGTCAAATCTTGAGTCTGTAGGGTCATAGATAGTGAGAACGGTATCCCTTAAAGCTCTCTCACAAGCTGGCAAGAAATCGGCAGGGGAAGATAATAAGCCTTTCCAAAAATCTCTATCAAATTCCCTTACCTCGTCTAATACAACACATAGTCTGTATCGTCCTTTCATTAACATTTCCTTTATCAAAGTTCGATAATCCATTCCCTCAGGCCCTATTGTATCCAAGAATTCTTGGAACCTCCTCACTCTGTCACCAAAGACAGCATCAATAGGCTGATCACTAATTGTAGTATCCTCCATTTATTCTCCCTTATATCGTTTTATTTCGTTATACTACTAAGTTGATATGAGGATTCTTAAGAATTTAAGCAAAGTTTAAGATGGGCAAGACTGAGGCAGGAAAAAAAAAATATAAACGCGTTAAATGATATTTCCCAAAGTGGAAAAATTTCGCACCCATCTTGTATCAGACATCGAACATCTATTACTATTTACGAACGTCTATAAGGACCAATTTGTAACATAACTACTAGTAGCAACACTCTCATCTTCATCGACAAACAACTTGTCAAAACTTTCAAATTCTAGGGCTACTAGTCCTTTATAGTTTCTTGTCTTTTCGCTTTCGAGCAAAGTCACATAACTCCAATCTAAAAAGTCCTCCATGTTGTAGCTATTCTTCCTGAACGGTTCACCAAATATCTTCGCAAGTGTTGCAATGTTGGGATGATAATGAGACATTATTGTCTCGAGTTCCCATAAAGAAGAGTCCATCGCCTTTGTTTGGAGCGGGTTCGTCTCTTGATTGTCATATGGGTCAGTATAAGAAGTTGCTTTGCTTGAAGCAATGTTATGGATCAATACCATGCAAGAAGGGTGTCTTCTCAACAAGTTATATACAAATGGTATTATTATAACAATACTGGGAGCGCTTGCCGTCAAGGATAAACGAGAAAGCCTCTTTATGAAGGATGCAATCAATTTGGATGACAAATGAGTAGATGAAAGAAAAAGATCACACAATCTAAAAAACCTTGACCTGTACCGTGTACTCAAAAGATCCGGAGTAAGTAAAGAGTATAGCTTTGTATAAAAGTCAGGATATTCCAAATTATAGCGTTTCATCAATTCATATAGAGAATTCAAAGCAAGAATGGGTACTATTGCATCATCTTGTGCATCATATGAATCCGTCAAGAAGTCCATCAAACGTTCAGGTTTTGTCAAATATGGGATAATCCGCTTATGTAAGATTAAAAGAATTCCTTTATATTGCAGGGATGTCAAAGGGAAGGATAATAAGGTTAAAAGACTGTTCTGGTAATTTGATTTGAAACTTGAAGACTTGTAGGCAATGGATGGAAGTTCTGATTCAATCCAAGTCTTCTGTACTTTTAACTCATCAGAGCTCTCTTTGAATAGTAATGGGACTTTTATTATGGAATAATAGTTTGCAAATATTAACCTCAACTCTTCTTTATTTTTATTGGAATTCCATTCAGAGAGCACCTGCTCCAAACTCTTATTCAAATAGAATTGCAAATCCCAATAATCTTTGAATATTTCAATAAACTCTATGATGCAAAAATTATCGGAAGATCCATCCGCAACTATATCACCATTTTGGCTCTGTAGAAGAGCTAATACAAGACTCTGGTATGTTGATGTAGGGAAGTAAAATTCGTGGACGCTAGGCTTTAAAAAGTGGCTTTCAACTTTAATCAAATTTAAATAGAGCTCTAATGCATCAATCTGCAAGGAAGTCAGGTAAGTCAATTTATACTTTAGAAGACGAAGTAATATATCTTTGAATGATTGATATTTTTCTATAAGCCACTTCACTATTAAAGATTTATTTTCATCGTAAGACTTTTTGCTCACCAACATATGGTCTTTAGCAACCTTTTGAAAACATTGGAATAGCACTAAAGCAATCTTACGGCCACACATCTCATATTCCTCGTTCGCTGTGGTACCTAAGGATTCTATGACATCTTGTAACTGTTTGATTAAAGGAACAAAACTGTTATACTTTTTTGAACTGATAATCTGGTCTCCATACTCTTGAATTTCTTTTATTGTAAGCAATGAAGTTCCTTTTTTTTTATTCGCTTTTTGTGACAGACCCGCAGAGGATGGTCTCTTTCTCTTTGAACCCATATTATTCAGTCTTATTTGTTGTGATCAGTAGCTCATCAACTCTTACAATTTTATGAGATGAGTTCAGATGCAGGCTACCAAATTTTTCAGATTAGTTACCCGGTATTGACAAGGAATATAAAAATATGAACGAAATTTTTCCTGATAATTGGCACTCTTGTCTTCGTATGACCTTCCAAGTTTTTACACTACATGATGAAATCTCGCGTTTATTCTGACAATTCCCTTTGAAGTTGTAGTCTTTCGTAAAGATGGATTCCTTCGAAAATGCTTTTCCATACGGGAAAGCTGGGTTTTATTGGAGATGGTGTTTGGCGCAATCTACTTGTTACATTATAAGCAAAACGCCTAGGAGAACTTCTGACCCTTCATTCTACTTGAAATGGTCATACAGGGATTCATGAGTGAATTCATGAGTGAATTCACGTATACTAAAGTTGATTGACGATATTTAAATATTCTGATATGTAGTGACGGATTAAGAGTTCGTCAGTTTCGTGTTTGATTCACTTTTTATTTGACCACAATCTAATTATACAAACCTATACAAGGGATATAAAGTTGGCTAATAAATTTCCCGAGCTTCAAATTTAAATTATTAAAAAAGCTTTAGTGAGATAACGTATGCTTAAATGAGGGTTTCGTAGGCGACTGGAGCTAAAGTTTGTGGTACATTAGATTCAGCGGAAATAATTCTGGCTTCTCTTGGCATAGCTGGTTGTCTCTTTAAGTTGATTTTCTCACCCTTTTCTTTTGCTTCTCTCTTCAATCTAGCATTTTCTTTGACTCTGTTCAAGAACTCTTGACGACAGGCAGAGTGCTTAACATGCTCGATTCTCAAGTTAACTCTCTTCTCGATATACCTGTTACCAACAATCTTGTATACAATGACACCTATGGAAGACTTAGTGACATTAAAAACAACACCAGTTTTACCCTGGTAGTACTTGTGGGGCATACCTTTTTGAATGGAACCATTAGCCTTAATGTCAACAATGTCGCCGACTTTATATGTCTTCAAGTAAGTCGAAAGAGCAATAGCTCCGTGCTTCTTGAAGTCACGTTGGAACATGTAACGTGTTCCTGATCTGTAACCATGACTATAGTAGTTTGTTAGTATTTGTTATTAAGCTTTTGCGTGAATTTCAGAAACAATAATTCACATTCACATTCCTGGCACTCATGATCGGTTTCTAAGTAGGGGAATCTTTCTAGTCCTGACTATATTAATGTTAAGTCATTAATCTTGATTTTTTGACTTCAAAATGATGAAAGACTTGCCAGAATTGATACCTTTAAGTTCATTCCTTCCAACTAAGTAATCTTTATCTCAAGTCTTCATTATGTATTTCCCAGTCGCCCCTCAGATTCCGAGACTTGTCAAATGTAGATGTGATTATCAGCTTCATGTTACCAGTTACTTACGTTTTAGCCATTTTTTAATGTTGATATCCTTACTTAACAACTGGTTTACAGAGTTCAATTCTTATTAATTTCGATATACTACTGAAAATTTTCCAAATACTATATGCAGAATTTTCAATTTTACGTGCGCTAGTAATTTTTTTGAAAGTCAGGTGATTGTATGATCCTCAGGGTAGAAGACCTCTTTCTTTATCAGAAATTGTTATCTATACGCTTCATTCCTCAATTTCTACTTCGTCATCTTCTAAAACATAGCTGTATCTATCAGACAGGCACAGTACCTTATGGTAGCTCTTTGTTGAGATTTTACTAGGGACAGCTTTCAAGCAGCATAGCAATAACTAAATAAACTTCCGAGGAGATTGCAAAACGTGTACATTTTAATTCCTATATTTCCAACTTCAGAGGACAGCTTTCACAAATCAAAAAATCTGTGTTCCATCGAACGACAGTCCCTTTAACTATAATTCTAATAGCGGTCGTAGTCCTACATTTTGCTGGCGGTGCATCGACATTTGCAAGAAATGCGAAAGTAGGTTAGCGAGGTTCTCCCCGCTTTGTTCATTCTCTTCCACTAGCATTACCGATCAAAAAACGATAGGCAGGACAAATTTGACATATGTAAAATAAAAACATCGCGACCAAGCCTCACTGTTTATATCAATTTTCCTAGGGACTAACATCAAACTTCCAAATTACCATAATATCATTGAGTGCTAATAACAAATTGCTAACAATATAACTATCTCATTGAAATTGTTAATTATAAAACGAAGCTAAGTGACGCATTCTAATTGAACATAATCTCAAAATCTTTCGCCAGAAACATTGATAACTTGTCAGGTTAAAAGGTGAGCACAATTCCTCGAATAATCAAACATATTTGGGTTCTGGGACCTCATATACGAATATTTTATTCAAAGTTAGCAAGCCCTATAAGTCGTACAAAACAATTCTACTGTTTTTAAAACTATGTACGAAGAGCTAAAGCCGTTGGAAAAAAAAAATCAACATGGAGTTTTTGGACGCTTCTTCTTCGTGTTTGTTTCCTTTATTTCCTCGTTCATTTTCGCTACAGTGCTAGCAACATGTGGTCTATTTTATCACTGGGGCCAAAAGCTTTCGGGGGCAGAGAAATACAACGTTGGAACTGATGAGAAGCATGCCAGTTCTTACACGCCTCAAGAACCATTCCCAAACTTAGATAAAATGAAGCCATCATCTGACTTGAGGTACTATGCGTTGCAGCTAGAGCTAGATTTGGAGGTATATAAAATTACTACCGAAGATGGGTATGTTCTTCCATTGCATCGATTAATTGATCCAAAAGAGACTGTTTTAGAGAGACAAAATAGAAAGCCTATTTTGTTACAGCACGGGCTACTCGCATCTTCGGGATCATATATAACGTCTGGTCGTAACTCATTGGCCTATTATTTTCTAGGTGCCGGCTTCGACGTCTGGATGGGTAATAATAGAGCATGCTTTGAACCGATTCATACTCACTTCACTGGTAACTTGATGAATTCAGAGAAATATTGGGACTGGGACATTAGAAATCTTGCTTATTACGATTTACCTTGTATTATACAAAATGTCTTAGCCCATAAGCCAAATCATGAGAAATTAGTTTTAGTTGGGCACCTGCAAGGGTGTACACAATCATTTTTAATGTTAAAAAATGGGAACCTTTCACATCTTCACAAAAATATTGAATTTTTCTTTCCATTGGCACCAGCTATTTTCCCCGGACCTAGTTTTCATGATAGAGCATTTATCAAATTCATGCATAATAAGGGCAATTTAGGCTTTAAATTAATTTTTGGATGCTGTGCCTTCATGAGAAACTTGACTCAGACTCGTTATTACCTTTATTCTACCAAGATTTTTGCTTTTTTGGCATATATACTTTTTAAATACTTGTTTGGGTGGACCGCTAAAAGATGGGGTCCACATAAAAAGGTATGGCATTTTCATTTCATATTTATTATGAGTTATGTTTCCTCGAGGCTCATGACCTGGTGGCTCAGTCATTGGGTTCCTGAAGGTTTCTCTAACCAATTGCAGCCAAAGGAAGCCTACGATAGTGGAGCAAACTATGCATTTATCCCAGAGGAGCAAAGTATACCAGAAAAAGATGATTCCAAGAGCTTCTTTCCATTCAAAAGGCCATGGTTTGATAATTTAGAAACTACAGTACCAATGGTTATTTTTGATTGCGAGTTAGATTTCTTGGTGGATTGCAAGCGACTTATTACACACATGAGGCATTATGAAAATTCCTATAAAGAAGGTTCAAACTTTGAAGTAGTTGAAATTCGGGGATACAACCATGTTGATATCACCTGGGCAGACGATGTTATAGGAACGGTTGGTTACGTGATTACTGATAAACTTAAGAGTTTAAATGCCACAGAAATTACTGAAACAGATATTGAGAAAGATGATGATTCGAAACATATAGCTCAACCCCCTAATAATAGTTAAAGCTTTATAGCTAACGAAATTTATCATTCAGCTCTTAGTATATTTTTTTCAGCATTTTTTATAGCCTCTGAGACATCAGCCCAAAAATTTTTAATGTCTATTTCGGTGCCCACATAAGTTCCGTTCGCTTCTTCTAAGGATTTATCATAGGTATCGTTGATGATGATACTTTCTCCTTCCCTTTTTCCTTCCAAAATCACATCTAATTTGCGTCTAAGATATCTGAAGCAAGTATTTCTCTTATTTCTGTTTATCAAAGGAATTAAAGCGTAAATGGCGACTGGATCATGAATCGGTGCGCCAGAAAAACCTCTTGATTTGTAGACTTCTCCAAAAAACGCCAAAATGCTATTGAGATTTTTTCTAAGTTCCGTATTGTGGTCCTTATTGTATATTTCATTCATAACTTTATCATCAGCCACTGCTTGGTGAGTTAAGTTCAACGGAGCAAGAAACACTTTTCCGCACACCTCTTCATCGGTCACGATGTTATGTGCTGCTTGGGGATCACCATAGAAATTGAACTCTGAGTATGGAGTGATGTTTCCTAAGTTAATAGCACCACCCATAATGGTAATATATCTAATCTTACTTTTCAATTCGGGATATGCAGAAAGAAGCTTAGATAAATTTGTGAGTGGACCCGTACAAGCGATACATATTTTATTCTCGTTGTCCAAGATAGCCTCACGAATGGCTTTCAAATAGCTCATATCCGTAGACTCAGTAAGAATTGTTTCTTTCAACACATCAATGCCTCCTATGCCAGCTCTCCCATGCACATTTGTCGCAAATCTATTTGGCACCACCAAAGGCTCGTTAGAACCTCTATAAACCTTTATTTCATCTTGCTTAAAACCAAACATCTGTAGTACTGCTAATGCATTATGTGTCGTATGATCTAGCGACACGTTTCCGTGAACAGTGCTTATTCCTAAGATTTTAAATGACGGGTGTAGCGATGCCAATAAGATTGCAAATACATCATCGTTTCCTGGATCGCAGTCCAACCAGATTGGTATCTTTTCGTCTACCGTCATCTCTTCAAGGGATCGCAAAACTTAATATTGTTTCAAGCTAGCACCTCCTCGGTTACATAAAGCTATTGAGCAAGTTTGACTCTATAATGTGTTGTAAGATAAATAACTAACTTCTAAACTAGACACACCTGTTCGCCGCACAAGTGTAAACCTGATGCGTCTCACGTGCCCAACGCCGTTGCGTACACAGAAATACCGAAATATCAACCGGCCCTATATAAATAGCAATCAAACGTTCAAGAGATGCATTCCTTACTCCTAAAGTGCACTTCCGAGATATAAAGCAGGCTCTTCTATGTTGTAATGTTCATAACTGAGTACACCTACTCCACCAGCATCTAAAATAAACTGAGGATTGGTATTGATTTGACGTCCAACCCACCGTGCAGCAAAGCATTTAAGGATATGCCCGTGTGCAACCAACATAATATCGCAAGCTGTATTGTTTTCAAAAGCTTCTCTATGTATCAGACGAATCTTTTCAATAAGACGATCAACTCTCTCTTGAACTTCGACATGTGTTTCACCGTTTTCACAGCCATCGGTCCAAATGCTCCACTGTTTTCCTGGAGGATCAATTCCTCTATCAATCCTTGACTTTCTAATATCTGCAGTCACCATGCCCTCATAATCACCGTACTCCCATTCACGGATGTCATTTGACTCGATAATTTTGATATGTTTCTTATCGGAAGCATCAACATTCTCCAAAAGTAAATTTGCGGTCTGCTTTGCTCTCGTTCTTGGTGAGATGAAAACTGTAGTCAAATGGCTAGGTTTAACGGGGTGCAAAGGTTTATTACCTACGAGATAATTCGCCGTAGTTTTCATTTGCTCTACACCAAATTCCGTCAAACTAAGATCTGTGACAGAAGTATACTGGCCCGATTTCGACCATTCTGTCTGGCCGTGACGAACGAAAACAACTCTTGGTGCTGGTGCTCTAGAGGAACTCATATTTAAAAGAAAGGAATTCAAATTTGATTTCAACGGTCGTCGTACCTTTCACTTTATTGCGATAGAGTTATTGATGTTTATGTGCAGTATGGTTGAATAATTGAAATATTCTCATGGGCGGTTTTGTTTGAAATGTACAAGGGTCCCTTATTCCCAAGTGAGAATAGTAAGGAAACTAAATACCAAAAAGTAGGATTTTCAAAATATTTGATATCTAATCTGCTCAAATGACTAGTAAGAAAGAAATAGGCGCAAAGATCCTTGCTTTGTTGAAGACATTGCCCAAGGATAGAATACAACATACTGCCAACTTCAAGGAATCTCAAATTGCTAGATTCCTGAATGAGAACTATATCAATGGAATAATGGAAAAAGACTTACAGTTACAATACTTATCACTTAGAGATCTTGTCAATGACAAGTATAAAAACTATTACAAGTTGGACGAGAAATTGATACGACCAAAGGGCAACCCTCACTATTATGAAAGGTTATTGACTGAATTGAAAGGTGAAAGCAAAGAGACGCTCTTTACTGCTATTAAGACTGTTATATTTGGGAAGTGATGTGTATGATATTACGTTTTCATTTTTTTTTTTTCCTATTTCATTTCACATCACTGGCATGTAAATATCAACATAGAATTCTTGTTCATAGAATAAAAGGCTAATTTCATTTATTCATTAATAATCCAGATTGTAGAAAGAAGTATTTAAGAGCATTTAAGTAATCTATAAGTGTAGTTCTGATGAGAGAAAAGTTTTCGCTAGCGAGATCGGTTAACATCGAGAAAATGCAATAGGTGTACTGAATATTGGCGCTAAAAATATAGTCCAAGCGACTAATTTTTCCTTGAAATACGAAGATTCGAAGATGGTAGTGTTCACCTACATACGTAGATACCCTTTACGATCTCTTTTGATTGTAAGTTCGATCATCGGTTTCATATATTGGATTACAACGCTGAGGGATTCATATTCGCCTGAAGAAATCAACTCATTGCTTCAAAATAAAGATGAGAGCATTCTTTCGCTCAAAAAAGTTGAATTGTCTGTCCAGTCATTGAAATCCCCTTACTTGTCTGAGAATAGTTTTAGAATAAAAAATTGGGATACAAGTGGTGGGACTTTGGTTAAAAATCATGACTACATTAGATTGACGTCTGATAAGCAACATCAGGTCGGTAACATGTTCTGTAAGCTTCCAATCCAGGCTGATTCATTTGAAATGGAGGTCACTTTTCGAATTCATAGCAAATCTTCCAGTTTATTCGGTGATGGTTTCGCTATCTGGTTTATTGATCAGAAGTCAGACATCGGTGATGTGTTTGGAGCTCAAAATTATTTCAGAGGACTAGGAATCTTTATCGATACATACAAGAATGGGAAAAGAGGGCATTTTCCTTATGTGAATTTGATGTTGGGTGATGGTCAAACTGCTTATGATAAAGACGAGGATGGCTTCAGCACCAGATTGGCGGGTTGCACAGCTAATAAGGTTGTCAATCCTGAAAGTGGACAAACGAAAGCTAGAATTGTGTATATCAAGGACGGTTATTTCTCACTAGACTTTAACTACGACGGTGTTGATGGAAAATGGAAAAATTGTGTCACGCTAAGCGATGTTCACTTACCTCAAGTAAAATACTTAGGCTTTACAGCCGAAACAGGAGATATATCACAAAATGTTGATGTCATAGAGAATAAGATTTATGCTCTTTACAAGTCTGAGGGTAGTTTCATTACGTCATTTGATGAATTAGAAGAACTAATGGGAAAAAAGGAAAAATCGATCGAAGACAATAAAAAGAAGAACGGTCGTCGTGGAAGGAATAATACTAAACAACGGAAGTCAGTTCGGAGACTTAGAAATGCTGAGAAAAGAATCAAAGAACGAGAAAAGAAACAAAGATTAGAAAAGTATGGAGATGAAAATGCTCATTTTTTCAATAGACTTCTTAAAAAGGCTAGACTTGTTCTCAAAATGATATTATACTCATCTGTAGTAATTTTTTTACTTTGGGTAAGCTTTACTGTCTACAGAGTACAAAAGCAAAGGAGAAAACCAAAGGTCACTGGGTTATTAGATTAAATTAAATTATTAATATTGCATAAATTAGGTATATAGCAAGACAAACACATTTCATTTGTTTTTTGAGCTATTTTATCTATTTCCTTTTTCTAATTGAATTATTATTGTTCGTACCATTTTTCAACAACGAAGAGTTGTTTGCAGCATTTAAAAGCTTATCATTGTCGGCACTTTTTGTGGTAATCGTAAGACCATAAACATAGCGCTTTATTCCAAATGCCTTATGAATCGATTGAGTAAGTAAGCCTTCCTTAGGAGCATTTAAAAACGGACTAAGCTCGTAAGACTCTTTAATCAAACCGAAATGGTTATTTTTTAATGTTTTAACAAAATCTTTATCGAAGGAGTACGCTTGAGCGGTAATGTAGATTTTGCAGCCTTCTGAATCATATTTTCCCTTTGTATTCTCTTCAAATAGTTGCCTTGATCTTAAAACCGCCCAATCAAGTAGTAACTTATCAAAGTCAACTTTAGCGAAGACTTTCCGCACATTTAATGAAGTAATTAAAACATAGAAAGTACTTGCAGTTGATTTTTCAGGCAACAGTTTTAATGTGATTATGGCAATTGGCGATTCACGATATGTTATGATGTGAGTGTTATCCCCATTTTTGAGCAATTTTAATTCCTTAGGTGAAAGAGCTTCCTTATTTTTGGACGGCAATTTTGCAAATTTGACTAGATCAAATCCGTACAATTCCTCTATCTGTTCCTTTCCTGTCAAGCTATCACTAATTGCCTTAAATTCATCGCTGATCAAATAGGTAGATATACCGACCACTCCAAAAGTCATCACTAAAATTGGAAAGATAGTCGTTATCTGGTATTTCATGTCATTGCTCTTCTTCAAATATTGAAAAAAGTCTCCCAAACTATTTGAAAGTTCAATGTAGTCATAAATTTTAAATATTAAATATCCAATAGTTGTTACCAAAATGAATAAAACTGAAAAAGGATGCCAGAAAACATGACGATTCAATTTTGACTGTAATTGTCTGAAATAATCCCCATGTAGGTTCAAAGATGCCTCAGATAGGTCTGGCCTCAAGCTAGTGGTACTTAAAGTTGGTTTCGTTTGGGCATCTAAAGGCACGTTCAAATTTAGTTCCTGTTGCTTCACCATCTTCCAGATAGTTCAAATAATCTATGGTATATTCCCTCCTTTACTACGTAATTTTACTACGTGAAGTTGTATTAAATGGAGGATATATCAAAGATCAAAAATTATGTCAGTTGCTATTTTACTGGCAACGACGTTACAAACCTTCAATGGATTAAATCTTTGAAAATGTTAAATTTGTTTTATTGATAGAGATGGAAAATTTTTAGATCGATCTCAAACACGTGGCTTTCTATTTTAGATATGAAGTTGCAAAGTTGCAAATACTCAGGAATTGAAATTGCCTGTCACTTCAAAGATAGAGCTCTTACACGAAGATCGCCATCGTATATATCAAACATGTATTGTGTATCTCATGTCTACCATCCTTTGATGTAAGGAACACGCCTTTCTTTTTTATAAGTGTTAGTCTAACTTAAGAAGTGATTCTATTTGAAATCGGGCGACATATCGCAACTCTGACACATACCTAGTGAGTAGATTGCGTGTTAAATCAGGTCTAACAAGCATTGTAATTGCATATTGGGACAAACTGTAGGTTTTGTGAAAAGATTATTGTAGGCCACAAAGAGGATTTCTGAGTGATATTTCGCAGCTATATGCGCTCCATTAGTTATATTTAATAAACAGTAAACTAGATACGACTACAATAACCAAAGCAACCTTCAGATGTACGAAGAAAACAACCACAAAAGTGCCCTTAAGGAAAGACTAACAAATTTCAAAGATAAATGTAACAGAAATAAAGGTGGTGGATGGTCAGGATACCTCACTAGTGCTTTCCAAATAGTTCAAGACGCAATTCAAACGATATGGGACCAAAAAGAAGAAAACTTGATCCTGTCAATCTCACCAAGAAATATTTCACAACTAGAAACTTCGAATCCTAAACATCTGGCTAAACTGACAACAGAGATTAGAGTTATAGATGAAGATATGGAGTGTGTGAGGAAACCCAAAAATGAAGGAGACGTGGTCCTCTTCGGATTACCATCATTATACATTTCTGAGTCTGAAAGCTCATCTACAGATTCAACATTTATCAACAATTCAGATTACGTGAATTTTGGCCATTCAACTGACAGAGACATGAACTTCGAAGGAGGAAGTGAAACTGAATCCGGGAGAAGTTTACCCAGTCTCTACTCCAGCAGACTTACTACTACATCACCATCCTCTAATTGGCCATCAGTGACTATAAATGATGCTCCTGAACTCTTGATGAAGAAAGTCAGATATTCAAAAGAGTTTTGAATCAATTTTCAACATCTATTTGAAGTTTTTACATAAATTTGTTCAAGTTTATTAAATTAGAGCTATGAAAAAAATCAAGAAGCCAAAGGAGCGGTAAACGCATATATTCTTGCTATCAATAAGTTAAATCTTCTCTATGAAGCTCGTTTTCATGTTCTTTACCCAAAACCAGCTAAAAATGGGGTTTTGCAATAAAATCGATCGTGCAGCAACCACTGCAGTAATGAAATTTCCTATGTACATCATCACCACATTTTATTATTGAACTAGAAGAAATACCAGGGGGACAATGACAACTAATGAAGTATCTCTGCTAAATATACCGATACCTCAATATCCTAAATTCCCTTTAAGATCCTCTCTTATAAATAAGGATCCTGTAATATGGGTGCATCTCTTAGAAGGATATATTAAGCTCTTCGAATTTTTGGTTGATTCAGAACATTGTTTAAAAAGCTTGGAAGTCAAATCACAGCAGCAGCTACAGCAGTTCTTAAAAGTATATTTAGAGGAAGTATCCGAGGAACCTAGCAGAACGATTTCCTTGGGATCGGTGAATCCCCAGATCACCTCCAATTCAGTTGTTTTAAGAGCTTATGTTTTCCAATTCATCAAGTCTTTTAGCGTCATAAGGGCAAACTTGACAGCAAAATCTCTATGGGACTTTATTAAAATATATGTCGAAAAGAACTCCACAATTGTTCGTGGCTTGATCGATGGGTCGTTTAAATCTAAGTTTAACGATAACAAAAAGTCAGGTAAGATAAGCTCTATCGACTCTGTTCAAAGACACCTAATCGATTTATTAGAGAATCAGAAGATCTCGATTCAGGACTTGAATACACTTTATATATTATTGGGCCAACATATAAGTCCTCAAAAAGCTACCAAGATAAGTATAGATAGAAATGGGATAAATCTGTCTGATGCTAAAATTGTGAATAAAAAGCTGAATGCTTCGCTGTTTGCTGAGTCTTTCGTTTCCAATCGTTACATTGAGGCTTTAGAAACACTTTATGACGGAAGCAGAGGCTTGAAAGCAAAATGCATAGAAAAAATCATGATTACTTCAATAATTTCATTGTCAACTTCAAAGGTTGCTAAGTTAGCGACTTCATTGGACATAGATAACGCAGAATCTTTAAAGAAATGTCCCTTATTTAGCTCAATAATATTGTCTTCGTCATATAAGAAACTATTACCTGGTCTTGAAGAACGTTTACCGTTTTTGAAAAGTATATCTTTCTCAGATAAGGCTCCCTCAGCAATTGATGAAACCCATATAGCCACGCTTTGCGAGTTGTTCCCTCAATTGACAAGAGGACAAGCGCAGTCTGTGTTGAGAGAGAATGACGATGATGTGGAGCATGTGACAAATATGTTGTTGAGTGATTTCGATTTGATTTCTTCAATTCCTGATGAAGGTCAAGTTGAATCGCAATTCAATGAAAAATCTCCCACAAAAAGCCTTGACTTGACACCTTTAGAAACGGAAAGATTTGCTCGGAATGCTGGACGAGAGACTATTTTAGTAGGCAAAAAGAAAACCTCTTTAGATGAAGTGACTGAGGATTTCAAAAAACTGACTTTGTCGGCGGCATTAAGGTTGATATATGATAGCGATGACGACGAGCCAGACGATACATATGACGATCAAGAAAATACAACTGGCGTTGATGAAATGATTGAGGATGACGACGATATAAATGCGACTAATCAAAGAGCTTCATCTCAAGTTAAATCGGCAAAACAAGGTATATCCGGTTTAAGACACACGTTTACTGCCTCTGAATGGGCTCTCTTTGACATATTTAAAACCAAGGGTGCTTCTCAATTTGATAAAACCAAGAGAAAGTCAAAAGAACGGAAAGAATTGAAAGAAATTACGAATTGGTCGGATGAACAAATAGAAGGTTGGTTTAAAATGTTGATGAAGTCCCCAAGAAGGTTTAGGGCACTTGAAGAAGAATTTTTGTACACTGGAAATCCAAATAGAAACCCCTCGAAAGATCGAAATCCTATCAATACAAATGAAGAGAAGAAGGATATTGCCGATGAAGAGCAAAACGACAAAACTAGTACATCAAATCAAAATTCATCAAAAGATCATCATCCCAGGCATGCACATAATAGAAACGGTAAAAACAAGAAAAGCAACAATAAAAAGGCTCTGAAGATGAATGATTCAAGATTCAACTAGGTTATGTAAATAGCTACTATTATTTAATGCACACTTATATCTCACCCAATTAGTAATATACACGACTGGCTCTACTTATCTAACATTGAATATCGAATATCGAATATCAAAACCAAATTGATCTCGTTCGAAGACCGTAGCATACCAATTTTGATCACCGAAATGATTACTGCGTTATTTATATTCGATTCGAAAGGTGATGTTCTTATGTCAAAGCTTTACAAAAGTGGCTTAAAAAGGAATATCGCTGATGTTTTTCGGATTCAAGTTATCACTAGCACTTCGAAGAGTTCATACGGCAATAGCGCAAACGATCCTCGTTCTCCGGTACTTACATTAGGGTCCACATCATTTATCTATATCCGCTCAGGCCTACTTTGGATATGCGCGGTAACTAGATCTAATCAAGACTGTTCCACAATCCTTGAATTTTTGTATAACCTCGAGGCTCTACTTAGATTGTTGTTGATTCGTGGAAATGACAATAAGAGGCCGCTAACAGATGAGACAATCATTAACAATTTTGCATCTATTTTTGAATTATTGGATGAGGTTATAGATTTTGGTTATCCAACTAATTTGGAATTGAGCTATTTGAAGAATTTAGTTACCGCTCTTCCATCAAGTGACAATATATTTAAGTTACCCAGCAACGTACTAAGGACTTCAACTTCGGTTAGCCAGGTATATAATAATACCAAGAAGTTAATACAGAATAGCCTGGAAATAACATGGAGGGATTCTGGAATAAAATATAGGCGAAATGAAATTTTCCTAAATGTGGAAGAAAAAATTAATGTACTAATGAATAAACAGGGAGAATTATTGAGAGCATACGTTGATGGAGCGATACAAATGAAGACTCATTTATCTGGAATGCCTGAATGTCAGCTTGGTTTAGGAGACGACAGCATATTACTAGGATCTCTCGATGCAGAACCATCTCTTTCGAATTCTGGTAATGTCACTTTAGAAGATAGTAAGTTTCACCAATGTGTTGAATTAAACAAATTTGACTCAAAAAGGATAATCCAGTTTGTTCCTCCTGACGGGGAATTTCAATTGATGTCATATCACTGCATTCTGAATGTTCATTTACCATTCAAAGTTTATTCTCAAGTTCAAGAACTGGGCAAGCTGAAAATAAGTTACAAAATTAGAATTGTGTCATCGTTTCCATCTAAGATTGCAGCGACGAATGTACAACTTAAAATTCCTACCCCAAAAGGGGCTCTTAAATCTTACTCCACAAACTCGGGAGGAAAGTCAAAATTTCATCCAGAGGAGAATGTGCTAATTTGGAAATTTAACAAGTTCTTCGGAGATCTGGAACATGTGCTTACAGCAGAAGTGGATTTCTCTGGCACAAAGGATAATGTAGACTCAAGCAACTCGTTTCTCATGTGGTCTCGACCACCAATCAAGTTGGAGTTTGTTCTCGATATGTTTTCCTGTTCAGGATTGACGGTCAAATTTTTAAGAGTTCAAGAGAAAACTAACTATAGAACAGTTAAATGGGTTAAGTATGCAACCTATTCAGGGTCTTATGATATTCGATACTAGCCATATAGGAATAAGTATAGCATTAAATTATATACAATATGCAGTACTACATCACATGTAGTCTTCAGCTCTTCATTTGCTTTGTTTTAATCGTTGGATGATTTACTTTTCTGCAAGCAAGCAACAAAAAGAAAACCGAATGAGAAATCTTGTAGTTTTGGGAGGATCATCGCATCCAGAACTTACCCATTCGATATGTCGGAACTTGACTTTGAGACAAGGAGTAGTAGATTCAAAGAAGTTTTCAAATGGTGAGACTAGCATTGAAATTGAAGACTCCATGAGGGAGAAGGACGTTTTCATTGTTCAATCAGGCTGTGGTGACGTTAATGATAACTTCATAGAATTATTGATTATGATTGCAGCATGCAAGACTGCAAGTGCAAAGAGAGTGACAGCTGTATTACCTGTTTTTCCATATTCAAGGCAGCCTGACGTCCCTCATGCGGCCTCATTGACAGGGGCGCCATCTATTATGACAACAAAGGACCAATACACGTATGAAAGTTTACCTGGTACTCCACGTTACATGTCGCAAAACGATTACGATATCCCTAATATGCCTACCCCACCACCATTGAATATTAACAGTAATAATTTATTAGAAAAGGCGGCAGCTAATAACATGAGACAACAACCATCTACAAATCCTAATGATGCTACTTCAGCTTTTAAGGCAACATCCATTATGACAAATTCTGCATCTCCAAATATAGCTTCGGTCGATGTCTACGGTAAGACTGACAGTGGCTACAAGCAATGGATTTCTCCCAACGGAACCTTAATAGCAAATTTATTAACTACTGCTGGAGCAGATAGATGCATCACCATGGATTTGCATGATCCCCAGTTCCAAGGTTTCTTTGATATTCCTGTCGACAATTTATATTCAAGGCCATTGTTGAAGCATTACATTGTCGACTACATTCCGAATTATCAAGAATGTGTGATTGTTTCACCTGATAGTGGTGGTGCTAAAAGAGCTACGAGCGTTGCTGATGCATTGGGATGCTCTTTTGCACTTATTCACAAAGAAAGAAGGGCAAAAGCTGCTTCTGTTCCTCCCTCATCGGCTGCCTCTAATACTATTACAACACAACCTAGAAACCCTTCAGCAATGGTAGCTACAACAATGTTAGTTGGGGAGGTGAAGGATAGGGTATGCGTATTAGTGGATGACTTGGTCGATACTTCGTACACTATTACAAGAGCTGCAAAATTGTTGAAAGATCAGGGTGCAAGATATGTTTACGCATTAGTCACGCACGGTATATTTAGTGGGGACGCTATCAATAGGATTAATAAGTCTGCAATCGATAAAGTTATTACGACTAATTCTGTTCCGCAGCTTGAGACTATGCGATCACTTGACTCCAAATTCGAAGTTCTAGATGTGTCAAGAATATTTGCAGAAGCTATAAGACGAATCCACAACGGTGAGTCAGTTTCCATGTTATTCGATCATGGATGGTAAATTTAGAAATAGATCAACATTTTAATGACTTGGGGTCGCTTCTCCACTTTGACGTAGTCTCGCTTGTAGTTGTGGAGCCTGTTGGTTTTGCGAACATCTTGCCAAGAAGGACTTCGAGCCCAAAATCCCAATTAAAGCGTCTATAAATGCTTGCCAGCCTAGACTTAATCAAGAGCCCCCCATATCTTGAACTTTTTGCGGCATTTAGTTGTCTCAACTATGTGAAATAGCTAATGTGGCCAAAAAAAGGAGTTCGGAAATTGATGTCCGAAAGAACTTTTTCCTTTAGGCTCGTTGAAGCGAGCACCGTTAGAGTTTGCTTAAGGGATACCAAATGGGAAGAGAACGGTTAGGAGAGATGTCTCTATTAACATACTTGAATAACCCCATATATTGATGCCCCACCATAAACTTTGCCAGGTGCCAGTTCGTTTAGCGAATTGAACTGTGAAAGGTGCTTGTGTATCTTTTTACGGAAAAGGTCTATTGCAGCCGCCAACACAGTGGTCGCTCTTTTTGTAGTTTACGTGTTAAAAGAAATACAAGAATTAAATAGAAGCGGCGCTAGAGCCACCCCTCTCCTGCTTACATGTAGGTCTGCCGTATCTTTACAGCAAAAGGAATATAGGAAAGAAAGGTTGCCAGACATATATAAGTACGGAGATAAGTTAGTTATTATAGACTAATATATTGGTTTACTAAACAGAAACGGCTTGGCCGATACAATAAATACTGAAAGACACATTGTTAGAACAATTTGATTCTTTCTTTCGAGCTCAAACAAAAGGCAGATAACTAGAGCAATGAGTTTACCAGAAGCAGAATTGCAACGCTTATCATTGCAGAGAGTACCATCTAGCGCATCATCAAACGTCAGCGTTAAGCATGGGTACGTCGATGAGCCATTCTCCGGTAAAAAGGAACAATTTGACGAAGTTTTAGATATTTTGGATAGCACTGGATTCATTCCAGAATCGTTGATAGAGGCAGAAGCCAAGTGGTTCTATGAATCACTAGGAATTGATGATGTATTTTTTGCAAAGGAGTCAGCGAGTGGAATTGCGGGCCACATTCACTCTTTGTACGCTTGTAAGATTCAAGCATACTGGGGTGAAATTGGCGATTCACCTTTAATTCAGTACAAACGAGAAACTGAAGATCATTCAGTGTTTTTTGATACTTCGATTCCCGGAACAGAATCTTATAATAGAAACAGATTTGAGGAAAGAATTGACGATAAACATATCGATCCCTCTTCTTCTGCGTCTAATAGTTATAGGTGTGAAAGTTTCTGTGCTCCATTGAATTACAGTAAAGATCCTTTATTGTCAGGTATTTATCAAAAGAACCCCAATGTAAAGGATCAAATTGTCAGATGTCACTTCGTTTATAAAAACAAATATAAAGATATTGCCGTGTCATCCAATGAAACTGATATTGAAAAAATCGGTGACTTGACCTTTTTGAAAATAGCCTCGAACAACACTAAGCTGTTGTATACTGAGATCATCAAGAATGTTATCAATACGACAGGCCCAGTAATCAGGCATTTCAACATTGAAGATATTGAAGAATATAGGGTTGTCATAGGGTTCAGACAGAAAACCTCTGCCAGATATAACTCTGCTTTAAGTGACTTGGCAAATTACTACAAGCTACAATCTACCAGGAAGTATGTCGAGCAATTTTCCAATGGCGTTACAATAATTTCAATGTACGTGACTCCACTTCAAAAGAAGACTCCAATCGATTTATCGATTTATCAAGTCATCAAGGAGGCGTCTTTATTATATTGTATTCCACACAGCTTTTTTCACGATCGATTCATAAAGGGAGAACTTTCCTTACAAGAAAGTATTTATGCCCAGTGTGGTGTTATTTTCGTCACTCATTTTCTCAACAGATTAGGACCAGAATACACTAAGTTATCTTCTTTATTAGACCCTTCGAAGTCCACTCAACATGCAGAAGTATTAAGTAGTTTAAAGAAGAGGTTAAGGGCAGAAACTTATACTCAAACTTACATTCAGCAGGTATTTAATAGCAAAAGTGAAATTGTTAGAAAATTATACCGTCAATTTGCAGATATCCATTACATTCGATCTTCCATAGAAAAAACTTTGTCCTATCAAAGATTGTCGCAGATAACTCCTGTTGGATCTGAAAGTGATTTCGAAGAATTATTGAATAGGGAATGTTCACAAAATGAATCTCATGCGATTGTTTTGAGGGCGCTCTACGTCTTTAACAAATCGATCTTGAAGACAAACTTTTATGTCTCGACTAAGGTCGCTCTCCTGTTTAGGTTGGATCCATCCTTCTTGCCTTCTTCAGAATACCCAGAAAGACCATTTGGAATGTTTTTTGTAGTAGGAAGTGACTTTAGAGGTTTTCACATTAGATTTAGGGATATTGCTAGAGGTGGAATTAGAATAGTTAGATCAAGGTCAGTGGATGCTTATAATGTTAATGCTAGAAATTTGTTCGATGAGAACTATAATTTGGCTAGCACTCAACAGAGAAAGAATAAGGATATTCCAGAAGGTGGCTCCAAGGGAGTAATTTTGTTGGACCCGGGTCTTGCACAGGAAAGCCCCAAAGCATGTTTTCAAAAGTATATCGATTCCTTAATGGATCTTTTATTGAAGCAACATATTTCTGGTGTCAAAGAAGCTTATGTTGATCTTTACGGACACAACGAAATCTTGTTTATGGGCCCCGATGAAGGAACCGCAGGATACGTTGATTGGGCCACTATACATGCAAGATCTAGAGGGGCACCTTGGTGGAGGTCATTCTTAACTGGAAAGAGTCCAGAAATTGGTGGTATACCCCATGATGAATATGGGATGACTACTTTGTCAGTTAGGGCTTATGTGAACAAGATTTATGAAAAATTAAATATCGACAATGCTAAGATTCGAAAAGTTCAAACTGGTGGGCCCGATGGTGATTTAGGTTCCAATGAGATATTGTTGTCACGGGATGAAAAATACGTTGCAATTGTTGACGGATCAGGAGTTCTTGCCGATCCAAATGGATTGAATAAGCCTGATTTGTTACGTTTAGCTAAAAGTAGATCGATGATTTCAAGTTACGATAGGACAAAATTATCTAAGGATGGTTTCGTAGTCCTTGTCGATGATATAGATGTCAAATTACCTAATGGAAAACTTATTACGAGTGGAGTTGTATTCAGGAACTTGTTTCATTTGAAATTGAAAGAGATATTTGGATCGCATGGCGTCGATTTATTTGTTCCTTGTGGAGGTAGACCGGGAGCTATAGATACGAATAACGTTCATGAGTTAATCGATGAAAAAACAGGTAAGTCTATCATACCCTACTTTGTCGAAGGTGCCAACTTATTCATTACACAATCTGCAAAATTGATATTGGAAAAAGCAGGAACTATCATGTTTAAAGATGCTTCCACTAATAAGGGAGGAGTTACATCTTCTTCCTTAGAAGTTTTGGCTGCTTTATCTTTTGATGACAAAGGATTTATGTCTAACATGTGCGTAGATGCACAGACTGGTAGTAAGCCGAAATTTTACGAGGAATATGTCAAGGAAGTGCAGAGGGTAATTGTCAAAAATGCGCAGTTAGAGTTTGAAGTATTGTGGAGGTTGAGAGAAGAATTGAAGTTACCAATTACCGAATTATCAGACAAACTATCTGTAACTATCAATAAGTTAGCAGATGAGTTGGCCAACTCAAATGAGTTATGGAGCGATGATATTCTGTTCCGAAATGCAGTTTTAATTGATTCTTTGCCGTCAGTTTTATTAAGTTTTATTGGAATTGACAACATATTAGAGAGAGTTCCTGAATCCTACTTAAGAGCATTATTTGCGACACATTTAGCGTCTGGTTTTGTTTATTCCCGTGGTATTGATTCAAATCCTGCAAAATTCTTAGAGTATATTTCATCCATAAAAAGAACCTATCTGAAAGAGGGGTTACTTAAATAGAAACGTGATACGAGTTTTAGATCTTTATACGCCTAGATATAAACGTGGATTCATATGAATCCTTTTAGATTTAAAGTTATGAACTTTTAGTTCAATGCATAAATATAAGAAAAATTTAGTTTCTTGTTTCATTTTCACTTCTGACTTCTTTTAGTCCCTCTAAAGTCTTCTTTCTAGCCACCACTTCATCATTAATTTGGGTAGTAACATAATCACCCACAAGAGCGAATATGAAGGTGGAACCACCGATATAATATCTAGCTTTTACTGGCAAAGCATTCCACTTAGCAAACAAGCCCATCGAATGTGATTTTATCCTTTTATTTTTCAATAAAAAGAGCCTTTGAATAATAAATTAAAATATTCGCTTTATTTTGAAAATTCTATAAAATGTGCGCTGATGTAAGTTTCTTACCTTAGCTCAAATTTTGTTTAATGTCTTCAAAACCCAGAAATGAAATATTGGGTACATGCATAACAGAGCTACCGCCATGTTGTTTAAGGATTTCACCTCAAGATAATTCAGTCATTGTGGTAGGTACTTATAAGCTTGAAGAAGAAGGCACTAGACATGGGTCAATCGATATATATAAGTATTCAAACGATGTATCGTCGAACTACAACTTGAAACTTTTGAGCAAAATAGACACAGAAAGCGCCGTTTTAGACATAAAATTTCACAATTTTGATCCTTCATTATTAGCTCTGTCTCATTCTACGGGTAACGTTGTATTATGGAAGTTTGATATAGAGCAAAAAACATTGGATAAGTTAACGAATATAAAAATTGGAGAGCTGGACTGCTTGGTTACATCAGTCTTTTTCTCTCCTGTTGAAAGCGATAGACTTGTTGCTACTACAACTTTTGGAAATGTGTTTTCGATTGACCTTTCAGACTTTTCGATTTCAAGAATGGAGAAGGCCCATGAGTTAGAATGTTGGACGGCATCATTTGGTGAGTTGGGTCAATTAAGCAATGTTGTATATTCTGGAGGAGATGATGGGAAATTGATTGCTCATGACCTAAGAACAAGACAGGAAATATGGTCAACTAGTCATCAACATCATCAAGCAGGAGTGGTTTCAATTCTATCACCAGGTTCTGGTTGGAATACGCATAACCCCAATCAACTTTGGACAGGATCTTATGATGATAATTTACGTATTTTGGATCTCAGATTACCGGATCCTGAGACTTCTTCATTAATTCCAGGATATGTTCCGAAAGTCATAGAAGAAAAAAATTTGGGAGGTGGCGTATGGAGGTTGATTCCCAGCCCTTTGGTCAGTGACAATAGGGTTTTAAGCTGTTGTATGTACGATGGGGCTAGGATTTTAGACTCAAAAGGTAACAGCATTGAAGTGGACAAATATTTTAAAGGCGAACATAATAGCATATGCTATGGAGGCGACTGGGCTTCCAATGGATCACTTGTGGCTACTTGCTCTTTTTATGATAAAGTATTGCATCTATGGTCGCCAGACGAGCCAGTCATCTATAACTAATTTGTATTATACGTATAGACCTTTTAACTATGTAAACAAAGTTAGGTTTAATGGAACTGATGAGCCTCTTCCGCTGGGATATAACTTCGTTTGTTCACCATGCTCACCAAATCTTCTAGGGTTTGGTAGAGAACTTGCATTTGTAAACTTAAATCGCTTCTCCTTATCTTCAATTACTACTTTAGAAGTATTATTCGATTCACCATTCTTTTGGCTAGAGGGGTTGATAGTATATGTCAGAGCGGAAATATTTCGCAACGATTGACCAGCTTGTTGTTGCAGATGAAGAATCAGGCTCTTGTTACCGACTTCAGAATGAGCAGGTGGCGGAGGTGGCGCCGTCTTCTTAGTTTTAAAGCTATGAGAAGAGAAAGAAGACGAAATATTTGAAGGGGGCTCTGAAAATGGACTTGGTGGAGGAGCTGTGGAAGGAGCGGCAGGTGGTATTGAAGGTGGCGCTGAAGGAGGCATCGGAGGTGCTGGTGGAGGTGGTGTATCTTTTTGTGGTGCTTCAGGCGTCGTATCAAATAACATTGACTTGGAAGGAGGTTCGAATGATGGCACGGGAGGAGCTTTCACTTCATTTCTGTTGTCCTTCAATGAAGGAACCATCGGAGTAGGAACACTGCCAGGTATTGGAATAGGTACTCGGGGAGCAGGAGCAGATGGAAGCAGAAAGTCACCATCCTTCTTGCTATTGTCTGATAGTTTATCACTTTTTAACGAGTGCATGTTTTTGGTCGTAGTTTCATGTTGCTTGGCGTTAATTTCTTCTAGAAAAGGTAAACCTGACGCTAAAGATGGAGGCAATTTTCTTCCAGAAGAAGGAGGCTCTTTACTTTGTGGGGTGTTGGATACATTTGTTTTTGGTAATGGTGGAGGAATCGAGGGAAGAGAAGGTGCTTTGATAGTATCCACATTGGAAATATCTGATTTTGGTGCAATAGATTTTGATGATGCTTTATCGACAGAATCTATGACGTAGGTGTCATCTCTCTTGGCATTTATATCTGCTAAGAATGGCAAAGCCCCAGGTATTGGAGTCGCTGCTTGCGATTTAGAAGGATTTCGTGCTTTAATCCCTGTATTATCGGCTTTATTTGTGCCCCGATGACTGCCACTTAATAACGAAGGTATCGGAAGAGCTGGTGGTGGTGGTGGAGCCGAAGGTATCGCTGGCGCCGAGATAACTGGCGGAGGTGAAGGTGGCGCTGGAGGAGGTGGTGGTGGTGCAGTACTCGAAGGCAATGGTGGAGCAGGGAAAGTTGGTAGAGGGGGCGCATTTCCAGTTGGCAAAGGCGGTATGGAGGATGGTAATGTCGGAGGTTGGGATGGTAGCAGCGGCGGAATCGAAGGGGGAGGTGGTGGGGCAGGAGGAGCAGGAGGAGGAGCTGGCACACCCAATGGCACTGGTGGTCGCAGCGAATTCTTCCTTTCAATTCCCTCGATTGAACTTATGGAATTGTTCGTGGAATGCCCAGGTTTTCTGGGCCTTGAAGTCGGAACGACAGGAGGTGGTCCACTAGGAATTGAAGGAGCATTGTTGTGCTTTGAATTCAGCGGTCTGACTGGAACCCGTGGCATATTGCTACTTTGAATTGGAATTGAAGGTGGTCTAGCATCTGAGTTATGATTACTTTTGTTGATGTGCTTCAACTTTGGTATACCTGCAGCAAATATGTCACCTAACTGTGGGGCTCCACTAGGAGGAGCTGCTGGGATTGAAGGCGCTGACATAGAAGCACCGGGAACGGATGCGGCTGGAGCAGAAGCTTTTGAATCAATAGCTGGTTTAGATTTATCCACTGTGACAGCTTTCTTCAATTTGGTTCCTTTTCTAATGTCTCCCAATAACGCATCTCTACCAGGAGGCATGACAGGTGGTGGGCCAGGAGGTAAGTCTCCTGAAGACCCTCCCAATGTCATGGGAGGAGGTGGAGGTGGAGGAGGGGGCCCTGGCATTATATCTTCAGTAGATTGTTGGCTAATATTGTATTTATATCACACTACGATTTAGTGATTTTACTAGTTTAAAAAATATGGCACGTGATTTTCTATACAAGCAGGACTGGTGAAGTATTTACATTAATCTTTATACTCATTTCACTCCGAAGCTTAAATTATCGTACCCAAAAAGCCAGGGCCCTAGAGTATGTCTAACAAGGATCATGCTGAGCCCAATAAAGAGTTGTAGAATGAGAATAAGTACACACAACGAGTCTTCTCTCATAGGGCCAAACCAGACAAGAAATAGATTAATGATTGTCATATTTGAAAACTTAATTTTATTCAGATTTTTATCTCTTTCTAATTTTATCAAATAGAATTTGTTTAATGTATTCAATAAAGTCAGTGAAATCATTGATTTTTTCGTCAATTCCCCAAAGCTTGGATACATCAAACCATCCTGCGAATTGAACTTCGGTAAACGATGTCTTGGACAAGGAACTACTCCAAATATCTGCGGGGCTGAATAAATAAAATTGATAATCTGTGGCAATAAGAAAATCAATAAGGTCTTCGAAAAATGCCCTAAAATTCCAACAATTGCGAATACCATTCCGCTAAAATAGCAATATGTATCTCCAACAAACACGCGGGCAGGATACCAATTGTACTGAAGTAAACCTAAAGAAACACCAATGAAAGGAATTATGAAGATAGCTGAAAACAAATGAGAATCACGAGCAGCTGGAGCGACGTCTTTTGAAAAGAGATAGCACGCATCATTTATAAGGAATATGATTGCGAGAACTATGGATTGGCCAACTTCAAGGCCATTAATTCCCGCCAAAATGTTTATTGAGTTTGGAGAAAAAATTGAAATCGCTGACATGTAGACATAGTAAAAGATACCCAAATCCATCATCTTAGGACTAGTATCGGATATGACGAAATCCGATGACAAGGTGCTGAATTTTAAACCAGTGACATATGATACTGCATGGTTCCCAAATCTAATCCAAGTATCTAATATTTCAAGGAAGAAATTTCCACCTGGAATCGAACCAATGAAATTAGGCACTACTATCGACGTTACACTAAAATCGACGTAATACACTATCAACAAAGGCAAAGATGCAACACAAGGTAGAAAAAACTTGTGGCGCCATCTGATATCGAACAAATCGTCAAATAAGCCTAAAAGTGTTGTACTTTGTAAGCATAACATGGCGCTTAAATAAGCAGCCAACTTATTGTGAGGAAACAACTTGTTATCTGACAAAGACAGATACTGATCATTGTAGTTATCTGAGATCGATGAGTCGCTTGATAATGAAGTAAATGATATTAAATACTTGAAAAAAACGAACGGTATCAACCAGAACATTAAGAATAAATAAGTTACTGCTGAAACAACTCCCATGGACTCTGCAATCTCTTTTACCGGCGGAGGCTTAGACATATCTCTACCTTTTAGTCCAATCTTCATGAAACTATGAGTCAATTTGGGTATCAAGCTCGAAGTTATGACATATCCAAGTCCACCGAATGCAACCAGCGTTTTCAATGGGTTATTTCGAGTTACCAAAGATAGCGATATTACCAAAATACATCCCCTTACATATGGCTTTAGAGGCATAGTATACCCTATCTCCCTTTATCGCTATAACCCTATCAGAATTAGTTGTATTGAAATAGACAATATCAATTGTACATGTATTATTTTTCCGCGACTGCATGTTGTATATTTCCTTATAGCTTTCACTTAATTTCTGGTTGTATAAAGCTTTGTAAGAATTGCATCAAAGCAGTGAAAGAATGAAGCCTTTTTTAACGGGCCATGAAGAATTGATTCATGATATTAAGTATGATTTCTATGGTAAGCATATCGCTACTGCTTCCTCTGATCAACATATAAAGGTCTTTGACCTCGACTCATCAACTTCAACTTGGGTATTAAACGATCTGTGGAAAGCCCACGATTCACTGATAACAAGAGTAACCTGGGCTCATCCTGAGTTTTCCAATTCCAAGTTGTTGGCTTCTTGCTCATTCGATCGAACTGTGAAAATATGGCAAGAGCAGCCAGATGAGTTACATGGTTCTGGCAGGAGATGGATAAGGTTGGCTACCTTAGCAATTGAGTCTTACGCCCCAGTTTATGATGTGGAATTTGCGCCTAACCACTTGGGTTTGAAGCTAGGGTGTGTTGGATCGGATGGAATATTTAGGATTTATGAGTCTATAGAGCCCGCTGACTTAACTACTTGGGCTTTGACTACGGAGTTACCCATATTGAGCCTGCAGTTACCGGCTAAAAGCTTGCAAAGTAGCTTTGAGATTGAGTGGTGTCCATCAAAATTTAGCAAAACTGAGAAGTTTATAGTGATTGCACTAGATCAAGGATTTATTTACGGAACTACAGATGCCGCACAATTCAATAGCTTTGATGCACAGAATGGTTCGGACCCAGACCAAGAAAGTGTGGGGACAGATAACAAATACACAAAAATCTGCAACTTACCTGACCACAATGGGTTGATAAGGTCAGTTAGCTGGGCACCTTCAATGGGAAGAAGTCATCACTTAATTGCTACAGGCTGCAAAGATGGATACGTTAGAATATTTAAAGGAATAGAATTAGCAAATGGAGATCTTAAACTTGAGACGGTTGCAAAATTGAATGACCATAAGCTGGAAGTGTGGCGTGTTAATTGGAACGTCACTGGAACAATACTAAGCTCTGCTGGTGACGATGGGAAGATTAGACTTTGGAAGTCAAACTTCTTAAATGAATGGAAGTGTATGAGCGTAATAAACACAAGCAACAGAACTGGAAACAGGATAGTGAAAGATGAATTCACTACGCAGAGAAGTAATGCACGTTAATTTTGTTAACTAATATAGTCTATGTATATTAAATAATAATGATTATTTAACTTTTCTTCTTTTTTTGTCTCGACTTTCCTCGCCATTTTCTTCCAACCGTTTCCATATATATTCATCATCATCACTACCGTCACTGCTTCCATCTTCCACATTGCTTTTTGGTAATGATTGAGAGCCTGATTGTCCCATATCAGGCTCATCAGAAATGACGGATTCACCTGCGTCAGTAGAACTCAAGATTAAAACATCTGATATTTCTACCCCTAAATATACCTTCGCAAGAATTTCTCTAGTCTCGGTATTGAATACCCTAAGATACCTGTCCAAGCCGCCAGATGCAAGGATTCCAGTGTCTGAAATCTTAATTCCATTGATCGTACCCGTGTTACCACCAGATGAAAATTTTCCCAAAAGCTTCAAGGATGGGCGGAATATGTCCCCAGCAGTAGCAGAATTTTCTTTGAATGCTCTTTTGTCTATCATAGATAAAGAATATTTAGCAAGAAGACCGCGTGTATCAGTTAATGTAAGTTCATCGTGCAGTTTCGAACCAATGGCTATATTGGTTATCGGGTTACTGCAAAGCTTAAATGATTCGACCGGTCTTTTTCCATGAGAAGTATCATATATTTGCAAATCTCCTTGCTTAGTCACAGCCAAGAATTTAAATATACCCTCAGGATGATCTAAAAATTTGATTTTGCTAATTGAAATGGGGACTCTCATGTCTAAGTAGTTATTTTTAACATTCTTAGAGGAGAAGATTACAGATGGGATCAAAGATTGATTTTTGCTTTTGAATAACTCTTTAGAAATTGGGCCTTGGTTTATTCGAATCAACTTTATATTGTTCTCTTCTCCGCCATAGGCAAAGACTCCTACCTCGTTTGGGTCATTTACGAAATCCGACATTTGCTTGTCTCCAGGAACTTTAAAAGAGATGGGATCGAGGTCAAATTTTCCATCATTGAAATTGACTATATAAACATTTCCGGATTTGTATGCCACCAATACTATATCAACATTCTCCAACTTAATTAAAGCAATAGGAATATCATCTTTCGATGTCTCCAACATATAGGTATGAAGAAGATTAAAATTATCTCCTTCATTATTAGAATAGCTGTTCTCATAAACACAGAGGCTTCCTCCTAATCGTGTCGCTAGGACATATTTAGAATTAAATAACTGTAAATGAATAACTCTCGTAGCTGACGAGGACAAAGGTTCAAGACAAACATCTTTAATTAATTGTGGTTGAGTAGCATCCTTCTTAGATGTATCTGTTCCACTACAGCAAATCACTTCTTTGACAGCCCCTGTATCCAGTGAAGTTGCTAGAAATCTCATTTATGAGGAGCTTAATGTTGTTGCATCCATTTGAAGCATCCGATGAGATGCTGAAAAAAATAATGCACCATCTTCTATTGAGAGACGGCATATAACTTCTATTATGCCCCATGAGAAGTGTGTTACTAGCAATTCCTAAAGGGAAGCAGGATTTCCAAGATTACCTTTTTAAAGTTCCAAGTGATTTTATTTCATATTATTTTACAAAATAGCGTAATTTGAGGTAAGGAAGCAGGTAAGTTCAGTAAAATAAACAATTTCAAAAATGGGTTACAGCACTAATAATTAAGTACATTTATTGTTGCATAAAAACTTATCTCGTGAACATCGACTTCGTGGCCAAGCTGGCTAAGGCGTGAGACTGTTAATCTCAAGATCGTGAGTTCGATCCTCACCGAGGTCGTGTTTTATATGCCTTTATGGCCAAGTTGGTAAGGCACCTCACTAGTAATGAGGAGATCGTCAGTTCGAATCTGGCTGAAGGCAATTTTTTTTTGTTTTTGGTTCATCAATTCAATGATACAAAGTCTTTTACAATAACAGTAAAAATTCTTTATGATTACCTACAGATCATACATCACCTCAAAGGCATAGATAATATGAGTTTTCTTGTTCATTCCATCATTTATTTTTATTCTCTGTTCTATTTAAGTAAATCAAGCCTTGTCAGATTTTTTCAAAGCTAATTTGACCTTTTTAGAGATACTAAGCTTGTAAGATCATGGTATTTCTAACACAATAATATTGTCTCGCTACTCTTCCATACTTAAAGGGTAAAGTGAAGCACTTGTATTAAGTTAGTCTTAAATTCACTGAAAAGCCGTCTTCGGGTACTCAGATAGGGGTGAAAGACATTTTAAAAATTAATTATGTTGTCGCTCATAATAATCGGATGGTTATGTATCATCATAGTACCATTAAGAATCATGAAGAATACTTACTATTGGATATATACCATTGTTCCTTTCTTAAAAGAAATATAAAATTTTCAATTTTTGGTAGTGCCCTTGTTTCATTCATAGTACAATATGGTTTTCACGATACCTGCGGCGAAGAAGGTATAAAGCTAACATTTAACATCTAAGTTAGATTCTTTTACTATATTATCTTATAGAAAAAATAGAAAGGCAAGATGGCAGTTAAGGGATTAGGTCAATTAGACCAAGATTACGACGGTATGTAAAATAAACTAACTGAAATGTCAAAATCATTTGCTAACGACCATTGTAGGTTCCAATTTGCGAATCGGCATTCTTCATGCTAGGTGGAATAAAAAAATCATCGATTCATTGGTAGATGGAGCAATTAAGAGATTGAAGGAGCTTAAAGTCAAAGAAGAGAATATTATAGTAGAAACAGTCCCAGGATCATTCGAACTTCCGTTTGGAACCAAGAAGTTCTTTGAGAAGCAGGAAAAGTTAGGAGAGCCATTAGATGCTGTAATTCCTATTGGAGTCTTGATTAAAGGTTCAACGATGCATTTTGAGTACATTTGTGATGCTACAACTTCTCAACTTATGAAGTTGAATTTTGAAATTGGCAAGCCTGTGATTTTTGGAGTACTCACATGTTTGACTGAGGAACAAGCGGAAGCCAGAGCTGGGTTAATTTCAGGAAAAATGCACAACCATGGAGAAGACTGGGCTGCTGCTGCAATCGAGATGTCTACTAAATTCAACGTCTAAGCAGAGTTCCTTGTGTTTGTAGTTGTATTTAATTTCAACAATTTATATACATCCTCAATAACCTGAAGTAGCTAATGTAACGGATATCGTAATAACGGAACAATAATATTTAGCGACGATGCAGTGCCTGCCAAAAGCACTTTTAGAATGATAGAGATCTAATTTCAAAAGTCCTAATACGATTCTTAGATGTTGGCCAATATACAGATATGCTAGGTCCGATACTAAATAATAGAGCTGCTACATAAAGTTGCGGATTTGAACCATCTTTATTCGTACGATATATTTCATAAACCGTTAGTGCAATAAAAATTCAACCATGGCTCGCATAGGTAATAAAACTCTTGTAAGTCCAAATCAATGGACTTGCCGTTCTTCAATTGGGCTGATGCTATGAACGATGGACCCAATCGTAGATCTCTTATCGCCTTTACGTAAATATAGTATCAAACACTTTTCATGAAATAAAGGAGTTAAAAAAACATAAAAAAAGAGAGAGCGACGGAACGACTGTGAGTATGCTGATTCATGAATTGCCGTGTTTCCTATGTACGATCTGTCATTTCTGTTTCAGTACTTTATGGCTTGAAACTGTGGACCACAAAGGCAATCACCGATTGCACGACCGAAAAAAGAAAGTAGATTAGCTATTCCGAGATAAAACAAGGACATTAATTTAAACGGATAAATAGCAACATCAATACAGGCGTACTTTACGTTTCAAAGCAACATATTAATCAGAGAATAAGGAAATAGAAAGTAACACTCAGGAACTGAATATTAAAGGAAACAATTAACAAGATTCGACAATCGAGTATAACAGATAATGTCTATTAATCCATCCTCATACAAGTATAGTACCATAAATTACAGTGCAGCAGCGTCTGATGCCCAAGAGACTGGAAGTATATTTTCCGATGATCAGTCTCTGTATGTGCTATTTAATCCTGTAAATGCTGAATCTGATATTTTATCATTAACTAATAGTACCAAGACAGAACAAAATTATAGCGATGAAGGCGATGGTAATGAAATACATGACCACGAGCTGCATTCTTCCTACCTCCCAATTAACAGCATTGATCGTAATAGGATACTAGAGAGTACTGCGACAATCAGTAAGTTTGACCGTATTAGCAATTGGAATGCGGAAAAAGACATGTCAGAATTGGTAGATGATAATATAGCTAGCTGGAATGTGGATGAGAATATCACTCAAACGTCGGTCATGAAGAGGGAATTTTACGGTGATGAATTGTTCAAGAACTTTTCCAAGAAAGAATTACAGGACTTCAGAAAATACCATTTGCGGAACAAACTTACAGTTAATGATAAGAATTTAATAAATCAAATGCTTATAAAACTTCTTCTTGGAAATAAAGATCTGCAGCATTACAGAAGTTTTACAAGAAGTGCAACCTTGAGTCAAAAAGCAAATGATTATCTTAATAATTTTAATGGTTTGGAGTTTAGTGACACAACTAGCTCATTGGTCTTATGTGGGGGAGAAGGCGCAAGTTCATCATGGAACGATATATAATTTTTAATGAGACTTACGTTTTTGCTGTTGCTCGTTGTAGCTATGGGCTCATGGTCAGAGGGTTAACGAAATATTGGTTCATTTACATAGGTATAATTAGGTTTGGTTTTAGTTTACATGAACAATTTCATTGTCTCGGTCAACTGATATTTTTGTACTAGATGGTACAAGAAGATATTCAGGTAATTATATCAAATGAAGTACACCGCCTTCATTAGACTTCGAAACATTACCATGTATATCTCTATATATAATTATAATTATATCTACTGTCCTGAAGAAATGTTTTAGGTAATACAAGATTCGTGATGAAAGACCTTACGCCCAATTCCACTAAGATAAAAGTTGTTGGACAAGCCAAATAACCATCTGTGAATTTAAAAACCGGATTACAGCTTGTCGTTCAGTCAATCGTTGATCTTCTTATCTCCGTATCCGACAAAATTAGGCATACTTGGCCAGCAAATATATAGTACAACAACTAAGTAAAATCTAATATGCCTATCTATAGCAATCCATATCAGAGTCTCTGTTGTCACTTTTATTTATATCAGTCAACTGATGTCTTAAAATAGTAACATCATGTTTTGCAGTATTCTAAATAAGATTTCTATCCAAACCGGCACAAGGCAAAACGCTACACATACAGATTCTATCGAAACAGAACACATTTACTAGTTTGTTAGCATCCTTATTGAAAGGAGAAAATATCGAAAGAGCCTCGTACTTTTGAGGTGTAGGATTTGTTTTTTCTTTTCTTTTTGCTGGTTTCCTCAACGGCCATCTGCACACTACCCTCAGTTCTTTGGTAAATTTCAGCGAACTCATAGGCAACTCACAGTCACTGGATACTGGAAGCATAAGAATGAGTGGTTGTAAGTATACATTAACAAACCTATATATATTTGGTGTTACTAACTATTTGCTAAGTTCGCCTTCTTGATTTAATTAAGTTTTTTGTTCCTCTTTTACCAGAGGTTGAAATCACTGATGAAAAAATTCTGTTCGACGAAAGAATTGTGTTCACAGTTGGCAGTGCTATAATCTATTTGTTTGGACAATTGCCTCTTTATGGTCTCATCCCTAAGGCAACGTATGCGATTGAGGATCCCTTCTTCAATTTAAGACCCATTTTCTCGATGGAAAAGGGTACCCTTTTAGAATTAGGTCTTTTGCCAATAATCACGTCTGCCCTTTTATGGCAGTTAGCTGCTGGATTAAAGCTTATCAGAGTCAATCTCAGTTTAGCATCGGATAGAGAGTTGTTTCAATCAGCTCAAAAGCTTACTAGTTTATTCCTTGCTCTTACTTATGGCCTTGGCCTAATTTTCAGCGGATATTATGACAAGGTTATTCGTGGCTACGACCCTTTGCTGGATGGGGCTCTTCCATACGGATCGTATGCCATATTATTAGCTCAGATTGTCGGCTGGTCCTTTATCTTGACTTTGATGGTTGAAGTCTTTGACAAAGAATACGCCTTCGGAGGAGGTATATTTGGATTTTTAACACTCCAAGTAGCTACCAGCTTGGTAAGGGACTTGATAAGTTTTGAAGCAGTACCATTAGCTAATTCAAACAAGTCCGAAATATATGGAACTTTGATCTACTTGATTAGGGGTTATAAGAACTTGCCTTCATCTATTTTGAATGTTTTCAATAGATTATATTTGCCAAATTTCTATCAGATATACCTTGTGATAATTACTGGAGGATTAGTGATATATTTACAAAACTTTAGAATTGAATTACCAATTAGATCCAACAAAGTTAGAGGCATGAATAACGTGTACCCAATAAGACTTTTATACAATGGGGCATTACCAGTGCTCTTCAGTTTCACCGTTTTGGCAAACATCCAAGTTTTTGGTTTCATTATTTCCCAAGTCTTTGAATTACCTTTCATTGGTACTTGGCAACTCGACGTATCCTCTAACAACTTGGTTTTAAGCTCTGGATTATTATACTACTTGAATGCTTATTCAGCATCATTACTCGACGCATTATTGTCACCAATCAAATCAATAGTGTGTTTCATAGTCGTTATTGCTTCCGCAACTTGGTTCGCTACCGTTTGGAGCAAGATTTCGGGTGCAGCTCCAAGAGATATTTCAAAACAGTTTAAAGATCAAGGCATTTCCATTTTAGGTAAGAGAGATGCTTCTATAACTAAGGAGTTATCTAGAGTCATTCCAGTTGCAGCAGTCAGTGGTGCTTCTGTGTTAAGCTCGCTTGCATTTGCCAGTGAATTGCTTGGTGGGACTGGAAGGGGAGTTGCAGTTACTATCGGAATTACATCTGCATTCGGTATCCTAGAGGAGTTTATGGTCGAATATCAGCAAGCAGGAGGTAACTCCCAATTTACAGGCGCTTTTGGTGGTTAAGGAGTTCTAAGTGCTATAGCTAGATTTTTAGATTACCATTTTACAGCTCAAAACGCTTCAGAAAAAATTATTACTTCAGTAAACCTTTAATATTATCAAAAACTTTCTACTACCTGTAGGTAGCTCATCATTAAGACCTTTGCAGAGGATCTAAGAGCTTGTGCCAACGAAAAGCTCAATAGAAAAAAATAAAAATAGTGACTCCGACGTGGTTCGAACACGTGCATCTTTACGATAACAGAACTTGAGTCTGCCGCCTTAACCACTCGGCCACAGAGCCTCTTTTCTTTTTGTTTACGAGCTAAGTATACTTGTACAGAATCACTACGTGAATACTTTCTTTAGCTATTGAACCTTCTGGTTTTTCTACATTTTATATAGGCATCTAATGTGTAATAGCATTTTGCAACAGTCAGGCGACTGTTGTCTCACATCGTTTTGTGTCCGCTTCATTTATATGCTATTTATGAAGTTCTAACCTGTACCATAGCAGATTCGGATTTCAAAAGAAGAGAACGTTCAGAAATGGATTGTTAGGTTCTCACTCATAAAAACTTGAAAGACTCATTCAAAAATGGCCTGATTGCTCATATTTTATGTCGACTACCGGGAGTTATTTTAACCTACATAAATAAGACAAAGGCTAATTTATACGTAGGATGCCACAAAAAAAAGCAGAACATGACAATTGCTAATTAATGCAAATATGTTCAATGATTGCAATGGGTTACTACCAATATTCTTTATTCATGAGAGGCAGTTGATGACAGTTTAAGAAGCGAAAAGTTCTATGTCGATGGAATAAGTACAGAGGATTACTGACTCAGGTAAGAGAAGGAAGGATCTTTTTTTTTTTGTTCTTTTTGATTATCAAGACTTATAGCGTAGAAACTTCCAATTATACGCGTAGGATAATATCAACGTTGGCACTCCTAAGTCATCTCAGTAGAATTAAAATTCATAGAGTTTCTTAGACAGATCGCAGGCAGTTTATCTGATATACTTTGACGTTGTCTGCAGTATCTAAAATAACATTATCTCACTTACAAAGTCATCCCAAGCAAGACTGGCAAGATTAAAATCAAGTGCTATGGACGATTCAAGGATAGCAGTTCCAGCGTATAAGGTGGTTGTTTTGGGGGATTCTTCTGTTGGTAAAACGTCTTTAATACATCGATTTGCTTCAGACACATTTAATCAGCATACGTCTAATACTATAGGAGCCGCATTTATAACAATTGAACATAGTTCTAAAAGCAAAGAAGATCGTAAGCTTAAATTAGAGATATGGGATACAGCGGGACAGGAGAGATATAAATCATTGACTCCTATGTACTATCGGAATGCAAATGTTGCCTTGATCTGCTTTGATTTGTCAAACGTTGTGACTTTAGATAAGGCCAAGTATTGGTTAGAGCAATTATTGTTGAACTCTGGATCCCAATCACAAGCAGCTACCATAAAATTAATTGGAACTAAGCAAGATTTAATAGAAAATAACGAGACATCGAGAGTAGTGACTGATTTTTGTGAACAAAATCACTTAACATTTTACAAGACTAGCGCCAAAACGAGGGAAGGAATAGATGCTCTTTTTGACGAAATGATTGACGAAATTGATGAACAATTTTTTGTCAAGTTTTACGAAAACCAAAAACAGCTACAAGATGCTAACTCTAAGAGTACAATAAATAATATTAACTTCTTGAATTATAATCCAAGCAACAACCGATGCTGTTGAAGATATTGGAAGTGATAGTCTATGTGATGCAATCGTATTAATCATATGTATCGTCTACTAAATCTCAATCCCCTTTTGGTGCCAATAATTTCTTTTGACGTCCTTATCAACAGAAGACTTCTTTTTTGACTCAAATTCCTCCTCATTTTTTGGATCAACATCATTACTATCATTTGATTCAGACTCGGATTCCAAATTTTCAAGACTCAAATAGTCAGCGACTTTTTTTTCATTAGAATTGCTTTTTTCAGCAAACGTGGTATCATCATCAGTTGCAACTGATACGTCTGAAAAATAGAGCTCATCGCTTTTGGCCTGCTTTACTAGCAGCTCTTTTATTTCATGGTTTATCAAGGCATCATTAGCGACTTTATCTCTGTCGTCATTGAAATCTCGTTCTTTGCCTCTATATTTAATTATATCACCTAATATCAGTTGTCCTAATCTGTCTTTGTAAGAAGCGGCATTCAATTGATAGCATTTGTCTATAAGCATCTGATACGCACCCCCAAATGCTTTTTTAATATCTCTCAAATTGTAGGATGATCGACTTATATTGTTAGCTTGGTCCGAAGGATCCTGTATGATTATGGTAAACGGATTCTTTGAAGTATTTAGTTTGGGATAGTCTTTTTTTAATAAATATTTGGGTAGATCTGTTGTACTATCTATTGCAATTATCAAGTTGTCATAAGAAAAGTTGCGACCGTATAACTCAAAGAACTCAATTAATAACGTTCCCAAGTTATCAGATATGGAAATATTATTTGTCGCTAGTCTTGGGTGCATCTTTAAAAAATGATAACATAATATGATTGTAGAATATCCACCCAAACCTCCAACGTGAACATTATTAAGTTTTCTTGACCTTAGAAACTGCTTAACAGTAAGCACTAATTCTCGTAATCCAGGAGTAGAAGCAAGCCATTTCCTTATTTTCTTCGCAGCGTCAATACCGTTCGATCTTTCGAAAGAGATATCGATATGAATGCCTGTAGAAGGATCGACAAATTTAATAATGGGAACCTTAGCCTTTGCAATCACCTCTATATTTTTGGCCAACTTTTTATTTCTTAAGTAGGACGATAGCTGATAAAGACGTGATCTCTGTTCAAAATCACCGGTAGATGATATAACCACCATATCTATATCTGACCCCGGTAAATATAAGTCTGTAGCACTAGAGCCAAAAACATGCGTTTCTGTATTTTCCCAAAAGGAGCTTATCTGTTTCTTGAGCAGATTTATTACCTTATTCCTCGCCATTATCTCGTCTTTTGAGGGAGATATGTAGTTCACAAAATCGTTCATCTCTAGGGTTAGCCAATCAGCTATTTCTTTCTGTTTTGAATGATCATGATCTTGAATCCAAGGAAAAGAAGATCTGGAAGATTGTACTTCGGTACTTCCTAAGCCATCGTTGCTTATCCTTCCATCATCAGAATATTCTTCATAATTGTCTACGTCTTCTTCCGAAGAACTAAAGCCTAACTCAATAAAATCCAGGTTCCTCGCTAATTCGTTTGCTTCAAATTTTCGCTTCTTGGGCTTTGGACCCTCTTGATCATCACTCACTTTTTCAGTGACTCCTTCTTTACTATAATCATCGGAGTCATCTGATTCAATCACAACATCATCGTCATCTTTAAGTTCATCACGATCGCTTATATCTTTATTAGTATTCTTATCATCAGTATCATCGTCATCTTTATCAAGTAATACCAAGTCAGGCTCTCTTTTTTGTTCAAAGTCAAATAATAAACCAGAGTCTGAGTCGTCTTCATGCGAAGATAATGCTGCGTATTTATTCGTCGCAGTTAAAGACGTGGGAGACTTTGAAGTCTTCAAAGTCTTACTACGCTGTTTCTTTGACTTGGGCTTACCTTGAAGGCTTTCTCTTTTTCTTTTAGATCCCATATTACCCATATATAAATGCTTAAAAGCTGAATATCGTACGTGAAAAAATATATACTAAAACAAGTTTCGTTATCATGTGATGAGATTTTAGTTCAAAAAATTATTCTCGTTGAAGAGATAAAAGAGTACCATTACCGACCCATTAAAAGCCATGAGAAGTGATCTCGAAACCTTCAGCAAGTTCAATGACAAGTCAAAGTAAAAGCTGGACAATAAAACTAACTTAAACGTTAATTTAATGTTTGATGAAGCTCTTTTTAATGTCGTATCAGTAACCAACAAATATATAGCATAGACGACCATTGAAATATAATCTTCTTTAGAGAACCTGTTCCTTAAGAGTTTACGAGTGAGTCGTGGAGCAACATTTTTTTGGGCTTCTTCCCGATCTATGTGGGTCACGTCTATAACATCTCTTTCTAAAATCGAAGTATCGTCATCTGCTTCATCATTATGCATATTATCAGATGATCGGTCCTTAGAGACATATGAATTTCGGATATAAGGCTCCGATAATATACTGAAGTTATCTATTGGTTCTTCTGAGGCTTTTGTATCAGCTTCAGAAACTTGAATGAAATACTTCCACTTGATATCCCGCAAACAATCAATGACCTCTGAGATAGGGATACGGTGTACGTTTTCTAACCGTTCACCCTCAAGCTCATCACCACCTTTGATCATACCATATATGAGGTGTTCAAATTCATTCATAACTGCAATATTCGAGATTTCAGCGCCCTCTCTACTAGAAATTGACGCATGAAACCAACTATGAAACTTAAACTGAGTCAAGTCAAAATACCAGTTACTTATCTGCTGACGTATAATTTCTGGATCCTTTTCATTGGCAATAAACTCAGAAAAAGGCAAATTTCCTACGCATAACCAGCATAGAATGAGGCCCAAAGAATATATATCACTATCAAATGTAAACTCGTTAACGTATTTTTTTGAATTTGATATCGAGGGATCGAATCCTGTGAAGAACCAGAGCTCAGGTGCAGTGAATTCCAAAGTGCCAGTATTACCACGTCTCTCCTCATTGTATACTTCACCTGACGGAAAAGCATTAATATGCTTATTGATAAATTTTCCTTCACCAAAATCTGAGACTAATACCCGCGGTAGCCTGCTTTGCGCAAGGTCAAACTCTTCAACTGATTTGAAACTGTTGCCTGATGAAGAGCCCTTGTATTGAATATCTAACAAACAATTAGAGGGTTTTAAATCTCGATGTAGAATTCCATGCAGATGCAAATAATATACTCCATTAGCGACATCTTTAAAGAATTTCCAAATTTCGAAATCTGACAACCATGGATGTATATTTTCATCCTTTAATTGGTTATGTAATGCATGATTTTTACGTTTACGTCGTTCCAATTCCACTTTTTCTTTGAACGATAATAACTTGTAAGGCTGAAAATGGCGAACAATTAAATCTTCCAAATGGCCACCATCGCAGTACTGCTGCAAAATGTACACATAAGGTATTTTCGTATCATAGTTCTTCGCATTTGACTTGGAGTCAGCTGGTAATACAAATACCGACAGTTCATCGATACTTCCCAATTCCAACCAAACATGGTTATATGTAATTAAATTATTCTCGTTCGCTCCTTTAACAGACAATTCATATAATATCAAGACTTCATTCAAAACGTGCTCAAGAAATTCAAATTGATCTCCAATAACTATTCGTTTTACAGCATACGTTCCCAATTGAATATTATTCAACATATGTACTACTTTGTAGACTTGCGAGTGAGCACCAGAGCCCAAATTGTATGGCGGAACTTTCTTGAAAAACCTCTTGAAGTACCCTTGGTTGAAAATATTTTTGGGAAGCGAACGTGTTTCATAAGAATCCTCTTTGGTAGGAAGCTCTCCTAGTAATTTGAAGTAGTTTTGATGTCTATATCTGCCGGAATTATTAGATGAAAATATTCCAGAGCCATCCCTGCTAGAAATAGACTTCAATCTTGCACGTTGCCTTGCGTTGTCATCAGAAGAACCAAAGTGCGACCAAGTGAAGCCACAAGCTGGGCACTCAATTTGATCCTGTTCGCTATTTTTCAGACCGTTCTTGAAATGGTTCCGTTGGTAACCATCATCCGAATAGCCAGGTTCCGTATCCAGACGGCTATTTGTTGATCGCTCAACTCTTCCATTCGTAGATAACAATTGTAACGTGTTTTGCTGATTATTGTGAAGAACTAGAAGGCCATGAGTTGGATCGTGATAAACAATTTCATTATTCGGATTATAAGGAACAATAGACATCAATATACTTCAGCTAGTCAAGTGGCTAGTTTCACATAGATTTGGTCAATGCTGTAAAAATATGTTTCAGATATGTTTCCTTGCTAAGATGTCCTTCACATATGGTACTGCATGAAACATAAAAAAGTGATCGTGATTGTTTATCTATAGACTACTTTGACTATTGAATTAACTAGCTATGTTAGCTCTGAGGTGGAATACTTCTCATTCTGAGCATCAATTGCATAAGCCTTGTTTCGAGTTGATGCTTTTCATCAGCAGTTAGTTTCGATATTTCCTCATCCAGAATTGCATCCAAAATACTCGATATCAGACCGAAATCACCACGTTCTGATAAGGATTTCAGTGGTGCCTCTCGAACCAACTCAGGGCAGTCTTTTGAGGTAGAAGTAACCAGGGAAACGACATTATCGTTGCTCTCACTTGACTCTTTTGAAGAAGTACTAAATTGGCTAGACAAATTCGTAGATCTTAAAAGGAGATTCTCTTTAGACAGCGAGCTCTTCGGAGAGTTTTCTATAAGTTTGCTCTTTTCAGGACTGGTTCTCAGTTCTGTGATTGTATAATGATTGGGTCTTTTTTTTGTGTGTTTTGATGGTTTTGCAGTCTGCGGAGAACCATCGTTGAGGCTGATAATACTACCAGTCTCTTGAAAACCATCTGCTTCATCTGGTGAAATCGAGCCATCAAGTAGTGATTCAAGTGAAGTCATAGAACCATCATTCTTATCAGTCATTAGAAAAGATGATTGGATTCGTCTTGAAAAAGCATTCTCTTCATCCATGCTGTCATTTGGAGTCATAAGACCATTACTTTCATAACTGCCTATATCGCTTTCAGATCTCGGGGATGAATCCCCGTTTGAATTCTCATATTTTTGAAATTCATCAATGCGCTCTGAGACCTTCGCCTTCTTGGGTATTGACATATCCCCTTCACTCTCTAAAAACTTCCTTTTATCAAGAGTATTTCTATTTTCGAGCAGGGATTCTGAGTTTGCCTTTTTGGTGTCTTTTTTGAGATTAAAACTATTTTCGACGTCATTTGATATTGAATATTCTTCACTTGTATGTATTGCAGAGTTCTCCCTTGGTGACTGGAGAGAATTATCATAAATAGTATTGGCGGGTATTTTAGTTTTTGCGTCGCTTTGGTCGATGCTTTGATCAACGACTGATGATAGCTTGCTTGTAACTAGAGCTGTGAAACTGTGAAGATTAAAGTTGTGACTCTCCCTCTCCCTATCATTACACAGTTCATTTGAGTCCAATCCCTTATTCTCTTGCTGATACCCTTCATAGTCTTCAGAACTAGTTTTTGTTTTACTCTTGTACTCTTGTGCAGGTATAGAAGAGCTATCGCTATTAGCTTTCCTCCTGCGACTTAACCGACCTTTAGGGCGGCCCCTCGGGCGACTGTTGCAGAATTTGGATAAGACATTAGTCGAGCTCTCACCAGTTTCCTTCTTGTGCTCTGATTCTTGAAAGCTGCTTAATGCCTTATCAATATGAAGCTCCGAGTTACGATCTAACCAGCATCTCTTTAAAGAAGGCAATTTAGCCCAATTATTCCTTACATAAGGCTTCACATCAATTTCTGATTGTTCATATGTAACAACAAGTACATTGTCAAGTATCTCAAAGTTGTCGCTTTTCAGGAGATTCGAAAGATAGTCTTTCCAAATTTGCGAAATTTCAAAACGATGAAAGCCTTGAATATCATTAAGTTTTCTGATTATGTCTCCTACCAAGGCCAGAATTTCCGAGTCATATCTATTATAAATTAAAAACTTGAAAAAGTAAACAAATGAATCATAATTCTCAAGCTTTTGTTTCATTAAAGAATTCGTGTGAGCTTTAAGCAATTCACACAGCATGTTATGCGACAATGAAATGTAATATTCAAACATCCGTAAAGACCATGTGTGAACATCCAAGCTCTTCAAAAGTTTCGACGCTTCATCAACGTTACTCTTTGCAGTTGCAAACTCAATAAGTTTTTTCGCTATATCTTCTGACTCGTTGTCAAGAATTCCACTAATATCCTTACATGTTTCAAAGTCTGTTTCAGTAACGACAGAAATAAAGTTCACAATCATCTTAAGCTTATGACTGGACTCACTTTCTTTAGTTTCCTTGAAAAGTTTTGTCAAATCTTGTAATAAAGCCATACTGTCTGCCTTCGCAAGTCCTGATAAAATTAAATCCAATAACTCTTTCAATTGATCATCTCCCACCTTGATATTATAATTCTCTATTATAGTTAGATAGGAACTAGAAGTATAGCCTGATCTGTTAGTGTGTCTCACTAAAGAAGATGAATCAAACGTCTCACGCAAAGAGATTACCAATTTGCTTGTGGCCTCCGATGAAACATTAGAATGCTTGAATAGAACATCCAAAATAATTGGCATACTATCAATAATATCAAAAGTACTTTGCGAGACTTTGATCTCTTTTTTTGTAGATAATTTGATAGTATTTAAAAGTTCTGTGATTAATTCTACCTTTTGCTCAACAAATATTAGTTCTAACTGTAAGATGACTGTGACACAAGGTATCAATTTATCAAAATGATTATATATCCATCTGGAAGGCAAAGGAGCTAATTCATTTAGTGAAATTGGCTCACTTGAAAGACATCTGAACTCATTATGAGATTTCCCAAGTGAAGCAGTTGAATTTTTTAACAATTTAGTTAATAGATTGAACCCTAGATTATTCATATAAGGACTAGAGCTTCCTCTTTTGAAGTAAAAAAACATTAAAACAGGCTGCAAAATCCTGTCCCAATAAATATGCATGTACTTCGTTGATGACTTCTGCGACATAGGGTTCACCAACGTATATATAATACAAAGAAACAAATCATGTAGCCCGTCAATAAGATCCTTTTGATCTTCAATTTCCGACACATTTAGTATCGCGTGAGTTAGTAATCTTACTTTCGGTTTGAAGGTATTATTTATAATTTGAGATTTTTGTTTCCCACCTTGAAGTTGAGTATCAAAGAACTTTTGCGTATTTGACAAGTCATTGTGACACACTCTGTAGACTACCGTCTTGAAGGATGTAATTGCTAATAACTTTGCTGAGTTTCCATGTCCTTGAAAACAAGCATTTTGAATCTCCATCCATCTTGAAAGAAAGCACCAAGCTTCAAAGCCAGAGTTTCCCGAATTGCATAACAATGTTATAGCCATCCATATTTCCATTGCAGGCTTTGATTGACCATTGTTAATCATTGTTCTTAGACCTGAATTGACATACTCCATAGCCAATATATCCAGATCGGCTTCAAAAATACTTCCTTCTGAAAAGAAAGACTTGAAATTCTTGGGTAAATTTGATTCCAAAAAAGAATCAACCTGCAACATTGCATTCTTGTTGTCAAGAAAGTGCTTTGAAATTTCTAATAATACCAGAGAACCAATCGCCATACACTTGTAATAAGCTTGTGAGGTAAGTGAACAAACATTGATCAATAACAAGCCGAACCAATGTCTAAAATTTTTTGACATCATGCTAGGAAAGGTTTGTACCAAATTTCTGATACTTATAAATCTTTCTGTGAGGATTGAGGGGCTTGGAAAACTCTTCATATTAAGAAGACTAAACAAGATCCGTTCCGGAAGATCAGAGTTTTCAAAAACTATTCTTTTTTTCTTAATGCTAAAATTGTATTCTTTTATGATTCCCAAATACGATGCTACTAGGGCCTTGGAAGTGGTTGTAGTAACTATAGTGGAGCAAGAATGTAAAAAAAACCACTTGATGTCATCAGCAGGTATCAACAAATTTAACTCGGGATCAGAAATAAAATTACCAATTAATCTAAGAGCTTGTGAAATGACTCTAATACTGAAGGGATCATTTTTGGACTTACTTCTCTGGTTTTCTTTCTCAATCTCCGCGGGGAATAATATCGATTCATACTTTATTATATCCTTTCGAATATACGACGTTAGTTCACTGACAATATTGTTATCAGAATACCTTACTGTAGGTTGAAATACTTGGGTTTTACCATTAATTATTTGTCTGCTTGCTCCAAATATTTTACGTAAGGCTTCATTTTCAGATTTATTAAGACTGTTTAAGGTTGCATAAACTTCAAACCTCTTATTAAATGATTCATCACTAAGCACACGAAGGCAACCTTGAATTAACTGTGGTAATTCAGGAGACCCATGTGGCAACTGAATTACAGTGCCTTGTAACCAAAAATTGTTATTGCCTGGCCAATACAGATCTCGACCATTGCCAGACTGCTTGGACCAAAGAGCTGTGTTATTAGGATCAATCAGTTGGTTACACCCGCCATGAGTAGGTTTCAAGATAGATCTTTTCGGGGTACTGAATTTATCAGGGGAGCTAGGCATATCACTTAATAATTCATCTGAAAATGCTACTGTTTTTTTCTTTCTGATTGGTGACGAAGATTCCAAATACCTAGATTGAAGAGGACTCTCATATGAGGACCTCTTGATAGGAGAAGACAACAATTCGTCTATGTCATTCTCTTTTTCATCTTCTCTAGAATTGACCTCCTCGTGATGGCTCATCTTCATACATTGAGTGTTGAGGTCGGCGTCCTGTCCTGAGGCAATGCGATTGTAACGAGGTATTGAAGTATGCTTTGTATCCGCTGAATTCGATGATTTGTCAGCAAGTACCACAGCTGACCTCACTTTAGGTCTTCCTGGTCTCTTTTGATTCTTCATATTAGTTGCATTTGATTCTGCAAATCTCGATCTATGTATCACCTGCACTCTTTTTATTAATGTCTGGCTCTCCTTTTTTTCCAATTATTGAGCTCAAGGTTGAAAGAGCTCTAGGAAAATGTATTACTGAGTCCAATTCTGACAATTGTCTCCTGAATAATCGCTGCCTACTTTTCAAGATACATCTTGACGATAATTTGCAAAATGTTTTTAGATACGCGTCTTTAACGGGAGTGCACATAAAATATGGCATCGATTACTACCTATATACTACGCCTTGGATCTTTTCGACTCCGGTAGGTTCAAAGTATCATCAGAATCAACCAGCCTCTTCCTTGAGTCATGAGAATCTTTAGATATGCTTGTTAGCATCAGCGGATTCAACAAATCACCGAATTTGAGCCAGTCTGTTGATCTCATCTTCCTGAATTGTTTCCATATTAAGACGTTTCGTTCTTCCAATATTTGTGCTTTTCTTAAAGGCTCCACTTCGTCATCTATCTTCTCATTAACTCCAGATATATGTTGTTGATAATCAATGGTCCCAACATTCTTCAGATCTTCTAATCTCTCAAGGCCAGTCGGAATTTTCATTTTCCGTGACAATTGAGGAGTTGCATATAGATTGAAATAACGCTTAGTTTTGAATGGAAAGACAGAACTTCTCTTCTCATTGATTTGCTTAAGTTCTTCTGAATTCAATAGCTTGTCGTAAAAAAGTGACTTTCCAGTGGAATGGTCTTTTCCGAATATTAGCCAACCATACCACGAAATTTCGGTAAGTGTTAAGTGTTGTAGCAAGAATGAAAACTGATTGTCTATACTGCGAAAGCTTCTGAGCATTTCGCGTTTAATTTTATAATATAAGCTGACAAGGCTATCCGGTGGGGAATCATCTGTTAGATGCTTTATGTTTGTAGGTGCTTTTAACGACTTGAGAAATTCTCTCTTGTTGGAGCTATTCAACTCATAGAATAAGCTACATATGATGTAGATTTGTAATAGTAATGTTTGCCTATACTTTGAATTTTCAAATTGGGTTTCAAAAAAGGATAAATCTTCTTGCATGTATTTTTCATACGAAGAATCTCTCCTAGTGTCTTCAAAAGGAGTTATCCAATAACTTTCAGGAAAATAGATTTTTTTTTCATATCTTTGCTTTAAGTATTGAGCTTCGTATTCAGAGATAGGTTTGGGAACTGCAAATTGGTCTACCTTTGGCACAGTAGCAGCGTAAGTAATTTCATCTTCGATCAAAACTTTATAAACTCTATGCATTGTCTCAGATGTTTTTTGTAAATTTTTCTGATTTGACGGCTTTAAAAAGAAGTATGGATCGTTGAATAATTTTTTCACTTGAATAACGTCTTTCAAAAACTCTCTTTCATTTCTGTATTTCGTTGCCGGCACAATCTCTTTCACCATTCTGTTCGAAGTTAAAAAATATTTGTTTAAACCAGTGTTATCTTCGAACGCAAAAACATTTGCAATAAACACTCTCACTCTATATTGAAAAAGGTCATTGAACGTATCCTTCTTATATGAATCCCTTTTCCCTTGAGAAGTTTTAAAACTCAACTTATCCGTCAAAGTATTACAAATTTCGAGTAGGGAAATTCGATCTGCAATAGCATTTCTATCAAAGATCTTTTGTTGAATAATAGATCTCCTAGATTCCATATAGAACCAAAATTTATCCACTGCTTCTGTAGATTTGCATATGAGCATATCCAGTACCTGTGATATGTTAGAAAAGAATGAACTCTTGATAGATGCAAATCCTTTGTCGATCTTAAAAATTTGAAAATCAAGAAGAAGACAAATAGCGTTATAAAACTTAAGCTCATTTATGGTAAGATAATAGCTCCCCAATTTTATGTTTTTAAGTTCATTTTCGCTTGAATTCAATATGTTTTCTGCTATTATTAAATCTATTGCTCTTTGAAATGCTATTGAAATTATGAACTGTTTGGTTTTTTGATCTAAATCTGCATTGAAAATAGCAACATCGTTTTCTAAACTGGACGACTCGCCTGTACCTTCAGCATTGGAGTTGTTGAAGTTAATCGTATAATTTATACTATCTTCTAGAAGTTGATCTTCTAAAATGGTCTCATGAGGCTCGAATACTGAGGCATCAGATAATTCCAAGAGATAATTGAAATCGTTGGACGATACGAAATCATCCACCATCAATTTAAGTGACTTGGCACATTCATCTATTGATGGAGATAGTTTATTCTTCTCCAGTACCATTTTTTCAACAGCCTTGCTATGCTTAAGTTCTAGTAGGTATAGATAAAAACCTTGATCGATTCACAGAATAATTTGCATATATATATATATATACAGGAAAATGCTAAGTATTATGAACACATCTTGATGACAGAATGAAGGGTAGGTTTTGAAAGAATTAATCTAAATGTCATCTAAAGTGATATCCAAGTACAATGGGGTATAAATAGTGGTATTTTGAGCAAAAAGAGGGTACTCATCGAGTGATATGGGCACTCTCGGATTCTTTTAATTCACTCTTTCAACTATAAGTCAAAATTTTTTGACCGTCCCTTTTTTTTGTCACTTTGCTTCTTCTTATTAAATAGTCTTTTTTCCTTTCTATCTTCCTTAATTTCTTCCCATTTCTTTTTGTCATCCTCACTTATTTCAGAAGGAAAATATGAAAGTGCCTTTATCTCATGCAACAATTTCTTGAAGCAATCTTCGGTATTTACATCTCTATTTCTTGTCAAATCACTTTGAAGTATCAAACCTCCACTTTTAGTTTCGTATCTAAGTTTTTTGATAGAAAGTTGATACCTAATGGGTCCGGGAATCCAATAACAAAACTGTGAATTTAACCATTGATCTGGAGTAAGAGATACCGTGGCTTTACTCGATGTTTTATTGACCTTTTGGCCACCTGCCCCAGACGCTCTACTGTATGTTATCTCGAAGACAGAAATGGGAATTTTATCGACCGTGAAAGTCTGTAGCCAGTGCTTGGCTTTTTCAACCTCTTTTTCGGAGAATTCAGATGAAGTCGAATTAAAGCGATAAAAGCTTGTTAAACAATTTGGTTGACATTTAAATAGACGCTTTTGAAGATTGGAAAGTACAAGAATCCTAGAGTACATGGGCGTTACTCAAAAGAAAAGCTACTAGAAGCTGAGTGATCAGCATTTTCGCGGATAATTACAGATCTTAGATTTCAGATGTTAATATATATAGTGCGTGCATTCTTTGAAGAGTGGCGTATATTGAAATCATACAATACCTATCAAGAAAAATATAACTCAGATGGAGAATGCCTAGGCATCCTTCAAAACCTTAGAAGCATCTGAAACGTCAACAGAAGTGTTGTCAGGCTCAATGAACGTTTTCGTTACTTTGCCGTTGTCAACAAGTAAAGCGTATCTCTTGGATCTTTTGTTACCAAAAATCTTCGAAGCATCAAAAAGTAAATCTAAATCACTAGTGAACTCTCCCCTTGGATCAGCAAGGAACTGAATCTGATCATCAGAAACAGATTTCTGTAGTAAGTCATCAGCCCATGCTTTAGTGACGAAGGGATCATTCACAGCAATTACAAAGAACTTTTTGTATCCCTTGTCATTGAATGCTCTAAGAGCTTTGATATACCCTGGAACATGAGAAGCTGAGCATGCAGGTGAAAAGGCTCCAGGAACGCCAATAATCACGGCTTTGCTGTTACCTATTTCTTTCGCAATGTTAACATCGTTTCCTGGAGATCCCTTGAACAAGGAGACCGAAGGCAATTTTTCTCCAGCCGCAATTGAGCGAGGTACAGACAGTTTGAAGGTACGAACTAATTGAGGTACCAATGGCAGTTTAAAAGTGGAAAACATGTTCAATTGTATTTGAAAGAAGAGAAACGATATTGCAAAATATGTGTGCCTTAAATTGCTTTAGAATCAAGCTTCATTTTATATGCAGTTGTGTATATTACGATCTCTCAGCGTTTTGGTGAAATAGTTGTCATCTATTCGTTTATACAGATGATAAATTGTCAAAATATCAGGCGTGCTGGAAGGAATGGCTGCTAGAAACCCAAATCCAGGAGCTTTGAAACAGGAGCAGGTAACTCCTAACGAAGCGTTGAAGTTATACAGAAATACCTTGAATTTTAATGTCATCAGTCGATACGACCCATCAATTAAGCAACTTTTATACCACACAACTTACTGCGTAATCTACAAATTCAACGATGAACTACAGGAATGGACAAAAACAGACTACCTGGGAATGCTTGCTCTTTATCTCAGAGACTTTAAAGTGCCTTCGACTGGCCGACTGACAAGCTACCAGGACTTACAAAATCTTTTTTGTTACGGTCTTATTTTAATGAACAGGAATAACCCAGAGTGTTTTTCATTGGGTCTTCTCCCAAATAAATTTATTAAGCACTTTTTTCCAAATGGGGTGAATGGGTTGAACGTCTTAGAAATGGATGTAGAGTTGAATGATAATTTGATAATTGTGAAAAATTTATTGGGCGAAATTTTTGGCTTGTGGGTCTTTAATGAAGATGACAGAAGAAAACTTTTCAAGTCTCTAGAGTATTGTCTTAATAATGAAGCATCAGTAATCACTAAATAAGGTTTTGATCCTAAATCGGCATCTCAAACTTGGACATATGATCATCTCTTTTCTGAACTGGAAACTTAAATAGCTATAACAAGTTTAAATACTAATAAGGATAAGTTATGCTAACTTTTTCAGCACATATACTCTGTATAGTATAAAGGGTTTTAAGACCCACCAACGTAACATATGTTGACTGAAAAATGTTCACGTGACTGTTTATTGTTCATATATCAATTTGACCAAGCATATCAATCAGTATTTTAATAAATTTGTATAAATTAACAAGACAAAAGACCTATAGATACTTCAATTGGTAACCTATATCACATACGAGTTATTGCTTCATTTTGATATTGCTAGCGCAAGAGGCTTCTTTTTCTTTTTTCCTCTGATATTATAACCTATTCTGACAAGATATATTAGATATCCTAATTGAATATTAAAGACAAATAAAAAAAGTAAAGTCAAGGTATCAAGCTTCTGAGAGGTTGAAACAAATTGCATGAGTGCGACAGGATCTACGATTCCTCAAAAGAGGCCTCGTGCTTATCCCCAACAGCAGCTTACCCCTGCTCAGGTTCAACAGCTCAAACAACAACATCTTTTGAGACAACAGCAGCAACAGCTACTTCAACAGCAACTACGTCAAGGAAACAAAAACCCCAAGGATTTTCATTTTGCTACTACTACGCAAGAGATTTTGCGGAAATATGCAAAATACCCTGCGTCAATAACATTCCACATTTATGAATCTCATTATAGGTTCAATAATTCTCAGGACTCGGCAATCATTCAAAAAGATTCTCCTATGGTTAAAGACTTTTTACATCATGTGCTTAGAGAAGAAATTCCCGTTGAAATGTCGGAGTTACTAAAGGATTTTTCAATCAGGTCTTACGATGGCTGTCTAATTCTTCAAGTTTATGATCATCGAAATATGGTGCAAATCAACCAGGAACCAAGTATCAACCCTCAGAAACAGTCAGACCTTCCTAAGGAAGCTTCAGAGGACAAATCGTTACAATCAAAGGATCAGACTGAAGCTACTTCGACGTCTACTGGCAACTCAACGTCTTCTTCCGGAAGCACTATTGTTTCAAGACCTAAAACATATCGTACTTTACTTAGACCAACACAGTTGTCCATATACTATGATTTGTTGTATCATACGGATTCAGCGTTAGCCAGGTTCTCAGATAATCTATCCTTGCAAATGGAGTCGGAGATATTAACATTAAGTAATAGAAAGCTAGACTTACTGGTACCGTTGAATCCTTATTTGTGCTCTGAATATTTGCAGCCCGAACAGCAGTTTCCTGAGAAAGTTTGGGATGATAAGATTCAAGATTACAAATTGATTCATAGTCATAGGAAGGCAGTCGAACGACCTCCTCGCAAGCTTCACGAGGAAGAACTCATTTTGCATAAGTCGTCAGATTATGAAGAGATCATGTTTCTTCTATCCAATAAGTATAAAAGAATTGATGAATCTCTGGATAAGAAATTGGTTGTGGTGGGATCATCAGCTTTAGCAGCCGCTACTGCACCGAAGCCCTCGAGTAAGGATACCTCGAATACGAACGATTCGAAGAACAAAAAAGGCTCCAAAGGAGCAGATGGTACAGCTCCTACTGTTGTCAACACAAATACTGCTGGATCTACTGGCCAGTTTATGAGATTGAGATTCATCGAAGAAATAAGAAAGAGAAGAGAAGCTCAGAAGGCTCAAGAAGCTAAAGCTGCTTTGCAGGCACAAAATGATAACTCTATGCTGAATAACACTGCACCTGGCTCATTTAATCAAGTAAACAAAACGGCAAATGGACAAAGACAAGGAAGACCCATGAATAATGCTGGATTACAACAACAGCATCCTCAGCCGCCAACAAATAATGCAAAGACTCAGCAACAATTAATGGCCGAAAAGGCACAAATTCTAAGGGCACAGCAAATTAAAGCACAACAGCTGGCCCAAGCTCGTCAACAATTTCAACAAGAGCAACAGGCTGAGCAAAGGAAGGAAAGCATAAGAAGACAGCAATATAGATCTGCTAGCCCTCATGAGCAAAACCAAAACATTTCTAATAGGGGTACTCCGGTGATGAATAACGTAAGTACACTGAGACCAGCTTCGCAGCCGCAGAATATGAACTCTGCACTTCAACAGCAGCAACAGCAGATATTCCAGAATTCTTTGACTCCACAAGAGCAGCAGACTTTTAGACAACTTCAATCGAGGATGAATGCGTTTGCAATGATGGGTAATACTGGCGTTGCTCCCAACAGAGCGCACTTAACACCCCAGCAACAGCAGCTGGCTATGCAACAAGCAAAGCTCATTCAACATCAGCTTATTCAAAAATTTCCCGTGTACTTCCAGAGACTACGCCTGTTCCAGCTACTACAGGAGCAGAGACTGCAACAAACACAAGCTTCATCTGGTGGCACTCAGCAGTTTGCGCCCAACAGAGGCTCCAATAATATGGTTCCTGGAGGAATGACGGCTCAACAAAAGCAAATGATCAATCAGCAAATGCTTCAACATATGAGCCAACAGGAGAAACGAATGAATTGAACCATAACAAAACAAAAAAATATGTAATAAAATAGTAGCTTCTTGTCCATTTATGTTCCTTAAGTATATACCTTAATATTCCCATGAAATTTAAACAAAGCTTACATGTAGACATCTATCCTGGACATCGAAATTACGCGACAATTATCGTACTATTATAGATCCTAAAAATTAAATAAACCAAGACCAAAACCACATAACAAAACACAAAAGAAAAAAATAAGACCTCATACCAAAGAACATAAAGAAAGTACCATAAAGGGTATTTAAATTGATTAATCTAATGACAATCAAACCAACAATTCAGCGAAATAGTCTCAAAACCAAGGAAGTAGAGCATAATTTCAACAATCAACAAATCTATTTTCCATTCTGTTCAGACGCGATTTTGCTACCATATATTCCGAGAGCAGTGATAGTCGCTAATGCATAAACAAAACCCTTCGCAAGCTCCTTTGCAAATGTCTTAGCTAGAGGAGATTGAATTATTTTTACCCTTTTAGACGGATTCGCAATCTCTCGTTTGTTAACATCAGCTGATTCAGCAATTTCAGAATCAGAGATGTCATCATATTTCCTCTTCTTGGAGAGAGACTTGCTTTCAAAATCACCTGAATCGTATTGTGGAGGTTCTAAGGTGTCCAGGTCGTTATGAATCTCAGAGCAATCGGAAGTTCCAAATTTTACATTTGCTTGACAACAAGTTGAGTCGCCATTTTGACATCGATACAATTCTCTTCTCTTGTGGATTATAGGAAATGATCTGGCGTATATCCATTTGAGATCTTTCAGGCACCAGTTCGAACAACCATCAATTTGCGCCTCTTTGAAGTCATTCTCATATTCCGACAGATTATCAGACGAGGCATAATCAGATCCCGAATCGTTTTTGACTTGAGCTTCACTATAGTCCACAGATACTTCGCTAGAATAATCTTCATCTATTGTTGATGCTTCGGATAAATCACTGAGTGAGAAATCACTCAGCGACTCGTCAAAAGATAATTCATTGTCACTTAATCTTCTCTCAATAAGAGGTTCTACATCATCCGTGCCTTCAGCTATATTATTATCATTGCTTCCCAAAATCTCAGCTGAAGAGATTAGTGAGCTCGATTCAGAATTTGGTAAAACGTCTTGATATTGAATAGTGATAATTGTATCGGTTTCGTTCTTTGGTTGAGAGTCGTCCATTTCACATTTCACGGCACAGTGAGAGCATTCAGACTCATTTCCTTCGCTATCGAACGTCTCAGCTAAAGGGATATAATCTTTAGTAGATCCCCTTGTTTCATCGGAGGAACATTGTTCTGATTCCCAGCTGGCATCTTTGTCAAGAGGAAGAAAAGTAATGCAATTGTCTTTTGTGTTAATCTTGAAACTAAGAGCAATACTGGCATCAGAAAACTCCTTCAATGGAATGGTGTTTTGTTTGTCGAATTTACTAACGATTTTCTCGATAGCGGATGAAGGCTTTGAGATGATAAATCCAATAGTGTCATTATCAGACAACCTGAACCAAGATTCAGAAGCAATATATTCATCATTTATTACTGTCCCAAACGTAGAGTTGCAATCTTTCAAATAAAAATAATCATCGTATAATTTCAATGATGCGTGAAGCTTCGATAAGTGGGTATTTTTGAAAAACAAATTTGTTTCAGTGGCAATTCTTGATTGATCTTTATTTGAAGCTCTTCTGATAAAGATCTCATCTCCATTGTTCAAGGTAATTTCCCTTTCGTTAGATACTTCTCTTGTAGATTTGCCTTCCATTTTATAACAAATTCAAAATTAGAAGTGGCAATTTCGGATAGTAATACTTAACTTGAATGAATAGAGAGAAAGGTACCTCGCAAATAATATTTCTCAATTATTTCGTGTATTAGACTTAGATTTCTCTGTTGCTTCAAATCAGTCAAATAAATGAAGTATGTTACAAATTACTGCTTCTTGTCCCCCTTGATTCTCATTATCCGGAATCTTATCTATCGGGAGGATATGTTTTTGTGTAACTGTGGATAAATAGTAATATTTTGCAGTCGTCAGTTAGTTAAGCTATATTATATCGGAAATATCTAGGTCATAAAAACAAGAACAATAAGAACTTGTTAGTATGAGAACATAAAGAGGTGAAATATTAGACAAAAAAACCTTGTAAGATATTAAAAAAGGAAATATTTACAGGTAGATTAAAAGTTTTCGAAGCTATATTTCCTCAAACAATTTGGTGAATTGAGTTCCTCCCGAAGGACCAGGAGGTACTTGCAACCAATTAAGTTTATCATATTTACATTTACCATCTATGACATGAAAAGTATAGGCAAAACGAGATTTCGACGACCTGTTTTTTTCTGACTTGTGAAGAACTGAATTATGAATGAGAATTAGAGAACCTGCCTTGCATTCCACCATCTTATAATAGTCTGGGATCTCCGAGGACTTAGATTCTTTATTTAATTCGTTATCCACAGAAATGAAGTTGCATCCATCTTTGCCATCGTTGACCTTAACAAATCTATTTGTGATTGGAAACATCTTATGTGATCCAGGACTATAAGAGAGACACCCGTTTTCCGCAGTACAGTCCTCTAAGCTGAACCAGAAACCAATAGCGGATTGAGGTTCCGTATATAAGAATGTTCCGTCAGTATGAGGTGGAACAGCATTGTCTCTTTCTTGCTCTGAACTAGAAACTGGCTGCTTGAAAATACACATACTTTGTAAAACACGAGGATCAATAAAGTCAAGCAGTCTTCCAATACCTTTTATTTTTTCGGAAAATGTGATTTGATGAAACAAATCGTCATTCATATGCAAGCCATGTCCAATTTTGTTGATAGCTAGTTCCTTTGGATATTTCAAATTTCCTGAATCATCAAAGGCATCGGTGTCAAAAAAAAAGCCCACTTTGTCAGATGAATTAAAGAAGTATTCATCACCTATATGATCGTTTTCCCCAGTCTTGAACTGAGTCTTTGGATGTGTCGAGATATCGAAATCCTTCAATAATTGAAGTGACCTGTCAAGTAAGTCTCTAGTTTCTTTTGGAGACAAGAAATCTTCAATGCAAAGAACACCCTCATCGTCAAAAGTCTTCAACTGCTCTGCAGTTAATCCTGGTTTGATAACCATTCTGGTTGTGGTCCCCTTTCTTCTTTTTAATTTATCAAGACTTAACAAAGGCGCGACAAAAATATCTTATCATTTCATTTATAGGCAATGGCAATGCGCGAGCAAACTACCCTATTTTAAGAAATTTGGCTCTAATTACAGGCCGAGGAATATCTATTGCCATTAATAGTTCAATACGTAGTCTCAAAGATCCTTATGCTAGAAGATGTTTCGAAAATCAAGTAATCACTAATTAAAGTGTCAGACTGTATTCCGACAACATGCTATCTAAACACCACTATCGTAAACTTAAATTCTTAACTGATTTCATCGTTGACTGATTTCCATTAAACAAGCCGAAAAGAATAAATGCATTTCAGATATATCTCATATATTACGATATTAACAAATTAAACTATTTACAGTGCTATTTAATAGTCTCAGAACGTCTGAACAAAATTAATCATTACGGTTAAATCTATTTGTAAAGAAAACTTAACCAAGACTGATTTCTCGCATCTCTTTCAGCTTGCGGAATAAATGCATCTACTTGCTTTCTAACCTTGTCACAACCCACTTCTGCACTTGCGTCTCTTCCAATGACATCAACAAAGTTTCCTTCTGAGTCCATTAAATAGAAGAAAATTGAGTGATCGACCAAGTAGTCTTGACCGGGTTTTACGTCAGGAGGCGTCGAAAAATAAACCCTATACTTTTTACAGGCATTCTTCACGTTCTCATATGATCCTGTCAAACCAATGATGGAGGGATCAAAATCCTCCAAGTACGTTTTTATGACATCTGGAGTATCTCTAGCAGGGTCACAAGTAATAAAAATAGGCTGCAACTCGATGCCGTCCTTATTCTTGAGAGTTGTCAACATTTCTCCGAGCTTATCCAACTCTTCAGGACAAACATCAGGACAATGAGTAAAACCGAAGTAGATAATCGAGAATTTCTTTTCGTTATTCACTAAATTTTGTTCCGTAAAAGGCTTCCCCTCGGTATCTACCAAGCTAAATGCACCTCCTACCAATGGTTTACCATATCCCCTTTTCGATTCGACCTCCTTCTGAAGTCTTAATCTTTCTTTCTCTCTATTGAACCAATATGTAAATGCACCACCTGCTACAATTAACAACACGACAGCCTTCCAAGAACTGAATTCAATATTAGTCGATGCGTAACGCTTATTACTATCCAGGTTACCTCCGATAGCTACACGGCTCAACGGTCTTCTCTTCTTCTGAACTTTTGTTTCAATGTCTTTTGTTTTTTCAGTCTCTTTTTCTTCAAATCTAACACTTGAACTGTTGATCAAGCGTTTAGCAATCATAAAATTAGGAGACAGTAGGCTCCTTGCCCTTAGTATTCTCAACGGAGCTTTAGAAATCATAATAGTGCTTTGAACTTTTTAAAGATCGTTTCGTGCTCTCGACTTTGTAATGTAATGGAAAAAAAAAAGCCCGCTAGTTCATACAGTACAAATCAATTTCGAATTCTTTTATCATAGCACATTATAGCAATATAGCTTATGTATTGAAAATGAAAGAGCAAATATTAGATCTATTGAGTTGGGCAAAAAGCAAAGGTACAGCAGTTTCACCATTGATTCATTTTGAAGAGATTAATCCTAACAATGTGGGTGCTAGATGCAATGAAAATGTTGCAACCTCAGAATTACAGCAGTCCTCACTTATCAAATTACCTGTTAAATTGGCCATTACTCCTGACACTGCTTTAAATTCATTCAATGAAAGTGCTGATTGCTCATCAGTACAGGAAAAGACGAAGACAAATGCTTTGTTGAAACTATACTTGGCTAGAGAAAGAATATCCATTCGCATCGATGAATCTTTTTTTGGTGATTATTTAAGGCTGTTGCCGAAGCTAAGAGAGATCGACTCTCCTTATTGTTGGGATTCTAAGTTGAAGTCTCAGCTTAAAGGGACGAACTTGGGTACTTCTTTGAAGGATAACATAGGTAACTTAGTCAATGAGTGGTGGGAAGTGTTAAATGCTCTACCGCAAGGGATATCGTTACCTGATGCCCATTATATCAATATGAAGTTTTTTTACGAATTCAAGTTTTATACGGATGATGACTTATATAATTATTTCATTATAGATGAGAATGTCGACAATTGGACCAGCTTTCCTAACTTTTTATGGTCGTCGTTGATCTTGAAATCTAGATCATTCCCATTTTATCTTTTGAAAGAGTTTAAGAAGTCAGATGTGTATACCCTTAAAGAAGATGCTGCCATGTTGCTTCCAGTTATAGATCTTTTAAATCACGATTTTAAGGCTAAAGTCAGCTGGACAGTAGGTAAGGAGGGGGAAGAAATATTTTTCAACTTTGCATCAGAATCCGCCAGAAGCGGAGAGCAATTATGTAATAACTACGGTCCGAAAGGTAACGAGGAGCTCTTATTGTCGTACGGATTCTGTATTGAAGATAATCCTGCCGATTCTGCGGTCTTAAGAGTGAAAGTTCCGTTAGAAATGCTTCCCGAGATGGAAGAAAGAGGTGTAAAGTTGCCAACTATGGATGACTATACTACTTCTGTAATATCAAACGAGGAAAATTCTGATACCGGTGGTTCTTCCAAATATGAGAAGTATTCCGAAGGATTGGTCTTTTTAGTGACCCGGGAGTTCATTCCAGATGACTTACTAAAACTATTTCAACTCTTGATTAGAAACAGATGGGAGAGCGGATTCTCATTGAGAATGAGGTTGGATGGCATTAACCACTTGAGAAAAGCAATTGAGGCTAAAAAGGAGATGCTTTCGCAAATTACTTCTTCAGATAGTAACACAGAGGCTTTGAGAAATATCAACATATATGTTCAATCTCAAAAAAAGATCTTTTCTCTGGTTATTTCTCGTTTAAAGCACCTTGAAAAGTCATTACTCACTGCACCGGAGAACAGACCTCGTTTACTCTCATTGAAGACTGTCTATAAGAAGGATAAAAAATTTCAGTTATCGCTCTTAGCAGGACTTGGGATAACTTCTTTCGATTCCATCATTGAAGGACAATTTCAGGATCAATGCTGGTTACTCTATTTAATCCGTTGTTATAATAGATATGAATACGTTGGAGAGCATGATGATGACGATGATGATGAAAATTTTTTACCGTTGTGGATCTACAACGCATTCAAAAAATTAAAATCAGAGACTGAAGTTTCTGCTATAGAAGTTGTAAGCTACAAAGAAATTTATCAGGGCTTAATTATTCCTCTAGCTGAAAGAGTGCCGGAAATCTACGCAAAAGGTGACTGGACGGTCAATAACTTAGTTGTGAGTGCCAAATTACTTGACACTATAGGCTTTGTGAGAGGAAAAGAACAGGAATGTATTCTTGTAGAGCCCTCAACCTCATAATTCATTTTTTGATTCGTAATTGAAAAAAAAAATCTTCCTTATTTAAGTTTAATAGGGCTAGTGACTTTACGTTGTAGACGTTATTAGCAAATTCTAATAAGGGCCATAATGGCATAATTTTCTCGCTTAAATTAGAGAGTTAAATACGACTATATAATAGAATATCTCTATGCTTGTGTCTTAGCATGAACTAATCTTCCTTAATACCACCAGCACCGCTGATCTCAGCTTTCTTGAATGATTGCTCGTCAGAAGGAGAATTCTGTGCATTTGCAAACGCACTCATAAGACCAGGTGCTGCCTTGAAAGGTCTCTTTAAATCACCAGTAGCTGGGCTGCCAAACAAATGAATCTTAACGATGTTCGATTCTAAAGCTGACTTGACTGTGGTAACAGATTGCATAACTAATGGATTAGTGTACTTCATGTACAAGTGCATGAATCCCATCATAGCCAAACCTTGAACAAGCGACTTCATTTGCTTATCAACCTCCTTCAAATCATATTCTTTAACTGTGATCACGACAGCCTTCGGTTCTTCACCAGAAAATGGACTACCTTGTTCAACATATTTTAAAGTGGTCAAATCATTTCTACGGTTGATGAAGAACTTAGTAACCAAATAGATAGCCATTGTAACAATTTGACATGCTACGTATGCTGTTCTGACCCAGAAAATGGTCTTTTCGTTCTCGAAATCCAAGTTTCGAGACACTTGCATCATGACTAACATGACACCTAAGTTACTAAAAGCAGGATTCATATTGCACCTTTATTGTATGTTTTCTCGCTGATTGCAATAAAAAAAAGCTATCAAAGCTATGTTGAAAAGAACAGATGGCGTCAACGGTTATGTGAGATTCGCTATCTATGAGCCGCCCGAATTTGTCTGGTGAAAAATTCTATGTATTACCCGACCGTATGGCTCAACGAAGCACTAATCGGTCAAATGCAGCATTCAGGCATTATTGGGTGCTAACAGATACCATACGAATGTCGTTATGTTTATTATTTAATAAGCCGTTAGTTTATATACATTTAAAGGTATGCCATTAATAGAAAATTAATAAAATTATATTTATATTGACATTTAAGTAAGCTAGGGCTCATATATAAGTATCTTCCTCATCAAACGAAATATTGCCGAACTCCCAACATCCAAGATGCTTAGATTTTGCGTTCAGTTCAGCTTCAAGTAAACCATTAACGTAATCCTTATCGGTGTTCGATGAGCTTTTTGAGTCGACTAAAGCCCATCCATCAGAAACGAGCTGCTTGTTTATCGTGTAAGTCGAGTCCTTTAAAGATTTTTGAGAGTCATAGATGATTGAGTTGTACTCTGTCGGTCCTGTTTTGGAAGGAAGCGCACTAAGAACCAACTTTTTATCAAACGTATACTCATCTAAGGCATCCAAGGCATTCGACAAATAGTCTTCAAATGAGGCAGGGGGTAACTTAATATTCTGTAAGGAAGTCGAGTGAACAAAAGCAGGCAATTTAGAGATACTGAATTGACTGGGTAAAAGTCTCAAAGCCGACAAAGGAACCTTATCAACATTACCAAAATCTAAATGTTTGACTTCGTAAAGACTAGAACTCTTATCAAATGCGAGAACCTTTGCACGATAGTATTTACCATTGTCAGAAAATTTTGCTGATACCAATTCGCCCTTCTTTGGTGCCCTCGTCAAGTTGGATGGAAAATCCAGTGAGCTACTGCTAGCTGACGACAGCTTCAAATGGAAAGCTTGAAAATCTTTTTTGAAAGAATTGAATTTGGCGACTGTTTCGCTGTCTAAAATATGGAAGTAAATTATTCCCAGAGGATCAACTTCTGTAACCTCAATATCAAAGAACTTGGGCTTCGACCCTTGTAAATCCATTTGCTCGATTTGATTTGAGATATCGTGAATGGAATTCTCATTTGCCCATAAGCCCTTCTTTCCTTCTTTTGCAGACTCTTCCGCTCTTACTAGCTCAGCACAGAAAGGATTAGACGTAACTGCTAAGTCATGTACTCGAACAAAACCTTGCTCGAGTAAGCTCACTTGCACAGGATATGAGCTGCTGGCGTTTGCATATAAATTACCGATGAAACCTCCCACCTTGTCTTTGTCATAAATGTCAAATTCGACGTTTCTTTGAAGATACTTATTTCTCATCATCTTTAAACCTTTTTCAGGAGCATCTCCTTCTTTGTTGTTTGATAAACCCCCCAAGACTAATGTGAGCTTTAATCCTTCCTTAGGGTTATATAACTTTACCCTATTGATAGAAGGTATAAAATCTACATGGTATCCAGAAATTCTGTCTTTTTGTCTGAGGCCATTAAAAAAAGCCTTAGCCTTATTTGAGTTTTCAGAAGCATCAATAACCCTTGTTCCAACTGTCAAAACCTTGGTTAAGTCATTTCCTGAATAAAATACACCTCTTGAACCTTTCTGTCTTTGTTCTTCTTCTAGTTCGATGAGCTTGTCCCAATTCATAGACCTTTCGTTAGCAGTTGCTTTATTATGTTTGATGACAGTCGCCATTCCATTTTTGACTATCAATTCAGCTAAATCTTCCAGTCCGTTTAATTTGAAATCAATTAAATATCTTGATCCTTCTGTATGTTTAGAAGCTGGCTTTTGCGAAGAGTTAATTGCGGGATGGAAAGTTCTGAGACCCACTACATAACAAGTACCTGTTTTTCCAATCGCCTTCTGTCTAGCAAACTCACGCGCAGAATTTACCAAAGCCTGCTGGACCTTACTATTCGAAGTGACAGTTGTGTCTGAAGACTTTGGTGCCCTTATAGAAGCTAATTGAACTGTAGCTTCTTCTCCAGAAGGTAACTTTATTCCAAATGTATCGGCACTAATTACATTCAAAATTTGTACTCCTTCGATCGTAGCTCCTTGTCTCAAGGTCGCTGATGACGAGGGGGTGGTATTCGATGCATTAGGAGCCTTGGAGGTCGAGAAAAGTCCTTTCCCTAAAGCTTTAGCAGTCTGTTCAGCTTTCCTCAATTTCAACATGCTTTGAGATCCAATCATTGAAGATTGCCAGTCAACGATCTCAGCAAATCCTTTTTCTAATAATTTTTCATGAATATCATTTCCAGACTCATGGTAGAAAACTGCAACGGGTAACCCAGACTGAGTTTCTCCTATGATGCTAACTTTAATAGTAGCAGTGGTAGTTAAAAGCTTGTCCTCAACAAATTGTTTAGCCTCCAAAGCTATTTTTTTCTGTAACGTGGACTGAGTAGTATCATCAGTACGAGGAGTTCTAATTCCTGCCAAAACTAAAGAGGTAACTATGTGTTTGTGCTTGTTGACAATAATTCTAGCAACAACTCTGTCACCACTGATAACCTTTTCCACAATAACTGTGATAGGAGTTTTTCTCGACTTCTCTATAGCGAAGTCGTCGAGGTCAACGAGCTCTACCTCACCATTATCATTTGCATTCCAAGTCCCTTGATCTGTTGCCTCAGCTCTCCTCTCAATATCCACAAGATGTTGTATAAAATCATCGTCGTCATCAGCGTTGTTTTCTTTTACCTTGACCATACCCTTTTCAACTAAATGCTCAATCAATGAATTAAACGTGGGAGATTGAATGTCCCCAAATTCTTTGCCTGTTGCAGGAACTTTATACAAAACCTTGAATTTAATCTCTTTACCTATCAATAGCTTTCTTAAGTACTCTTTAGCCATAAAACTACCATTGGATCTAACATATGAAAGTGTTAAAATTCTTTCTGGGACAGGAATTTGAGTTGTTTTCAAAGGAACAAGCACGACAGTATCGCCGCTTAAGACATTCTTCACTTTAGCTACTAGAAACTTGCTCATTTTCAATCGATATATACTAGTCTATTTTTGGTCTGGTTCCTGTAGCCATAATTTTTCACTTTCGATTCTGTGCGTTGTTCAAATTCCTCGACTTCGGATAGATCGAACATTTTAGAGACGGAACTGATAAGTTCTTTGATATACAAAGAGATATGGCACCACGTTCTACTGCTCAGAAACGTCTATTGAAAGAATATCAACAGCTTTCTAAGGATCCACCTCCTGGCATTGTTGCGGGACCACTTTCCGAGGACGATTTATTCGTTTGGGAATGCTTGCTAGAGGGGCCAAGTGATACACCTTATGAAAATGGAGTATTCCCAGCCTGTTTAAAATTTCCCAAAGATTATCCGTTGAGCCCACCGGTATTAAAGTTTGATCCTCCTTTGCTACACCCTAACATATATGCCGATGGAACGGTTTGTATATCTATTTTACATGCTCCTGGAGAGGACCCTAATCACTATGAGAGACCTGAGGAACGCTGGTCTCCAGTTCAAAGTATAGAGAAAATTTTATTGAGTGTAATGTCAATGCTAGCTGAGCCCAATTCTGAAAGTGGTGCCAATATAGATGCCTGTAAACTTTGGAGGGAGAATAGAGAGGAGTACAACCGGCAGATAAGGAATCACGTTAAAAAGTCGCTTGGACTATAGCGATAAAATTAATATCGAATTCAGTATGTAGATGCGAACCAAACTTTTGATGCGGAAATAGATATCCTACGAAATGTTACAATATATAAATGCATTCAGCTTCTTATGTAAGTATTTTAGACATATTGAGATAGTTTTATAAGCCTTTTTGAATATCAGTGACTAAAGGTCATCCTACCTCGTTTCTTTGAATAGAATTTATTTACAGTAAAGATGGACGGAAGAATAGAAACAGTGAAAGTGGCAGTAATTGGAGCTGGTGTATCAGGATTAAAGGCAGCACAAACATTGTTGCACAATAAAAATTCCAAGCTTAAACCTGAAGATATTATTATCGTAGAAGCACAGGACCGAATTGGAGGTAGAATATACACCGACAAAACTTCATCGAAACTAGGATACTCTTACGATTTAGGTGCATCGTGGTTTCATGATTCATTGTCTAATAAAGTGTTAGATGAGCTCATTGAAGAGAATAATAAAAATGACTTCGACCTAAGCAAGGACGGGTATTTTAATGATAAGGAAATTTTGTTTTATGATGGGCCCCAAAAGAGTCCTCTCGATTCAAATACATTAAGGCTTAATAAGATTGGAGGTGAATTTGAAATATACGTCCAGCAATACTATTTCAACAATATCGGGGCGAAAGACATGTCATTGAAAGATATGTTTTACAAATATATCAAAGAGCGATCACAATTTTTGACTAAAGAACAAATTAAGCATGTTGTTGGGGTAGTAAGAGTAGCAGAATTGTGGCTCGGTGTATCTTGGGAGAATATTAGTGCTAAGTATTCAGTTTTGGATCACAACGGGCGCGACTTGTTTAATAAAAAAGGATATCAGCTTGTGATTGACAAGCTAGTGGACCAAATTCCAAGAAGTAGATTAGTGCTTAATCAGCCTGTTTCAGTGATCACTAGAAACTTCAAAGGAGAGGCAAATAAGCCCATTCTAGTGGAGAGCAAAAATGGATTAAAGGTATTTTGCAACTATTTGATCGTGACGGTCCCCTTGAGTATTTTGTTACTTGATAATAGCTCTGAACAAAGTATCACTTGGAACCCCCCCTTACCTTCTCGCATAGAGAATGGATTAAAAACTATACACTTCGGCTCCTTGGGAAAAGTAGTGTTCGAGTTTGAGTCAACTTGGTGGGATATGAATGAAGATAGGTTTGTCATTTTCAGCAGTCTGTTTACAGATGAAGATGTGTCCTCACCTTTAAAGGAGTTACCACAGCCATTCACATATCCATGTTACATAGTAAATGTTCTGGCAATGCATAAAGACTCTGGTATAAAAGGTGGGAGCCTAATGATTTTGACGCAAGCCCCCTTGACTGAATACCTAGAATCGCATAAAGATCAAGCATGGGACTATTTTAAACCAATGCTTGCAGATTTGTTGGTCCCTGGTAAGAAATTCACGGATCCTATTCAGACATTGGTTACCCTGTGGACAACCAACCCTTATATAAGAGGTGCTTATGGTGCCACTTATCCGCATGATGAACCCATGGAATTTATTGCTCTGGTTGCCGGGGATTCACCTCAACTAGGTTTTCCAATGGGTGAAATTAGATTTGCCGGGGAGCATACCATTTTAGAAGGAGCTGGATGCGTTCATGGAGCTTATGAAAGTGGTGAAAGAGAGGCTCTTGGAGTGTTGGAAAAGTTAGGTTTTCTTCGCTATGAGAAGCTTTAATTACATATTAATATATGAAAATTTCATGCATAAAAAAAATTATAAGTTTCTGTAGATGTATATGTGAGTTAACTCTATCCATCATAACCAAAAATACTCAGGGTTGCATCGGCTTCTTGTTCCTGCATCTGGTTAAATCTTTAGCAAGTTCATAATTTTTTAGGAGATTTCGGGAACTCTTTTTCACCTTTAGCTGTTATTTTAAAGAATCAAAAAGGGTATTTATAATGTCGACATCTTTTGACGCAGAAAGTGCAGAAAACCTCGAAGATATCGAGAAGCAATTCGCTGTGAAAGCAGTGAAACAAATGGAATCTTATTGGAACTTATTAAAGAGCATTCCGGGATCAAAGTTAAAATTGACCAAGCACGATGATGATATATATGAACAGCTTCTCGAGTCTTTTCCTGAATTCAAGGAGCCCGAAAATGTGGCTGTAATCAATGAAGATGACATGAAAAGTACTGAAGGTAAAGTAAAATGGAGAGAGTTCTGTGACAAGTTCAATGAATTAGAAGATTATAACTTTGGAACCTTATTGAGATCTAAGGCAGCTGAGGAATATACTCAGGATGGAACTATTTTTGTCGTTAGAATTCAATTTTATGCCATTGAAATCGCTAGAAATAGATATGGTTTGAACGATTGGGTCTCTGCCAAATAGAAATTCTCTACATTTAGGTTTCAACATTATACAATTATGGCTTGTTAAATATTATATAATTTTATACGTTTATGGTTTACTCTTTAAATCCAAGTTCAATTTTGCATTTGACCTCTTCCTTCTTCAGATCCTAAGTCATAGGATCTGCTAATCCAAGAATGCTTCATTGGGCTCACGTGATAGCTTGGGCGCCCTATATTTTACCTCTTGTTTGAAACGAGAATAATATGAATAAGAGAAAAGACGCCATATAGAACTCCACTTTCTAGAGGTTATTAACTGAAGTAGATGAAATCTACAGTCACTGTGATAGTGGATATATTGCTAGACTTAATTAATAAAAAAGAGTACCAACTCGTAAAATTAACACATTTCATTCTTGGCCATGAACTTCTCAAAAGATCAAAATGGCTCACATAGGGGCCAATGGCAGCAGCAACAAAAAAGCATTCAAGAGCAAGGTGCTAGCCAGCAAGGGATGCAGAACCCACCATTAGCAAACTACACCTTACCGGGTGTAATTAATTATTTGACATCAGAATTCACAAACTTAGAACGCTTTAAGATCGTGACGAGACTAGAAAACTCGGAGATGAAGTATAAAATTTTGCAATTGCAAGGAGAAATGAATTCCTTGAGGTATATTAATGAGAGACAAAAGACTCTCATTAAAGAGCTTGAAGAGGAAAACAGTAAGTTGAAAGGGGAAAATGTGAATGACAACGTAAATCAAGAAGAAGTTGGCGAACAAGAGATACCGGAGATTGACTTGCTGGTAATCAAGAAATCGAGATATCAACTAACCAAGTCCATGAAGGAGATACTTCAATTGCTCAAAACACCTACATGTAATAATCTTAATAGCTTGAACTTGCCAGACCCCAGCGAATCAACTTCTGAATTCGATAGTGTGATAGATAAGAAGTTCAATAGCTTTATGTTTCAAGAAGACATAGACAGCAATAAAAACGCTAACAGAGAAAAACTAGAAAAAGGATCAATCTTTTCAAAATATTTATCAGAGAATAACGAAGACCATGATCAAAGTTCAGAACACAGTTATAGGGAAATATGGGGTGACCAAGACAACTCTAATGACATAGACTCTTCTTTGAGCGCGATCAATAAGTTACCCTCAGAGCCTTGCGATGAAATGGAAAGATTTCCAACAAGTAAAGATAATGATTTAAGTGATACCGAAACAGTGTTTTTAGATGAAAATCCGGAGAAAAAGATTTTGGTGCCTTCTTTGGAAATCCAAGTTAAAGAAACATCCTTTTCGGAATACAAAGTTTTCAATTCAGGTGGCTATATCACCGCTATGTCATTCAATTCTGCGTTGGATGAAAAGCTAAACGTGAGGGTTTGGTCGTACACATTGAAGGATTTAGTTACGGAAACTACTTTGAGCCAATCTCTTTTAGGAGATAATCTGCTCATCCTCCGTATATACACCCTACATGCTAATGCATCAGGCGCAGACTTTCTTTTCGTTTTTAAATCGGGCCAAGTTACTCAAGTTTCTTTTAGAGTTGGATGTGACCCTTTTTACGACACGGCCATTGATCTCAATCAGCAAGGAAATCCAATAATTTCTAGTGATTTGATTGAATTCACCCACAAGTCTAGTACTGATATGAAATATTTTGGACTCATAGTGAATACATCAAGTAAGAAATCTGCATATTTCAAAGTCTATGAGCTCAATTTAGTCGGAGGACAACTCACAACAAAAGAAATAGGAAATTATAATAAGACTTTCTTCAAACTGTCAATCAAACTTAGCGAAAATGATTACTTTGAATTTGTCCATTGGTTTAAGAATGCATCTGCGGAGCAATCAAAGCCCTCGGGATCTCCCAAAATCAAAAAGCATAGTAAAACAGTATCTTGTAATGACATATCCCTATTTCAATATGAGATCATTTTGAAATTGAATAAACTGCTTGTCAAACTCAATCTAATTTCGAAACAGTTTTCTGTCTTAACAGAATACGATAGCTCGGATTCCACGTGGGAGGGATTGGTGGTTTCAAACTTCAAACTATTAGTTGAACCATGCTCTCCCACTAATATTTCTGGTAGCTTTGGCTCATATAAGATAAAACTTTTTGATATGATCGACCGAATTTCTACAGGAGAACTAATTGTCGATGATCTTCAGCTTGCTATCATGAACAATAACGGAAAGTTAAATGTAGTTAAGCTTCAAGGTGATAATCTTTTAATCTATGATACGTCGCTTACATTTATCAGAAGTTTTAAACTTCGTCACACACCGGAAACTTTGGCTAGGTTTAATGAACAGGTAGTGTTTACAAAGGATCTGGAATCCATGCAATTTTATGATATTGCGGAGTTTTAGATTTGCATATATGAGATCTGTTGTTGCTTTAATATATATATATTAGTCTACTCAATGCATACCCAATTATCGGGTCATCTCGTGTCCTGTATGGCGCAAAGTTTTTTCTTTATTTTTTTTTTTTTTGGAAAATTTCTAATTTTTTTTTTTAATATAGAAGTTTATTCACTTTTTATAACAATAAGTTTCTCTGTGTTTTGATAGATTAGTGACGATTCACCTTTCGGACCGTCTTCAAAATGTCAAAGCAATCTTTTGAGGATTTTTTGAAACAGCAGCAGCCGCAACTGCAACGAAAGGGAAACAAGAATTTGAATGGTGCGGCCCTTAATGGTGCTGGTAGTCCAAATATTGCCAATAATAGGTCATTTAGCAACAGAGGATATTCTTCTGCCAATAGCTCTTATGTTGGAACTCCTTTAGATTCACAGGTGAATAGTGGAACATCCACCCCTATAGGTTCAAGTGCTAATGCTTCTACTGCGTCCTTAAGTTCTTTAAATACAGCTTTAGGTAAGTTAAACGTTAGTAGCATTCCTATCCAAGAAAACTTGTCCAAGATTGAAAATGCTTCAAGCATCCATGAAGTAAAGGTTGAGGTTGAAAACGTGGTCAATATCATTTCCAGCGAGGGATTACAAGTCATTCAAGCGTGGAAATTGCCTGAAATTTTAAAATCATTGTCAAAATCAAAAAAGTCGCCCTTAGTCAGAGAAGCTTCAATGCTAATAATTCTGCAACTAGCTGCGAAGTTTGGAGGAAATACTCCTCAAGAAGCTTATTTATTAACATATTTCAGTGTCGCTTTCGATACTCAGGCGGACAAGGACAAAAATGTGTCGAAGGCAGCAAAGACAGCAGCTGATTCTCTTTATGGTATATTTCCTACAGAAGCGCTAGGTTCGATCGTATTTGATGAATTATTGAAATATTTATCTGGATCGGCAAAATGGAACTCAAAGTTGACTGCTTTAGCCCTTGTTGATAGAGTTATCGAAGAGGTTCCCGCTGATGTACTTGAAATGAAATTCATTGATGCAGTTCCTATTTTTTCTGACCTTTCAACAGATTTCAAACCTGAATTAGCAAATCATGGATTGAAGACCTTCAAAAACTTCGTCAAGTTGTTAGATAACTTAGATCTACAAAATAAGTTTGATTTATTAGTTGAAACCTTGGCCAATCCTTCAAAAGTTCCTGAGTGTATAAAGAGCTTGTCTTCGGTTACTTTTGTTGCTGAAGTGACAGAATCTGCGTTGTCATTACTTGTACCAATTTTGGATAAGTCATTGAAGATGTCTTCTTCTTCTAATGATCAGTTGAGACAAACTGTGACTGTAACTGAGAATTTGACACGTTTGGTGAACAACAAAAGAGAAATTGAATCTTTTATTCCAATTCTATTACCTGGCGTTGAAAAAGTTTTGAAAAATGCTTCTCTTCCTGAAGTAAGAGAGCTAGCAGAAAAAGCACATGAAGTTTTGAAAGAAGCTGAGAGTCAACAAAGTGATGGAAAGTTTCATGGTAGAATTTCTTTAAATGAAGCTGGTGAATTTTTCACGTCTGATATAGATGCAAAGTATCAGCCTGTTATCAACTACTTGAATTTGAGCGACGAATCAATTTACAAGTACATATCAGTGATTTTGCAAACGGATGCCAATGTTAATGATTGGAAACGCTTAAAAGAGTACCTTAGTCTCGTTCTTGGCAACTTCCCTGACGAAGAGTTGAAATCCGAATATATCGAAAGTATTCTTGGAAATCTCAGAAATCTCTATACCCCTGACAATAACAACTCTGGTTATGACGATGATGGAGCTGTAGAGATCGTTAATGCAGATTTTTCATTGGCTTATGGCTCACGTATGTTATTAAATAAGACTAATTTGCGCTTGTTGAAAGGTCATAGGTATGGTTTATGTGGTAGAAATGGTGCAGGAAAATCGACTTTGATGAGGGCCATCTCAAAGGGACAATTAGAAGGTTTTCCATCTGCTGATGAAGTAAAAACTTGCTTCGTCGAACATAAACTTCAAGGTTCCGAAGGTGATATGGACTTGGTTAGCTTTATTGCTTCAGACCCCGAGTTGATGAGCACTGATAGGCAAGAGATATCGAAAGCCTTGTCAGCTGTTGGATTCACGGATGATAGATTGGAGCAAAAGGTAGGCTCATTGTCAGGCGGGTGGAAGATGAAGTTAGAATTGGCAAGAGCTATGCTTATGAAAGCAGATGTGTTATTGTTAGATGAACCTACCAATCACTTAGATGTGACTAACGTTAAATGGCTTGAAGACTATTTAATTGAGAATTCCAATATTACTTCTTTAATAGTTTCTCACGATTCAGGATTCCTCGATGCTGTCTGTACCGACATTATACATTATGAAAATAAGAAACTTGCATATTACAAAGGTAACTTGTCTGAATTTGTTAAAGTCAAACCTGAAGGTAAAGCATATTATACTTTGACTGATTCCAGTGTGAAGATGGCTTTCCCACCTCCAGGTATCTTGACGGGAGTCAAATCGAATACTCGTACAGTTGCCCGTATGTCCGACATAACCTTCACTTACCCAGGAGCCCCAAAACCTTCTTTGAAGGATGTTTCTTGTTCTCTTTCATTGTCTTCACGAGTGGCTATTGTTGGGCCCAATGGTGCAGGTAAATCGACTTTGATCAAGCTTTTAACGGGAGAATTAACGCCCGATACTGGAAAGGTAGAGAAGCATCCTAACTTAAGAATTGGTTATATCGCTCAACATGCCTTACAACATGTCGAGCAGCATAAAGAAAAGACCGCTAACCAATATTTGCAATGGCGTTATAGATTTGGTGATGATCGTGAAGTCTTGTTGAAGGAGTCGAGAAAAATATCTGAAGAGGAGAAGGAACTCATGTCCAAGGAAATTGATGTTCAGGATGGAAGAGGACCAAAAACAATAGAAGCGATCGTCGGGAGACAAAAATTAAAAAAATCGTTCCAATATGAAGTTAAATGGAAATACTTCTTACCTAAATATAACTCTTGGGTTCCGAGAGAAGTATTGTTAGAGCACGGCTTTGAAAAATTGATTCAAAAATTTGATGACCATGAAGCTTCAAGAGAAGGTCTCGGTTACCGTGAGCTCACACCTCCAGTGATAAGAAAGCATTTTGAGGCTGTAGGTTTGGATGGTGATATTGCTGATCACACGGCGATGGGTTCTTTGTCGGGAGGCCAGTTAGTGAAAGTTGTGATTGCTGGTGCCATGTGGAATAATCCTCATCTTTTAGTTTTGGATGAACCAACAAATTATTTAGATCGTGATTCATTGGGTGGTCTTGCTATTGCAATTAGAGAATGGGCTGGTGGTGTTGTCATGATTTCACATAACAACGAATTCGTTGGTGCCTTGTGCCCAGAGCAATGGCATGTTGAAAATGGTGAAGTAGTTCAGAAAGGTGCAGTTCTGGTGGATAACTCCAGATTTGAAGACAAAACGGGTGATGAAAAACAGTCGTCGCCTTCCCCTGCTAAAAGAGCTGATGATGACGATTCACCCGCAAATATCAAAGTAAGAACGAGAAAGAAGAAGATGACAAGGAACGAGAAAAAGGCACAAGCTGAGAGACGGAGATTGCGTCATATTGAATGGTTAAGTTCTCCAAAGGGCACTCCCAAACCTGTTGATACGGATGAAGAGGAAGATTGATCTTTTTTTTCCATTCAATTTTTGTTAGTAGATTATAGGCATTACATACTACTTTTTTATTCTTAGAATGAGATTATTTATTTTATTATTTTCATCATGTTAATCAACAAATGTCGTAATTTTTCTGGCGACATTCGACATTGAATATCTCGGGAGGCAAAATCGTTTACGACTTGTATGTTCATATAATATAATAAAATACATTTCATAGTATCAGGTCTGATAAATAATCTTTAAAGACTCTGTTTCAAGTTGATTAAGAGTTAATAATGGCTGATAGATACTCATTTTCTTTGACAACTTTTTCTCCAAGGTAGGTAAACTCTAATTTGAATTAAATGTATAATCGATACTAACAATATTTAGTGGAAAATTGGTACAAATTGAGTATGCATTGAATATAGTGAAACAGGGAGTGACCACCATTGGAATTAAATCTGCGAATGGCGTGGTACTTGCCACTGAACGTAAATTTAATTCTCCTTTGCTCAAAAGTGATTCAAATAGAAAGGTTGAACTAATTACTCCAGATATTGGAATGTCATATTCAGGGATGGGACCAGACTTCAGGGTACTTGTTGATAAGGCACGCAAGTTGGCGCATACAAATTACAAGAGGATTTATAATGAATATCCGCCAGTCAAGATATTAGTACAGGAGATTGCCAAAACTATGCAAGAATCGACTCAGTCCGGTGGTGTAAGACCGTTTGGTGTTTCATTATTGGTAGGTGGATATGATCATCATTCCGGATCGTTTCAATTGTATCAAGTGGATCCATCGGGAAGTTATTTTCCTTGGAAAGCTACTGCAATTGGCAAGACCTCAAATTCTGCTAAGACGTTTTTAGAAAAAAGATGGAATGAAAATTTGGAATTAGAGGATGCAATTCATGTTGCTCTCTTAGCATTAAAAGAATCTGTGGATGGCGAGCTCACTGGAGAAAATTTGGATATTGCTATTGTTAGCGATCCTCAGGAGCAATTACTTGGCTTCAAGGGGACTCTGGTAGAGGGTCCTAGATACAGAAATTTGTCTCCTGAAGAAATCAATGATAGATTAGAGGCTTTGTAGTAATGTCTTTTAATATACAAGTTCTCGACAAGTTCTCTGGGTCAATTTACTTGGCCATAAATTCTACTCTTAACTTCCCTCGTAGTCTACACGATGTGAGAAATTTAGACTAGATCTTCATAAACTATACTCTAAAATCCATTTCCACAATCCCAATTACATGATATTGAAAGAGAGTCGCATGTATGACCTCAAAAATTTCTCAGTTTTGACAAGAAATCATTTTGATAGAGAGCTAAGTTCCATTTATTTAATTTTTTTTTTTTTCTCAGTCTTTTTTTTTTTAAAGATCTGCTCATCTCTTAAAAGCTTGCAAAAAGTAGCAATAGTAATCGTTGTGTATTCATTCTATCGGTTACGAAATGGCTCGAAAAAGTCATAACAAGACGAGGAAAAGAAGCTCCAATAAAGTTTTGAATGCTCTTCAAATTGCTGAAAGACAGGAGAACTTATCAGGCTCAGATGAAGGTAATGAGTCTGATGAAATGAATTACCATGATGGTATAATGGATGCAAGAAAGCTTCTAAACGAAGATAAAGATAGTGATGAAGAACTTGAGGATGAAGAGTTGGATTCAGATGGGGCTCTTGGTTCTGATGATGACTATGATATCTTAAATTCAAAATTTTCTCAAACTATCAGAGACAAAAAGAAGAGACAAATTTTGAAGAGTAAGAAAGGATATTCAGGTGATCTAGAATCTAGTGATGATGAAGCGGGATATTCAAGCATTGATGAAAATCAGTTGGTGACATTGTCGGAAGTATGGGATTTGGATGACAAGGATCTTGAAGACTCCTCGGAAGATAATGGCAAAGATATAAAGTTAACGGATAATTTAGGGATTGTATCGCTGGATGATGAAGAGGGCTCGACTACTGAATCTCTGGAGGCTTCTGATAAGGAGGAAGATATATTTGGAAGTTCTGAAGACAACGAAAATGATGTCGACTTAAGCAATACCTTGTCTTATGTACAATCAAGTTTGAAGAAACCTTCCAAAGAAATGAAAAGACTAGTTAACGAAACCACAGCAGAGAATGAATACAGTTTACCCACACGGGGTGAGAAGCTATCAGTGAATGACATGTTATCCGCAGCTGATGATGCGGTATCCAAGGACTCGATTTTATTAACTTCACATCCTGAAAATGGCAAATCCAAAGCACTTGCTACTCCATTACCGAAAAGAATTCAAGAAAGACATGATAGAAAAGAAGCTTATGAGTTAGCAAAATCTGAAATAAGCAAATGGGATGAAACAGTTCAAGCAAATAGAAGAGCTGAAGTTTTAAAGTTCCCCATGAACCCGACTCCTCAACATGGTGACGCTGCACTAACTTTCAGGTCTAACAATGATGCCACGACCCAATTAGAAAAGAAGATCCATGAGGTCTTGAAAGATTCGGCCCTTGTAGATGATAGCAAAGAAGCTACTTTTGAAGAAATAGCTATTGCAAAAATGACACCTGATGAAATTAAAAAACGTACTCATGAATTAAGGTTAATGAGGGAGTTGATGTTTCGGGATGAGAAAAGAGCTAAAAGAATTAAGAAAATTAAATCAAAGCAGTATCATAAAATTAAGAAAAAGGAGAGGTTAAGAAATCAAGAGTTAGTTGAAGGGGATGAAAGTGATCCCGAAGATCATGATATGAAAAGAGCTCAGGAGAGAATGGCATTGCGCCACAAGACACAGAGTCAATGGGCGAAGTCAATGATAAAAAGCGGGTTGTCAAAAGATGTTGCCAACAGGTCTGATCTTGAAGAAATGTTGAGAAATGGTGAAAGACTCAGAGCAAAACAGTTAGGCTACACGGAAGGTGAGCAAAGTGATGAGGATATATCGGACGTCGAGAACGAGATTTTTAAGGATGATAGTAAGACAGATGAAATAGAGAGCAAAAAGTTGGGGAGAGGAGTCTTAGCGATGGATTTTATGAAGAATGCTGCTGAAAATAATAGGCGAGACAATTTGAACGAAATTGAAAAATTTAAACGTTCTAATGATGAAAACGGGCTTAAAGAAGTTCCAAATTCAGTAAACGTTATAAGAAATCAAGGGAGAAGGGTTTATGAGCCCATCGCATCATCCATGAAAGATGACATGATAAATGTAAATAATGAGATTTCAGAGGAAATTAAAATTGACGAATCCAAGAATCTTGACCATAAATTGGCCCTGAAATTCAAAAGTTCAGAAGTTACTAAGGAACAAGATGTAAGGTTTCAACAAAAGCCACATGTTCAAGTTGAGGAGAAAGTTGACGAGGTTGAACACACTGAACAACATAATCCTTGGTTAACAGAAAGTGATCTTAATACCCAAAAATCCAGTAAAGTTTCTATAGTTGACAAATCGTCTTCTAAGTTGTCAAAATCTGCAGCAAAAATTGCTAAAGCTTTAAAGAAGTCTGCACCCAAGCAAAAGGAAATTTCAATAGACATGAATGAAACTTTGAAAGTGATAGATCAATATGGGAGTGAATCTGAAAATGAAGACTCGTCTAACGTCGTGCAGTTTAAACAGAAGGACTTGATCAAAGAAGCATTTGCAGGGGATGACGTTATTCAAGAATTCGAAAGAGAGAAAAAAAGGACTATCCGAGAAGAGGACAATAGAGAGGAAGATCTTACTTTGCCAGGTTGGGGTGACTGGCATGGCTCTGGCAAGCAAAAAAAGAGAAAGGTGGTTCGAAAAATAAATGGTGTAGTCGAAAAAGATAAAAGAAGAGACAAGAACTTGAAGGGTGTAATAATTAACGAAAAAGTTAATAAGAAAAACTTGAAATATCAATCTAGTGCCGTTCCATTTCCCTTCGAACATAAAGAACAATTCGAGAGATCTTTAAGAATGCCAATTGGTCAAGAATGGACTTCAAGAGAGAGCCACCAAAAGTTAACAATGCCTAGAGTAATCACCAAGCAAGGTACTGTAATAAATCCACTTAAAGCTCCTTTCAAATGAGAAAAGTCTTAATTATAGCTATATATCTAGATAACTAAAAACATGTTTCCTTAATTCTTTAGTCAAGTAAGAGCCCGTTTCTTATCAACCAATTTTTTCCACTCAAGAAGACTCCATCAGGATCCATCTCTTTTCTAATTCTATTAAATTTATTCAAATTACTTCCAAACCATTTCTTCATAACAGGATCAAAACCAAGCATAGCGTACGACTTCTTGCCGCCGAACCGCAATTGTGATTTTAAATCATCTTCTGAATCTTGAGACCCATCTAGTCCTATGAAATTCTTTGCCCAATGAGGCTTTCCTTCTGCTTGAAGTAAGATATGTTCAAATGAATGGAACCATTTCGAAGTATCAACATGTGTTCCAAAAGGACGATACATCGTCGCATTTATGAATAAGGTTAAATTATCCGTTGTCACATTGGTCATATCTAGTCCAGGATATTTTAAACCTTGAGGTGAGTTGTCCAAATAAGGACGAAGATTATTCCCAGGAATAGGTCCAGGGCTCAATCTAGTCCTGGTTGCCAACCATGATTCGGGAGGAAATATACTTTCTTCACCAGTCTCATCGGACTTGAAAGCAACATCTGAATAAGTTACGTTAGAACACCTGACTTCAATTGGAGCATGAACAAAGAATTCGCCCGACTTGGCAGCGTTTTGAATACATTCATTCAATTGGCGCAAGACAGAAGTACCCTTGTTCAACGGGCAAGCCCATTCATCCACAAATTGACTAAACAAGCAGTCCATATTTAAAGCCTCTACTGAATTCTGTACCGCGATATTACCCTTTCCTAAAGTTTCCACAATTCCATATTGCTGTTTAAACACAAATTTCTCAACAAAAGGAGTTAGTCTTGGAATTATATGGACCGAAATCCATAGCAAGCTTTGATAAAAGAATCTTCCTAGGGTGGTACCATACCAAGATGGTGGTGGGTCTGATAAAGGCTCATCAGATTTAGCTGCCCTCCAACAGACGCAATTTTGTGAATAAGGAAACCACCAGATCCTTATAAACTCTGAATCTAACCAGATGCTATCCCACTGAGCTAAAAGCGTGTCAAACCTGATAATTTCCTGCTTCGATTTTATAGTATACCTAGGACAAGTTCTGATAGTAACTTGAGTGATTATACCTACCTTCCCTAATGATAATAGAGCAGCTCTAAACAAATCTGGCTTTTCAATAGAAGAACAATCTATGATTTCACCCAGGGAATTCATTATTTTGATTGACACAACTTGCTGAGATACTAAACCATGATATTGTGAAGACCCATGAGTGCCAGTTGAAATTAAGCCTGCGATGGATTGATCTGATATTGAACCAAGGTTTTGGATTGCCAATTGATTCTCCTTCAAGTATTCGTTTAGCTGAAATATCCTACAGCCTGCTTCTACAGTTAAATCAACAAACTTTACTTCGTTTTTCTTCTCACCATCGAGACTTGGTCCATATACCTCTTTTTCCTCTAACACTCTATCGAAATTGTCTAAATTACAGAGCCACTCATTTGTCATCGTCAAATCGCTTGGTGAATGACCAGAGCCGACTGTCATTATCGTCTTCCTATTTATCCTTGCTTGGTTTACTAGCTCCCTTATTTCCTCAACGTTGGAAGGCTGGAAAATTGCCTGCGGCATGCAATAAAATGTGCCTGCCCATGTCTTATGGAAGAACTTTTTAGCAGCGAACGGCTTAATGCTGCTTGGTATGTCCATTTATCTTTTCTAATGTATAGTGAACTATTGAAATTAGAGGCAAGTTTGAATCTTGGGGGTGAATTATATACGCTATCCGATTTGTAATTAATCCGGAGCGCTGTCAATGTGAACTTCCGTTTCGGTCTGTAGCCGCATTTTCTTTTGTCAAAGCACTAAACTGCAATATTACTACAACTTTGATCTTGTCACAATAGAAAAAAACAAGGAAAAAATATATACCTTTACTATGTCAAGAACAATCCTCTTTTATGGCGTCTTTCGATCTTTCTCTGTTATCTATATATATTAGTGGGGAAGCATGTTCCTCGGCTGTTCTTTCGTTGTATAATATTAGCAAGAATTCCTGCTTTTGTCTCGATCGCACGATCAGAAATGCTTTTTGTGACCCGCACGATCGTATACATCACTTTTGTGAGCGCATGTCTCTCGTCGTTTAGACTTCACTATAAAACAGTAAGAGAATGGCTGCACAAGTGCTGCCATTTTGTAATCATCAATTAGTTAGAGCGTTGTAATTTGACAATTGGTTGAAGTGACTTCTACTAAAAGGTTAAAGTTTTTCGTTGCATATACTCTTTTTTTAGAGAGTTCTATTCCCTAAGATTATACGAGACTGTTCTCCAGAAAGTGTACGGCAGATATCGATCTCGACAGTTTTACGAGTAAATACACATTCGTAGCGAGTTACTTTTTTTTTCAACAAGGAAGTTTTAGATACACATTGAAGAACAAATAGAAAATGACAGCCTCTAACATTGGTATTAAGGGTATTGAAGTATATATCCCCTCACAAGCGGTTAATCAAGCTGAATTAGAAAAATTTGATGGTATTCCAGCTGGCAAGTACACTATTGGTTTGGGTCAAACTAATATGTCCTTCGTGAATGACAGAGAAGACATTTACTCTATGTCATTAACAGTCTTATCAAAATTAATCAAAAATTATGATATCGACACTTCAAAGATTGGTAGGTTAGAAGTAGGAACCGAAACTTTGTTAGACAAGTCGAAGTCCGTTAAATCTGTTTTAATGCAATTATTTGGCGAAAACACTGATATTGAAGGTGTTGACACTGTTAATGCTTGTTACGGTGGAACTTCTGCTATAATCAATGCAGTAAACTGGATAGAGTCAAGCTCTTGGGACGGAAGAGATGCTATTGTTGTATGCGGTGATATTGCTATTTATTCGAAAGGTGCAGCAAGGCCCACAGGCGGTGCTGGTTCAGTAGCCTTATTAATTGGTCCTGATGCACCTATCGTTTTTGACACTACCAGAGGTTCATTCATGGAACACGCCTATGATTTCTACAAACCAGATTTTACATCAGAATATCCTGTTGTTGATGGTCAATTTTCTTTATCGTGTTATGTCAAGGCTCTTGATAATTGTTACAAGCATTATTCCAAAAAAGTCCGTGACGATGGTAAAACAGTTGGAGTTTATGATCACTTTGACTATAATGCTTTCCATGTTCCCACTTGTAAATTGGTTACTAAATCCTACGCTAGATTGTTATACAATGATTTTAAGTCTAATCCTGAGAATTTTGATGGCTTGATTGACAAGGAAGTTGCTGCATCAATCAACTCTTTGACCTACGAACAAACGTTGACCGACAGAGTTGTTGAGAAAACATTCCTTGGATTGGCAAAAGAGCAAACAGCGATTAGAGTTGCGCCAGCATTAAAGGTTCCTACCAACACGGGAAATATGTATACAGCCTCTGCTTGGGCCTCGTTGTCTTCAATTTTGTACTTCATCGGTTCAGAAAAGTTGCAAAACAAAAGGATTGGTATTTTTTCCTACGGTTCCGGTTTGGCATCTACATTGTTATCTGTCGTGGTAAGGGATGATATTTCTAATATTTGTAAATCTTTGGACTTTGATACTAAATTGGGAAGCGGGCGTAAAATCAAGACACCGGAGCAATATCTCGAAGCTATTGATTTAAGAGAAAAGATTCATTTGCAAAAATCTTTTGAACCATCTGGTTCCATCGATGAATTGGCAACAGGCACTTACTACCTCGAATCTATTGATGACAAGTATAGAAGAAAATACGCAATAAAATCATAAGTCAATGCGCCTAATTAATAACAGGAGTAACCTCTTCACTTTTTATATGTCAATGAAACATTGTGCTTCGTTATTAATTTGAGCCTCTCCATCTCTGACTGCGTAAGAGATCTGTGATTAATTTCAAATATTTCACTTAACTCTTTTGGTAGATAATTTGGGTCAATATTCTTGACTAGAGATTTGTGTCTCAAAAGTAGCTTAAGGTATGACAACTTTTTGCGCGGAAAATCGATATATAATCCATCATTGCTTAAGTAGTATGAATTATCAACAAAATGAACATCTCTCTCATTACCATTGCTACCTCTATCTTTCGGAACAGGTGCAGTACATTGAACTTGAAGTGCTAGATCGCTAAGTGATGTAGTTGTCCCTAAGTTAATTTTATTTGCTGTTACCAAAGAGCTGGTGTTTTTGAAGCTATCAAAGTGCATGTCTTCTTTGGCCCGCAGTCGAAACCATTTTTTTTTTGACTTTTTAGATTCTTGTTCTCTGAGCTTCGAAATTAAAGCTCTCTCTGATTGTCTATACGTGTCAATCATTTTGGTTCTGTTCTCAAGTAGACTGCACCTTACCGAATGTCTAGCCTTTTCAAAATCATCTTTGAAATCTTCCACATAATATCCATATGAAATATTTCTGAAATCCTTTTCACAAGTCAACCCGCTTTTCTTCATTTCTGCATCTGCTTGATTAAGCAGTATGGTCTGAGTATTAATAAGAAGATCTCGTGGTTCTTCGTATTTGTTCTGCGTGTTAATTCTCATTTTCGCAACAGTAGAGGTAGAAAATTGCAGCAATGTTTCGCAGTCTTCCGGTTCAAGCATATTCGTTGAAAGTATTATCTGCCGCTCCAGACAAGTGAAGTTACTTTGCCATTCTCCTTTATCTATCTCACCTGGTTTTTCGCTCAACATGTGCTTAACTTTAATTTGAATCATAATGAAATACTCTTTATTTTATACAGCTTAATTTTTTTGCTATGTCAAAAATTATCCTACTTCCGTGGTCGAGCATTCCTCGGAAGATGAAGAAAATCCCATTATGCATTGGTTCTGCTTCTCATCGCAGCCGAATAGCTCTTCATTTAGCTGAAAGAGCTTTAAGTACGTGGGAGCACAGCAGATAAATAATACCCTATTAAATCTGGAATTCCTAATGTAATGTAGCCGTGTAAGGTTGCTTTTTGTTAGTAGACTTTTGCAATCTATCCGTCAGTTGAAAATAGTGTACATATGCGGCATATCGAAATAGAGTTCGAGGCATGGCCACTTATAGGAGTCATCAGAGATACAATAATAAGTGAGTAATAGATAACCCTAAAACTCCAGCAATCAATGGTCTTCACTATATTACGCCATGTGATCGACTTTTCGTAGAAAGGTGGCTCTAGAGCGGTCAGTTTTTTGAACACGTGAAACATAAATACATGCATCTCACTTGCTTGCTGCGACCATATATATATGACCAGATCACTTGGATCCTATTCTTTTGAAAATTAAAGAAAGAAGTGAAAAGTATTAACCTCAGGAATTGAATTTGTAACTAGGATCTCTAATGATATTTGCTAGATCTATTTTCTTGACCCTGGTCATCTTAATGACCATTAACTCGGTCGCTGCAAATTATTTAACATCTTGGACTCCTTCAGATCTAAAAGACTTTTTGAAAGATCGTAAGGTTGCGATTGAAGATTCATTATCACAATCAGAATTGGTCAAATTGGCTGAGAAAGAGTATCAAAAGTTAGTAAACTATGACAAAGGTACTGTGGGGCTCGCAGATAGCGATCAACAAAATGTTTTGAAATTAGCAACCAATCCAGACACAAATTTGGTTGATTATTTTCCGTATCGCAGCTGGGACTATCTCTTCCACGATCAAAGTAACTACCAAAGAGTCAAAGATTGGGTCTTTGATTCCTGGTCAAAAGATTCCTTGAAGGAATTTTTGAAGTCACAGGGCAAGAAAGTTAGCGGTCTGGTTCCGAAATCCAAATTGATTGAACTTGCTAAGTCAAAATACGATGATGCTGCAAAATCATTTAAGGCATCTGGAAACTATCCTGGTGACTGGCTCTATAGCTCGTGGTCAGTAGATGATTTGAAAGAATGGTTAAAAAAATTTCATATCCCATTTGAAGATACACTGAATAAGGAGACCTTATTGGAACTTGTTAAGCACAATAACTTCGCTGCCTCCAATTCAGTTTCAGATTCCAAAAATGCTTTATTAGATTCATTAAACTTGGAGGGTTCTTCCATTTTTGATTCAAAGGGTAGGATTCAAGATTCTTTCTATGATTCCTGGACTTATTCTCAACTAAAAGAATGGCTAGGGCTTAATGATCTAGTCAAGCCTGATATTTCGCTGGACACCTTTAGCCCTCAAAAATTGAAGAAACTTATCAAGGCTCATGAGAAGTATTTAGTTGACGATATAAAACATTGGGTTGATGAGAAAGGGAAAAAAATCAGCCCTGTTATTTCAAAAAAACCTTTTAGGTCATCAGAGGATAATATAATCAATGATACCTTTTTTGTTGGGATTCAAAAGTGGTCCAAAGACAGATTGAAAGATTTTTTGAATGCTAGAGATATCAAATTTTCCCCACTTGCGACTAAGGATCAATTAGTTGCCTTAGTTAAGAAGAATAGCAAGCTCCCTGTCAAAAAGGAGTCAATTGATGGTCTCTTTGATGGCTTGTCAACCGAGTCAATCAAAAACTGGTTAGTGGAACAAGGTCAAACTATTGACGGTGGAAGGAAAGAACTTCTAGAGACTTTTTACGCCTATATTCAGAAAAAACCGGAAAGTCTTGTAGATTACAAGATTAAGCTATACGAACCGAAGGAGGAAGATTTTGAGAAGTGGCTTAAGGCCAGTCTTGAAAAAAAGGGTGCAAAAGTTAGCGATGTCACAAGTGATAATTTTCTGAAAATATTTTCCGCAGCTAAGCAATATTATTCAGCAGCATCTGACAAGTTGTCAGAGGCTAAGCTTTATACTGATGATGCCTTGAATGATATTCAGGAAAGCTCTTACGAGTATTCGCAAAACTTACTTGAAAATTCCAAGAAGAAACTGGTAAAGGTCTCTGATATCACTGAAAACATCAAAAGCGAAGCAGCCAAGCACGTCAAAATCTTGCTGGAGAAAATTAATCGGGAACGATTAGCACATTCTTCGAAGGTGAATGAAATATTTTCGTTTATTCGAAGCTACTATACTTCTGCATTCAACACCCTCTATGCTTTCTTTTTCAAGAAAAATCATATATCGGGCTTATTTGAAGACACATACTCTAAAGGAAAAGATTATGTATCAGCGGCTGGTGAATCGGCTGAAAGTATCCAAAATGGCTATCAGTCTTATGCAAGTGATGTCTCAAGACAAGCAGCGAAATCGATTGATAAGACGTACAGCAAAATCGAGCCGAAGGCACAACTGGCATATTCTGCTGCACAAAATGCTTACGATGATTACGGTGCTGCCGTTGACTCTAAGCTAAAAGACGCGTATGGCTCTGCTTCGCACCTTGCACAAGACGTAGGAGATAAGGCTGCTGAGACATATGATCAATCTAAAGAAGCTGCCACGCAGTACTGGAACAGTCTACTTGATATATACTCAGGATCAGAATTGAGAGCTTACTTACAGTCTTTTGGTTTCAGCTATCCATTTTTGAATACTCTTAATCGTTATCAATTATCAAAACTTGCGCAAAACCAAGTCACTCTTCTTTATGGAAGTCCGAAAACAAAATGGGATAAAAGTATTGCTGATATCTTGTCTGACACTTCTACTTCCTTCCAAGAAGCTGTTGGTCTTAAAAGGAGAAAAACAAGCTGGGAAAAGGTGAAGGATTACTTTACATTTTAACTAATTATTAGGGCTATCCAGCAAAGAGCGATTACTTGTATTGCAAGCCGCTCTATATAGTTTTATGGTAGTTATCAAATTTGTCTTCTTTCTGTAACGCGACATACTTCCATATAAGGAAGTCTAGCGGAAATGTTTTGAATTTATTCGAATTAGGAAATAAAAATATGTAGCGGTAAATAACAAATGATATCAATTTTTTGTGAGGTAAACAACCGTCAAAAAATCAAATCTTCCTCAGTGTGTTTTTATTTTATCTTAGCTAGATAAATCAAAATATCTGTTTAAAAGTTTTTTAGGGTTATATCGAACTTAGCGTAAGCCTTAAATTTTCTTCAAAGATCTTGAAATACTCTTAGAAGAATTTGAGAAGCAGAAAATATGAGAGAAGTGATTAGTATCAATGGTATGTTTCAAGTTTTTAAAGAAGCTGCTGGCGTATGTGGTCATGTAATACGTGATTAATTTATTTTACTAGATCAAGATACCCATATTGAAGTGCTGGAAGTGATTTTGATTGAAAGAAAAATACTAACTACAATATAGTTGGACAAGCAGGGTGTCAGATTGGGAATGCTTGTTGGGAGTTATATTCACAGGAACATGGAATCAGGCCAGATGGTTATTTACAAGAGGGTTTAGATAGACCAAAAGGAGGAGAGGAAGGCTTTTCAACCTTCTTCAGTGAAACGGGATCTGGTAAATATGTTCCTAGGGCTCTTTATGTCGACTTAGAACCAAATGTTATTGACGAAGTTCGTACTGGAGCATACAGGGATTTGTTTCATCCCGAACAATTAATAGCAGGTAAAGAAGATGCTGCAAACAATTATGCTAGGGGCCACTACACTGTTGGAAGAGAAATTTTAGATGATGTTTTGGATAGAATTAGAAGAATGTCTGATCAATGTGATGGGTTACAAGGGTTCTTGTTCACTCATTCACTTGGAGGTGGTACAGGATCTGGGTTGGGCTCCTTGTTATTGGAGCAATTATCAATCGATTACGGAAAAAAATCAAAGTTGGAGTTTGCTGTTTATCCGGCTCCTCAGGTTTCAACTTCGGTCGTTGAACCATACAACACTGTTTTGACCACGCATACTACTTTAGAACATGCAGACTGTACCTTTATGGTGGACAATGAAGCTATTTATGATATGTGTCGTAGAAACTTGGATATTGGAAGGCCAAACTTCAATTCATTGAATAGTTTGATTGCTCAAGTTGTTTCTTCTGTTACCGCCTCGCTCAGATTCGATGGATCATTGAACGTAGATCTTAATGAATTTCAAACTAACTTAGTTCCCTATCCAAGAATCCACTTCCCATTGGTTTCTTATGCACCTGTGTTCTCGAAAAACAGAGCTAACCATGAATCGAACTCAGTTTCAGAAATTACTGCTTCCTGCTTTGAGCCAGGAAATCAAATGGTTAAATGTGATCCGAGAACAGGCAAATATATGGCTACTTGTTTATTGTATCGTGGTGATGTGGTCACTAGGGATGTTCAGAATTCCGTTGCTCAAATCAAAGCCAAGAAGACCGTTCAAATGGTTGACTGGTGTCCTACGGGATTTAAAATTGGCATTTGTTATCAACCACCTACTGCTATCCAAGGTTCAGAATTAGCATCTGCAAATAGAGCGGTTTGTATGTTGTCTAACACGACTGCTATTGCTGAAGCTTGGAGAAGGATTGATAGGAAATTTGATTTAATGTATTCAAAGAGAGCCTTTGTCCACTGGTATGTTGGTGAAGGAATGGAAGAAGGTGAATTTACAGAGGCTAGAGAAGATTTGGCTGCACTAGAGAGAGACTACATCGAAGTTGGTACAGATTCCTTCCCAGAAGAAGAAGAAGAGTATTAAACTAGCACCACTAACGCCTAATCCAAATCTTCTCTATAGTTCTTTAATACCCTAATTGTTATTTTGTCAGTTTTTAGTTGTTGATTTGTGTTTACCGATGTCTTTATCACGGCTCACACTGATTATGTATATATAAATATATAATCTCTATAGGTAAAGCCTATTTTTTTGTATCCGCTAGTAAGTGCAATAATAGTCACTATTATGTTGGAATATTTGTTGTTACGTGTGCTTACCACTCTGCAAGACTCAAATTTTCACAGTTTTAATGAAGTGTACAAGGGAAGTATATCAAGGTAATTTAAAGATGGAAGATAAGCGTGCTTTGTTGGAAAAGCCTCTTCATGGCATATATATCCCAATATTTCTTATCATTTTTGGAACTTCTATACTTAACTACGAGTATTTACCGTATAGTATAGCATTCATAGTATTGATTTGCTCAATTAACTTTTACAGTGCTTATAGTAGAAGATCGTCATTAGACTACACTAAATGGAATGATTTTGAGTTGATTGATAAAACTGTCATCTCTAGAAATTCAGCAATCTATCGATTCAAGTTGAACAATGAAGAGGAGGTTTTAGATATTCCAACTGGTCACCATCTAGCATGCTGTTTTTTGATTGATGGAAAAGATGAAATAAGGTATTATTCTCCTATTTCAAATAAGTTTGATGCTGGTTTTTTCGACATTTTGGTTAAATCCTATCCGAATGGGACTGTTTCAAGGAAGTTTGCCGAGTTGAGAGAGGGTCAAACTGTTAAGTTTAGAGGGCCAGTGGGAAGATTGCAGTATAAAACCAATATGGCAGGAGAAATTGGTTTGATTGCCGGTGGCTCGGGTATCACACCTTTATTGCAAGTTATAACTCAGATAATAACTACGTCTGAAGACAATACTAAGATTACATTACTTTTTGCTAATGAGACGCTCAACGATATTTTGTTGAAAGGTGAAATAGATGAGATAGCAAGGTCATATCCAGACTTTAATGTTCATTACACTCTAACTTATCCTCCTGAAAATTGGGAAGGAAATACCGGTTATGTGTCTAAAGAAATGATAGAAAAATATATGCCAAAACCTGATCCGAAGAACAGATTATTTATCTGCGGCCCGCCTTTGATGAAAAAATCCTTGATTGAAATTGCGTCTTCCTTAGGGTGGGACAAAGCAGTTATGAAATCTGAACCCGAGGATCAAGTTTTTTGTTTTTAGATTCCTTCGTACCTCATATTAAATGCAAATCATTTCATATGTCTAGTTAGGTTAGAGCTAATAGATATATTTCTGAAACTTCCTCTGTCTCGTTTGATCTTATGACTCTAGCGTGGTATCCATGCTGCTAGCAAAGCCACTATCTTAAATGGTACTCAGATTTACGGAAAATACAATTTAGTTCAATTTTTTCAGATCTTTTGTAATGTCACAGACAGTGAAACGACAACTACAAGTTGTGAAAATGATTAACAGAACCCAATTCATCAACAAGTTCACCATCATACAGTTTACCAAGAACAGGTCAAAAATGTCTTTAAGCTACAGTAACAAGTTGGTTTTAGATTTTTGAATGAATTTAAATTCGAATGAATGGTGCAGCTATTAATATTTTCTAAAGTTGCAGTCGTCTAGATATGCCCCCAAGCACGCTTTAGAGAGGCCATTTGAATCTTTAAAGCGAAACACTCGTTGCCTTAGCGTTGGTTTGTAAAATGAAACTAACTGAGTTCCAAACTCAAGGAACAAAACAAATGCGTCGAATAAAATGATAGATGTTAAGTCAATATAATGTTGATCATGATTATGGCTAACTGCCAGGAGACTTACACAACACTTTCATGGGCTTCTCCTATTTACATGTCACTAACAATCAGAACTAGCCTTCTCAGCTGAGCTCATAAAGGATTCTCATCTTAAATTCGGAGCTTTTTCAAGAGAGCCTCATTGTTGATAACTAGCCAGAGACATTTCAGTAAATATGATTAACAGGGGCATCAAAGTCTGAGATTATGGGTTTAATGGAAATATTGAAAGGAAATAATAGATAATCTAAAATCTAAGAAAAAGTCAACTCTCCTAGCCTAGATTAGTAAAAATAATGGAAGTGACTCCAAATAACCAAGCTCCTCAATGGACTCAAAAATTTACTTCTACTTTTTTCACACACGGAATGAAATATAATGAAATTAGTCTTCCTCTGAACTTACAGGTGTGTCATTTCTGTTACTTTTTCTATGAAAACTGTGTAACTAGTAATATGATTTCACGCTAATGTTAGACGATGCAAAACGAAATTTTACAGCTTGAATTCAAGTCATAGAGGCGCATTTTGTAACAAATCCTTAGTAGACCACAGTCTCATGGTACTTGAGTCGAATGATAGATTTGGATTAAAATAAGAGACTCTGCTTACACACCACAACTATAATTCTTGTCTTTTTTTTTTCTTTTCTACGAAAAACCTTAAAAGGCAATTTTTGAGATAAGTAGAGTATCGCAACAAGAAATTCAAATTGACATCCACTATACTATTTCATAAATGAAATGAACTAAAGGTAAGCGAGGACTTTTATTTTTCCCATTTAGTGAAGCTAATATCAATTATTTTTTTTTCAGTGTTTTGTTAGTCTTCCCTTGGAATGCGTGATCTTTTTGTAATATGTAAAGCTTAAGAAACATAGTCCCTCAAATATCATTATCTCATTCCTCTCATGTTAGTTCATGAGTATACTCTATTCGACCATAAAGATATTAAGGATAACTTTTTTTATGTGAAGTTGGTATTTGCATAGCAATTTTGGTATAACAGTCGAGCAAGCTCGTAATAGTGAGCATATGTCACATTTTTATTTCGATGAATAAATTGTACAAAAGAACTACGGCAAATATTCTTTGCAGGATGGATAAGGAAGGAACCATATTGCATTAATGTTGACATGAGAAATTACTTTACATTACTTTTGACTTTATTTTTCCTCGAAGCTTGAAGTGACGTCACTTAAAGAGAAAGATCTACCTAGTAACTGAAATTTGCATTAAACTAATACGTTTCGGAAGGTATTCAGAGCGTCAACTAACTTTGTTCATAGTCTATATTGTACTTCTGAGTCTATCAATCATAGCATCAACATTTGTTAGCACTTGATATATTGATTCTTTAAAAGGAGTTTCAAATTGAAATAGGAAATGGTAGGGAAAAGATTGCTTTATTCTGTTACTATTGTATTATTAATATCAAAGCATTCTTACTGTTAAAAGTATCCTTATCTCTCTGAAATTGGATAAAGAAAGAAGTGAGATTTCCCTTTAAAGAATAGAATACGGAAATGTGGCTTAAAAATTTCGCGATATAGATCCAATAAATAAGACAATAGACGAAAGGTAGCCCGAACAATAGATCTAAGGTTACAAGATAAGAATGCATATAATCTTCATGTGGCTCTAAAGAACGAGGGTGAGGTACACCACATTGTATTGTATCTAGCTCCTCTCCAACGCCAACAAAGGAATCTTTAAATTGTAAAAGAGTGTACTAGTAACCGAGGAGTATTTTGAGGCAAAATGTTGTGTATTTTCATAAGTAAATACTCGTTTCTATCTTTTAGTTTTCGGGCCCCAATATCAAAATGCGCGTGGACCCTGGGCTCGGCATTTGAAAGATAAGCAGACATAATTTGCCACAAAATAGGATTCGGAAGATTTCACGACTAGACAAACGGCATTCTTATCAGTTATCTATCTCGAGTAACAGATTTACAAATAGGGAAGCCAATATAAGTCAAACATGGCCATAGATTTAGATTCAAATTTCGGAAAAAGTAGCACTGGATAGAAAAGATGGTCAAGAAGGAACTTGATTATGTTAATAAATCACCTTCTCAAAATGGTGAGATTAATGTTTATGAAATCGGCGAAAAGGACAATAAGGATTTGAGCTTTTTTGAGAAGCTTACGGACTCTTTTAAGAGATATGATCAAGAGGATTTGGGAATTGATCCTAATTTATCAGATGTAGAAAAGGCAGCAATTGCAACAGCTAATTCGCCATTGAACCGTTCGTTGAAGAATAGACATTTACAAATGATTGCCATTGGTGGTGCTATTGGTACCGGATTGTTCGTTGCCTCCGGCCAGCGTTTGCATACGGGAGGGCCAGCTGGTGTTTTAATAGGTTACTCAGTTGTTGGAACGATGATTTTTGTCACTTGTCAAGCATTAGGGGAGCTTGCTGTAACGTTTCCTGTAGCAGGTGCTTTTGTGACTTATAACACCAGGTTCATAGACCCTTCCTGGGGGTTTGCAATGGCTTGGAATTATGCTATGGGTTGGTTGATTACGATGCCTTTGGAACTAGTTGCTGCTTCTATGACAGTTGCATTTTGGAATCCTTCAGTTAATCCGGCCGCCATTATTGTGATCTTTTATGTTGTTGTTTGTTCCATCAATTTTTTTGGAGCTAGAGGCTATGGTGAGGCTGAATTTGTATTTTCCATTATAAAAGTGGTAGCAGTAATTGGCTTCATCTTCTTTGGGATTATAGTTACTTGTGGTGGTGGTCCAAATCACGAATATCTTGGTGCAAGATACTACTACGATCCAGGTGCTTTCGCTAATGGGTTCAAAGGTGTTTGTTCAGTTTTCGTTTCTGCAGCATTCGCATTCTCGGGGACTGAATTAGCAGGTTTGGCTGCAGCTGAAACTGCAAATCCGAGAAAATCTTTACCAAAAGCTACGAAACAAGTATTCTGGAGAATCACAATATTTTATATAGTCAGCTTGTGTTTGGTTGGATTACTTATTCCTTATAACGATAAAAGATTGTTAGAGGGTAGTTCTTCGGCTGATGCGAAGGCTTCTCCGTTTGTTTTGTCGATCTACGATGCAGGTGTTAAAGGATTACCTTCCGTTATGAACGTTGTTATCTTAATTGCAGTGTTGTCAGTTGGAAACTCTTCTATATTTGGCTCTTCTAGGACTCTTGCAGCATTAGCAGCATGTGGTCAAGCTCCTAAATTATTTGGTTATATTGACAAATCGGGTCGGCCCTTATTTGGTATCATATTTCTGTGCTTGATTGGAGCATTATGTTTTCTAGTGGCCTCAAAGCAAGAAGGAACTGTTTTCGATTGGATGCTGGCATTGTCGGGACTTTCTTCTTTGTTCACTTGGGGATCGATATGCCTTTCACATATACGTTTTAGATGGGCAATGAAGAAACAAGGAAGGGACTTGTCAGAGCTTGGATTCACAGCGCAAACAGGAATTTATGGATCTTACTACGGGTTTGGTTTAATTGTTTTAGTGTTCGCAGCTCAATTTTGGGTAGCCCTTTATCCAATTGGCAGCCTGCCTGATGCCTCAGCCTTCTTTCAAGCATATTTAAGTTTCCCTGTTGTTCTTTTCTTCTATATTTGTCACAAGCTTTGGACAAGAAATTGGAAGTTTTTCATTAATCTTGAAGACATTGATCTTGATACTGGAAGAAGAGAGTTGGATTTGGATTTGTTTAAGCAAGAGCTCGCCGAGGAGAAAGAAAGGATGGCAAGGAAGCCAATGTACTACAGGGTTTGGAATTATTGGTGTTGAAATTAGATATTCCTTTAAGTCAAAGCCATTGAATTGAAATCACTTCTTTCCAAATAGAAGATTGGTCTTCAAAAATATAATTTTATCGTAGTCTATTTGGTTCTAAATATTAAACTTTTTTTTTGCTTTCTCAATGTATATAAATAGAATCTGCAGACTTTTTGACCATAGTCAAAGAGGTTTGTACCTAATACATTGAAATATATTTCCGTAATATAAGCATACTTTCAAGTTGTTCTTCCAACTCACAAAAAGTAAAGATCGAAGCTAATAATGTTCAGCTAATGTTATTAAATTGACGTCTTTTATTTTAAGCAATATCTCGGAAATGAGCAACATCATGCACCGTTCTACAAGTTAAATCAAATTTTAAACTATAGTTTTTCCTTTTTGTCCCAATACGCTCGAGATTTGCTCAAGTATACACCTGATCTACTCTTATATGGTCATTTTTGCTATCTCATAGTTTCCTCTGCAAGCTCCAACAATCTTGTTAAAGGTCAACGAATATTTTTTATCAAAGAAAGAGTTATTACACCTTGGATTGTACGGAGCGAACCGAAAAAATGATTAGAAAGACAAACACGAAGTACGAGAAAAAAAAATTGTCAAAGTCAATACCCTTTCTTATTTCAAGAAAGTTTAATTAGGTAATAGAAAGATTAAAAGAAGGACTCGAAGGTGTTACCTCAATTATTGCGGGACCGAATAAGATATTTGAATCGGTCAAATTAGCTGATGAATCTGAGGTTATGAATGCATAGGACTGACCTGTGACGTTCATTGGAACACTTGCAACAATGTTGTTGCCATCAATGTTCCCGCTGACTGGTAAAACATCCAAACCACTTACATAAGTAACAAAGCAGTTATCTGGAAGGGTACCGTTTGCTGTGAATGTAACATTAGAACTTGTAGAAATTGGCTCACCTTGATTAACAGTGAGAGCCTTGTATGACTTGACAGGAAGCGCTGCATTTGTTGAAGGACAATCACTAATAAATCCGCTTGCGATGGTGTAGACTGCATTGATCCCCATTGCTGTTCCAAACGGATTTGCCGAAGCGACTTCACCAACGGCAGACCTAAGCTCAGACTGATGAAGTGCCTCAGTTACCAAGACCGAAGCGGCATAAGTGAGATAAGATTTCGATGTCACAAGAGGTGCCGCCCCAAGGTATGCTGAAACACCCACGCCCTCTATAGTAGCTGCAAGAGATACAAATGCTTTTGCATCAGCCATTTTGAACTTGTATGTGCAAGCTGCAACTGGCTCCAAGCCAGCTGATTTAAGACCCTCCTCGAGAAACACTACATGAGCTTCCTCATCATGAGCAATGTACTTCAAGTTATTGTAGAAGTCTTCGGTGAATCCGGCTGCCGTAAAATTTTCAACAGACCAGGTAGACAATGCTTCCTTGTAGAAGGCATTTTCTAGGTGTTCAAGGGTCAAAGCAAACTGCAAAATATCACCGTCGATATTATCACGCTTTGCGAGGTGCAATGGCATAGCGATGGACGAAGCAGCGAAAAAAAGGGTAGTAATATACTGTAACTTCATAATCTTTTTCTGTAAGGATAGATTAATTATATAAAGAATGTATAACACAATTAACTAAAGCTGCTTATGTGTCTGTATTTATAGGAAAGCTAAACGACGACAATAGATATTGTAGAGTGGAGTATCATGTCAATAACATGATGAAGTAATTCAAACAAAGATACGAATCATCAGGTGGTCCGTAATAGCAGCCAAAAATTGCAGCCAGTTGGTTACAAACCATAAAACGTTTAATAAATGCGAGCGGAACACCGATGATCCTATACCGCAACCCAGGGCCCACTAATTGTCTTCTTCTCTGAGGAACATTTGTATCAAAATCGGTCTAACTCCGAACTCGAGAAGCAAAGTCTATGACGGGCACTCGTATAGACGCTACTTTCGTTATGCAGTCATAGTCATTCGGTTAGGTTTATCCTTCGTAATAAACTGGCGTCACTCGAACGTAAGGTTTTACAAAGGGCCTTATGACTTAAGTTGCTACTTAAAAACGGTAAAAGGAACCTGCAGAGAGATAAGATGAAAGGTCTTCATCTGCAGGGCATATAGATTTTCCTATTCCATAAAATTTTATATCAAGAAATGGTTAAAAGTACTTGAATCTCACCTCGCTCGCGTATTTGAACAAAACTTGGAATTCAAATAACATTTGTAAATTCTTTCGATAACAAGTTTTAGATGTATATATATACTGTACTGCAGTCAACTTCAAAACTAGTTCGGTACAAAGAATTCAAATTAGATTAAAAATCTTGGATTTGGTGCAGCATATTTACTTGAAATGTTTTTTTCACTAAGGAAGAGTCACAATGTACATGTATAAGCGTTAAAATCTTTTTCGAGTATATCTAAACATAGAGATAAAGTACAAAAATAAGCAAGACTAAAAGTTTAGTATCCTAAAGCTCCCATTTCACCGATACGTTCAAAAATACCCCTCTTACGAATGAAGGGGTCAATCTTAACATAATTGCTGGCTAATTTGATGCCCAATTTAATTCTAATTTCCAAGAGTTGATCAGATTCTTGAATTGTTTTGGATTCCAACCAATTAATGGTTGCCTGAAAATAAGATAATATTAAAAACGTTCTTTGCTTCAATAATTTCCTGTATTCCTCTCCCCTTGGCTTTTCAAAACTATCCTCAGTGGTTGGATTTTTGTATTTCATAACAAAAGTATCATCGCCACCTAGCTCTTTAGGTATAAATTGCCTGTCAATAAAACTTTCAAGATCGTTACAGCTATTAGTAAAATGGATTTTAGAAGCTACAACGGGATCTAACCAACCTTTGATTACTTTCCATACTGCGTTAAAAATCCATGGTGCATTGTGTATCCAGATAGCCCCTAAACATTCAGGATAATTAGCTTCAAATGCAGTTGCCAAAAATTTAACTGCAGCTAGATCTGCATTCTTAAGCGTAAACCCAGTCATATCAAATAGAATACATCCTTTATCAACGCCTTGTTGGATTGGCTTAAGCTCGAGTCGTACCCACTCTATTATTACACAAATAAATTTTTCGAAATCTCTCTCCGGACAATTTTTGCCAAAATGGTCTTTGACATGGATGACCACAATTGGGCGTCCCAATTTATCTCTTCCACGAAGAAAAGCTTGATTAATTTTGAAAGCCTCGATAAATTCATGACTGTCTCCTTCAAAGAAGGCCTCCGCATCACCTCCAAAAACCCATTTATCAACAGGATGAGAGTTTATTCTCCAGTTTAAATTTTTCGCAACCATTTCGAGGGTATCATCTACTTTCTTTTTTCTAGCAACGAAAAATCGGTTTATACAAATGTCAAAGGAATCATTCCTAAGAACGGAAAGAAATGCAAGAAACGAAGCATAACGATCTACCTTTTCAAGTGCCTTATGTGACTCGGCAATTTTGCCAGAGAAAACTTGCGAGCTATCAATAAAATTTCCAGTCGATATTTGACGTCTCAAGGATTCGAATCCACCCAAAGCTTTGTATGGTTTCTTTAAGCTCTCAGAAACTGCGATGCCATAATTCCCATTATCTCTCTCTATATCAGACAACAGCTCTTTAATTTGTTGGCCATGTATAAATTCCTTGCTTGATGCTTGCGACCCAACGAAATTGTTCCTATCAAGTATGTCATCTACCCTATATTCAGTAATTCCAAAAAAATTAAATAGATAAGCATAAATCTGCTTTAATGAGATCTCCTCTTCACTTGAGTGATCCCAAGCTCTCTTAAAATACTCTGTATCGACTGTCATAGCAAGGTAATAGGAAATAAGTATCAATACATCAGGAATAAGACCAATTCAGAATAAATTTAAAATGCCGTAAGGTAGCTATGGCCATCTACTGCAATCATCTTATACTACTTTAAAATATCATATGTTAGGTGAGGTTTGTTCATATGCTTTCAAATTTGCGAATCATTCTCCTCATGCTGCATGTAGTTCGAGGGGGTAGTAGTCACGATGACCTAATAAGGAAATCGCGATGAATTAGATTTTGATATCTATTCCCATTTGGAAGAGTGAAGCTCAGTTGAAGCTTGAAAGTAAGCATCTAAAACCAAAATTAGCTTGAAACAAAATTCAAGATGCACTCTTAAAGATTAATCCTCATGGTAGTGATTAATTCACAAATGAGGTAAAGAAGTCGTATTGTATTCATATTTCTAAGTTGAACATGACTACACAAAGAGCTATATATTTTCATTAGACATTATTCCCTTTTAATTACAGAAATAGATCAAATGATTAAATTGAAAATAATTTCAAAATCAAATATTTAAATAACGGAACTCATGGCCTTCCGTAGCTCAAAAATCCAAGCTTCTTCCCAACTTTTGTATACAAAAGTTGGGCCCTGTGATTTTCGAATTGAGTATTCCAATAAACTTTTCCACATTTCATCTTATCCGCTTCTGCATAGACAAACTCAATTAATTTCCTACCTACACCCTTCAATCTCGATTCTGGGGAGACAAAGAGGTCGTTGAGGTATAACGAGTCATTAATTGTCCAAGTATTTCTATGTGTCAAATAGTTAGCAAATCCAATAATTTTACCTGAAGAATTGTCAACTGCAACCGCTGCGTAAACAGGCTCCTTAGAATCAAAGAACCTTTCAAAAGTTGTTTCAGTCACTTCAGAAGGCACTGTAGATTTGTAGAATTCAAGATAACCACCTGATCCAGACCAGAGGTTTATCCATTCTTCCTTGTCTTTCTTTTCAATAGGTCTAATTGAAACTGACATGTTCTTCTTTGCTTTGATCAGCTTAAAGTAAGCTTTAATAATTACCTACCCGCCCGCCCTTTTTATAGATTAGTTAATCGCTTTAGCGGTTCCCTTTTGCTATCTACGATTCATGAGTACTTTCTCATTCACCTTCCTAATTTGGAAAGCGCCCTGTGATTAATTTTCTATCGACCTGAAGACCAATTGGGTCAACAGCGGTACTTTTATTCACAGTTATGTGTAGTTGGATTTTAATACGAGAGACTTTATAAAGCGCCCTCTTCTGCCTCCTTTAAGCGTCAGCATATCTGTAATATAAGAGCTCAATCGCTATATAAAATGCAGAAAAAAAATATTCTTAGATTTACAGGCTCTGTGGCCGAGTGGTTAAGGCGGCAGACTCAAGTTCTGTTATCGTAAAGATGCACGTGTTCGAACCACGTCGGAGTCACCAAATCTTTTTTTTTTTTGTCATTTTCCCCAAACTCGCTTAGTATGTCGAGACTTTTAAATGCTTACCGAAATAGAACTTATCTAAGAGAAAGTTTAAGGTCTCCTTATTCACTGTTATATAGGACGCTGTGACCGATTCTATAGCTAAAGTCAATTTTCTCCTGTAAAAATTTTTCTTCGATCTATTTAGACCTAGCCTATGATATCTACATAGAACCTTATAAGGAATTGATCTCTAAATATATAGCAAAAATGCTATCAAATTAATTCTAAACTTTATGAAAATAAAAGGAAATTTATACAAAGAACTGCTGCATAAAATTTAACTTGAAGAATATCAAACATGCTAATGTACATAAAATTTAAAAGACAGAATAGTCAAATGACATAATTTGATTTACTTATTGATTATTAGATTTTATTTCTGCTTCTTTCAGCTCCTTCTGCTGATTCTCTTCCTGAGGAGCCTCAACTGGATTGTTCTGTACTTGATTCTGATTTATGAGGTCACTTTCCGTACCCGACTGCGGTCTATTGTCAGCAGAATTAGCAATTTTATTTTCCCCTTGGTCTTGATCAATCTGATTACTTTCTACTTGTCCATTTTGTTGACTTTCAATTTTTACACTGTCAGTCCCGTGTTCCTCAACTTCCTTCTGTTCATCTATTGGGTCGTTTGCCTGTTGATCAGGACTATGAGTATGAAGATGTCTCTCGATCTGTGAATAATCCCACAAAGATTTTCTCAAAGGTTTACCCATTTTAAACCTCGAAGTTAATTGGTGGTAATCTGATTTATGCTTTAAATCCAATATGGAATGCTGTAATGATGAATCTAACATGAACTTCTTCTCAATCTCATGGAGAGCAGTATGCTTATGAGTCAAATAATATTCCACTAAGATATCGTTGTTTGATTGTAATAGTCTCACTTTATCTTCTGGAGTCATTTGACGTACAAGAAAGCTTAACTTGTCTTTGTTTATCTTGTCTCCATCCTTATATGCCTTCTCATCAAATAAAAATAATAAATACTTCTCTTCTACCCACAATCTCACCAGTGGAACATAATAATAGCCACCGAAATGATAGGATCTTGTTCCCTGACTGTATTCACGATTCAACATGGACATAATGTCATTTGGAACATAAACTGGTACTCCTCCAATCATCGAATATCTTAATGGATTGATACTTTCAAAGTTCAACCAATGCTTTCGCCTATCCATATACAACTCGACCGATCCACCATTCGCATTCTTGTTTCTAATGTGACTGTCATATTCGGGGGGTGGCACTTCATTGTTTTTACCAATTCCTGTGATATCAATGTACGTGCCCGTATCGATATCGATGAATCTAGCATCGATGTGATTATCTTTCGAAGGCATGTCCCTATGGTGTAAGAATGTAGCACATTCAATTAAGAACTTTCCGTAACCCTCCTCAAGATCTTCAATAACCAATGTCATATTATAGTTTTTCGATAATCTATTAAGTTCAGAACTAGGCATTTGAATATCTATGTCAAGGTCGTAAGGAAACATTAAGCCATTCCAATACCATGCCAATAACGGACCATGTGCGATCCACGATATGATACCCTTTTCTTCAGCAAAGCGAAACCAGTTCCTTAATAATCTATCTAAAATAATCTGTTCTCTAGTTTCAAGTTGCTCCATGGTCCAATCGTCTTTGATGTAGCGCAAAGCACCATTGAAAAACCTCCATTCATAGTGCCAGCCCGAGTCTCTATTTTCTTTGTCCTTCAAAAGAGTCGCTAACTTGTAATAAGTAGGCTCTTTGGTAGCCTCGAATAAATTGGCATATTTCAACCCATTGTAGTGGTTCAATTCATGTCTGTCAAAAGCATATTCGGCCAATAATTTGGGGTCATAGTGAAGCTCATTCGTCATCAAATCATCAAGTTTCATGAATCGATCTTCGTATGCTTTGATCTGAGCATCAACTTGCTCCTGTTTGTAATTAAACGCTTCAGTACTTAAATAGAGCTCACGACTGGCATTAACATCAGTTTGTCTCGTAATTGCATTCATTCTATAGATGTCATCATCTAAATTAAGGGGTCTTGGAGGGACTCTAGCTTGTAACTTCGAAAACTCCTTTGTTGGATTCAACTCCAAAATAGCAGACTTGTCTTTGATTCCATTTCTCATCAAGTAATTTTGCAACAAGTCTGTATGTACGATTCGTTTCTTATCGCTCACTTGGGCTTCATATGTACCTTTCTTAGTCAAAAAAATAATTGATAAGGGATTTTCCTGGTATAATAACAAATGCGCTTTTCCTTGCATCATGACTTGTTTATGTGGCGCCTTATTCATAGGCGATCCTTTAACAACGAAACCAGGAATAAATTCCTTAGAAGGTAAGCCTATTTCTTTTAACTCCTCGTCCGTAATATCCATCAAATTTTTACAGAAATTTGGGTACTTAGTGGGCTTGTTGATTTTACTTTGCAACCACTCACAGTTGAGTCTTTCTTCCGTAGGTTTAAGAAGTTCTTCGTTTAGCAAAGTCAAATCGACCCAATCTGACCATGCAAAAGGAACCGTCACAAGCTTGTCATTTGATTTGTCGTTGAACTTGTTCTTAGTCTCTAATTGGTCTCTTAATTCATCTAAATATATGGACAATGTGAAGCGAGGGTCATAATACAACTTCGGTGATTTGGCCCAATAGCCGTCCTCTTCAGCCAAGAAGTCTTTCGCTTTGAGCATAAGATTCTTCTGGAGTAAATCCGTATGTGCTAGCCAAAATCTGTCCTTATCTTGCTCGACCTCGCGGAGTAAATAGGCGACCTTTTGTTCGTGATTCATACGAGAATACGAAACTCCCTTAGGTATGTCTACCAGATCGTCCATGTGATATACTATCGTACTCAGGTGGTCAGCTGCAGCTTTCCTTACCCTTGTCTCCTCGATAGAGTATATCCGACAGAAATAGATAACATTTAAGATCAAGCAGAATATGAACACGATCTTAATGATCCTGGTGTTTATCATTTCGAATTCACCCACTCTTCTACTCTGCTTCTAATACGTTTATCTTGTGTATATTCTTTTCAAAATAAAAGGATGAACCAGCAATGAATATTTATTGTCTTGAGCTCTTCAAATTTCCAGTCGTGTGATTATCATCCGTTCCGGGGGTTCGAGAGAGGCGTGACCGGAATTGGGGTTTTTTTTTTTTTTTTTTTTTTTTAAAAAAAACATTTGATAACTATCACACGAGCGGCACGCAATGTTTATTCTTCTTGATTGTTCCTTGAAACAATCGCGAATTTTTAATAATAAGATAAGGCGCATCAAGATGATCATTTACATTAAGAAGCCAAAGAACGGCACTTACGCAATACGTTGTGCGCTTAGAACATGCGCGAGACATTCGATCTCCGTCCTTGTTTGAGAGAGCGTTGAATAATGTAAACTGAAACTGATACGCGTATATAATATTCTAAGAAATATGATTTGATTTATTCATGGTTTGCTGATCATCTACAATCAAACACGCTAAAAAATGTAATGCACTTATATTAATGTAACATTATACAAAAAACTAACTAGTCTTTGTGGTGTTTAGGTTTATCGATATTCTCATAATTGAAAAGTGGTCTTCGGAAAGGCTTCTGGAACTTAAATTGGGAAGTTAACTTGTGATACTCAACGTCGTGACTAATAACTTCCTCTGACTTTTGATCCCCAATATCCCCGATCAATGTATTTTCTCCTTGAGGCATATCAAACAAGAATGTCAATTCCTTCTTGTGCAATGCAGTAACATCCATGGTAATATAATATTCTAATAATACATCTTCATCTCTCTCTAGAATTTGAACAACTTCCTTAGTTCCAATTGTTTTCACAAGGTTGGTGAATTTTTCTGGGTCTATAATTCCATCCTTATCTTTATAGTCTTGACCTTGGAAAAGAAACTCCAATTTATCTTTATGAATCCATAAATTCAAGGCATCCACGAAGTAAAAATTCTCGTAAGTGTAGGAAGTTAATCCCTTGGAATATTCAATTTTCAAAATTTCTTTAATGTTATTGGGTATATACAATGGAACACCTCCCATCATTGTGAACCTTAAAGGTGAGATTTCTTTGAAAGAATAAAAATGTTTGTTTCTGCAATTGTAAACCGGCTGAGGAACATTTTCGGCTCTGGCAGCTTCTGAGAGACTCTTATACTGTTCTGGTACTTCTTCGTCACTAATTCCTAACCCAGTAATGTCTATGTAGGAACCCGTATCAATGTCAATGAATCTCGCATCGATGTGGTTTTCGTTTTTAGTGAATTGCCTGTGATGAATGAATGTAGAGCAATCGATAAAGTACTTTCCAAATCCTTCTGTGATGTCTTCAATAACTAACGTTTGATTATACAACCTGGAGAATCTTGCCAACTCCTCAGCTGGCATTTGAATATCAATATCTTCATCGAATGGAAATAATAAACCATCCCAGTACCAAGATAAAAGTGGTCCGTGGGCGATCCACGACGTTATACCTTTCTCATTAGCAAATCTGAACCAATTTCTCAATATACGATCAAGTAAGACCTTCTCTCTAATAAGAAGCTCGTCGACGTTCCAGCCCTTCTTTAGGTAGCGTAATGCACCATTGAAAAATCTCCACTCATAATGCCAACCAGCGTCTTTGTCATTTTCTTCATTGTCAAAATTAAGTCTAGCCATTCTAAAATAAGTTTCCTCGGCTTTCGGGTCAAATGACGATGCGTATTTCAACCCATCATAGTAAATTTTTTCATTTCTACTGAGTCTCAACTTATTGATCTGCTCTTCATCAAACTTTAGTTCATTGGTAGTTATTGTGCCCAAACCCTCGATTCTTTTTTCAAATTCTTGAATTTGGGCATCTATTTTATCTTGCTGATAATTGAAAGAACTCTCAGTCAATGTAAGTTCTCGGGATTTACTTGGATCTGTCTCCTTTATTTTTGCGACCATTCCATATATATCATCCTCGGCATCTAGAGTATTTGGCCTCACTGCTTTCACAAATTCATTGAACTCTTTTACGGGGTCAAGAACAATTTGATCTTCCTTGATGTTATTTAAGGACAAGTAACGGTCAAAGAGATTGGAATCCACAATTCTTTGTTTTCCTTCTACTTGAGCCTCATAAACACCATCATTGCTGAGAAAGATTATCGCCAACGGATTTTTTGCATAAGTCAATAAATGGGACTTACCTTCCAACATTCTGACTTCGTTCGATGCTTTATTCGTTGGGGACTTCTTGACAGCAAATCCAGGAACAAAGTTTGTTGAGGGTAATTTCATTTCCTCGAGATCTTGTTCGGTAATATCATTATTATTCACGCAATAATTAGGATCTTTGGCTTTAATATGATGTACAGCTTTCATATATTCGCAGTTTTTTCTTGCAGATTCACTTTTAGATAGTTCTTCATTCAACATAGTTATGTCTACCCAGTCAGACCAAGCAAATGGGACGATGATCTCATTCTTTTTCGTTTTGTCATTTTCGGGGTTTTTGTCTATATATTGGTTCTTGATTTCATTAATATAAATGGACAATGTAAACCTAGGATCATAAAACAAAGTCGGCTTGTCTTTCCAAGCTTCCTTTTTAAAGTCCTTGACAGTAATTTGAAGTTGATGGTCCGTAAGCTCGGTGTGGGCAAGCCAATACTTCTTCTTATCACGCGTGACCTCATTAAGCTTATAATGAATCTTTTCTTCATCAGCCAACTCCTTATAAGGTTTTTTGGGAAGGGGGAATAAAGGTTTGTCGTCTTTTTTAGTCGAAGGCAGGGAGTTCAAAGTCGCTGTTTGAGGGGTTTTACTGGCCTTTGAAGCATCCTTTGAGGCATCTTCATCCATTCCGTAGATGTTTATGTTGTCCCAAACGTTCGACGCATGAGTCTTGAGCTTGATACTAAAGTGTTTCGATGACTGACCTCCTATTAGCAAAAACGCTATATAAAACACATTTAACAACGCTATCAAAGTTATAGCAAACTTAAACACCCTCTGATTCAAGCATCGCTTGATGATGGTTCCTAGCACAACCTTACCATTAACCATCTCTATGTCCCTGACTGATTTTTACACAAATATTTCTTGAAAAACAATCTCTAAATAATAACTAATAACCAAAATGGCGGCGTTGTTCGGGTTTGATCCTACTCAAAAGTCTCAGCTAGACCCGATATCAACTTTAATCCACTATATGAATCACAGTGGGTATATATTAATGTAGTTAAAAAGACAGGACCTTATTTCTGCTCCACGTCTGGCTTGGTTATTTCTAGTTAAGCCGTGAGATACCAGGAGAAATTCACTGGTTCAAATATATTACACAAAGTCATATCGGGCATCTTGGTATCCCGTTTAATAGCAAAAAAAAAAAAAAAAGAACTATAAATCACCAGCGACCGGCAAACCGAGGGCACCTCGGATTATTTTAAAATTGTGACTTTGTTTGAACTAATTCAGGTCTTCGAGCGCGAAGCATAAAGAGCAAACAAAATTGAGGTATCCACAGATAAACTTATGCAGCAAGAATGCGAGAAAATATTATGCAAAAATGTCAGAAAAAATAGGGGTGAGAATTACTAAGTAGGATTCATATTTGGGAGCCTACCTTACAATTTGATGAGCATAAGACTAGGTCTCGTTTAAAATTTTAGCTAGGTTTGCGGCGGGCAGCGAAGCATATTTCACTTGCAAATTTATCTTGAGATGATCAAAAATCGCATCACATTCAGGCCGGAAGTGCTTTCGTAATTCAGAGGAAAACCGATGTTTTTTTTCTGTTCTTGGCACTCATTGAGATTTGAGATTTTTTTAACATGGTTACAGGTTATTGAAAAGGTACGGATCTGAACACTACTATTCTATTTCTTAATTGAGCTTAGCATATACCCAAACGCGTTAACCTGTCAAACTAAGGAAAGAATAAACGGAAAATTTAATTGGATGGAATATTTCATGTATTGGAATTTGCGTGTTTCAAATGATTATCTATATAGGATATGTAAACTTGGGAGGAATTCACAAACCATCTGCGAAACTACTAATTGGGGTTTTGCCAAAGCCGCCTTCTTTCATGGCCAAATCATAATAACCATATATGGTGGTTACTGCAAGCAAAATCGAAGTCCCTGAACCTAAAGTTCCCATGAAGTCGCAAAATACTGACAATGCACCAATTGTTGCACCTCCAAAAGCTGCTGCAGTTGGAATAATTTTTTTCAATTCCTTGTAGGCAGAAGTCTCTCTATGACCAGCGATTACAAGACCTTGTTCTTTAAATTGTTTCGCAACATCCCTTGGCGATGTACCACTGATTTCAATCCACGTAGTTGAAAAGAGAGCACAAGACCCCAAAACATACGAAATATAAATCACAGTCTTGATAGGATCTAATAAGACATCGGTAAATGAAAATGGGGGTTGGATGTAGTAAGCAATACCATTGACAGCAAACAATTGAGCAGCTCCTGGTCTAGTGTCCCAGGTTCCCAAAATTTTTACAAAAATATTATTTGGCCACCTGACGTACAACAATTGTGAGATGATAAATATGTTCGATGATAAAGCACTTTGCAACATGATTGGGATGTTTGAGGTATAGAATAATCTGATAGGATATAAGCCGTAAGGACCTCTTTGCCTTGTGGATTTAACTGGCAATTCAATTCTAAATCCTTGCAAATAAACGACGATAAAGAAAACAGCAATGGTTGCAAGCAATTGAAACATATTTGGCAAATTTGACCTATAAAAGGCTTCTATCAAAGCCCTCTTTTTGTCTTTACGGGAGCCCAATAAGTGAAATAATGCAACAACCGCACCTTCAAATTCGGTTCCTTTACCACTGTTTGATGTTGTTGGTGCAAATGCTTTCCAAAAAACTTGTTCACACACATTTGTTGCAGTAAATAAGGAAATACCACTACCTAAACCATAACCCTTTTGTAAAAGTTCATCTAATAAAATGACAATAATACCTGCAAAGACCAATTGCAATACTAATAAGAGACACACTCCAAGTCCTAAAGATTTTGGTGGTCCATACATCCCCGTCAAGACGTAAACGGTAGCCTGGCCAATTGCTAAAAGAATTGCAAAAAGCTTTTGAGCTGTTTGGAACTGGTCTCTGTCTGCTTTGTTATTCATGTCAACATGAATTAATTTTGTACCTTGTAAAAGTTGAAAAACCATGCCCGCGGAAACAATTGGTGAAATTCCTAATTCCATCAATGTACCACGATTTGATGCTAACATCATTCTCAACCAGAACAAAGGATCACTAGAATCACTTGATGTAATCCCGTATAATGGAATCTCTGACATAACTAAAAATATTAACAATGTTACACCTGTCCACATCGCTCTTTGTTGAAATGACACTTTTCTCTCTGGTGCAATCACTTCGGGGACAAACGGCTCGAATGGCCTCACCAAATCTAATACACGAAAGCTACTCATTCTGCAATATCAAGAGTGTCCTGAGCTAAACGGGTTCCCTATATTCAATTTTACTTTGGTTCAAAAATCAGTTCTGATTTAGAGTGTATGCGAGAATCAAAGTCGACGTGTTCACAGTTTTGGTATTTTTCAGGGGATTTTTGTGTCACTTAAAATCTGTCAAGATTTTGCAAAAGAGTAACTACTGTCATCTCATGAAGAAATAGCTTACGATTAGAATCAGAGACTGAGTAGCATTTGCTTAGTTTTGATTTAAATAGTTTCTGTAACTCATGGTGGAGAAATTAAAGAAATTAGACAGAGGAAATGAGGTAAACAAGCGAAGGACACCCTCACCCCAATCCGAATCAAAAGATGTCCTCAAATATCTTAATACAACCTACAACAACTATCTTAAGTTGGCAAAAGACAACAAAGGAGGAGAAAAAGTGAAAGTCTACAAATCACTAGATTCTTCGAGTCAATGGAAGACTAAGCATAGCTCTGCCAATAGTATGAAGAATGGGGGCCACATCAACATATTGTTTGAAATCAATAAATCAGTAAGTCATTTTAGAGAAAAAGAGAGGGAAAAGGGAAGAGAAAGGGAAAAACTAAAGGAAAGTAAAAATCAAGCCTAGTAAGTCTTCCGAAAGGGTTAATTTCCTTGATATTATCTTTGAAATATTGATCATGGTTTCGACTCTGTATTTTCAAATAGCATACGGTAAATACCCAGTTAACTTTCTCTGCACGTCTCTGGGTATCCGGATCTCTTATCATTACTTTTAATATACGATCATTCAAAAAGCTAAACTCCAGTCTCCTCCCTGTCGTGTGTTCCTTTTACCCATGTAACCTAATAATTTTTTCCCCTACGAAAAATTAGATTTCAACTGTATTCCATGTAGGCGTTGTAGGTGACGTTAAGTAAGCAAGCCTATGTGAAGTGTCGACTAGCGAAGCTGTAGCGGAATCATCTATTGCTGTTTTCACTGTTGCTAACAGTGCAACTATTGCTATATATCCCGGCAGTGCGATTAGCGACCCGGACCGTTCTGCATTTTCCTCATTGCTCCGGGTCGAGTATAAGTATGGGGAAAACAACTTAGGTCTATTATCTTATTTTAAGGCAATATATACGTTTTAATTATCAATAAATTGATCTTATATCATACTTCAAGAGCAATTTAATTTCAAGATGGCACCTCATGATTCTGTTTCAAAAAAAATGGATGTCGACACGGACATTGTTACCTTAACGAGATTTATTCTAGAAGAACAACAAAAGGTGGCTCCTAAGGCAACTGGTGAATTATCATTATTGTTGAATTCATTGCAGTTTGCTTTTAAGTTCATTGCACATAATATCAGGAGAGCAGAGTTGGTTAATTTGATTGGTATATCTGGAACTGCAAATTCCACAGGTGACGTTCAAAAGAAATTAGATGTGATTGGTGACGAAATCTTTATCAATGCTATGAAATCTTCTAACAATGTTAAAGTATTGGTCAGTGAAGAGCAGGAGGATTTAATCGTCTTTGAAGGAGGAGGCAGATATGCTGTCTGCACTGACCCAATTGATGGTTCTTCTAACATTGATGCAGGAGTTTCCGTAGGAACTATATTTGGTATCTACAGATTGAAAGATGATTCTCAGGGATCAATCAAGGATGTTTTGAGAAAAGGAAGTGAAATGGTTGCAGCTGGTTACACAATGTATGGTGCTTCTGCTCATTTGATGTTGACTACAGGATGCGGTGTGGATGGCTTCACCTTGGACACTCAGTTAGGTGAGTTCATTTTAACGCAGAGGGATTTAAAGATTCCTGAAAGAAGAGCAATTTACTCTGTGAATGAAGGAAACTCGTACTACTGGCCCGAATATGTAAAGAAATATATTGATGACTTGAAGAAACCTCAAGATGATTTGAACGGCAAGCCTTATAGCGCAAGATATATCGGCTCAATGGTTGCTGATATTCATAGAACGTTATTATATGGAGGTGTCTTTTCTTATCCTGCTGATACGAAGCTGAAAAATGGAAAATTAAGAATCTTATATGAATGTTTCCCAATGGCAATGTTAATGGAACAAGCAGGAGGTTCTGCTATTAATGATAAGGGTGAAAGAATATTAGATATTTTACCAAAGGGCATTCATGACAAGAGTGGTATTTGGTTAGGTTCTAAGGGTGAGATTGAAAAATTCTTGACATATATCAAATAAGTGTAATGAGAGTTTCTGAAACTTACGGCATGACTATGATTAAAAGAAAGTTCACTTTACTTTCAGTAGCTATAAAAAACTTATCTATAGATTAAATACATCAAACTAAGGATAGACTAATATCATTCGTAAGGAAATTTAATAGAATGAAAGTGTGGTTCTTCTGCTCGTAACTTTGTGTAAGTTTTGGAGTCATAATTTAGTGCTAATCGACATCGCACTGATGAACTTGGCTACAAAAAGAGCGAAAGAGCCCAGGGAGTAGTTGCAGATGTCTAGGCATTTAAATCATGTTTCGAATAAAATACGAAAATGTTTATCAAATCATCTTTCTCTGTCAAATTTGAAAAGGTTAGCTTTCGCTGTTTCTTTACTTTCATGCCTCTCAGCAGGATCGATATTGCTCTTTTCACTATTTTCAATATCACTACATGACATCATTGGTTTAAGCTACTTCCAAATTAACTTGATATCGTCTGTCTCAGCAATTGGAATGTACTTGTGCTTGCCAGTGTTAGGCTACTTATCGGATTGCCATGGTCCAGCATTACTTTCATTGATATCCATATGGCTATTTTGTCCAAGTTACTATATTAATAGTTTGCTAGTCAGCAACGCTGAAAAATATCCTTTAGCAAAGACTTCGGTCTACGGATTCAGTATAACTTTTGGTCTTATAGGTTTGGCGACATCATCGTTGTATTTTCTGAGTCTATTAACTTGCGCAAGAATTTATCCAAATCATAAAGGATTGGCTATATCGCTACCAGTGAGTTGCTACGGACTTTCTACATTCATAGGCTCTCAATTACTTAAGCTCAAATATTTCAAGGCTGGAGATTATTTGGATTTACCCAAAACGTTCAATTTCTTCGGAGCACTTTACTTAGTTGTTGGGGTTTTAAATTTTACTTCCAGTTCAATAGTAACTATAGAACAAGAAATAATTTTTCATGATGAGTCAACTCCATTATTACGTGATCAAGAAGAATGTGGAGAAGAGGAGGTAGACTATGCCGGTGACGAGAATCTTCTTGAGACGCAGAGCTCATTAGAGCCAACTCACCATCATGAACGTTATAAGAAGTTTTTGCTAGATAAATCATCATGGTTTCTCTTGCTCTCATTAATACTTAACATCGGTTCTTTAGAGAGCTATCAAAATAATTTGGGATCAATTGTCAAAATCGCCGCTCCTGGCACAGTCCTCTCTAACCAGGTCAGCATAATGGCGGCGGCATCAACAGTCATACGCTTAGTAATTGGGGCACTGTCAGACTACTTGGCTTCCCCAAGGAGACGATATCCTATCTGTCGTATCTGGCTCCTTGTAGGCATTTTATTGCTTGCAGCTGTGGGACAAATAGGTGTGGTAACCAATATCAATTTTTCTATTATTTCGACTATGAATGGATTAGTATACGGTGCCTTGTTTACTTTGTATCCTACAATAGTTGCTACGGTCTGGGGTATTGATATTATGGGATCTACATGGGGTTCTTTTATGGTAGCTCCCGCAATTGGCTCTGTCATTTATTCGTTAGCCTACGGTTGGCGAGTGGACCAAAGTAACCGTCCCACCAAGGAATGTCTCAATTCCTTTTTCGAAATCACCTCGCTAGGTATGTTAATAAGTCTTGTTATTATTTTCTTAACCTGGCGCTGCATTTGGTGCAAGAGAAGACTAGAGATTTTCTAGTTTGCTCTGGATACCTCAAAGAAGTTCCATGCACATGGTATTTGAATCCAGCATATCTTTCATATTTAACACAATCTCCAAACTGTTAAGCATGTACTTATGTTTTCAAGCATAAATTGTCAAGTTAGGTTTATGCTTATTATTTTTTCGCTACCTAGTCATAAGAAACGATACATTGTTCTCTAATATCTATTGGAGCCGAAGAAAAATTACAAAATTAGAAATAGACAAAGATAATATAGTTTCAATCTGCTTGATCTTGATTTCAGATATGAACAATACCATATAAAAGCACTTTTTTCACCCATCTCATTTCATCTTGAATCTTTCACGATTTTCTTTATTCTATATAACAAAACCTAGGAATAAAGCATAGTTGGACAAAACCCTGACATCAAAACTCGCAATCCTCATATATAGGCAGTAATTAAGTTAAATTCTCTAAAATAGATGAAAGTGACACATCGCCTTTTAGTTGAATAAATATGCAAAATCTACAAATACTTGGAAAAAAGTATACCATGAAAGCAACAACCGAATAAAAAGTTGATTTAAGAGTAGACCTGTGATCCAGAACTAGTTAAAATTGGAACTATTAATTTCAATCTGCATTATCGTTGTAACTCTTGGAACAATATCTATCAATGCTAAGCTGTTCCGACTCTTGGCCATGTTCCGGTAGCTTTGACAAGAAACGTCTCTCAGATACTATCCGGCATATTATATACATACAGAACAAGCTGAATTTTCACCTGACCTCAATATTCTTCAGAGCTAGAAATGTCAACTTAAAGTTTAGATACTTTTCTTGCATGCCACGTCCATAAGTGTCTTCAGAACGATCTATAAGCTAATAACTTTGACATTTTGAAGTTGATTACTCATAAGTAAATAGCTTGCATCCCAAAGGGAACCAGCCACATTATATGCAAGAAAGTATACAGACTTCTCGACTCTCTACATACTAAACTCTTCTACATACGATCCGATTACATACAGTACAAGATCACAGAATGCAGGCTTTCCGATTCTTTTCTGCAGTCAACGCGCTTGCTATCGCCCACAAGTAGATTTCTCAGCGAGCTCATGCTGGTGTTTCTATAAATCACTATCGCCAGCAGACCAGAAGATGATCCTTCTCTATTTAGTGCTTGTGAACAATATGTGCATAGGATTTTTAGTTTTTTGGTATAAGAGGAAATCTAGTCTTTCCTCTTATTATTTTATTCTGCTATACCGTAATTCCGTTTATGGCCCCTGCGTCAAAAAAGGCGACAGCGTGGCCACCTCCGACGCCTGTTTCGCCGCAGTGTACAAGGCGCCCTCCCCAGCTAACCAGCTTCGGCAGAAAATTACTGTGCTTGCTAGATTTTCTCGCGACGAGCCCACGCACTCTTGTAGCTGCGTGGCCGTTGGACAACCCTACTAGGTCTCGCTGCACAGGAGCGTTACTCGCTTGGTTTGTAACTCAGCCAGAAAATTTTTCTTTATTGGTCTGTATTTACTGCCACGTTAAATGTATACACAACACGCACTCGACGAACATTTTTGTTATATAAACGCAGATTATTCCGTTTATTTATGGAAATCAGTTGAAAAGACCTTGACTTTGAACAGTCAGTTGGATTTTGTAAAGCTCTGATCGCGTATCTAGCTATTTTATTGTACATCTACTTGGATAGATAACGAGAATAAAAAAACACAACACATCTCTTGAACAATGAAAGGATTAATTTTAGTTGGTGGTTACGGTACTCGTTTGAGACCGTTAACTTTAACTTTACCGAAACCGTTAGTTGAGTTTGGTAACAGACCTATGATTTTGCATCAGATTGAAGCATTAGCTGCTGCTGGTGTTACGGACATCATTCTTGCTGTGAACTACAGACCTGAAGTTATGGTATCTACCTTAAAACAGTATGAAGAAGAATATGGCGTGAACATTACGTTCTCAGTCGAAGAAGAGCCTTTAGGCACAGCTGGTCCTTTGAAGTTAGCAGAAAAAATTTTGAGAAAAGACGATACTCCTATTTTTGTTCTTAACTCGGATGTTATCTGTGAATATCCATTCAAAGAGTTGGCAGCTTTCCATAAGGCCCATGGTGCTGCTGCTACAATTGTCGCAACCAAGGTTGATGAGCCATCCAAGTATGGTGTCATTGTTCATGATAGAGACACTCCTAATTTGATTGATCGTTTCGTCGAGAAGCCCGTCGAATTTGTTGGTAACAGAATTAATGCTGGTTTGTACATTTTGAATCCTTCAGTGATTGATTTGATTGACATGAAACCCACTTCTATTGAAAAGGAGACCTTCCCTCAATTAGTTGAAAAGAAGCAGTTATATTCTTTCGACTTAGAAGGTTTCTGGATGGATGTTGGTCAGCCAAAGGATTTCTTGTCAGGTACAGTTTTGTACTTGACATCTTTGGCAAAGAAGCACCCAGAGAAATTATCCAATGAAAAATTCGTTTATGGTGGTAACGTCTTGATTGACCCAACTGCTAAGATTCATCCTTCAGCTTTGATTGGACCTAACGTTGTTATTGGACCTAATGTCATTGTTGGAGAAGGAGCAAGAATTCAAAGATCTGTTTTATTGGCAAACTCTGAAGTCAAAGACCATGCCTGGGTAAAATCCACTATTGTTGGATGGAACTCTAGAATCGGTAAATGGGCTAGAACAGAAGGTGTTACTGTTTTAGGTGATGACGTTGAGGTTAAAAATGAAGTCTATGTTAATGGAGCAAAGGTCTTGCCTCATAAATCAATTTCCTCAAACGTTGAGCATGAAGCTATTATCATGTGAAACTACGAGTTGCTTGTAATCTACTTCACAATTATATACCACCTTTTACTTTTACACAGAGTGATGATTTGTAATTGATTACTCTTCCGGGACATAATAAACAATATTCATAACTTATATGCTTCAAGAGTGTAAAATGGTCTGATAGATCTCATTAAATTATTTACATATATAGCTTCTTTTTGGCGTCAGTAAAAGTGCCATTGAAGTCGTATCTTAGAGACCAAGAAAACCATCAACGCAGCTTTGTCTTAATGGCTCGCTCAAGGGTTTCTTTCCACTTAAGTACTGCAAAAATAAAAGCTTACTAACAATAGGGTTATTGACAGTACCCATAATAACACCAGTGTCTTTATCTGGATTGAAATATGCGACCTTGAGTCTTTTAGAAGGCAGACATTCCAAATATAATACATGATTTTTTGGCACGGATCCCTTACGCCCACTGAATGCGTTTCTTAATTCGTCTAATCCGCTACTGACAGACTCTCTAACCTCTTTGCTCTTCGGATGTGCCAAAATTGATTTAATCAATCCATCCCTTAAGTGATTGAAGTCCGTATTTCTGACAGGAGATATCCTGACAGCAAATCTAACTCCCTCATCAATCAATTGTTCAATAATTAGACTTGACTCAACAGGATCCAAAAGGGAATCCTTTAGACTAAGACTGCTGACATTTTGAACACGGTGTAACACATTCTTTGCTATATTAATATCATCATTAGCTATGTATAGACCGATTCCATAGACTTTGAAGTTCAAGAACGTAACACTTCTCACACCATACCCCAATAATTGGAATTCAGAACTCGATAATGAGTTTCCCTTGTTATTCAAATGAGTTGGAAATGGATCAATTGACTTGTCAACAGAAACAGTATTCTCGATATCTTTCTTTGAATCACTGGAAAGAGTAGAATAAGAGTATCCAGATAAGCATGCCAAACCGATCAAAACTGAAAATGGGACTCTGGATCTTGGAATGCTCTGATAGTTATAAGCACGTTTGGAATATGAAAGGCTCCTTAAAGAGTAGAAGCTCCTCTTTAAAGCTGTAATAGAACCAACTCTGAACATGATGTCTAATCTTATGTCTCACGCTTCTTCCAGAATTGGCCGACTATAAGTTGCTCGCATTGACATCGAGATAAAATTTCCATGAAGATTACTGTTACAGACACTGACACAATAACATTTTCTACAAAACAGTCTATTTAGAGTCATATGAGCTATTTAAAGATTTCATGTCCTCATTTATAGGACACTTGCTCACTAGAGAGAAGCCACTAGCTAATTGAGCTTTATATATGGCCTCCCATTTATTCCACTCTTGTTCTGCAGATTCAGTTGTCAGTGATAACCAATTGTATGGTTGAAGTCTTGATATCAAGAAACCCAAGAGAGCATCACCGGCTCCTGAAACATTTTGAATGACTATGTCTTTATTTTCCTTAGGAATATCAAAGTATTGAACGACAATTCCTAATGGCCCTCCCTTAGAAATAATCGTGAAATCAGGCTTGTATTTCGAGGTTGTAGGGATTGATGCAAAATCCTCCACATTTTCAGATATACTTACCAAAAGAACTCCTTGTTTCCCCAACTTTATAAGAACATTTTGAAAGTAGGGAAGCAAATTAATAGCCTGCTGAAGAATTCCGTCACTTATTAAGGGTTTCAAGACATTCTTGGATAAAAGCTTTTCCCTAAATTGAGTGTCGACACCTAGCGAATCAATGACTGGAAACCATTCATCATAGTCATCAAAGAAACCTTTCGACTGAAATGACTCAAATATAGCCATCAATTCTGCCTTTGTAGGGGTAATTAGTCTAACAAAATTATTAGGATAAACTCTTTTTGGTATTATCGCAAGTCTCTTTGACTTAGGAGCCGACGTTGGTTCCACAATAACACTACAGTCTTTAAGGTTTTCTTCAATAAATTCCAAGATGCTCCGTATCACAGTCTGCAGTAAATTGCAGTCGAGAACTATGTTTTTAGGATTGGCTCTTTGAATTTGCTTGATAATGTGATCAGAGAAGTCGCTCTCAATTATATGCATATCAGCACATGCAATAATAAGTTCACCATTACTTTTATGAATAGATGTATACTGAGCAGTAGATCCTTGAACATGTTTAATTCCGGAAACATCAGAATTTCTTTCTTTTAATTGCGAAAGGAGAGCTGAACTAGGGATGTCATCTCCAACTATTGAAACCAACCTTGAAGGAGTGTCAGAAGAGTACGTATGAGCCAAATGAATGTTGAAACCAACCCCTCCCAAAGTAGATTGTGTGTTTCCTGGATTGGAATCAAACATTATGGCGTCACTTTGGAGTTTACACAGTGAATCGATAGCAATAGATCCAACTATGACTGTGTCGACGACATCAACAGTATTGCCGCTATCTCGAGTATACTCTTCCAATTTAGCATTTCGGTTTCCAATTTTTGTTTTCAAAGAAGTTGAAGGTTGAAACAGCGTTGAAACCTCTCATTATTAGTAAAATGCCATAAAATATAACTAAAACTCGATACTTACTTTTTCCAATTTGCAAAGTTCCTTTGCAATCTCGGACCCACATTTTGCATTATTCAAAACAAAATCATAATTACAAGTCACTGATCTTCCATTCGTTGCTTCCGCAATTTGTTTCAATAAATAAGGAGTCAAACGCTTTCCAGTAATTGCCTTTTCTTTTGCAGAAATGTTTGCAGCTTCAATTATCAGATCTATATAATTTGATTCTAAAGCAATATCTTTGGGAGGAGGAATGCAAAACAAATGTCCACTATTGAGCATCATACTTTTGCTATTCAGGATTATTGAAGCTGCCTCTCTGAAGGAGGAGAAGGCATAAGGTGATAATACTCCCGATTCTCGTGTATAGAAGCCAGGCACCTGAACTTCTGCTCTATTATCATCGTTGTACGTGCCAACAAATACCCCTTGGGTTTCTAAGTATTCCATTGTGCGCTCTATGTCCAAAATGGACTTAGGACCAGAACAGACGACCGCAACAGGTGTTCTCCCTAACTCAGTTAGATCGGCAGAAATATCCATCGTGAACTGACCGTCGCGATGTACGCCACCTAACCCACCAGTGGCAAAGACATTAATACCAGCAAGATTTGATAGAATCATTGTCAGGGCAATCGTAGTTCCACCATTGACTTCCTTAGAAATGGTATACCCAATGTCTCTTCTCGATACCTTGTTTGCTGACCTCTGTTCAGTTAAATACGCCAATTCTTGGGTATCCAAGCCTACCACAGGCTTGCCTTTAATAAAACCACAAGTAGCAGGAACTGCTCCACTATTTTTCACCACCTTTTCTACCTCCTTTGCTAAGGAATAATTTTCAGGGTATGGGAATCCATGCGTATAAATGGTTGATTCTAATGATACTACGGGCCTCTTCTCGCTCAAAGCTTGCTTGACTTCTTCAGATATCTTTAAGCAAGGAATATGTAATTTTCTTGAGTTAACCAAGAATATTTTAGCTTTTCGTAGCATTCCCTTTAATAAATATAACTTTATAGTTACATGATCCCCGGTATTTAAGTAATGAGAATTGAAAATAAAAAGATAGACTTTCAAAAAATATGAGTTCTTTAGAGAGTATACTTATAGAACTAGGATATAAAGATGATTTTCCAGACGAGTTAACACAGAGCTCAATAAGTGAAATAAAGCAAAGAATTATAGACCCAAATGGGTTGACTATTCAGAGAGTCTTAGATTTAATAAAAAATAATCATGGAAGCGAAATTTACTACATAATTCTTGAAGCGATGGCTTTCGCTTGTAATGATGGAGAGGCTAGAGCTTTGAAGGAGAACCTAATCGAAAATTTGAATATTCCATCAAGATCTTGGGATTGGTCAAACTCTGATGAAATTGCAAGCAAAAGATACTATTATTTGATTAGAGTTCTATGTGCATTAATAAAGAATTATCCAGAAGAGTACCAAAGTCTAGATGAGATAAGCATATTATCGTATCACATTGATCCCGATCTACCATGGAGTTCGTCTATGGGCTCGTGTATTATACAGAGGACAATCGAGAAATCAACGGGGTTGCAATCGAAAATCCATGAATATATGCCACTATACCTCGAGCGTCTTACAAAGGAGAAAATGGTATTCCCGCAAATGCGATCCAAGAATTCGAAGATGATCGAAGGATTGAAACCAAGGCTTGGATTCAGCAGCTTTGAAGGTCAAATTTCAGAAGACGACAGTAGACGTAAGTGGAAGGAATCATCTAAAGTCAAATCCATATCTATGGTATGGTTTTTAATTTACATTATTAGAGAACCCAAAGACATAAAATTATATGGAACTATAACCACATCTTTTATTCTTAATTTGCTTGATGATCACGAGCCATTATTTAAGTTGCAAGGGTTGAAACTTATGAAGAGTTTATTGATGAAGCTAAGAGAAATCAAGAGTGACTTTTTGACCAAATCAGGTTTGAGCATTTTGTTTTTGGGGTCAGCAAAGCAATGCTTACATTATCTACCATCGCTAACTCCAATCCCCGTATCAGAGGCTCTACTCCCATACGCTTACGAAGACATCTTTTTAATTCTTCAGGGACAGAAGAAGGAAGAGTATCTTGAATTGGTAAACGTCACATTGGCTTCAATCTCTCATATAAAAGGAGAAAAATCTTCTTTCCGTCTCACAACAATCTTACTTTATCAGCTTAGGACAATAGTCGGTATTTTGGGAATAAATATTTTACTTTGCTATTCAAGGTTGAATTACGCTTTGAATCTGATCATTATTGATCCGAATATTTTGGAGATGGACATCAATCCCATTAATGTTAGTTTAGAGATACAGAAGTCTGTCTTTGAGATATTTTTATCATTTAACAATGTCGAGGGCAATACTCTCTTATTGCAATATAAATATGATTTCCTTGGGTCTTGGATAGTGTTGATGAGGAAGCAATCATCCTTTGATTTGTTACTCAAGAATAACCTTGATCTTCTCAAGAATCTTGCCCTCACATGCAACCAAAGTGAAGAGCTTAATATAGACTTAAATCAGCTTTCCGAGCAGTACCCTGACTTGAAATCCAAACTAATATAATACATAGTAGAGTACAGTAGCTTAGCTCTCAATGACATTTATTGGCATAGAATCTTACTCTTTAAATATATATACAAGGGAACTCTTACCACGTTCATTTCTGTGCACCTTGAAGTGCCTGAACAACTTTGATATTGGTATCTAAGAACCTATTCAAGCAACTGCTTAGGCATTGTTCCTCATTCACATCCAAAGTACTAGTAGTAATTGGTTTATTATAATTGCACTTTTTAAAGCACATATCGGTGAAATTGTGAATCGACATCTGCACTTTAGATTTTGAGTTTTCTGACTCTATAAATTGCATGATATCCTTCCTCGAAGACTCATCAAGTGCTTGTAAGGCCGTCTGGGAGATCGAGGACATCTTTTTATCTATCTATTTTACTATTCTTATTGTCTTGAATGAACTAATCAATAGTCTTAGAGTGTAATTTTTTTTGAACTGACTGCACACTTTGAGATTGGTATCAGATTAAAAATCTCAGGCTTTCAAAAGTAAACATTTGATTTGTTATGAATAAAAGTAAGTTGGATAAAGTTAAACATATTATACTGAGCCAACGAGAACATGAATATGGTGAAGCGAACTCCGCACAGGCTACGTATTTCAAAAGACTACAGAATGATATAAAAAGGACTCAGTCATTCGTTGGTCTCGCTGACGAGGCAATAACAAAACTTAAGTTGAAAGATTCCCAGAAGATTCTGCGAGAACAGGAGATTATTGTATTATACAATATATATAGCAAAATACCGTACTCTCCAGATAGAGATGAAGTGCTTGACCTTGCTTCTGCTTCTACAGTTATGCAGAGAACCTATAAGGAGCATTCAGAGTGTTTCAAAATGTTGAAACAAATCAATAAAGCAAACTCAATGGACTTGTTGGAGAGTGAATACCTCCTTAGGGACTATCTGGTCGCGCTTGATAATCTAGACCAAAGAATCAATGCGTTGAACTTGAAGAAGAAAGAAGTCGAAAGTGATGACAATCGATTCTCTATAGATCAACGAATAGAGGCACTACACGAAAAACTAGAAGAGGCATCGAAAATGGAGAGACTCTTAACGTTGCATATGAAAAGGGTGGTGGTGAAGTTTTTGGCACTCCTGGACTGGGAGAGCCAAGTTGTAGCTAGCGAAGATGCTCTCAAAAGTAGAGTTTCTGAAACCGTCAAGTTGCTTGATAAGTTGATGATGTCAACAGCATGGGTCGAAGTGGATTCTACAAGCTTCGATGACTCAGTCATCAGAATTATGAGTATGAACGAGTTAATCCAACGTAAAATTGATAACAATAGATATTACTTAAAACTAAGAAACTACGGACTCGAATTCACTTGACTGGTTGAGGAATTGCAGCTCTGACAGCCTTGACTTGGGTATAGTTGTGCATTACTTCTTCACCCATTTCTCTGCCAATACCTGATTGGTTATAACCCCCAAATGGAACCATTGCATGGAAGTCATTGTAAGTATTCACCCAAACAGTTCCTGCCCTCAATCTTCTCGTGACATCCATAATTGTGTTAAAGTTGGTTGATTGAATACCAGCAGCTAAGCCGTACTCAGAACGATTTGCCATCTTAACTACTTCATCGGCAGTTTTAAACTTAGAGACAGTAATCACTGGACCAAAAATTTCTTCGTTGACAATTCTCATCTTTTCATTGACGTCACCAAAAATAGTTGGGTTTATGAAGTAACCCTTTCCAGGGATCCTTGAACCCCCTGATAACAACTTAGCGCCTTCGTCAGAACCTATTTTGATATAATTCAAGATTTTTTCCATTTGCTTAGAGCTATTTTGAGCTCCTTGAACGGTATCCAAGGAATATGGATCTCCGACCTTGATATTGTCTTTGGTATATTCAACGAACTTTTTCATGAATTCATCATAGATTCCTTCTTGAACGTACAAACGGGAACCAGCACTGCACACTTCACCAGAATTATAGAAAATACCAACTGCAACATTTTTCAATGCAAGATCAAGATTTGCGTCATCAAAGATGATGTGTGGAGACTTACCACCCAATTCTAATGTGACTTTCTTAATATTTGATTCAGCGCACTTCTTCATAATGATCTTTCCAGTAGCAGTAGAACCAGTGAATGCGACTTTTCTGATCAACGGGTGCTCAGATATAGCATTACCTGTTATCTTACCAAAACCATTGACGACATTAATAACTCCAGGTGGAAATATGTTGTGTTTCTTGATCAAGCTACAGACAAACAATGCAGATAATGGAGTGGTTTCAGAAGTTTTCAAAACCACAGTATTACCTGTTACAAGAGAAGGACAAATTTTCCAGGTAAACATCAAGAATGGAAAGTTCCAGGGGATAATCTGACCACAGACACCTAATGGTTCTCTCCTGGTGAAATTAAAATAGTCATCACCTGTCTCAATAACGGATCCGGTTAACTTATCTGCAAAGCCTGCACTGGATCTCATAACAGAAATAGCCAATTTAACATCACCGAGAGCGTCCGTGATTGATTTACCATTGTCAAATGTCTCAATAGATGCAATTGTTTCTTTATTCTCTTCCACAATATCAGCTAACTTACTAAGGGCGGCACCACGTATGGCTGGATCGCCAGTGGCCCATGAAGTCTCCTCAAATGCTTTTGACGCAACCTTGGCTGCGTGGTCTACGTCTTCTTCACGAGCCTCATAAACACTGGTTACCAATTCTTCTGTTATAGGACTCAGAACCTCAAAAGTATGCTTGTTCTTAGATTGAACAAACTCATTGTTGATGAACAAACCAGTTGGCTGCTCGTACTCAATTCCATTAGGGAGTTTAACACTAACTGATAATGGAATATTTGAATAGAAACGGGCTGCGGAAAATCCGGTAGCAGGAGTTATCGCACGTTTTATCAAACTAGATCTTGTCAAGCGTGTGGCCAACATTGCAATTCGTTTTGAAATTTTCTGGACCAAAACTTTTCATTTACGTAACGTAGGAGCCATCTCTCCTAAATATATATTATAGACAGTCAAAAAGCAATACTCGAGACACTTACGGTTGCTATTAGATAACCTTGCCGATATTCCGAAATAACTAGCAACAAAACTGCATATGAATTAAACTATTTCATATATATGTTGATAACTAAGCGACTCTATATCGGGGGTCCCTTAAAATTGGCCGAAATGGTAACAGAAAGTTCCTTAACCGACGAACGGACTATATTCGCATGGAACCTACGGGAACCAGAACACATGTGACCTTTTTGCTTTGGACCACATATTTTAGTTTGTAACTTCACCGAGTCGGATCCTCCTTCGCTTATCAAGGCTACTAAGTGAATTCTAATTGAATTGTGGGGTCTTGGTGGTCCAGACTATGTGGGTAAGAAAAAAGGTGTCATTTGCTGCTAATATCCTGCAGGTAAGTAAATCGTAAGTAATCAAAATTAATTTCTCTTAATATTCAAATAATTATGTAGCATGTACATTTGAACATACGATGCCGACTGATGTACCAAAGAAGAGGAATAGACAGATTGTATCTTGTCTAAATTGCAGAAAAAAAAAGCGCAAGTGTGATCGTTTATTACCTTGTTCTAACTGTACTAAATACAAATTACTGGATTCTTGTTCGTACGCGGCATCACCCAGCGGAAGTAGTCCACCATACAGTAGCCTGGCCAATGGGAGAAATGGAACTAATGGTGTATCGAGGCCAGCTGTATGGCCCACAGTGAATAATGAACTTGAACGATTGAAAAACAGAATTAAGGAGATTGAATCGACTGTTGCCATTGCGGCATCTGGGGTGCTGCCGTCCCACTCTCAGGAGTATCGACCTTCTGTAGAAATTATGAATTCAGTAAATGAGAATAACAATTTAGGAGATGCCGAGGAAACTTATATTGGTATTAATCCATTGGGTTCTTCGACTGATGCACTAAGTTTTCATTGTGATTTTCATGAAAACTATCTATTTTTATCGCACAGACCATTGAGACTACTTGGATTTATGAGGAAAGATCCAGGGGCTAAACTTTTCTGGAACTATCGAGGAAATATGATGCCGAAATCTCTAATCCTCAAGGTTATCCTGGATGAAAATCGAGAAAGAAATGCAACATTGAGGGAAGGTGCAAGTAAGTTTTATGGCGATGCTTACATTCCTCCTATTGATCAGCCAGCTGACATCAATGTAATCAAAAAGGCCATTTCAAATTATAGCCCAAGGCACTTGTTATGGTTTAAAAATTCAAATGAAGAGATGAGATTGTATGATAGGTTGAAAATTCAATTACCGAATGAAGATGTCCTTTGGAAATATGTACTGTATTTTTTTGCAAACCTTTATCAATTTTTCCCTTTGATCGATGAGAATGAATTCAAATCAGAGATATCAAGAATAGTAATTTATTCGAATGGAACTGTCGACACTCTAGTTATTGATAAGCGGCAAAACCTAGCCATTTTGGCAACTTTACTTATTATATTGAGGCTAACTTTCTTTAGTGTACTCAAGAACGAATTTCCTGATGGAGAATCCACTAATAATAATGACGTTATACCGGTTGATAATTTGCAGGTTGCTGAACAGTGTTTGAAGGAATTCGATATTACGAGGAAACAGAATTTATGTGTCCTTCAAGCATTAATATTTCTCCGTATCTATAGAGTATATGGTCCAGAAGAGGGGGATGGAATATTGGGAAGCGATATTCAAGCATTTCATGGTACGCTAGTCCAATTGGCTTACTCTCTTGGATTGAACAGGGATCCTATTGCATACGTAGATTTGAAGTCTAACGAAAAAGTTCAGCATTTGAGAAGAAAGATATGGCATTATTTGGTGGTAGAGGATGTATTGGGATCGGCGCAGTTTGGAACTACCTTATCGACTCATTTTCTTTCATACGATACTAAAGTTCCCTTTTTCAATGGCCAAAACTCCAACGTAGTCAATCAAGAGGTAGAAAGAGAAGCAGTGGCTAACATGGCGGCATTTAATTCATTTTATGCTCCAGTAGTTAAAATAGTTGAAATAATGTCGAACGTAAAGACGTCGATTCAAATAACAGAACTAGTTGAGCATATAACCGAGTTAGAGATTGTCTGCTCCAAACTCTCCGGTGTAAGTTCAATCGCACAGACTAGCGATGCTATTGAATCAATACTGATCATTCGAATGCGAATATATCTTCATTCAAAAATATTCCTTCAGTTCATTTATTATTGCTTGTTTCTTTATTTTGATAATAAAGGGGACTATCAATTAAGCTTCTTTTATTTTAGAAAGCTGATGTTAATAATGTTTAAAGATCTCATGGCTTTCATGAATGACGTATGGATGCCATATTGCAACACAAATGGTCTTTTAATGCTTATACTTACGCCCTCTATGGAAACATACTTTTACATGATAATCATTTTATCATTAATTATGATGGTGAGATTAAAGTCCACTTTATATACTTTAAAAAAGAGTGAAGGATTTACAGAGAGATACAATAATGATGCTGGGTTAAAAGAATTTGTCTTATGTCTCGAAGAAATTACGAAGATAATAAGTCGTTACAGTAAGTTCCAAAAAGAAGTTTTTGAGCTCAGCATATATTATTATCATGCATGGAAAATTCGAAAATTGGATCTGTTATTCATGAAGTCCGTAGGTAGCGAAGAGATCTACTCAACAAATATGAAGCTCACGAATTTGGCAGTCCTCAATTTTTCTACTGAAATGCTACAGGAACTATTAGCGCTTTTCAAAGTAAGTTGTGATGAAAAAGTGGAGGAAGGTTTGGAGTCCAAATCTGAAGATGAAATTATGAAGCTTATTCAACTTGACAATATGTGGGTCCAATTCAACTCAATTAGCCGAGATCAAGAATCTGTCCCACCCTATTGTAGAGACGAGAGAGCAAATCAAGGTGAAATTATAGATCAAGCAACTTTATCAGCATGGAGTAATGACTTTAATTTTTTCGACGATGTCTGTTTTGACGAGTTGAATTCTTATGAGATATTCCCGTAAGATGAAAACATAAAAGGCAGAATTAAAGGCAGAATTAAAGGCAAAACTGGATTAGGTCTTGAATTGATTATTTATTATTTATACATTCATTTATTCGTAACATAATAACATAAACATTATCGAGAGATTTGAGCATCAAATGTGTATAGAGTCATTTAACACATCTCAGATATTATCGCTCGACGCAATCGCGCCAACATCCATAATCCTTCGTTTTTCCTAATTAGGCCATACAAAACAGTGATGCAACTTAAGATACGGCAGAACAGAATGGCTCAATCGACGGTTGAATATCGCAATTGGGAGACGTGTGGCAATAACTTATAGGTGCGTTCAGCCTTATCAACATATATCGATATCATCACATTACATTACATTTCTACTATAATATTCAACCACGAATATAGATCGATGTTCATGATGTGATTATCAACATGATTACATTGTTAGTTGAAGCAAGCTTCATTGGGATATCGGAAAATCTTGCGTAATCATGTCACAGCAACTATGACTGCTACTAATGATATTCTTCACACGTGATATTATCCTTACTCTCTCTTTTGTGAGCATCACTTCTCAGTTGAGATTTTGAGTCAAAATTTCTTGATTTGTTCTGTTTGTATTTATGTTCATTTGCGACCGTTTTAGGTAAAACATAAACAGGATCAATACAGTATATTGAAAATACTCCTGTAGTCGAAGAAGCTCTATAAAGCATTTTAGTAATCCTAGAAGACAAAGAAGCTCCTTTAGAAAACCAACTACATCGTTGCACAGATACTAACCGCCGTATCTTCACAATATTAGGTCAGCGGGACGAAGTCAAAACGGTCAACTCAATATCATTGACAAAAGGCAAAACCTTCATTCTTAGATTCAAGAAGAGCCATCAGATATAATATATAGACTGATAAAGAAGACCATACTACAGGTAGCAACTTTTGAGAAACAAATCCCTCCAATAGCGCTACAAGAATAGATATGTCAAGCGTCCGCACTCAACCATTGCAGCCGTTGAACAACGGTCAACTAAATACAAGGGCTACTGCTATAACACCAATCAAACCTGCCAGGCGTTCTAAAGAAAATCAGCCAGAACCAAAACAACAGCAAAAGAAGAAAAAAGAAAAATTATCAGCGCTATGCAAAACACCACCATCCATAGTCAGAACAAGAAATGGCAAGGACTACCGCCGAGGAAGCTTTTTAGGTGAAGGTGGATTTGCTCGCTGTTTCCAGATGAAGGACACCTCTGGTCAGATATTTGCCGCCAAAACTGTAGCCAAGATCTCAATAAAGAATGAAAAGACAAAGACAAAGTTGTTGTCTGAGATCAAAATCCATAAATCGTTGCTGCATCCAAACATTGTGAACTTCAAGGACTGTTTTGAGGATGACGTTAATGTTTATATATTGTTAGAAATATGTCCTCATCAGTCATTAATGGAGTTGCTAAAGACAAGAAAAAGGGTTTCTGAGCCAGAAGTTAGATACTTTATGGTGCAGATTGTGGGCGCCATCAAATACTTGCATTCAAGAAGGGTGATACACAGAGATCTTAAACTTGGAAACATTTTTTTTGATCCAGATATGAACTTGAAAATTGGAGATTTTGGCTTGGCTACGGTATTGCCGTCTTCTGATTCAAGAAAATATACCATTTGTGGAACACCTAATTATATAGCACCTGAAGTTTTAGGTGGAAAGACTTCTGGTCACAGTTTTGAGGTTGATATTTGGGCAATTGGAATAATGATGTATGCCCTTTTGATTGGCAAGCCTCCCTTCCAAGCCAAGGATGTTCAAGTCATTTATGAGAGAATCAAGAAAACTGAATATTCATTTCCAGTGGATAAACCAATTTCAGAAGAAGCCAGAATACTTATCAAAGACTTATTAAGTTTGAATCCTTTGCAAAGGCCAAATATAAACGAGATATTAAATTATGATTGGTTTAAGGGTCCTTTTCCCGATAAGACTCACGAAATAAGTTTGAACCTTACTCCAGACGGTCTTGATGGGATATCAAAGGCTCAATCGGCATTAAATTTCACGAATACAAAGGCAAATGCTGGAATATATACACCTAAGAGCAAGAATCCGGTTGAAATTTTGAGATCAGATTTACATTCAGAGCAGCCAAAAACAATGCTTCCCCAGTCTTTGTCTCCAAATGATACCAAGAACAAATATCAAGAAGTCGACCCTTCTCAAATAGGTGGACGGCCAAGAAGAGTGAATTTCAATGGAAGCTATTCAACGACAATCAAAAGACTTAACCAAATTTGTTTCGAAACTTATCAAAACATGAGGAGATTGGAATATTCCAAACATGATACCATCGATACCTTGGAATTGCCAAGATGCGAAAACCCAACCTTAATTTCTAAATGGGTCGACTACTCTAACAAATATGGATTTTCTTACCAATTGAACAACGACGATATTGGTGTGTTATTTAATGACGAAAATACATTATTAAAGCTCCATAATTCCGATAGATTTTTGGAATTAATTTATCATGAAAATGAAGGTTGGACATGTATTGAAAATTCAACAAGTCACCCTCCTAACCAAGCAAAAAGACATTTAGAGATTGTCGATTTCTTTGCAAAATACATGAATAGTAATTTATCAAAAGTTAGCGAAAACGAACAAAGAAAAGAAACAGTATTCTTGAGGAGATATACTAGAACCCCTGATTACATCATGTTTGAAATGACGAATGGTAACATCCAATTTAACTTCAAAGATCATCATAAGATCTGTATTTCAAAATCTGGTTTGGCAATTACTCATATATCTCCAAATCGTGTTACTCAAACGCATCCTTTACTATTAATTTTAAAGCAAGGAAATTTTCCATCTGTTGAAGTTCCAGAATGCTTAATGAAGATTTCAGTCATTAAAGATGCGGTCAAAAAGAAGGCCTTCAAGGAGACCTAATTGATGATCCGATTCGAAATATTAAATAAGAGCAAGGTTAGCCAAGTAACCTCATGATTCAAAGCCAAATGTCATTGCATGAATACTTACTGCATTTTATAAGCTTTTAAACCTTTAAAATAGAAAAAATAATACATTAAATTAATTTGCTTGTAGTTAGAAAATTATCAAAGCTAATATACATTTTAGTAGATTTCTATGCACTTAATTCCCAACCTCGAAAATCAATACTCATCGTCATTGTTCAATAAAGATTTGAGCGCCCATTCATCTTTGAATCTTGTCTTGATGATATCCAACTCACCAATCAAAGCGGAGCATGCATTTCGAAGGGCTTCTCTTGGAGAATAATCCTCTTCCGTTTGAATCCTCAATACAAAATTAGCGAATAAAGGATGTTCGACCTTGTAAGCGGCAAAAATTACCCTATCGTCCTTTGCTAACTGTGATCTCAAAAGGTTAGCCAAAGTATGATCTTCTCTTTCAATCTTGATCACAGCGGCATTGGGCACCTTCGTATCAGGTGTTATTTTAATTCTACTACGTTAGCTTCTGATATAGTCAGGACACTTCAAATACTTACTTATCAACGCCTTCTGGCAATATGAACAACTCAAATCTATCTGGAGCATTCATTATTTCTTTATGTGGACAAAAAGGTAAAGATTTACTAATCCCAGAGAGCTATCTTCGACTTTTGAATTTAACATTTGAGCTTAGAAAATTTCAAAGCACGTGATCTATAACGTGAAACACAATTAGATTCTAGGGGAAATTGAGTATCGATTATGAATAGTACATTTAAGCTTCGTTTTGGAGCTTGCCCTCTTTCAATATATCTTGGGCGCTTTTGGTTTATTACTTTATAGCTTTGGAACATAAAGGATTGAAAATCAAGGAGAGTACTCAGAGCTCCTATACTTAACGAGAAAGAGTATTGGCAGATGTAACTTAAGTTCAGGAATAGCTACATGATGCCTATTGGACCATTGAGGTCAAAAACAGTTACCAGCACGTATATAGGTCAGACGAAGACGGTTAAGCAAAGAGCTTGGATTCAATTTCTCACGATGACTTTTTAGGTATATGGGGCGCGATTGACTCGTACTTCTTTGGTATCCCCTGGTTCGGCATACAAAAGCGAAAACAGAGTGACAGCTGCCCGGACGAACCCACTCTATTTGGATGAGCATAATGCCCACCACCTGCAGAATTAACACCGGCATATAAGTTGTCCATTTACACGCCTTCTCTCTTTAGAATTACCCGCTGGAGTTATCCATTTTTCAAGCCCTTACAGTGAAAGCACCTGTAATATACTTATATCGTTGAATAACTCACTGGATACGGTGATTACGCGAAGCGTCGTTTATTACATTGGTGTGGTGAGATAAGTCAAGCTTTTTGCGGAAATTAGTGTATAATTTCAATTAGGCACTGATTGTTATCGATAGCAGCAATAATGACAAACCAGCACGATCCATGGGGCAATCAACAACGTCCCTTGGGACAGCCGTTCAAGTATGTATAGTTCCACTAACATGTCAATCTGGTATATGATCCCTTGTTGAGAACATGTGATAGGACCTCAGAGATATTCATCATATTGCGATGTGTTTGTTTAGTGTGACGAAGGCTCGACGAGATTTTCATAAAATGTACCCACCACTCGAATCATATTGTCCCATTATACGGAAGCAGCTACTAACAGTTATAGTCGTCAACATCCCCCGGTATTGCCACCTCCAGCAACATTAGAAACAGGTATGTATTGTCGGGCTTTAAAAGAGTACTTGGGATGTGATACTAACTATTTTAGGGGGTCAATCATTTTATCCTTTGCCTAGTCTTCCAAGTTTAGGAAATGGAGCAGGTCATCCACAGCCTGGTCATGGTTTTAATATACCATCGATTAATGCTGGAGAACCTATTCAGATGAATACAGTAAGTTGAGTTTTCATAAATTTCTATACATTTCTTGAATACTAACATATCTTAGGCACCCGAGGCACCCAGTCAAGATATGAGAAGGTCCTCAACAGGGACTCAATTGCCTCCTCCTGTCGCCTTGGGCACGGAACATCAGGTACTTCAACCAACAGCACCTCCGGGTGTACCAAACCGTTCTACAACTACGAACATTTACAGACCTTTGAATGTGAAAGATGCTCTTTCTTACTTGGACCAAGTCAAGGTTCAATTTTATAACCAGTCTGATGTCTACAACAATTTCTTAGATATTATGAAGGATTTTAAATCTCAAAGGTAAGTACTGCACACAAAATCCTTTTTCTGCAACATACTAACTGTATTTTAGTATCGATACTCCAGGCGTAATTGATAGGGTATCAACTCTCTTCAGAGGGTACCCCAATCTTATTCAAGGGTTTAATACTTTTTTACCACCAGGTTATAGAATAGAATGCTCTCTCGATCCTTCTGATCCTAACCCTATAAGGGTAACCACTCCGACTGGTACTACGACGCGTCCAAATATTGATGGTGATTATAATCAAGTATGGAATTCTGGTGCCACTGCTGAACATAGAAACACTCTACAGGAATCTCAACAACAGCAGCAGTTTTCTCCGGACCAAGCTGCGACACAAGCAGCACATGCCGTCCAGCTTGCCCACAGCCAGTCTTTACCACAAGGAGTGGACCAGCAGCAACAGCCAAACGGTGGGCAGATTGAATTCAATCATGCAATATCTTACGTGAACAAAATTAAGACGAGGTTCGCTAACCAACCTGACATTTATAAACAATTTCTCGAGATATTACAAACATATCAACGTGAACAAAAGCCTATTGGAGAAGTTTATGAACAGGTAACGGTATTATTTTCGAATTCACCGGATTTGTTAGACGATTTCAAACAATTTTTACCTGACACTAGTAATCAGGCCTTCATTCAACAGCAACAACAGATCCCACAAGGCCCATATTATGGCACTGGTAATGGTGTTTCCCAATTGCCCCCTGTTGGAAATTTTCATCCATCGACAGGCTCTGCAGGTTTTAGTCCTAGTAACGCCCAGCAACATTTTAGTCATCAGGCGAATTATCAAATTACTGGCGTTCCAGGTAATCCCGATGCTGCTGCCATAGTAAATAATGACGTTGGAGCTTCTAAGAAGAAACACTCCATTTCCGAAGGTTATTCGTATGATGAAAGTTATAATCAAGAAGCGCAGGTCTCTAACTTACGTACTAATGTCCAACCATTCAAAAAGGATGGTTCTAAGAATGGCATCACAGCAGTAACTAATCCAACTTTAGTAGCAGGGATTCCTGAACCAGTCCCTCCTTTTGCCGCTGTCAAGACTTCATCTTTACTGGAAGAGCTCTCGTTCTTCGATAGAGTCAAAAAAGCTATCGGAAACAAGCAAACGTATAATGAATTTTTGAAAATATTGAATTTGTTCTCTCAAGATATTATTGACAAGGTTACACTCGTAAAGAGGGTTGAGGGATTCATCGGAGACATTCATCCTGAGCTACTTACTTGGTTTAAAATGTTTGTTGGCTATCAAGAGCCGACCCAACATATCGAAGACATTACTTTCAAGAAGCATCAACTAGAATTGTCCTTATGCAAAGCTTACGGTCCTTCATATAGACAATTGCCTAAGGCTGAGACGTATATGCCTTGCTCTGGGAGAGATGAGATGTGCTGGGAAGTCTTGAATGATGAGTGGGTTGGGCATCCAACATGGGCATCTGAAGATTCAGGTTTCATTGCTCACAGAAAAAATCAGTACGAAGAAATACTTTTTAAAATAGAAGAAGAAAGACTAGAATTTGACTATAATATGGAAGCTAATTTAAGAACGATCCAAACGCTAGAAACAATTGCAAATAGGATAGCAAACATGACACCGGAACAAAAAGCAAGCTTTAAGTTACCTCCTGGATTGGGCCATACTTCGCAGACTATCTATAAGAAAGTCATAAGGAAAATATATGATAAAGATAGAGGATTTGAGGTGATCGATGCTTTGCATGATAATCCTGCAATCGCTGTCCCCATAGTCTTGAAAAGGTTAAAACAAAAGGATGAAGAATGGAAAAGATCTCAAAGAGAATGGAATAAAGTCTGGAGAGAAATGGAACAGAAAGTGTTTTATAAGTCGCTTGATCATTTAGGTTTAACTTTTAAGCAGGCCGATAAGAAGTTATTGACAGCGAAGCAGTTAGTGAGTGAAATCAGTACAGTCAAGATAGAGCAGCAAAATAAGCGTCTTCACCCGCTTACGCCTAGACCTCAGGAACAATTAAACTACGAATTTAACGATGTTGATATAATTATGGATATTGTTAAGTTGTCCGATGTCTTCATCAATCGCTCCTCTAACTATTCAGTGAATGACAGAGAAAAGTTGACCCAATTTTTCAAGTTTTTCATTTCGTTGTTCTTTGGAATACCGACGGAAGATATAGAAAGTGCTTTGGCTGCAAGAAGTAAAGAAAATAGTCTCTCCGAAGCACCAAAGGATGTGAGCGAACTAGGCGACTCAAGCTCATCACCAACCACTTCCGCATCTTCTGCTATACCTCTGTCACCGAAGAAACGTCATCGTGAAAGCGATCTTTTGAAAGATGTCTTGAAAAAGCAGTCTAAGTCAAGAAAGGACGAGCATTCCGAATCTCCAGCCGCTAATGACGACTCGGATGAACAAGACACATCCGAAGGAGTTGAAAATACCGATGACTTGTGGATTAAAACTTCAGCTTTAAATACTCCAAGGAACTCTGAAAAAGCTAGTCCTGAGAAGAGAGACAGATATAACTTGATATGCAACACCACCATATATGTTTTTTTCCGCCATTTCAGAACCTTGTACGAAAGGTTTGATGAGATAAAGAAGATGAGTGCATCGGTAGGTGAAGAAATCAGAAGTAGGAAAACTCCAAGCTTCGCGAAGGATTTGAATTTACTTTCACATCAAATTGAGGACATGGGTATCGAGATTGTAGGGGACAAAGATTGTTATTCACAGATGCTAAACTTATCGGCGAAAGTAATCGAAGGGGAAGTTGATCATCAATGGTTCGAAGAGACTCTCCGTCAAGGATTTAGGAATAAAGCTTACAAAATTTACACGGTTGATAAAGTAATTCAAGCTTTGGTTAAGCACATGCACACAATGGTGACGGATTCAAGAACTTCCGAAATGATGGTCCTATATGAATCAGAAAGGACGAAACCGGTTTCAAGTGCGAAAGACCAAATCATCTACCGTATAAAAGTAAGATCTTTGATGTCAAGTGATGAAAATATGTTTAAAATTGCTTTTAAAGAGAGTGATAGATCTGTTAATATTCAATTTGTTGGGCTTGACGATTTAATAATCAATGACCATGAAAACGCTGAAGAGAAATATAACTACTACATAACAAGCTACATAATGTCACATCCAACAGAAGGGGTTCCAGCCTCTAAGATTCTGATGCCGTTCTCAAAATCATTTATCGAAAATGTCGATGACGAGCAATGCGATGGACATGTTACTTCTGGTCTAAAGGTCTCAATTTGTCAAAATTCTTATAGATTATTCTTCGAAGCTGACACATATGATTCATTTACAGCTAACAACGTTTTCCAAAAGGGTGCCGCTGACGAAGTAAATACCAAAGAGAGAATTGAAACTTTGAGAAATTTTGTCAATGATGACGAGCTTGGTTGGAAACTGACAATAAAAGACCAAAATGCCGAGGTACTTCAAGGAAGGGTAGATGAATTATTTAAGAAAGGTGCATCTTCATTCCATGAATTAATTAAGAGAGGAGAAATGAACGAGGAAACTAACACAGATAATGTGGTAAGTGATGGGGCAGTATCTGGTGATAAGCATATACTGCTGGTTGATGAAAATATGAAGACAGGTTCTCAAGAGAAGCAAACTGCGGAGAGCGAACATAACTATACTCAAGATGCTAATGATACCACTGCAGATGACAATACCACTAATCAAGAAGAGGTAACTTATCTCCCAGAATCGGAGGCAGAAGGAAAAGATTAGCCTACTTATTCAATTTTGTTTATCCATTGTATTATGCTACAATAATCTAATTGTTTAATAGTTATTATATAGTGTACATCAAGACAGTAAGATTCTTGTTCACAAGCCAGTAAATCTACCTTCAGTAGCAGCCCTTGCAAGTCTTTCTGTTGCAATACTTCTTGCTAACTTCTCTCTCTGATCCAATCTCCTTGCAACATAAGACCTTTGATCCTTAATCAAGAGTAACCTTAAAATGATATCTTCAGTTAACACCTGTGCTATGGATGGATCGTCCCTCGCTTCCTTGACTTCCTGTGCTGCCTGCGCCCTAGATTTAGCGGTGGCATTAGCTGATATAGTTTTATTACGAACTAAGCTATTTGTTTTTGATAATTTTGCCTCATTGTTACCACTAGACTCTTCGTCGAAGTTGCCCCTATCCCGCAACGATTTAATAAATGCCGGAGAAAGTCTCTCCACTTCCAGGGTCAAATAGTCCACGTCATGGTCGTAATAGACAGGGATCAACAATAAAGCTTGATATTGTTCGTTTTTAAGATCTTCAAGAGGAGGTCCATTACCATCATTGTGAAAGAAGTCGAAACACAAAAAGTTCAACCAAGAAAAAACAGTCTCTAATTCTATATTCGTCAACAGCTTTCCAAATCCAAAAATACGATTAGTATTCTTCACATTCGCCATAGCAGAAGAGACTGCACTCTGCCACCCAGTGCTTCCTTTACTACCAGACCCTCCAGAAGTTAAATGAAAAGCCTTTGCATTTGAAAGCTTTGGTAAAAGCAATTCATCTGCACTGGCTGTTATAACTGACCAAGAAGCTAGCATCACTTTAAGTAGTAATTCTTTAGATAAATATTGGGCTAGCACTTGTAAATTCATGTTCAAATAGTCATATAGAGGCATCATAGCATCATCCATTTGGTCTTGCGATGGCCTCACCATACCATTATTTCCACAAATAGACCTAAGGTTTGTTCTAGAAAAACAATAATGAATAAATCTTGAGAATTTTTCTACGATTAGCTTGATACATCTATCCTGTGACCTCTTTAATGCCCTGTGTGCTCTACCCATAACAAAAATAGCATCCACTCTTTCACTTTCTACCGCTATCTCAACTAACACTCTCCCTTGAGAATCTAAATCCAAATAGAACTCATTGGGAATACCATCATGTTTATAGTTTTTCGGATCAAGTTGAAGGAGTGATCTCCCACATAGAGAATGTGTTCCTATTTTTTCATCCCAAACAGTAACGGAAACAGTCAAAGAAGAATTCGCAGGCAAAGTTATTTCAAACTCTTCGTCCCATTCTGGATCGCTTGTGCTATTCGATGCTCTCGTTTTACCAATCGTCTTCCGAGCTTTTGTATCCACAAGAGTTACGTACGGTCGCATTCTTGAGCTTGATGTCATTCCTGTAGATTTCAAGTTCTCGGCCCTAATTAACCTCAATGAAAAGATATGGCTCAAATATTTCCGCTGACTCTCTGGATTGAAAGCGTCTACTGTATGTGATATTGTATCGGGGTCCAATACTTCTTCTAGACGATCCAAATTTTGCATCATCGCAGATAAGTTGTTCAACGCTACGCATGTTTCTGGCTTAAAATTATAGGGTTCTTCTAAATCTATCTTAGCAGATCCTTGCATATTTGATACTGCGTTTTTTACATCGTCAAACCAATTTCCAGTCTTCCGGCTTTCGGACTCTTTATCTTCTTCCTGTATTAACTTCTTCTGCTCTTCTTCATCAAGCTCATTAATTATTTTACTTGTCACAGAATTGGCATAAAATAAAGCTCCGTCAGATATACTCTTGAGCAATGACGTGTACATTCTTGCCAATTGATACTCGTCCGGCCAATTCAAATTATTCAAAATTTTCAAAAATTCTTTAATGAGAGTGAATATATCTAGTACTGATGAGCTATACTTCTTATCATCGCTCTCAAGATCTATGGCTTCATAATTATCTTTCTTAAGAGCTTCTTTAACAATTGCGCTTATTTTTTCTCCACTTTCGTTAACCCAGGCTTGTACAAAAGGAAAGAAGAACGCTTCTAGATCAAATTTGAAAATAGATCCTCGGGAAGACACTTGGTGGTAGATATAACGTATTTGGCTTAATGATTTGTATGCTTCTAAGGCATCACCGAACGGTAAAACTTGACCTTTTTTTTTAGCGTAAAGATCTATATGTTTCAAGATATTCTTTGCGTCGGCACCAAACATAGCACACATGACAGCCCCCGAGGTCCTTGGGACATCCAATACCCCCAACAATGGGTTTTTGTATCTTTTTTGAATCATTCTGATGTCGCTCACTATGTTATCAGAAATATCCAAGATATGTAAAATGCTTAATGTGTCATCTCTGGGCAAACTACTCAACAGTTCAGCATATCTAGTTTCGGAAACTCTTAATAAGGTCTTGGAGAGCCTTTTTTCCCATTTTCTCGCAATACCAGAGGCAGCAACACTCTCGAATAGTGGATCTGATTCGATATAATCTCCTAAGAAGTTTAAGAGAGGTGAGAACTTCGGTCTCACTGACTTATTGAAAATCAAAGTCAAGGATTCCCTTATCGACATTAAAACTTCTTGATAAGAATAGCTTAAGCTTTTCATCCATAAGCCTTGATCCTTCAAGGACCAATAAGACCGGTCATTCCATGATAATCCGCTCTCTTCAATTACTTTTTTGCATGAATTAAACAAAGTAGAAGAGTTATTTATATCGATGGGTCCAAGTTCTTTTAAATCTTCACTGGATCCTAGTTTATCTTTCAAGATTCCGCAAAGGTGGCCAGCAGTGAACATGGAAGTAACTCTAGTGGGAACGTCAATTCTCCAGAACTTAGCACAAATTGCCAAAAGAGAAGAGGATTGTTTTGAGAGTAAAAGTTGATCAACTAATTTCCCATCTGGTGATGTATTATCTTTCACCTCTCGGCCTAAGCAAAATTGAATCAACTTGACATAGAATTGGTTTATCTGGGAATTTCTTGGGAGGATGTAGAACTCATAACCAATGGGCAATGGCGGTAGAGGTAGCAATTTTTGACTAGCAGGCACCTTATATTTGTTAATTAGCTGCTGACACATAGATTCCTCTCTGAGTTTCCACTGTTCATATGCCTCAGTGGTACCGAAAGATTTGGGAGTAAATTGACCTAAGTCCTTGTTTAAATAGAATTGTGTCTGTTCAATGTCTTTATGCAAAGCCTTCTCTTGGGATAGTTCTTTGAATGCAAAAATGTCTCTCTGTAATTTCACTTGATCTATAGCAAATATATCTTGTATTAAGCTAACCATTGCCTGATCCATATCTGTAACTCTGAAACTGGGCTGCTGAAACTTCACCGGAGATTGAGAACCACCATGTGAGGCATATGACCCTGAATTTCCTTCGGGTGACTTCACTGATGGCTTTAACGACTCCTTATGCTCGTTGAGTTTCGCTATTATTAAGTCGCTATCTTTATCTTTCTTAATAAGACTTATTAAGATTTGCACAAATGTACCTGCCTGCTTGAACACAACATTACTTATTTGATTGCTTGGTACTGTCCCAATCTTAACTATTTCTTTATTGGCACAAGAGACAAATTTCATTACAAGATATTCCGGCTTCTTTACGCGTTGTACTTCGATTTTAAACTCAGGAGCAAGCATTTCACTGTAGAGTCGCAATAACGACCTTCTTGTTATATCATCAATATCATTACCTTTCTTTTTCATTGCTATCAAGTTGAGATGAGATTCTAGCCTTGGAATCAAATATGTAGGTAATTTAGGATCACTTGTTCCATCCTCAATTCTAGAGTTCCTATGATACTTAGATGAAGCCACACCTGAATTTGTTTGATTATTATGCTCTTGTATAATTGGGGTCCGGAATCTCGCTTCGTTTCTATACTCTATGATTAAACATTTTACCACTGCTTCATATAGTTTCTCAATATCCACGTTATCATATGAATCATCCACCAGTAATCGTGAAGCAATGCTCTGTGTCCGACTACTAGGTTCTTTTGCCTTTGCCAGCATAGTGAACTGTCTTATGAACGGTGAGTATTGTCTATTTAAGTCAGATTCAATTGTTGGACTTGCCCATATTGACAGCTAGATGGTCGAACTGTTCCAAACAAAAACTATAAAGAAAAAAACATAGAGACTGCATATACCGAGTCAAACACTAATAAGGGAACGAAGATCAAAGGATAAGAGGAAATGTAAAATGCATACAGAATTTAAGTATTTAAGAAATTTAAGAACATACAGAAGCAATGTCAATTCATAATTATACAAAATGTAGGAAGAGCATCAGAACTTTCAGTCATACTTCGTAACGTGCAATATATTTATTTAGCTTTCAGAAGAGGACTCCGATGACACTACTTCTTCCTGAGTAGCACTGCTTTTCAGTTGAATACCTCCAGTAGATTGTCCCACTTCCTCAGGCTTGAATATATGGTTACTAAGTATCTTATTCATTTCGAAAGCTCCCACAGTTTCTAAATTAGAAGTTAATATAAGAACAAACTTGTGTAAATTATGTATCATACTCACTCTTTTTGAATAGCTTCGTAAGCTTTTCATCGCAATGAATTTGTCTTTTATCATTTGGATTTTGGAGATTGTTTTCCTTGATATAAGCCCAAATCAATTTAACAACTTGTGGTCTTGAGGCTCTTTCCTGCCCAATAACATCTTGAAGTTCTGTTGAGAGTACCATTTCTCTATTAAATCCGTTGTTTGGGGCAGCACGATCGGTCGATTTAGGCTTTTTCACCTTGTTCTTTCTGGCTCGCATAATTGGTCCTCTGTCATTTGTCTTCAGCAATTTTGCAGCTAATAAAGCATCTTGGCGCTCAATTTCTGCCCTCCTTTCTTGTTCATCGACCTTTTCTTCAGCCCTTTTATCTATCATATCATAGTACCTGCCCAATATGATCTCATTAATATCTTTCTAGTGTTCGTTAGCAATTGAAAACCTTCAAATTAATTCAAGATGAGGCATAGTTAAAACATACCTTATGTGTTTGCAAGTTGACACCAAAGAGTTCTTGCAAAGCATTTCTTATCTTCTTAACAGTGATATGTTCAAGATCTGCAACACTTAGTATAGCCTATAAATAATGTTAGAATATTTCTAAAACTCAAAAGCATCAACGAACTCGTATCTGCAAAATGTAAAGAGGCTTACGTCAATTGTAGGTAGATACTGTTCAGGCTTATATTCTTCCGTCATAGTAACTAAACTTCATGGTATATTTGAACCTTTTTTTAATCTTTCTTGAGTCCTTGGGCCTCTGAGTATGAAGAAAACAGTATATACAGGATTTTATATTAAATCTAACCAGATCTATAAGAATCTACTAGGAATCTTTCAAGTAAGAGAAATACAAAAATGAAAATGGAAATGAATGATGAAGCTATGCAAATAGTGTAAATATACTGTAATATACAAATAAACGACTCAAATTTAAGAAAAATCATGATAAAGCTTCTGTTCTTTTTTTTTTTGCTAGATTCATGATAGAATTGAGACTATTCAAGTAAACGCGAATAGAATACTTCTAAGTACTGCTATTTTTCAAGTTTCTCTTATGTTGCAACTCGTTCTTCTTAACCAACTTCTTCCTTTCAGCACGACTTAAGGTTCTTGGGTCTATCAACTCGTTCTCTGTCTCTTTAACATTGTCATTGAGCTCAACTAGCCATTGATCATCCAAATCTTTATTTTTACCCTTATATCCCCATTTAGGTACCCATTCTCCAGTTTCTTCATCATACACCATTTTACCATCCTTTGCTTTAGACTTGATGCCCTTTCTTGCTGCAAATTGTTCCCACTTAGTTGGTGGCTTCGGCTTAGGAATTGCCTTTTCTCTTGGTAATGGGGTAGTTGGTTCTGGAAGTTGTATCAAAGTCATTGTAGAATTCTGACCCGTTGACGAGCCTTGTGTATCAGTAGTGGTCTTGAGCGGTAAAGATAATATCTGGTTTATTAAAAGTTGAACATTGTCTCTAGTGACGGATGTCAAATACGTTTCACGTTGATTTTCATTCTGCAATTTATCGTTCTCCAATGGGTTAGGATCGAAGGTGGCCAAATTACCTAAATCATAGGAAATTGGAATAGGCTTATCCACTGTTACAGGCTTGAATTGGTCCTTTTCTGACATGGTTTCTTAGAGCTCGTATTTATGAAAAAAACTGATATTTCAAGACAAAAATATAGAACCGATGAGCTTCTTCTCAATAAACGAAATTGGAAAAAAAAAAAAAAAAAAATTTTAATTTGATTGTCTTTGTGTTTGAGATAATTCTAATTATGCTAAATCATGCTTTAGAACTTTGAAGAGAACTCTTCCATATCCAAACAGATACTAATGTCATCACGGTAATAACGCTACTGGCAACCATTATATGCTTCATCTTGTCGTTATTGTCTTCCGGTTCTGTTTCCAAACCAGGTGTAAACTGACTAGGCGTTTTCGCAGCATCTACTAACTGTATAAATAATTCGTTCAAAGATGTCGCCCATGCTGATGATATGTGAAGCGGAGAGCTGAGAAACAATGCTCTTGTATAGTTCTCTGGTTGCATGTCAGATCTTTGTTGCTGCTTGTCAAGATCTGCTTTAAGTGCTACGAAAACAGCAGGCAATTCATCTAAAGTTTGGGAATACTTTTCTCTAAGGTCCACTAAATACTGAAAAGAATCAGGATCTGATGAATCATATGCATAACAGATCACATCACATTTATCAAGTCTCTTTTTATTTTCTAGGACTGCAGGCTCCAATTCCCCTAAATCTTCTAATATGAGATAACATTGCTTCCCTCCCCTGAGTTCTATGTCTTTCACGCATAACATAGGTCTTATTGTTGGAGAGTATATTTCACTATATGTTCCCCTCAAGAACAGCTCCAATAGTGAGCTCTTCCCAGCTTTCGGAGCACCTAAAACAAAGCAGCTAAACACATTTCTATCACTCACAGACTGCCGATAAAACTTGCCTTGCTTTTGCCTTCGTTTTCTTGGTCTTGTTATTTTTAATGCTTTAATGGAGCTACTTTCATCGAAGCCCAAATAAGCCAAATACTCGAGAGTAGTGGTATATTCGAGGTATGTTGTAAGATTCCATTGAGCTAACCAGCCTTGTAACGAGACGTAACCCTCTTCGTTGCACACAATTGAAGACGGGAACTGAAACTCCTGCCATAACTTTGGTATTCCTGGTGTCGGAAGAAATAAAGTCTCAAGTTCTCTATCATTAAGACCTCCGTCATTATCCTTGTCAAACTTGATGAATAAATCCACAAGGAATCGGTAACCGGTAGGACTTAATTCAACATTAGAGTTTGGATTTACTTCCAAATAAGGATATAAGAACTTATCGTTCAATGATAAAGAGTTGGTGTAGTGAAATGCCCTTAGTATGCACCATATCGTTTCGTGTCTGCCCTTTTCAGCATACATCTTATTTAAGAGGATAAATCCGTCTTCTGATAATGCTGAGCTTGATTCATTGTTTTGTGGGTAAATGATTTTATCCACAGATCTTAAAATTTCATCAAAATCATCGTGTGACATCTTTTCACCGAAGCACTTCAGATGTAAGTCAGCAATCTCTTCATAGTTTAAATAACCATCTTGGTCTTGGTCACAAAGAAAGAATACCCGCTTCAAAGCAGCAACTGCAGCAGGCTTTAAGTTACCTTCCTTCGCATCAAAGATGGGCGACAAGGGATGGGTAACCGCCCTTTGACATAAATAAAACGCTTCAACGACGTTATCTAAAGTTTTTGCGCTGCATCTTACACATGCTTCAATTTCCTTGAACTCATTTATCAATGGTACAAACTCGTCAGAGTTTTGAGTCTTCAAGGGAACGTCTGTGGTTAATAAGTCAGATTTATTTGCACATAGTACAATTGGCAAATTGACACCCATTGACCTAAATGTAGGCATCCAGTATAAAGAAATCCTCTCGTAAGTATAGTGGTCTGAGTAAATGAGCCATATAACATCCGCTCTTTTCAACTCTTTGTGAACTGAAACAACATCTGATGAGTTCGTATCAATAATAACAGTAGTATGAGGAATGTCTTTTGGGATCTTAGAGCTGCCAGTAGTCTTAAACTTCTTCTTATCCTTTGAATCGCTGTTTTTCAAATGAGATTGCATTTCGCTGCTTAATTGCGTATATTCCCCCACACTATTCATGTAATCGTCCTTTGATATTGTGATTGGAGGCAAAACATTTTGAACGTTAGGGATATATGACAGCCTTATTAAAGACGTTATTAGTGTGGATTTCCCAACCGAGTCATCGCCACAAACAACCACTCTCAATGAATCCTGTGACATTTATCTGTTGATCATCTGAAAAAAAGAGGATTTATAGTAGTGTTTATTACATCGCGATTATAGCTCGAATCAAATCGCCTAAAATTTTAGTTACTCATCAAACAAAAGTATACCCAGAAATATTCAAAAGAACAAAATGTACGCCTTGAGGTCTTTATCGTTATCTACAAAGGGGCCCAAGATATCCAATATAAGCAGCTATATCAGTAAGCGTCCATTTTTACGCCAATTCTCTAATAATAAAATCTTACTAATGGATGACTATGAGAAGAAAATTTTTGACATTCTAAAGAACAAATTCGAGCCTGTTAATCTTGAAGTTAAGGACGTATCTGGAGGGTGTGGTTCTATGTTTTCGATTGTGGTTGAAAGTGGTAAATTTAAGGGACTTCCTATGATCAAGCAACATCGATTAGTGAATGAAGTCTTGAAAGACGAAATTTCTCAATGGCATGGTTTACAATTAAAGACCAAAGCAGTCAAGTAATTGAAACCGACTACAATTTTGTATCCTTGCTTGTATATAATATAACTATGTAACTATAGTAAATCAAGTGTTATAGAAAGATGACTTTAGTCAACAATTTCTTCCTTTTCATCAATGATCTCCTCCTTAATTTCCTCTATAGTTTCAGCTTGAACGTCTTTCCTCTCTACACGCATTCCAGAATGCTGGGCTCTATATGCTCTCCATTCTTCTAAAGCTCTACGACGAGCCAAGATAGCTTCTCTAGTAGCTGCATCAGCTTCCATAGCATCACTTTCCTCAAATTGAACACTATAATCACGCAAGTTCTTTCTAACTTTCTTTCTATCAGCTGCGTTCAATAAAGTACGTGGTCTTGGCCTCCATATAAATTCTTTGAAATGATCGATTGTCTCATCCCTAAGCAAGTTACCGGTAAATTCATATAATTTATAACCATTCTCAATGCTATGTAACCAAATAGAAGACCAAGCAGTAACAAACCTCCCCGATGGGTCCCAGGCAATATTGGTCATGCCAGCATACTTATCAGTCTTCATCAATTTAACATTATCGTGATTGGATTTTTTGCCACTAGCAGAAGGCCCATCTTCTTCGTATGAAGTATCATAAAATTCAATTTCACCACTAGTTTTGGAAATGGTAGCAATGACAACGAATCTTCCTTTTGGAGACCAGAAAACAGTGTTAGAGTGTTTGTCAGGGATAACTTTGAATGGTTGATAATTAGAAGAAGTAATCTTGCCCTTTGACGTCAAATTAGGAGCGTAAAAGGATATAGTATTTTTTGGAATTGCTGGATTATTGTTTCCATCGTCCAAACTGGAAATTGTGACAAACCTCTCAGACCGGGGTTCCCAAGCAAAGTTGACAACAACGTCTTTTAATTCTAGTTTCTCGACGGGAATATCCTTCTCCGTAACTTTAAAGAAATCAATATTTGAGAAAACCGTTTTACCTGATTTGGTGTGACGATCAACCTTGACAGCTAAAAACTTACCTTCATCTTGCCAGTGCATTTTACAGTCGCTAACCTGGAACAAGTTAATAGTTCTAAGAACTTGCCTAGTAGGAATCTGCATAATTGCAACCCTAGCAGTTTGATTAGAGCTTTCGGGAGTCCAGTAAGAAAGTACATGGTCACCAGTTGGATTCTTTGAACCAGATAAATGGATAGGAACGGGTGCCCATTCAAAATCCATTATATCGTCGATCTTAACAAGCTTTTTGTCCAATAACTGGAAACTAGGAGTTTCATATATAGCAATAGCACCAGGTCCTTGACGAGCACAGTATTTATCATCATATGACCATTTTACCAATGGCCATGGCATCTCCTTTTGGCCCTCCAAATGGGGGGGCAAAGCGAAAGTCCTTGCTGGATCTCCGGTGGCCAAGTCCCAAATTACTAATTTATGGCCCTTACTTTCTGGTCCAAATGGGAAGTTTGCACGTTCAGCGATAGTATCTGGCATCGTAATCGGAAGAGGGGATAAAGTTACCATATACTTTTCGTTTGGAGAAAAGTCTATAAGCCTCACTTGATTATGAATAAACTTGCTGATGCTTTCAAAATCCTTACCTCCCCAAGATTGCACACCTTGTGGATGAATAGAGAAAAGGTAAGAACCTTTAGGAGAGAACTTTGCGTACTTTGAAGTGAAGCCCTTTCTTGGTTCAATAACAGCCTCCGGTTCGTTCTTTTTCTTATTGTAATAAACACCAACTGTTTCAGAAAAGTGAAGAGCCATTTCATCTCTTCCTTGCTCATCCTGTAACCAAGAATTCAAATACCCGTGGCTCTTGAACGGAGGGATCTCTGGTTCCACAAATTCTGTCGAGATATTTCCTTCGGTTCCATATTTTTCAATATCAGTTAATCTATTCACTAATAACCTATGTTTTTGGTCCAATTTCTTACCATTCAATTGCTTGATAGCAGCCTCAGCCATATCAGTAGTCTTAAATTGAACGAATAAGTAACCCTTAGATTTTCCACCTTCCAAAGGCATGTAAATTCCTTCGTCACCTTCAACAACCTCACCTACAGTGCTGAACAACTTTCTTAATACTTTAGTTAAAATAGGAATTTTTGCTTCTGGCGCTATTGGCGCGCCGTCAACAACAACATAGTTATCGACTCCAAAATCTGGTTTAACAGTATACTTTTCCTCCAAATCTGAAAAGTCGATATCATCGAGCCTGATCTCTTGTTCAAGATCCTCTATGTCCTGGTTTCTAGACATATCTGTACACTTGTTTCAGGTTCTTTACGAAGAAATTTATGAGGTTAAAAATGCTGAAAAATTTTTGAGAAATGCCAATATTCTCACCTTTTACATTTTGTGTAACTATACATATTTATACAAGAAAAGCTACTAGAGATCAAGAGGTATGAAGTTGGGATCGTAATCGTAAATTCTCTTGTTCCAACTCTTTCAACCTAATACGTGCTTCATTATTCTCATAAACTCTAGCCTCTCTTTCTGATTTCCATCTTTTGGAAAGCTCTTCAATTCTCAATTTGGCTACCGGTGAACTAGTATTACCTGAATCATCCACAGACTGATTATCAAACTCTTGCATGCTAAGCTGATTGGACAAGGATTCATTGACAGCATTGAGGTCATCAATGCGTTTATGCAATTTTGATATATATGTGCTATGCTGAGTATTAGTGTCATTTTCCTTCAATAGTAGTTTGACATGATCGTTAACAATAATATCAACGGCTCTACTGAAGTATTCAAAAACAGATTTATGATACTCCATTGTTACGGCACTCCAATCTGTTCCTGAACTGATTGGTTTGTTCTTTTTTAATCTCTGCCGTAATACCTCGATCTTTCTAGTTGGTTCTTTCAAGGAGATGTCATCCGCTATCTTATTGAAAGAGCTTAAGAACTTCTGAAACTCGCATACATCAAATAATAAGAACTCTCGTAACTGAGCTTCCAAAGGCAGGTCTGAATTTCTATTGTTATCTTGATTGTTGTTTGCAGCTATGACTAAAGAAGTAATTTTGTCAGTCAAACTCCCGATTGTTGACTGTAAAGAGACTTTCTCATTGGTGAGAGCTTCAATACTATATGAAAGCTTTATTTTCTCAGCTTTCAATTTTCTCTGAACTTCAATGGAACGTTCCAAGTCATCTTTTAACCTATTCAATTCTACTTGATTCGCCTTTAAGCTTTTAATTTCAAGTCTCCTATTATCTAATTTCTTCAGGAGCTCTTCTATTGTTTTAGATGATTCATTCTTTGATCTGAGATATTCCTGGGTTAGTTCGCCGAGATCGTCATTCAATTGCCTAAAGTCTCTTTTCCACTGTACTGATTGCTTCTGTATCTCGGACTCTGCCAGACTTCTAGAGTCATTTAAAAGTTTGGCAATGGTTTCATTGATACTGTCATTCTCATCTTGTTTTTGGAGAGATAATTCCTTTTGAAGGTCACTGATTGTAGCTTCATATTCCCGAAGTTTGTTCTCCATTTTCTGTTTCAGTTCGTCTTCATTTCCTATAATTTTTTTATCTGGAGAATTTTCCACTGTGCTGCAAAGCTCATTATATTTCTTCAATAAATCCTGATATTGTTCCTTAAAATGTTTTGACTCCTGTAGTTCTGTCCTGAGTTCAGCTTCAGCTTCAGATGTTTTAAGTTGATATTCTGAATGTTGACTCTGAAGGTCTTGCAATGCCTTCATCAAACTGGTTATACTCTCATTATCCGCAGAAGACGTGGCATGATGACTGTCTCGGTTAGACGAGGGCGGCGAAGGGTAGTTTTTCTGATAAGACAGTTCAGCCCTTTTGCTCAATTCCGTCCTAACTGATTGAATTTTCAGGTCAAGGGGTTTCTTGGAATACTCAACAAAAACAGCTATATCAGGTTTAGGATTACGATCTCTTTCGTTGCCGGAAATTAGAATAAGGAAAACCTCATCCACTATTTTAGAACACGATTCAATATAACTACGTTGCTCCTCCAACTGACATGACTTTTCTTTTAACTGCTTTTCAAACTGTTCTAAATTCTCATATAAGTCTTGATTGAGTTGGTAAATCAGATCATATGTTTCAGCGAGATTGTTGTAGTCCAGTTCCAACTTTACTAATTCGGTTCGTGCCAAAGCTTGAGGAGCGATTTCATTAAAATTACTTTGGAAGTCAGTTAACTCACTTAAGCTGAAAGAGCTAGTTGTGCCGGATGAATCATTTCTAGCTTTATCAATTAGACTTTGGAGAAATTGGCGGAAAAACTTGACCTGAATTTTATAACCAGTGATTTGTTTATTAAGTTCATCTACACGGGATGAACTTGATATTGCATCTTGCGTCAAGAAACGTGGAATCATATCAGTCTTGACATAAGAATCGTTCTTAGTATATTCCTTCTGAGAAAAAGCAGAATGTGGAGGCCTGAACATATCTACAGAAGAGGTTCTTAGGTTACTCCACGTATTCCTCAGACGACTTTTTCTTGATGCGCTCGGAATGATATCATCTGAATCATCAAGATCAAAATCCAGATCAAGTTGGGCCCTCGTATCATTTATTCGAGTGGAATCTAATCTAGAAATATTAGGACTTTCAATACGTAAACCATCAAGCCCATCAACAACAGAATCAATTTCCTGTTTATCATCAAGATCAGAGTACTCATCTCTTGTCGTAATTCGTGACATCATCAATTCCTCCGGATTAGATATGAATGGACTAGATGCGGTTGAACTTGAGTCTTCTAATGCTGTGTGTTGTCTCGCAGGTGTCTTTAGTGATCTCATCATTTGTCCAGATTGATCAACACTATGAACTTCAGTCCCTTCCAAAGATATATCAGAGTCATTCAAAGCATTGCCTGTTGGATTTGGCAACATATTATGCCCTGATCGCACTTACGAAAATATTTGTAATATATTTGTATGAGTTTATTATGTGTTTACGTCTAGAGACTTGTTTCAAAATATCGATTTGCGCGTCAAAACTATTTTTTGATGTGAAGTGAGAATCTAATTTCTATATTAAGTAATCAAAGTATCAATCTTTGTGCTAGTTAAGATCCAATTTTAATCCTCCATTTCCTGATCGTCGTCATCTTCATCTTCATCGTCTTCTGCAAGTCGTCTAGCTTCTTGAACTAAGGATTCAGGAACGAAGTCATGCCTACCATCAGTTTCATCTTTCGACACCCATGAAATCTCTAATTCGTAGTCCTTGTCCTTGTTATCTTCATGGGCTAAATGAATGACTTTTGCGGCGACATTCACAGCCTCTCTTACCGTAATCTCTTCATAGTTTAACTTCTCTAATTCTGATTTTGCGATCTGCCTGCCTTTACCTGTGGCAGCACCAGAGTACCCCCAAGATGTTCCACTTGGTTCAATCATATACAAATGAGGACCATTATCATCAATTCCTCCAACTATGGAAACAATACCAAACGGTCTCACTGAGTTATAGCAAGTGTAGTTCTGAACATAAATACCCAACCTATCCATCAAATGTGGGACTGTTATCGGAGTTTTATATATAGACTTGAAAGACTTTGCTTCATCTCTTCCTCTATTTACAAAATGGCGACCATCAGGTAAAAGCCCAGAATATGCTACACCAATGTGTCTGTCGATTGTTTGAATTCTTTTATTTTTTCCTGGAACCAACAACTTCGAATTTATGATCTTCTCAACTGCCAAAACTATTCCATCCTTGCATTTAATTCCAATTGAGGTACCACCATTCTCCACTGCCTTCATAGCATACTCAACCTGAAAATTTCTACCATCTAAAAGGTGTTAGTAGCAGGAAACTTTAGAAACTTGTAGTTATTCTGATTCAAGTTAAATACATACCTGGTGAAAAAACACTGTTGGATAAATCATATCCCGTTCCAATTGAAGTCTAATCTGTTAGTAATTTACATATAGACAATGATGAATATATAGACACTTACCATTTTAAATGAAAGTAATTCGTTTCAATTACTTACAAACACCTTGTGCTATAAACTACGAAATTTGAATTGCCACCGCATTAAGAGACTTTAATCTAAGTTTTGTGTAATTATCAACACAGTATATCTCATCGATAGGAAACATATAAAGTGATAATATTATAGAACAGGAATTGCTATGGTCGTTCAGCTTAAATGGCCAATACTTGGGATAGTGGTAAGCAGAATGAAAGCAGCATAATACTAAAAGATTGAAAATACTAATGTATCTAGGTTCCGTCCCTTTTGATATCTACAATAGGGTACGGTACTCAATTCTTTGTCTTGAGACACCATGCAACGATTCAAAAGCTGTTATTCTATCAGGCATGCTTGGCTATGATTTGGATTTCTTATATACTAGCAATTAAAGTCGATCCAGGAAGCCCACCGAAGAATTTTCAGCCCAATCATGGAGAATGGAGAAGGTGGTGTAAAATTTGTAAAAATTACAAACCTGAAAGAACTCATCACTGCAAGACATGCAAAAAATGCGTGTTGAAAATGGATCATCATTGTCCTTGGACTTACAGCTGTGTTGGTCATCGAAATGTTCCTCATTTCATGAGATTCTTAATTTGGGTTGTGTTCACTACGGGCTACACGCTATTTGAACTAACCAAAAGAATAGTTGATTACTTTCATAATAGAGAACTTCCGTCTTATCTAATTGACAAGAAGGAAGTTGTTGCAGTGTTAGTGTTATGGCCCCTTGATTTCTTCGTGTTTTTAACTATAACATTACTTTTGATAAGATGCTTGATCAATCTTGTCTTTAGAGGAATGACGCAGATAGAAGTATGGGAGAAAGAGCGCCTCGAGTCTCAATTTCATACTACTAGGTTCTGGATTCGATTACGGAGAAATTACTTCAAAGTACATGGCAAACATATGCCAAAACTTACATCATGGACCGCTGGTACAAACTACGTAGAGTTAGACAACATCTCTTCTGACGAAGAAACAAATAATGATATCCAAGATGACATTGACGTTGAGAGCTCCAGCGATGTGGTTCCGGATAATTTTACTATAGACGACATTGTTTTTCCATACGATAATGGAATATGGTCGAATGTAGTTTCTGCATGTGGATACCCTTGGATGTGGCTCCTTCCTTGGGGAGGGCCAAGAACGAGTGGTTATCATTTCATAAAAAACGATCAGCTTGAAGATCAACTTGACCTTCCCTGGCCTCCAGATGGGGGAGATCAGGGAGAAGTCGAAGAGCAAAGCTCATCCGCTCAGCCAGGAAACTACAGGGATAAGAGGTCTAGGCTAAAACGAACTGAATGGTTCAATGACATGGGTGAGTCTCTAGCTGACTTTGGGGTAGATTTGGATGCGGAGGATGAAGACAACGATGATATTGTTCAGCCCTCCAGATCCAGATCCAGCTCTTAAAAACCTACGTATTTATGTTTCTTTCACTTCAACATGCATATTCTAGTAAGGACCAGTTCTGTTATCAAAATGTAGTTCGTTGACCTAATCGGTTTACAGGCTGAGGTGATCTGAAATCGTGGCAGTAGAATCATAGCACGTGCGAAGTGGTGATTCTGGATGAATTTTCACTATTGACCCCAAAAAAGCCTATAAACTGTAGCTTTGCCCATCAATTTATGCTCTTAGGTTTTCTTAATTCAACAGACAATTGAGTTCTTGATTAATAGATTAAAAGAATTTTAACAGAAATGTCATCCAACGGTACTTTACGTTTAGGGTCTACTGCTCCAGATTTCACCACAGAAACTTCTAACGGCAAAATCTCCTTCCACGACTACATTGGTGACAACTGGGCAGTTTTATTCTCTCATCCAGATGACTTCACGCCAGTCTGTACCACTGAATTGGGTGCATTCGCCAAGTTGGAGCCAGAATTTACCAAGAGAGGTGTCAAGTTAATTGGTTTGTCTGCCAATGGTACTGAATCTCATAAGGCTTGGATTAAGGACATTGATGAGGTCACTGGTTCCAAGTTAACCTTCCCAATCATTGCTGATCCAGAGAGAAAAGTCGCTCATTTGTTCGACATGATTGATTACCAAGATGCTACTAACGTTGATGACAAAGGTGTTCAAATGACCATTAGATCCGTATTCATCATTGACCCAAAGAAGAAGATCAGATTAATCTTGTCTTATCCTGCTTCTACTGGTAGAAATACCGCCGAAGTCTTGAGAGTTGTTGACTCTCTCCAGACTGGTGACAAGTACAGAGTCACTACTCCTATCAATTGGGTTCCAGGTGATGATGTTATTGTACACCCATCTGTTTCAAACGAAGAAGCCAAGACCTTGTTCCCAAAGTTCAGAATTATCAAACCATACTTACGTTTGACTGCTTTGGACGTTAATGAGAAAAACTAAGCTATCTTTGTAGGCTAAATACTCCTTTTTTTTGTTGATTAATGAGTGAAGAATAAAAAAAATCTGGATCTTCTCTCTCTTTTAAGAGAAATGAATTTATCCTACTATTTGAAGACTAGTTCTAATATATGCGTGTTTCATTTAATGTAATTTAAGTATTGATTTATTGTAGAAGCTTATGAAGTCATGTGCAACATCTTGATAATATTTGTATGGGCAATTTACGGCGCAGAGAATACCTACATGAAAATAAGGATTAAGTGATTTGTTCTTTATCAATACATGCCAGGAATACCATCAATGGTAATAAAGCCTGATAAAGGTGTCAACATTATCCTTCGAAATGTCAGAAGGACGACTCCAATTGTATCATATTCGCCACAGATCTATGATGGTCTTACACCTTGCACTAAGGTTCAATGGGTGCTGAAAATTCAGAAGAACCCGCAAAATAACTTGCATTTGATGACGATAAGGAAACAGTCTAATGCGACCAATGGTCCAGATAAGAAAGAACAGGAGAGAAAAGCTAACCTCGGGTCTATGGTGGATGAACTTCGAGTATTGATTCCAAATATCTTGAATAAATCGTTACCAAAGTCAATTATATCGAGTGGCATATTACTCAGAATTGTACCGACTCATCTAGAAGAGCTTAATGGTTATTTGCCTAATATAAAAGGTCATGTATCGTACTATGCTACATGTAAAACGTTGCAATTGATCTTAACTTCGGTTGTATTAAGTCCAAAGGTAAAACTACATATCCAAAAAATAAAAGTCTCAAAGGACAGCGACTACAAGTGCATCTATCCTGAATCTACAAAAATTGAAGTCCGCTGGACAACTTGCTTGGAAGGCTGTGCTCATCTCTCTCAAGAAGATGGTAAACATAAATCTGAAGATACAAGCTATCATTCAACCTCAGACGCAAAACTAGGCTCTCATAGCTGGTCTAAAGTAGATCCTGTGAAAGCACTCAAACATAATAAGTCGAATAATGTTACAACCACATTGCCATCCCTTACCAGTACCATATCGCATTGGACATCGGGATTAATAGGCTTGACTAAGGAAAATAAAAAACTAGAAAGGATAATATCTGGAATCTTTATATTTGAACTCAATGACGATAACAATAAAATCATTGTACATACAATCGAAGATGTGGACGTCATCGAGAAGACAGAAGCAGAGGATGTCGACGGTGAATTGCGAATATGTTAGAGGAATGCATTGTCTTGTAAATAGTATATAACTAGCTGTACACCAAATGAATATTGTCACTGAAGGAAATTCAAATAAGCGCTCCTATATTTTCTTTTTGATCGCTTCCAAAGTATTCTTCATAATTAAAACCCTGAACGGCCTTTTTAAGGTCACTGAATTTCTCTTCTAATGAATCGCTGACTCCTTTCTTAGATTTTGTTTTGGGAAATAAAGCATTAATGTGATATGTTAAGAATTCAACTTTGTCTAACGTATTCAACTTTGTTTTATACTTGGTATTCACCCAGTTCCAAAAGTCATTCTGTTCGTCTTTGGAGTTTTTTAACTTTTGATCCAAATCAACTTTTAATATTCCCTTTCGATTCGTCATACTATTTACGGTTGACACTAATTGCGAAGTGACCAAGAATTGTGCTCTAACTATACTGTTCGTTTCATTAATTGAGGCGATGATCTTCAATTGTAATGCAAATATGACGCTCATTATTATGAATAAGAAAAAAAATACTGCTGAGACGTTACTTTTAATAAAGCTGAGAAAGATTGCAGACTTTTTGGTAAGTTCTTTTTCTTCTGCCTTCTCTTTTTCCTCGAGCATTGGTGCCTTTGGCGTCACTTCTTCCTCATCCTCATCCGGGCTCTTCACAATTGAAGGACCGTCAACATAATACGTTGATGATTTCATTTCGTCATTAAAAATTTTTAATAATGCCTGCGTGTTTGCAACCTGCCCTGCAAAAGTTTGTTTTTCGATAACACTTTTAATCCAAGATCTGCCAGTCCAGGAAACCTTGAAAGTCATTCTAAGACGAGTAGAGCTATTCGGGCCCCAGGTGAAAAAATACTTATTCATAACAGAAAATGCATTACCCAGAGGCACATCTGGAGTCCTAGTTCTTGTATGTACAACAACGTAATCAGCAAAATTCAAGTGCTCAATGACTTCACTAACTTCACAGTTGGTTGACTTTGGGCCAATGGAATAGTCTAAACCTTTTTTATATGTGAACGTTCTTTCAAGCTTGGTTGGGTCATCTTCCATAGGATGGAACTTACTGAATTCTGAGATTTCAGAGCCTTTTTGACTTTCTAAAAATCTTCTCATAAACCTAGTATTAGAACTTCCAAATAAAATTTCGAAGACTACGCCGACAGGACCATCAATGATTTCATCACAAAGATCAATCTCGCCATCTGTCAGCTGGAATGCTTCACCTAATTCTGTAGGGGGGTGGATTTCTGGACCCATATTTTTGTATCCGGAATCCTCTTTAAACTTCAAAATTTTAGTACTAACGGTTGTTAATGCTTCGCTTTCTTCCGGTACAGCCTCTTCATCAATAGTTTGTGGTTGGTTATCGCTAGAGGTGTCATCATTGTCATTATCATCATCACCGTCGATGGACAAGATATAAGAGTCTAGCTTGCGAGAATTAATTGAATCATTATTCTCCGATAAATCAGAATTGTCTACTACTGAATTCCTGAGAGACAGATTTTCCTCATTCAAGTCTAATTTTCTACCCGTGGACTTTTGCCATACCGTAGTCATAAAATCAAAAGTGACATCTCTAGAAAGAAAGCTGGCAAAATTATGTCTCGTATCCTTAGTCTCGATCATTATTCCATTTGGAAACAACCCAGCCGTTGTTTTCCTCTCAAAATTAATAATTTCGTCCATCTCAATAGTGATATTGGTTACCCATCCTAGCAAATTAGAATTGAAGCAGATATAGCTTTCACTGACATATATTCTACCTTGCAACAAGATTTCTCTGCTCAAGGCACATGAGAAGTCATCCAATAACCTATCAGTTAAATCCAAAGAGCGAAAAAGTTGATGAAAGTCAGTATTCCTTTTCATTGTGGCATAGCGGTACTGAGTATCCTTATAAAATTCATTAGTATACAACTTTGAATCGTACCTTTCGTCTGGTTTGTTGGCAGGCTCAGATGGAAACCCATCTTCACTAATGGACCGTTTAGATTTTCTGAAGGCTATGATTTTAGGCGATGGTGTGCTTGTATTCAGTGGTGATCTTCTAACTGTAGCACTATCAGATGGAGTTTTCGGCACTTCATCGGTTTCGTTGATAGTTACGTCACTAGGTTGCAATTGAAGCCCAATTGAGTTTTTGACATTGTTGGTTAACAGCTGTTTCATGGGTGATGAAATTGCACCGCTGGATTGAGCTAAAGATTCTTCTAAACCATTACCCATTGCTTCTTTCGATATGATAGAATTGGCATCTTCTTTCGTAGTGTGGGGGTTTGCAGGCATAGATTTCCCTAGAAATGGCGACTGCAACGATGAAAGAGAGGAAGCATGAGAGCTTGGTGTCATTCCTTGTAACTGGTCTCTTTTAAATGCTCTTGGATTATTTGTTTCCACTGTTGAGGATTCATAGGAGCTCAAAGACCTATTCTCATCTTCGGATCCATTCAACTCAATGCCATCTTTTGTTACTTTTAACTTGTCTTCGTCAGTGTTAGATTCTTTTGATGTCGTGCTGCTATCTCCGGATTCATCTATTTTCATAGTTTGTGAATTGGGTTTTCTGTCCCCATTCTCAATTAATAAATCGTCCGTCGAAGGTGGAAAGGAATATGACCACGCATCATCATCATCATCTACCAGGCCATTCATAGCTCTCTTTTAAGGATCTTAAGAATCGTTGTGGGACTACTAATAATTTAAAAACAGCTTAATAGTGACGTAAAAAAAGCGCGAGCAACCTTCTTTATAATTCAAATAGCATATCACGATTCTTTTAATCACTATAAATTCAGCAATACGTAAATTGATAATTCAAATAGATTTACAGGAAAGATACCTCTGGAGAACACAAAGCTTATTACAGATAAACAAATAAAATACGACGTAGCATTAATGAAATATACATTGTTATCTCTTGAAGATGAGATTTTAGGTGAGTTCACTTTCATACTCGAAGAAGGTAAACATTACAATCGCCAACCTATATGTATAAAAACGGTGGCTTGTTCTAATGAGTTTAGACAGCTTCCAATACAACATCCTTGAACCCAGAAGAAACCTTTTTACCCTTTTCTTCGGAAGAACCTTCGCCGTGTAAGGACATCAAAGCACCCAAATCGAACTTTGGTTGTTTCAATAACTTAACCTTTCTGATGTGAACATTTTGCAAGGGGAAGATGGTTTGAGTGGATTTTTCAATCTCACGGCCAATAACCTCAGGAATCAACTTGGAAGTCAACTGAGCTAAGGTAACATTGGAAACTTCTCTTTGCATAATTTCAATCATCTTTTTTCTAATTTCTCTCAACTTTGAAGTTTGAGCGTAAGTAGTTTTTCTGATTTGGTTTGGTTGTCTCTTCGTGAAGGCAATAGCAAAGATTCTCAAAACGTAATCATCTGAAGTTTTGACAGTGACATTTGCTTCGACCAAAGATTGCCATTTTCTAACCAAAGATCTCAATTTATCAGATGTGAAGTCTAAACCGTGGAAGTTGGTCAACAAGTTCTTTCCTTGTACTTCGTCAACTCTCAACTTGATTTTTCTGTAGGCATGGTTTTCAGATCCTTGTAAATCAGCTAAGGAAACTTCAACAACACGTCCTTTCAATCCATCAGCGGCATTTTTTAAACCTGTAGACTTGTTAATCAAAGTCTTACCAACAGCTCTGTGTTCGAAAGTAGATGGAGCTTTGATGTCAAACCATTCCTTTCTGGTGAAAGGGTCGACGACCTTCTTCTTCAATCCTTTCTTGCCCTTAGACAATCTCTTATTCTTACCAACAGCCATACTTCTTTAATTAGCCTTGTATTTAATTAATAGGAATAGAAGACTGAAGTGAAAAATTTTGTGAAAATTACTGAGAGTATTTCTCGTCTCCTCACCCTCGAGATACCTGATTTCCGAGCGTTCGGCTGTCACGTGCTATTTTCGCTGACAAGATCGGATGTGTATCTCGAGTAAACGACAGTGACATGCACGTGCAAATTGTGCAATTAGGGCATGGAGCAAGGGTTGGACGACAGTTATTTTATCTAATGGAATTTAAAATAAGTTTACAGTGATTTGAAATTGAACATGTTTATTCAGCAAACATTGCTCGCTATGCTATAACTATATGTTTTTTGTTAAGACCATACGCCCATGAGAAGTTTGGATTCACTAAAAAAAAAAGTACATTGAATTGAAATGGGTCAGGGCTACATCAAGTCATTCTATGTTGACCATAATGCGCCAATAATTAATTGGATCCTAACAAACTTACTGGTTTTCTGGACGCAACTTTCTGACTTCCTTACCAACTCTCCAGATTTCCATATTTCTGATGGTTTCCAATTCTTCTTCCAACTTAACACGGTAATCTGCTTGGGAATTGAAATCCAAAGATCTCTTGGTTTCTGTTCCATTCTTGACTGATTCGTACAATTCAGAAAATACTGGCTTTAAGGCATCTTTAAATCTTGGATACCAGTCCAAAGCACCCCTTCTAGCAGTGGTGGAGCAGGCATCGTACATGTAGTCCATACCATACTTACCAATCAATGGGTACAAAGATTGAGTAGCCTCCTCGACAGTCTCGTTGAAAGCCTCAGATGGACTGTGACCATTTTCCCTCAAGACATCGTATTGAGCCAAAAACATACCATGGATACCACCCATTAAGCAACCTCTTTCACCGTACAAGTCAGAGTTGACTTCCTTCTCGAAAGTGGTCTGGTAAACGTAACCAGAACCAATAGCAACAGCCAAAGCAATAGCTTTCTCTTCAGCTTTTCCAGTAACATCGTTCCATACGGCGTAAGAAGAGTTTATACCTCTGCCTTCCTTGAACAAAGATCTGACAGTTCTACCAGAACCTTTTGGAGCAGCCAAAATGACATCGATGTCACTTGGGGGTTCAACGTGAGTCAAGTCTTTAAAGACAGGCGAGAATCCATGGGAGAAGTATAAAGTCTTACCTTTGGTAAGTAATGGCTTGATTGAAGACCAGGTCTCAGATTGTGCAGCATCAGATAATAAATTCATGACGTAAGTACCCTTTTTAACAGCTTCGTTAACGTCGAACAAGTTTTCACCGGGAACCCAACCATCCTCAATAGCAGCCTTCCATGAAGCACCATTCTTTCTGACACCAATGATAACATTCAAACCATTGTCTCTCAAGTTTAAACCTTGACCGTAACCTTGAGAACCATAACCAATCAAGGCAAGGGTGTCGTTCTTGAAGTAGTCAAGCAACTTCTCCCTTGGCCAGTCATCACGCTCGTGAACAACCTCCTTAGTACCACCGAAGTTGATGGTCTTAACACCACGAACAGCAGCTGGTGCTGTTGCCTTTCTAGAGGCAGCCGGGCGTGCGGCAGTAGCAAGGACAGTCAAGCTTCTTTTTGCACCAGCTTGTGCAGCGGCTCTGCTCGTAGCAGCTCTAGCCATACGAATAGATGTGTTTCTAAATGACATTGTTAAAATTTTCAAACTCTTAATTAGATCAAAGAACTCGAATTATCAATAATTTCTCAAGATGGGCAAAAATGTTATTATAAATACTATGGGGTTATTTGTCGAGTTTTGTCCATGTAGTGAGTAATTTTCACTCGGTAGTGTTCGAGATCAATGAAATTTTTTTGATGCCCGGTATCAGGGCCGGTCTCAGGTTCTGGAATGGGCGATTCTCTGGACAACCGGAAAGGCAATCACTAAAATATGAATCAGTCAGTTACTTCCAACATTAAACCATAAGCTTTTGAATTCTGTAGGGCAGATTCATCCTGTACAGTATTGCTAGCAACTCCTATCTACGTTAAGTTTTCTATGAAGTAAATTGTTGTATTCATCTATATGCGAAATATGTGCGTTAAAATGTATCATAATTCATTATTCATAAGTGATACGCTAAAAATATATCGTTAAGCAACCTCTTCAGATCCCAAATAATGCTCTAAGACACGAACAGTGTGACATTTTTCACTGTTTCCTTGCTCAGCTGTTTTTTTGTTATCAGTTACTGACAAATTTCCAATAACTTGAACTAAGCTCTCGCCATCATCCAAGTCACACCAAGATTTGGAAGTAGAAGAAAGAGTAGACGATTCCACTAAAGAAGGCACAGCAGCTCTAGCTTCTTTGACGGGAATATTCACATATGAGGATTCGTATCTATGTTCCATTTCACAGTTATCGTTCTCAGCTTCGAAGTCCTCAGAATCTGAAAGACTCTCAACACATTCGTCTAAACTATCGTGGTCCATATCAAAAACATTTTCGCTGACCTCATTGTCGTCTTCAAATTCATATTCTTCATCGATGGTTAAACCATACTTCCAATTATCTTGTAAATCACTGATAAATTTGTCCAAACTTCTTGAATTGATTGCTCTGTTATAATTTTCGGTATCACTTTCAACTCCACCTGTTTTCAATAAATTCATAAAAATATTGTAACAGTTCTGATTCATCATAGGGTAAATATCATACAAGATCTGTGGGTTGTTGTAGTGAACAAAAGTTTTAAAATTGTAATCAGATTCAACTGATTTCGATTCTCCAAGCCGTTTAAAAGGAGATGTTCCAAAGACAGCCGTGAGAACAGTGATTCCTAATGACCATAAGTCAGCCATCTTCGCATCGTACGAAGTGAAATCCTGCCTCTTTACAAAGCACTCAGGTGCCATATACTTGTCAGTTCCGACGTTGAACTCTTGATTGAAACGCTTCGTAGTTGACAAGCCCCAGTCACAAAGTTTGACTCTACCAGATCCATTGAACAAAACATTTTCCGGCTTGATATCACGATGGTACACACCTTGGCTGTGCGCATAGTTTAAAGCGTTAGATAACTCCTTCGCTATATTCCAAATATCAAGAGCAGATATATTCACCGAAGAATGAATCAAATCGTATAAGTCCCCGTTGTGGCAGTACTCTAATATTAAAATTACGAAGTCCACAGTTTCAAAGGAATCTAAAAGTTGACAGATGTTCTCGCCACCTTTCCCCAATTTACTTAACATCTTAATTTCATGTCTAGCAATCTCCTTCGCATTTGACTTGTACATGGCTTTCACGGCTACCTTATCATTAGTTTCGGTATCTATTGCTAACGTAACCCTTCCAAAAGATCCTTCCTGCAATTTAGAAATATGCTTATATCTCTTGTTAAGCAAGAACTGGCCCTTTTCGTAGGCTGCATACTCATTGAGCTTATTCACTTTGGTCATAACCTATCACACTTCGAACACGTAACAAATGCTTGTTGAGATATCAAGATAAGACTAAAACAACGTAGTACAGTACTGTAGGTTTGAACTTGACACAGTATGTTCTAACGCAACCTTTCACAGTCAGTTACTATTATATACTCCTGTCAGACCTTATTGCCTCGAATCACTATATTCAAAGTATTCCTTTAATTCGGCTACTGTTATACTCAGAGTGTTTGCTACCTTAATTTTCTTCTTTATTGAATTAACTTGGGCTTGGTATAGAATATATGTATAGGGGTACGGTGGTGGCTCCTAGTATGAAGGAATTCTTTGACCTTCTAATTACACAAAGCGGATACAATCAGTCGTTAGTTAATTTATTGATTTCCTATTTTGGAAATTGATAACACTATTTTCTGTGAGCAGGTTATTGTGGTGGTAATTCACAGGAGCTTGACTTATCGCATGATAGAGCTAGTAGTTCTGATATGACAGCGACGTCCAGCTGTACTATTAACGAACTTGTAAACCCATGGAGGACCTATAAATTTACTGGGCCAAATGAATTTGTTGTTTTCTCTAGCCGCGGTACTTGTTACACTCACTACAAAGACAACAATAGCTGCGGACCTACTGGTGGCTGCCACGTCTCCTGTAGACTTTGTTAAATCGGTTCCCATATCAACATATCGGTGCTATTTAGCGACTCTATATATTGTTTACAATCAAAATCTCTTTACAAATGTAACTTGCCCATAAATCCTAATAACAATAACACAAAGACTAGCATAAATTGGTGGCAAAATTGATTATTTCAATAACTCCTCAATTTTAGGCTCCAATGATTTCGGTTTCGTGAGAGAACTGTATCTTTCAATAACATTTCCCTCCTTGTCGATCAAGAACTTCTCGAAGTTCCACTTGATCCTATTCAATCCCAATAAACCAGACTTTTTACCCTTCAAAAATTCATAGACTGGGTCTGCTTTGCTTCCATTAACATCAATTTTTTTCAAAATAGGAAATGTAACTCCGTAATTCAACTTACAGAAACTCTCAATCTCTTCAGCTGAGCCTGGCTCTTGCCCACCGAATTGATTACATGGGAATCCAATAATAGTGAAACCTTTGTCTTCATACTTTTTGTAAACTTCTTCTAACTCCTTATATTGAGGGGTGAATCCACATTTGGAGGCAACATTTACAATTAAAACAACCTTTCCTTTCAATTCAGAAAATGGAAAGGGCTGGTTCGTCTTATCAGCAGGACTTAAATCGTAGAAACTAGACATATCTTAATTTGCGGTTGATGTATAAACGGCTATTTCATGTCTGACTATAGTCGACTTTATATAGTTCGGTCATTCTTCCTGAAGACCTGTATGTGAGACATTTATCCAGCCACTTGCTTCTGAATCGTATAGTCATAGACGTTTAGCGCCGTTATATAATTACTCTATATTTAAGAAACAAACGGCGAGATCCGTCGTTTTCCAATGTAGATATTAGATACTCAAATTAGTGTTGTAGAGAGCATTTATTCATACTTAAAATGATGGAGAGAGAGAATATATCAAGCCTGATATACTTTGGGAGCAATCAACGCTTAAAACTAGTCCTTTATCAGCAATCACATGAGATAAGGAAACATATAACACATAACCTTTGTGAGCATATGTCTCAGATCTACGTCGACTAGTGCAATGTGTAAAGCATCATGACATTTGGAACAAAGAGAAACAAATAAAACATTAGCAACCCTTAAGTTAAAGTAATAAAAATAATAAAGATGTAAGTAAAACCAGTATAATATTTTCAGACTCTCATTAGAAATAGAAGTCACCAATCAAACCAATTACCGAGACGAATAAAGCAACCCCTGAAAAAATAGATCCAACAAAATACGACGAATTGATTTCCTTTAAGTCATTAATGTATTCCTTTTTAGTTAAAGCATTCTCAACTTCATCTTCTATTGCAGCTTCCTCAGCTTCATTATCAGCGATCGGTTGATTCCTTGGTGATCCTGGAGTTGATGAGACAGGAGAAGGGGTCGTGGAAGTAGAATCTTCGTCTGAAACATGAATATAAGATTTACTAAGTTGAGATTCCTCTTCATCGTCACGAGCTTTTGGCTTCTCAGAAATCGGCTGAGCTTTTGCAACTGCCTTGATTTTTGGTCTTCTTAACAAAGACATCCCACTCTTGTATCCTTTGAACCAAACACTTCCGATCGTCATTGCACTTCCAATGGCAGAATATATAAGGTAGGGATGTTTCTCTGCCTTAGGTGAACATTTGAAAGCCATAGCGAATAAACTGGAGGCAATACCTGCCAAAGTTGTATTCAAGATCAGAGTGTTCAAAACTATTGCCTTAATTTTAGATATGTAACTATTAGTTAATGTGGTGACTTTGAAAGTCAACTCGTCAATTAATTTAGGAGTTCTCTTCACTGTCTGATAAGACAAAGACGCCGTTAGTAATCCCAAAGAAGAGACCCCGATAATCTTAACAGTTGTAATACATGTTCCTGCCATTCTTTCGGTTCGTTTATTCTTCTCTTTTCTTAGACTCTCAGAGGCAAAATTATGATAACCAAAGTTGTTTCAAGCTACTAAAATATAAAACCTTTCTTGCAAGAACTTCAATCAAATTTTCTAGCAATACCTTTAATGACCCAAACGATGAACAGATTCCTCTGATGTTTACCGTTAATCTTGTTAGACTTAAGTATAGATCCCTTAAGGAGGGAGGGAATCCAAATTTGAGAAACAAAAAGGGTTAGTGTGCACGCGTTACATAATTCGAATCCGATAGTGCCTACGAATAGAAACGGTAAATGCAGCCAATAGATAGCAATCAAGAGTCCGATTGAAACTTAATGTGAAATAATGCTATAAAATTGATTAAATGGAAGAGACCTTGAAAGATTTCCGAAGAGGGCGATTCCAAGAAAAGCCAAAAAAGAGATATTCTTATGGATTTATTAAAAGGTATACTAAATTTCCAAAGACATTGTTCATATTCTTCATGCATTATATTTCAAAGATCACTCACTTTAACCAATCAGGCAATTTTTCTGGATTTACTTCTATGGACCTGATGTCAAAGCTTTCAATCAATAATTCAACTAAGATTCTTCCACCTTTCGCTCCAGTAAACCTTCTATACTCTTCGCTGACACTTGCTAAGTTCCAGCCTTGGATACGCCGTAAACAGCCAATTACAGTACCCGTACGATGTCTTCCCATTCCACAGCAAACTAACAAAGGATAGTTTTCTCTATCACATATCAATTCGAGAGCTTTTTTAATCGTTGCGTCTCCAAGAGCATCCCACGGATTCACGCTTTGGTAATTATATTCATTTATTATCCCTGTAAAGTCAATATTTATATTGTGCTGTTGGCAGAACTCCAAGAAATCATCCTGAGGTTCTTCTGTTGCTAGCCACAATATGGTTTTCAAATTGAGCTCCTTGATGAAAGACTGGTTAATTACAGATGGCTGCCCTGATCTGTAAAGTTGCCTTTCTACTGGGCAGAAGTTTAACGGAGGTATTATTCTTACCGTCGGTGGTTTTGTAATTTTCTTTAAATTTTTAGTTTCTGATTCACCAGGAGCCGAATCAGTACCTTTCGGCACTTGATCATCCATTTCAAGGCAACAAAGTCACTAGTACGACAAGGCTACCTATCGTGCACCTCTAAATACAATAGCTAGTTCGTGTCTAGAAAAAGGGAAAAGCTGATATTTCAATTGAGCTTGATAGTTACACAAACGTTGTACAAAGTTAAAAGCGGCCATAGAATTAAACACGTCAAAGAAGTGAAATACTTGTCTTTAGATAAAAGATGGCTAAGAAGGATATTGCTCAGAAGGAGAATATAAAAAAGGACTTGAAAAAGGCAAGCAAGTCTTTGTCTCCGTCCAAAAAAATTTCAGGTTCTTTGAAAGATTTCGTGTTGGCTTTACAATCATCATATAAAGACCACGTAAAAGAGTTGACACCAAAATTAATCTTAGTGGATGTATATCTTTCTTTTTTAGTTCTATTAGGGGTCCTACAATTTGTTTATGTCATACTTGTGGGAAATTTTCCTTTCAATGCCTTCTTAGGTGGATTCATAAGTTGTGTGGGCCAGTTTGTACTTACAGTCAGTTTGAGATTACAAATTAACGTGAAGCAAGATGCAACTTCTCCCGCTACTAAAAGCTCTGAAGATAATACAGCTACTGATGAAGTTCCGTTCAAGATTGTTACACCGGAGAGAGCATTTGGAGACTATATATTTGCAAGTTTAATATTGCATTTCCTTGTTTTTCATTTTATTAATTGAAGCTGTCGAGCAAGCCTTGATTCAAAGAAACAAACTTTGTTAGCTCTTCGCCAAAAGCGTTCCATTGATTTTCAACTAAGTAGTGGATTTATTTGTAGATAAAATTACATACGTCTGACGTCATTTTTAAAGTCGTCTTCGAACTCTAAACAATTACACAACAACCAGACTTTTCTTTACCTTCAGAACCTTGATTTGATGTAGCTTGCTGTGATCTTTTTGCCAGTTGTGAGTTAGCTTTTCCATTCAGGTTATTATTGTTCTGGCTCGATGAGTTATTTTTAGAAGTTGGTGTATTCGTAGCTCCACCAGTGGCTTCATTGTCTTTTCCTGAAGAAGTGGCTCCACCAGCTGCTTTTTTGGAAGATTCTTGTTCTGTTTGTCTTTTGTTTTCGTCTCTGACTGATCTTACTAAATCATAGAATGCTTCTTCAACATTAATTCTCTGTTTGGCAGATGTTTCAAGAAATGAACAATTAAAGGATTTTGCTAAACTCAATCCTTCCTCATAGCTAACTTGTCTTTCTATTTCCAAGTCACATTTGTTTCCAACAACAAGAACTGGTACGATTTCAGAGTCCTTGACTCTTTGGATTTGCTCATAAAACGATTGCAATTCCTCGAGCGAATTTCTCGACGTGATTGAGTAAACAAGGAGAAACCCTTCTCCAGTCCTCATATATTGCTCTCTCATGGCACTGTATTCTTCTTGTCCTGCTGTGTCCAAGACGTCAAGCATCACTTGCTCACCATCAACAGTGCACTGCTTTCTATATGAATCCTCAATAGTAGGGTCATATTCATCAACGAAATGAGATTGGATCAATTGAATTGTCAAAGCTGATTTACCAACACCACCGCCTCCGACGACAACTAATTTATATTCCTTCAACATGTTGTGTGAAATAACTTAAACTTTTTAGCTAATGGCCCTTTAAGTACTTCTCGTTTTTTTGCTTTTGATAAAACTTTTTCCGGTATGTGTACTGTAATCGTTGCTATCTAAACGAGCGACAGGCGAGAAACACTTTATGGTAAGATAGAGTTCTTTTAGTCTTTAAAAGTAGGAGATAAGGAGGAAACTTGTACTCTTGTAATATCTATGTTTCTTGCGGGTCAAAAATAAGGGTCGACTATCTAGATGCCGGCAACTCTAGACGACGGGAGAGGCTGGCACATTTGAATATTTTTATAGCAGCAAGCGTTCGAGACGAAGAGGCAGAGTTAAAATAAAAAAAGAAAAGTGGAATACTCGTTGCCATCCATATTATAGTAATCAGATAGTTGTCATGAGATAGACTACCTCAACACAGTAGCGAGCTAATTTTTCAAAATGTCTACTATTGTTGAGAACAGAATGCGATCATAAGGAATTCAAAGAATACCAGCTTTTGATTAAGTATTAACATTATTTAAATCTTCTTTAAGGTCTTCATCTTGACTAGGCAGTCGTCACAATACCACTTACCTTTTGGAGGGTTTTTAAATCCAATGCACGGAAGATGGAACCACTCTCTTTTGCAATCGTCACCATCGCAACCCACCATCTCTCCAAAAGACACCTGGTTACAATAGCAGTATGTGGGTTCATTGCTATTGGAGTTACTGGAGCCCAATGTATTTTTATTACTGTTTTGATGGGCCGTATTAGATGAACCTTCGTCTGTCCTTATTTTATTCGTTCTCTTCTTGCTTGGTTGGCCAACTGGTGTTCCTGACCGCGAAACCTCCTCGGTATCTTTTCTTGATCTCTTTTTACCTGTGTTGGATTGACTACTGGATTTATTTTCGGGTGTCGGGTCCTTAACTTTCTTTCTCTTGTCGGTATCATCGCTTTCCTTATTCGCCTTTCTAGCGGCCAAAGCTTCTCGCCTGCTTTCACTCCTTTGACTCTGAGCAGATCTGTTTGGGTTCGCAACATCAGATGGAGAAGAGGAGTCCATGATCATGGCCGGATGGTTCAAGGGTCCAATTCTTATTGATTCAGGAATTTCGTTATTTTGCACAATCAACTTATAATCGTTGTTGATTCTAAACAAGTGCTTACTCATGAGATCTGATGCTACAGAAGTAACATGCATTTTTTCTTCGAGGCATGGGATGATCTCATTAATTTTGTTCTTCATTCGTGACAAGTTATCAACCTTCACTGAATCAGGATCCTCGTTTGTAGAATGTAAGTTTGCAATGTATTTGCTAATCAAACTGTTTATCCTCGGAAAAGTATTTATACACTTGGCATCTATTTCCTTCAACAATGTAAAGTATTTTATCAAATCTTGTGGTAACGCTTCGAACGCATCACTAATATCATTCAAACCTGGAAGTAACTCATTAATATTATTAATATTTTTGGCTTTTTGTCTGAATTGTTGAAACCGATTACGGTTCAGTCTCATTTTGTTAATTAGTCTCTGTGATTTTTGACGGGATGGAAGATCCTGGTACGCCATCTTTAACTAATAATTGATAATTTTGAAAGTCTCCCATCAAATATGGATAAAATTTATTATGGAGAGATTCAATCGAGAACCAATGTGCACACCATCGGAGCCGCAAAGACGCTTTGAGCCGACTAACGAACTTCTTCTGATAGCCTTCAAGATATCGCTGGAAAGAGTAATGGTCTTTTTACAATTATATGAAATACTCGGATACAGATGACTGAAATGGCTGAGAGTTCATTATGTAAAAAGCTTATCTATATTTTACATGTCTTCAACCAATGCGGTGTAGTAAAAGTCCGGTGTCTAATCACAATAGCACCTTAACATTTAGAAATGAGCTTTCTTAAAATACTATGGGAAAAAAGGTACCATTTAAGCTTAGCCAGATGTTGTGTTCATACAGGTATCATCAAAATAAGTGATTGATAGCTCTCCTCACTTCTAATCTCCTTACCACTCATCATAAAAATAAATCTAAGAACCCTAAAAATTGAATTCAAAGAACTAATGATTTATCCTACTTTGACAAATTAGGATATTTGTTGCTTGTACTAGAAACAATCCATAATCACCATAGTTTATTATATTCGTGTCACTCGTCATTTGAAGCCAGATCCCGTGACAAGTGTGACATGAAAAAGTGTCTAAATTGCGGCATGAAGTGTCTCTCCTTTTGTGAAGGAAATTAGTCAAAGTAACGTGATTGCTCTTAATCATGTTGATATTTCGCAATAATTACGTACGGTTCCTCATCTAGCACGGCAAAAAGTCTTCTGGAGCAATATTTCCAACGTACGGCTACATTGAGAAAGGGTTACTGGTTAGTAATACAAGACACCATATCAGTTTAATTCAACAGCGAATTCTGGGTAAGGCGAATTCGCTTCCTCACGATCAAGATAGACATAAATAATCAAGATATTTGGCAACTCTAGAAATAAGAGAAGTTTTGATTGTTTTTTTATCCTATTCAGATCAAAGGGTTATTACCGTTAGTGAATTTCGCGTTTTGTTGAATTCTTTGTTAAAAGATAAAATTTGAGTTGATTGTTATACTACAAGCAGCGGGTTCAACTGTGGCTTTCGAGGTTTTGTATTTTAATAAATATAATCTTGCGGCCCTTATTTAAGAGGCGAGGCTTCCAAAGTTAAATATTAAAGCAACAAAGTAGCGAAAATTATCCTTCGTTGAGTTGAAAGTCTAATATTTCGGCTCTCGGCGTTACTTTAACCCTATATGAGCCAGAACAAGATAAATATTGTAAAATTTTGAGAATTGATTGATCAACGGGAACCTTTTTTTGGTCAATTACCAATTTAAATAAAGTATACCTTAGGAAGAATAAAGGTCCATGAGCAATCGTGGAGGACCTTATATTCGCAGACATAAGCAAACTGAACAATCAAATTCAGATATTTCTGGTGTCCAAGAACATTCATCTGGGCCACACAGTTATAATACGACTAACGAAAGAATAGATTTTCCAATGTTTTCCACTCCTGGACCATTGAGCGCTACATCGCCACCAAGATCAAAATATGACACGGATGTCAATTTCCTTTTGTCGAACCAAAGAGAATCAACCACAGTTGGATCGAACTCTAATCTCGATCGAGCGGCATATTATCCTCCACAAACAAGTGGAGGCAAAGAACAATTCAATCTGAAGCAGCTGCGTCTGGAACTGCAATTTGGTATAAATGACAATCCGATCAAAGGAGCAACTAGTGGTACTACGGGAGAGAATGATAGCGACGAAGACGAGCGATTTTTAAGATTAGCTAGGGAAGCTTTAGTAGCGACTGCAAAGAATGCAAGTGAACATGGATCAACGGTAGTTGATCCGACTATACAGGATCTATTGCAGAGGTTGCAATATGCTTCTTCGCCTCATGGAAACCCGATCAGCAAATCCAATTTGATACAATCCAATGAGAGGGGCCAGCTTATGATTCAAGACTTTTACGAACAGTTTCCAAATTTTAGTAACGATATATTTATGAACGATGCAAGACCCTCGCCATCTTCCCGACCTCATCAGTCTCTGCCGAATCATCCTTCAAATTCGAATAACCAAGGATGGAATTTCTTGGTGGGACAACCTCTCCAACTTAAAGAGCCTGCAGCAGAACCTCAAAATGCTGGAGGGCTTACAGATCTGGAGCAGTCAGATTCACAGCTTCTTAATGAGACTAGAAAGTTCTTATGCAAGAAGTGTTCAATGTCTTTTAGGCGATCTTCAGATTTAAAGAGACATGAGAAGCAGCACTTGGTTATACCTCCAAACATATGTGACAGATGTGGCAAGGGCTTCGCTAGAAAGGATGCATTAAAGAGGCACTGGGGCACTCTCACGTGTAAAAGAAATGCACAGAAAAAGCTCTATAGTGATAATCTAGATTATTTGCATCAGCAGAAAACTTCTTAACCGCCATTTTAGGAACCGTGACTGTTTTAATCAATTATTATTGCATAAGATGTTCTATCATTAAGAATTGCAGCTGGTTACGCTGTAAAATGAGCTTTCAAGATGATAGCGCAAACATTTTCCCTCAGAGTGATGCATATGTCACCGCTCAGAATATTTTTCGAAAGTGGACAAGGGAATCTCGATATATTTTTATTTCAGTCAGTGATATATACATGCTATATTGAGTTATTTATGACTTAATTCTCAGAGTTCTCTAATTTTTGCCATCAGCTGAAGTTATGATGATAGCTCAAGGTTGTCGAAGCATCCATAATAGTGCTTTTCACGAAACTGGATGAGAATTAAACATCACTTTAACTTCCAGCTAGTCTTTTATGTGAACCTATTTGTCGCTAATTTCACAATTTGATAGCTATTATTGAGCTTAATTTATAAGCTTTCCTTAATGTTTCACTTCATCTTTTTATTGATTCTTTTGTACAGTATGGCCAAACAGCCTTATCTAATATTGCAAATTATTGAAAATAGTAGGCTGTAGTTCACGCATTTTAAAACTGCTATGTTTATGAGTTCTCACTCACCCTTCCCGAACTCGAAATGACACTGTATCTTGCTAGTCCAAATTTATATTGGGCCCTCATCATATGTTCTGAAGGATGCCCCTGACTTGAGTCGCACTCTTATCTAGAGTTAGATAATTGATAAGAGATGAGTCCGTGTTCGTTTTAATTGAGCGAAGCGGCTCTGTAGTTTTAAATTGTATGTCAGATTAGATCTGAAGGTACATAGAGATGATAAATATGTTATTAATGCTTATGCATCATTACAGATGGCTGGAAGCACAAAATGAGACTGGTTCAAGGAAATAATGGTTAATTGTTTTTCGAGTATCTTATAACAGTTTCAGGAAGTCTCTGTAATGTCTGCTAATAAGAAGGAATCAATCTTTCAATGTCATTTTTTTTTGGGTTCTCTAATATATCGTTCAGATAGTAATATCATAAGATAGCTGATAATTGCTGTTATTTCTAATTCTGAGGAAAGAGGATCATGTGCTGCTTACGCAGAATCTATTGAACGGAGAATTGAAAAGGTTCTTTAATCCTTTATCACCACAAATCATAAAAATACCAAAATAAAATGGATCTGATGCATTTATAGTTTCTTTTTGCTCATAGCTTAATTTAGCTGAAATCCGAAAAATTAGCAATAATATGAATTGCATTATACATTGCAAATTATTATAACAAGATATATTCAATGTCGAAAAAGGTATTTATTACAGGAGCAAGTAGCTTCGTAGGTCAAAGCGTGACTGATAATTTGTTGAAAACAGGGTATAAGGTTAAAATAATTTTAAGAAAACCTGCTCAAGTTGGTTTGTTTAAGAGTCACTACAGTGATATCGGTCTAATCAACAATTTGGAAATTGTTAAATCAGCTGAAAGCTTTGAAGATCCTTCAACATTCACTCCACATTTGCACGATGTTGACTATGTTATGCATCTTGCTACACCTACACCACGAAACTCAGAATCATATCTTGCAGATATGATCAAACCTGCGGTCAATATAACTACTAGTATTTTAAAGGCATCGAAGGAGCATAAAAATATTAAAAGAGTTGTATCCACGTCGTCTTACGCAACTCTTTTTGATCGCCCAAGAAGTGATAAGCCACTCAATGAACTGTCCTGGTCAAAAGCTGAATTGACTGATCAATTTAAATTCAGAAAGTCTGACCCATATTCGCCTTATGTAGTATCGAAAACACTCGCAGAGAAAGCACTTTGGAGATACGTGGAAAGTGAAAGCCCCTCATTCGATTTCATCACACTTCTACCGACGTACATATTTGGGCCCACTGTGCTTCAACGAAAAGGTGATCCCTTGTCAGGGTCCAACCAATTCATATGGAGTTTGTTGAAATACGGGCAGAAATCTTCTATGCATGCTCAAGCAGTGCATGTGTTAGACGTTGCCGAAGCACACGCAAAAGCTCTCGATCCAAACATAAAGGGAAATCAAAGATTTCTTTTGGATAGTGGACGTAAGTTCGAATATAATGAAGCTATTGATGTCGCAAAGACGGATTTTCCTGACAAAGAATGGAAGTTTGGGAACTTCAAGTCGATACATAGTATCAAGTTGGACAATTCCAAAGCCAAAAATATTCTTGGAATGTCTTTCCGGCCATATAAAGAAATGGTATACGACTTAATCAAGCAGCAGGTTGATCTTTCACATTAAGTGAAGCTTATATGGAACTTCTTTATATTATCTCTAATTTACAGAATTCAAATGCAGTACCGTTCACAATGGGATCCATGATACCATCCATTTTGTTTTTGTTAAATAGTTGTTCAGTTGATCTTCAGTCGTTTTTAAAATGACTATCGTGTCAGCCATTTTTTGTATCAAAATACCAACGATTACTTATTCTTTTTTAACATATCACGAAGACTTCATCTAAATGAGAGTAGCATTTCAAAGTATTCTTCAACTTTTGCAACAACTGTTTGGCTGGACGCCATTTTTCAAAGAAATATATTATATCAAATTACTGGACAAAGTCCTATTTCCTATTTGATATACGTTTCAATTTGTACTGATCTTTTATAATGATCGCCAGTGTAATATATTTTACCAATGAAGTAATGAGTACAACATAGATAAAAGTAGATGTAGATATCCGGCGATGAGCACATGACCTCCTTCCAAGGTCGATTCATTCCATTTGAGAGAGATTACAACATTATCTCCAGTTGATAGAGCTTTACTATTCTATGCTTTTTTTAACTGAGAAGAGATGGTATCAGTTGCATAGCTGTACCTCATTCTTTATACCCAAAAGTCGCTATCGCGGCCTGACCGTTTGTGTAAGGCTAGCGTCGGAATAACTATTCGGATCAGTGGATAATCTCGCCGCAATGACTCGTCACCGAGGAAGACGTTGGAACAACAGAATTCACCGGCCCTGATTTCGAAGAACGTCGCACGAGACATTTGAAGAAGTAAGAGCTTATAAACTGAACGGACAAGTCAAATTCATCTTGTTAGATAACTGTAATATTTATGGACTATTGGTACGGTCCCATTTTAATACATAGTTTTTTGTTCCTAACTATTTTAGCCATAAAACTGAAGCGTTTATCTATCCATAGCCCTCGGTTATGGTGATTCGCTCATCGGCCATCCGTCATATGAGTCAAAATCTATATAAGGAAGACGGACAACCAAAAGTTTCTGAGAAGTACCCTTGAAACAAATTCAATCATTTGTATTTATATTAGGAAGATAAAGAGGTATTTTTAAGGACTACCGTTGACTCCTAGAATAGCTAACAAAGAGGATAATTAAGACTTACAAAGTTTAAATAACATATAAGCGCTTAGAAGTGAAATTCTTTAGGCGGCAGCATATTATAGAAATTGCCAGAAAGATTATTAAATTATAAAGGATCAAGATGAGCAGTGCTGGTCAAAGATTGAATCAGTTGGCAAACATTTTAACACCAAGACCTTTATCTGCTTTTCATGATGTATGTGCAGACAAGCCATTCAGAGTGGCAGTCATTGGATCAGGGAATTGGGGAACCACTATCGCTAAGGTATTGGCAGAGAATACTTCGGAAAATCCCAAGGTCTTTGAAAAGGATGTAAGGATGTGGGTTTTTCAAGAGAAAATCGACGGTACTAACCTTACCGACATAATAAACAACAAGCACGAGAATGTCAAATATTTACCAGGCGTTACTTTACCATCTAACTTAGTTGCTGAGCCTGATATTGTCAAGGCTGCAGAAGGTGCTGATTTATTGGTATTTAATTTGCCCCATCAGTTTTTGCGTACAGTGTGCGTCAAATTGAAAGGTCACTTGAAACCAACTACCAGAGCAATCTCCTGTTTAAAGGGTTTAGAGGTTACTCCACAAGGCTGTAAGTTATTATCTACTTACATAACTGAAAATTTAGGTATTCAGTGTGGTGCCTTGTCTGGTGCTAATTTGGCTCCTGAAGTTGCAAGAGGAAAGTGGTCTGAGACCACTGTTGCCTATCCTATACCTGCTGACTTCAAGGGCCATGGAAAAGATATCGACAAGTCAGTTTTGAAAACTGCTTTTCATAGACCTTATTTTCATGTTAACGTTATTGACGACGTTGCCGGTGTTTCAGTTGCGGGTGCTTTAAAGAATATCGTTGCCTTGACAGCAGGTTTCGTCGAAGGTTTAGGGTGGGGTGACAATGCTAAGGCTGCAGTTATGAGAATTGGGTTACTGGAGACTATTAGATTCTCCACTAGGTTTTTCCCTCAATCTGAAGCATCTACGTTCACTACTGAGTCTGCTGGAGTGGCGGATTTGATAACAACTTGCTCTGGAGGTAGAAATGTTAAGGTCGGAAGGCATATGGCAAAGACTGGTGACTCTGGTGAAGCCGCTGAAAAAGAATTATTGAATGGACAATCTTGTCAGGGTTTGATTACTGCTAAAGAAGTTCACGAATTATTAGCTACAGTAAACGAAACCGATCAATACCCATTGTTTGAAGCTACCTATCAGATCATTTATGGGTCAGAAAAGATGGAAAATTTACCTGCCTTATTAGAGCTGGACTGTTGAGTTGACCATTAATAATTCTTAAAGAATTTCATTCTGTCTATCTAGTATTTTATTTATTATTTACTTGTTTATATACTATTGCATCCAATCACTTCTTCTTGTAATATTAAGATTTCAATTTTTTCAGCGCCTCCTCGTCAGGAGTGACTGACTCATGTGAACGCTTTTTGTTCTCACGTTTAGCTTTATACTTTACCAAAAATTTCTCCATAAAGCCCTTGGAAAAATCTTTGAGCTTCTTCAACTTATGATTGTCCAACTCGTCTGGCGGTTTGGCGTCTTTTTTGATTTCTTTCTGAACCAAAATCTTTACAAGATCTCTCGCACAGCCTTTCAAATTATCTCTTCCAATCTCCTTTTCATGCTTCTTAATTAGATTTGGAATATGCTTAGCGAAAAGCTTAGTCCATCTTTGCTCGGCTGAAGTCGACGAAGACAGTGATGTAGATGAAGATTTCGATACCATTTTTTTCCTTTTTAATTTCTCCTTCTTTTTTTCTCTCCTCTCTAATTTCAACTTTTCTTCAAGTTGCTTCTTTTCCTCAGCTTCTCGTTGACTTTGCAAAATCAACTCTTGCAAATATTTTTCTTTTTGCTGCATCTCCTTGAACTGGTCCTCTTTTTCCTTTTTTACCCTTTCCTCCTCTCTTCGAGCTAATTCCTCTTCCTGAAACGATTTCTTGGGAGGCCGCTTCACTTCTGCTCGAGGTCCCTTTGGCGCTTTAGGGACTGTGTTGGTGGGCCTATCCCAACGAGATAAATTAAGTTCTCTATGAAAGTAATAGTTATTTTGAGTATTTGGGTCGAAGCCCATTTCCCAACCTTCTGGCAAAGGCTCTTCCTGAGGAGTTGTGGATCTTTCAGGACTAGGTGATCTTCCTCCTCTTCCATACAAAGCAGGCGAATCATTCTTCCTCTCATTTTTCGGTATCCTATAGGCCATTTGCAATTTACTCCACTCTCCCAATAGACTAGAAGAAAGTTGTTTTATTTCTTCATTTCCCGTGTTTGCGTTCAAATCCTTCACGACGTCCTCAATTTGAGACGAGGAAATTTTGTTCCTAGTTACTCGGGGCCACTTAGATAAAATTACTAATATCATTTTAACAATATCATCTTTGTCTTTGTAATTGGTAATGACTTTAGATAACGTCTTATAACCATGAAACCTAATGATAGTGGAATTGATGGCAGAATCATTAGTTAGATAAATTCTTTCTACTAGCTTTTCAACAATGTAATAGTCTTGAGACCGCATAAGAGATCCCATAACCTTTGAGACATCTTGTTCACTCATAGGAGTAACTTCAATTGACTTCACAAATTGCTCGTTTATTATGGAATCATCCTCTTGTTGCTTAGATCTTAAATGCTTGTTTTCTTTCAACCATTGCCTCTCTTGTTTGGAGGTAACTCCAAGTGCTTCAGATATACCATCTGGCAACAAAAGAGCAGCATCTGTCTGTGTCTTTCCGCCCATCCATTTGATACAGTTTGGCTCCCCGCAATAACATGGCTGTGACTGAGCTCCATATCTATCCACGTTATAATCGAAAGTAATTTCCTCTCCCTTCAAAATATGACGTTTGGCGAAAATGCCCATTCTTAATTTATCACCTACAACCCATTTATCCACATACGCATTTGGATTGCAAGAGTGATTACAGAAACGAGCCAAAGAGCCCTTTAAGGTAGCGTCGATAAAGGAGTCTTTTTTCAACATCATGAAATAAAAATGTTTGAAGTTTTTCTCATCATAGGCAGCCATTCTCTTTCTGAATGCCACTTCATCAATTACTTCACCAATATATTCATAAATAAATCCCAGTTCATTTATAGATTCATCAGCCCTGAGTCCATATCCTTTTAACTCAGTTTGGAAAACGCTAACTTTTGAATATTGTTTTTTTTGAAACCTTTGGTTTTGGCAATTCTTACCACAGTTACAATGTCTGTTAATACATTCTACGGATGTCACTCTATTAATACAGTCCGAATCTTCTCCACAAGCCATATTCTTCTCTAAATCTGAATCCCAGTCCTCGTAACAATCACACGTCATGGGTTCATTTTGGTCCGAGGATCCAGCATTCTTGTTCAGGTATGTACATTCCTCTATGTCTGTGAACTTCGTTTTAGCTTCCTCAGTCTTATCCTCTTCATTCAAGAATAGATGAACTTGACTCTTTGGTTCTTCTGATTCTGGCATATTTTTCTCTTTTGTATATTTCCCTCTAGGTGATATTTGTTCTCTAAGGCCAAAATCGTCTATTCATAAATTATTAGTACACGGTAAAGAATTAAAGCAGAAATGAAAATCAAAAGTCACCAGAAAGCTTTCTAGTCCCGGAGAACTTTAATGTGTTTTAGAGTTTAAACACAGCAAATTTAAGCCTTAATTCTTATGATCAAGTCTTGAGATACGAAGGTTTTTTTTTTCGAAACCTAACTTTCATTAGTTACACAAAATTGTAAAGGTTCAATATAAATACACATCGGGACTTAGTTGCAACGACTCCGGACTAACTAGCCTAATAGATCGGCAACGCACTTCGAGAGCAGTCTATTAAAGTCGCTTGCCGTTTTTGAATCGGCTTTATTGTTGATTAATAAAGAGTTGATTTCATGGAAGGTATTTTCAATGATATTCACCAACTTTTTATCTCCCAGGGATCTATGAGGAGAAAAAACCTTTCTGATAGTCGTTTTGTAGCTATTTCCAGCGCCACCTTGACCAGCAGAGGGTCTTCTTTGAAAATTAATTTCAGTAGGTGTCGAATCAGCCAGATTATAAGAGGATGGCAATGATGAAACCTCGTGCGAAGGATGTTGTTCTTTATGGTCTCCCTCAGTAGCCATTTCAATCACCTTAACTTCTCGGGCCCTTAAACTTATGAAGATGGTTTTGGAAGATATTTTGTCATACTTCTTGCTACTTAAGTTAAAAAGTAAATCGTTTTTCATTGCATTCATCACTTGATTTTCTAGTTTCGGGTTTATTGGGCACGATTGTAACAAAAATTCCGGTCTGAATTCATCTGAAAATGCCACGCTAGGTGCTAATGGCTTCCGCTTGAATACTGGTAACTCTTGCGGTGCCCCACCCGAAAAACTAGAAGTTATTGTTATTCCATCATTATCGAGGTCTTCTTGTTTTTCGAAGATAATAGGTTCAACTTCGAGCACTCCTTCCCTTGAAGAGGTCAACCTGATTCTTGATTTCATTATAAAAGAACATTTCTTATATATCGCATCTCTGTTATGAGTATCTATATTCTTAACAACGTTGCTCTCAGTCAAGGGAGTAAATATTGAAGTTCTGGTCCTATTAAGATCAATCGGTTTATTTTCTTCAAACAAATTTTTATTATACAAATCATACATCGATTGTGTCCTTGATAACTTATGTTGGAAAGAATTCGAATTAAGTGAAGTTTGCGGCCATCCATAATCTTCATATTCGATTGCCGGAGACGGTGACCTCAATGACTGAACAGAACTTCTTTTTGAAAGGCTACCAAATATTGGAGAATTGAAATGGTCTATATTATGTTCGAAAACATTCATGGAACTTTGTGTAGTTGGCGTTGTTGGATTCTTCCATTTATCCAAAAAACTTCCCCCCCATTTCGAAAGACTTGATTGAGAAGAGGATAATGATGAATTCAAAGATGATGATAGATAAGCCATGGATGAAGATTTCGATAGTGAAGACCCTGGTGTTGTTTTCTGTTTAATTGGTATGTTTTGAGAAGTCGTTTCGATGTTTGAGTTTGTGATGCCTGAAGTACTCGTAACTGATTTGTTCGGAATTTCCCAACCTTTTACTATCAGAAAAGACTTAGTAGGGGAGTTATCAGAAGATTCAACCGATCGAGATAAGTTAGGTGATCGAATAGGAATAGGCCGGGCCTCCAAGACAGAATCGCCAGAGTAAATGCTATGTAAGTCTCCTTTTGACGCATCTAATCCATAAGACCTATTCAGTTGATCTATATCATCATAAGCGTCAGATGCTATGTTTCTTTCACTTCTATAATCAGGTATATCTAAAGATGCAACACTTTCTCTCTCAGGAATGAAGCCATTTAAGATGAATATCAATTTTTTGGCAACCACTGGATTCCCAGTCATTAAAACAATTCTGACTACCTCTTTCTTTTTGGAATCTGAAGAATCGGAGACTGGTTTCAGCATTAATTGCCTTCTTAAAGGTATTATCAATGCTATGATATTTGATAAAAAAGTAGAATTATGCTCCACTGATAAAGACGTATTCTGAGACAGGTGGGGATGATTGAAAGTGGGCTTACCGTCCTTAAATTCTAGCCAGTTCAAAATTTCTAACACCCAGTTAAGCATCATTGCACTGTATTTAGAACTTCGAGTAGAAGATCTTATTAAATAATTTGAATTTATTAGTTTGGGCAAATTCGAATTGTAGTGAATTAGCTTGACTAGCCTAAAAACCTGATTTCCTAATTCGTGATCATTTTGTAAGATTCCACTAGTCAATTGAATTCTCTTATTGACTATAAAAGATGCATTCTCAGTCAAATGAGCCACTAGTTTCTTTATAATAATATTCTGTAATACAATCAAAAAGTGGGATATTTCTTCCCAGTTGTTAAAGATCACATCATGTAAATCATTCAACGACTCCAACGGAACGACTAAGCCTATCGAAAACCTACTACTAACTCTGTCCTTCGAAAAAAGATAATTTTTAGCTTTGATAGACAAAGCCGATTTCGGTTTCCATCCTTCATCTGAATTATTTACATAATTGTCTTCATCTATAATCAGAAATAAACGTGAAATCAATATTGAATGCTGTGCTCCGTTTACCAGATCATTATTGAGGGCTGGTAATATGTGTGCCTTTGTGGTGCAAATTGATTCATTTGATGGTAAACCACATCCAAATGTGTAGTCATTGAGTTCGCTAACACTGTGGAACACTTTAGGTTGCGTTTTCGCTACTCCAGTCCTTGTGCCCCATATTGGAATCATGTTATTCTCACAAGCAGAGTCGAATAAAATCTGTTTAGTTCTAAGATTTCCTCCATCTTGGCAAACCAATATTCTAAATTGTCTCAGGTTCAAATGACATGGTTTAATTAGATTTTGATTTAAGGTGCCATAAAGTATTTCTCGAGTGTATGGATCCTCATAAGAATTATGAGACGTGTTACAAGTGCCACTATTCGTGGAGGGAACTGAATTTGTGGGACTACCGGTGGCTCCATTCTGGCCCTTAAATAGTTTTCCTAGCATACTACTTCAACCTGTTTTTAGCGCCTAGTTACTTCTCATTCGGAAATCATCACCCAACATTCAATAGATAAGTTTGAGTTTCCTGCAACAGATTTGTTGTTTCTGAAAGATAGAATGGTCCTTTCCCTCTTTCTATTCAGTCTAAAGTTGACGGCTTATTATTATGCTTCTTCTCGAATACAGTCTGTTGTCACAATATCTGATTTTAGATCTCTGAGTTCTATTTTGAACGAAAGTTTTGAGCACATTATGAAAGCAGTCTCGTGCGGTAAAGTGTGATCACTGGAGTCACAAAATGAGAGATTCATTATAAAGGAAAGGGTGTATATAAGGGCATAAATTACTGTGGGTAAAGAATGTATGCTTCTTGGGCAATTACACCTAAATTAAATGCGTTTAGGGAGAATGATAAACGTTCCACTTTTTCGGGAAGCGATGGTAAGAACGAGGGTACCTAATAGTTAATGCGAGGGTACTACTGAATATGATAGAAAGTCGTAATCGGTTTTGCATACGTGAAATTAATCAAGTGTTCTCTCTGAAACGCATGCTTCTGTCTCTGAGCGTAATTAGGAACTGAAATGCTCTTCTCAGCCGCCATATGCGACAATAACGCCTTTCACAGTACTATAAGCATTTCAATAGCACAAGGTCGATCCTTCTCAACACGTGGTGGTGCTTGACGCCTGTGCTTGACATAAACTAGCCACATTTCTTTTTTGAAGTTACTTCAAGTATTTCTTTATAGCGATCAGACATTTCCAACTCAGGATGATAAATTAATGTAGCATTGATGTTGTACGTATTGTGTCTAGCCTCGGTTGAGTAGTATTTCATGTGGAACTCAGTTGCATAATTTCACCTATCCTTAGCGAACATAAAGCCATGTAATGCGCTTTATACTCAAGATAAACAAACTAAATGCTCTTGCATATTCTTAATGTAGGTATTACAAATTTTCACCATGTTTAAGGAAACTAAAACTTTAACTAAGACCTGGTTTCTAGAAAAGTCTATCAGAGATTACTTTCCAAATTGAGTATAGGGTTTTCCGGGCCCGGTAACACGGATGTGCGCAAAATTCTTAAATTTCTGATGGAGCGCCTTAATGCTTTAACTACCATAGTCGGAATACCTAAAATGCCTTTTCATATATGCATTCTGGAATTAGAATCCTATAGGGAAACTCTTGGCTCCTTTAGTTTACTTATTGAGCAGGGTTTTGTAATCAATTAAGTATCAGTAATTCACTAGAAGCCTAGCCCAGAATATTTTGATGTAGTCACTTCCGATTTATGTGAAAAAATATCTGAATCTTGGAGGCCGATCTTCTCTTAGTGATCCTTAATTGTTCTTAAAATTGCAACAGTCTCAGCCCCTTGACTGCATATAGTGAAGTAGACAAGATTTAATGATCATTGAAAAATCGTAATCTTGATATGCTATAGCCTTATAGCATCGAAGTGGCGAAGGACTTTCGGTGTAAATTATTTTCTTATCATGGTTAGTAGTTCCGAATCAACAGATGGCCATCATTTGAAGAAGTTAATTCTGAAATTGAGCGGTCAGCCTGACTCATATTCGAGGAAATCTAAGTATACTTTTGGAAGAACTTTGGGTGCTGGCTCTTTTGGAATAGTTAGACATGCTAGGGACAATGTCACTGGTGAAGAAGTAGCAGTAAAGATTATTTTGAAGAGGGCTCTTAAAGGTCACGAGGATTCTGTTATTGAAGAATTAAATTTCCTAAGAGCTTTACACCATCCCCATATAGTTGGATTTAGAGATTGGTTTGAATCAAAGGATAAATTTTACCTTGTCACTCAATTGGCCACTGGTGGTGAATTATTTGATAGAATTGTAAGTAAAGGTAGGTTTACAGAACATGATGCATCATTGGTTATTGTTCAGGTGTTGGAAGCGTTAGATTATTTGCATGACAGAGATATTGTGCATCGTGATTTAAAGCCTGAGAATATCCTTTATTTGAACTCAAAAGAAGACTCTGGGATAGTTCTAGCGGATTTTGGTATTGCAAAGAAACTAGAATCACTGGATGAGAAATTGACGTCTTCGGCGGGGTCCTTTGGCTATGCCGCCCCAGAAGTAATCTTGGGAACTGGTCACGGTAAGCCCTGTGATATTTGGTCCTTGGGTGTCATAACATATACAGTTCTATGTGGATATTCTCCTTTTCATTCAGAAAATGTGGATGATTTTATTGACGAAGTAAAAGACAATAATGCAGTTATCTTCCATGCTGAATATTGGAAAGATGTATCGAAAGATGCACGTCGCTTCATAATCAAGGCTTTACAATTTGACCCCGAAAAAAGACCTACGGCGAAACAACTATTAGAAGATCCTTGGCTAGTCTCAGTTGCCGCAGAGCATAGAGAAGCAGATTTGTTACCAAACTTGAAGCACGGCTTTGACGCGAAGGTCAAATTTAGGCAAGCTATTCAGCTAGTTAAATTGAATAACAGAATCAAAAAATTGAAGAAGCTTCAAACTGAAGAGGATGATGATCCTAATGAAATTAACTTATTTGATGATGAGGGTGAGGTTGAAAACGAAGTTCAATCGAGCCCTTTAACATCTTGGAAGAAGTTTGGTGATGCTCTTGACTCACTGCAGAGGAACTCATCTCAGTCAAGTGACTCACAGGATAAATCTACGTTAACGAGTGATGCCTTCGTCCAATTGGTCCATGCTGCGTCTGAAAATAAGCACAGAGTGAGTCAATATAAGGAATCTTGAATACGTGTATATCGATAGATTTATTTACGAACATCATTCGGTCTCCTCTCAACGTAAATCTTCGTAAATGTATGATCTAATTATTTTCACGAACATCTATTTCTATGCACCATGATTGTGCTTGTAGCTCTCCTTGTAGGTTTCTTCATGAATTCTCGATTCTGGGTCAATAAGGGGTGCTGAGAGCGTTTGCACGCTCGCTACAATGCGCGGTCGAACTTCCCATACTTTCCGTATATCAATTACAAGTTGGAACTTGTTGAATTCCGTCAGTGTCCGCGGACATTGTGGATAGTAATAGAAGCGCTATTGCATGAAAGTACTTGTGGGTAAAATGGAGTAAAATCACCTAGTTTGTTGAAGACTCTATACAAATTCTAGATCGTGGTGACATAATTTACTTTGAGTACGGAGTCAGCACAGTCATGCAGTATATCGCTGCTCGTTGTAACATTTAAAATCCTTTCACCTATACTATAGTATCAAGCGGAGAAGAGATTTTTCATTTCTTACTTAGATATGTCGAATACTTTTTCTTCAACTTGTCTTAATCTACAGTTGATTAAACAACTTTGAATATATTCTAAATTACTACTCTGAAATGTTCAAATGTAACATATATTAATTTCATTACTGCAAAATATTCATAAAAAGGTATGCATAATTTATTTAAAGCAGCCATTAAGGATGCAATTGTGTTCGTAATAATCTTCATCTATTAATTTCATGTAGAGTTCGTTTGACTAAAATAACTCATATGTTCGAAGTCGACAACATTTCTGGTGACAAGCCCATAATGCCTTGACTATCTATCGTGTCAGTCATTAATGGCTGATTCAACGGGTTGAGTTGAAATTGAACATCGGTGAAGTCACCCAAGTTTGAAAATTCATTCCCTGAATAGTTAATATTATTCAATTGGGCATTGTCTAAGGTCATATCACTGCCCATAGGATTCATGTTAAGAGGATTTGGATCAAGTGTATTACCTCCAACATCATCAAAAAATTCTTCCAACAAAGGAGATTCTTGGACATTAGATCCTGGGTTGCGAACATCATCAATATGAGTGTGATCGAAAAGTGATGGTGGAACCGCAGAGTTCGATGATGAGACCGAAGAAGAATTTGAAGTCTGATTTCCTGCAAATTTTGTCAAATCTGGGAAAGAGAATGCCTTTGTCGGTACTCTTGATTCTTCTTGATCAAACATGTTGAAATTATTATTCATCAATGGTTGATTGAAATCGAACCCTGATACTGGTGTTTGAAATCTCTGTTTCTGATCGTCAGACATGAATGAGGTTATCTCGTTAGATTGGTTAGGCATTACCAAAGAATCATTGATTGGTGACTCGATCTTTATTTTCTTAGTCAGTGGTTCAGTGGTGTCCTCGATCGATGCCGGTTCTATACTTGAGCTCGACCCTGAGCTTACCGGGGTATAAAATTCTTGATGGAATTTTGTCATCTTTCCAGATTCTTTATAACTTTTAATATACTCCCAACATTTATCTCCATAAGTTTTGGGGGTCAATCCGGTGACAGATTTGAAGACACGATGAAAGTGCCATGCCGACAACTTTGACTTAGCAGCTAATTCCTTAAATCCCAAGACTCCGCCTCTTCTTCTTCTTTTCTTGGAGTTTGACCCAGGACTCAAAGCTTCCTCTGGAGATCTTGGACCCTTCGGAGTTTGAGGTTGAAATATACTTACCGCAGCAGCTAAAGCCAAGTGTCTACAGGCCAAATCCACAAGCCTATAATGATCAGAATCATTTTTAGATAATGAGGTGGCCTCAAAATCTTTTGAAAACTTTCCATCGTAATTGATAGAAGGTGCGGAACATCTTCTGGAAACCTGTTCGCTTGCTCTTTTGTTCTCTATTATATTTTCTTTAATTGCCCTATTATTCTTTTCTTCGTTTTCGTCCAATAATGGAGCCATGAATCCTATTTTCTCATTGACATTAGCGACACAGCCTATCAATAATTGAACATCGATTGAAGAACCACTCATAGGGTCACAATGCTCACAAGGGACGTAACCCAAATTCACAGCATCCGATAAACTATCAACAAATTTAATTTCAGATTTCAAGTTGGTATCGGGCCGTGCATCACAGTCAGGACGGCAACAAAATTTCGATACCTTATTGCAAACGTAAAAGGATCCAGCAGCGAAGGGGTCGCTGAATTGGTACGCCCTCCATTTTGCTCCTTCTGAGACGTATACCATTTCGACCTATAATGGTAACGAAAAGTGATTAATAGAAATTTCCAATCTCAATAATCCAAATATATACTTCAGTTTACCTGAAATATGGCTCTGTATAGTTCCTTAAAGCCAAATTGTCTATCCTCAAGTGTAACTAGCCCTCTATATGTGTAGCCAATTATTAAAGATACAATATTTATTAACAGTAACAAGTAGAGGTAATTAGGGGTTTAAATTAGGTTAATAAGCTCCCTACTTATACTTCTTCCTGGTGTAATGCAGATTGTCAAAGTTTGGGAACGATGGGAAGTGTAGCGCATTGGTGTGGAGCCCGCGATATTCCAAAGAAGTCTATTTTTTCTTAGTTGGCGGGACTCCGCTCGCCACATGTTGATGTAATGCGAATGCATCCTAGAATAAGGAAATATGTCTCAGGTGGGCTAGTGAGCATTGAGGTTGAGTTCTGCATGTCGGGACTCCATGATAGGAAAGTACTATATGTAGTCTAAGACAGGGGAAAGTGAAATATATTGGAGAATCAAGATTATCGATGACGATTGAAAAAGCTGGGAGAGAGGACAATACGAAGGAGAAAGAGTTTGACTGACTATAATAATAAGCCCGCCTTCTGTTACGGGCGATCAACAAGTGCGTGTTAAATATTATATTGACGTCGTTGGTATATGAGAGAAGTCGCTGATCTCAAACATTGTGGTCTATGTAATTGAGCATATGATGTTGCACTTCCACATATAGTATGGCAGTACTAGTACGGACTTCACTTCGGGATTCAGCTCTGACGTAGGTTTTGATAAACGATTAAGATGACGATATTTATGCCGTCACTAGCCCCAGCTTAACACATGCATTTGACCCTGCAAGTATCTCTTCTTCGCTTACTTTGCTACACTGCCTGGCATATCGTGCCTTGACCACCACTTCTTTGTTTTCTTCATTCCATGTTAGAAGTGAAACAAAAATGAGTATCGAGGGGTGCCACTTTTTAATCGTGAAGCCCGAATTGGCCAGAAGTATGACGTAAGAATATCATCATTCCGAGCCGACTATTGAAAAATAGATCGGTCAATTTCCGACACATCTCCAGAGGGTCCTCGAGGGAGCGGCTAGCTTCCTAAGAGAGTACGAAAATAGAAGTATAGTGATTGTCACCTAGGCGGAAGAGAAGCTTCTATTCCGTTTTTCTTTTGACGAATTTAAATGTTAAATTGCTGCAGAAGGTTAATTAGCCTTTTCGGGTACATTTAAGATAGACTGTTTTCTCTTTAGCGAGAGCAAGACACTGTCTTAGATTTTTAGTTTAAAGCGAAAGGTACGGAAACGTAGAAACACGAGCATGAACAAGAATATTGACTAATGTGCTACTGAACTCCATAGATTCTTCATTTACTGCACCTTATCTTACTGAAATATGGAGTTCCACTTAGCGAAAATAGTTATTTGTGACACGTATCGAATGCGCAAAATAAACTTACCATTTCAATCCTCAATTAAGTAAGCTCTACTCTTATTGCGTCGAGGAAATACTGTGCCATACGTTACGTCGCCTTAAGAAAACTTGGAATCTCGACCTTCGATAGTTATCCCAATACAGGTACGCGGAAGATTGTCGACCATTCCTCCACTAGGAGGGGGGGCCGGGCAGTTTTTGGCTAGTTTTCTCCTATAATGTGGTCATTCGTCCGCAGCACCCTGAATTTTTCTGGTTTTCCGGCCAAACCGGCTGTTTTCCGCTCTACCCATATGTGATTATTATTGCAGAAACGCATTTCCATTGGTGTGCATATTGAATGCATATAACTTTTTGGCCCCATGTTGTATAAGAATTTGCCCGGAGCCGCAGATACCATATAAGTGATGTGGCTGTGCCCTGTAAGACTCAGACCGTTTACTGCAGGTTCTTATCATCGTGCAATGCCACATGTGATCATACGTCATATTTAATGTATGTTACTTTACATACTGTCTGAGACAGGTGATGATGTAATATTGAGATTCTTGAACTAAGAATGTTCCCACAACAAAGAATATGGCCTGTATATAACTCTGGCTTCGCAACGTGAAAATAAATTCTATTACTCAGTGTGGTTTGTCGAGAACTCATGTACTGGCTCGACATCTATCGGCTAATCATATGCAATGGAAAAACATCATGCTGGTCATCACAACCATGTGGTGAATGTGAAGTATGGATATTTTGTGTTTGCTTTGTCTTTTCTCTACTACATCCTAGTAGTGTTAGGAAAGTGGTATACGTGGTATCGACAAAATGAGCCGATCTTTTCGTTGCGTGGGGCAAGAGTACCCATCTGGTTACATTGCTCGGTTTGGATTGTTCTTTTGACTGCAATGGGGGTTTTTAAAGTTGAATACTATCTCGTGGCTCTTAAGCGATTCGGGCGTTTATCTTACTGTTTGATACCATTAGATCTATTGTTGGTTGTCAGACCCAATATTATCAATTACTTAGAATTTATTGATTTACACAAGTGGATATCCCGAATTATTATTTTTGCAGCTTATGTGCATGGTCTAGGATATTATTACAGGTGGTTCTTTGAAGGCACTGTAATAACCAAGCTGTTCAAGCTTTTAAATTTCTTGGGTGTCATAGTACTTTTAATGACAGGCATTTTAGTCATCATCTCAATAAGGCTGTTTCGCAGATACTCGTACACAACGTTTTATATCTATCACAATATATCGGTATGGTTCTTTGTCTTGTTAATTGGGTTTCATTCGCGACCAGGTGTTACGCCATTTACTTTTTTGAATTTGGTTATAATGAGCGTACAGATATATTTGATGTTTATAAGGACATTCACGATTGAGAATTTGAAGGTGACTGAAATTGAATCGTCGAATTTGATAATAGTACTGTTCCCTAAGCCATCCAATTTTCCTTCGTGGTCACCTGGATCTCATATAAGATTAAATTATAGAAGAAATTTTATACTCCCAACATATCCGTTCACGATTGCCTCAGATGAGAATGATTCCACTATGACCTTGATAATGAAAAAACCTAATCATTTCACGGTGATTGGTAATTCAAGTTATGCAATGTCGACTCCGCTTCCATCCGCATCTCCTGCCTTTCTCAAAAATGCTGAGGATGTAGTAATAATTTGCGGTGGCTCCGGAATATCATTTGGACTACCTATCTTATCACATTTCAAACTGGCATCGTCGGCAACAGTGAATTTGATTTGGGTAACGAGATCTAAAAACGATATAATAGTTCTACAAGATAATCCGAATCACGAAAGCATTCAAATTTATATTACAGGAAACAATTTCGATCAGGAATCCGAAGTACAAGAACAAGATGATAGCATAGAGCTCGATACAATAGCGCCGACAGATGCTTTGTTGGGTAGCGAATACCGAGATAAAGATCTCTTTAAAGTTCAGAACGGTAGACCTGATCTTGAAGATTGCCTCGGAGCATTCGAAGGCACAGAACCTAAAGCCGAAAAATGGCTAGTCGCTTGTGGACCACAAGCGCTTATCTCTGATTGCAAGAGGTTGGCGAAGAAGAAGAATATCAACCTAATATCTGAAGTATATGAAATGTGAACCATAGAGAAGTTAATAATCTGACAGCTTTATATGTAGGATTTAATGATGTATAAAATATTAGATGTGCTAAAGTATTTGTCCGTAAGCCGACAAGGAAATCAGGAACATGAGCCAGCGATAATGCTAAATTGTGCCACAAAAACACAAAAAAAAGCTCGCACTCAGGTTCGAACTAAGGACCAACAGATTTGCAATCTGCTGCGCTACCACTGCGCCATACGAGCAAATTCTTGATATAAACAATTTTAGGTATATATGTACAGTCATAAGTAATTTCTGATGTATTCAGTTTATAAAGCCTAAAGATCCATTAATATCCAGAAATGTGTCACATTTTACTAACTCTGAGTATTACTCTAGGTAATAGATAATGTCTGCCAATGTACTGTCAGTGATTATTTGTAGGAATATCTTCGATCGAGCATGAACTAATCATGTTGTTTCTTCATGTATTTATCTTTAAATTTATAAAAGTTTTATGAAGGATCTTGAACACGTAGCCATTTAGATTAGTTTGTGGGTCACTTCACGCATTTTTAATTTACCTATAGAAGCTATTTTGACTGGAAGGGATGCAATTTATTGCCATACAAAGGCTGGGGTTGATGTTTCACCTAAAAGCGCTTTAATTCTGTTTGATCATAGTACGAGTACCTGGAGATTTATGGTTTGAATTTGAGCGGAATATCGTCACAATCAAATGGAGGTATGGGAAGACAGTCTGTTATATCCTAGACTTGATGTCGTGGAATAGAGTAAATATACATCTCACATTAATGTTCTCAAGATAAAGCAAAAAAAAAAAAACTTTAATTTTTGGTTTTAAAATAAAGAGTAGATGTTACTATATGTCTGGTATCTTATGGAGGAATTCAATCTCATTATACCAATATAGTAAGACATAGCATAAACTAATTCGTGATTGTTTGGTTCCATTTGTACATTTGGAAATTGGCATGTCTGATCAGCAATGTCTGTAAAGCAAGAGCTAAGGAAGACTTGTCTTAGGGCGAAACATATGGATGGACTATCAAAATTTACTTACAAAGACCTCATTATGTTGGATAACCAAAAGTCTTCTTACTTATCACCACTTGCAGTGATTGGTTTAATCGATTTGAACGCTTTTTTTGCACAGGTTGAGCAAATTCGGTTGGGGTTAAATGATGATATCCCTGTAGTATGCGCTCAATGGCTGTCGCTCATTGCTGTATCTTATCCAGCTAGAAAGTTTGGGATTAATAGAATGGATAATATTCTGTCTGCGAAGAAAAAGTGCCCAGACTTAGTAGTAGCTCACGCCGCCGTATTCAAGAAAGGTGAAACTAATTGGGCATATGTAAAGGGCTTACCCCAGCAAGCCACTCATAAGGTCTCTTTAGATCCTTATCGTCGTGAAAGTAGAAAAATTATTAAAGTCTGTCAACAATTTTGCGATTTGGTAGAGAAAGCTAGTGTTGATGAGTGTTACTTAGACTTTGGCCGTCTCATTTACCATAAATTGATTGAATTTTTCCCCTATTTAAAAGATGGGGATCCTAGTCTTCAATTGCCTTCTGTTCCTGAAGATATCCCGGATCACATATATTGGAAAGGGGAGCTAGTTGGTGATGATATAACTTCTGAGACTGAGACGGAGGACGTAAATCACACTTCAAATGTTAGAGACTGGGATGACATATGTATGCTGGTGGGATCACAATTATTATTTGAAATAAGAAGCGAGATATATAAGGAATTAGGATACAAAACCTCTGGCGGATTGGCAAGATGCAAGCAAATCGCTAAACTCGCCGGTGGACTCTATAAACCTGACAATCAAACCGTCGTAAGAAATAACTTTATACAGATGTTTCTAGAGAAATTTCAATTAACCGATATCACTGGTATGGGTGGGAAGACAGGCGATATAGTAACTCAAAAGCTTCTGGTTCCCCTTGATGTGAGCTCGGCATCATTTATAAGAGAAAATTACGACTTAAATGCGTTAAAAGCCAAATTCAAGGAAGACTTAAATTTGGCCGAAAAAATTTATGAAATAGTCAGAGGAAATTACAGACAAGCTCTAACCAGTAGAGTTGATGTTCAATCGATGATGTCTAGAAAGAACTTTACTTTCAAAGTAGATAGATTTTCTGATGCGCAGGACTGGTTAAATGTGTTTGTTGGGGATTTATGTAATAGATTGATTGATTTAGATGATGAAAATATGAATGTTTCCATTCTGCAAAGGACAAGCAACCCTGTTTTAAAAAGACCAAAAACCATGAATATTCATGTCACTTCATCTTCACATGGCAGTCATTCCAAGCAAACATCTTTGCCTCTCACTCTATCTTTGCAAAAACTACGGCCCATTATGGAATCGACAGCGAAAAAGCTATTGTTAGATTGTTTTGGCTCTGTGATAGAAAATGATAAGATATACCCCATCTCCAGCCTATCTTTAATAATATCTAAATTTGTTGCAACTAAGGAATTAAATATGATTGACCTGTACGTGGAACGTAATAGTGCTCGAAATCAAAAGCTGGATGACGACTACCAAACTAATGGTCCTCCGAATTTGATAAAAAACTCAGAGTTGACTGCCCCAATAGGTAGAGCCAATGACGATTACCTAGGCAAATTATTTGAAGAATTTAATCAATCTGAACTGCATTGCACTTCTCCAGTCTCCATGTCAGGTAAATCTGCTAAATCCACGGGCGTGAATTCGATTGGAAAGCCTTTGCAAAAGGAAGAGAAAGAATACATTACTCTGTTATTCAATAAATTTGAGGTTGAATCATCTTCCAACGCAGCAGAGGATTCCTTGAAACGGAGGAAGAACAAAAGATCTTCTCTGGAATTACCTGATAATAAGCGTGTGAAACAATCGTTGCTAGATGTTTTAATAGAGAAGAAAGAATGTCCTTATTGCAAGGTTCCGGTGGAAGATGTCTTTGAACATAACGATTTTCACATAGCTATGGACTTGTCTGATAAATTAAACGGTAAAAACAGTACATCTCTGCTGGACTCAGAAAGACCAACTAAAAGATCTATGCACAAAGGTCAATCTAAGCTCGGATTTTAAATATACTGTCCCATTTCAGGGCATTGCATTATGTTTATACTATATGGATTTTGTGTAATATATATTTATTTAATTTAAAATATACCGAGCTCCAACTTTCATGAGCTTTAATAGCTATTCAGGAGCAATTGAAGTATGTCAGAAAAAGAGGCTACACTTCATAGGCATGCTTTACCTTTCGCAAATGCTGCGACAATTGGTAAGTTAATTCATTGTTAAATTAATAAAGAGAAATTGTTCTTTACAGTCTTTGAAAAAAGTACTAACAAAATACAGTGAGAGCACATCAAAAAGATGCATATTTTGAATCGTCATTCAGACTTCAGATTCAGGATGTGTTGAACGTTTTCAAGGGTCAAAGATTTATCAATACACACCCAGAAGAAATCACTGTTGCTGCTAAATCACTTTACCTTATGCTTACAACTTTGATCGGTTCAAGAACTTTGGGTGAAGAATATGTTGACCTTATTTACGTAAACCGTTCGGGCAACCGTCTTCCTAAGCTACTCCCAAGGATTGGATTCATTTTATCTTACGCCGTTGTTCCATATATTATCTCCAGATTGGTGAGAAAAGTACAAGCACGAGAGTCGAAAGACGACCAATCTTGGATTGTCAAATTTTGTTCATCATATTCCAAAGTCCTAGATACTGTCTTGAATCTTCATATTGCTATTTTTTATTTCCTGGGACAGTTTTACTCTATATCGAGAAGAATATTTGGCCTACGCTATGCCTTCGGCCATAATAAGAGCCCAAAGGATATGAGTAAAGCAGGTAATTACTCATTTTTAGGTGCTCTCATTTTAATACAGTTTGCCGTTAAATCAATCATCAAGCTCAAAGCATATACAGACCAAAATCAAACCAAGGCGACAGAGAAATCTGACTTAAGTATACCAGGAAAATACGAAAGTATCAGTCAATTAGAAGAGGTATCTAACGAAATTTCAGAAAATCAAAGTATTAACAAGTTGGTTAATATAGACTTATCGAACCCAGGAGATCTTCCATATATCCCTGAAAATTCAAGAGCATGTATGCTTTGTCTTTCGCCAATGATCAACCCTTCTGCTTCCACTTGTGGGCATTTATTTTGCTGGGATTGTATAGTGGATTGGATAAGAGAACATCCGGAATGTCCCTTATGCCGTCAGCTGTGTCTTGAGCAAAATATCCTACCTCTAAGATAATTTCTAGTTAGCTCATGTATTCTAGTTGTAAATAGTCTTGTATGCAAGTCACGAGGTCTGATATGAATATATTAAAAAATGTCTTTCGAAAACATCACGAGGCATTATTGTTCTTTACAGAATAATGAATTCTGAGCTCGAAAAGGTGGCCAGCAATTCAAAAGGCTTCGATACTGATGAATTAGGTGAAATCGAAAATGGCTATGGATTACATGCGAGGCCAGCCAGGTTCTCGAAGCACCGATCAAAGAATAAGATTTTAAATGCACCAAGTAAAGTTTTAAATATGCTTTTTGAATTGTCAGCAAAGAATAAGAGACTTTTAGCGACTTGTATATTAATTATTTGTCTAACATTGTTCACCTCAATGCCATATATTCCCCATTTTAAGTCGGCGAGCCCAAAGGTTGTAATAATCTTGGCAGCTAATGAAGGTGGTGGAGTGCTCAAGTGGAAGGGCCCGCAGGAATGGTCCGTTGAAAGGTCCTCCATTGCTAATAAGAAGAACTACGCAAGGCAACATGGCTATGGATTGACTATAAAAGACATGACAATCAAGAAGAGATATTCCCATGAATGGAGAGAGTCGTGGGAAAAAGTAGACATCTTGAAACAAACAATGAGACAATATCCTAACTCTGAGTGGTTTTGGTGGTTGGATCTACACACCTACATTATGGAACCTCAAATTTCTCTCGAACAACACTTCTTGAATGATTTGAATAATGCAACTTACAGATCCTTGGAAACATTTAATCCATTAAAATTACCTGTTGATCTCCCTTATGTTGACTATAATCTGCAAGTAGATTTAATAATTACGCAAGACTGCGGTGGATTTAATTTAGGTTCCTTTTTGATGAGAAGGTCTACTTGGTCTGAGATGCTCTTGGATGCATGGTGGGATCCAGCTATGTATGAACAAATGCATATGCAGTGGGAACATAAGGAACAAGACGCTTTGGAATCTTTATATTCCACTCAATCCTGGATAAGAGAGAGAACGGCCTTTTTGCCTTTGAGAAAGATAAATTCGTTTCCGAATGGGGCCTGTTCTGAACAAGCTGATGACCCACAATTCTTCTTTCAGCCTCATGACTTCGTTATTAATATGGCAGGCTGCGAATGGGGCAGAGACTGTTGGGGCGAAATGGAACATTACAAAGCATTATCTAGAAAGCTCCATAAAAGGTGGTGGAAGTTTTGGATATGAAGAGCTTGAATCAAAGGTGATGATCGATACTCCTTTTATTATGTATTTATACGCTTTATATACTCATATATATACGCCTAGCCTCACGTAAATTTCGTGTTGTGGTCTGCATATAAAATTTTCTATGTATCTTTTTTTCCTTCAACCTTCTATCGGAAATATAGTGTATTCCAGCAAAGTATTACCACATCGTCTTCATAGTTTAATGATACCTTGAAATTTTAACAGTCTTTGGTGAAAAAGGTAACTTAATCTAGAAGATGTCGGAGAATTTTTGGTTTGATGATAATGCATTCCTGAATAATCAAGAAAACAACAATACCAATGTAAATGCAGATGATTTTTTGAATAATATATTTGACCAGAATCAGTCACAGCAGAGCATGAATCAAACTCAGCTGGGGATGAACGTGAACCCACAAGGTAATAGCAATGCTAACGATCCCAGTGTACAATATATGGGTCAGGAATCTGGTCAGATACAAGGAGGGAACCCACAACAGTCTATGAATCCGCAATTGTTCATGAGACAACAACAACAACAACAACAACAACAACAACAACAACAACGGTCCCACATGCAGCAGCAGCAGCAGCAGCAACCTAAAATTCAGCATGCACAGCAGTCTCAAAATACAGCATTTGATCAAGGTAAGCACGAACAGTTAATGAGAATGCGACAACAAATTATGCAACAGCAAATGCTTCATGCTCAAAAGCAATCTCAATCACAGCAGCTGGCAGCTCCTAATAGCTCTAATGCTAAAATGATGGGGAATAATTATATGAGCCCACAAGCGCAAGCACAAGCATCGAGAAGGCTCAAGAATATGGAATTGCAAGAAAGTGCAGTGAATATGTCACCTCATTCACTGGCATCCTCTCCGCCTCAATCCACTCCTTCTTTGGTGCAACAGCAGCAGCAGCAGCAGCAGCAGCAGCAGCACCACCATCAGCAGTTTCAAATGGGACCGCAGACGCAGCAGGTTCCGTTTGGTGGTTCTCCGGTGAACCTGATGTCGCCTCATGTGCCAATGAAGAACCAGCCACAACAACCAGCGCAACTTCTGGCATCCAACATTCAAGCACAGCAGCAGCAGACTCAGATACGAGCGCAACATCAACAACAGTCTTTTCAACAACCACAGCCATCCCATCAACCAGCAAAACCACCTCAAGCCCAAATTGCGCAGTTGCAAATAGAATTGTTTCTTTCCACCTTGCATGATTTTATGAATAGGAGAGGTACTCCTTTGACTCAACCTCCAATTATAAATCATAAACGTGTCAATTTGTTTTTCTTGTACATGTTATCTCAAAAGCTTGGAGGACCCCAACAGTTGCTCAAATCATTTCAACAAAATACAACTCAGGGCCCTGTTCCCTGGACAGTTATTTGCCAAAAGCTTGGTCTCTACGAAGGAATCAACATTCAGCAGGACATTGCTGCTAAACTTCAGGTAGAAAAAGAAGTAGCAAACTGTTATGTTCAATTCTTATTGCCATACGAGCAATATTGTAATACTCCAGACGGCCAAAAAGATATACAACAGAGGAAGCTTCATTTCCAAAAGCAAATCCTCGCCAGATTTCAGCAGCAACAGCAAAATCAGGGGCAGCACCAGAAGCAGGTCCCACCGCAGCAACAAGTCCCACAACAGATCCCACAGCAGGTCGCACAACAAGTCCCACAACAGGTTTCACAACAGCAACAGCAGCAGCAAATTCCTCAGCAGTTGAGGCAGCCTCCTCAACAATCTCCACAGCAACAGCATCAGCAACAATTACAACTACAATTACAATTACAACAACAACAACAACAACAACAGCAGCAGCAGCAGCAGCAGCAACGACAGCAACAACTGAAGCAACAGCAAAATCCACAACAACGACGCCCACAACAACAATACCCGCAACAGCAACACACTCAACAACAGCTTCCGCAACAAGAACAACAACACCCTCAACAACAGCATATAGATCAAATGGCCAGTGCTGCGTTATACTCGAATATCTCGCATACTCCAGGCTCCGCCCGTCCTAGTCCTCACGTAGGCCTGGCTTCCGTTCCTCCTCAAAGAAAGTTATCGAGAACTAGCAACGCATCCAATCAGAACTCACCAGCTGCTGTGAATTCTCCTTACTTGCAACTGAATCAAGCATCGCGCTCTGAAAGTTCCGTTCTTCAGAATAATCATACTACATTCAAACAGCAGCAAGATCTAAAATCACCTTTTCAGCAACATGCTCAGTCGCTTCCACAACTGCAGATGCAAAAACAAAACCAAAACCGACAGTTTAACCCAAGTACTGACCCACATAGGTCATCACGCGGGTCTCCCTTAGTTTCTTCTAAAAGTGATCAGTCGGAGTCTAATACTTCTCAGGTACAATTACCACACGATGGCCCGAATATCATAAAGAATTATGTTCCCTTACGAAAAACATTGGATTCATTTGGAGGCTATGATATCAAAAATTTATCAGCAATTGCAAGTGAAATTGAAATATCTGAACCTGTTTATTTGTTTGCTCCTGAATTGGGCTCAGTAAATATTCAGGCTCTAACCATGAGCTTGAAAAGTCATGCTAATAATAATAGCGAAGCGGTTAGCGCTTTAAACACTTTACTTGTTGTGACTTCAGATGTCAATTACTCTTTTAAAATTGCGGATTGTCTAGAATTGTTAAATTCTTTAGCAACACTAGGTATCAAATTGATAGACTCTATAATCTCGACTACTAAAGAAGAAGAGTCTTTAAGCAAAGATTTATCCAGCTTTAAAGAGAATGATTGTATCGGCTCAATATTTGAAAAGTATGTTGACAAAAATAGTTTACAAGGCGAGGATATTGGATATGTAGTGAATTCATTGAGTGGTGAGATCATTAATGACGATTCTGATATCGAGCTGGATGATTTCTTCTCTGAGGATCAAATCAAATCGTCACTAAATACACCACCAACACCGGATGATGATCTGAGTGATTATGATTTCGGTATTGTTGATTACATGAGCTCTTTACTCGGTTTCAAAGAGGAAAACAAAGATTGCTTTAGCAAACTACAAACAAGAAGTGCAACAAATCGTCAAGTGATGTTGGTTGATGAACTTATAACTCTCACGATGATTCTCAGAAACATATCCTCTAACGACGTAAACAAAGCTACTATGGCTAACAATTCAAGTTTCAAAAAGCTATTATTCAAAGTAATCAAGGCAGTATCACAATATGAAAATAAATTTCTTTTTCATAGGAAGAAGTTATGCTTGTTAAAAGATTGTCTTATTATGTTGGACAACATCAGCTTTACCATTGAATTAAAGAGCTTGGAAGAAGCATTTTTGAGTTTTGCATTAATTTACGGATTTGGACCAAAGCTTGAAGGATTTGATATTCCGGCTGTTTCTTTGAGCACTTATTCCTATTTGCATTATGCAATTGATGTGTTTACAAAGTTGTTGGTTAGGGAACCTCATAATCGGTCATTGATGAGAGCTGTTTTGGATGGAAGTCTTCAAATATCGTCATCAGCATATTCTAACACTATCAACATAACAAAAGAAGACAAAAGGACGACCGAGAGATTGATCAAATCATTTTTGAAGGGAAAGCTGGAATCCCTAATGACTATGGCTTTTCAGATATTTTTATGCATTTTTCCCTTCGAATCAAGCTCGATAGACCTCACAAAGTTTTTTTTCTCTAGAACATCTACGGTGTTACAGTCTCTTCTTGGAGCAAAGCTCTTACTTGATATGATTCCCACTGAAGAACCAGAGTTACTTCTCAAAACCTCCATCAGCTGGCTTCTCGAGAATAAAGATGTTTTGTTGACGAACTTTACCCCCCTTCTTTTAAGTCTTGTGACAGAGACCACCAAGCTCCCAAGTGGCTCTACTGAGGCCCATGTCTTCAGTATGATTGTTGAGAGCGCACTATTGGTAATCAATACTCTACTTAGTCACTCTTTGATTGCTTATCAAGCACTTCCATCACTGTCCCTTGATAGAGAAAAGATAGTTCAAATACTAGACATTTTTCGATTGGGACCTGATGCGAACTTTGTTCTTGAAAGTCACTTGATTGGCTCTGTTAATCGTTCATTGAATAATGAGGTCTTTCGACTTTTCACTATTCTAAACCTGTTTTCTTAGAAGTGATCTTATATAGAATTTTACTAATTTAATGTATTACTATTATGTGGAATCCTGTTCTTGTTCATTTTGGATAAAACTTCTTCGTCATTTGACCCCATGATAGCGGGCAACTAGGATACTGCACTAGGTTGTTTTTGGCGACAATCCAAAGAGGTCAAAATTGTTCTAAGGCTTATCGGTGGACTTAATTTCCCAAAATGGAATTTGGACCCATTTTCGGTTTCAAACCCGTTGATAGCGCAAAGAAGAGACATTAAGGAACATAAAGATAGTTACTATATAATTTGGGGTTCCCCTCTGTTTTTAGCCAGTCATCACGTCTCCATTAGCAAGTTTCTTGTTTTCAATAAAGAAGTTCATTGCTTTATAGCTGCAAATCAATAAAGAAAATAAACGTTTGAATCCAAGATGGCTACTGTTGATGTTGCGGGTGTCCCAAAGCCTCCGCCTGCAAATGACCCTATTGAAAGTACAGTATTAGAGAAACACACACTTCCAGCAAGCTGGTGGACTTCTGAAAAGGTTTTCGAGTTGGAGAAAAGAGCAATTTTCAATAAATCATGGTTGTTCTGTACACATAGTTCCAGGTTTAAAAAACCTGGAGATTACTATTCTTTTACGTGCGTTGGTATTAACTTTTTTATTATCAAGTCCAAGTTTGATGGTGAGTTGAAAGCATTTCACAATGTCTGTCGCCATAGAGCATATCCGGTTGTTAGGAAGGAGCAAGGTTCATCTATTATTTTAGGTTGCAAATACCATGGCTGGAGTTACAATAGCGACGGCAAGTTGACCAAAGCACCTCACTTTGATAAAGTTGAAGGTTTCAATAAGGACGAGAATTCTTTATTTAGCATTAAAACACATACTACTCCACAAGGTCTTGTCTTCGTTAATTTTAGTACGGAAGAAGACGTAATTCCATTTGACGAATGGTTTAACGGAATTCAAGGTGAATTGAACGAGTTTGATTTCTCTGATTATGAGTATCATATGTCTTACGAATTAGATGGCCAGTTCAACTGGAAAACCTTGATGGACGGTTATAATGAATGCTATCATTGTCCAACTGCTCATCCAGGTTTATCCACTGCGTTTAAAATGGAAACTTATAAGGTTGTTCCCAAAACCAGATATTGTCGCCATTATGCAGAAATAATTAAGGAAGATACTGAGCAAAAGGATGAGCCTTCAGCCGAACAAGATTCAACATCTTGGTTTGGTTTTAATAAGGGTAAGAAAGAACCGACAAAAACTTCGAAGCCTTCGAAAGAGAACCCGGGCGGAGAGTTCAACGGATTGTGGGTCTATTTGTTCCCTAATAATGGAATCAACTGCTATTCCCCAGCATGGTACTCCATTAGAGTATTACCTCAATCTGCAAGCCGTACTATCCTTCAATACGATATCTACACCAAAAAGGGTCTTGCGGAAGATAAGAAAAAAGAGTTTGTCGACTTTTTGCAATTAGTCGAACTTGAGGACTTCAACCTCTGTGAAATGACTCAGAAGAACTTAAACCAAGGTATGTACACTACGGGTTACTTGCACCCACAAAAAGAAAGAGGTGTGTTGTACTATCAAGGTTTAGTACGTGATATGGTGAAGGAGCACTTTAAATTGGAACAAGAGAAGGGTGGTCCATTCAATCCAGCTTTTAGTAATCAGATACATGAAGAAAGCACAAAAGAGCTAGACGACATATGTAATCTGCTTGAATGCCTGGGAGGTAGTCCTTCTGAAAAGCTTGATTGGTAGTTTTATTTGAAGCTTAAATAAATGTTTGTAAGTCAAGAGTCATGTTAGTGTAGAATTTGCTCTCATCATAGAACTTCGGCTCATCTGCCGTCTCGTATTTTGAGCTTGGTTCTATGTAATGTTTATTATAGGTGTGTAGGATCTAATTTTCGACCTCGGAATGACTTGAAAAATTGGCCTAGCGGACCATCATGAGAAAGTGGAGTGGCACGGATTATAAATCGATTCTTTTCTTGAAAACCATCGACAGCAGAAGTTTCTAATAAACGAAGTCGGCAAATATAACTAAAGATGTCTTTTGTTGGAGGAGGAGCTGATTGCTCAGCTAATGGAAATGTGATATCGCAGTTTAATAAACATACTCAACAAGATAGATCACTACAAAGGCAGTCGGCAGCACAACCAGGGTTTTCTCAAGTCAACAGGTTTAAAAATGATGCGACCATGTCATCTAATGAGAGAAAACAGATGGAACAATTCATGGGCGCTAATCATGATCAGTCATTCCAGTTTCAACCGATGAGACACGAATTGAACATGATCAATCAAAATCATCTGCCATCAGGCAGCATGCAATATAGCTGGTCTAACGAGTTTCAGACACAATCACCTTCGCCAGTTCTCAAGCAGAAAACACCTGGGATGTCTCAGATACCAACTGGCAATATTGCTGGTAATTCCCAATGGGCGAATGAGTTTCGGCAATCTCCAGTTGAGCAACAAAACTTGCAACAACCACAGTTCCACTCGATTACCGGTGGCATGAGGTATGGGGGAAGCTACCGTCCTATGATGGGAATGTCTACGATGGCTGGATCTTCGCAGAACCATACCACTCGTGAGCCTTTGAATCAGGAGCAGCAAGTTGATTGGGATAATCAATTCAGGCAGATTGAGGAACTAACAAACGAAACAAAGGAAGCTGAGGAGGACATTCAAAAAGCTGATTCTTCTCCTGATTTTGTAGTTGATGACAAATATCAAGCGACATTTCAGGAGGTTTGGGATAGCTTAAATTCTGAAGCGATAGAAAATGATTTCATAAGCCAGCAATATGAGGACTTTAAAAATACAAAGGTTGATCCTTTGCCAGCTGACTTGTCTCAGTGGGAAAGAGATTTCGCTAAGTATGCTCTGACGAGGGCCCATTTTGGTGACTACCGTTTCGAAGAAAAGGAAAGCAATCAATTCTTGGACTTACCGCAGGACCAGGATCCTTACGAGATTGGGTTGCAATTGATGGAAAACGGAGCCAAACTATCAGAAGCTGCTTTAGCTTTTGAAGCCGCAATACAAAAAAATCAGAATCATATCGACGCATGGTTAAAATTGGGAGAAGTTCAGACTCAAAATGAAAAGGAAATAGCAGGTATTTCTGCACTAGAAAAATGCTTAGAGTTACATCCCGAGAATTCTGAAGCTTTAATGACATTGGCTATTTCTTATATTAATGAAGGTTACGATAATGCTGCATTCGCCACTCTAGAAAGATGGATTTCTACTAAATATCCACAAGTTGCCGACAGAGCTCGAGAACAAAATCCAGCCATTGCAGACGAAGATAGGCTTTCGTTAAACAAGAGAGTTACAGAATTATTTATAAGAGCTGCCCAGTTATCTCCAAATCAGGCTAATATGGATCCAGATGTTCAGATGGGACTTGGTGTTCTCTTCTATGCAAATGAAGATTTCGACAAGACTATAGATTGCTTCAAAGCAGCTTTATCTATCAAGCCAGATGATGCCGTTCTATGGAATAGATTAGGTGCATCTTTAGCCAATTCTAATCGGTCGGAAGAGGCTGTTAACGCATACTTCAAAGCCTTGGAGTTAAAGCCGACGTTTGTCAGGGCCAGGTATAATTTGGGTGTCTCTTGCATTAACATAGGGTGCTACAAGGAAGCTGCTGAGCATCTTTTAAGTGGCCTTTCAATGCATCAGGTCGAAAATGTCGATACTTCTGCTTCAAGTACTCTTAATCAAAATCAATCGTCATCTTTGTTGGAAACACTTAAAAGAGCATTTATTGCAATGGACAGAAGGGATCTTTTAGAGCTCGTTAAGCCTGGAATGAGCTTGAATCAGTTCAGAGACGAGTTCACTTTCTAAACTTTTTCCTCTCTCTAATTTTATACTTAAGAATAATGAATATATTGTATTTAGTATACTAAAGTAGTCTTCGCGTCAATCTTCTTATCACCTGATTGATGACTCTGAATTTTTTTAGTAATTTGAAATTTTTCAAATAAGGACAAAGCTCTACTTACTACAGGTTAAAAGAGAGATATAGAGCTCTATTGAGTAGCACATATTGAGAGATGTCATTTCCCTTATTGCCATTAGTGTCTTCTCCTAGCGAAAACGATATTATTAGTGAGGTCTCAGTGGTCGGACAAATTTTACTTCCCTATGACTCAATACAATTATCGAAGCACTTTTTATCACAATTTCCGAACCACCTTAAAATAAACGTTGATGTTTCCAGTAATGAGGTTCTGACGGATGATGTTATTGATGTTTTGAATAGTGGAGTAAATGAGGTTTTCGTTTCAGAGATCCAAGCCGAAGAAGCGATAAGCTCAGGTTTGCCAAGTTCAAGGTTGGTCATTAGGGTCGCTTCTGACGACATAGCTTCTAAAATCATTGATTCCGATGCTTCTATAGTTCTCAAGTCTGGAAATACTAAAGAAGTGGTTCTGCAGCTTGCAAACGGTGGTAATAGGACCGTTTACTACCAGCTCGAATCTCAAGATCAAAATACTGCGAATAATTTGGCTAAGGATGGATTGGTCCTCATAGTGGAAGCAGAAAAATTGACAAAGCTTCCTCATGATTCGAACAAGATTTCAATTTCTAATCTATTTACTTCAACCTTAACGACAGATCGGAACGATGGTTTATTCACAACCCTTGTGACAACCCCTGCTCCTTCTTTCACAGCTTTGGGGATTGTCTATTCTTCTGTTGAATCTATTCAAGCTGCTATAGCAGAAGGTGAAGGTGTATACCAATCGAGGAAGCGTAGAAACGAATTGTGGTATAAGGGTAGAACTAGTGGAGCTACCCAGAAGTTGGTCGCATTGGAAAAAGACTGTGATTCAGATGCTATCAAGTTCATTGTTGAACAACGCCAGGGTTCAGGCTTTTGCCATTTAGATAATCATTTTACCTGTTTCCATGACGGTGGCTTGAAGAAAAAAGATGAAGGATTGGGTACTGGATTGAGCAAACTAGATAATACTTTATCACAGAGGCTTGAAACAGCTCCTGAAGGTTCGTACACCAAGCGCCTCTTTGACGATGGAGATCTTTTGATTGCTAAGTTGAAGGAGGAATTGGATGAATTGATTGAAGCTGGTGAAAAGAAAGATAAAGATGAGGTAGCTTGGGAATCTGCAGATTTGATATATTTTGTGTTGGTTTGGTGTGTCAAGCATGGTGTTAGATTGCAAGACATTGAAAAGAACTTGGATATTAAGAGTATGAAGGTTTCCAGGCGTAAGGGTGATGCTAAGCCGGCCTATATTTCAAAGAAACAAGAGGAACCTATTGTTCAAAGTTATAAAATGGAAACTATAAGAGTGAATGGCAAGTCGACTAACAGTATTCTGGTGCAGAAGGCATTAAAGAGACCATCTCAAAAAACGTCTGAGATAATGAAATTAGTTCTCCCTATTGTCGAAAAAGTTAAGAAGGAGGGTGACAAGGCTCTTTTAGAGTTGACATCAAAGTTTGATGGAGTCAAATTAGATTCTCCAATCTTGGAGGCACCCTTTCCTCCTGAATACATGGATATTTCTGATGATATGAAGTCTGCTATTGATTTGTCCATGAACAATATTGAAACATTCCATAGAGCCCAATTACCCAAAGAAAAGGTAATGACAGTAGAAACGTCTTCTGGAGTAAAGTGCTCTCGTTTCAGCAAACCTATAGAAAATGTTGGTTTGTACGTTCCAGGTGGCACTGCTGTTTTGCCTTCAACTGCTATGATGTTGGGAGTTCCTGCCAAAGTGGCAGGGTGCTCAAACATCATTATAGCCTCTCCCCCTTCAAAAAACGGTCGTCTTACACCAGAGGTTGTCTATGTTGCTCATAAATTAGGTGCCAGATGTATTCTTATGGCCGGTGGTGCCCAGGCAGTAACTGCTATGGCTTATGGTACTGAAAGCGTTCTTAAATGTGACAAGATTCTTGGTCCAGGAAATCAGTTTGTCACTGCAGCTAAAATGCATGTTCAAAATGATACTCAAGCCTTATGTTCTATTGATATGCCTGCGGGTCCATCTGAAGTTTTGGTGATTGCTGATGAATCTGCTGATGCTGACTTTGTAGCGAGTGACTTATTATCGCAAGCAGAACATGGTGTTGATTCCCAAGTGATTTTGATTGGAGTGGGCTTGAGTGAGAAGAAGTTGAGTCAATTCGAAGCTGCAGTTGAGGCACAGGCTAAGGTTCTTCCTAGAAGAGATATTGTTTCGAAATGTTTATCTCATTCCTATATTCTTTTAGTTGATAAGTACGAGGAAGCTTTTGACTTATCTAACGAGTATGCTCCAGAACATTTAATTCTCCAGATAGAAAATGCTTCGTCATATGTCCCAGACTATATTGCCAATGCGGGATCCGTGTTTGTTGGTGGTCTTTCGCCGGAATCTTGTGGTGATTACTCTAGCGGTACCAATCATACTTTACCAACTTACGGGTATGCTCGTCAATACTCAGGTGTCAACACCTCGACCTTTTTGAAATTCATTACATCGCAGGAAGTCAGCGAAGAAGGTCTTAAGAGCATAGGTAAGGCTGTTATGACCTTAGCTGCAGTAGAGGGTCTTGAGGCTCATAGAAACGCAATCCATGTAAGAATGGAGAAACTTGGTCTCCTTTAGGCCGATAAATAATTATCAAATTCTTCGAGATAAATAGAGTATAAACGTAATTGTAATTTTGAGATGTAAATATAAAGAAGTGAAGCACTAATCTTAAATAACTCTGCAACTAGCTCAACTAAATCAATTGCAAGATCCTTATATTCTATTGATGTTTCATTCTGCAGGTGTAATGTAACGCATTATGAACAATTTTTGTATTTTTTGCGTTTTTGTATTAAAATCTAAAAAAATTATGATACATGAAATGTAGTGTTTCAAATAAATAGTATATGTGTTCTTTGAGAAGGAACACACAATAAGTGAAATTCTTCAGGATCCTAAATGAGCTCCATTCATAGAATGAAATAAAGGAATGACATTAAAAATTTTAATTTCGCAGCCAATAATAATTGATCTGGTCCCAGTCCAATAAAACTGAAGCAAGCTTTTGAAAAGATATTTGGGCTTATAGTACTATTGCTCTAATGTGAAGCCATATATATATGTTTAACAGGAGCAAAACTCGTAGACATAAGATTCGAACTTTTCATACATCTTAGCACATGTTATGTGGCCCATAGGAATAATCTGAGATCCCCAAAATCCAGCTATTCCATTCTTTAAGTCCATCCAGTAAAAAATGTTGGGCAAACCACCCCAGCTGAGAGATTCCTCTGGCCTACGTGTCGTCAATTCACAAAAACCGAAGGCATGTCCAGAGAGAGTAAAGCCGTCAGGGGGAATTCCATCTCGCTCAATCGGAAATGAATTCGCATCGTCAGGTAAGAAAAGGCCAGTTGGGAGATGATTTTGCACCATGTATTCTATAGTTTCTTTCTTCAAGATTCTTTCACCAGTGTCTGGAGACAAACCACCCAGCAAAAAGATTCTCATGAACTTCAAGTAATCTTCCGCATTAGAAAAGCAGCCATGACCACCCATATCAATTTCTGGATCTAGATTGATAATCCATTCTCCATGAAGGGATAGTGACCCATCATCCCCGAGGGTATGAGTTTTTATTATGTTGCTTGGGTCTCGAATATGAAATGTGCAGCTCGTCATACCCGCTGGATCGAATATAACCTCCTTTAAATACTCGCCTAAAAATTTTCCAGTTATCTTTTCGATAACTAATCCTAGAAAATCGGTACTATGACCATAGAGCCAATTAGAGCCAGGATCAAACTTCAATGGCATTGTCTCGGGTGTAAACAAAGCCCTTGACGGGAATAGGAAAGCTTCAGTGGCAATATCTACATTGGGCCGGATTTTAGATGCCAATTTAACGTAATCTGCATCCAGCATGCCATATGAAAATCCTGAAGTATGAAGGAGTAAATGCTTAATAGTGATATCTGTGGTACTCTCTTTAGGAATCGTCTTGTACGATCCGTCGTAATTAACCAGTCCCTTCTCAATTACTTTGAAATCAACAATTTCTGGGAGATACTCTTTTACAGGTCTATCAAGATCTACCTTGTTTTCTTCATACAACTTAAACAACCCCATAGAGGTTATTGCTTTAGTACAAGAGAATAGAGCAAATATGTCGTCATCCTTTACAGGTTCCCCAGTCTCAATGTTTCGTACTCCTGCTGATTTGAAATAAACTGTTTCTTTGTTTGTACTTACACCTGCAATGACTGCATTGAGATAAGGTCCGTTTCCATCAGAACTAGTACACTCACTGATATGTTCATCTAGCTTCCTCTTGAGAATACATAGCAGATCGCTCGTGAAAGCCATATCAAAAGAAAGTGCTAATATGATAGAATAAGGCGACTTCAATATAATCTCGTAATAACTTTTCACTTATCACTTTCGATGCTCGGTCCGTAATAGGAAGCTTAGAACACTACCATAGTTAACAGGAAAACGAGACAATATCCAACTTAGGAAAATAAAAGCGGACCATCAAGAAGGGTACAAAGCTTACTGCAAGCGAATAAAAGACCAGTGCAACTAGGTTGCTGGCAATATTGTAAATAAGCATATTTATCTATAAAAGTTGACAATTATTCTTATGGCTAAAAAACTAGTTTCAAGACGTTTGAAAACATTTTTAAAATGAATTGAATATTATAATTTTGACGAACCTTCCTTCAAAGCTTCCTTGGACTCGTTCAAAGCTTCATACACATTGAATTCGAATCTAGCATATTTCATGATAGAATACATATCTGCCGCAGGAAGTATTTGTGATCCCCAAAATCCACCAATCTTATTCTCAATATCAATCCAATAGTAGAGATTACCTAAGCCTGCCCAATAAAGTGCCCCCTTCGGTCTCCCTGTGGGTAACTCGTTCATATTTATAGCATTGCCAGTCAATGTGAAGCCGTCAGGCTCGAAACCTTCTGGCAATTCTGGTACTCCAGGGACATCGAAAGCAACATGGAGACCGGGAGGTAAATGGTTTTGTATTGCAAAGTCTATAGTCTCTTCTTTCAAAATTCTTTTATTGGTGTCCAGAGCTAATCCCTTCAGAAGCCAAATTCTAATGAACTTCAAGTAGTCTTCTACAGTTCCAAAGCAACCTTGCCCACCCATATCAAGTTCGGGATTGAATGATACAGATCGCTTCTTGAGTAAATCTAAGGATTTATCTTTTTTTCTATAATGCAACTTTACAAACTTTTCTGGATCATTGGAATGAAAAGTACAACTTGACATACCTGCCGGATCAAAAATAGCTTCTTTCAAGTATTCTCCCAATTTCTTACCTGTAACGCTTTCGATAACTAATCCAAGCCAATCAAAGCTATGACCATACATCCATTTTGTTCCTGGTTCAAACAATAAAGGCTGCTTTTCCACGGTAAAGAATTCCATATTTGGAACAAGTTCATTGATGTGAGGATTTCTCTTCCTGTTTAAATGATAATAATCTTCGTTCAAAAAAGAGTACGCAAACCCGGCAGTGTGACAAAGCAAATGACGAACCGTTACATTTTTGGCAGGCGCTCTTGGAGGTGACTTGAAAGTTCCATCGATATGGCTTACTTGACCGGGATCAATGACACCAATTTTGGAAATTTCAGGGACGTACATTTTGACAGGGTTGTCAAGATCAATCTTTCCCTCTTCATACAACTTTAAAAGGCCCATGGCTGTCATTGATTTTGTGCAAGAGAAATACGCCAACATATCATCATTCTTAACTTTCTCTCCGGATTCGATACTCTTTACGCCCGAGCAATTAAGGTATAACGTCTGCTTATCATTAGTAACACCTGCTATGATAGCATTGAGTTTTGGAGGCTTGCCATTTTTCGGAGATGTGCATTCTTTGAGGAGATCATTCAATTCCTCTTTTAAAGAGTCCAACAGTTCTTTGGTGAAAGACATTGATTAAGGAGTATTTCTGAAATTCTCAAAACGCTTTCACTATAATGACTCAATAATAGGTTAACTCAAGAGTCTATAAAACATTTCTTATCTCGTGCAGTGTACTTCTAAGATAATTTTGATCTGAAGAAATATCAAGTGAACGTGAAAGATTAAATGTGCGGAGACTAACGAAATCCATTGGAAAAGTAAAGTATATAAAGAAGGAAAAAGCATAAGTTATCGCAACTTGCGGTTTAGTGGTGTAGCGGCTATCACGTTTCGTTTACAAGTGAATTTCACAGTAAGCTCCGAAAAGGTCCCGAGTTCGATCCTCGGCTAGATCAAGTTGACTTTTTTTTTTCTTCTTGATTTATATGTTACTACTCTACTCCATCCACTCTCTTCCTTGAAATCTGTTCAACCTACATATCAGTGTATATACTTAATGGCTGTTTATTACTTTACTTCAGTTCAATGTTCATAAATCATAACCGAGAACCCTTCACAAAGTTAGTACCTTGAGCGATTGAACTTTCTAAACCACCTAAGGCAACTTTAATTAATTTCGATTCCTCGTTGGAGACATTCAACTTCTCTATTGGATTAATAAAAGAAGAGAGCTCACCGTTTTTTAAATGGACAGGAACAGAAAAGAATTGAGCTCCATTTAAATACTTTGAGGAAAATTCAGAGCCACCTGGGATTCCAGGCAAGTAAACATAGGAGGAATCCGGAAGAATAGTAGATTGCGCTGTGTTAAATGAACCCAAAACCCCCTCTGCAAATCTGTATCCGGCATATGCCATAGAAAGAGTAGCAGAGCCTGCTCCATTCTTGGCTTTCACGACTTCGTCTCCACCAAATTGAACTCTGTGAATAAAATCTTTATATTTGCTGCCAGGTAATTTTGAAACCTTGTTAGCAATTTCTGGGGTAAAATTGACTAGAGGAACGATAGTGTCACCAGAATGACCACCAATAACAGAGATCTTACCCTTTAAGGTGCTTGGTTTTTCATCAATTAATTCACCTAAGAATGTTTCTGCTCTAACCGAATCCAAAGTAGTAACTCCAAACAACTTACGTGGATTAAAGACTCCTAATTTTTTTAAAACTTCGGCAGCAATTGGAACCGTTGCATTCACGGGGTTTGAAATAATTAAAATAGCAGCATTCGGACAAGTCCTTCCAATATTTGCGACTAAATCCCTGATAATAGAAGCATTTATGTTGAATAAATCAGCTCTTGTCATACCTGGCTTCCTTGGTACTCCAGCAGGAATGATAACCAATTCTGAGCCTTTCAAAGCAGAAATGATGGCAGAATTATCTTCCTTAGATGCTGGTTGATAACCAGTTACTTTTGCCGGAGAACATATGTGAGATAAGTCGGCAGCTACTCCTTTAGCATTAACGATATCAAATAGTGCTAATTCTGTGACTTGAGAATTTAACTTCAACAAGAGTGATAATGGCTGACCAATACCTCCGGCAGCTCCACAAACAGTAACCTTGACCATTTTAGAATGACAATAAACAGATACAATTAAATCTCTTTAGTTCCAAAATAAAATATAACGGGTAGACTTGAAGGTGTTTAAAATTACTGTGTTCTTGTCACATGTACCTCGGGGGGACGGAGGTGGAGAAAAGAATTGGAAGAGGATTACCGAGAGAAAGTAAAATACTTGGCGACACTCTTGCGGTATTACTGAGACATTTCGCGAAAAGATAGATCAAGCCTTCACTATTTTGAAAAACACGCTCCCTAAAGGCGGGGAATATTGAGGGTAGGGCTCAGTAAATTTTAATAACTTGTAAATTGCTCTAAAGTGCACCTTAGACTTTAAATATGCATGTTACGGAGTTACAGGTTATCCCGTTCAAATGAGCGCACCAAGATGATGATCTTGCTAGATGTAATGTTGTGATCTATAATCATTTGTATTTACAATTAAAATGAAGTTGTCTTGGTTTTTAGGAGCTTTGCTGACCATTAGCAGCTTGGGTTTATGCATCGACTGCTCTGTCAAGGAGCTCAAGCAGTATAACTTTGAGAGTATCAAAGGAATACATTCGATTTCTTTGGTAAGGGATACACCGCCATCGGAAACAAACACCACATGGTACTTCGGCATATGTGACACACTAGACAAGATAACTGCTTGTCCTAAGAATTCTGATGTATGCGGAATAACGACCTTGAAAGTTGACAAGGATCCGAAAAAGATAATCACATCAGAAATCATAGGATTCAATTCAAATCTAGAAAAACTGATCAGTTCCATTAATGGGAAAGATAACGAACAAGGTGTCTCTATATCTTATACTGGATCTAACTGGGGAAATAACTTAGTTGACGCTAACTTAGATTTCTACTGCCCTGAAAAAAACGATAAAGCTACTCATAAATTTGAAATAATAAGTTGGGATGGAAAAAAGTTGCACGCTAAGTTAACTACTAAGGCTGCTTGCATAACCAGTGACAAGGATAAGAAAAAGGGAAAACAACCTGATCAAGAAGATGACAACGGAGAATCCTGGGGATGGTTTACTTGGATATTTATATTTATGGTGTTGTTCTTAAGCATATACATAGTTGGTGGTGCCTGGTTCCAGTATCATAAGGGTAACTCAATTGACTTTCAAAGCGCTTTGAAGGAGGTTTTGGAGAACTTTATTGACCTCTTGAGGGGTTTGCCAAGTTTCATTAGAGAAATTATTGAGAAGTTCACTGGTAATTCTGATAGAGGGGAGTACAGTGCAGTATAAAATTGTATATACTTTCATAGCCCAATTTCTAATTCAATACTGTCGAGAGCGATCTTTAATAGGCTTAATTACTATTACTGTGCTGTTTTTGAACTTTGGTCCATTTGTAAGGGAATATATGACTCTTCGTGCCTGTATATTTCAATTGAAAATTCTATCCTAAACTGATTTGGCATCAGAAGGACGATATATTTCTTAAAATATAACTAATCTAACTGTTAGAATGGCGACAGTCAAAGAAAAGATTCAGGCTTTAAGTCCTGATCAAAGATTCATATCATTTGAGTTTTTTCCACCTAAAACGGATTCAGGATTTCGAAATTTGTTGGCTAGATTGAACAGAATGCTGGCATTAAATCCCTTGTTCATTACAGTAACTTGGGGTGCCGGTGGCTCTACAAGTGAGAAATCTTTGGATTTAGCATCCAGCTGCCAAAAGGATTTAGGAATTACCACTGTTTTGCATTTAACTTGTACGAATACCAATAGAGAGACTATTGACGATGCATTAAAGAAAGCAAAAGAAAGTGGTATTAGAAACATCCTTGCTTTACGAGGCGACCCTCCACGAAACGAAGAATACTGGACACCACAGTGTGAGTTCAATAATGCAGTGGATTTGGTAAAATATATCAAACAGAACTATGGTGACTATTTTTGTATTGGTGTTGCAGGATATCCAGAGGGCCATGTTGATGGGACTGATAACTCAGGTCAAGATCCAATGAAGGACATTCCTTTTTTGTTAGAAAAGGTTAAGGCTGGAGCGTCCTTTATAATCACCCAATTATTTTACGATGTCGAAAAGTTTGCCGAGTATGAAAAACTCCTCGAAACATATCCAGAATTAAAGGATATAGCATTGATCCCTGGTTTAATGCCGATCACTACCTACAATGTATTTACCAGAGCAGCGAAATTGTCTCACGCTTCCATTCCTCCCTCCATTCAAAAAAAGCTTTCTAGTACCAATAAAGATGACGATTTGGTTAAAAGCATAGGTGTTGAAATTTTATCTGATATGATCGATGATATTGATGCAAAAGTTGGGAACTATGTGAAAGGGTACCATTTCTACTGCTTAAATTTAGAAAAAGCTGTTGTTTCTATAATCGAAAGATCGCAAGTGTTAAATTCGGTAACTCACTCACTGAGCAGCTCCTCTGGTAATGAAGAAGCCGTAGGCTCTGATTCAGAAACTGAAATGCAATCACCAGTTACTAAGCAAAGAAGAAGATCATCTGTGGTGAACGAAAATGGTCCTGCGAGCAAGCTGCTGGCTGCTTTTGGTGGCCCCACAGCGTCCAAAAAAAATGTTATAAATAAGCCTCTTCTTGGTAGAAAACAAGTGCTAGTAGACATTAGCACAGGAAGAGGTGCATTAGGCAAAGATGCAACATGGGACGACTTTCCTAACGGTCGTTTTGGTGACTCCAACTCCCCAGCTTATGGTGAAATTGATGGATATGGTCCATCATTAAAGATTAATTCACCTCAAGAGGCAATTGCTAAATGGGGTGAACCTAATCTGATAAAAGATGTTATCAAAGTGTTCATTAATTATCTTTCAGGAAAAATACATTTATTGCCGTGGGTAGATTCAGAATTGTCAGCGGAAACTGCAATAATTCAAGAAGAACTTTTCGAACTAAACAATAAAGGTTGGTTTTCTCTTGCATCTCAGCCCGCAGTCGATGGATGTCCCTCTTCTGATAAGTTTTTTGGATGGGGTCCTCGAAATGGAATTGTTTATCAGAAACCATTCGTTGAACTCTTTGTACCTAAGGATGACTGGAATAATGTCTTGAAGCCAAAATTACAATCTTATTTAAAAGACCGAACTATTACGTATTATCTAGGTGATTCTAAAGGAAAGCTTTCTTCCAACTTACCTTTGGGACCCGATACCCAGAACAGCAAAAATGCTGTTACATGGGGAGTCTTTCCACTGAAAGAAGTATTACTGCCTACAATTATAGATGTGGAGTCGTTTAAGGCTTGGAATGAAGAAGCATTTATTTTGTGGTTAGAGTGGGCTCGCTGCTACAAAAAAGATTCGAAACCTTACGAATTATTATCTTATATTTACAACAACTATTACCTTGTGAGTTTGATACATCACGATTATAAAAAAGAGCATGCTTTATGGGACATCTTGTTGAGCTAGAATCGCTGAGTTAAATCTGCCCAACCTCGTCAGTTAATAGATTAATATACTTTTTAACTAGGTTACTATTCAATGTGTCTATCAATTGCCTATCAGATTCATCTGTGCCCAAGTAATGACATTGGTTTCGTTTAAGTAACAATACACCATTCAGAATCGATGTACCCTTGTCCACAACTAATCTACCACCCAATGGGATATTCAATGGAGTATTAGTCGTGGGTCTTTTCTCTCTTAGAAATGAAAGCACATCATTAAACTCGTACGCGTAACAGTAGTTTCCTGCCTTATCTCTCAACATTAATTTGTAGATGTCCTTAGTAGGTTGAAACAGCGAATCCTCCACTTCATCCATTTTAACCTCTCGCACTAAACGGGTACCACTGCGTGACTTTATGCGATCCACAGAGGCCTTATTAGGATCTTCATAACTTTTCCATTCGTCCAATTGATTAAGCTTTGACTTGGAAATATTGGTGATTTGTATGATATTAAATAAAACCAGATTATCTAAATATGCCATTTTTGTCAGAAGATATTCCTCAGCTTTGAATAGATTAGAATCCTCAGGACCATTGCTTCCCATGGTCTAATATCTTCACATTCAAATAAAAAAAAAATTAATTGATAAACTTCTCGATCAAAATACAAATTAAATGAGATATGATATATGATAGAGATCTACTATTATGTCTTTATTTGTTGATGCAGAGGAAGATACTCATGAGAGCTATCCAATAACGACATCAAATGAGGAGCAGCGACCTCACTCTCCTCAGAATATTCAAAGTAATGATAACGGAGTCTCTAGCGAAGATGAAGAGCCATCAATACCTGTTGTTATCAATGAAGATAGAAATTCTGTTCCAATTTATCTGAGTAAAGAAATAAGCTGCAACTTGCCTTTGAAATTCCAACAGGAGATTGTTAATGACGTGCTTTCGAAGGATGGCCTTTTATTACTTGCTAGAGGGTTAGGTTTGGATACGCTTACTGCTAATTTGTTACATGCATTATATTCTCCCTCAATTGTTTTAGAGAACGGGCCACATAAAAGAGAGAAGAAAAGTTTAATATTTGTTCTTAACACACGAAGCGAAGAGAGACGAAGGTTAGGAGAGGAATTGACTGAGTTGCTGTGGATAGATGGCAAAAGTGATGACAATCCTTTGATTGATCTAACTTCAGAAGTTCAAATTACGTCTTCTAAAAGAACGTCTATATATGCAAAAGGTGGCATTATGGCAGTCACATCAAGAGTGTTAGTGGTTGATTTTTTATCCGGGGCACTTTCAGCTAACGAAATAACTGGCCTACTCATATTGCACGCGGAAAGAATTAAAGAGACGTCAAACGAGTCTTTCATCATAAATCTTTATCGAGATCAAAATGACTGGGGTTTTATTAAGGCAATATCCGAAGATCCTGAGTCTTTCACTGGATTTACTCCATTGGCTTCTAAATTAAGAATTCTCAGATTATCCAATGTCTTTCTTTGGCCAAGATTTCATGTTGAAGTTTCAATGTCTTTAAACTCGAAGGGGAAAAATCTACTGAACAGGGAGAAGCAGAAATCAGAGAAGACAAGATATGTGACAGAGATAAACACTAAGCTATCCTATAAAATGAATAAAATCCAGTCTGCAATTTTATCTTGCATGCAAGCTTGTCTTCAAGAACTAAAGAGGCACAACCCTGAGTCTGCCACGGAGTATTGGGATATGGAGAACGTGCATGATAATAACTTCGTGGTAAGAATCAGAGCAGTACTCGAGCCACAGTGGCATAGATTGACGTACACTACCAAGCAATTAGTGTTTGATTTGAGCACATTGACCGATTTATTGAAATACTTGGTGACATTAGATTCAGTAAGCTTTTATCAAGTAGTGCAAGGCATAATAGACCAAAACATTAAACACGGAGGATCTGGTGCCTTATCAACTAGTGCGATGAGTCCATGGCTTAGTTTGGATGAGTCAAGTACTATAATTTCTTATTCCAGAGAAAGAGCTATGGGTCAGGTAAAGGTACACAAAACAGAAACTAATAATGAAGGAGAAACAAAGGAGATTATTCAAGAAGAATATGTGTTGGAGGAACTACCTAAATGGCACCAATTGGGAGCTCTTCTTGATGATATTATGCATGAAAAGTCACTTAAGGGGCAAAAAGACCTGGGTCCTATTCTTATCATGTGTTCAAGTAGCAGTACTGTTAAGCAATTGAGTAGTTTGATAACTTCCATGTCAGAAGAAATAGATCCAGAAACCCATATGAAAAGATATTCTTTCAAGAGATATATGGTTCATAAGCTCAATTCATATTTAGGATGGAAGAAATTTAGCTCCTTGGCTGCCAAAATTAATTCTGAGTTATCTACCAATGATGGAAAGGATGGTGACGAAGGATCCCAGGAAAAAGGAGAGCAATTAACTGTTTCTAAGACCTTTTCAAGAAATGGGCAACCAGTCAGTAAGAGGAGAAGAACTAGAGGTGCATCAACTTCTGCAAGAGTTTCAAAGTTATACACTGGCTCAAATAGCGCAAGAAATTTTGAAGCGGTGAATGTCGACGAATCAATATTTGAAAATTTGCAAAAAGAAGTGAAGGCCGAAGATGATCAGGGAATCATTTATATTTCTGATGATGAAAGTAATGATAAAGGTTTTCCAGAATCTAATCAAAAGAAAGGATCTGGAGGAGCGGAGACAGAAAAAGAAAGCGTCGACGGAGAAGATGTAGAAATTCTTAGCCACAAATTTGATGATACTCTTCTGTTCACGCACATTGATAAGGATGATCAAATAATTTTGCAGACATTTAATGAGCATAGTAACAATGCTTTGCTTCAGGATTTGTCTCCGTCTTATATCGTCATGTATGAACCTGACTTGGGATTCGTAAGAGCTGTTGAAATATATCAAGCGGTCAACAAAGAAAATCCTGCAAAAACGTATTTCATGTATTATGGGACTTCAGTTGAAGAACAGAAACATTTATTGAGAATAAAAAAAGAGAAAGAGGCATTCACGAGATTGATACGTGAAAAAGCAAATTTAGGGAAGCACTTCGAAACAGCTGAGGATATGGCTAAGTTTAGAGTGAAAAGGAACCACGTCGCCAATACGAGAATAGCTGGGGGGATAGATTTTAGATCGGAGCAAGACCCCTTGAGAGTTATCGTCGATGTAAGAGAATTCACATCTTCTTTACCAGGTTTATTGTACAGAGTTGGCATTGACGTAATACCTTGCATGCTTACGGTGGGCGATTATATTCTTTCTCCTAAAATTTGTATAGAGAGAAAATCTATACCCGATCTTATCTCAAGTTTTAAAAGCGGAAGGTTGTTTCATCAATGTGAACAAATGTTTAGACACTATGAGTTACCAACTCTTCTTATAGAGTTTGACGAAAGCAAATCTTTTTCCCTCGAACCTTTTTCAGACTCCAGATTCCAAAGAGTGAACCCAACCAATCCAGCTCCCAGTCAAATGATGCAACAAAGCATACAGTCCAAAATAATGTCACTTTTGATCTCATATCCTAAACTCAAGATCATATGGTCATCTTCCCCTACTGAAACTGCACAGATTGTCTTGACCTTGAAGGGTAACCAACCCGAACCGAGTATAAATGATGCTCTAGACAAGGGTGTAAACAGGTCCCTTGGAACTGAAGATGGAGGACCTCCAGCCTTCAATGAAGCCCCCATCGATTTTATTCAAACCATTCCTGGAATAAATAATGAAAACTGTTTCTCCATCATAAAGAAAATAAAAAGCATAGAAGAACTTGTCAAGCTTGACAAACCTCAGTTCATTGAAATTCTAGGAGAAGAAAACGGTAGAAAAGCCTTCAATTTTATTAATCATGAAGTGACTTGAAAGCAAAAGGGTATTTTAAGAAATTCACGTGATGTTTGTTTTCCTTAGATCAGGTATCCTTTGATCAAGTATATCAAGATGTAAATAGTGCTTCAAAATAGTATAACTAAATAATAAATAACATATTACATTTATTAGGAGTGCTGTTGGATGTCGAATAATTTTAAGCTATAACGTCGTTATTTCACAGGTTGAAAGAGTGATTAAAGAGTGGTTATAGCTGATGCGTGCGAGAGACTTGAGTGGGATGCAAGATAACCCATTGCTAAAGAGAAAGTATAAGGATTTAGAATTTAAGTACTTATATTTTAAGTTACAGCAACTAATTAATACTAAAGTTAGCTTAAGCTTAAAATATGAGCAATTAAAGACACCTGAGATCCATTCAACGTTAATCAAACCCATTACACTAAGGATCGTTGATATGGCAGATTCGTGCTTATTGCAAAAGAAAGTAGGAAATGGGAGCGACAGTCACTTCATGGTGGAGCAGACACCAAGGTTTGAGCCTCAGTTAGAACCTTGTGATCTGAAGTTATCAATTAATTTAATTTTTATATTATTATTGCTAAGATACGAGTACTTGATTCAGTCGGAGAATAACTTGATTCGGTATGAGCTACTTATAACGAAGGCTAATGTTTGTGAATTATTGTCTATAAGAATGCTTCGTGAGTATAAATCAACGAGTAGAATAGCCTTATTATTTGTTGAACCGATGTCTACTCATGACAAATCGTTTAATACGCTTGAATTAAGCGTATTGACCAAGTCCAAAAAATTCCTATCACAACCAATTATAATCCAAACTTTAGATAAGTTTTACAATGGAGAGCTTTTAATGAAAAAATCTAGAGGGAGCTACTTTGATTCAGAGGAAAGTACTCTTCTAGACACGAATGTTGTTAACTACCACTTTAATAGAGTTTCCATCAATAAGGTGTATACAAGATCAACTATTGTACCCAAATATCAATCATTAGTCATAAACATGAAATTAATTTTCTTCATCTTACTTTACTGTGTTATGATCTTGAATTATAAACATGAATTCAATGATGGAGTTACAATGAAATTTGTTGAAGTTTTATTCTGGTTATTTGGACTAACTTTTAATTTTGAATTTTTAGTAAGAGTGCTTAATATAGAAATGAAGTACTTGAAAAAAATCATATGGCATTACGTGGATTTCGTTCTAATAATCCTTATAGATGCCTCGTTTATATTAAAATCAACGGCGTTGTACTATGATGTTTTCAGTATCATATCAATTGTTTTATTGCCAAGGATATTGTCAATCTTCAATAACTATGAATTTTTTAATATGATAATCCTTAGTGTGAGAAAAATGCTGTGGAAATTATTTGGGTTATTCTGTCTTTTCCTTTCCCTAATTAGTGGTTTTTATTTGAGTTTCATTTCTTTAACACTCCGCTTGACAAGTTATGAAGTTGCGTTCAGTATGCTCAAAGTATTTTTTGGATTCACTCCTGCTGTATGGGATAATTGGGATAATTATGGAAACTTGGGAAGGCTGGTTCAAATGGGATATTTGTTTTTGATTCAATTTATCATAGGAACAATTCTAGCAATTGTTTTGAGCGAAGTCTTTTCCAAGATCAACATTTCTAACAAGGAGGAGTTCAATTATACTAAGACTATTAATTTAATTATTTACTTCAAAGTTTCCAAGTTGAATTACGAGCATTCATTTTATGGAACACCAATTTTGAACAAGGTTTCAAACGTATTCAAGTTTCCAATTATATTAATCATATACTTTTACGAAAAAATTGTGTCCCAAGTTTATTCCAGAAAAATTAATAACGTTCAAGACTTGAAGTTTTTCACTTTCTTGAGCAAGGACGACGACTACTATAATGATAATGACATGATAAATATTGATGATGATTCGGATGCAAGTGTTATTCTTAAGTCTAGAAAGAATTCTCTCTTTCAAAGAATATCTAGTATTTCAGAGAATCCGAAAAGCAATCGAAATAACAATGATTTAGCACCGATTCAGTCTATAAGCACTTTAGGTAACATTAAAAGTGCTTCTACTGATTCTCTCTTTATTGATGAGCTTTTGAGCAAAAAGTATGGAAATAACTTACAACAAAAAAGCAAAGCCGATCACCACACGGCAGGTTTTGAAAGTCGCAGACTCAACTCTAGGTATCTCAAGAAAAGCATCTCATCGTTGAATATAAATAAGCCCAATAAGAAGGTAGCTATTACGAATTGGCAGTTTACAAAAAGGCTCGGCCATTTGGAAGAGCTAATGGAACAATTACTTGTGGCACAAACTACGCTGGAAGCCCTAAGGCGACCTTCAGTAAATTCAGAATATCAAAGTGGATCAGTAGTGGGAAATGGAGATATTTACAACATTGCAGAAGCTTCATTAGATGATATTAATCTGATAAATTCTGATGATGACTCTATTCCACACTCCCAAGATGACACTTTAAACCTAGACTATGGTTCTGATTCTTTCTGAAAGCAATTCTGTTTAATATACAAGCATTATAATAAGCACCCCCTTTAATATCGTACTTTACATTTCTCTTCCTATTCCGAAGAAAAATGCTGTCTCATGTGAAACATTTCCTACTCTGGGTATCATTACCCAAATAGCCAATTTTTTGATACCATCCTATGCAGGACTGAAAAATTTGATACAATAAAAATATCCGATCTCAAACGATTTTTTTTATTGAAGTGAACTACGCTAGTGGAAGCCGAGGAAGAGCTCGTTGAATCCATCATAGGTAAAATAAAGCTATCTACACAATAATATTTATAAAGGGCCAAGGAATAGCAGGTTGCCATATTTAAATACCCCATGTTCATGATAATATGGCTAGCGAAAATGATACACACATTCACATTGGCGGAAGAAAATCACAGTTGGCAATAATACAGTCAGAAATTGTTAAAGGATACATTGAATCCAAGTTTCCTCATCTTAAATGTTCTATTTTGGCTTTGAGCACTTTGGGTGACAAAGCACAAAGCAAACCATTGTATTCATTTGGAGGAAAGGCCCTTTGGACGAAAGAATTGGAAGTCTTGCTCTTAGGAGCAGTTGATGAATTTCCCCAGTTAGATTTGGTGGTTCATTCTTTAAAAGACATGCCTACAAATTTACCGGACGAGTTTGAATTAGGGTGTATTTTAGATCGAAAAGATCCTAGGGATGCGCTAATTATGAAGCAACATTCAAAATATAAAACCTTAGACGACTTGCCAGCAGGCTCAATCGTAGGGACTTCTTCAGTCAGAAGGTCAGCACAACTCATGAAAAACTTTCCTGAGTTGAGGTTTGATTCTGTAAGAGGGAACATACAAACGAGGTTAAGAAAACTTGATGATCCACAATCACCGTTTGAATGTCTTATATTAGCTGCTGCTGGATTGGATAGGGCTGGATTAGGGAATAGAATAAGTTCTTATTTGGATGCGCCTGGAATGTATCATGCTGTTGGCCAGGGTGCTTTGGGTGTTGAGATCACCAAAAATAATCAAAAAATGCTTCTGATCTTAAAAGAACTTGAAGACATGCCTACGACATATTCTTGTCTTGCAGAGAGATCGTTAATGAGATACTTGGAAGGTGGATGTTCCGTTCCGATTGGTGTACACACAAGTTATAACAAAGAGACAAACGTCCTCACATTTAAAGGTATTGTTGTTAGTCCTGACGGAAGAGAAAGCGTTGAAGATGAAATTTCTGATGTCGTAACGAACAAAGAGGCAGCAAATGCACTAGGTATAGAGCTTGGTAAACTTCTTATTGCCAAAGGTGCTAAGAGCATATTAGCGTCTATCAATTTTGAAAAAATTAACCAAGCACCCGTCGTTCCACAAGTCACCATCAATACGGAATAATAACTGTAAATAGAGATTTTAATATATCGATTGTGCAATATTAATAAAATGAAGAAATTTGCGACTCTTAGCCATATAGCTCTTCGCCGTATAGCTCTTGATTATATTTGGCTGTACATACGCGGTTTTCTGCTATGCAGTCTTATCCGGATCCCATCATTAAAATTGCATTACCTCTTCTAAACTCCTGGGAGTCATATCGGATTCTCTATTAACTAATCATGAATAAAGTCGTCAGTAGGAGACACCCTAATTTATTACTGGCGATGGCTGCTAAGCTCTGCTACTGATAACTCGCTCCATAGCCTGGTTGCGAAAAAGGAAGACCGAAGCTCGGAACGAGCTCGTTCCCGTCGTATACGAGATAAAAAAAAAAAACTCTTAAATAGTGCTAAGCGACCTATGTAAAGTGAAAATATAATAACATCAACGTTTTTTAAATTATTGATCTAAGAATACACTGAACTTTAAAGGGATTCTTTGAAGTATCTTGTGATAAACATCGTGGGACACTAAGTTTGTTGGAAGCAAATTTTAGAAGTTGTATATTTGGTGTGGAAGTTTCAATACAAGACAAACTAAATAAAGCACCCAAGGGGGCCGTTCTCCTATTGCAAACCTAAATTATCTGATCAACGTTTGATTTAAATATACAGGTAAATATTTTGATCATTATAACGATATGGATACTGTTTTGGAGATTTTCGATTACTTGTTTCTTGACAGGTTGTATGCTGCAGCATTCCCGAAAGATGGCCAAGTTGCTGCATCCGTTACTCAATTCATGAATGCTCATAAGAGTCCGTTTGATACTTTTTCAACTGTCAATTCTACAATGGTGCTGACAAATTCAGTGCCTTTTCCATTGCAAGCAGCTGCAAAGATGTTTGGCAGTCTTCGTAATAACAACGAAGTTTATGGTAAGGTTCCTGGCTATTTGCCGTATAGTAACTTGGCAGATGCTTCTTTTCTTTCGAGGTCAAATATCGTGAGACAAGCTCTCTCCCTTCTCGTCATTACTACCATCTTTGGCTGGTTATTGTATCTCATAGTTGCCACACTTTCATATATATTTGTTTTCGACAAAAATATCTTCAATCACCCAAGATATTTGAAAAATCAAATGTCTCTTGAAATAGAGAGGGCCATGACAGCAATTCCCATCATGGTCTCATTGACATTACCATTTTTCCTATTGGAATTGAAAGGATACTCGAGACTTTATATGGAAGTGAACGAATCTACAGGTGGATGGAAAGCACTTGTCTTTCAAATTCCAGCATTCATCTTGTTTACTGACTGTGGAATTTACTTCATTCATAGAATTTTACACTGGCCCTCAGTGTACAAAAAGCTTCACAAGCCACATCATAAGTGGATCGTTTGTACACCATTTGCATCTCACGCATTCCATCCAGTTGATGGCTGGGCCCAATCTATTCCATATCACATTTATCCTTTGATATTTCCTTTGCACAAGGTATCATATATACTTTTGTTTACCTTTGTCAATTTCTGGACTGTCATGATCCATGATGGCCAGTATTTGTCCAATGATCCCGTTGTCAATGGTACTGCGTGCCATACCGTACACCATTTGTACTTCAACTATAATTATGGCCAGTTTACCACCTTATGGGATAGACTTGGAGGAAGTTACAGAAGACCAGACGATTCCCTATTCGTGAAGCAGGATGTAGCAGAGGAGAAGAAACTCTGGGAATCACAAACACAAGGAATGGAAGAGATTAGAGGAAAATTAGAGGGTAATGACGATTTCAGAGAATATATATAAGACAATACATGGATGCTGATGCTTTATATTTTTAGGGAATGGACACATTATGATTCCCATAAAATCCCGAAGTATCTGAAATACTGAAATAGACACTAGCACGTTAAAGGTGCCAATATCGACGATATGATTATAACAGTTAATATGTTAATATACTTTATGTTTTATAGATTAAAATAATACCTCGTAATGAAACGGTCTTAACAAGTTATCCAATAGCAATTTAGATCGATCTTGTAAGTGAATACCGGTAGTTTATCTTCTTGAAAATTTCTCGTCCTTCGCTGTTAGCTCTTTATGCCGATACAGAAATTAAATGCAGTATACATCAACATCTTTACTCTCAAGGAGAAGAAGATAAAGCATTAAGAACCGTAGATGAGACTTGGACAAACAAGATATATAACATGAACTATAACCTGGCATATCCCAATAACAGCTTTTATAATTCATCTTCAAACCAACAAAATAATCGGCCCAAAGGTCAAATATCTATGGTACCTCAACCTGCCATGATGGCACTGAATTCGATTTTGACTATTGCACCTTTCAAACATAGAAAGGATTTGATAAGAGAATCCGTTTTATCAAAATATCAAATTGTGGGCTATATAGCTGCCGGTACATATGGAAAAGTTTATAAAGCGAAGTCAAAAGACACGGCGAATAAAAATGGGAAGGTGCCAGAATTGACAAAAGAAAAAGATGAAAATGTTCAACTATTTGCGGTTAAAAAGTTCAAGAATGATAGCACTTCCAGCAGCAAGGCTGCTACACATGATATAAATGGTAATGAATTGATTCACTATACTGGGATTTCTCAATCGGCCATTCGTGAAATGTCTTTATGTCGAGAGTTAAATTACAAGAATGTAATCAAAGTGATGGATATCATTCTTGAAAATAAATCTATATTCATGGTTTTTGAGTTTTGTGAGCATGATTTACTTCAGATTATCCATTATCATTCTCATTCTGATATTAAACCAATACCAGAGCCTACTATCAAGTCATTGACTTGGCAGATTTTAAATGGTGTGACATATTTGCATCAAAATTGGGTCTTCCATCGAGACTTGAAACCAGCAAATATCATGGTTACTTCAAATGGAATAGTCAAAATCGGGGATCTTGGACTAGCCAGAAAATTTAACAACCCATTACAGAGCCTTTATTCTGGAGATAAAGTCGTCGTGACTATTTGGTACAGAGCTCCTGAACTCCTTTTAGGAGGAAGACACTACAGTCCTGCAATTGATTTGTGGGCCGTCGGATGCATATTAGCGGAGCTTCTTTCCCTCAGACCAATCTTTAAAGGAGAAGAAGTGAAAATAGATCTCAACAATAAAAAGTCTGTTCCGTTTCAAAGAAATCAATTTCAAAAAATTGTCGAAGTTTTGGGTACCCCAAACACAAAGGTCTGGCCATCTTTGAATAAGTATCCAGAGTATATGTCATTTCAACAGCGCATAACAAGTAACTATCCCCCGAATTTGGTAAATTGGTATAAATTAATAGGCGGGACCAACAAACAATGTCTAAGCTTATTGAAGGGGTTATTAGAATACGATCCTAGCACCAGGCTCACAGCAGATGATGCATTAGTACACCCCTACTTTTTAAGTGCCCCAAAAGTCACCGAAAATGCATTTGAAGGTCTCGATGTAAAATATCCTAAAAGGAGAATATATACCGACGATAATGATATCATTTCTAATCAATTAAAGAGGCATGGCTTTGATGATAGCAATAATAGAAAGAGACAAAGATAGAAATAATGTTGTATGGTCATATAATAATTAAAATTACAGTTTTAATCAAAAGTCATCTCTGTAGACATATATAGTGCGCAGATCTGAAAGTAAAACACGCCAGTAAATACTCATACAATATATTTGGGATGCCATGGAACGTTATTCAAATAGAGAATGTATATATAGCGGACCAAATTCAGACATATATAAGGCATTAGACGATCAAACAAAGAAAGTAATTGCGCTTAAAATAGTGGATGTTGATTTGAATTTAAAGCCACATAACATTCACCAAGAGATCAGCATATTAAAATGTTTAAATAATGATAATGTTTTACAATACCTAGGGTCGTTTATGAAGCATGATGATATGGTGCTCGTCACCCCTTTTTACAAGTATGATCTCAACAAAATATTGAGTCGCCATCTTAAAAAGTCAATTAAACACAACCTTGACAACCCGCTCGAGAGTCAACGGATTACGAAAAATATATTACCATTGGACGCAATTGATCTGATATTCAGAGGTTTAGTCAGAGCATTGAACTACTTACATAATGAAATAGGAGTGATTCATAGAGATGTTAAACCTGGTAATATTTTCTTCAAAAGAGATGACTTTAACCCTGTTTTGGGCGATTTTGGTATATCATATCCCACGAAAAATCCACCAGAAGATGAGCCTGTGGCAGAGAAATATCTCGATGTGTGCACGGGCATATACAAGCCGCCTGAGTTGTGCTTTGGAATCACTGAATACGGATTTGAGGTCGATGTCTGGTCATTAGCCATACTTTTGACATTGTTATATTCTTCTCTGGGGAAATCATGCATCGAAAATGAAGGCAATGACCTCGTATTGATCAATTCACTTTTCACAAACTTTGGAACGCCTACCTTGGATCCTTCCAGCGCAATGTACTGGCCAGAAATGGACAACGATGCCTATCATTTCAAGAGTTTTGATTTCACGAAAAGGGAGCGACGCCCTATCCAGCAAATATTACCACGGTGCCAGGACTCTAAGATATTATCGCTCTTTGAGAAAATGATAATTTACGAGAGATCTTTTAGAATCACATCGAGTGAATTATACCACGAACTCGAACTATAAAAATTTGCAATGCATTTAATACTTGAGCTAGTCTCTTTTCCACTTCAGATACAGATTGCTAAACATAGCTTACATTAGCATGAGTCATTATAAAAAAAAAAAAGGGCCTGAAGGATCCCAACGTAGTCAAATACATATATTGTCCCTCAGATCTTATCTGCATTCCTATTAAAAGCCTCCTCTATAAATGCTTCTGTCTGTCCACATGCCATCCTATGACATAATCACGGAACCAATAAAACTTCACCGCTCTAAATTGCTTTAAAACCCCTCACAAGTACGTAGCGATGATCAGCGCTTGCCAAAAGGATTATATTCACTGGTCCCTTGTTCTAATAATATGCAGTACATTCTCACAAGTACCGGTTGAGAAACCCCAGGTTTTTAATTGTTAAGCGTGACATCGAGCTCTATGGTATGATATTGGGTAAGTGTTGAAGCTTCCATTTTTTGAATATCCAAAGACAAAGAAAGATGTATTATGTTCTAACAAGACTAAGTAGATATTATTATGTTTTATATGAAAAACCAGGTTAATTTTGCTTTCTTTCTTTTCTATAACTGCCATGTTTTGACATTTTAAGTAGGTCGGAATACGTAGCAGAGCAAAAATATAGCCATCATCTACTCAGGACGAAACGATGGCTTTACAAGTATTAATTGCCCTAAGATAAAGCAAGCGTAGGTTACTATCGTCAACAGGTAGTTAGCTATATATTGGATCTATTCTTTTTTTTTTTGAGCGATTTTGAACCTCTATCCATCTAGATCTCAAGATTAAGGTTAACAGCGGGGTTCACAAGGATCAGTAAAACACCAAATCTCGTGGTAACTGTTAGAAAATTTAAGGCATAAGAAGATAACATCCATTCATTCGAGCCCCTAAGCAGATATTAAAACAAACGATGTCATCAACGCTAATCAGTAAGGGTTTGAGTAAAATAGCGGTCTCTTCGAACGGGTCTGCTTCTCCTTCAGATTACGACTATATCAAGAGTCTTGACTACGATGAGCTTGAAAAAAGCTATAAGATACATAAATACTATCCTCAGTATATTCACAACGGCGGTGTGTCAACTCCTGAAATTAAGGACCTAATCGCAGATAAGCCGATATACGCTAAAGCTAATCTACATGTTGAAAGTCTCAAGAACGGATCTAAGAAAAAAACAATAAACCCAGCCAAGATTCAGACGACAGACAATACAAATGAGAAGTTACCAGCATACTCCAGTTTAAAACAGAGAAAACAAGAAGTGAAGCAGCTCCATAAAGATCAGCGTCAGGAAAGAAAAGCCTTGAGAAAGACACATCGTAAAGAGAGACGAGCAGTTAGAAATGGTCAACCTTTAACCACAAATGAAGGCGCAAATAATGGTATACATGAAGAATACAAGGAAGATAATGAGGGCGAAGATGAATATTACAAATGTGACAAGGATGGAGAATCCACAGATACTTTTGATGATGATGAGGAAGATTTTCTCGTGCTCAAAAATCCATTTGATACTCAGACTCAGTATTCACTCAATAAAAAGAAGCCAAGTAAAGGTGGTGAATCATATAATGGTGTCTTTGCTTGCAATGGTCAATTTTTTGGACGTAGAGTCAGCGGCCAAGTAGAAGACAAGTTCAGGAGAAGTAGTTGTATGAACGGTGCGGGTAAACCCAGTAACTCAGAATATGGACATGAATTATGGGGCCGTCAAAGGAACAGTATCGGGAGCAATAGTACCCAAAACGGAGGAATAGTTGGCCATCATGCATCTAAGGCTTCCAGGGTCCCAACAGCAAATGCTACATACGTCACCAATATCAACGTCCACGATAACGGAAATGCCAACATCAATATTGGCAATGATTCTCTAGGTTCTCTGAATGAGCTGGATCACCAGTTTGACTTCGGAAAGGTCCTGAAGAATAACTCTCTTTCCAGCAGACTATTAAATTTTGTAAGAAAAGAACTGACATCTCCCGAGCTGAAAAAGGACTTTGGTCATCAGTTGCATCCCAGTAAAAGTTTTGATCAAACGAAGAGTAACATGACTAATATGAGAGGTAAAGCTAGTAAGCTAATGAAGCTCAAATTACACGATAAGCACAACAGAAGACTAAGTGATCAAATTCGTACGTATATCTTTCTAACTAACCCTATGCTGCATTACTGTAGCCTACTCACAAACTTTTAGCTACCTCGTAAAACCCAAGTGTATTTTTGCAACTTGATGAGCATGAGGCTCCTTCAGAAGTTAGCGGAGCTAACTAAACTCATCTTTCAAGATATTGAATAACTGTCAGTCTCATTCGATTATGCCCAGTTTGTTTCCTTAGCTTTCAAAGCTGTTTACTAGCCATAGTGTTCTCCTTCCCCAAACGTTTAGTCTCCCCAGAGGGTTGCTCAGTTAAAGTCGTGTGCAGTGATAAATTCATCTCCTCACATTTTTGTTGTTGAAAGTCGATTACGTGACCCTTAAATCAATGAGCGCTAAAATGGGCCAATTATTTTCTCATCTTTGAAAGAAACTATATAGCGGGAAGCTACACTAAGTGATATCGAGACCCATAAGTGGGACAAGGAATACTGAATAGCTAGTGATAAAGTGGGATCAATTGAAGCAAGTTAATTGGTAATCGCGTAGTATTTGATTTGAGCAAGAAAACCTGGAGTACTATAGTTTCTCACGTCAAAAATTAGGAACAAGAGCCAAAAAAAAAACATTAAGCTATAGAAGCTGTAGGAGCATTTGAAATAGAGCAGCAAGCAACACTTTGAAGATACGAGTAGCTGGAGCATTGATTCGGTAGTAGCATACGTGGCATTGGGGTATCAAACATTTTGAATTTTGTTTACTAACAAATATGTCCAAAATAGAATTGGTGACAGAAAATGTTAATAACGGGCATACTGGAGAGATGGAGACAATCCATTATACTCAGTCGCAGATAGTTGGACATGGATCTTTCGGAGTTGTTTTCCAAACTCAATTAGCACCTAGTAATGAGATTGCAGCAATAAAGCGTGTATTACAAGATAAGCGCTTCAAAAACAGGGAGCTACAAATAATGAAATTAGTCCATCACCGTAACATTGTTGACTTGAAGTATTATTTTTACACAAATAATGACAAGAACGAACTCTATCTTAATTTGATTTTAGAGTTTGTTCCCGAAACGTTGTATAAAGCCAGTCACTATTATGTTTCGAAGCGTTTATCAATGCCCCTGTTAGAAGTTAAATTGTACACCTATCAAATGTTGAGAGCTTTGAATTATATTCATTCTCAAGGTATATGTCATAGAGACATTAAACCTCAAAATTTGTTGATAAATCCAGAAACCGGAGAGCTAAAGCTTTGCGATTTTGGGTCAGCGAAAATTTTGAATCCAGCTGAATCAAATGTTTCTTATATTTGTTCAAGGTACTATAGAGCGCCGGAATTGATATTTGGGGCTACTAATTACACCACTAAAATCGACGTTTGGTCTGCTGGCTGTGTCATGGCTGAATTGATTTTGGGTCAACCGTTATTCCCAGGTGAGTCTGGTATTGATCAACTAGTTGAGATAATTAAAATTTTGGGTACACCATCAAAAGATCAGATTAAGAATATGAACCCTAACTATATGGAGCACAAGTTTCCACAGATCAAACCCATACCTTTATCAAAGATCTTCAAAAAGATGTCACATGATTGTATTCAATTCTTGTCGAAAGTGTTACAGTATTCTCCCATCGATAGATTTTCATGTATTGAAGGATTAGTGGATCCTTATTTTGATGAATTAAGGAATCCTGAGACTAAATTGCCTAATTATAGAAAATTATTCAGTCAACAATATCATCAAAATAATAATCATCCAAATAATGCAAATTATCAAATTTATGCGAGTCAGCCGGATTCTAGGGATTTGCCAGAGTTATTTGATTTTGATGAAAGAGAACTTTCCGTAAATCCAGCTTTCAACTCGACCTTGGCTCCTGAATTTGCTAGAGATAGACTTAAATTGGATAATAAGGATTTAGATAGCTTTGTTCCTTTAACACCTGAACAATTACAAGCTGCGCTTGAATAAGTAAAAGAAATGACTGCCAATAAATAAAAATAAGTAGAGACTCAAATAACAGATTCTACATGAATTACGAAATTCACTTGAATAAACAAACCTTATTTACGAATGTCCGAACTATGTATGCTATTGTAATTTAATCTGTGGCCTACAATCTTGGTTTTTTAACCTTCTTCAATTGGGCTCCATCGATTGTTTCTGCTTTCGTATCAACTTTCGTATCAACTTTCGTATCAACTTTCGTGTTGATGGCTTTGCTACTTTTATCTGATCTCTTGAAAATCTTAGTGAAAGGAATTACAAAGTACTTAGCAAAACTTGGCATGAGTCCCAAACTGATCATAATTCGAATGGGGAATAGTGATTTAACAAGAACGTAGGAGTAAGCTCCTTCCATGATAAACTTCGCCCTTTCATGAACATTAAAATTGGAAAAATCAAACGTCTTCATAGATTCATCTATTATTTTGGTTCCTTTTTCAATGGCCCAAGACGGAAGGTCCATAGGTACTGCCCAGTGATATTTATGGAATAGGTACCAGAACCCCACTAATGGCACTATGGCAGTCAATTCATGCAAAATAATGAAAGAAGTAACGTGTGACAATGGTGCATTTATGAATCTTTGAGCATATGGATGCAAGAATTTAGGTATTCTCTTTAAAATGGGATGATCTGGCTCTTTTGATGGTGCTTTAGAAAACAAAAACCTCGTTGAAATATGATAGTTGTGTCTTATGACTGATCTTATTGTGATAGATCTACTATTTGTTCGGATCCCTAACGAGGGAAATCTACTCATCATAGTCGTATAGTACATACTAAGATCTTCAAGTCTCCCTAAAGTACAATATTAGACTTATTACTAACGGTTTCGTAGCTCAATAGCTTTTATCGTATCCTCGTATAATTTTCGAGTTGCAGTATATATATCGACCACAGATTACAAAAACTATCTTTCACATTTTTTTTTTACAACAACGCAAATTAGAAGAAAATGTCAGTTTATATTGTGTCCAGTAGCCGTACCCCAATTGGCTCTTTCCAAGGAGCCTTGAGCTCATTAAGTTATTCTGATCTTGGAGCTCACGCTGTAAAATCAGCGTTAGAAAAAGTACCCAAAATTAAACCCGAGGATGTTGATGAGATCTACTTCGGTGGTGTTTTACAAGCAAACGTTGGACAGGCACCAGCAAGGCAAGTTGCTTTAGGAGCAGGGTTGCACGAATCGATTGTGGCTACAACTGTCAACAAGGTTTGTGCCTCAGGTTTGAAAGCTGTTATCTTGGGCGCTCAAACTATTTTGACTGGTAGTGCGGAGATTGTCGTTGCAGGTGGTGCTGAATCGATGTCAAACGTTCCTTACTACTTACCATCTGCACGTACGGGTGCTAGATATGGAGATGCGACTATGGTTGATGGTCTTCAGAAAGATGGTCTCTTGGATGTTTATGATCAGAAGCTCATGGGCGTTGCTGCTGAAAAATGTGCTAAAGATCATGGATTTACTAAAGAACACCAAGATGAATTTGCTCTTAACTCTTACAGAAAGGCACAAGAGGCTCAAAAGGCTGGAAAATTCGAAAATGAGATTGCTCCAATTACTATAAAAGGTGTAAGAGGTCGCCCTGACGTTATTGTGTCGCACGATGAAGAGCCTAAGAATCTTAATGAAGCTAAATTGCGTTCAGCTAGAACCGTATTTCAGAAGGAAAATGGAACTGTCACCGCTCCAAATGCCTCAAAGCTCAATGATGGAGGTGCTGCTGTTATCTTGGTTTCAGAGGCCAAATTAAAGGAGTTAGGGTTGAAACCTTTGGCCAGAATCAAAGGTTGGGGAGAAGCTGCAAGAAGTCCAATTGATTTCACAATCGCTCCTGCTTTGGCAATCCCTAAAGCTTTGAAACATGCTAAAGTGTCTAAAGACGAAGTTGATTATTTTGAATTAAATGAAGCTTTCTCAGTTGTTGGGTTGGCTAACTCACTTCTCTGTGAACTTCCTCAAGAGAAGGTTAATGCTTACGGTGGTGCCGTTTCTTTGGGTCATCCTTTGGGCTGCTCTGGAGCTAGAATACTTGTTACTTTATTGTCTGTTTTGGCTCAAGAAAATGGTAAAATCGGTGTTGCTGGTATTTGTAATGGTGGAGGAGGTGCCTCATCATTAGTTGTAGAACGGGTTGATACCGATTCGAAGTTGTAAACTAATTTTGGATATCAAATATTTTGTAGTTCAATTTAGCGATGAGTAGAAATAGACCAATTTTGGTGTAGCACTAAGTTTTCGAACTTATATCGATATGGGTGATTTAGATTCATCAATTATATGGCATGATGATGAGGATCCTGATTATAACAAATTACAACCTAAGTTAGTATTCTCATTGTTTTCATTTGAAAGCCTGATTGAGGGTTGTTTGGAATCTCTTCGAAGCTATTTGGATCCATTTGTTAAGCATTATCCATGGTATATCAAAGCACCGGACTTTAGTATAAATAAACACAAAAATTTCGTCTACATCTACGGCGAGCTCTCTTACGGCGACAATATCAATGATGAGTGGCTTTTGACTTATTTGCTTTGGCAGTTTTCAATAATTGAACCGTCAATTTACATTCATCTTAAAGATTTGTTAGATAACGAATTTTTGTTGGTGGAGGCCACAAGTATTCTTGACACTTGGATGCAACCAGACATATGTATAAATAGGCCTTGGATAAGTAAAGGAAGGGTGATTTTCGTTTGTGAGAGTGACCACAACCCTTTGAATTTAGAAACAGTGTTATCTCATTTGAGCCAGTTTCATTATACCGTCAATGAGAAGTTAACAGAATACTTTACAGGATATTTTGAAAGAACAACAAAAAACTATTTCTTGGAGTATATCTATGATTTTACTGTTGAATTAAGAAAGAGGGATCTTGATGCTCTTAACTCAAAGCCATCTCTAATATCAAGTTCAATCAATGCCAGAACTGACAACAACATCTCCTCAACGATAGAAAGCATGCCAGAAAAAATAACGACGAAGCTAGGAGTACCCTTGTTAGCTTTAACAACAGTCAAAGCAAAGGAAATCTCACTTCGTGAGATAGGAATAAATGTATCTTTCGAGTCGCTTCTAAGTAGAATGATAACGAATGGATTAAGTCAAATGAATAAAACTGACTCACAATTATCTTCTGAGTTGATTCTTTCGCGAGATGCGCTACAGAATTATCTTATATCTAAGGGGAAGCTTTCAGAGAAGGTACCTACTGATGCTGATGAATGGAGCCGAGTTTCAAAAATGGACTTTAATTCAAAGGAAGAAGATAATGGAGTCAACGAAGAGTTGATAGCACAATTTGAGGACTTTTTCCAAGATGAAAAAGCCTCATTAGGAGGTGTCCATAACGACGAGGATATTTCAAGTGACGAATCTGTGAAAAGTAAGAAAGACTTCTTGGAAGAATTGGAACGAGACTTGGGCGATGATTTTAAAGATTTTGTAAAATTTTGCGTGGAAGAAGAGAGTAAAAAGGAGAAAAGAAAAGCAACCAAAAGAAAAACATCTCATTTGAAGAGTTATAATGATGACAGTGATTATCTGTCATCCACATCATTGGAATATGAAGATTCTGAAGTTGAAGCTGACCCGCTTTTCAATAAGTTTTTACAGGAGAACAATAATGAGGAAGGATTTATTGATTTTCTCAAAGAGTTACAAACAAAAAAGTCCTTTGGACCTGGATCTATACTCTTAGAACAACGTGTTAAAAATGCAAAGGAAGGGTAATAAGGCATCATGAATTAATTGATATATTTCTTTCACTCAATTGATGAATTGTCCATATCCAGGTTCTAGCTGCATAGTCCATGTTATTTGAGACCAGAGAAGGTGTTGATTCCTTTCCCCCCGTGGCAAAATATTTGCCATTGTCTCGCTCTAGAGTTAAGCTTGGATCAAGACAACATCTTATGGTAGCGTATGCACCTTCTTCATTTGAAACTCCAAAGAAGAAGCCGAAAATTTGAAAGAAGCACCAAAATAGAATGCCAATTATGGGCAATCTCGTCCAGTATGAAAACAAATTGGTATTCATGACGAATCCTGGATGTACTGACATGCATAATAAATTTGGATTTCTCAAAGCTAATAATTTAATGAAATGAATCCCTGCTGTCTTGGATAAGCCATACCTGAACCATGTAAACAATATGTTCGGTCTATAGTCAAACGTAGAATTCATGTTGAAGTATCTGAATATAAATTGATGACCGATAGAGCTCAAGTATATTACTCTCGGAGGTTCTCCGCCAGTTTCGCCAGCCCTCTCTAGCAAAGGTAAAAGTTTTAAAGTAAGTAGAAATGGTGCCACGTAATTTGTTTGCATTTGGACATCGAAGTTGTCTACTGTTAAGCTGTGTGGGACTCCTATTATTCCCGCATTGTTGATCAACATGTGTAACTCCGATTCAAGTTCCTTGAACGTATCAACGGCCCTCAACACCGAAGACAAATTTAACAAATCCACTTCAAGAAACTTTAGGTCTCCTGGAAATCTCTCATTTAGTAATTCACCGTCATATTTCAGTCTGGCTTTCTTGGCTTCTTCTCTCAAGGATTTAATCGATTTTAGTACTCTTGATTTACTTCTTCCGGCAATGTACACTATATATCCATGTAAATATAAATGGAATGCTGTATAATATCCTATCCCACTATTTCCCCCTGTAATTAGCGCCACTCTCCGATCAACTCCTGGATCCAAGTAGGGAAATGAGTCGGGGTTGAATCTCATACTTGTACGCTAATACGATATTCCCTAATTTTCCAATAATCTTGAACAAAGTTAGTCTCAAATTTGACTTATATACCATTCTTACAAGATAATATTTTTCATTATCCATATACAGCTAAATATTAGAGATCAAGAAGTCCGAGGACGTCTTCAAACACTTCCTCGGGCAGTTGATTGGTGGCATTTACAGCTACAGCATCTCCTCCGTTAGCAATAAGCTCCTTATTGCTGGGTATTTCCATAATATCGTACTGTGATTTGACCATATCTGATTTCATGTAGTGACCATGCCTATGTGATACTCTTTTAATAAGCTCCTCATACGAAGTGTAAAGAAATATGAATCGGAATGAGCAAGGGCAAGAGGAGCATTCCTTGATGTACTTTCTGTATGATCTCTTTAACATGGAGCATGAAACCACAGCACAACCAGTGCTATCTTCCGATGCTTTTTTGCTTGCTATCTCACTCAATCGCTTTAACCACCCCCATCTGTCATCATCGGTCAACGGTATGCCTTCAGACATCTTTTCAATGTTTGCTTTGGGATGAAGCGAATCACCCTCTATATAAGGACAATGAAGCTTGAATGCAAGCATGGTGCCTGTAGTGGTTTTTCCAGTTCCAGCAGGTCCGCCAACTACAAAAACTGTCGGCATTGTGTCGTATGGTGATATTGGAGGGAAGAACGTCTGTAATTAGTTTCTTTAAGTTATAAGACTGTTACGGTTTTATTGAACCCATAGAATGTGGAGTGTGGGGGGTAGAGGTCCGAAAACGTGGGGGATCAGATACATTTCTCTATATACATTTAATGCTCTATATCTATCTTTATATACAAAATTAAGAGGGCAGTAAGGACGGTTTCAGTGGTCCCCTAGACCTTAATATCTTTACTGATCCTTTCGAATGCTTCATGATTCTTCTTAAGTTTAGCAATTCCTCACTAATTCTCTTTTCAATTAGGGTTTTTATATCCTGTGCGCTTTCTTTGTCGACAAAAAGGGTTGGCCATCTTTGAGCTAGCCAGAGAAACATAAGCACTAACTTATGATCTTCCTCGAGAGCTTGAAGGACTTCGACTGTTTGGTCGGCGGTGGCAGTAATTTTTGGCCTGTTTTGCAAAATTTGAGAGTGCAAGCAACCAAAATCGAAAATGCTCTTGGTCTCACAATCGGCGATAGTCTGAAAGAATTTGAAGGCAGTTTTGATTACCAGTGGAGGAGCCACCTTAATATTAATTGGCGCCAAACTTAACAGAAGCTGATCTTGAATTGTTGTTTTTCTATATAACTTTTCTTGGAGAAAAAGCTTTAAAATTTCATATCTGACGTCTAGCTCCGTAATGAAAAATTGGTCCATTTTAAAGTCTACAGTCTCTTTCTCAAAATGCTTTAAAATTTTGTAAAATGAAGTATGTTTTGGAAATTTGGTCATGTAATATGTCCAAATTTGGTTGGTTGGCCATAGACATGCCTTCGATAAGTTCAGATTAGGAATCTTCATCATTTCCCGAATGAATTTAAGATCCTTCGACGAAAACGAGGTTACAAAGCCTTCCAGCTCACCGTCAACTTTACTGAAGCGACCGGCCCTTCCGGCAATTTGTTTAATGGATGATGCTGTTAATGGGATAGTTTCACTCCCATTAAATTTTTTGACGGTGTAGAATACAATTCTCAGAATCTTCAAATTTAATCCCATTCCAACTGCATCGGATGCAACTAACACGTCGTACTGACCATTGTTAAAACCATTAGCTTCCTTAGATCGAATTTCGGGAGGTAATGCACCATATATGACACCGACTTTAAGATCAGTATTTCTCTCAATTTCACATTTTAGTTCTAAGATCTTTCTTTTCGAAAATGCAATTACACAATCTCCTTTTCGTAATTTTTTTAAACTACTGACTGGTTTATCCAAAACCGTTAACTTTCCCAATCTTTTATATTTTCTTACTTCTAACTCGTCACCCGTTATTTTTGTCAACTTTTTGATTAAAGGGACAGCACTCTCCTCGCCACAAGCATGAATTTCCTTAGCCAAAACACCCAAAACTGCACTAGTCCACGCCGCGCCTCTTCTGTCGTCGGCGAGCATCTGAATCTCATCTATAATACAGATGTCCATCTTTTTATTCAAGGGAATCATTTCAATAGTTCCTGAGGAAATGTCGCTGATTTTTCCAAACTCGTCTATCGATGGTAAAACTTCTTCACCCGTAACTAAATTGCATTTAATGCCTTGATCATTAAATCTCTCGTATATCTCTCGCGCCAAAAGTCTCAAAGGACCAGCATAATACCCTGACTTTGCTTCCGCTAACTTCTTGAGTGAGTTATAGGTCTTTCCACTATTTGTTGGACCCACATGCATTATTATCTTTCTTTTCATCTTGCGGGCTTCTGGAAACCACTCTGCCGGATTCGAAAAGTCTATAAGAGAAGTCAGAGCTGGTAGTTTATCGATAACTTCATTTATGTACTCCTTGTGCAATAAGTGAGACAATATCATAGTCAAAAACTCATTCTTAGTACTGCAATCATAAAACTCAGGTAAATTGTAAGGAACTTGGTTGTCATTGATCAGACAAATAATGTTCACGATGTTCTCAATCCTTGGGTTTATATAGTCTGAAACATCAAGTTTCTCGAGCTTGAAGTTATTTAGTGATACCTTGAATTGATTATGTAAAGCAGCCTGAAACTTCTTTATCAATTCATCTGGATTTTCAACTCCTTTTATTCTAGCCAAATGACCCTGGAAATCCCCCTTTCGAAGTTTCTGTTGTAGTTCCCATATTGGTGTCTTCACAACCTCACATAGTTGTGAATATGGCTCCTTTTCTTCACCTGAATATGCTATTGGTTTTGCTGTTGGGTCATCTCTAGTCACTGATGAGTTGATATTTCGTACAAATGTTGCAACTTTATTGTTCGAAAGCCTTGGAAACCCATACCTTGTAGGGAATATATGCGCTGTTCCCCGAGTAGCGAGCCTCACTAACCTTCTCAACGACATCGCCTGTCGAACTTAAAGATTATAGGGGAATATTTTCTTTTAGTATGAGAATCACAATTTTTCATAATCGCGAGCATAAGCAGAAGAAGTTTAGACGACTTTTTTCTACTGTAAACACTTCATAAGAAAGGGTCCTAAATATTGAAAACACGTAAATCATCAACGGAGATTGTAAACTTGAGTTCTTTTAATTAGCATAGTGTTAGAGGAAGATTGCCTTTGTGATAGAGGAGGATTGTTTTATATAATAAAATAGGTGACAATTTTGACGATTGCTTTTATGAAAACCAGCATTTAATAGGTGAAAAAGACATTATCCAAACATACAGTCATAGTATGGATAACATAAATAGAATTGACGATAGAAAGTCAAAGGCAAAACTAGCAGAGGATTTTAATGAGTTTTACACTAAGATAACATCTCCAGAAGTATCTCAAATTGGAAACTACCACATTATCAGAGAAATAGGCGAAGGTGCGTTTGGTAAAGCATATTTAGCGGTACATGTACTTTTAAACATCAAGGTAGTGTTAAAATGTGGTCTGATTGATGACCATAATATGATTAGGGAAATATACTATCATAGACAGCTAAAACACAAGAATATAGTTCAATTATACGAAGTCATTAAGACAGAGAACCATTTGTGGATAGCGTTAGAATACTGTGAAGGGGGTGAATTATTCTATTATATTTGCGAGAAGAAATGTATCGAATACAGCGAATGCCAGCGACTTTTCTTCCAGATTGTAATTGGACTTCAAGCAGTTCATTCTTTGAATTTGTGTCATAGGGATTTAAAGCTTGAGAATATATTATTAGCAGATAAGAAGAAATCATTAATTAAATTAACAGACTTTGGATTTGTCAGAGAGTACAAGCGACTGTTCTTATCAACCATATGCGGAACAGCTGTTTATATGGCTCCGGAACTACTCAATGGTGAAAAATATTCGGGCTTTGCAATAGATATTTGGTCACTAGGAGTCATTCTTTTCACAATGCTTTATGGCGAGATGCCGTTTGATGATGATGATGATATACGTACAAAATACAAGATCGTCAAAGAAGAGCCCTATTATCGGGACACTATACCCCAAGAGACAAAAAATTTGTTGAAAAAAATGTTATCGAAGGATTCACGTCTACGTCCGAGCATAAACGATATCCTTAATTCGAGCTTTTTGATTGATTTGAACAATAAGCATACGTCGCGTAATCGCAGGTCTGATACAGAATCAATTATATCAATTAATCAACATTACAGTTCAAACAAGCAAGCATTTCATTCTAGAACCGAAAAAATCGTATTGAAAAAATTAAAAAAACTGTGTATCAATACTAAGAAGCTTCAAAAAGATGTTCTTAATAACGATATGAATCCTCTTACTGCTTATTTCGAGCTTGCACTCACGAGAGAGTTTTCGAAAAAAAAGAAGAGACATTATCAAGAAAAAAAGAGGTATTACGAAGCTAAACAGACGTTGAAAAAATCTAAAGCAAAAGTGAAGAATGCCTTAATATCAGACACTCAACCCATAGAAAGGATAATATCTGGCTTGAGCTTAAGCTCAAATCGAACGAGTATGCATAAGCTGAATGACGCCAAAAAGGGAGATAAGCCTTCGGAGGACGCATATACGGGATTGGGTAAGACTGTATCGTTTTCTACTATGGATAGTAAAGGAAGTCCATCAAATGCCACGACAGGAGCGACAACGGCAGCGACAACAATGAGTGACTCCCTGAAGAAAAAACAGCCAAAGCAAATATTAAACAAGCTACAATTCTGGAAAAGGAACAAAAAGGATGACGATTATTTAACGACGGTAAATGACATGAGATCTAGTGATGACAACTCTAATGAATCAGCTGCCCTTAAATCTGAAAAGCTGGCAGGTAATGAACCCCCGGATCTAAATGATAAAACCTTGTCTGAAAAGTCACCTGAACTTTTACCGAAGCCTGTCAGAACGCGACCCTCTTCCTTGATTTCGCAGCTCAGTCAAGGCAGTCAAATCAGTCAATTCAGTCAAATGTCAACTTTAATGACAGAGTCTGAACTTGAAAATTTGGACGAGACTGACACTATGGATGAAGATTATGACGAAGATATCTACGAGTCGAGCTTGAGTACTTCCCAGGACAGAATACTGCTGCCTGCATTGGCCACAAACGATAGTGTTAAAACAACCAAAGGGAAACCGGCATATCGTAGGTCTGTGTCTTCTGATTATTCATTAAATGGGGCTATTTCTAAGCATCATAAAAGATCTTCAATTTCACAACTTTCAACGACTTCGTCGGAAACGAGCTCTTTTGTGCCTTCTCCAGATCAACAAAATTCGAGTATCACATACGTCGATTCAAACCGTCCCAGCTCCCCAGACTTATCTCGAAGACCAAGAAAGGCGGCATTTCTCACTTTGGATAACCGTCATCCAGCTAGATCTTATTCTCCACCGGTTATTAAAAAGTATAATAGACCTGTTTCTTTTGCAAATCGAAATGATAGTAGGGCATCTTGGAAAGGAGATTCCAAGGACACATTTACGGAGCCTATCAGTAATGGCAAGACTACCCGTCCTCTTGTTATAGATGAGGAAGTGGAAGGTGAATTCTGAGCTCTATTATATCCTATTTGTGAAGGTATATATTTTCGTACCCCTCAAATATGAACTTCTTTAATCAGAACCTTTTATATCGGGAACCGAAAAATTTTTTCTGTAGCGTCAATAGTCATTAATTAGGTAACGTATCTGATATATTATCTTGTAATCAACCGGAAATATGTCTGTTATTGTGGTAGATAATGATTTGAAAGACTCGATTAATGAGTATGGACAGATACTTGACTCTGTCAATGAAAAAGCAGAGTTAGCAGAGAAATTCCAATCTTTTTTTAATGAGAATAACGAACTTACTAAAAGAGAGGAACTAGTAAAGGCAATTCATAATAATTCACAACCTGAAGTTTTAACGAAATTACCAGATAAAGAGTTTGAGCCGGCTTTTAACTTATTGATTTATATCATATTGCAATTAGAGAAATCCTTGGGCACAGCTATCATCGATGATGTAGTGAAGTGTAATCCAGCAGTCCAACCTTCATTAAGAGATAGAAAGTCCGTAAAGACATCATCAATTCTTTCTATTTTGAGCAATGCCTTTAATTTAGTTCCAGAAACATCTCCTATCAGAATATATATATTGAAACAAATTTTAAATCTCGTTGAAAACTCATCGCTCAGTTTTTCATTAATTCAGACATCAATCGGTGACAATATTGTCACTTGGTTGGAGAAGGCCAATGCACCACCGGAAGAGATCAAGTTTTTGTTCTGGAAGTTTATTACTTTAGATGAGGATTTTTCTTTGAAGTCTTTGGAATTAATCAAGACGTTTACTTCACACTATAGATTAATTAACTTGGATCAGTTGATAAGATTCGCTTTATCTTCCGAGATAGTTGACGTTTCATTTTTGGTTAACAATAATGTCGCTAACGCCATAAGAGAGAATAAGGATAATGAACTTGTGGTTATTTTTAACAGTTATATTAAAGGTGAATTAATATCGTCAGTTCCTTCAGATTTGCCTAAAGATCTAATTATCTCAAAATCAAGAATCTTAGCATTAGCAAAGTTCTTTGTTGATAATGAAAATAAGCATGTTTTCAGTTATAAAGATATTCCATTGACCGATTCTCCAGAAGAATTTGAAAAATTAATCATCAATTCAATTAAAGCAGGTATAATCGAAGGAAAGTTAAACCAAGTAGAGCAATCATTTTACTTAACTAGAGTTAGTAGACTCATAATCGCTGGTGAAGATAACAGTAAGGACTGGGATGCTTTAAGGCAAGTCTTGGTAAATTGGAAAAACTCGATCACAAATATTGATAGTATTGTTAACACATCAAGAGAAAATATTGTTAATAACAATAACAACTAAAATGACCCATTATCAATAGATTTATATTATTTCTACGGCTAGTTAATCTATTATTATTAGTCTGTATCTAAATACAATGGAAAGCAACTTAGTGTAATTCATTTTTCATTATCAAGAACTACTAAGAAACCACCAACTAAATGTAAAGAACCACAGACGAATACGTCAATTGCAGAATACTCGCTGGTTAAGCTTTTGATGAAATTAACGCTAGTTTCGATATCATGAAATATATGCTTTCTGGAACTAATATTGTGCTCTAAATCTAACTCATTCCAGGTTTCTGCAAGCCCTTTTTGAACAGTGAGTTTATCGACCATTTCTTTGGAACTATTTACTGATACTAAATCAGGATCATAGTTACCGTCAGACCAAGTGACATTAGTTGAGAAGATTGCATGGTCAAATCTAATATTTGCAATTGCTAAGTTGTTATACAAATTCTTTAATAATGTGGTTGAATTTTCTCTACTTTGTTGATTAAACAAGAGAACCTTTAAGGTATTCCTGTCTTTAATCTCATCTCTGAACCACGTTGAAGAGGCGTTGATCGATTCGATTGTATGGGCTCCATCAATGTACCAGGTGACGTTTTCAAACCCTGGTCTATTTTTAATAATTTGACATCTTCCATCCCACTTAGCATTAGCTAAACCGTCTAAAAACTTATCAGGTAACACCCCTTCAGATGGCAAATCCTTTTCACCCAATTTTTCTAAATGAATAGCAGCTAGCCTGATGGCTAATGCTGCGTTTTGTCTTTGAAATTCTCCAGCAAGACCTAATTTTATACTATGAGGTACAGAATCAGCCGACGTAAACTCTAAATGAGAAACCCCGATTTCCCTGGCCCTCTCCTCTACAATTGCAATGGACTCAGGATATTCCACTTGCTCACTCACTACAGCGGGACAACCAGCTTTAAAGATTCCAGTTTTATTCCAAGTAATGGATTCTATCGTATTCCCCAACATGAAGGTGTGATCAATACCTAAGCTTGATATACCAGTTACGCTTGGTTTTTCAATAATATTTGTCGAATCATATTGCCCACCAACACCTACTTCATAAATTGCAGTATCAACCCCTTCTGACAAGAAAACATGAAAAGATAAGATCGTCAAATATTTAAAATACATTGGTTTCACAATATTACTGGGTTGCAACGTTGGGAATTCCTCTGGCGATGACTCAGTGTTTGATAGCTTGTCCCAAACTTCAAAGAAATATTTTGTGAACTTCAATTCGTTGATGGGGTTACCGTTGATTCGGAGCCTTTCTCGTACTGTCTTCAAGTGCGGTGAAGTAAACAAGCCCACCTTTCCAATGTCATATTGTCTTAATATAGAGTCGGTAAAAGCACAAGTTGATCCCTTCCCTTTAGTACCAGTAATATGAATGATGTTAAGCTTATTGAAGTCACTAGGTTTATAACCAAGTCTTCTGGTATACTCATATACTTCCCGAATTGAAAGCTCATTTTTGTTCAAATCTGGTCCCAACTTACGTATAGCTTCGATAGACGCATAATTGGATTGAAGACTGTTCAATGCTTGTATGGCATCCTTATAAGTTCTAACAGCTTGTGTACGCATCAGACTTCCTTCGTTGTTCTCGTTGAATTGACTCATCAAATAGATACCGCGATTAATTGCCTCTCTTACCACACTCTCAAATGTTCTTGCTTGACTATAAACTTTCTGCGTTCCTTAAGATGTTGATCCTGATCTCAAAAACATCTAAGTCAGGGTTGATATTGAGCTATATGCACAACTATCAAAATAGGAAAAGGGAAACGAAAACAACATTTGCAAATTTATTACTATATACGATAGAGGACCTAAACCTAGAACTTTTGGATATTTCAAGAGCTTGAGGGCATAGTGCTTAGACTAGTTGATAATTCGGTGATTTTTGGCTAAAGAAGAAGGAAAAGTGAAGACGGTAGAGATTGATGGAAGCTAATTAGGAGTGTCGTGTACTCTGGTCAAAACCTTTGATGAGTCAGATAAATTAAACTCACAATGCAAAGCAACATGATTTTTATTTTTTCTTCTTAATCCAGATAATCTACAAGACTTCAGATACAAGAAGTTACAAGGCAAGGATAAATAGTTTATTGAAGTAACTAGAAAGTCATATCGATATTTATATTCATTATTGTACATTATATTTCATAGAAATTCGGTGAACATGTCCTTTTAAGACTTTTACACAGTTTGTGAAGCGGGCATTTTTATGTTTGAGTCTTTTGGATCATATCTAAAGGTTTAAACTGAAGAGAATTAGGGTGTCAGTGTCTGACATTTATAGAATATTTGAAACGTTAATAACTCGTGATTAATACTTCACTTGATCTATCTGGAAGATAGAAGTTCTGTGATTGAGGAAGTACAATCTAACTAGCTGACATGGCAGTTTTCAAGGAGAATACACTTACAGTTCCTTGTATATCATCAAACTGCAGTACTACAACGACTCCATGCACAACCACACCACCATCAGCCAGAAACCCAGGCACAGGTCTGCTTGGTCAAATTTCTGATATTAAAATCTCTTGCAACAAAGGTACAGGCGAGAACGAGAATACCTTACGGGTTCCTGCTGACCTCGATGTACCTAAATTAGTGGCGGATGATGATTTAACGGATATCGATGACATTGAAATTGACACCCATGAAGAAGGATCATCTGCGACGTCTTCTAGTGTCTTCAGTGTCGTTACAAGAAATACAGCCAGTGCTTCTGCGTCATCTGTCTTCAGCGATGAGGAATCATCTAAGGATGCAGTTAAGGATGTTACTCCTTGCACAGAGCAGTTCAAGAGAGAGAGAAATACATTGATGCAACTAATTATTGAATATATAGCTGCTAAAATTAAACAATCTTTGCCTCTGGCAATGTCGGGAAATGCCTCAGCTAATGAATTACCACTTGAGAAATTTTTGTTGATTTTAACAAGCAGGTTGAGACTCACCTTACCTTTGTTTTTCAAAGGAATAATCTACTTATTTCGTTACATGGATCTAGTATACTTGTTGAGATATCTCAATCAATCAAATAACTATGCAAGTTACACCGAAATGGATTTTCCCATTAGGGAGTTAATCGTTGGCTGTTTTAATTTGGCCCTTTCGCAAGAGAAAATCTCTAAAAACTGGATAGCTATCACGGGGCTTCCAATGGAAGAAATTACTTCTGTGGTCCGTGCAATTAGCATGAGATTAAATGGTAAATTCACTATTAAGAATTTTGAGCTAGTAAAACTCAAGCTGGAGGTTTTCCGTCATGTCAAGAAAGTAACTTATGTAGTATAATAAAATTTTATCCGGAACATATATATATATATGTAAGATTTAAAATTATTCAATTGTCTTTTAGGTAGATTACATTTTCGTGTCTCATGTATATTATTAAACTTATGTTTAATGTGATGAACCTTAGAGGTCTACAATAGCGCATTTTTTACAATTTCCCCGTATTGAGTCTGACTCATCTCGATGATGCAGTCCCTATCGTGACACATCAAAATTTTTCATGGTCGGAAAAAATTTTTCATGGTGTATAAAAGGATAACCCTTATAAGAAAGTAAAGAAGCTTGTCTTGAATAAAGTGGAAGACAAAATTCTATCAAAAAGCTAAGATGTCAAATCAAACTAATCCATATGGACCGAATCCATCTGATTTTTTGTCCAATGTTGCTAAATTCGAAGTTATCGAATCAACCTTAAGAGAAGGTGAACAATTCGCCAACGCATTCTTCTCGACTGAGAAAAAGATAGAAATAGCCAAAGCTCTCGATGACTTTGGTGTTGACTACATTGAGTTGACCTCTCCAGTCGCTTCTGATCAATCAAGAAGAGACTGTGAGGCTATTTGCAAATTAGGCTTAAAGGCTAAGATATTAACTCATATAAGGTGTCACATGGACGATGCAAGAGTTGCTGTAGAGACCGGTGTTGATGGAGTTGATGTTGTGATTGGAACCTCCCAATTTTTGAGGCAATATTCCCATGGTAAAGACATGAACTATATTGCTCAATCTGCCATCGAGGTGATCGAATTCGTCAAATCAAAGGGTATTGAAATAAGATTTTCATCAGAGGATTCATTCAGATCTGATATCGTAGATTTATTAAACATTTACAGAACCGTTGATAAGATCGGAGTGAATAGAGTTGGTATTGCTGATACTGTCGGATGCGCAAACCCAAGGCAAGTGTATGAGTTAGTCAAGACATTGAAGTCTGTGGTATCTTGTGATATAGAGTGTCACTTCCACAACGACACTGGTTGTGCTATAGCAAATGCTTATACTGCTTTAGAGGCTGGAGCCAAGTTGATAGATGTTTCCGTTTTAGGTATCGGTGAAAGAAATGGCATTACTCCATTAGGTGCTTTAATGGCGAGAATGATCACTGCCGATAGAGACTACGTCTTGTCTAAATACAAATTGCATAAATTAAGAGATTTGGAAAACTTGGTTGCTGATGCTGTTCAAGTTAACATTCCATTCAACAACCCAATCACCGGATTCTGTGCTTTCACTCACAAGGCCGGTATTCACGCCAAGGCAATATTGGCTAACCCTTCGACATATGAAATTTTAAACCCTTCTGACTTCGGTTTAACTAGGTATATTCATTTTGCCAATAGATTGACTGGATGGAATGCTATTAAATCAAGAGTTGATCAATTGAATTTGAACTTGAATGACGATCAATGTAAGGAGGTTACTGCAAAAATCAAGTTGTTGGGTGATGTTAGACAATTGACCATCGACGACGTGGATTCCATAATCAAAGATTTTCACGCCGATTTATCCACCCCAGCTGTCGGACCAGCTGCCGAGGAAGATAATGTTGAACAACTTCCAAAGAAACAAAGATTAGATTAGGACATTTTCTTCACAATGCACTGTATGATTGGCGATAATTTTCATTGTCTGCTTTATTGATCGATGTGATGACTTATATTATTATTTAAAAGTTTTGACTGGTAGGTAGTATGAATTTACAATACTAGAGTTTTAAATCAAAGAACAGAACACCCATGCATTCTTATCTGTAGATTTCGGTACTTTTCATTCCTCTAAATCAATTTTTTTACCTGTAAAGTATTCGTAAGCCTACGATTTTGCCTTGAGTAATAACTTTTAAAGTTACGTCTTTTGTTCTACTTTATCATCTAAACACAATTAAGTCCTATTTAGTTGTAATGTCCCTTGTAGGTGATTGTTGATAATGGGTGTGAAAGCTTGTTCCATTTCTTGATGTATATGATTCACGTGAAGTTCCGTCTGTCGGACATGGTCTTCGACGAGTCTAAGAAGAGTTAAAAATTGTCCAATTTCCAGCCAATCACTTCATATCGTCAAAGAAAGATAGTCATGGGAAAGAAAGTTGGAGAGAACTCAAAGAAGGCTGCTGGTAACGCTCGAAAGCAAGAGCAGGCAAATAAAAAAAAACAGGCTCAGGACGAAGCACTTGAGCAAGATGAAGCGTCAAAATGGGAGCAAGGTTCGAAGAAAGGAAACAAGAAAAAAGATGATTATGAGTTCAAGAAGGAGGAAGCAGCTAGAAAAAAGGCAGAAAGAGATGCCTTATTACAGGCTGAAGAAGCCTCATTGCCCTCTAAACCTCAAAGTTCCAAACAGAGAGGAGCTGCCAAAGTGGCAGCAAAGAAAACAGGCAAAATTGATGACTTCCTCGATTTCAATAAGGATGTCCCCGAAATGAGTGCCAGTGGACTTGATAGTGCTTTAGACGCATTGGCATTAACTACCAAGGGAGGTGGTGTAGAGAATAAGGATATTGATAAGCACCCTGAAAGAAGAGTAAAGGCCGCATTTGCTGCTTTTGAAGATAGAAGATTGCCTGAAATAAGGAAGGAAAACCCTGGTTTGAGGTTGCAACAAGTGAAGAACTTGGTCTTCAAGGAATTCCAAAAGTCCCCCGAGAACCCAATGAATCGGGAAACTAATGTCAGCTATAATGCTTCACGTGAAGACGTCGAACAAGCCAAAGCTGAAGTTAAAAATAAAAGAGAAAAAAAGTTTACATAACTGGACTACCCAAAGCTTAAACAACATCTCAAATACTACGCTTCGTTGGGCTTGTGGTCTAAATATATTCTTCGTAGCTCCTTAACTAAGTAAGACTTTTCTTCCCTAAGAACCTTTTTATTTTCAATGTACTTTTTTTTTGTAGGGGCTTTAATAAAGACGTTTAAGCGTCGCTAATCTCCCTGGTCAAGCATCCTAAAATAACCGACAAAACTCATTTCGTAGGCATACTAGACTTAAGACTTCTGTTGCTCAACGACCCCCTTCAGTTGAAATTTAAGAGGATTGTCAACAAAAAAAAACAAAAAAAATTCACGCAGTGAAGGCTGCAATATAAAAACTCGATCTCTCCCCGATACGAGAATAGTAACAAAAAAGCTGTCAGAACATAAAAAGAGCTCAAAATATCAAACAAAAGGGCAAATTAATACCAGTATCCCGGATAATAACCAGTAACGTGCCATATTTCTTAAGGTGAGCTTAAACCTTTCATCAAACAATTTATTTGATATTTTTGCTACAAATTTCATACTGTCTCTATGATCTAAACAAACCGCAAATAAGCTAAAGGTGAAAATAAAGAATGTCAAGATTGGATCGATTAGTTGTTTTATTAGAAACGGGATCCACTCCATTCATAAGGAATACAGCGGCTGACCAATTGTCGGATTTGGCTAAAGGACATCCAGAGGACACAATTAATCTTCTTGGACGGATTTATCCATATTTAAAATCAAATAAGTGGGAGACTAGGATAGCGGCTGCGAGAGCCTTTGGTGGTATTGTGAACCACTCTGAAGTATGGGACCCGAATTCAGAAGATACAATCAAGAAAGAAGATTTAAGGGATTCCATTATCAAGAAGGACGAAGAGGTGAAGATCAAAATTGAGCAAGACGAGGAATTGAAAAAGCTTGATGACAGTCATTCTTATTTCCTCAACTTTGACTCATTCGATTTGCATGAAGTATTGAAAAGCTCTACAAAGTTACTAGCAGCGGGAGATGATACTATTGTTGATTACGATGAGAATTCAATGATTGGCAAAATTAAGAAACAAAAACAATTCAAGCCTGAGGAACCTCTGGATGAAGAGACTCCTGAACCTATGAAAGGTGAAACTCCAGATGTGAAGCAGGAACTACCAGTTAACGACATAACGACCACTACTGGACCACCTGAGGTTGCTAGGGCAACTTCAAGTGCAAGATTAAAGGCTATGCAAAAGCGAAGAGCAAAGGTTAGTGCAAGGGCCGGAGCTAATAGAATAGCACCGGTAGATCTTTCTCAAAGCTCTATTTCACGGAAATTAGTTGAAAATGGTAAGGGGAATGATATTAAAGAGGAAGGTCCCCAATACGATATTACATCTCAACAAGGAAATCGTAAATTAGTGGTCGAGACTAAAGCTCCTGAATTAAGTCCTTTGCTCTTACAACATGCCAAGGTCTCTGGTCTCGTATGGGAATTTCAAGGAGTCTTTGAACTTTTATTAAGTGATCTTTTCGATGAGAAATGGGAGATAAGACATGGTTCAGCTTTAGGTTTACGTGAGCTCATGAAGAAGCATGGTAAGGGAGCTGGACGAGTTCGAAATAAATCTAGGGAAGAAAATGATAAGAATAATATGAATACTTTAGAGGATTTGGCCGTTAGGATATGTGCATTATTTGCATTAGATAGATTTGGTGATTACGTATCTGATACTGTCGTTGTTCCTGTTAGAGAATCTGCAGCTCAGACTTTGGCTGCCTTGTTGATTCATCTTGAGGATAATGTCGTGCTCAAGACTTTTGATTGCTTATACAATCTAGTAATGCAAAAAGATGAAGTTGTGAAACAATGGGAGGCAAAGCATGGTGGTATGCTCGGGGTACGATACTTTGTTGGAGTGAGAACTGATATTTTACTTAAAAATCCGGGCCTATTTGATAAAGTTGTTGACATGGTCTTACATGGTCTTAAAGAAAGCGATGACGATGTTCAATCAGTAGCTGCTTTAACCTTATCCCCAATCGTATCTCAGTTTATTGAGACCAAAAATGAATTAATACATACATTATTATCTGTCATATGGGATTGCTTGACGAATCTAAGAGATGACCTTTCCGCTTCTATTGGATCAGTAATGGACTTGTTAGCAAAACTTTGTACACATCAAGAAGTTATTTTGGTAATGCAAAAGGTTGCAGAAGATGATAGAACGAACTCTTTCGAAGAACTCGTCCCGAGATTATATCCTTTCTTGAGGCATTCGATTACTAATGTAAGGAAGTCTGTCCTAAAGACTATATTAGAATTTCTTTATTTGAAGGATAATAAAGAATGGATAAATTCCAAAGCATTGCGACTCATATTTCAAAACTTATTAGTCGAACAAAATAAAGATGTTCTCAATCTTTCTTTGAAAGTATACTTTAAATTGATAGAGGAAATTAATTCAAATAATGATCTGACGAATTTAGACGAAATATTCAATGAACATTTCGAAGCACTTTTATCCTTGTTAATGACCCCCATTGGATTAGCTAGACATAACTATCAAATGAATACTAACCTAATAATGAGGCCCTCAGGTCAAAGTTTAGGTGCAATCAATGATGATAAACGTGGACGTAAGAGAAAGAGCATTTCGGAACCCGATATCCCTCATGACGACTTGAAAATAAACATCGATGCTCCTATATTTAATGGGGATGTTATGCTTGTTGGATACGACACGTTCATTAACAATAGAACTTTTGCATCCATAGCATTTGGAAAAACAATCTCATTTTTGACTGACGATGATCTCTTATCCAATATTTTCAATTTAATTTTAAAGAATTTAAAATCCCTTCATTTTACGGCAAGGCTTTTTAGTTCTATGATTATAGAAGAATATTCGAATTCTTTACGAGAACGAAGTCTACCAATTCCCGAGAGTGCAGTTAATTGCTTTTCAGGAGCATTAATGGAGTTGTTGTTGCAACATGATGAATGTGTATACTATCGTGAATTAGTCCCCATTGTGAAATCTGTAAGAACGACCTGCTTGCAGTTCTTCGAAGTTTTCGTTTCTGAAGGTAAATTGCCTATCAACAAAGTCCCCCAACTTCCCGTTGTTGTAAGGGGAGACTCAGAAGCTGGACCTGGTGCATTTGGGCTTGAAAATGCTAATCAAATTGTAACTGAAACGTATCAAAAGTTAAGTAAGAGTCTAACTTCGGTTTACAGATTATCTGCTCACAGTGCGCTAGAAGATGCTAAACACAGGGTGACAGTGGCAATCGATGAAGCGAAAGCTGCTTTGTTGAGTAGATCTATCAGTGTACTTGCTGGTTTTTCAGCTGCAATTTTGTCACTCGTTGGTATACCAAAGAAATTGAATCCTGTCATAAGATCACTCATGGATAGTATAAAACAAGAAGAGATTGACCTTTTACAAAAGAGAGCTGCAAAATCAATGGTCCACTTGATTCAGGAGTTAAGTAGTGCCGGAAAGCAGGGCGCTTTGGATAAAATTGTCAAGAACTTATGTGCTTTTTTGTGTGTGGATACATCAGAAGTTCCTGAATTCCGTCATAATATCAAATTCAAGGACAACATCTTATCTTTGAGAAAAGAAGAAGCAAAAAGCGATCCATCTGATATAGCAGCACACGAGAAAGCTGTCCATCAGGCTCGTTTAAAGCGTAATGGTGCTGCTAGTGCTTTACTGGAACTATTGAGAGTTTATAAGGGTGATCTCTTCGAAAAGATTCCAAAATTAAAAGATATAATGCTAGAGCCCTTGAAACAATTGAATAATATTGATGAGAATGACGAAGCAAAGGGTCAAAGCGTTATCGATGCTTTGGGAGTCTTGAGGTCATTATTGCCTGAACTTGATGATAGTCATTATCCTACTATTGTTGATCAATTTCCCTTGTTGCATTGGGGTTTTGTTTCCGAATTTTCAGTTTTTAGATATGCGACTGCAAAATGCTTTGCAACTATCTGTTCTGTGATTCCGAGTAAAGGGTTTGTTTATTTGATAAAGTCGGTCCTTCCTTTGTTGAACAATGCAGGTGAAGTTAGGGAGAGACAAGGTGCAATTGAAACAATCTATCATATATGTAGCACAATGGGCTCTGATATTTTGCCATATATTGTGTTCTTGATTGTTCCAGTTTTAGGTCGCATGAGTGATTCGGATCCTGATGTACGAATAATCGCTACTACGACGTTTGCTTCTATCATTAAACTTGTACCCTTGGAAGCAGGTATATCAGACCCGGAAGATATGCCAAAAGAAATATTAGGTGATAGAGATAGAGAAAGAGAATTTATCCAGCAAATGATGGATCCAACAAAAATCAAACCATTTGCATTACCTGTTAGCATCAAAGCAACTTTACGAAAGTATCAACAAGAAGGTGTTAACTGGTTGGCATTCTTAAACAAGTATCACTTGCATGGTATTTTGTGTGACGATATGGGACTTGGCAAGACTCTACAAACGATATGCATCGTTTCATCTGACCATTACATCAGATCTGAGAAGTTCAAGGAAACAAATTCTGTTGAATTTACACGTTTGCCATCATTAGTGATTTGCCCTCCATCTTTAACTGGTCACTGGGAGCAGGAGCTAGATCAGTATGCTCCATTTATGAAAGTTGTCGTTTATGCTGGTGGACCGTCTGCAAGATCATTCCTTCGTCCACAAATAAAAGATGCCGATGTTGTTGTTACATCTTACGATGTATCTAGAAATGACGTTGAAATTCTATCCTCCTATGATTTTAATTATTGCATTTTAGATGAGGGACATATCATTAAGAATGCTGCTTCTAAATTGACTAAATCTGTGAAAAGAATAAAGTCTAAGCATAGGTTAATATTATCAGGAACGCCTATCCAGAACAATGTTCTAGAACTTTGGTCATTGTTTGATTTCTTGATGCCAGGATTTTTAGGAACAGAAAGAGTTTTCCAAGACAAATTCGCAAAACCCATTGCAGCTAGCAGAAATAGTAAGACATCTTCAAAAGAACAGGAAGCAGGGGCCTTGGCACTAGAGTCGTTGCATAAGCAAGTATTGCCTTTTATGCTAAGAAGACTTAAAGAAGATGTCCTCTCAGATTTACCTCCCAAGATTATTCAAGATTACTATTGTCAACTCAGTGACCTTCAATTGCAGCTTTACAAGGATTTCGCTAACAAGCAAAAGTCAACTGTTCTGGAAGAAGTGAAGAACAGTGAAGGTAAGAAACATGTTTTCCAGGCCTTGCAATATATGAGAAAGTTGTGTAATCATCCTGCTTTAGTCGTTTCTCCTAACCATCCAGGTTTTGCCAAAGTATCTAAATTTTTGCAATCTAGAAACTTAGGATTGAAGGATATTGAGAATGCCCCGAAATTGCAATCCTTGAGAACACTTTTATTGGAATGTGGGATCGGAGTCGATGACAGTGATTACTCATCCAAAAGGAAGCAATCTTTTTCTCCCGAAAGCGTCATTTCGGATCATAGAGCATTGATATTTTGTCAGTTGAAAGATATGTTGGACATCGTTGAAAATGATTTGTTGAAGAGATATTTACCTTCAGTAACCTATATGCGTTTGGATGGAAGTACTGATCCTCGTGAAAGGCAGAACATTGTCAGGAAGTTTAACGAGGATCCATCAATTGATGTTTTGTTACTAACAACTAAAGTTGGTGGTCTCGGACTTAACTTGACGGGCGCAGATACAGTCATTTTCGTTGAACATGACTGGAATCCTATGAATGATTTGCAGGCAATGGACCGTGCTCATAGATTAGGGCAGAAAAAAGTTGTTAATGTTTATAGATTAATCACGAAAGATACTTTGGAAGAAAAGATTATGGGTTTGCAAAAGTTCAAGATGAATATTGCTTCTACAATCGTCAATCAACAAAATGCTGGTTTATCTTCTATGGACACTAATCAACTTTTGGATTTATTTGATGTGAATGATACAGCTACAGCTGCCACTAATACAACCAAAGAAGAAGAGAAGGAGAACCAGCCCAACAATAATCAAGTTCCAGGCGACGTCACCGGAGGTCTAACTGGTAAGGCTGCCGGTGCTGTTGGTGAATTGGCTGATTTATGGGATGAATCACAGTATGAGGATGAATATAATCTTGATGCTTTCATCAAAACACTTAAATGAAGCAATCATGTATAACGTTGACATGTATATATTTATTGTACTAAAAGTTCTATATGACAGATATAAGCGCACATTCTCTTAGAATTTTTTTTTTTTTTTAAAGCAAAAGTTTAATGAGCTTTTATTAGACCCAAGTTCATGAAACTTTAGCACAAATAGCCTTTTATTGAGTCTGAAGGTGATCCTTAACTGATTTTTCACCTAAAATGAAGAAAGACGGTGTTTTAGACTTGGGAAAAGAAGCGGAAGAATCATTTCCTTATTTGGCATCCGATGAGAAGTCTGCAACTGCAAGAAATGCTGAAAAGCTAGTATACACGGGTGAATCAAAGCCCCAGACTAAGAAATGGGTGCATTTCGTAGCAGGAGGCTTTGGTGGGATGGTCGGTGCCATTGTCACCTGCCCTTTAGATGTTGTCAAGACTAGATTACAATCTGACGTTTATCATTCTATGTATAACAAAACTCCAAAGTCATCGAATTATGTCATTAAAGCACTTCAGCATTTCAAAGAAACAGGGACAGTTATAAGAAACCTTTACGTCAACGAAGGTACGAGGGCCCTTTTTAGAGGTTTAGGCCCAAATTTAGTTGGTGTCATTCCTGCAAGATCGATTAATTTTTTTACTTACGGCGCAACCAAGGAATTTGTATCCAACAACTTCAATCATGGTCATGAGGCAACATGGATTCATTTAGTGTCAGGTATCAGTGCCGGATTTGTTACTTCCACCGCTACTAATCCTATTTGGTTAATCAAGACGAGATTACAGTTGGATAAATCAAAGGGAAGACACTATAGAAGTTCCTGGGATTGTTTAAAACATATAGTAAAAGCAGAGGGTATATTGGGATTATACAAGGGTCTCAGTGCATCATATTTAGGAGGAGTAGAGTCTACATTACAATGGGTCTTGTATGAGCAAATGAAATCCTTTATTAATAGAAGGTCTTTAGAGACATTTGGAGCTGATTCTACAAGGAAGAAGACCACAAAAGACCATGTATTCGAGTGGTCTGCCCGCTCAGGTGCAGCAGGTGCAGCCAAATTCATTGCTTCTTTAATTACTTATCCGCATGAGGTTGTTAGAACAAGGTTGAGACAAGCACCTTTAGAATCAACTGGTAAACCAAAATATACTGGACTTATTCAATGCTTCAAACTTGTGATCAAAGAAGAGGGCCTCGCAAGCATGTACGGTGGTTTAACACCTCATCTTTTAAGAACCGTACCTAACTCAATAATAATGTTTGGTACGTGGGAAATCGTTGTTAGATTATTGTCTTAAACTTACCATCTTCATTATCATGTAAATAATCATCACCTCATGCAAAAGTTGTTGCTCATATTTTGTACATATGTACTATATTCATGTCTATAGCTGTCAATCATTAAATTATTTCAACCGACCTTTCTTTTCTTGTTTTGTACGCCAGGAGCATTACTAGGAGTCTGTTTCTTTGAAACCTTTATGGTATCCTCGTAAGTAGGTTTTTCAGTATTTTGGACCATCTTATAAAACTTAGGTGGATCTCCTTCGGGAAGGACGACTCCTAGCTCATCGATTAGCGGATCTATTTTATAACCTTCTTTTACCTTCAAAGGCTTTGTTAGATTGGGCAATGGTCTAAGCAAATCTGATAAGTGATTGGGTACTTTTCCTAAAGGATTTAATTCAGGATTAAAATATATCGATTGTCTTCCCCAGAGCTTTCTCTTTTCCTGTAACGATTTCTTCTCTTCTTGTTCAACTTTCTTTAAGAATGGCTCCACGATCTCTTTATGCATATTATGTTCAATAATAAACTCCCAATCAGATTTCAAATTCTTAAGGTATTTCTTTTGAGCTTCTGAGTCATCTCCATTAGCTTCTAATCTTTGAATTTGTCTGTATAGCCGTACTGGGTCTACCTTTGATAATTTGTCATTCTTGAATTGAAATTTCTGTCTCTCTTGGACCTTTTGCTGTCGCCTCTTCTCGTTCTTTCTAACATCATCAGCCAAGCTCCAATTTCGCCTGATCATGTTATATTATATTATCGTGATATAGAAACTAAAGAAATTCTTCAATATCTCGAATAAAAATATAAATGTAAAATTTGTATATTTATATAATCATTTACTAGACTTCGTCACAACTAGATATGAATCGAGCAGGCTCATCAAATCATGCGCAGAATACGAATATAGACTCATCCCAGGTCCCAGTGGAAGTTTTGGAATCGCTCAGAAATAAGTTGAATCAAGTCCATTTGTCGTTGAGAAAATTATCTGATCAGGTCAATCATAGTAGATACAACAACAAAAACAGCTTGCCAAATCATGTTCCGTTTCAAGTTTTAATCACCCAATTGCATTCCATCAGTTCAATCCTAGATAATACAGGAGAAGTGCTAAAAAGAACTAATGTCTATCCGTTACCGTCGTTTCCTACAACTCAACAGGAAGGACTCGTCACTACATTGTTGAGAAAAAAACTACTTCCGGAAGTGGAAGATTGGTTAGATAGAGCCATTGAGGAAAGCGAAAAGGGAGGTGTAAGCATACAAAAAGACGATGAGTTCTCTCAGTGGTGTGCTTCGACAGTTCAGGAACTTAGAGATGAATTTCAATTTTATGGATTCCACACTGCTGAAGAATTGGATTATTTAGAGACAGAAGAAGGAAAGAAAGAAACGCATGAAGCTAATGAGAAAGAAAGACAGAGGGAGGAACTAGAATCTAGTATTACGGGGAATAAGCGACCACTTCATCCTAATCAAGTCTTGAAATTCATGTATCGAGGCGTTTTAAAGTAATATATATATGTACATATATTTATCCCTTTCATTAGTCAGTTTAAGCTGACTTATTGCTCTGGCACAGCTTCGTAATAATAGGCACCATAAAAGTATAGTATTGCAAAGATAAAAAATGCTATGGCTCCCCCGAATGTAACATTTCTCATGGAAATTTTCTTTGCTAACAACTTACCACCAATACAAGCAGCTGCAGAACATATCGTATGCCCAACAACAGCTCCGAAGATGACAAACCAGTAGTCAGATCCAGCTGCCATCGCTATCGTAGCAATTTGAGATCTGTCGCCCCACTCACCCAAAAATGTCATTACAAATACTTGAATCCAGATAGGAGAAAAAATGAACGATGCTAGGTTAGTTAACTGTTCGCCTAAAGTATTATACCATGGCTTCGAAACTTTGGGAGTAAAAGCACTGCCAGTCTCTTGATCTTCTAAGTTCGTATTTAAATTAGCACATGCAATTTCTTCCTCCACTTCAGCCAATTCATCTTCGACTCCTGTTCCTTTAGGCATCCCCAATCCCTCAACACATAATTTAACTCCAAATATAACGAATAATATCGAGGCCAAGAATTGAGTGAGTCTCTGTGATATCAAACTTGGCAACGTATGTCCAACTATGCCTGATAAAATTGTCATGACACCTAATGATGCCACCGCAGAAGAAAATACAACCCATCTTGAGTTTCTCATAGCCATTAATGCAGCGATCAAGAATGTTTTGTCGCCAATCTCTGACACTAAAATCATAGATATGGACATTAAAAAAGAGTTGTAGTTTGAAGGTCCTTCTTCATTTGTTTCGGTGACTTTTTGAGGCTCCGACGGCTTACTCAAGGGGGAAGAACTACCATCTAAATCATCAATTGGGTTTACATCTATCTTCTTGTCTTCTGGTGTCAGTTCCCCTTTTGGGTCCATTAAGTCCTTCGCGAGTGCATCTTCCGATTGCTCCACTTCTGATTGAACGAAAGCACTTGCAAAGGCAAAAAAGACACCAATAGAGATAACCTTATTCAACTTCATCCTTATATAGTGTCTTTATATCTCACAAGAACCAGAAATAGAGTTTTTCAAAAAAAAAGTTGGTCCTTGTCGATTATGGAGCCGTTTTACAGAAAAAAGTTCGGAAAAATATTGATGGGGGTCAGCTGTACTCCGAACTAGATATTAAGAAGATCCTTAAGACTATAGAAATGCAATCTTACATGTACAGATCAAGCAAAGTTGTTTATCAAGTTATATAGTTAAGAAATGCAAGAGACATGATATTTTATTATGAAGTCAGGAACATTATTGCCAATTTAAAATAGCTTACTCTAGAGTCCGGTCGACAAAAAAAATAATTCCAAAGGATCAGATTAATGATGCGGGGCAGGCATCGGGTTATCGATAACTTTACCATCTTTAATCCTACCGCTATCAGTCCAGCCTCCCAAGCCTACTGGTTGCTTGCTTTGGTACTCATTCATTCTCTCAACCATGAGTGGTCTGAATGATTTGATAAGGCCTTGCACAGGCCAAGCAGCTGCATCACCAAGTGCACAAATAGTGTGGGCTTCGATTTCTTTAGTTAATTCGAAGATCATGTCGATTTCTCTTTCGGTTGCTTGACCCTTGACAAATCTTTCCATCATCTTCGCCAACCAAGTAGTACCTTCACGACATGGTGTACATTGTCCACAAGATTCATGCTTGTAGAATGCAGAGAATCTTTGAATGGCCCTGATCATATCAGTTGATTTATCCATGACAATCACAGCAGCGGTACCCAAACCAGACCCAACGTCTCTCAAAGCATCGTAGTCCATAAGGATGTTGTCACAAGTGCTCTTAGGTAAAACCGGGACAGAAGAACCCCCAGGGATAATACCTAACAAGTTATCCCAGCCGCCCCTGACACCACCACAGTGCTTTTCGATTAATTCTCTCAAAGGTATCGACATCTCTTCTTCGACCGAACATGGCTCGTTCACATGACCCGAAATACAAAACAACTTAGTTCCCGAGTTTCTCTCGCGACCAAAGGAATTGAACCAGTCACCGCCTCTCCTCATGATAGTTGGCGCAACTGCAACAGTTTCGACATTTGTTACAGTCGATGGCCTACCAAATAACCCAACACCTGCTGGGAATGGTGGCTTTAATCTTGGCTTTCCCGCCTTTCCTTCCAAAGACTCGATCAAAGCTGTTTCTTCACCACAAATGTAGGCACCCATTCCACGGTGTATATAGACATCAAAGTCGTAGCCTGAGCCACATGCATTTTTACCAAGTAACCCAGCTTTATAGGCTTCATTGATAGCCCCTTGTAAGATCACGGCCTCGTTATAAAACTCACCTCTTACATAGATGTATGCTGCAGTGGCATTCATGGCTCTTCCTACCACCAAACAACCTTCAACCAACTTGTGGGGGTCTTTTCTCATAATTTCTCTATCTTTACATGTACCAGGCTCTCCTTCATCAGCGTTAACAACTAAGTATCTTGGACCATTATTCTTTTCCCAATTTGGAGGATTCATGAAAGACCACTTAAGGCCGGAAGGGAATCCAGCACCACCTCTTCCTCTCAAACCAGATTTCTTAGCCTCATCAATGATCCATTTGTCTCCCTTCAAGAGTATCTCCTTAGTTTTATGCCAATCCCCCATTTTCTGAGCTGATTTCAAGTCATGGCCATATGTATCATAAAGATTTTGAAAGATACGATCCTGATCCTTCAAGCCCCCATGAACTCTATTAGCATTCGCAGCTGGGTCAGCGCTGGTAGCCAATCCTCGCTGTAATGTCCGTTTCTGTAACCTCAAACTACGAAGCATCTTCGAATCTACGTATTTCGATCGGTGATACAATCTTTCAAGAAGCTTGTTAGTTTTATTTTCAAGGTCGTTTTTGTGATGTCTTTTGGTAATTGCATTTCAAGTCCTGTAATTGGGCATTTTTTGACTTTCCTAATTTGGCATTGCACGAAATCATAGTTAGCAGCCAAGGATGGTTCCAGGAGCATATCCTTATAGTACTCTTCACCAAGAGGTGAGCTAAACACCATATGTCATGTCCACATCACCATCACAGAACTTTTCCTTTTAGATAGCTTTTGATGGTGTGGGAGTATATAACTATAGTGTCTAATAGCAGCTACATATAGAGTATGTAGTCTACTATAGAACATGCAGTTGATTTTACACTCTTGTTTCAGTGGACTTAGAATCTGCTCCGGCTACTCGATCTTAAAATCTAAGAGTAATAATTGGCATAATGGTTCTCTTATTTTATGATTTTTCGCTAAATTGACCATAATCTGCAACAAAAGCAAACGAGTAAGGGTGCAAGGTAAGCTCAATGTTAGCTTCATAATTTCACCCTTTCATTGTTTCAGGGTGTCGAATTACTAGTAAGAGCAAAGAAACAGTAACAGATTAACAAAACGCAATAAATTAACTTTCTATGGACTTCAGCATCTTTGCATAGAGAACACTTCTTATGGTTTAGAATAAGTATAAGGACCTGCGCTCGCTTTGATATGAATCTCTTCAAACAGGAATGCATATCTATTGGTATGGTGGCAGTTAAATTGGGCTATAAATAGAAATGCTTCAAAATACTTTAAAATGCTCTAGCGTCAGACAAAAAGCATACTTGCGCCACAGACTATAGTTTCAACGACTTTGCTCTCAAATTAACTCACTGCAACAACAAACAATATGAACTAACTAGAGCATCATAGGTACCCTCTATACTTCTCGAGGTTTCAGGAGCTAAGAGACTCACAATTCAAATTGGTTATCCCATTTAGATCTTGATACCAATTTCGCATTAATATGAGATCAATTTTCAAGTAGAAGGCTTGAACAAATTTATTAATCACTGTCATGATTAATAAATTTGTCTTATTTCCTGTCTTATTAGCATCTATAGCCCTTTACTACTATGTCATATTATATCAAGATGCAGATTATAATGAATGGCCATCTATAGGGTTCGGGAATTTGATATCAAAAAACGAAAACCTGTCTTTACCAAAATGGAGCTCTCACTTGAAGAGACATTCACCAAAGCTTGCATCAAATAGTTACATGGACTACAGTTTTCCATTCAAAAATAGAACTCAGATAGGGGCCGAAAATGCAACGATAGTTATGCTTGTTCGAAACTCTGAATTGAAAGGTGCCCTTGAATCAATAAGATCATTGGAGGATAGATTCAATAAGGACTATAGATATCCTTGGGTTTTTCTCAACGAAGTTCCATTTGAAGAGGAATTTATAGAACAGACCTCTTTAATGGTCAGTGGAGAAACATATTATGAGTTAGTCCCAGAGGAGGATTGGGAACCGCCATCTTTTATCGACGAACGCAAACTTCAAGAGGGCCTCAAGAAAGCGTCTGATGATGGTATTGTTTATGGTGGGCTGAGATCATATCGAAACATGTGCCATTTCAACTCTGGTTACTTTTATAAACAGAAAAGACTTCTCAACTATGAGTGGTATTTTAGGGTCGAACCTGATGTTCAATATATGTGTGATTTCCAATACGATCCCTTTACTCTTCTCCGGAGTAACGATAAGTTATATGGTTTCGTTATTGCTATTCATGAATATGGAAATACAATACCAACATTGTGGGATACGGTTGAAGACTTTATGGTCAAATATCCTGAATTCCTACACCCTAACAATGCAATCAAGTTTATCACATCTAATGAAACTACCATTACATACGGATTCGACTTTGGAACTCTATCTCCGAACTATAATCTTTGCCATTTTTGGTCTAATTTTGAGGTAGGAAACTTAAACTTTTTCAGAAGTAAAGCTTACAATACATTTTTTGACCACTTAGACAAAGCGGGTGGATTTTATTACGAAAGATGGGGCGACGCCCCAGTACATACAATTGCACTCAGTCTTTTGATTGATAAAAACAAAATTCACCATTTCGAAGACATTGGGTACTATCATCCTCCCCATATGTGTTGTCCAGCCTCACTTGATGTAATCGCTGCGAAAAGATGTGTTTGTAAAGCATATGGTCCAGACGGTAAAATTCTTGACGAACCCGTGGATGAAACTCCTTTCAGCTGTCTCTCTCGCTGGTGGAGGTATGGTTCGGGCAAAAACTTTCTCAATGAAATAGATTTGACTTATAATTAGCTAGCATATATTCATAATAGAACTATTGCACTTTCACTTATATTTATGTATTGGTGTTGGGATCTAGTAATTTTTTCTAATATCGCATTGATAGCTCATCTCAAAATTTTCAATAGTATGAGTTTTCAAAAGAACGATTGAAATTATTCTGCTAAATGGGTGATCGAAGAAAGGAAAAGGATCAAAAATTGGGTGGAATGTCAAAAGGATCAGCCGTCGCATCAGAGACATCTGGTTCCCTTAAAGCCAAAGGGGGTGAGAAAAAACTGAAAAAGATGAACAAAGTAAACCCAAGGGACAAGGATAATGAATATCTGAGCGAGACATTGTCCAAAAAAGAGCAGAGAAAACTCAAGAAATTACAAAAGAAGCCTGATGTGAATTTGAAGGTCGATTCAGAAGATGAATCGGATGAAGAGCAGGGTCCTGATTTGGAGAAGCTTGCTGCTAGTGATAATGAAAGCGATCTTGAAAGCGATTCAGATTCGGAAGAAGAGTCCGACTCAGATGATCAAGACGAAGAATTAGAAGAAGAGGAGGAAGAGGACGATGTTCCACTTTCTGATGTAGAAATAGATTCTGATGCAGATATCGTGCCCCATACGAAATTGACCATTGATAATAAAGCTGCATTGAGAGAATCCTTGGCTAGGATTGAATTGCCATGGTCAAAGCACTCATTTCAAGAGCACCAGTCTGTTGTCAGCTCTGAGAAAACAGAGTCCCAAATCAAAGACATTTACGACGATACTGAGAGAGAACTCGCATTTTATAAACAGGGACTTGATGCCGTCACCCAAGCTAGAATTTCTCTTTTGAAGCTCAAAGTCCCTTTATCACGGCCGTTAGACTATTTTGCAGAGATGATCAAAAGTGACGAGCATATGGACAAATTAAAGAGCAAATTATTAATGGAAGCCGCCGATAAAAAAGCTTCAGAACATGCTAAAAAACAACGGCACTTGAAAAAGTTTGGTAAACAAGTTCAAGTAGCTACATTACAAGAAAGAGCAAAGCAGAAAAGAGAAGCATTGGATAAAATCAAATCTTTGAAAAAGAAGAGAGGTGCCAACGAAATGAGTAATGACGATGAATTTCAAATTGCATTAGAAGAAGCAACTCGTGCAGAATCCAGCAATGATAGAAGCAACAAAAGATCAAAGCCTAATCCTAAAAGACTCGCAAAGGATTCCAAATTTGGTTATGGTGGAAAAAAAAGAGGTTCACGTTCTAACGATGCCAAATCATCGGCCGATATAAGTGAATTTTCTGCAAAAAAAATGAAAGGAAAACTGTCTAGACCTGGTAAGAGCAAGCGTTCAAGAAGACACTAATTCATATAGCTTGATAGTAAGTTCGTAGATTTGATAACTTGAGTCACTAAAAATATAGATATCGTCGTATACGAGGATCGTTCCGCGCATCTAAGAAACGCATATTTGAAAATTTCCAACTTTAATGTTCGCTATAATATTATTGCAAACATTGGATGATATAAACTGAATAGAGTAATTTATAACATTAACATGAGTAAAGTGGAAGCTAAGGAAAAGTTCATTCTGGTGTTCGACCTGCTAGTCGATGAGTTGAAGGATACTTTGAAATCTTACAAGATGCCTCAGGAAGCGCTCGATTGGTTCGTGAAGAATTTAAACTATAACACTCCTGGGGGCAAATTGAACAGAGGATTATCCGTCATAGACACATATTGTATCTTAACTGGGAAATCTGCAAACGATTTATCTGAGGTGCAATATAAGAAGGTAGCACTTTTGGGTTGGTGTATTGAATTGTTACAAGCTTATTTTTTGGTCGCAGATGATATTATGGACCAGTCCAAAACAAGAAGGGGGCACGCATGTTGGTACTTAGTTGATGGTGTTGGAAACATTGCAATTAATGATTCTTTCATGTTGGAAGGAGCGATCTACGTGTTGTTGAAGAAACATTTCAGGAACGATTCATATTACGTTGATATATTAGATTTGTTTCATGAAGTTACTTTCCAAACTGAATTAGGTCAATTATTGGATCTAGTAACTGCCGATGAGGAGCACGTTGATTTAGATAAGTTTTCATTGGAGAAGCATTCATTCATAGTTAGATTTAAAACAGCGTATTACTCTTTCTACTTGCCAGTTGCATTGGCTATGTATATGAGTGGAATTAGTGATGAGAAAGATTTGAAGCAAGTTCAAGATATTTTGATTCCGTTGGGAGAGTATTTCCAAGTCCAGGATGATTACTTAGACTGTTATGGCACACCTGAACAAATCGGAAAAATTGGAACTGATATTAAAGACAACAAGTGTTCATGGCTTGTCAATCAAGCACTCATAAAAGCCAATAAAGAGCAGCGTAAGTTATTAGAAGAAAATTACGGTAAAAAGGATGACGAGTCAGAACAAAGAGTTAAGGATTTATTCAACGATTTGAAACTTGACGAAGTATATCATAAATACGAGGAGATGGTAGTTAGTGGCTTAAAAGAGCAGATCAGCAAGATAGACGAATCAAGAGGCTTGAAAAAGGAGGTCATAACGACTTTCTTGGAGAAGGTTTATAAAAGGTCTAAATAAAATTCTCTAGAATATACAATCTTAAACCTTTAATAAATTTTTTTATTCTTTTATATAATAATAGATGACTAATTAAAGTTTTCACTTCAGATTTAAATCTCTTAAAGTGATATGAAGAATTGTAGCACAAATGTGCTCAATTAAACATTGACTCTTTCCAATTCTTCTCTGCCACTTTTCGTGTACAAATATTCATTATAGTCTCTTGCTTTGACCCAAACGTTCCAAACAATCACAGCGGGAACAATGACGTAGAGAGCCTGATTCTTAGTTCTTCTGAAAGTGTTAAAGAATGCGTTGTATAAAGCATCCTTCATGGGTCTAGTTGCATAAGGAGAGACTGTGTATATGTTTACATATTTTTGTTTTGGGGAACCGATGTGACCCCACCATCCCATATAAGTCTTTGCACTAATACCTCCCATTTCTATCTTTTTTCTATGGTTTATAGATCAGTAGAAACTCAGTTCTGGTGAATAGTAGTTAGAAGTATAAAATAAAGACTAACGTAAATGCTTTTGAGTCGCACTCATTGGATGAAGTCAAAAGTACTATATTTACGCGCGGTCCAATAAAAATAGATAGCCCTAAGCGTAATTTACAGCATAGATTGGATCGGGAGTCATATTGACTACTAAACAGCTTGACGCCTAAAGACAAGACAATCCTCCTACATGGCTGAATATACCTCTGATTACAGTGATGTATTAAATGTACACAATAAGAGGAAAAGTTAGATCCATAAAAAAAGTTTTTCCTTCTGTACAGCTAAATATTTCCGTATGTGGCAGGGTGGTTGAAATTTTTTGACTATATGCTTCTATCTCATTTAGGCTTGAGCTGCGGCCAAACGCTTTTGAGCTGCCAATCTTCCCCTCTGCCTTGTGTTCAATCTGACCTTCTTGTCTTCAGCACTTTTCTCAACATTCTCACCTTCTTCAGTCACAATAAGCTCAATGTGAGAAGGAGATGACTGGTAAGCATTAATTCTACCATGTGCTCTGTAAGTTCTTCTTCTTTGCTTTGGAGCCTGGTTGACTTGGATGTGAGAAATCTTCAATTTGCTGGTATCTAAGCCTTTAGCTTCGGCATTAGCCAGAGCATTAGTCAACAAGTCCTTAATAAAGTTGACTGACTTTGCTGGCCATCTAGCCTTGGTGACACCGAACTCCTTACCTTGAGCAGTACGTCCAATAGAGGAGTTGAAACGGCGAAATGGGATAGCTCTTTGGTGATCCAATACCTGGTCCAAGTATTTCTGAGCTTTCTCCACGTCCCATCCATTGATAGCCTGTGCGGTTTCCCTGGTATTCTTGAATGAAACTCTCAAGTATGATCCACGAGCCGAAGCTGACTTAGCTGGGTTTGCTGATGTAGCACCGTAACGAACCATTTTCTTTTATCTGTTACTTCAAGAAACTATTGACTTCGTAATAAATGAAATAAAAGTTTCAATTGAAGAAAATTTCACCTTGGTTCTCGGTGCGCCTAGAGTGGCTTCTACTTACTCAAGACGAGAGAAATCTCGTGACTTACGTTAAAAAAAAAAAAGATTTGCTAAACTGGATCACAAAACCAATACAGCACAAAAACGACCAAAACTCAAGGGCACTAGCCCTTTCGTTCGAGTAGTTGCAAAATATGCGAGTTGCTATCATCAATTTCAGTTACATGAACGGAAACATGATGCGCGAAGAATATTGAACAAGAAGGGTTAAAATACTTGACACCATCCCTTGGTGAACTTAAGGTACCAGCAAACATCATCATGCTACAACTAGTCGATATAATTTTAGCGAGAGACCGGTTTAGTATTTGATAACATGTAGTTTCGTGGTAGCGTATTGTTAATCTAAGCGAGAAGACTATCAGACTACATAAGGCAAGCCAAACACTGAAGATGTGCACTAAGAGACAATATAAGAAGATTGAATTTGAAGCTGGCGATATTGGTTTAAGCTTCTGTTAACCTGAGACTGTCGGCTAACCTATTTCAGGCTATGCACTGCATCGTGAATGATGTAGGCGATCTATGGAGAATTGTAGTATTTAAAACTTACACATTTCATATCTGTGGAGTAGAACGAGTTAAGAATACTTAAGTAATAACTGGGATCTGGTTGGAAGTTTTGGTATTTTTGATCCTATGATCATTGCTGAAGTGCCAAAACAGATTTATAATGTGTGCATTAGGAGACTATTCAATCCCAAACAAGCACAATTCCGGTTAAATTATACGCTACTATAGTTTATTGAGGATGTGCATAGAATGAGGCACAATAACGCCTATCCCCATGTGCGACCATACTTGGTCGCTCGCCACTATTTTATTATAAGTTTATCTACATCTCTTCAAGGGCAATAGCCCCGAGGAGCCGTCTTCGGCCCTTTCCCGGCTAGAAAAAGAAATGATGACGCAGTTACCAGCCGGAATCTACGAAGGGGGAGCGTGAGGGTACTGTAGACTTGGCTTCTACTTGGCTCCTTGCTCCTGTCTCCAGTAAAGTGGATTATTGATAGCCCATGCCGAGCATTGGGGCTTCTGTACGGTTTAAGTAATCACTTTCGGAGCCATCGTTTCGGGCTTTAATCCGTTGCCCAAACTTATTCCCCTTCTGGCACCTAGATATGTCACTCAATGCGGAATAGCTTGATTTAAAGTTACTAGTAGCTAGCTTCTGATAATGACAGTAGATGAGAGCAAGAAGACTCTTATAGCATATGATCCTACTGGCATCCTTTAACCACTGTTTTAACGATCGCACGACTCATTTTCCTCAAAAGATTTCTATCCCTCAGTGTTTTTTTTCTCTGGATATCCTAGAAAAATAGCAATAATTACCTAGATTAGTTGGAGGTTAAAAATATACGAGTCGCTAATCGGTCAATTCAGGCGTAATTAGTCTAATAATATACACAAAGAGTAGCTCTGGTACTTGATTGATTGATTATACGGAGAGGAGATAGCGGCGATTGAGTAATATTAGAGTACGAGCTTAGCGATACGAGGTAAGCAAAGACGCGAGACAAACAAACGCGTGAAACTGTGAGTAGCTCGAGGTAAGGACATAGAGGAGGACGATCACATAACACTGTGCAAACCTTCACTTCATCGGTGCCTACACAAGCAGGTTCTTAGGTACGGGTACCTCAATAGTCATAAAATAGGCAATTGCTGAACGAAACGCTGATAAAAGAAGAGCGCCAGCGAGACATTTGCAACCAAATATGAGCGACAAGGATCCTACAGAGAATCTTGAGGAACCAAGTGATTACTTAGATGTATCTAAAGATTTGAATGAGGATGTCAAAACAGAGAATGTAGATGATATGTTGTTGGAACGTGGAGAGGACAAATTAGGTGCAGAGAATGCGGCTAACGAAAATGCTGAAGTAGAAACTAATGGCTCGATAGAACATTCTCGTAGTGCCAATGCTAGTCGCAGCGCCAGTGCTAGTGTCAGTGGTGATGCTGGTGGTGATGCCAGTGGTGATGTGAGTGAAAGTAAACTCGATGAAAACAAACAGTCGTCTGAGCACCAGCTCGATATAGATATGGAGCTTAAATCAGAAGCTCCATCGGGTACAGAAGGACCTTCTATAATAGACGAAGTTTCTGGTGAAGAAGGTGAAAAGGATAAGGGGTCATCGGCGAATGAAGAAGACGAAGAAGATGATGACACCGGTATGACATCCGAAAATTCTCCACCACCTATTGTAAAGCAGACGCATACCATAATAATTCCATCTTATTCTAGCTGGTTCAATATGAAAAAAATTCATGAAATAGAAAAAGAATCACTACCAGAATTTTTTAATACTTCACATCCTTCAAAGTCTCCAAAAATATATATGAATTATCGGAACTTTATGATCAATTCATATCGATTGAATCCCAACGAGTATTTGACATTAACGTCTTGTCGAAGAAATCTAGTGGGAGGGGTTGGCACAATAATGAGAGTTCATAGATTTTTAAACAAGTGGGGACTTATCAACTATCAAGTAAAACCGCAATTCAAGCCTGCTTACACTCTAGAAAAGCTCGCTAATGGCCAACTGGTTGGCTTGCCATATACCGGCGACTTTCATGTCAACTATGATACTCCAAGGGGATTGTTTCCTTTTGAGACGTTTAAGTTTTCACCAGAAAAAACTGATGTCAGTAAACTAAAGAAAATCTTGAATATTGATGGTGTTAACCAGGAATCTAAACACAAGAGAGAGGAGACAGAAATTGCATCAAATGATCCAGGTAAGGACACGTCAAAGCTTTCACCTTCTTCTGAACCCCCATTGAAAAAGCAAAAGGATGACTGGACTAATGAAGAGCTATCAAAACTAGTTCTAGGTATAAAAAACCATAAAAATGATTGGTACATGATATCTAAATTAATTGGAACTGGTAGAACTCCTCAGGAATGTATTCTTAAATTTTTAAAGATGCCCATCGAAGATGAATTTAATGACGTTAGCGAAAAAGATCTAAAGCTTCTTAGGTATGCCCCAAATTTTCCTGTTAGTGCCACAGAAAACCCTATTTTAAGTAACTTGGCGTTTATGACTCAGCTAGTTGATAGTGAGGTAGCAAAGGCTGCTAGTTCAAGAGCTTCAAAGGTAATAGATAAGAAAATTATAGAGAAAATTCAAGAGGTTTATGGCAGTAGTGAAAATGATTCAGAATCTAAACCTGAGGAGAATAAGGAGAGTAAAGAGAGCGAGGAGAATAAAAGCGATGAGAACGAACCTAAGGCTCAAAATCAAAAACTAGAAAATCCGGATGCATCAGAAAACATCGAAAATTCCAAGAACAAGAGCGAAGTGACCGATTCTGATAAAAATGGATCAACTGATGAGCTGAAAGGGGAGTTACCTGATATCTGCACTGAATTCAATGGGTCTCAGACACCTAATACTTTAACTGACGCTGCCGTAAGCAGTCTTGGTATCACAGGAGCTAGAAGTCATTTATTTGCAACTTATGAAGAAAGGGAAATGCAAAAGCTTACGAACACCATTGTCAATTATGAAATATCAAAAATAGACCTCAAGTTGAGCAAAGCAAAGGAGTTGGAAAAAATCTACGAGAAGGAAAGAAAAAATTTGACAAAGCAACAAGAAGAGGTCTTTATCGATAGGCTAGCATTGACGAAGTCCACTTTAAATATAACGAAGAAACTCAATGATGCAGTTACGATAATTGAAGCATCAACTGAAAATGAAGATTCTAAGGATAAATTGAACGATATTAAGTCTTTACTTTCCGAGGTAAAATCATTACTCTACAAACCTTCCAGGCAAAGTTTGAGTCAAACAGCAAACGAGGAGCTAAATAATGGAGATAGCGAAAAAGCTACTCAAAGTCATGACGATGACTCTTCAGGAATTGCCAATAATGGTGACGAATTGAGACCGTTATCCATTGAAACACCACAGTCTTTCAAAGTCTGGGTGCCATAGAGCTATCTTTATAACATAACATAGTATTCATTAGTTAGGTTTTGGGCCGTTTTGTATTCTAAAATTAATTCATAAACTTATCTATAAGATCACGGGCGCATTTGAAAATTTATCCTCAGGATAAATTGCTGTAAATAATTTAGCTCTAATTATTAATTATTGAAAAAGTGAAGCTATTCAAGGTATGTATGAGCTCGATGAGCACTTGGTTGATGAAGTGTCAAATGTGAATGATACGAATGTAATAGATCATTCATCAATTTCTATAGATGGTAATGACTTAATGAGTAATGAAGATGAGGAAAACGATGAAAGAGTTATTGAAATGAATGGTAACTTGAGCAACCATAATAGCAGTATTATTGATATCAGCGATGAAGAGGGTTTACAAACTAATTTAGATAGCAATAAATACGAAGATAGGGCACGGGATTTTGAAGGCTTTGACCTCAGCGATGATGATATTGATAATTTGGAGGAGATAGAAGGAACAACTTCCTTTGATGAAGAGCGTAAAACCAACATGGAAGAACAGAGTTATGTCAGATCATTCAATGATACAGATGTGGAGGAGAATGTGGAACAAGATATAAAAAGCAAGGGGATTAATGCATCGGTCAACCATGATTTAGAAAACGTTATTGATGTCAATGAATCAGAAAGTTCCGATTTAGAAGAGGTTTTTCAAAATGAAGAATCTGCGGTATTGAGCGATGTAGAGAAGGAAGGCTTTCCTAGAGAATCAAATGCCAATTGGAAACAGCGAACCTTAAAAGAAGAGGTGCAGAGAATTCCAACGAATGTTATGAGGATTGAAAAAGAGGTAAACGGAAAAGAGCAGAGCGATGACCACATTGTACAAGAATTTGAGAAAGGTGTAAATCAAGAGCAAAAGCAACAAGATGAAGTACGAGGGAAAGGAAACCACGACTTTGAAGAGGGAGAAAGTGGCATCTCGAAAGGAGAAGAGATACTGGATTCATCAATAGTAGAAACTAATGAGGTAGACTCGCATAAAAATCTGTCGGAAAATAGTACTGCTCCTACGTACCATCTTGAACTGAAGTGCGCTTTTCCAATAATGGTGTATATTGCTGATACTGAATTTTTGTTAGTTCCTTTTGACAATGAATCTGTAATGGATTTATCGAATCTAGTCTCTTTGTATGATGATTGTGAAAGCATATTCAATGCACCAATTGAAGAATTTTTTGGACTGATAAGAAATAATGAGGATCTCAATGACTACTTCAATTTCAAAATTAGCGAAGAGCTTGTATTGCAAATTCCTGAATTAGGGGGGATTTATATAACCGAAGATAATATTTATTCCCGTGATATAACTATTGGCGATTTCATTAAGGCATTTGAAGGGCTAAGTACAAACTCAGAAGAAGGCATAATACCCGCTTCTATTTCTTTGAATGTCACCTCGCAAACTAGATTCATCACTAATTTTAATCAAATTACTGAATTAATCAGATCTGGAAAAGGCTTCAAAGATATTGTGAACCAAAATGATGTCTTGCAAGAAAAAGTCGAATACTCATCCAAACGACAGCATTTTGAAGAACCTGACTCTCAAGACAAAGAAGCTCTGAGGCAACTTAAGCGTAGTAAAATATCAGTTACGAATGTATAGATATATAATGCGTATTAAATACTAATAATATACATATCGATTTGCAAAATTTATATTTAATCTATTAATCCATTGGCCTTCAATTTCTCGAATAACTCAGGCTCAACGTACTTTTGAAGACTTGGCTCGCCTGCCAAACCTTTTCTTTTCCTTGTCTTCATAACGAAGTCTCGTGCTAGCGACTTAGTGGGGACTGGCTTTAAAGGAGGTAAATAACATTCTCTATCCAAAGGATCACCAGGAACCACCTCCCAATTTTCGAAATCTAAGAGACACATTGCCTGACCCTGAGTTCGCAACCTCACGTCCGATTCAAATCCTACTGACTCAATTACTGGTAATCTTCCTTCAATAGAAAAGAGGGGAGTTCCAGGAACGGGTTCTTCTTTTATGACAAAGCCTCTCCTTCTATCTAATAACTTCGAGATGGCGGAAATAGCCGGGCCCTTGCAAGTAACATATACGGCGTATATGGGTTCCAAGAGACGAGGGGTAGCCGTCAAAAAACCAGTGTAGCATGCCTTTCTCATTAACGGTATAATTTGCGTTCCGCTTCTTTGAATTTCTGAACCACCTATAACAGCATCCAAAATTTTGAATTTAGTATTTCTTATTGGTTCATCACACAAGGGACCCTCGTTCACACTCCATTTAAATCCTAAAGTAACCAGGTCTTTGACTGAATATAGCAATTTTTTATCAGTTTCAGCTTCCAAGGTGTCATCTAATAGAATACTTGGAAGCTTTAAATCGTCTGGCCCAAAACACCATACTGATCTTGCAGCCAAAGCATCCCAGCCAAAATCTCGTCTTAACAATTTAGATGTAGTTTTTATGGGTTGTGACAAATCAATTGTTCTGGCCTCTATCGCATGACTAAGATTCAAGTCAGAAACCGGCTGGGCTATGATTGATATTACGTTGTCGTTTGACTTTGTCGGTATCTTGGTAACTGAAATATCAAGACATGTTTCGCTAAACTTTGTCATAGGATCACTAACCTTTATCTCCAAGTTGTCGGAGAAAAAATTTCTTAAATCACAAAGCACACAATCTAGATATAGCTCCCCTGGTGCCAAAATAACGTGCTCACCACTTTCTTCAACTTTGATCTCAGATGCCAAATACGATTTTTTGACTTTCCTGAGAGAAGCCAGCATTTTGGGTAGGTCCGACGGATTTGCAGGTTCAATGGCGCACTTGAATACTGATTTTTCAGAATAATTAGGAGATTTTAACTGTTTTAGAACTTTGGAAGAAGGGCTGAAAATCGCAGCACTTTTGTTAACAATAGATCCTATTCCAGATACAAGCACCAAAGATCCTGGTCCCGCCTCCTTGACGGGGAATTTGTATCGACCCCCTGAAATATAAATGTTCTCTATGGATTCATCTTTAAAATCCTCAGCATCGTTATCGAAATTGTCTCCTAGTACCTTGACTGTATCTCCAGATTTTAGCTTACCTTGGATCACTCTCACGAGTGAATAAAATTTCAGACCATCAGATGACTCAATTGATTTAAGAATGGTAGCAATAAGGGAATCATCGGAATTCTCTCCTATTCGAAGTCCGTACAAAACTTCACACTTGCTATCAGCGGTATCAATAGGCGAGAATATATTTTTCAGAGCAACATCGACGAGACCACCACAGTCTGGAAATATTTTCTTGACAGCATTGTTCAATAGTTCACGAGAATCTAATTTAAGATCCCGTTTCAGGAGTAGTACTTTAAAATTTTGCCATAACAAAGAATTTAACTTCTCTCCGGAATTATTAGCAGTCAAAGTGTAGGATATTATTTTGTAAAGCGGTTCCACAATGAAGTGGATAAATGATCTTCGTAAATTTCCATTATTTGAAGACTTTATTAATTTGTTCGATTCCTGGTCGAAGTAGAATTCGCCCCATAATCTCTTACTGAAATCGTGGATATCTATACCCTCAAAAAAACCATTATCAGAATACAACTTAGCAAAGCTAATTAACGTGAAGCTGAATTCCATCTTCGAAAATGCAAATATGACGTTGCCCCTTGTAGGGGAGATTATTTTCTGATGAGTGTATGGCATGGCATATTCATTTGATTCAATAAAAGAATTTATATCATCAAGTTCATATTTGAGTTTGTAGTAGAAATCAGATGGAGGAAGTTGAAGCTCTAATATGAGTCGATCCAATTTATTAAAAACAACTGTAAGTGGTAAATTATTCTTCAAGACTTCATTAATGATAGATTTGTCCCTTGGTGTTAAACCTTCCACGACATCGATCACAAGAAACACTCCATCAGAAGCCATTAAAGCAGACGATACCTCATCATGAAAGTCTACGTGCCCCGGAGTATCAACAACATTCAAAATATAAGACTTATCATTGAAATCAGGTAAAAGTAATGTAATAGGACTTGACTTAATGGTGATGCCTCGCTCAATCTCTAGCTTATGGTTATCCAAAAACCTTAATTCTTTTTCCTGTTTTGCCTTAAAATTCGACAAAATCGATGGATGCGTCTGAAGAATTAACGTATCAATGAACGAAGTCTTTCCAGAATGAAGATTACCTACCACTGCTACGTTTCTTATCCTTTCTGGCAAACTGTTCATCAATGAAATCATGTAATCTCTAGAATATGTGAGCTGAGGAAGCTTTTCTTGAATACTGTCTTCATTTTCCGTGAACTCAACTTTCATCCTTTTGTCTTTTATCGGTTCTAATACCGGTTCATTACTTATACTTTCATAAGGTCTTACCAAAATAGTTTCAACATCTGTCCCATACGTTTGTCTAAGTGTAAGATTGCCACCATTATCTTCACCATTGTGTCGTATTAGTGCTCCGTTATTTGAGTTTTCGTCGTGCTCACCAACTACGTTATTCTCATGGTGTTCATCATCATTTATCTCATTATCCACAGAATCTGAATCAGCATCTGAATCTAGCGGATCACCGATGATATTACCAAACTCATCATAAATATCAGCATCCTCCATATCTCTTCAAGTTATTTGCAAATATCTCTGCCAATATTTGTTCATACCAATATTATTAAATATATAGATTCGATGAGGTTACGTGAAGTGCTCTTCCTGTATGTGTCGCATGTTAATTTTTACATCAGAGAAAGTAATGGAGAGTCTTGTATTGTATTGTACATCTGGAAGAAATTAGATATTTGATAAGTATTTACCTAAGATAGAGTCTGATACTTTCTCAATTCTGTTAGTAATGCTTGTAGCTGAACATCAGATACCTTTCTAGATAAACTAGGTATTAAAGATTTTGCCTCTTCGGCATCTTCACATTCCAAGTTCCCTAACTGAGCGACTTCAAAGGGGTGCAATGGTTCATTTGCCAGGTTACTAAAATCTGTAAGGAGCTTTTCCACTGTCTCAGTAGCTGAAGAGTTTTTGAATCTTGCAAAGGTCGACAAATAGTTCAACGTTTTGTGCATTATTTCATTTGCATTTGGGCCAGCTAAATCTATATTTGAAATTTCGTCTTCCTTTTCATTTTCATCATCTTCGATATTGAATTCATCTCCTCTAGTATTCTTATTTCTTCTTTCTTTCAAAGCAGCTCTAATCAAAAGTCTGGCTTCAGATAAATTCAAAGCGATCAATTGTTCTTCTTCACCACTATTCGTTATCTGCGTTGTTTGGAATTCTGGTCCCAATTTCAACAAAGCTGCATTCTCTTCATCATCAATATTCTGAGCTGCAGCCTTTCTTCTTCTCACTCCTAATGCACTTGTGCTGACATTCATTTTCTAATTTGCAAATTTATGTGTATAAAAATTTTTTTTTGGTAATATCAGAAGCCAAATTAGTTGCAATGTAGTAGAATGTAACAGCCGTGCTTAGTATTAAGAGATACTTTGTCTCTCCAATCGATTAGTTTCGATGTACTAAATCAATCCTACAATCTATTCAACTCAAACACTTGACTAAATTGTTTCGCTTATAAAATTGATACCATACACGACTCTTTTTCATGCTTACAGAGAGCGTATTCTTCATCTCTATTAAAATAATCATCTATATATACGTTAGATCTAAAAGCTTCTTATATAAAATGGCATGAGACATAAACTTAATTTCTCAGGTACCCTAATAATCGAAACCGGGGGTTGTGATCGATTGAGAAGTTAAAGACTTAAGGGCTAAACTGTTTTGAATCACTCACGAACGGATGTCTCAATGCTTCTTGAGGTGTCAATCTCTCCAAAGGATTCAAATTCAAAACTTTTGATAGAAAATCGATTAATAATAACCTGTCCTGACACTCTTTTTCTATCATTGAATTGGTCATTTTCTTAGATGGAAGCTTGTAGTTTAAAATAATATCTTTTAAGTGTTTCTGTTTGAAATAATTTTTATTCTTATGTTCCTTTTTCAGCTGGCTTTCTTTTCCATTCTTCGCAGCATGTTCTACGTATTCCTCGAAAGTTTTGATTTGATAGATCGGCTTACCATCTGGTGACTTCGGAGGTAATTTATTGAAGAAGTTGGAAGTATTTCTTCCAAGATCCAACATGTGCCTCAGAGGATTTCCTAGCATGTCCACAATCTTCCATATTTGATTATATTCTGAAGTACCAGGAAACATTGGTAAGCCCAAGAATAATTCTCCAACAATACAGCCTAACGACCACATATCGATCGATTCTGTGTAAGGTAATCCTAGAATCACTTCAGGAGACCTGTAAAACCTAGATTGGATGTAAGAATATATTGTCTGCCTGGAGAAGCAAGCTGATCCAAAATCGATCACTTTAATGTCCGGCTTATCGGGCTGGCAAAGCAATATATTTTCAGGCTTCAAGTCGCAGTGTATCATCTGAAAACTCTTCAATTGTGACATGGCTTCTAAAAGCTGCTTTGCTATTACTCTTACTAGCTTCATGTTTAGTCCTTGAAATTGATTTTGCTTGATTAATTCATACAAATTCGAGGCCAATAATTCAAACACTAAACACAAATGCTCCTTATGCATAAATGTGTCCAATAACTTAATAAAACTGTTTCCATTACTATTGGCATTCAAGTATTCTAACAGTTTTACCTCAGTTAAAGACTGGTTCATATAAGCAGGTTTTGATTTGATAACTTTAACTGCACAAACCGTTTGATTGTTCAAATTTTGACATTTCACAACTTGACCGAAAGTTCCAGAACCTAAAAGATCTAACACCATGTACTTTCTTCCTTCTTCTGATCCCAATATATCGTTCACATAGAGAATGTAATCACTATCCTCGTTGTCATTTCCATTATTAAATCTCGCTTCCAGTGGCTTCGTTAATACTCTCTTTGGATTAGTTGACTTCGAATATTGAAACTTCTTTGGTTGACATATGCTATATGAGTCAGTTAAGTACACTGACAATGCATTTACTGGAGATATGTGAATAGAATTTATGGAACATCTTCTATATTTTGGCTGATGGTGCACCTTTGGTTTAAGATCTAGTTTGTTGTAAACCTTGGAAGCTTTTGGAGCTGGACCTCTCTTCCCTGATATCCTTTGAGACTGTAGTAGCTGCTGAAACTGCTGGTACAGAACTACCAGAGGAGATCTGGACGTTCTTCCAGTCAGATAATAGTTCATGCGCTCAGGTCCTTGGCCAAATGTGGCCGACGATCTCCGATTGTTGCCCTGAGAAGTAAAGGGAGCACCATTTAAATCTTGAGGAGGGTAGGCGATACCAGTTTGCGGTTGCAACTGATTTAATGACAGATTAACTTGAAGATTGTCAACCGCTGCTGACATTCTTCTGTCATTTCCAAGGTTAACCTCTTGATTCGAGTAGTATTGGTTAAATGGGTTATCAGCTCTTGTAGGAGGGTGAATAAATGGAGGTACATTCACTTGCTGGTCATTGTATTCATATGTAGTGGGCAATTGATTTGCAAAAGAAGTTCTCTTAGATTGCTGCTGTAATAGCGGTATACCTTGCTGGTTTCTTGTCGGAGACCTAGAGGGTATACCTGTGGGAGAGAGCCCTCCAGAGCTTCCCGTAGCGCTTGGGGAATACCACGGATTCCTGAATCCAGGAATCTGTTGCTGTTGTGGATGCTGTGGATGCTGTGGATGCTGCTGGCCATCTAGCTTTAGCAAAGATCCATCTGGTCGATAATTGGGACCAACTCCACTGAAACCTTGTGGAAGGGGCAATTGCCAGTTCCCTCCAACTGAATTATGCCTATTATTGTAATTATAATTATACGTCATTTACACGAGGCTCTACACTTCCATAGATTCGTTCATTAGCTTGATTCCATTAAGTATCATAGGGTTGTTCAACTTCAGCAAGGATATTCTCCTCAATAATCAGTCCGGTCTTATTAACCGTACTATATTCCGGTATACATCAAAGCAGTCACTTCACATTAGGAATCTACAAAATTAATACACTTCTGATGAAACATGGTTGCTATTTAAATCGTTAAAGCTATGAAGCATAAGAGCACCATCTGTTTGTGAAAGATGCAAAGAAACTTTACCGTATATATACAAGGTATTAATGATACACATTGATCTCTTAACCAAAATTAATTAAGATACTGACAAGCCCACAAGGGAGACGGAGAACTTGAAAACACAAGAAACAATGATCATGACTCATGCTGCCAATTTAGAAGGTTCTTCAGGGTACGCTGGTGCCACCGTTGGTTGCGCGAACATTCTCAGAGCAAGCATTCCAACACCCTCGAAAACACCAAGAACGCAAGCGCAGGTTATAGCAGAATTTCTGGTATGTTTCCAGCCACCCCTGAAAGCCAAAGAGCCTCCTGTAAAGAAACCGGCAATGATAGCATTCCAAGCGTCTTCTCTTTTTCTAACAGCTTTAACCATACAATCATAAGTAGAAAACAATCCACCCCAAACACCGAAGTTACCACCTACAACTGGTGCTCTCGACTTAATAGCTGACAATGAACCGTAGCCTCTCTCACCGTATGGAGAATTACGGAATCCTTTGACACCATGCCACACACATCCACCAATGACACCCATGGCAAATGCACCACCAAAATCACTCAAAATAACGAGGGGACATGGATCTCTAGTATGATCTGCTGACATTCTTCTTCCTTTAGTCTATATATCTAGTTGTTCTTAATTCTTAATATTGTTGAAATGAACAATTTGCCATATATAGCACTCTTGAGAGAACTAAATTTTGAAAATTTTCTATTCTCACAATTACGCTTCGATTTATTGTAGTGTACATACTAGAACCCAAAGCCAGTTTAAATTGGTTTCACGACATATGAACGAGGAATGAATAGAGACTGGAAGAGTGGGAGAAAGTGTAGTCTTTCGAGAAGGAACTCTACAAGTTTCCTAAAGTTCTTTTATATTATCCATTGAACGATTGTAGCTGTATCGTATACATCGTTATTTTGCAACCGTGGGCAAAGCTCCACTTTAAGCTTGAAGTAGATTTGAAACTCAGAGAACATAAAAGTCATAAAGCATAGCAATAAATATATACAGTTGAAAAAAGACGTGAAAATTTGTGACAGCGTTTTTAAATTCAGACTTGTGTATCACTGTCACTTGCAGTTGACATTTCCATAGGATCTTCACGAGATAAACTTTCCCATTCTTCTCTATGATTTTTATTTGGAAGCCCACTCAGTGATGATTGCACTGCAGTTCTATCATAATCGTCATCAACATCATCAACCCCAATGATGAAAGAGCTATCTGCTGTTCCAAGGTTATTTCTTGCAGCTTCGATGTTATGCAACTCAAAATAATCTGTATCGATCTTAGGACCCTCAAAGCTCTTTCGACCCCATGTTTTGTAAGCCACGCTTGCGGAGGCGACAAAAAGAGCCATAATAACTGAGGCGTAGTTCATACTAAACCAGGTAAGACCTTTAATTACAGGGGGAAGACACAACACTATAGACAGAAACGCAACCCAGAATATCGAGAGACAATTTATAACCCATCCAGCTTTTCGTAACCTGAAGGCTGCTCCCTTGATTTTTCGTCTCTTGTTCATCATTAAACATAAAATAGGTATTCCGTTGGCTAGTGACAATGAAATTACGGAAGATCCTAAGAAAGCATTGAAAGCTGATTCTGAAACTAGCGAAAATAAAGAGAGGATTCCGCAAACACCAAGTGATAAAAATAAGGCATTTTTTGGAATCTTATATTCCTCGATGGAGTCAACCTCAACCCAATAGTTTTTAAATGGAAGTCCTCCATCTCTTGCAAATGCATATGTGGCTCTTGAGGCAGTCGTCAATGAACCGATAGACTGAAAAACCACTGTAATAATCAAAAGAAAGACAAGCAAAAACGAAACAATGTAAGATTCGGTAGCAATGTTAAAAATCAAGTCAATAGGCATCATTTCTGGTGTCTTATCTAAAAGCAATGTGAGTTCAGGTAAGATGGTAAGAATTGGAAGAATAAATATAAGTCCAGTAATTGAAGCAAGGAAAACAGCGCTAACAGCGCCTTTTGCCATGTTTCTCTCTGGGTTTTTAACTTCGTCCGTAATAGAAAAGAGCATACCATATCCTGTTAGGGTAAAGGAAGAACTTTGTAAGCCAACCATAAAGGCTAAAGGATCTGGCCAACCGGATCGCGAATTATCAAAGTTTGTCAAAATATCCTTGATAGAGTTGGTTCTCTTAGCAAAAAATATTAAAAGGAAGTCAATAGCCAAAACTGTATATATGGACCAGTAGATACATGCCTTATTAATCTTTTCCAAGTGTCTGGAGAACTTGAAATTGATGAATCCACTAACTAGCAACAAAACCAAATAAACCCCTAAAACCATAAAAATATCCTTTGTATAGTAAACACCCTTAAGACCAAATATAGATAGTATAAATTGGGAACCGGAGAACATGATACTGACAGCATAAGTCCAATTTCCGATTAATAAGAGCCATCCAGTAAACCAAGAGCTAATTGAAGAGTACTTTTCATTACTTAAAATAGCACTAAAATGGTACACTCCTCCAGCAGTCGGATACTTGGAAATTATTTCGCTCAAGCTCAACACAACACATAATGAAAAAATAGCCACCGTTACCCATCCATACAACATAGTTACGTTCCCTCCGTCTACCAAAGAAATCCAGAGAGTAGACGAAATTCCGAACGGCACACCCATTAAAGTGAATCCTAAGCCTATCACAGACGTAGCCGTCAATTTTCTTTCTAAATCTTGTTTATACTTCAAATACTCCACATGTTCTATCTCATTGTCGTCTAGATTCTGAAGAAATGAGGTCAAGAACTTGGCTGGTACCAAGGATGCGAGATTTCTTGCCGGTGGTGCCTCAGAAGAATACGAAGCTTGTGGCTCCGGAAGCACAGTCGAGTGGTCCACAGAGTAGTATTCTTCGGATTCTGGGGCGGAAACCATACTTCTTCCACACCACTTCCAGACCTGTCTTTTTAATTGGATATGCAATCAGGATGAAACCTTCAGTTTTAATGAATAGAATGTCAGAGTGCATATCAATCGAAAATTATAGTTCCGAGAAAACGCTTCGAAAAGAGCCAAGTGAAAGAGGTTTAGAGGCGAAGACTTTTGAGACTCAAAGAGTTGTTAGGATACCTAAAAGTACAGTAAAATATTTTCTGTAGTTGTAGTCACATAAATTCTTCATATTGTATCGACAAATTATATTAATTACTATCTATGGAGAGAGCCCATATAATGCTAAATTTTGCAATCATAAAACCTTTTGTTCGGAACTTTCAACCGCTTGAGACTTTACTTATATCTGCATCCTTGCCTGACTTATAAATAGGCAAGCTAATACTTTCACTTGTCTTAATATGAGCGCTGTTGAGGTTTTTAACTGACCTTAACAAACCACCTACAGGCTGATATTTTGAATCAATCATGTAAAAAAAGATGTCATTGATGTTTTCCAATAATTCATCAACTTTCCAATCAGTGAAACCGAATTTTATAGATATGCAATTCCCATTAGCAGGTGGGATGTAGTAGGTATTTTTGACTATGGCTTTCATCTGTTGGTACACATATCGTGGATCACAGCGTTCATCTTTAAGCTTGTGCGATTTTTTTCCAGTAGTCAAGACAGCATTGTGGTCTGGTTTAGCCATCTGCAACATAAATGGCACCTTTTTGTTTTTTTGATAAAATTTGGCTCCAAGAAGGTCTGGAAGAAACTTATGCACTCTGTTATCGGCAACCACTATATCGAACTCTTTGAATAATTTATCGATTTTTCTAGTCTCGGAAGATAACGCTTTTAGCTTCTTCATCGAGTATATATGATTGAATACATCCTCAGTCAGAGATCCTGACAGTGTCAACTCAGCTCTATAGTGAGTTGAGGGATCCTTTGTTATTAAGAGAACAGATTTATCGGAAAGCTTTTCGAGTCCTTTTGATAACGGTATTATACGAGGAATATAGTCTTTCTGTCTCGTTAATGCTATTTTGGTATTAATGATTAAATAAATGGGTTCTCTTTTATTCAAGCCTTTTTCAGAGTGAATATGTGCCAAAAGGGCCCTCAAGCATTTTCGAGTTTCCTTGACATTATCTTCTCCCAAGACGAAAGGAGCCATTTTCTTCAGCTTCAGCTTTATTATATTGGATCTGTCTCCGATGACTTTGATGAGACAAAAATACTGTTAAAAATCTTATATAAAGGATTACTAAATATAGTATACTGCTGTCATATTACTAGCTTAATGTACATAAGAATTACGAAATTATGAAATACAATCATGAGCAACATGCTTTCATCTAATCTCCACGCAATGCCCTGACAACTGCAGGACGTCTCATCATATACTTTGTCCACTTGTAAACTTCGGGAAACTCGACCTTTAAATTTATTCCAATTCTATCAACAACGTTATTCCAGGGAACGAAAGATAAGTCAGCAATGGTTGCTCTATCACCTACAAGCCATACTGGGTAATCAAAGTATCTTGACTGAGATAATGGGGTTGTCCCAGCACTGTAGGCAGCGGCATTCTCTACATCCAAATCCATAATCAAAGCTTCTCTTCTTTCTGCTAGTGCCATCTCAATCACACCATAAACCCTTCTGACCTCATCTGTATATCTCTCCACTGCGCTTGGAACAGCACAAGAATGAAAATATCTGAAATGCAAAGCTTGCCCAATCATCGGAGCGTGTCCTGATGTCTGAAAAAATAGCCATGAGGCTATCTGAGACTGTTCTATAAGACTATCAGACCATAATGGACATTCGCCATTTTCTCTTAAAAACTTGGACACTAAATACAATATGATTGCACCAGACTCCCAGATTGAAGTGTTTTCATTGTAGTGATCAATAAGAGCAGGAACCCTTGCATTCGGATTAATAGTGACAAATTCGGGCGCTCTCTGCTCTCCATTATTAAAGTCCAAGAATATGGTGTTGAACGGTAAATTTAATTCAGATAAAATTATAGCGACTTTGAAGCCATTTGGGGCTGACCGGTGAGAGAACAAGGTGTAACCCTCCGTAGGTTGATTCTGGAAAAAATTCGTTATTCTAGACTGCTGCTGCTGGGAACTGACCTCATTATGTAATTGCTGTTGTAATAAGTTCAAGTTTACCTCGTTCTGCTGCTCATTGAGATTGACTGATTTTAACCCCACAGATAAATTAGAAATTGTTTGAGAGTTTCCATTATTAGATCCATTCATGCGTTCACGCACTCCTTCATCAGACATTACGTTTAAAACTTATGTTTATCTGGCTATTGCCCTTCGTTCCAAGTTGAAAATATGTTCTCTATTAGTTCTTTTGGAAGTCTAATTGAATACAATTTTTACCTCTGAACTTGAACTGTATTGATACACTTATTCCGTCGCTCTTGGTCACTATATTGGTCCTATTTATACTTCGATTATTCAATCAGATAAAATGCTCTCAGTGTAAAAAAGAGCTGAAGAATTTTGTAACCCACATGACAGCCGATCATATTTTTGTGACACCACAGCTGAGTGCGAAAATCGTTGAAAGGTTCCAGGGGACGATGACACTAAATTCTTCATAGAATTTTACACTAATGGCAAGCAACGATCATATCGCTATAATAGTTTGTGATACACCAATTGAAGGAGTATACGAAAAATTTGGTGACTTTGGAGATAATGTTGAGTCATTATTGGATAATGCAGGTGGCTCACCTTTCCCCTGTGTAAAATATCAACTCAAGCTGGAAGATGAGATAACGTTGAAAGATATCTATAGCAATTTATGGAAGAGTATTGAGCAAGGAAATATTAAAGGTATAATATTCACGGGCTCGAGAAGTGACTCGTTTGCTAAGGGAGTAATGTGGATTGACATGATGGACCATTTCATTAAAGGTCTTTTAAAAGAGCATGGGCTTCCTATTGTTGGAATATGCTTTGGTCACCAGATAATCTGCAAAAATCTAAATTGCATAGTGGGTAGAAATGATCCAGAAATCGGATGGGAGAATGGTACTACTGAAATTCAGATGAATAAAGAAGTTTTGACAAGTGATAAGTCTCCGTTTAAATCTTTTTTTAATGATAAAGATGCCCGTTTAAATCTCACGGAGTCTCATCTTGACATTGTTCACGGTATCCCTGAAACATTTGATCACACAGAATTTCTCTGTATAGGTTCAACTTCTAAGTGTGCCGTGCAAGGAATTTTGACGAAGTCTGGTCCTGTCAAAATCTTGACATTTCAAGGACATCCAGAATTTACGGCCGAAATTAGTCTCTCACTCCTTGAACGAAGTTTCCACTTGGGGAAAATTGATGAAGCAGTTTTTAGGGAGTCCACTCGTAAGACCGAAGAAACTGAAAACCAAGGTGTTCTAGCAGGAAAGGTTATAGTCAATTTCTTGAAATTACATAACTGTTAAGATTACCAAATCTACTTGATTATTTATTTATTTATTTATAGAATTGTTCATTTATTCATTCGTATATCTGAATCTTTATTGTTATTTAATATATATAGAATTACCTTTTAATGTCATCTTTTGATATAGCGAATCATATATATACCATTTAATCGTCACTAAGTGTACGATTTGGATTAATAATATGAAATCCTTGTAGTTTTCCTCCTTTATTAAAAAGAGTAGATGATGTCTTAGATTTTTTCTCTCCACTTTCTATTCTTTTACTTAACTTTTCGTTTATGACTTTCATGCTCTGTAATTTATTATTCAACGATGCTAGCTTATCATTAGCGAGTTTCATTTCATAATTATGACTTGCATTTAACTTCGTAACTGCTTCTCGTAACTCATCCCTCTGATTTTTCAAAGTCATAACTTCTCCTTGGTACTCATCATTTTGATACTCTAACGAGTTGTCAACTAGTGAGAGTTCTCTATTAGATGTGGATTGAGTAACTTGTTGAAGTCTAGATGAGAACTTCTTTTCCATTTGAGGGATAACTTCGAGCTTTAATTCAGTGTTTTCCTTTAAGAGCTCATTATACTTGTCCCACAATGAATTGTCTTTTTCTCTCGAACCAGATTCGTATTCGTCCAATTTGTCTTGTAATTGGTTCACAAGATCATTTTTGAACAAAAGTTGCTTGTATATTTCAGTCTTTTCATAATTCAATTTTAGAGGGCTAGGAGACTGTCCATTTTCTAACAATAATGCATGTTCCTCACTTATGAAACGAAGCCGTCTTTCCTTGTTAAGTTTATCTTGTAAGTCGGCGATAATTCTCAGTTTTTCTATAACTTCATATTGTGAAGCTTCGAGGGAGGTCAGATGAGGAGAATTATTCTTGAGTTGACTCTCAAGAGTTAATTCTCTCTTTATCGAAGATGCTAATTCTGTAGTGACAAGCTGTAATTCGTGTAACAAATCATTGTTACAACTCATTATTGCCATCTCATCCTTACTAAATTTTAGGGGTGAAGTCGAACTCGGGGTCAGAGGGGGAAACTGTCCTCCCGAAGACCTACGACCTTTATCTATCAGTTGCAGTACAGTAGATTTATTCATAAATGAGCTTCTCCTCAGTCCACTGGATGAATCATCAGGGAACGCGTTATTTTTACTCTCATTCGAAGCGCTTGCTCTCCTGCTTGATTTTGATAATCTTTTAAATATATCTTTAGATTTATTAGTAAGTGAAAAGCTCCTTGAATGTCTATCTTTCTTTTGTGAGTTAAGCTCTGATGCAAGAGAGCTTCTTTTTGCATTGGGAACTCTTGAATTACTGACAGTACTTTGAACTTGCCTATTATTTGGAATCACACTATAATTGTTGAACGGTATATGCTCCTCCTTACGAGCAAAGTTGTTCCCTAATCCCTCAGGAACGTTATTTACAGCAGGATTTTTCAAATCATCATATGAATGTTCTTTTCTTTTGACTTCATTGTAATTATTCGAAAACTTGGAAGTATTTGAAGTCAGAGGTGATGAATAGTTCTCTCGAGAATTAGTTAAAGCACTCTTATCAGATGAAAGGCGATTCGAAAGAGACTCACGTGTACTAAAATGCGCCATTGGATCCTCTATTACCACCAGAGACTTTTCGCTATACAGGCTAGTCGAATCAAACTGTTCCTGGTGTTGTTCGTGTCGACTTTCAAGTTCTTCTTGATATGTTTCCGCCCCGAGGTTGACTTCCTTTTCATTTTCGCTGTCGTCGGAATCGTAGACCAGTGATTTATTAACAGAGCCTTGTGACTCTTCAAACCTCTTTACATGAGGGCTTCGTATAGATGAATCAGTTCTAAAATTATCAAATGCAGTATTAGCCGTTAAAGATCTGATAGAAGGTTGCTTTGGTAAGGGCTTGCTTGTGAATGGTATCGGCCTTTGTTCTTCCGCAACAGGCGATCCCCTACCTTTTAATGTCGAAGTGTCATTTTCATTTTCATATTCATCCTCCCTAACACGATCATTCTTCATAGGAGAATAAGTCTTCAAGGGCGATTCTTTTAACTGTGACCTCTTCTCGGGTGATAAAAATTCCGATGCAGTAAGGAATACATCCTTCGTTAAAGTAGTTGCATTAGAGTTGTTCGCACCTGCAGTAGCGCCCAATGATTTAAATTTCTCACGCTGCTCTAACATTTCATTGTAATCGACCTCATTGTTAACTATGGATTCTCTATTCATGTTCAGCCTTGTCAAATTGAACAGTGGAGATACATTAGTTCCCAGTCCGTCAACAGCCTTGCGTTGTGGTGAATATCTTTGTTCATTAGTCCCGAATTCTTCAGACTCGTCACCTTGATTGAATAGGTTCAATTTTCTTAACCTCATTGAGTTAGACTTTTTAATCGTCGATTTCCTAGAAAGTGATTCTGATTCGTCTTGATCAAATTTGTAAACAACGTCATCTTCATCTTGCTCATCAAAGGCGGAAGACGATGTGTGTTCGAAATCTTCATTTATTTCTTGCCTATCATTAGACTCATCGAATTCTGATTCACCTTTATGCTTTTGCAGGTTATTTCTAGATATCGTATTTTCTTCATCTTCCTCGACGACATTCATAAGAGAATCATTTGAGCTCGGATGAGAGCCTTTAGGAAACTGCATGTTCTCCAGCAGACTACTATTATATTGATATCCTTGTTGCTGAAATTGATGAGATTGAGGCGGACGCATAGCTAAGCTTTGCTGATTATAGTAAACACCTGCTCCTGCTTGATATTGCTGATTGCTCGAAGATATCGTTCTCTGCGCACCTGGTACGGGTCCATAATTATTTGGTCTTCCTTGCTGCAACTGATACTGATTATTCATAGGACGGAAATTAGAAGTGCCATTTGATAGAGACATGGTCCTAGGACCTTGGGGGCCTTGTTGGGGACCTCCCGCCAAAGACATGGTCCTAGGTCCTTGTGGTGCAAACTGAGAACCATTATTTGATAACGACATAGTTCTGGGATCTGGCTGGGGTCGCCCTGCCAAAGACATGGCCCTAGACCCTTGTGATGCAAACTGATAATTATTGTTTGATAAAGACATGGCTCTAGGATCTGGTTGAGGCCCTGCTAAAGACATAGCCCGAGGTCCCGGTGGAATAGTTTGATTCGCAGCAGCAGGAACTCCATATCCACCATTGTTCCGCATAGACATCATTCTGGGACCATTTGGCGGTCCAGCAGCGTAATTGAAGTTACCCATCGGCCTATTATTTAAAGACATCGCTCTTGGTGCCGGTGTTCCATTTGAGCTCAAGGACATTGTCCTGGGATTAGATTGGAACTGCGGATGTGAATGCATTTGATTCGGGCCTGCTAAAGACATTGACCTAGGATCCAGGGCCATTCCATTCGAACTTAAAGACATGGTTCTCGGATCAGCTTGATATCCTTGTGATTGCATGGGATTACCTCCCGCTAATGACATTGCCCTTGCCCCAGACATCATCGCCATCTTTTTACTTTGGTTCATTTGCTTTCTGTATTGAATATTGCTCGTTGTTGGTTTTCCAGGAGTACCTGGACCAATCGTTGGTATTATAGGTGTGGTATCTAATGTCGAAGTACCAGTCATTCCATAAGGTCCCCTATTTCTAATATGAGATATGTCGTCGAAAGACAAGTTACTGTTATGCGTTATATCCTGGACATCTGCTCCAAAGTCATCGTTGAAATCTTGTCCCCCTGACTTGTTCCTCTTAAAAAACTTTTGCATTCCAGTTGTCGTGATGGATCCTTTCCTTCCCTCCGAAACCGGAGTAGCTACTACAGGTGCAACTCCCATCATATCATAGCCATTGTAGCCACCATAGCTTTGCTGTTGGAACTGTTGCATAGGCTGCATTTCTGGTCTCAAGTTGTTTACCATGTTTATGTCTTGGTTCTCACTCAAAAGCTGTTGTCTTAGCCTCCCTTTCTGCGTCGACGCAGCAGCTGTCCCTGCGTCCATTATTGTTTTGAGTAGAGTTCAATAGCTTGCTACTTCAGTAAAGCTTACTTTATAATTTTTGAGCAAAGTTTTAAAGTTACTAGAACGAAGGAATAGAGGATTTTTAATTTTTGACTCGATCGGTTCGGATGTTTGTTTCATCACGTTAGGAATAATCGCTTACATGAAACATCACAAAGAATGCACTGAGAACATTGCGATGGGCATATAGGTTTTGGCGTCAGGGGTCCATCTGGGGGAGCAAGTTTGACGGCGTCAAGTTTGAAAAGGTATGACGGCTGTGGGCTGTGTATCCAGCTGTTCCGTCGTACTTTCTCGATGATTACAATTATCGATGCGTAGTAAAAATAATAATAGAATTTCACTATTTTATTAAATGCATTAATGCCTTATAAGGACGGTAGTGAAGATGTGTAGAGAGATAGGTTGTATCATATTATAGAAGCAAAGATCAAAGATTCAGCTAATTGCCAGTATCCAACGTCAATGCTCACAAAGTTGGGAACTATGGTCAAGGTTAGAGACTCTGGTACTATCTCGCAAATTTAGAGTGTAGGACAAATGGGACGCAAAGTAGACAGTCAAAGAATTGCCTTGGCAGCGACAACCGGGGAAGGTTCCTATCACAAACTGCAGTCTAATGTGGACTTAAATAATATGCTAATCCAAGGTTTATGTGCAAGAATACTGTTATATGGGATCTAGCGATACCGATTTTATTCACATGTCTGAAGTCGATGCTTAGTTAGATAAGTACAAATGTATCTCAGTTTTGAGGAAGTAGAGCAGTAATCAGCTCAGTGAAAGTGGATCATGGTCTCCCACAATTCCCACAATACGATACCTTTTTCGAAAGAAGGCGACCCATTTATCTAAAGTGGCGTTTTGCTTATCATTGAAGTCGTCACAGTACCATGTTCTCTGTTCCGGAAATGAGTCAACTTTGGTCAGTTCCAAACGTAACGTATTGAGTCCGAGTAACCTAGAAGAATCCTTTCCAGCCAACCGGTGATAACTCTTTCCTGGTCCATAGCTCTTTTTATTACTTGTTACATCATACACATAGCCTCTTATGGCTACGAATATCTCTGGTTTATCCTTACCATTGTAAAAAGATAATTTATACCTTGTAAACACTGGTAGCTTTAAGATATTTATTCCTTCATTGAAAATTTCAGATTCAGTAGGAGCATCTTTATTTACTTTCGAATATTCATCTTCCTCTGATATCATTTCCTTATATATTTCATATTAATTGAGTTATAGATTACGGTACTGACCCCTTCGAATATATCAATTTCCTATTATTTATGTATCGATGGAATGAAATGTCACAAAAATAAAAATGATTTTAACCTTTACCTTTTAAATAAATTATCTTTAATATATGAATTTTGGAAGCAGATATGGTAAGTGTGCTCAAAGCTGAGATAGGGAAGCCACTGAATGACTTTACTAACTATTCAAAGGCAGATGATACGGAGAAATATCCGCCGAATATTCAAAAACTTTTCACGCCAAAACCACCACTTCTTTTTAAGAAGCCAACAGACTATGCATCAGAACAAAGGAGAACCAGAACCATAACACCTATATCGCAGTGGAGAGAGGAATATGATAAATACATTAAAGAATTTGGGGGCGAATGTAATTCTTCTAATCAACAAAATGTAAAAACTATTTCGTCGAGAGATAAGAAAGATTTAAAGAAAAGACAAAACCAAGAATCTTTCGAAAGGCAATTGAGGGACTGGAATGATCCTGAACTATTGGCGAGAAATGAACAAGAATTTATGAGAGACCCAATTAGAACGGTCTTTATAGCAAGATTAGATTACTCATCAACAGAACTTGATATCTCCAAAAATTTTAGCAAGTATGGCATGATCGAGTCCATTAGGATAATAAGGGATAAGAATGGTAAATCAAAAGGCTATGGGTTTGTGGTTTTTGAAAGAGAATTAGACGCCCAGAACTGTGTCCGCGAGTTAGCACTACGTGGTATTAAGATCCCTGAAGCTTCAGGAAGTAAAACAAGAACAGTGTTGGTTGATATAGAGAGGGGAAGAACTATTCGAAACTGGAAACCAAAAAGGCTTGGTGGTGGATTAGGTGGACGACATTACACAAGGCCAGATGTTAGACATAATAGCGCAGCTTCTGCTGCTGCGAGTGGAAGAACGTTACATCTGAAATTTCATCATCAACAAACTCCACCAAGCTCATATTCAAGCTCTTCTTATGGTGCACCGACTTACAGACCTGGATTTAAAACCGACCATAGAAGGATAGAAAAACCTGTCAAAGATAAATATGCGAAATATTCAGGTAAGGCCTCCGATATTTCAAGTTACAGATCTTCAACGAGCACCGATAGAACCAGATCCATTAAAAGTATAAGACAGAGAGAATGAACGAGATTACAGTCTCAGTTCTAATTGTTTTTAGTCTTCATTTAATAAGTATAGTACATAATAACCACGGCGTAAACTGTAAAATATAAACTGCAATATTTGACAGAAATAGTTATCGGTTTTTTGCTCTCTATGTTTCCAATGCGTTCACTGATTCTTAAACGTAAGCTTAAGACTGTTGATGATAATGTCAGAAAAGACTTCGTCTAAGAGGAAATTAGAGACTGATGAAGCTTATGACCCAAAAAAACTGAAGATTGAGTCTCTTTCAAACGAGGACCTCGAAAATTTGAAGAATGAATTAAAAGCAGATATCTCAAAAGAATTTGATGATAAGATTTCAGAGTTGAAAAAGGAAATTGAAGAACTTAAAAGGCAATACGGAAGTCCTAAAGAAGCTGCTCCTGATAAGGAAGAAAGAAAGCACGTCTTTGGCACCAGTCTGATCAAATTAAAGCCGAATTCGAATACTGCCACACCACAAACTTCATTCACCTCAGTACGGGAGAAGACGCCGAAAGACATATCCCCCTCAGAATCAAGCCACGTCTTTGGAGCTGTAACATCTTTTGGGACAAACTCAGCCTTTGAGAATATTAAAAATAAGAAAAATGTATTTGATGATCTCTCATCAAAGACTGCAAAAAACGACTCTTCTGGAGAGAGTCCTAATGGAGCCACGCCAACTGCTTCATTCGGCTCTGCTTTTGGTAGTAATTCTAAATTCAATAATGCATTCCTGGAGTCTTTGAAGAAGAAATCGTTCTTAGATGAGCCGAATGACAACCAAAACAATAAGGAAAAATCAGCCGGCTTGAATACTCAGCAATATAAACAAGTAGATTTGAACCCAGTGGGTGAAATCAAAACAGGTGAAGAAGATGAAGAATCTAAGTTCTCTGCGACGGCAAAGATCTTTGAATTGGATTTGACCAAGATTTCAGAGGGATGGAAAGAAAGAGGAATTGGCCCTATACACTTGAACGTATCTTTAAAGGATTCAAACCAGGTGAGATTAGTCATGAGATCTCAAGGCCTACTCAAGGTGATTTTGAATATGAAAATTAAACCTGACACTAAATTATTAAAAGGATTAGAAGCAAGTTTATCTCCAGGGAAGTTTTTACGTTTTAATTTTATTAATGCGGAGGGAAATCCTAATCAGTACTTATTGAAATTTGGCAGTCAATCATTGAGAGACGAGCTATTTGACAAAGTAGAGGATTTACAAAATCGCATGGGTAACACAAATGGTACCAACAGGGAATAAACATATTTACACTTAATATCTTATGTTAGTATTTTGTAACTTCAATGCTTAATGAAAGCAATGGTGCAAATTGTAGAGCCCGTCTGACCTCCAAACTTTATGCTTGGATAATTTATCTTATCCCACACTGATAATCCAGTTGACTTATCTTCAGAAATAATTTTAATAAGTTCTTCCTCTGTAAAATTACAGGACGTTATTAGCAAGACTGAGCTCTTGTGCATTAACTGAGAAACTTGAGAAGCATATACATCCATTCCCAATTTTCCTCCAAAGTCCGTAAGTGGGTTCTGGTTTAAAGCAATTGCATCCAAAGTACCTTTATCAAGTAAAATATCAAACTTTCCTTTGTTCAGTTCTATAAACGGGGAAGATTTCAACAACAAATCAGCCTGCTCAAATTTCACATCAACTTCAGAATACTGTTTGTCTGCAATCTCCTGAGCGAACTTCACAGAAGCTGGTGAGTAATCTATGCCACAGTATTCAAATTGTATACTTAAACCCTCCTCTTCAAAATCCTCATGTAGTTGGAATAATAAATGTCCATTTCCGGTACCTAAATCTATTACTCTTTTGCCTTCTGTCGTCTTGAACTCTCCGCTTTCAAACTTTTCTATCAAAAACCTTATCATTCGATTCTCTGCATCAGAGTCGTCAAACCAGCATTCTCCAGTATCATTCGAGTTCCCGTGAAAATTGTTTATTTCCAATTCATAGAACTTATCCCAACTTAATACAGTTAGCTTTATTCAGTTCAAAGAGCGATCAGTTACTTACTATTCTTGAGTTCCTAGCTTAGACGAGTTTAAACGTAAGTCACTCATGAGTTTGATCTCATCGTTAAATATAATTGAAAAATTAACTTCTCTATGTCTTGTATATACGACGCGTTTTTATTGACATCCACAATATATTGAAATTATATAGAGAATATGAATGAGAAGGCGTACGCGGAGGGCCGTGATTTGGAGACTTTAAATTGCCAGACTGAAATCATGGAACTGGAAGATTCTACTATTGATCAGCAAACGCAACTGAATTATAGAATTTGGAAGAAGAATACACCATACTTGTACGACTACATATCAACCAACTCACTACTTTGGCCGTCATTAACTGTACAGTTTTTCCCTGATTTAGAACTGTCATCCAAAAAAGAGTACAACACGTCCTTAAAGAAGGAATCAAACGATTATGATGTTAATTATCAGCGATTACTACTTGGTACATTTACACTAGGGGAATCTGTCGATAATATATCGATTCTACAGCTTCCTTCCTATAGGAACCTAAATGAAAATTTTAGCATAGACAAATTGAACTATAATTATGATAAGAAAGAGTTTGAGATCCCAACTTTGACTAAAAAGAAGATAAATGTTCTTCAGAAGATTAATCATTTTGGAGATGTGAATAAAGCGAGATATATGCCACAGAACCCCGACATTATATCTACCGGTAATAATATGGGCGACCTTGTAATATATGACAGGACAAAGCATAGCACTTTCAAAAGCAGCTTAATAAGTGACGATTCGAACGTCGATCAACCTCAATTATTGCTCATTAATAGTAATCAAGATCACGGCTCAGATATTTTCGCCATTGATTGGAATAGACAAAAAGAAGGAACAATAATTTCTGCTGACATGAAAGGTAACATAAATGTATTCGATATAAGGAATAATTTTGTTTCAAAAGATGATCACTGTCTATATGAGTCATGTCACTTTGATAATAATAAGATCGGAGTAAACGATATAGAATGGGTGCCAAATCATGATTCTCTCTTTGGAATGGTTGACGACAGTGGACGGTTAAGGATCTTTGATATCAGAGACCCAACTTCCTCGGTCATGGAGCAAAAGCAAGATCAAAGCATAAATAGTTTGAGCATTAATCCTGGGAATAATTTTTGTATTGCGACAGGTGATTGTTCTGGTACCATAAACGTTTGCGATATAAGAACTCTTGGAACAAAAGGTTCTGAAAGCCCGTATTCATTCAAAGGAAATAATGAATCAATAACACAATTAAAGTGGCATCCTAAATACCATAGTGTAGTGGGATCTTGTTCTACAGATAAATTTGTGAAATTTTTCGATCTTGCGAATTTCGAAGACCAAAGTGGCCTAATGTTTGTACATGGTGGACACATGTTGGGTGTCAATGACTTCGACTGGTCGTTGCATGATGACTGGTTGACTGCCAGTGTTGCAGACGATAACTCATTACATATCTGGAAGCCTGCTGATCAAGTTATTAGCAGCTACTCGTCCAAGTAAACTACATGAAATTACATATGTATGTTTTATAAAATACTTTCATGACTAGCATTTATATAATAATACCAGAAGTAACCGTGAAATGACTATCATTTTAGTGATATTTAGTTTTTAGCGAATAATTTCTCAATTTCAGAAACCGACTCGGCTAAAACTCTTTCTTGGAATTTAGGGTTCTCGATTTCTTTGTTTACCTTATCCAAGACTGATTTCACTAACTGTTCTTGTTCTAATTGTCTCTGTTGTTGTTCAAATCTAACCCATGAGTCTAAAACTGATTTAGCTTCAGTTGCGACAGCAATCTTTTGTTTTAATACGAAAGCCTCCGATTCCAACTGAGCAGTTTCCTTAGAGATAGCAAATAATTGTTTGGTGGTCTCAACAACATCCTTTAATTTAGAGACGGATTCGATTCTTTCCTTGACTGCAGAAATGTGCTTGTTACGGGATTCGTTCAATAATGAGTTGACTTTCTTGATTTCACCATCAGCAAAGTCTGTGTACAAAGGAGCAACAAACTTGGCAACCAAGGCAACGAAAGTAGCGAAAGTACCCACTAAAATAGTCTCATCATGCAAAACGATCAATTCGTTGGAGATTCCGTAGATAGCGGCAGCAGCGGTAGTTGCCAACACACCCGTCTTAGATAAATAGTTGTTACCTGGCAAAGCATCGATGATTGAATTAGCCTTTTGCTTTGGCTCAACAGGAGTTGAAAGATAACGTAAACCAATTCTAATGTTTGTTAGTATGAATTCATCTACTTAAACTTCTACAATAACTAAAGGAAAAACGCAGATTAAGGCTTGAATTTACGCCAAATCATTATCAACTAATACAAATCAGTCACTTGCAACAAAGTTTGTCAATTAGAATACTTCAAATTATTTTTCACTTTAGTTATTGTAGAACCATTTTCAAATTTTCACATACGGAGCTGGACGGAGTGCCACGCTTGCAATTGGACGAGTAGCTTTTAAAGCAATTCTGTTAACCATAGACATATTACTAAATAGTTTTCTATTCTATCGTATACAAGAAGGTAGTAGAAACAGTCGTTGAACTGTAAATCACCGTTTCTTTGATGGACGAGTTCGGGCTGGAAATTTAAAATTTTGATTGGTAGATTCTCGATTACCTAATTAGGAAGAAAACAGAAATCTAGCTGTGCGATGCTTCTACTGCCAGATTGTCTAATACACATACAACGAAAAAATATAATGCAATCTAGAGATGACGATCATAATATATACTCTATGATAATTCCCTCTCGTACTTCTCTTTGATAAGTTCATTAATGACTTGTTCAGTTTTAATGCGAGCTCGATCCGTCAAAATACGAATATCTGCTTTTATATCTTGGTTGTGAGATCTTTTAGTCAGTGCAATGGTATATGATTGTAGTTCATCCATAAAACTCTTTACCTCTTGCTCTTCTTTTTCCTTTTCTATTTCTTCGACTTCTTCTTCTTCTTCTATTCCTTCTTCTTTTTCTATTCCTTCTTCTTTTTCTTCAACAGCTACTTCATTTTTTTCTTGGGTAATTGCGTCAATTATGCTTTCGTTAACAGAATATCCAGTTACATTTTCTACATCTGGACTGGTCACTTGTTGTACCTCAAAGTTTTCTCTCTGACCGTCATTTAAAAGGGCTTCTTTGGCAGTTTCCGAGACATTCACTACTTCTTTGTCTCGGTCTAAAGATTCTATGTAGTGAGTATTTTCTCCATTTTCTCCGTTCACATTTTCTCCCTCAGCATCAGACAGCTTTATGCTTGATTTACTATCTTGAGAAACACCTTTCCTTTTCTGTCTCAACGCCTCAATTCGAGACCTTCTATCTTCCAATTGTTCTTTATAGTTCAAAGGCATTTAAGGATGCAAGTCTTCAAGGAAGTTATCATTAATATGAAATTGTCTTCAGTTCGCACGACGGTTGCAATCCATAAAAATTTAATCTATAGTGATTATTAGGTGAAAGCAAAACTCTTATACTATCTCTTGATATAAGAGCTACAGAAATTTCTTGATAATATCTAGTTTACAGCAATTATATTAACATTTATTCATAAATTCGTAGCATCATTTACTTCTTGAAGCAAAATAAGATCATTTGCAGTTATTCATATAAGGAACAAGAGCTTTGGATGATATATGAGATACATAAAGAACAAAACCAGAAATGATGATCGTATAATTTAAATGACGCTAATTCTCTCTGCCAATATATTCATTAGCAATATCTACCAAAAAAGTATCAGGAATTCTCATATGATCCTCTTCTATGGAAAGAAATTCCAATTTTTTAAGTTCATTAAGATCTCTTAGACCGATCAAATTCTTCTCATATAAAACAGTTTTATCAAACGGAATTAAATCGCCTGTATTTACATCGATATCATTGAAGGCAGCGCTACCCTTAGGAACCAAAGTAGTGTCTTGCGTGAACGTTACCATTACAAATTTTTCTATATCTTTGAGCCTGTCACCAAAATCAGGATTGAATTCATCAGCACGTTCATTATTAATCTCTGCCAAAAAATGGGATTTTAGAACATAATTATCAAACTGATAAGGATCACGGAAATATTGAGCCGGAACTATGGTCTTTTGAATTTTCTCATTCCACACTTGTCGCTTAAGAAGCTCATTGCGCCTGCGGCAGACCCAATCTTTTTCATCTCTACATAATGGAAGATCCATTACCCCCATATGCGGTGATCCAAACGTAATAAGGTTTTTGACTTTGGCTCGCTTACAAGTTTCCGTTAAAGCTCTCATAAAAAGACCACCTTGAGAAAAACCAATAGCATCGAACCCCGCGTCCAACTCTGGTCTTTTGCCTATCAGTTCACATACTTGCTCAACCTCTTTTTTGGCATCTCCGAATAAAGTCTTATGCTGATCCTTCGATGGATCCGGGTTAAGTTTCACAATGTATATTGCTAAATCGGGATAAATTTGATTCATAATTTCAGTCACACGTAAGATTCCACTAGAATTATAGTTATCACCAAGCCCATGCCAGATTACCAAGGGTCTCCTTCTCCCAAAATCTTCATTTTCACTTACAACATTATTGAACGTTTGTAAGACATTAACAGAACCAGCATCCTCATTCAAACCAAGCCCAGTCAATTTATCCCCTGAATCTGATCCAAACATCAAAGATGCCAAAACTCCGTTCCATATTCTAGATAATTGCATTTTGCAATGAAGTACTTATTTTGTATCCTTACATTAATTTCTCGTTTATATAAGGTGTGCACATAATGTATAAGCACCCATGTGAAGTACGCTATACTAAAACAAGGCAGTGGAAGTATTCGCTATTTGATTGCCAAATGAAAATGCTATAGGGGACTTGCAAGTATGTAAGCTCTGGTTCAAATAATTTTACGCTACTAGTGTTTTACATTATTCCACTTAAGTTGCGAAAAACTTGATTTAATACAATTAATATATAAATAAGATCTAAATTGATTACCATCCATCGCTTATTTGAAGACAAAAAGCCAAGACAGCTGACAGAAAACATAGAATGTAACGGAGATGAACTAAAAAACTTTTAAGATTCTGACAATTGAATCCGATCTAACTGTCTAAGAGAGCAGCAGTGTAGTTCTTTTGGTTATAATCCCAATAGAACGTAAGCAGCGCATTTGAGTTTTGGCATTGATCCTCATAGCTCACACCTTCAAATCTTTCATTGATGTAGTCTTCAAAGTCCTCGAGCTTGCAAGAAAAGCCAGGACCAGTCGAACAAGAGTTTATTGGAATCACTGCATCGTTGAGAATAAATCTAACGTAAGAGTCATCGCCACACTTGTATTTTTCTGTGTAAGTCCTTGAACCTTGTGGAACAATGGATGAATGCACATATGGATTAGGGAAAGGGATATGATCCGTAGGGATATCCTGGCTAGGGTTGATGATGCCTAATGAAGCATGAAAGATTTCGATATCAGTATCATGAGTAAACGATAACCAAACCTTGTTTTCACTACTATTATCCTTGAGTAACTTAAGCGATGACAAAACCATCTGAGAAGCCGCAGCCAATGTCATGTTATTTCCTGGGCCATTTGAATAGTATGCATCCACATCGGTTTGATAAGAAAACTTTACTAATTCCTCGTTTGTGAAGATATCGCAAAATGGGGATGCACCTTTAACATTCATTTCATAAGCACAATAACCAAAAAGATTCTCGACATCATCGGTATCAATATCAATACCATTATTTTCCAGTTGAATTCTGTCGACTATGTCTTGCAAGTAATCGTCATCGTAACTTTCAGATTTTTGAGCATCCTTCAAAGTGTTGCAGCCAGATCTTGGGGTTAAGGAATTAGCACCCATCGAGCCATCTTCGTCGATTATACTGTACTTTACGGAATCCTCAGTGTAATCGTCACCCAAAAATCCTCTAGCAAAGTATTTTGAAGTCATGAAACACCTTCCAGAGTTAGATGAGAAAACTGGTAGAGTCGAATTCTCGTTGAATAAAGAGTTGTATTTTGACCTGAAAGAGGCACCATGTTTCATTGCATTGGTAGTACCCGCAAATAAGCCCTCAGAATTCAATGGAGTTGTCTCTTTTTCGTAATAGTTATCATCAGTCACGAAATAGTCATAATCATTCATGAATGAAAGTGAACCTTGAAATGTCTGATTGTATGCTTTTAACTTGTTATAAATCTTATGATACAGCTTACCAGAACTCTTGGACGGATAACGCTCTCCATGCCTTGACAACAACTGTACTTGTTCGTAGGAGCAACCGTCTGGAATATCAGTAGAGATACCGTACCCTTGTCTCTGAACGTATGGAGCGCTACCCCCCAAAAACCTAACAATGTTATATTGATCTACTGCTGCTTGCTCTGGAGTAGCAAGATTCTGATATACCTGCTGTCCTGCTAAATATAAGCCTCCATTGACTAATTTTGATACTGAAACCATATTGTTGCTCGATCTCTTTTGTACTCTTTAAGTTCGATTCTCCCTTGGGTCAGTTTTAGCCTTACTTTTTCACGATCCTGGAATTCGTTACTCTATGTTTGACTTTATTTCAGGTGATTGAAAATAGCTTGCAATAAATATAGGCTCATAATAAGCTTGGTATGCTGCTAGCTTTATAGTCGACCAGTCCTCGCAACCCTGCAAGTTAAATTGAGCACGTGAACAATATTGGAGCCCAATTGGTAGAATTAGGCTTCGATATTCCGAAGTGTATGCGTCTCAAGCTGCCTTAGCCTTGTAGTTCTAATACCTATCCCTTGCAATTGTTCCGTTATCCAGTTAAATCGCTTAAACGCATGCTAATGGCATTCTTTCAGTATGAATGTAATAGTTTACGAGAAATTCGCAATCTGCCACGTGCGTTCTACATATCGCTTTAGCCACTGATAGAACGTACCGAAGTTAAATGGATTTAGATCAGCATAGCATACCAGTTTTTCTGTAACTCGAACATGTTGACAATGAAATGACCGTAAAATACCAAGAATTTTGGGCCTATAGGATGGTGTCAGCTAAACACGGTGCCTCCTTTATTATTCCATTTAGAATGGACGTATTAAGGACGTTTGATAGTCAATGTAGATGTTATCATTCACTTCATTGATCTGATTAAGAAGAGACATGTTAGTGGGCTACCAAGGCCCTATGGGAGAATATCAATATTGCTAGAATAACTTCAAGATCTTTTCTATTAAAGTATTCTATCACATAAATTACAAAGTATGTTCTAATTCGGTCTTTCAATGAGCCTATGTACTTATTTGCATCAATTGATAAGAAATTTCAAAATTATCGAAATTGCCAAAATTTTCAAAATTTTTTTTTTTTTTTTATTCTTCTATAATCATCTATATAGGTCATTACTTTTTCTTTTTAGCTTTGGTATCTTTAGATGATTTGGAATCAGGAAGGGCTAGCTTAACCTTACTCACTGTAAAATTAGCTATAAGATCATTTGCCTTTAATGTTTTTAACATTTCTCTCTCAACTTCCCAATCAACGTCCGTGACGGAACGAGATTTGTCGAGTTTACGGGTAGTGAAGTAGTTCAAAGCATCATTAATAGACTTACCTTTTTTACCCGCACCTGGCTGCACTTTGATTTTATACTTGAACTTATTAAAAGCAGGCCAAGGCGCAAATACAGGTATAACATCGGCTATGATATCACGAGGCTCTGGTCTCGAAATGAAAGAATCCAAAATTTCAAGGTAGTTAGTAGCACTATTCTCATCGCTATTTGATTCTTCCATTATGTACTTACGATATTCTCGCTCGTCATTTTTCTTTCTTCTCAGCGCGTTCTCATTCAGATACTTTTTAGCTGCATTGCTATCCTTTTCTTTAAGCTTCTGAATCTCTGCTTCTTCTTTTTGCTTCAAAGTACCTAGGGCTGCCATTCGCAATTTCTTTTCTTCTTCATCTTGATCCGCATACTTCTTTGCTATCTTTTTCATTTTCGCCTTTTTACCTCTAACATTGGGAGGTTTGTGTGATGAGCTCTCACGCTTATTAATTTTCAATTCATTGAGCTGTTGTTTAATGGGATCTATTATATCATCGTCAACATTAAAGCTGGTTTTTTTCGCCAGCTTGTTTTCTTGAGGATTCGATTGCTCTACTGTGCCATTATCTGAATTAAATGATTCTTGTTGGGGTGACTTCCCAATTTTATCGTTTGATTCATCACTTCCTTCCTTCTCGTCGTGAGTTCCATCCAGCACACTAGGAACTAATCCTGATTCGGATTCAGCCTTAGTTTCTTCAACATTCCCTTTATCAGCAGTAGTCTTCCTACCTCTTTCACTATCAATATCCTTTTTTCTATTATCCATCACAATTTTGAAACCATGAAGTTCTTCTCTTTGAAGTCTTTGTTGTCTATACCGTGAAGTGGTATCATCATCACCAATCCAATAGAAGCCAAGGCCCATTACAAGTTGTGAGGGAGGCAAATAGCTTTTGTCAGCCTTGTAGGTAAACGTACCAGCGGGAAGCAAAGAGTTATCGTAGTCTTTCTTTGATATTTCAGACCCATCTAAAACCCAAGCTGATGTAGTGATTTTAGCATTCCAAGCGTTAGAAGCGGACAAAGCAAAAATTCCCGCTTGAGATAAAGTACTAGGAGGCACTTTCTCTCCAAGGAAGGGATTTTTGACAAATACCTTTAATGAGTCATCAATGTCAGACGAAACAAAACAATCATTATCATTAAAGTATCTATAGTAAATCATATCTGTCTGTGATGGATCACGTCCTGCTAGACATAAATAGCCTTCACTGGAAACGAACCAAAAAAATTTCTCAAACCAATATTTGAGTCTAATTTGCTTCAACGTATCATTTTCATTTTTCAAATTTTTACTCAAATCTTGATTGATTTTTCTTTCGGCATTTTTCAAAGCCATGTGTGACTTTTCCTCTACCTTATGCATCTTTGTTTCAGCATTTTTTTTGGAATCGAAGTATAAGCTCGCATTTGAAAACGCAGAAAGAGTCAAGTCAACCCACACTTGGATAAGTTTTCCACCGTCACCCTGAGCATTCTCTTGGTCATTGGATTTTACCTTCTTGCTCTTATTTGCGCGCTTTGATCTTATGTAGCTATCATCCGAATCGTAATCCGAGTCAGAATCTGAACTTGAGCTAGTTGAAGAGTTTGACGAGGAAGCAGATTCCTTATCTTCATCTTCATAAAGCACATTTGGGTTTGGAAGCAATAGATTAATCTTGTTCTCCTTTAGATTTAAAGGCAATTTGATCGTTTTAGCAACATGGTGTCCTCTGGACTTTTCCAACTTAATCAAACTCTCCATATTAGTCCAATCCATCTGTAAATTGACTAAACTTATAATGAACTCGCGGCAGGATTCCACGAGATCCATGGAGTGAATGATGGCATCAGCCTTGGTTACACTTAGCTCTTGTTGATTCACTAAGGACTGGATTTGTTTATCCCTTTCTGATCGAGCATGGTCTAATCTATTGGCAGCTTGAAGCTTCTGCTGCTCTATTTTTAAAGCATACTTTGTAGATTCAATTGTAGAAAAGAATGAGTCAAGAGTCTTGTTATAGCCTTCAATTTCTGTGAACTTATAACGATCCTCATGATCTTTATATGGCTTGAAAGGATGAAACTCCTCTAAGATGTATTCAAGCTCAGGCTTTTTCTCTTCCGGATTATAATTTGGATTAATTTTAGACACAATGACACCTTTACTTTCGTGATTCGGAGATGTAAGGGTCAAAAATTCGGCTTCTGAGTCATTCAATACCTTTACAGCAGATTGGATTTTTGCCTCACCTTCTCGAAGATCAAAACAGCTAGCTTTGGGATCTAGTCCTAATGCAACAACATGCTTAAGTATTAGTTCGCTAGACAAGTGGCTCGCATTAACAAATAGAAGCTTGTGTATAGAAAGAATCTTGGCCTTCTTCTCCAGGTCATTCAATTTGAGTTTCTGTTCTTGATCCTTCACCCACTTTTCGATTTCAGTTTGACTATAAGCCTTTTTTTGATATACTTGAGTATCTGCAAAAAAGGATTCATTGAACAAGGCATAAGTTTCGTTAACAGCGTATCTACTGACGTCACCTTTCTCTCTTACAGTCCGCTGCAATGAAAGAATCTTTCTCTCCTGGTCTAAAAGAAGGATATTCCCAGCACTAAAAAATTCAAAAACCAAGTAGTACAATCCATCGCTAAATTGGAAAACTATAATTCTATCATTTGTGACCTGCTTAATGGCAGAAAGTCGTCTAGACTTCAAATGCTTTCTTAGTTTCGTAACAAAGGTTGAAGGAGCTTGCGTCACAGGTCTTTCAAAATCAGTCAAATAAAGCTTGTTACCACAGTCAACAACCAATTGCTTCTTGGAGTCTGGAATTGAAAACTTTAATAAATATTGACGATTTGAATTACTCAAGTTGTAAATATTTTGCAAGCGATAATTTAGAAGACTATTCACAAGTTCAGGGGTAATGATCTGAAGATCTAGACCAGTAATTCTTTGCTAAACATTGATGTTAGAACTGAACTCTTAATATAAAAAAGTGATATAATAAAACTTACCTTCATGGTCACTTGTAGTAATAGTTTAAATAGATATGACACCATTGATATGCTCGATCATCGACTATATAGTGAACATTCTTCAAAGCACGTGATCAGATATCGGAAATTGCTGCCATTTAGTACTCAGCTTTGCAGTTGGATCCGTAAGAGGTTAGAATTGAGATAAATATACTTTTCCAAGAACACTAAAAAAACGACAAATTTATCATGGCTGACATTAAGCAACTATTGAAGCCTTTAGTTGAGGCAATTCAAAAAGGGGATAAAAAAGTAACGTTTTTTCAGGGAGCAGGGGTTTCCACATCAGCAGGAATACCCGATTTTAGAAGCCCTAAGACTGGCCTATATTCGAACCTAGCTAAACTTAATCTTCCATATCCTGAAGCAGTGTTTGATATTGATTTTTTTAGAGATGATCCAAAGGCATTTTATACTTTGGCTGAAGAGCTATATCCTGGAAAGTTCGTTCCCACAGAGTTTCATTACCTTACGAGGCTACTCCAGGATAAGAACTTGCTTAATAGGATCTACACACAAAATATCGATACGTTGGAAAGAGTCGCTGGTATTGATGGAGAATACATTGTCGAAGCTCATGGATCGTTTGCAAATAACCATTGCATAGATTGTTCAGCTGAGATGTCTACAGAGGAGCTCAAAAAGCATATGGATAACAAAGAGCATAATGAAGGGATACCTTTATGTCCGAAATGCAAAGGATATGTAAAACCCGATATTGTATTTTTTGGAGAGGGATTGCCTTCAAGGTTTTTTGAACAATGGGAGGAAGATTCAGACAAAGTTGAGATTGCAGTGATAGTTGGAACGTCTTTGACAGTTTATCCCTTTGCCTCTTTGCCGTCAGAGATAGGCAGCAATCTGCTAAGAGTTTTAGTCAATAATGAGATGGTTGGTGACTTTAAGCGTGGCAAAAGGAAGAAGGATATCGTGATTCTTGAAGATTGTGACAAAGTGGCGAGAGAATTGGCAAAGCAGCTAGAATGGGAGGAAGAATTAGATAAATTGATAGAAGAAGGACGACAAATAGTAATAGACAAAGAGAACAAGATCGCCTCCGATGTGGCGGCAGAGCTTGCAGAAGAGATCAAAGAGGTTGAAATAAATCATGAAAAACCGGGACAGAACTCAGAGGGCCATTTTAACGATGCTAGTAAATCTAATGAGATTAATGAAGAGAAGAAACTCGAAGATGAAATATCTAAATTGAAAATTTAATTTAAAGTTTAAATAATGCATGTCTAATTCTTCTGATATAACCTGTAGAAGAACCTCATATTCTCAAGTTTCATTGTATAGTTGATTTCCTTGGTATCTATTCGGTACCAACAACTGTCTGATTGTTCTATAAGTCTCCATGAGCCATTTTTTTGACCGGGCCTGCCAAGTAGGATAGTATCGATTAAGAATTGAACGGGAAAAGTCTTCGTGCCAACAGTAATATGCGAATACGAGCCAGCGCTTTCGGCTATCAACAAGTAGCAACCACTTTTGCACTGCGAATTTAGTCTATGCAAAAATTTAATAGTTTCACTTTTTTTTTCGCTGAAGAGTTCGTTAGTCGTGAACAAAATTGTGAGTAGGTCAAAATCAGGAAGAGCCAAAATCGAAGATTCGTCCAAGACATCATTATTCATGAAAGTAGTATTTAGCTTGGCTGGATTGTATAACCAATTTTGTTTCAAGAACTCAGTCATATCTGTAACTACGGAGCTCCAGTCAGCTATATCAGCGATGACAATCTCTAAAGATGAATTGGAATTAGGATTGTATTCTTTTAATCGACAGAACACAGAAGAAAGACCCACCAACTCAGAGCCCGCTCCACCACCGACGCAAAGCACCTTCTTTTTATTTTCCAGTTCTTTTAAAAGTTCTCGAATTGGGGCTAACGTTGCAAATAGAGAAGAGTACGAAAGAGCTCTCGCAGGGGTCCATCTTGATGCATATGCAAGCCTCTTCTCCTCGCCGTCAAAAGCAGATATATATTCTCTTTCATATAATTTACCTTTAACCATCTGGATATGCTCCTGTAAGTTCGGAGACTCCAAAGTATCTTCAAATATTATTTCCATTAGTTCGATGATCCGATGTGGCTCCATACAATATGGAGATGAGAAAGGTATTAAGCTTTTATTGCAGCCTTCATCTCCTTGTACCTCATCAGCATTAGTAAAGGTCGCAACAGGATCCTTTCTTCTTCTTGAGTTTCTACTCATTGAACTCTCTCACCTCTTTTTAGGACACCTAGCAGGACTCACAAAATTTGATAGATGTTGATACCTGCGGGTAAGGCTCATCTTGATAATTTTTCAGTGCGACTATAATAGGGCTAAATTTTTCTCTCTCTTTACAAAAGAAGTTTTCTTCTTTCTATTAATCTATCTGTGTTACAGTGAACTCTCGGCTAAATTTTCATTAAAGCAACTTCGGTTGTTTATGACTGTTTGCTGATGAGCGACCTGTAGCAGTTCGGTGCTCGAGAAGTAAGCTAAGATTCTGATCGTAAGTTCGTTACACCATTGAGCCAAGCAATTGGCATTTGAAAGTACCGTTTTAAAGCTGAAAGTACTGCTGGTCCTCGCGTCAGCGGGTCTGAGCGGCAGAACTCGATGCAAGGTGCTCCCAAATTTGGACAATGAGCGAAGATCTGATGAAGTTTTTTGAAAACTGTTTAGCAGAGTAACTCCATCGACAGATTGTATATTAAGCAGGTCGACCTTGAGCCGCCAATTAACTATAAAGTTTCGGCTTTATTGTTGATTGGTTGTTAGCTCGGTCAATATGGCTTGTGGCAACATATTCCTGGACTTTGCGTAAGCCCTATGGGCTGGTTACGATTTAAGTAAAACCATGTTGCATACATTTCCCAACATTTAACTGCTGCTTAGATGCACCTCGTTCGTATCTTTATTGCTGAAGTATCAGAAAGAAGAAGGTGGGAGATCTCTAATGAATTTGATCGAAATCAATGTAGATTTTCTCGTCGAATGTCAAAGTTATAGATCTTTAATTAATGCTCTACAGTCTCAGGAATCCAATGTAGATTAACTGAGACGCAATCTGGCTAGTCGTTTCTTGCTCAAGTGGCCAGCCTTTCTTATGCCTTTCCAGTATAGAAAACTCTTCATAGTCTTCCAAAGTAGATTTGCTCACGTGAACACATCGGAATAATATGATAAACTGAGGCTATATAGATATGCTATCGTATTCTTCTGAGACTCCTTTTATCCCTCATCTCTTTGATATTAATGATTTAACCTTTTGTGATCTTTGACACCATCACATTGAGGTAGATGATGGACTTTAATAGAACATCAACATCAGATTCAAATCTATCATCAGATTCCTTACAAAGCGGAGGAAAAGCTTCAGTTCGGTCACGTCCCAGACCAGAATACGGTTCTAAGACAAGTGTTTCACATTTACCTAGTTTACCTAATAGAGTATCTCAGGAAGCTTCTGATTCCAGCCATATATACCCTAGCGAAGTTCCATCAAATCCAGGTTCGAGAGATACCTATGTGGAATTTGATTTAAGTTCCAAGAACAACAATGAAGTTGAAGACAACTATAAAATCACAGAAAAGGTTATAGGAGGAAAAGCCGATGAAGTAAGTAGCGAAATCATTGAACGAGAAGACAATAGGAGACTGCTAGAAGATGTTGCTGGGAGCCCAAATCCTGAAAATGAAGACGACTTCTTCAATATGAAAACTTCCAATTGGAAATCAATGAAAACGATAACTGACGTTGATTATTACGATGAGAAGGGAAATCTTGAGTTTGAACCTGACAAGAGATTTGATTCGATGGAAAATCCGACTGGTTCTCGTGGATACACCAAGATTGATTCCGAAGAACAAGTCGCAAAATATGCGGAATTGGATAAGAAAACCGATTTCTTATTTCAGGCTAGAAAATCATCAAAATCACATGAAAAGACGTATGAAACGTTGACAGATGACTTAGATTCAGAGTATGAAGATGATGAAAACCTTGACTCAAAGGAAGCTATGCAAACAACTAAGAGCATGCTTTCTGACTCTCAAAAGTTCGCATACGTAGGAATTGCTAAATTAATAATGGTTGAAATGGCAACTGAGCTAGCAAATATGAGACAATATAGTTCGAATAAGGTTGCAAAACGCTTAAGCTTGAGCCAGAAGAATTTTGCTAATTGGACAATGTATATACTGACTAAGATTTATGATCATTTGGATTTGTCAAACGAAGAGCAAATAATGATTGAAAATCTTAGTCGTCATGGATTAGAAGTATCGGACTTGGTGGACAGCTTGCTTGAAAAAGCAAGTTTACCGATGATCGAAGAATATTCTGATTTACCCAATTTTGATCTACGCTGGGTAATTATTTGTGATATGTTTTTATTACTCTTGAGCGATGGTTACTATGACAGTAGATCGCGTTCTTTACTTATGCAATTCTCTGGATACATTGGAGTTTCCAATTTAGAGATATATCAATTTGAACGAAGACTTCTAGAAAGCTTAGAACTTGAAACAAACCAGAAATCGATAGACAATAAGGATGACAAATTTAACGATAGACTGTTTATTGATAAGCGCATAAAGCGAAATAGGAAAAAAAGATTGGCCTATGTTGGGCTAGCTACTTTAGGTGGTGGTCTTGCGATAGGTCTCTCGGCAGGCTTGCTAGCCCCAGTTATTGGTGCTGGTGTTGCTGCCGGATTAACTACCGTTGGGATAGGAGGTACTAGTGGCTTTTTAGCCGGGATAGGTGGAAGTGCAATTATTACGACTGGTGGTGTTGCGGTTGGTGCTAAGGTAGGTAGCAAGGCAGGTGCCCGCAGATTGGGGGATGTTCATACGTTTGAGTTTAAGCCATTATACAATAATAGACGCGCAAACTTGATATTGACTGTCAGTGGTTGGATGATCGGTCAGGCGGATGATATAAGATTGCCGTTTTCGACGGTTGATCCTGTTATGGGTGATATGTTCTCTTTACTTTGGGAGCCTGAGATGTTGAGATCGATGGGCCAGACAATTGGGATCTTAGCAAGTGAGGCTTTGACAAGTTCGATCCAGCAGATATTAGGTGCAACATTTCTAAGCACTTTAATGTCTGCTATTCAACTTCCTGTCGCACTATCCAAGTTGTCGTATCTCCTTGACAATCCGTGGAATGTATCTCTCGATAGAGCTTGGAAAGCTGGAAAAATCATGGCTGACGTCTTAATTTCCGGAAATATGGGAGTGAGACCAATAACCTTAGTTGGCTTTTCATTGGGAGCTAGAGTGATTTATTCATGTTTAATCGAATTAGCCAGACGCGGTGGTTATGGCTTGATAGAAAATGTGGTTATTCTAGGTACACCTATTACGGTTAAGAAGGATCAATTGGCATTGGCAAGATCCGTCGTAAGTGGTAAGTTTACAAATGGCTACTCAAAAAAAGATTGGGTGTTAGGATATCTTTTTAGGGCTACTGGAGGAGGTTTACTGACTGTTGCCGGACTCTCTCCAATAGAAAGCTGCAATATTGATAATATAGATTGCACCGAGTGGGTTGAAGGTCACATGTCATATAGAAAGGCTATCCCAAAAATTTTGAAGGCAATTAATTGGGAGGTTCTAAGTGACGAATTCGCTGAAATCGAGGAGCCTGATCCAGAGGAAAACGAAAAAACCAGAAAATTGGTCAGCGAATTTGATGAAGCCAGGCTTAAAATGATGAAGGAAATGGAAAACAAATCCGAAGAAAAAAAGACATGGAAGGATTGGTTCAGACCGAAGCCAAGAGAATGGTGGGATACAGTTGGGGAAGGAGAATTGAGTCAGAAAGAGGGTCAAAACAGAAAGAACACAGAGGAATATGAAGTTGAAGAAAGATATGACAGAAGATCCGAAGACTTGGAAACATCAGATAATCATACCCAGCCTATTTTTGACTTGCAAGCTTTGGCTGAAGAAGTAAATCAGATAGAAACTTTGGCAACTGAAGACAAAGAAACTTTGAACAAAATCAAGAATAATGTTGACTCAGAAGATAAGGGTGGCATTAAACTCAATGAAGATATGGAAGATACAGAAGGTGATGAAACTTTTGTTGGCAACTTCGGGAAAAAGATCTTCAGTAAACCGAAGGCATAGATAGCTTACTATTTTACTATCTATACATCATATACAGTATTGCATTTAAATCTCAAATTTACGTACTATTTTGTAACTGTGTAAATCAGATACCGACAGTTTTCCGCTCATAAAATTTTGACTCATTCTGATATCAAGTATGAACAATTTGCATAGATCTTTGCATTAGGTTACACAGCATATATATCTAGAATCGAGAAGTTACAATATGCCAACCATTCCAGTTGACAAGGAGGATCTTTATAAAATTTTAGGTAAAGAATACACCACTGAGGAATTTGATGAATTATGTTTTCAGTTCGGTCTTGAATTAGATGAAGATACTACTGAAGAATGTAAAGACGACGAAAGACCACAGTTGAAGATTGAGATTCCTGCAAATAGGTATGATATGCTTTGCATTGAAGGAATCGCCCAGGCGCTTTGTGAATTCTTGAATATCAGACAGACCCCAAAGTATACATTGAATCCCAAATTTCCAGAGGTAACAATGACCATTCAAAAATCGACTGAGTCTATTCGTCCTTACGCAGCTGCAGCAATTTTAAGAAATGTAGAATTCGATGAGAAAAATTATGAATCGTTTATCTCTTTGCAGGATAAGTTACACTCTAATTTATGCCGTAACAGAACTTTAGTTGCTATTGGTACTCATGATTTCGATTTGTTGAAGCCACCTTTCACTTACGAAGCATTGGCACCATCTGATATTAAGTTCGCTCCTTTAAATCAAGAAAAGCTGATGGATGGAAATCAATTAATGGACTTTTATGATGGCGATAAAAATATAGGTAAATTTTTACATATTATTAGAGATTCACCCGTCTATCCAGTTATTTTTGATTCATCGAGAGTTGTCGCTTCGTTGCCACCGATAATCAATTCAAACCATTCAAAGATTTCTTTAAACACAAAGAATGTATTCATTGAGGTTACCGGTACTGATAGAACTAAGACGGAAATTGTAATCAACCAGATGGTTGCAATGTTTTCTGTCTATTGTAAGAAAGCATTCGAAATTGAACCAGTCAAGATAATTTCTGAACACAATGGAGAATCAAGAGTCACACCAAATGTGGAACCAAGGATCATGCAAGCTGAAATCTCTTACATAAACTCATGCCTTGGTTTGAAGTTGAGTCCCCATGAGATAAGCAATTTGTTGAGGAAAATGTCACTAACTGCAAAATTGTCATCCTCAGACAATAAGCTATTAGATGTCGAAATTCCAATCACAAGACCTGACATATTACATCAATGTGATATTATGGAGGATGCAGCAATTGGGTATGGTTATGACAACTTAACGAAGACAAAGCCGAAGTCCGAATCACTCATCGCAGCTCCATTACCTGTTAATAAAATTGGGGATATAATAAGACTCGCTACTTCACAGTCAGGGTATTTGGAAGTTCTACCATTAACATTGTGTTCTCACGATGAGAATTTCAAGTTTTTGAGAAAGAGTGATGACGGAACAACAGCAGTTAAGTTAGAGAATCCAAAGACAGCAGAATATCAAGTTGTGAGAACCTCTTTGTTACCGGGTATTTTGAAAACTATCAGAGAAAATAGAAAGCACTCTTTGCCAATCAAGGTCTTTGAATGTGGGGACATCGTATTGAAGAACTCCAAGCTAGAGCGTGGAGCATTTAATCAAAGAAACTGGACTGCTGTCTATGCTGGTAAGACTGCTGGTTTTGAATTGGTCCAAGGTTTGCTTGGAAAAATAATGCAGACAATGAGAACAAAATGGCTTGAGAATCCTCAAGAAGAAACTGGAAGGGGGTATTGGATTGAAGAAGACAAAGAAAACCCTACATTTTTCCCAGGAAGAGGTGCAAAAGTATTTTTTAGAGAGAAAGAAGGCAAAGAGGCACAAAATATTGGCTGCCTTGGTGTTATACATCCAGAGGTTTTGAACTTCTTTGAGATACCTTATGCGGCCTCCTCTGTAGAAATCAATGCCGAGGTATTTTTGTGAATATAGAAAGGCAGTGGATCGCCTTTATTTAGTGATCTCTTAATAGATTTGATGAATCATAGCTTCTATAGATGATTAGTGCATTGTCTCGTGTAAACGATTATTTGCACATTCTACTTAATCTAGTGCGGTATTTGATAACGTACACTACTCGAAATATTGATATTCTAAACGACTGAGCTTTGCCTTGCCATTAGCTGGAGTTTTCAGCAAGAAATTATCATACATCAGATATTGCGAGTTAAAGAGATATACCTTAAGCATCTCTATTACTTGAATTGATTTTCCGATAAATCCAGATTGAAGTAATTTGAAATTAACGGAATAACACAATGAGTGGCAGAACCCCTTCTAGATCGTACGACATGATTATGAAATTATTATTGGTGGGAGACTCGGGAGTTGGCAAGTCATGTCTCTTGTTAAGATTTGTGGAAGACAAGTTTAACCCGTCCTTCATTACAACCATCGGTATTGATTTTAAGATTAGAACGATTGAAAGCAAAGGTAAAAGAATCAAGTTACAGGTATGGGATACAGCCGGCCAGGAGAGATTTAGGACCATCACAACCGCTTATTATAGAGGTGCAATGGGTATTGTTTTGATCTATGATGTGACTGATTCCCGGTCTTTCGAAAATGTTGAAAATTGGTTTGAGACCGTCACTCAACATGCCAATGAAGACGCACAAATATTTTTGGTGGGTAATAAATGTGATGATGAAGAGAGCAGGCAGGTCTCCAAAGAACAGGGACAGGCTTTAGCGGCTAAACTCAATATTCCCTTCTTAGAGGCTAGTGCAAAAAGTAATGAAAATGTTGATTCAATCTTTTATGAACTAGCAGGTATTATCCAAGAAAAACACGTCGATTCTGAAGTTCCTCAAGCTTCTTCTGCATCATCGGGTGGAATCGATGTCTCTCAGAGTGCTACAAACTTTAAAAACAACTGCTGCTAAATCAAAAGAGTTAAAAGAAAGCCTACTAATTTGTTCTTTTTTTTTCTTTATTGTGTGTTGATTATTATCTTTCAAATTTCTACTTAGTAATGTCGATTATGGAGTATAGTGTCGACTCAATATGACGAAACATGTGCCTCTTAATCGATTGAGAAATTTGTCAAAAGACCTAATTTTGGTTTCATTGAAACTACATAATTTCAAGTAAATAGTCTTTCAAAAAGACGATGGAAGATGTGACTTATAAGCTATATGATATACATCAGATGTATTTGAAGGTCCTCATGAAGGTTATTTTGTAGTAAAAACAAATTTCTCAAAGGGCGTATGCTAAAAAAAAACGTCTTTAAATCTTTTTTCCAAAATAAACCCATTGGTCCTCCAAAGGCTTTTCTTCCAACTCTTCCCAACATTTCATTCCGGCGAGTTCATGGGCCAATTCTAGCTCATCGTTAGCTTGTACAAGTATTTCTTCAATTAATCCGCTACCTATTCTACTTTCAATATTTTCAGTAATCTCTTCTTCCTCTACGATATTTAATCTGTTTTTCGTTAATGCTTCAACGGATTGCTTGTAGATAGACTGCTTTGGAAACTTTTTGTCCAACACTTCCAAGGTATGATTGTATAAAGCTATTAACGCTGGCCTTGGGTTTGGGTGTTGATATAAGCCAGTTAATCCTGTAGGATATCCAGAAGCGGACTTCACCAATACTTCTTGCGCCTTCCTTAAAGCACTGGTATACCTCATTTGCCGTATTATATTAAGTGACTTTTGATTGAAAGAAGGTTCTATCCTAAATGATTGTTACCAACTGGAATATACTTTCACATTACTGGTCGAATTAGACTTTTATATGCAAGAACATAAAATCACGTGAATACATAGAAGATCTAACCGTGAATGATGTCAAGTAATATAGATATAGATAACTAAATCGATCTGGTCTAAGATCTTAATGAGATAAATACAAACGGAAAAAAAGAGAACAGCTAATACAAAACAGTTGTAATTCTTATGGCTTTTACCAGCTCGCCGGTAATATATTGGCAATAAATTCGCAATGGAAAGAGGAGGGTTTATTAATGGAACAATTCCCTTATTTATAGTTTGTTGTTGTGATTCGAGAGCACAGTGGGTGATATATACTGAAGAGAGCTAAAAGCCACCACCTCCAAAATCACCACCCCCGAAGTCACCACCTCCGCCGTAGTCACCACCTCCGCCGTAGTCGCCACCTCCACCGTAGCCATCCTGGTAACCATCTTGATAGGCATCCATTTGCAGATGTCCAAGCATATCTCCAAGAAGCATACCACCAAGCAAACCACCTCCGACACCCATAGCCATACCACCGGCTCCAAATCTTCTTCCAGATTGCTGTGTTTGATAACCACCATATCCTTGTTGAGGTTGAGCCATTGGGTATCCTGCCTGAGGATATCCCTGCTGAGGATAACCTCCATATGGCTGTGCTGGAGCTGGAGCACCCCCATAATATTGAGGACCTCCTCCATAGCCACCACCATATTGAGGCACTCCAGTTCGCTGATCAGAATTCGAGCCATTTTGCTGAGCTGCTTTACCTGGCATACCCTGTTGCTCCAGACTCGATGGACTGTATGGTGGTGGGGGTACATCTCCACCAGAGCCGAATTTTGTTCCCAGCGGTGCCTCCCATTGAGATTTCTTAGAATTCAAATCAACATAGTACCATGTTTTATAATTACCATCAAATTTTGCCAACCATCCGTCCGGAACAGTGGGCTGATTACTTGGGTTGTTGTTATCCATTGGTTTACAAATGATAAGCTTTTTAATATAAATGCAACATAAAATTGCTGACAGAAATGGATCCAAGAAATTTTGATAAGCGTGAACAAAAAAGGAGATCAGATGACTACCTAAAATGCGACATATTCATTTTCGCAGCTTAGCTGTGTAGAAGCGTGACTTACAAACTTTATCAGAGGTAGTAAGATGAATTATCTAGAAGAATCCAGATCGATGTTTATATCTCCGGAAACAATTCACTGACAATTCCGTCAAATATCTCGAGAACTATATGCTTATTTAAGTATTCATTCTGAACCATACCGAATATATTTGTGACCGCGTAGTTAGTATTAGATAATCCAAATATCTTGGAGCATGTCTCATTCATAAACATAGACAAAAGCACGTTTGCTTCATGCTTTGTAGTGACTCTATCATAAATGGTACGGATAGCAGGGGGATCCCTGAATTTTCCATTCGGAAATAGTAAATCTTTCACAAATATACAGAGATCCAAAAGACTTTCGTTGGTTTGGAGAAGAAAATCAACTTGATCGTATATCTTCTTTTCTATTGTTGTTCCAAATATTTGCTGTAAAATTACCAATAGAGCACGACCTCTAAGCCAAGTCTTAGACATGTTTAACCTGAATATTGAAATGAGGATGTCACAAATTGGCTTGACGAATGCGGTTCTTGCTTCATTATTACTAATATCATCATATTGCTTCAACTCATTTTGCATTCCTTTAATATCAACTATAACCTTAGTATCATCTTCACGAGACGGTTGCTCTATGGACATGAAAGAAGGAAGAACACGGTTTGATAAACCACTGTAAAATTTATTGGCGACTGTCTCTATGTCATTCTTTGTTTTCCTGTAGGTTACATTTAAGCCATCTTCAAAGGGCTGGTTTTTTCTTAAGTTAAAGTTCTCCGACGAAAGAAACGATCTAAATGCCTTATTGTAGCAGACTTCGGGAATCTTGATCAACTCTTTTAAGTACTCCTCTAATGCTGATTTCCTTAACTCTGCAAGTTGTCGCTGCTGAAACTTTAGAACCAGGACCTTTCTCTTCGGAAACTTAATGTTAGATATTTGAGGGAATTTCGATTTCAAATATTCATTTAACTTGAAAAATTGACTAAACCGTCTTGCAACTATCCATCCCGCGGTAATGACGTCTGGGTCCTCATGAGATAGTTTTTGAACCTCGATGATATATAAGGTAAATTCTTTTCCATTTTCACTGTCGCTAATGTAGGATTGAATGCAAACCCTGGATCGTCCGTAAAGACTGTTATCGTTTTCTTGAACTATATATTGTTGCCTTTGTAACTCTTTAGACTTTATCTCCCTCTCTAGCCCTAATTTAGACTTCTTTAGAATTTTGAGTTCACTGATATTATTTGTCAATTCAGCTTTTCTCAATAAAGGGTCCAATATTGCTTGCTGATCTGACAAACGCTCAATATCATCACCAAGCTTAGTAATTTCTTCTGAAAGACTTAAATTTCCCGGAGCAGCTAAAAATAATTGCAGCCCGGAATCACTTCCATTTTCTAGTTCAAGGGAACTTTGCAATTGGTTGTCAGAATCAAAATTTGTAGAGTCGCTGTCAGCTTCTGATTCATCCGTGTAGTCATCAAAAAGCTTAGGTTGCTTGATGATATTAGTTTTAGGTTCATCTCCAAATAGACTAGAGCCATCGCCAAAAATATTTTTTTGGATATCGTAAGTGGGTTCTGCTTGGTTGGGTATCGAAGCTGAAGAAAGCGACTTCTCCAGCAGAGGTATGGGGTCGTCAGCATTACGAGAATTAGTCATTATTTGAGTGAACGCATCCTGAACAGCTTTTACTACCGCGGGGCTAATCACTTCTTCCTCATTCCCGCCATCATCTTCTAGAACTGGCACATCATAAAATAAAGATTTCAAGTCATCAGAGTTAGCTCTGTTCGAGTCTAAAGCATTAGATTTTATTAAAGTGCGGAAATCATTACTTTGCTTGAAGAGAGAGAAATCTTCATTCATTCTATCATAAAGCTCATTCTGCAACTTGAAAATTAATTTTCTGGATTTTTGGTAGAGTTTCAATTGCTCAGGTCCTTCACTTTTTATTAGATCTTTAACGGTTTCGACGATATCGGACTCAATAAGCATATGTGGATCACAGAAATAGGTATGATAAATCTTTTTTATGTCATCAAGGTTCGAAAACTTTAATGATAATCCAATCTCAATTTCTCCATTTTCACCAATTAGAGAATCTTCGAGAGGAGCTTTAATGTTTTCAATATCTTTCCATAGGCCAAGAATAGATTCCCTACCTCTTTTTTGCATGAAGTTATAAAAACTTTCAAAACTCAGTGGCCTATAAAGTATTTCAGACAACGACAATGATTCAGAATCAGAGCCTGACATCCTTTTAATGGATCTTTTCTTTAGGAGATCTTCATTCATCAATCTGTGCTTTACGGAATTCTCTAGAGCAATAACGCGACGTTCTGAAAAACCGCCTGAAGCAAATTTTGAGGACTTTCGAAGAATCTGTAATTGAGATTGAAGTTGCATCAACTGCTCCATAGAGTCCATCTTCGATATTTGGTCCAAGTGTTGATTGAATTCATCTTCAGTAAAATTAATGTCAAAAAATTCTTTCTCCAACTGCTCTAAGGATTTCTTGTAATTCGGAACTCGAAGCAGTCTTGCCGATATCTTGTTTGATAGCGAACGAGTATGTTCATCCAATGCTGCTCGAAGTCGCTTTACTTGGTCACGGTGTTTCAAATTATCACCAACTAACCTTACTATTGCCATATTATAAAAATCTGCTTCACTTAGCATTTGAAGGATATTCGATAGTATTGTGCACGCCAATATTTCTGTTACTAAAGAATTAGCCATCTCCGAGTTGCTTTCTTTCGAAGACAATAAGTAAGGTAATATTCTCTTAATGCTCTTTCTCAAATATGTCTTTTCATTAACGTCATTCGGAGCATCAATGGAAATCGTTACACCAGGATGAAGGTTACCTTTATCGTAATAACGAGCGACTGCGAAATCGAATTCTTTCAGCCCTTGCTTAGCCTTATTTATATGAACTTTGGATCTCACAGCCAGCTCAGCTTTGATGAATTCATCAAAGTGATCGTTCAACATTGGTAGCACCCGAGACACTAAAAACTTGGCGAAGTCAATTGTCCTTAACCTCTGCTCCAAGTTTCTAAATATATACCTTAGTTCCAACTTAATTGAATTAGTGAACTTCCTACTACCGGAAATTTGATTATACCAACTTTCAATAAATTCTTTAACAATTAGGTCAATTGTGTCGTTAATTGTTTCAGATATCATAAAGGACTCTTCGAAAATAGGCTCATTTAATTTGGTGGTTTCAATATCAAGGTTTCGCCTTTCTTTGTCCATTAATCTGCTCAATTTAAGGGCAATATTTGATCTTATCCTTGGCTTGTAGGGCTCTCGAGGAACCATAGCAAATATACACCAATACACTGCCAATACCACACAACCAGAGCTTCCCATAAAAAAAAAGATGCTGTTTACAAGTCTTACTTTTACTAAAATTAGTATGATAAGACTCATGAATGTCAATTTAGCTTTAAAAGAAACATGACGATATTTATTGTCTAACCTCAGTGCCTCATCAGGCATCGCCCTATTAATCCCTTTCCTGAAGTAATCTCAATCTATATATTTACAGCCGTTTTAATATTTGTCTATATAAATATTACACAAAAATGCTTGGAGCTCAAATTGAAATGACTATGGTACACTTATCTGCTATTTTAATGCTGGGTTTTTCTTTTCTTCGACGACTTAGAATCGCCATTTTCTATATTTCTTTTCGATCTCTTGGACTCTTTATTCCTTTTTTTCTCTTTGGCTCTTTTTTTCTCAATCTTCGATTTTTGATCATTTACATTTACATCCTCTTTCCTAATTTTAGGCTTCTCCTTCTTCAGTTTCTTTCTTTGTTTGGAGTTTGTAACGTTCTTATAATCAATAGTATCTATATGCTTGCTTTTGTTCTTATGCTTTTTATCATTTTCTTCATTAGCGATATCTTTATGCTTACTGTCTTTTTTTTGCTTATGATTACTGGAATGTCTTTCTATACTAGATTGTTTACTCTGCTTGACCTTTTTCTTCCTGGAAGGTCTTCCACATTCCCGATCTTTTTTATCGGATTCGATTTTCTTACCAGGTGGCGTCTTCTTAGCTTCAGTTCCAATTGTACCCACCAATCCTTCACCTTTCACGAACATGCGATATAACGGTGATAAGGCCTTCATGTCATTAGATACTGCAGCAGAGTTTGTCTCAAACTTTACCTCACCTGATATGCCACTCTGAACATTAAGGTTCTTCAATTGCCCATCGAAGAGCCTCTCCCACCACGCATCGCTATCATTACTGTTGTGACCTAAGCCTTTCGTATCTTTCTTACACAGGACAAGGATTGGCCTTCTTAGCCCACCCTTTTTAAGGGCCTCTCCTTCTTTCCACCCGTAAGATTCAAGATATGTCTTAGCATCCATCGCCTTATATTGAGATGTTCAGCTTGAAGTTTAAGAAAGGATTCGAATTTTTTTTTTTTGGAGTTTTATCATAGATGAGCATCAGGTCAAAGTACTGTATATTCGTCGATTGACAAACAACAAAGACTTCAAGAGACGAGGATCGATATCCAGCAATTATCTTGAAGATCCCATGGATGAGGAACACTACAGCAAGGAGATAGATGGCTTGAGGGCTGAGATTCATAGGAATCCATTCGAGCCAACGAAATATGACAGATTAATAGAAGTTTTGCGACAGAATGGAAATAATTCTGATGGTATAGAAGTAAAAAGAGCTAAATCTCAATACTTCATGCCTTCCCCTAAAGAAGTAAGTGAATGGATAAATGACTTGAATTCGATTGAAGACTATGTCGACCGAACAACTAGTGTGATCGCGTTTTACAGACAATTAATACTGGACTATCCTGTAGCCGAATATTGGACAAGATATGTCAGTTTTGCACTAGAATTATTTAAGGAATCAAATGAACTCATAAGCGAGCAATCATTGGGGAAATTAATAACGCAAGCCTTGCTGGAGGTTGTATATGACTTCAACAATGGCAAGATTTGGTCGCTCGTTCTTTCGTTTTTTACATCGGCTTATGAAACTTCAAAGGAAGCGAGCGACTTGAAAAGATTGAATGAACTACACTTGAAAAGATTGAGTTTTTGTCACAAGGGCCTTGATGACTCCTTCTCAGAATACTCGGCATTCATTTCAAAGTTTGATAATGAAAACTACGACAAATGTATGATAGCTGCCAATAAAATATATTCCAAGACAACCAAGAGACAAAAGCATGTTGAAGCTTACGAAATCCCTCTAGCAAACTCTCCTAAAGATGCGGGTTTGTGGATAAGATATTTGGAGAATGCTGCTCTATTCTCAGATGACAGCCGTCAAATATCATCAATCTTTTGGCGCTCGTTAGTGAATGGAAATTCATCTACAGGTACTAAGAATGAATGGATTCTGGTGTGGCTCACGTACATTTACCAACTTTATGAGATGGAAGTCGAGGGGCAAGACTTGGAAGAGGTGTTAAATAAGTTTATTAGATGCTATCCATTTTCGGCCATTGGGTATGCGGAGTACATCAGAAATTGTGAAACATTTATAAATGGTGAGGATAAATTTGTAATTATGAAGTCTAGGGTCAATGAAATTGACTTGATGCACAAAAACAGCTATAGTGAATGGGAGGTCATAGCCTTAGCAATTCTATCTTTTGAATTCCACCAAGTGCTGCGCCAAAAGAATTTGGACTTTGTACAATATATCTATGAAGACGCCATAGCTTATGTTGATTTTGCAGTCAAAGATAATAATGACATTTTTCATTCAGTAGAAAAATTAGCTGTTTCGATATTTGAAGAATTGGATGACATAGACCAAGCTCAACTGGTAGTTCAAACCCTCTTAAAGAACTTCAAAGACCAATGTGAGGTTTGGTTGTATGCATATGAATTTGAAAAAAGGCATGGATTTTCATATCAGGACATTTCAGCATTACTAAATGAAGCAGCTAGTTTCGCAGCATCTTTGGATTGGCCCGAGAGGATTATTCAAGAGTGGCTTTTATACGAACAGGTTTATGGAGACTTTTTTGTCTACAGAGAATCACTTACCAGAGCGAATAAAATTTTGAAAGAACTTCGTAGTGAAGATAGAAAGAACCAACGAATAAAAAGAAAATTGGAAGATGAAGCTGTTGACAAAGAAGAACTTAGGAACGCTAAATCTCGCAAGAGAACAAATTCAGAGGAAGAGCCAAAAAGGTCAAGGGAATCATTTTCAATTAAAGTATCAGGCTTGCCTAGCGACTATAATCTGGAAAGTGTTGCAAAATTTTTTGAGGATTGTGGAACAATCAGAAGCATTGAAAAATTTGAAGAGAAAGATGGAAGCTCGAATGCTCTACTTGAGTTTTCCAGCGAACCAGAAGTATTTGCTGCCTTGACAAAAGATAAAAAACGCATCGAAGGAAATGAAATAGCGGTTAAAAGATTATTAGGGTGCACGTTATGGATCAATAACTTTCCACCTTCATGGACTAAGCTGCAAATTCGAGACCTTATTGACATAATGAAAGTTCCATTTGATGTACGATTCCCGTCACAGGTCGGTAAAAAAGCACGAAGGTTTTGCTACGTTGAGTTTACTAAACATGAAGATGCCTTAAAGGCACGAGACCTCTTCAAAAACAAAGAATTGCATGATGACGTATCAAAACGTCTGTACAATCTTACTGCTGAAATTTCTTCCCCACCAACTGCAAAAAAATCGCAGAATATAAGTAACAAGGAAATATATGTCTCTAATCTTGATTTCAAAACAGTTGATGAAAACACTCTCCAAAATTTTTTTCAAAGCTGCGGAGAGATTGTGAAGATTACGCTACCAGTCTCTACCAAGAAGCATTCATCAGGAATGAAAAATGGAGGATTTGGGTTTATTCGATTTGCTGATGAAAGTGATGTGGAAAAAGCTCTTGAATTAAATAATAAGACGCTTGAAAAGAGACAGATTAACATACAGAGGATCTCAAACTCTCAGAAGGATCCCTCTTACTTCAGCGACGATAGATCAATTAGCCTTTTGAATCTACAGTCAAGTACCTCAGCTCAACAATTACAGTCATATTTAGTGAAAAATGTTGGTCCCGTTAGCGGAATTGAAATGTATCCCAAAATATCCCTGGCACTAGTAGAGTTTCAAAAGGTATCCGATTCTGGACGAGCATCTTTACTTTTATCGTCGGCAAAGTTCGATAGCTATATGCTAGAGGTAGGTCTGAAAGCCGATTTGATAGAAAAGTTGAATCCGAACCAAAAACAAACATCTTCAAAGAACAAGCGAATGATACCTCCAATGCTTCAAAGGCGTAGATAGTATATATTAAGGGTTATAGAATTGACTTCAAATCTCAGTTCGATTGTAAGACTGTAGAGAAAAACTTTTTGCAACTACACGATTCCACAAAGTTAGTCATAAATGAACGATGAAGATTTTTAAGTTAGTTAAAGTGAAAGTATTCAGGAACTTAATGTACCATGAGCGGAACTATAAAACTAGAAAATACGGCTCGTAGAGATGCCTTGATTGAAATAGAAAAGAAATATCAGAAGGTTTGGGCTGAGGAAAAAGTTTTTGAAGTTGATGCTCCCACGATAGAAGAAGAGCCAAGTGAAGATGTTGAGGAGATCAAAGAGAGATTACCAAAGTTTTTCTCTACAATGGCATACCCTTATATGAATGGCGTTTTGCATGCGGGCCACACTTTTACTTTGTCCAAGGTAGAATTTGGGACAGGGTTTGAAAGGATGCTTGGCAAGAGAGCTTTATTTCCTTTAGGATTTCACTGTACTGGTATGCCGATAAAGGCTGCTGCTGATAAGATTAAAAGAGAAGTTCAGGACTTTGGACCTGATTTTTCGGGAGCTCCTCCTGAATACGAAGAAGTTGAGAAGGAAGTAGTGAAGAAGGAAGACATCACTAAATTCTCTGCAAAAAAATCTAAAGCTGCAGCTAAGCAAGGCAGAGGAAAATTTCAATTTGAGATTATGGCTCAAGCTGGTATTCCGAAGGAAGAAATTCGTAAATTTGAAAATACAGACTATTGGCTCAAGTACTTCCCACCCCTTGTTGAAAAAGATGTCACTTCTATCGGTGGAAGAGTAGACTGGAGGCGTTCTTTCATAACTACCGACGCAAACCCATATTACGACGCATTTGTCAGATGGCAAATCAATAGATTAAAGCAGTGTGGTAAGATCAAGTTCGGAGAAAGATACACCATTTATTCTGAAAAGGATGGCCAGGCTTGTTTAGACCATGATAGACAGTCAGGGGAAGGTATTAATCCACAAGAATACACCGGTATTAAGATTGAAATCACAGAATTTCCCGATGCAGCAAAAGCAATATTCGAAAAAGAGAATTTTGATTTTGTTAATAAAAGGATATTTTTGGTGGCTGCTACTTTGAGACCCGAGACGATGTATGGTCAAACTTGCTGCTTCGTATCCCCCAAGATAACTTACGGAATCTTTAATGCCGGTGATAATAACTATTACATCACTACAGAGCGTGCTTTTAAAAATATGTGTTACCAAAACTTAACTCCAAAGAGAGGTTATTATAAGCCTGAACTTCAAATTGATGGAAATGTTTTGATAGGATCAAAGATTTCTGCTCCGTTATCTGCTCACAAAAATTTGCGTGTATTGCCTATGGAAACAGTTCTTGCTAACAAGGGTACTGGTGTTGTTACCTGCGTCCCATCTAATTCCCCAGATGATTATATTACTACCAAGGATTTAGCTAACAAAGCAGCTTATTACAAAATTGAAAAAGAATGGGTGTGTACCGATATTTTACCTATTATTAGAAGTGAAAAGTACGGAGATAAGAGCGCTGAATACTTAGTCAATGAATTGAAGATACAATCACCTAAGGATTCAGTTCAATTAGCCAAAGCTAAGGAACTTGCCTATAAAGAAGACTTCTATAATGGTACTATGATCTATGGAAAATACGCTGGAGATAAAGTTGAAATTGCTAAAGCAAAGGTTAAAAACGATTTGATCAAAGCTGGTGATGCTTTCACATACTGTGAGCCTGAGGGTCTTGTTATATCAAGGTCTGGTGACGAATGTATCGTTTCGTTAGAAGACCAATGGTTTATTGACTATGGTGAAGAAGAGTGGAAATCTCAGGCGTTGGATTGCTTACACAGCATGCAGACTTACACCAAAGAAACGAGACATGCTTTTGAGGGAGTGCTTGACTGGTTGAAAAATTGGGCAGTCACAAGAAACTTTGGACTCGGAACTAAATTGCCGTGGGATCAAAATTTGTTAGTGGAATCTTTGTCTGATTCTACTATTTACATGGCTTACTATACAATATGTCATTTCTTACATTCTGACTATTATGGTCGCAAAAAGGGCAAGTTTGATATTGAACCAGAGAATATGACTGACGAAGTTTTCGATTTTATATTTTGTCGTCGTGATGACATCAAGAGTGATGTACCAATTACTCAATTGAAGGCTATGAGGAGAGAATTCGAGTATTTTTATCCTCTCGATGTTAGAATCTCAGGTAAAGACTTGATTCCCAACCATTTAACATTTTTCATCTATACACACGTTGCCTTGTTTCCGAGACGTTTTTGGCCCAAGGGTATAAGAATAAATGGTCATTTACTTTTGAATAATCTCAAAATGTCAAAGTCGACCGGTAATTTCATGACTTTAGAACAAATTGTTCAAAAGTTTGGTGCTGATGCTTCTAGAATCGCGTTGGCAGATGCTGGTGATACTTTTGAAGACGCGAATTTCGACGAATCAAACGCTAATGCAGCAATTTTACGTTTGACAACTTTCAAGGAATGGGCTGAAGAGATAGTGAAGTCTGCTGACTTGAGAACTGGATCACCTGATACCTTTTATGATGCTGCATTTGAAAACGAAATGAATGATTTGATAGAGAAAGCATTCGAGCAATATTCTGCCACAAATTATAAAGCAGCATTGAAAATTGGATTATTTGATTTCCAAACCGCAAGAGATTACTACAGAGATTCAGTTTCGTCCTCTTGTGGCATGGATAGGGACCTCATCTTTGAATACATTGAAAACCAGATCTTATTGCTAGCACCAATCGCACCTCACTTTTCCGAATATATATATCGTGAAGTTCTAGGCAAGAAAGATTCAATTCAAAATGCTAGATTTCCAAGAGCATCAAAGCCTGTTTCAAAATCAATTAGTGACTCTTTGGAGTACGTTAGAGATCTCTCTAGGTCTATTCGTGATTCTGAAAGTAATGTATTAAAGAAGAAGAAGGGTAAATCCTCTGAAATTGATCCCTCCAAGCCTGCCAAATTGACATTGTTTGTGGCTTCATCTTTCCCTGAATGGCAAGATAATTGTATCGAGATTGTAAGGGAACTTTTTGAGGCTCACAATTTAAATGACAATAAGCTTATCAAGGAAAAAGTAGGTAAGGATATGAAGCGTGCTATGCCCTTCATTTCTCTCTTGAAGCAGAGACTTGCAACTGAAGAACCAAAGATTGTATTTAATAGAGAATTGACTTTCGATGAATCGGAAGTTTTGAAATCGGTTATTTCAAATATTCAAAAGGCTCCAATTACTCTTGATGTCAAAGAAGTTGAAATTATTGCCTTTGAAAGTGGTACCAAATCAGGTAAGAATGCCATTACTGGTGAAACAGTCGACATTTCAATCACTGGTAAATTTATCGATTCTGCTGTACCTGGTTCTCCAGGTATTTTGATCAGTAATATTTAGAGTATGCCTCTTACAGTCTCCCTTGTCAGTGATCGATAATAAATTCTTATATAATATAAATATGTGTAGCAACGCCTTGCTATTTACGAACTAAGCGAGGATGGCAGCTTTATGAAAACTTTTGTACTTGTGGACTGCCTGTATAGAAATGTTCAAGGAGCCATTTTATTGTTTTCATCAGTAGTGTTTTGAGTGGAAACGTTAGAGTCTGACCATAAAGAAACGTTCTGATATCAAATAGAAATCGCTAGATAGCTTTGATCGTGGTGGGTTTCTGGAAGGCTTTGATATCTCGTACGAAGATAAACTAAAAATAATATTACATAAAACTTCTAAATTTTGTTTATTTCTTCAATATCAACAATATAAAACTAGCTATAACATCAAAAAGATATAGCGTATTATAGAACTAGAAGGCTAGAGTTGCTTAAATACTAGATTCATTTATATCGTGCCTGTCAGAGTGGAGCCATGTCAACTAATAATAATCCGCCGACGTACCCCTTGAAGGACGCATCACCTGTTTTTGATTTCAAAATAGTTAATCCAGCCAGCAAATTATCTGACACCTGGTTGCAGAGGGAATACCAAAAGTTATCATTAATATCACCAGAACAGTCCTCTCGTGAAAATAGAAAGAGAATTAGAAAAGGAGATGAAATAATTTCCGACGAAGAAAGAGACACGACGGAATCCTGTGATGATATGGCAATCTCAGATACAGAATGCAATAGCCAAGTATCTAATCAAAGTGCTATCATGTCTGGGCTATCAAATTCAAGAGAAAATGGTTTGGTACATCCTCCGAAGAGGAGGTTGACTTCTGTCATGTCACCCAGCCTTCTTGAAGACGCGCAACAAGGATTGGCAGTAACACATTCAAGAACCCCAAATGCCATGAACTCACCTACGCAGACGCCTGTTTCGGACATGGAAGAGCAGCCACAGCAATTACCTCTTCCATCACCAAGCGCATCCCCGGTTCAAAGTACAAAGAATAGTTTTTCATTCGATACCATTGAAAATCAACTTTCAAATGTTCCCAGTACTCAAGCTGAATTGCTTGAAATGATAGTAAACTTGTCTGGTTATTTAAGTGACAAAAATCAAAACCATTTAATTTTTCGGCTACTTCAAGGAATTAATAGATCATCATTAAGCTCAATAGGTGATTTGATACAGGGCAGCTTGAAGCGGGATATGATAAGTAATCTTCCACTTGAAATATCATACAAGATCTTAGATCAACTTGATTATAGGACCTTGTTATCCATTTCGCTTGTTTGTACTAATTGGTATAAGATCATAAATAACTCAAGCATTTGGACAGGCTTACTTAAAAGGGATAAATTAATGACTAATGAAGCTAAGATTGAAGATGAGCTTAATTCACCTAATTTACTTAAAGACTGGAGCATGTATCCCGACGATTCAAACAGAGCCCAAGTTCTCTATAGGAAAAAATGTACTATATTCAATAGATGGATGGATCCAAAATTCGAACCAAAAAGAATCAGTGTTGCCGGTAATGGTAATAATGTTGTCACATGCTTACAACACGATGAAGACAAAATAGTAACTGGTGTTGATGATAAGTTAATCAGTATATACAGCACGAAATCGGGAGAGCTATTGAAAGTGTTAAAAGGACACGAAGGTGGCGTTTGGGCTTTGAAGTATGTTGGAAACACCCTCGTTAGTGGATCTACAGATAGAACTGTGAGAATCTGGAATCTAAAGACCGGAAAATGCACACATGTTTTTAGAGGACATACTTCGACAGTTAGGTGCCTTGACATTTTACAACCGGTAAAAATAGGTGAAGATGATAATGGTGATGATATAATATTTCCCGAGAATCCCTTATTAGTAACCGGTAGCAGAGATCATCATGTACATGTATGGAAATTGCCTCTCATTGATGAAGATTATGACGAGCCTCAGTTTGATAGTGCCGAAGCTGCAAATCCTTATTTGATGCACGTTTTAGAAGGTCATACTCAATCCGTAAGAACAGTATCAGCTTATGGTAACTTAATTGTATCCGGATCGTATGACACCACCGTTAGGGTGTGGGACTTATTGGACAATGGAAAATGTAAGTACATCCTCACTGGACACGGTGATAGAATTTATTCAACTGCTATAAACTTCAAAACTATGAGGTGCTATTCCGGATCGATGGACTCTACCATAAACGTTTGGGATATGACGAATGGCTCTTTACTTCATACATTGCAGGGACACACCTCTTTAGTTGGACTATTAGAGTTATCTGATGAATATCTAGTTTCAGCAGCAGCAGATGCGACCTTAAGAGTTTGGGATCCGAAAACCGGTGAGCAATATAGTAAGTTAAAAGGGCACACAGGAGCAATTACTTGCTTCCAGCATGACAGTCTTCGTATTGTCAGTGGAAGTGAAGGAATGCTAAAGCTTTGGGATATTAAAAATGGAAAATTTATTCGAGATTTGTTAGCCGACATCAGTGGTAATATATGGCAAGTTCGTTTTGATGCCAACAGTTGTGTTGCAGCAGTCCAAAGGACGAAGAATGATGTTCAGGAAACATTTATCGAAATAATGGATTTCAGCGTGCCACCAGCTCATGATACACAATAATATGTTGCGAGCTAAGACGCATATACCTACGGCTTTCAATTTCATTCTTCTAAATTCAAATTTTTACATTCTAAATTTTACATTTCAAGTTCTTTCTTTTTAATTGCATTCAACTTACATTAAAAATTATCCTTTCACATTAGTTTAATTTAGTACGAAATATATAAAAGGCTTCTCATAATTTTCGATTTGTAAGCTTCTTACCACAAGTAGATTATTTTTATGAATATAGGAAGACAACGTGGTTATTTCTATAAGAGACAAACTAATTTGATGAAGAGTAATATCTTTAAATTTAAACCTAATAACATGTCGCTATATGGCATAAACACATACTTTCATAAGTGTATGTGAAAACATGTTTCTTTTTTGGACAAGCACGATAACAGTTAAAATGTGAAAGGGGGCAGGCGATAGGTATTATTCCTCTATTAAATACAATTTTCGTAACTTGCTTAACCTTTCGAGGCCCTCGCTTATGTCTATACTTGGTTTCCGCTTCAGAGGAGTTGTGTCTATGTTAAACTTGAATTCAGTTTCTGCAATGTATTCTCCACTCGAACCCATATTGTTATATGAGTTAATTACAGTATCGATCAAATAATCATAATAAGAAGAATTCTCATTTATACAAGCTTTGTATCGACACCAAGATTTATGCTCCTCCCATGCATCTAGTTGCATTAGCTCGATAGGATTTTCCTCGAGAGCAACACCAAACTGGAAGGATTCTTCTGGGCTGACAGTCATTGGATATTTACAAGGAGTTAATATTTTGGAGTTTGATAAATCAATTCCAACAGTAGGATCAATATAATCCTTATTTTTATCGACAGGAGGATGCTTTGTCGAGTTTAGAAAATATCTTTTGTTGCACTTTGAGCATATGACGAGCAATACCAAATCATTAGCGAAAGATTGCACGTGTAGGTCCCAACCTAAAATTGCAAGTTTGTAAAGCCACTTGGGTGCGTTATTCAATTTTATCGAGGCGTTTTCCTCATCATTTTTAAAATGACGATGTAATAGCCAAGCATCAGATATTCGTACAAATTCTTTAAATTTATGGCTATCATCCTCTTTTAATAAGGATTCACTAAAGCAGTCAGAGTTTTCTTGTAAAAGCACTGAGTTTGAAACTAAAGTTTTTAAAATTCTTAAATAGTCATCAATGATAAGCTCGATCGTGCCGTCTAAGTGAGGACGCAAATAATAGACTCCATCCAACGGGGTCTCAAAATTTCTCCACGAGCAATTAACACCATGTCCATGCTTTTCCACTATGTACTTGTAATGCTCTGCTAACTTTTGATTTAACAAATCATAATCTTCAAAATCGTAATCTGGCCCTTCAGAACTTGATTCGTTGAACTTGATGATCACCTGTTTCTGACATACGGAGCAGGTCAAAAAATTCTTCAAGTTATCGTTGTAAGAAACGGATTTACAAGTCCAACCATTTCTTGCACATTTTAGTTCATTAAAGTCAATAAATTCTGGCACACTCCAATTTAAAGCAGTATAAGTGGATAATCTATCGAGCAAGCCTTGACTATTATAAGGATCAATGACTGTCATTCTTGAGTGAATTTTATCGATACTGTTCTTCAGGCATTTATTTTTATGATACTGATAGTGGTTATCGCTCTTGATTTTTTGAAAGTATTTAATATCAGGATGTTCATCAGTATGTGCTCTATCGAGAGTACTAACGTATGCCTCATGTGTTGTTGAGGAAAACAAATTCATGCATTCGTCAAGAACTTTCCATGTCTCAGATGTGACTTCATCTACGCTCATATCGAATATAGGATCCATTACCTATATATGAAATTTCATATCTTCAAAGTGTGGTGCAATAGTACTTTTTGATGATCAGAGATGATTATACAATTTCTATCTCTTGGTCACATGACTTAAATGATACTGTAAATAAGGATGCTTAAACGGAGTAGATCATTAGTTTAATGCAGTACTTGTCAATTTAACAATACAGAGACGAAAAAAAGATTGGAGCATGTATCCTGATGATTCAAACAGAGCTCAAAAGGAAAAATGTAAGATCGTTTTGATGCCAACAGTTGTATTGCAGCCGTCCAAAGGACGAATGATGTTCAGGAAACACTTATCGAAATAATGGATTTCAGCGTGTCACCGGCTCATGATACACAGTAATGCTGCGACTTACCACATATAGGGCTTTCAATTTCATTCTTCTACATTAAAATCTTACATGTGTACCTCTTGGTCACATGACTTAACCAGTACTATAAAAAAGGACACTTGAACGGAGTAGATCATTAGTTTAATGCCAAAGTCTGCTGTTGCTTATATAAAGAATAGAGAAGACTGATACACCAGAATTCTTTTTAGTCTCAACGTTGTACTGGCATCGAATAATAAATATTGTAAGATAAGGTCTCTTTAGTCACATGACTTATATTTTCATCAAATTTATTCTCGACGTTACTATCAACCAACACTCTCATCTATTATTTGGAAGAATACAGGAAACGAAAGCTCGAAGCTCCCTGAGACAGATATAGCTAAGAAATGGCTAAAAAACCAGTTTTAGAGGATGTCATTGATGATGATATCGATAACATGGATATGGATATCGCTCAATTTGATCCCTCTTTAATAACACCTATTGCACCTTTGAGACCAGAGCCATCAGTTGTTAGATCGCAAGACGAAGCAGACTTAAGCGCTTCTTCGAAGTTAGCTGCTGGCAATGTACCTCCCTTACCTCGGCAAGAATCACAAGCTCAAAAAGGGATTTTTGATACTAATAAATTTAGCGACGAAGATAGACAGAAGATCAAGAAGTTTCAAATAATATATCCTTGTTATTTCGACAAAAATAGATCCCATAGAGAAGGAAGAAGGATAGCTGAAGACAAGGCAGTGGAAAATCCTTTAGCAAAAACAATATCAGATGCTTGTAGACTATTGAAAATACCGGTGCTACTAGAATTGGACAAAACTCATCCTCAAGATTTTGGTAATCCAGGTAGAGTAAGAGTTATGTTGAGAAACCCGGACGATGGGTCTTTAAGTAATGGACGGTTTCAATCTAAGAGAGCATTATTTGACGCAATTGCGGAATATTTACAAAGTCATCCTACAACTCTTAAAAGCATCGGACCAGGAAGTGGTCTTCCTATTCCAGGTGAATACGAAAATGGGTTTGAGCCAAAAGAGATTCCTAAGGTCAAAGGGTTTAGGATGAATACAATTGCGCCTGTGCACTCTGAACTTACTATAGGACACCCAATGACAAAAAGTATCTATGATCCAGAACCAGAGGAACGGCAATCTACTACTCCACAGTTGCCAAAGCAACCGAAGAAAAAAATCATGAAAATAAGAGGTTAATACTTAGATTCACTTGTATTTAATATAGTAAGCAAGGTAAAAAAAACTGTAGATAGATAGCTAACGCATATCTCTGATTAGACCTCTATACATTCCTTGGCTTATATTGTTCTCTATATTTTTCAATCGAGACCAACTCTTCTTCTGTGATTTTTCCTGAAAAATGAGAAATAATTTCATCCAAGTTTACAATAGAAATCACTGGAACATTGTGTCTCTCAAAGACTGCTTGTGTTGCAGATATATCTGATCCCGTGATGGTCTCTTGCCTATCCAAAGCTATGATACAGCCAATTGCTTGCCCTTTTTCACCCCTAATAATATCGAAGGCTTCATTAATAGCAGTTCCAGCTGTCATAACGTCATCTATGATCAATATCCTTTTGTTTAAGAGAGGAGAGCCGACAATGGAACCTCCTTCACCATGATCTTTCTTTTCTTTTCTATTGAAAGAATAGCCTACACTTGCATACTTTGGATCCTTTTCTGCTAACTTAGCAACTGTGACAGCAGCAAGTGGAATACCCTTGTAAGCTGGCCCAAAGAGCACATCAAATTCAAGTCCTGATTCGATGATAGCGCTAGCGTAAGAATCAGCTAAAGTTGATAATAAGCCACCAGTATTGAACAAGCCAAGATTAAAGAAATAAGGGGAGCGGCGTCCAGATTTCAATGTGAAAGAGCCAAACTTTAAAATGTTAGATTTTTCTGATACATCCAAAAACTTTGCCTGGTAGCTACGCATTTTCTTTTAAATTTTATAGTGTTTAGTCTTTACCTTCAAACTAAACTTTAGAGAGATACCGTTGAATCTCTAAATATCAAAGTTAGTTTGAAGGAAAGAAGAGAGAAATCAAATCAAGTAACAAATGTTGTACCAATTTTTTTTTCAAGATAAGTATGACAGAAAATTTTCTCATCGTAAATCTGAGCCGCACTTGACCATCAATATATTACAATATGGGAACTTATAAAGATTAGACAGAAAGCAAGATGACAACGAAGGCAGAAAGGGATTCTGTTATCGAGTCTCTTGAAGAAGAATATCGGGAAGACTTGGCCATACATCTCTATTCAACTTTTTTGTTGCATCAAATTAATCCAATTTTTCCCAGGAGAAATTGGGCCAGTTGGCCATTGAGCATAAACGAGGTACCTGATCCTAGAAATACGTTGAAATACGCTGATAATATTGTTAGCGAGGGACAGTTTAATCTGGATATTGATAAAGATGAAAAATTAGGCGAAAAGAGAGACGAAAGTTCAGAAAGTTCAGAAGACGAGAGCCTTGCAAGCGACGAAAGCAGTTTTGATAGTGATGAAAGAGTGGATACAATGCTGGCAATGAAGATAAGGTCAGTTTCATTTAGTGAATCCTTAACCAACAGCAAAGCTGATCTAATCAATGAATTAAATTCTTTAGTGGAAAGGAAAGTGAATGAGAAGATTAAATCTTCACTGCATCATGATATGGAAACATCTCCTGCAATATCTGGTAAAATATCAAAAGATATTAGTATGGCGATTGCAAACAAAGTAGACAAAGTGCTCAATCAAGTTTTAATCTTTGGAAGGGCGAGCACTTCCAAGAGCACTGCAAAGAGAAAGTTCACTCGCTTATTATCCTGGCAAGACATAATTATGGCAGGAATGAACTCGGAACTCACTCTGAAAGTAAAGTTTCCTATCAGCCTGTATGAGCAGCTATATGAAAAATGTGAAAAGCTTTTCGAAAACGTAAACTACAACTATGAATTTGATGATGATGACAACAACGATGATGATGACGATGATGATGACGAAGGTCTGAGCGACAGAATATTAGGCTCGAAGCAGAAATTCTCAAGAGAAGAATACCTAGATCTGCTCGAAGAAGAAAACTCTTCTAATGCCACGTATAATGATCTTAAGGGACAAATACACAATAGGCAGTCTAGTGACCTCAAACACAAAGCATTGAAAAAAATAGTAATATTAAACAAAATCAGGAATGAAGAAAAATGGAGCTCACTTCTGTGGAAACCTGATGCGGGAACACAAGATAGCAAGAAACACCGAAAGAGATTTCCCATAAAGAATAAAACTCAAGATATGAATGAACTTAAATCTCTTGCACTTAATCATGGTGGATTACAAATTGATGATAATGATTACGTCATTCCATTGAATTAAACATCTGACTTTTGGTATTAATTACCATTTTTACCATCCCAACTTCTTGAAGAAGCGTGCATATGTGTATATATGTATATATATATATTGACCATTAAAAGAGGACCCTTTTAGAAAGTATTAGGTCAACAGTAAAACAAAAAAAAGCTAAGCCTTCTTCTGGAAGGTGCTAGTGATCTCCGTATCAAATATAACGTCCCAAAACTTACTTGTAACTCCAAATCCCATTTCATAATTTTTGTAGTGATGCTCCAAATGATACTTTTTGAGATCTTGCAAATATTGTGGTAATCTGGTATGGTGTAAAAAGTAATGTGTACAATCATAGCAGATATAGCCAAAGGTACCTCCAGCAAAACCTGAGCAGGCCATGTAAAATGGGAAAATGGAAAATACCAAACGATAGAAAGGATAAGCCAATGCGATAAACAACGTTGGGGGTAAAACTAACCTGTACCCATCCATTGGCAAATAGTGATGAACGCCGTGCAATAAGAAGTGAAGGGTGAAAGCTGCTGTATGGTCCGGTAAGAATTTATCCAAATGGAACAAAAATCTGTGCAAAATATATTCTACTAATGTCCAAACAAACAAACCCATTGTCCATAAGCTTAAAGCAACTATCTTACTTTGGTTGACCCATCCAACATAGAAGATATAGAAATTAACCGGCAACCATACAAGGGGAACAACCCACCACGGAGTCAACGATAGAGGTTCTAAAAAGTTCCCAAACAATGGAGCAGATCCCTTTCCATAATGCCTTGGCCTATGCACCTGATCCAAATAAAATTCTTTTGTGAAGTCACCATAGAACACTTGCAAGAGTAAAGGTTTGCTCAAATCCAAGAATTTGTGTTTCTTTACATCGTCATCAAAATCGGTTTGAAGAGACAATTTTTCTTCCGCCGGTACCAGATCATGAAATTCATATGTATCACTGTTGTCTACTAGCTTGTACTCAACGGACACTTTGTTTTTGTTGTTTATCAAGTTCTCTACTTCTTCTGGAGCTGCGAGGTAGCCTACTAGCATATCATCGTCTAACATCTCATAGGCACTCTCCGAATGCTCGTGAGAAATTATATCAGCCATTATAGCAGTAACATCTTGCCCAGCGAATGGTAAAATAATATCTCCACCTCCTGGATGCTCATCTAAAAAGCCTGTTACGTCGTAAACTTTCCTGTGGTACAAAGTGACCCAGCAGTCTTTGGCGTTGTTATGCTTCAGCACATCTGCCTTTGCTAACAAGGGTAAACTTTTAGACATCTTGTATAGAGAGCGGAAATAACTCTAATTATTATTCTATTCTCTTTAAATCAAAAATAAAGAATCCTCAAATAGTAAACTATGTATTTATTTCTAGAAATTCAATTTTAGAAGATTAAACGATGGGGCTAATTCGGATGTTATTTTTTTCCTATAAATTTTCGCGAAAAAGGCTCAGCGTGTTGCAAAAAGGTCATGTTACTCATTCTCAGAAATAAGTGATTAGCTTCTATTATAATGTACACAAGCAAACCACATTCTAACTACGAAGTGAGATATTTCAGAGTATGGCTCGCTTCTCATATAAAGAGTGAGTCACGGAAGAATTATTATAACAGCAAAACTATGGTGCTCATTTGGCTTCCAATAGCTCATTATTATCATTTAGAATCGGGATTCCTGTCTCATTAGGACCCTGATTTCCTTCATTATTCATATGCTGTTCTAAATGCAATGTATGATCGACCAAATTGAGATAGGCATACATGAAGTTGGATAGAAGTACTTGTTCTCTCAAAGATCGTTTAGGATTTGCCAATTTAAGGTGAGATAATCGATAGATAGCTCTTTCAACATGTACAGGGAATCTATAATCAAGCATGACCAAAGTCGACTGCGAAGGTGGAGGTAATGGAAATCCAAAAGCAGAATCGGTAAAAGTAAGAGGCTGGTTTGCTTTAGAAGTTCTCTTTATAGACTTTTTGATTTGTTCCTGAATATCAATTGTTGAGCGAGGTTCTTCTTTTTCCACGATTATGTCTTTCTCCTCGGCGTTTTCGTTTTCTTCGAAAAGCTTCGTATCTTCTACCTCAGGTGAGTTGGTAGTCTCTGTATCGACTTTTTGCATTTCTTTAGGTTCAAACGTTTCATTTTTGCTAACGTCTTCTGGTGCCAAATTTATTATGTCTTCATTTAAATCTTCTTCATCTATTGAAGAAGAATGATCATCTATCGAGAAAGAGTCTCGGGATTTCGAAAATGCTGTTTTAAGAGCGACTTGAGAGCTCTTCTTATTCTTGTGTTCTTTGTTTTCTAACGTCTGTTTTTCAATGGCCCCCGCCTTATTCTTTTTGAATAATCCCTTTCTCTTCGTTGGTTTCTTACCTTCGGTATCGGACTCATAGTCTACTGTCACTCCTGGCAGTTCTTTGAAGGATCCCTCAGTTGGCAGCAAAGGACGAGGTTGGGATTTTTTCTTTTTAAATAGCTTTGTAATTACATTTTCCTTCCCTGATGGCTCTGTGGACTTATTCTTCTTTGCTTCGTCTTCATAATTGGATGTAATTTCAGGCGTTGAAAGAGATCTGAAAGGAACGTTTTGATTCTTCGCCAGGTGAGATCCATGAGCCGTTTCAGTCGATGAGAAGCTTGATGACCTTTCCTTGAGCCATTGCCATGATGTCTTCTTTTTGAGCTTTCGCGTGCCAGTGAAAGGTTCTTCTGAGCTGAGGGATGAAGAAGAATGGTTTGGTAAGTTACCGAAAGATTTCATAACTTTCTCCTTTTTGGGGGAACTATCCAAGCTTGACTCATCGCTTGTAAACGCTGAATCATCTGCCGACTTGAGCTTCGGTAATGGTTTATTAGATGTTACAATATCCCGTCTTTCTGGTACCAGAACGTTCAAATCTATGCTATGTTTCTTCACTAATTCGGATGCATCTTCTCGATCATTAAATGCACCTGAAGAAGTATCCTTATTCTTTTCAAAACTATTTAATAAGGAGCCCTTCAATTTCATATCAACTCCTTCCTCTCTAGCGTTTATGGCTAGACGGTCGTCTCCTTCATTCAATGTCAAGAAGTTTTCGGCCCTATCATCTAAAGCCACAGATAATTCTGAATTCTGTTTCCGAACCTGACCTTTATCACCGCTTTGATATGAGACCAAGGTAGAAAGGTCATCCGAATGTGTATCTGTTTCATCAAAGAAAAGCTTTTTGCGAGGAAAGTCATCTTTGTCCGCCTCAAGCTCTTTTAAAACCTCTTTCTCAATACCTAAAGAATCCTCGTAACTGATATCTTGAAGGCTGCTATCAAAGCTGAAATTGACAGTGCTTTGTTCTTCTGGAGATGGTGACTTCACCTTTTCTTCATTAACTTGCTCTGTACTAGAATCAACTTTTACAAGACTCTCTTTGAATTCGTTGATTTCGGACCTAAGTAAGTCCAAATTCTGATTCAATTTCGAAGTTGTCCCATTTGGAACCCCAACTTCCTTTGGATTAGAAATCGATGATATTTCGGGTTGTTGACCATGGAACTGCTGAAGCGCCTTAGGTGAAGCCTTGGAAGATGGCCGTCCTGGTACCTTTGGTAATCCTCTCTGAACTCTTCTATGATGATTCTTCTCTACAGCCTGAGGGTGAATCTTCTTATAGGATACAGGTTGTTGCTGAAGACTTGGTCTGAACTCACTTTTCATTACCTGTGGATGCCCAGGTGGTGCTTGGCGTGGTAACATCCTCATCTGATGAGACCTGGATCTCAGTTTTTGTTGCATTAAATCCTGTTCTGGCTCGCTTGCAAATGAAGGAATTTTTTTATTTTGATGACCCCTTTTTGAAAGTCCATATCCAAGAGGAACGTTAGAAGAAGCTATACCTTGATAAGGCGAATCATTCCGGGAAGTATAAGAAGTCGTCTGCATTACATCTGAATTTTTGCAGTTAAAGAGAGCCTGAGAGTCGCGTGCTTTTGGTTTATGTTGATTACTTGACCTTCGGGGAATTTGATTAAGCTGATAATAACCATGAAGCTGTGGTACAGGTGATTGCTGCAGGGCCGTATACTGATTTTTTTGTCGCCTATGGTGATTGACGTTTTGTGGAGGGTATTGTAAACTATGCGGTTGATGCTCATATTTTGGGTTACTTTGCCGTTGACGAGAATGCTGTTTTTTCATTTGAATTGGCAGAGAAGCTAAAGATGGATCACTTTTCAAGTTCTGACGCAATTCAACGAATCTATCCTGTTTAATAGTTTGCGAAGATGAATCTGGTGATAATGCTTTTTTGCGGTAATCAATTCTTCTGCTCCTCTTCAAAGCAAAGTCAGAAGTAAGACTCGACATTTGACCAGATCCAGCTGTTCGCACAGACAGCAGCTTTTTAGGAATTGGAGATATTGGCTCACTTGCTTGGATAGGTTCTTCCTTTGGTGGTGAACGGTTTGGTGAAGTATGGGGAGGAGATGTCAATTCACCAATCGCTTGCTTTTCGACGTCAGTATATCCTAGAGATGCTGTGGATAATGTTCTTGCCAATGTGACAGTATCAGTTGCATCCATTCCAGCTAATTTAGATAATTGCTCCAATTCGTTTGATAGTTCTAGTAATGAAGGGTTGCTTAATCTGTTCAGTTGGTCTTGGAACAGACTATCTTCGTCTTCATCGCGTTGCCTATCCGCAGAGCTGCTTTTTGAAGCCCTCTCCGGCGATTTGTCAGATAACAGTGATACCCTTGAAAGGGATGACTTTCTTTTGAGGGAGCTTTGGCGGCTTACTCTTTTCTCCATTAGCTCGTCAACCATGACTTTGACATGAATTCTAAACTGTTCTGGATCAACCTCCGGGTGAGCATTTGCAGGTACCCATAACAAAGGATCCGAAGCATCATAAAACTGATTTTTATCTTCGGCATCAAAAAAAATGTCAGAATCCGCATCATCTAGAAGTATAGAATTAGAGTCCAGCTCCTTGCCTAAACTGAAACGACGCGACAAACTAGATGTTCTTTTCAACGACGGTGACGGTGATCTACTTTTAATTTTCTTACTAGCATCACTTTTCTCGCTTAAGCTATCTTCGTCTTGTGTGTTACTGTTAAGCATCTCATTGTGAATGAAACCCATTTCGTCTCCAGGTAAATCAGGATCATAGTTCATCATTTGCCCAATGGAAAGCCGCTTTAGGGCCTTGACCATCCTTTTCTCCTGCTCTATGTCCTTGGCAGCGGATTCATAGTTATTTGAACTAGAAATCATATTTTATTCCTGTTACTTGTTACTAATTCTTTGACACGCTAGACTGTAGGCATTAATGAAATATTAGAGATAAAAGAAGCTGGATTCTTTGCTAAGATAAAAGAATGAATGTAATGTATGCTATCTGTTCTGTTGTTTTTGCTTTTGGGAAATCCTCTCTGGATAACTCTCAAGACTTTATGCAAAATGATCAAATCGATTCTAAGCTCTAGGAATAAGTTTGACCCCGTTATTACAATGGTATTCTCCTAAAACCTCGGAAAACAGTATAGTAAAACTAAACAAATGAATGTAACTAGATTTGATCTTACCAAGCTTAACTCTGATGAATAAATCAAATCTCTACGGTGTAAATTTCGTGTTTTTTAACCGTGTACGTCTCAAGAGTAAACTGGCGTTTATTACACAAAATGCGATCAGTGGATAAAGTCTATATTTAAAATGATAGGAGTAATTTTTGAAGTTTTAGAGAAGCTTGAAGAACAGGTAAGCGCCTATAATCATTAGGGAATAATAGACAAGTTTATATGGCGTCGAGCCTTCGACATTGAAGTCAGGGAAACCCATGAAATTGCAGAGGCTGTGAACCATTACGCACGTAATTAGATTGGAATACTTGAAGAACACATAATTTTCCAATATGCCAAAGAGAGTTGTATAAATGAACTGGACTGTAATTATAACGAAAGTTTCAAACATTCCTCTTTTTTGGACATGGTATAGCTCATAGCCATGATGTAGGTGAGCAATTCCAAATAATAAAGGCGTAAAGATGATCAAAAATTTGTGATCACCTTGTGGCTCAAGAATTGTCAAGACCAATGCTCTGTATATATATTCCTCCGTAAGTGGTGCAAAGATATAGTCCCTGAAACCTTGCAAGCACAAGCAATCTCTCAAATTATCTGCTAATGTCGCTTGTTTAACTTGATTTATGAGGGGACCGCAGTAGAGCACACTCATCGACAAGATGCAATTAGCTAATGCCTGGCCGTTATATTTTAATTGAAGAGCCCGAAATACGGCTGCATATCCCGAATATGTACCTAGATGTACTAGCACAACCAGAACCAAGACCGTTGCTACAAAACATGCTATTGAAACTCTTTTTAATCTATGCTTAATCACTACGTTTTCATCTCTATGTCTGCCCTTTAAAGTATTCGGTTGATAGCAATATATACTAGCCACGTACAAGAATGACACCACCAGAGCAAGCAAGGGGCGAACCCAATACATCACTTGTTCGTAGAGCTCTCAGTAAGGAAGCCTGGTTTTCGCTGCCTTACTATTGACTCGTGTGTGTGCTTGTAAGCTTGTATACACACCAGCTCTCATCCAATCCTCTTCCTGCCGATGTTTCTGACAGATGAAAATTTCTGGGGTGTAAATTTATGAGAAAACTCGTGACTCATTGAAATTTTTTTAATCTTTATCAACACTTACATAAATTAACACCATTAAAGAAAGAAAATTTACAGTCTTTCTTCGCAGAACTCGCGTTACATAACTTCTAATAAACCATAAGTATAATTTGCATATAAATAATATAGGTACATCGTTGGTTAGACTAGAAAATTGAAAATGGTTTGGGTAGTGAGATCGTTGAGAAGAATCTCAACTACATCTGTGAGATATAGAGGGCAAAATATGACAGAAAAAATAGTCCAAAAGTACGCTGTTGGTATTCCTGAGGGAAAAAAAGTCTTTAGCGGGGATTACGTTACGATCCAGCCAGCTCATTGTATGTCTCATGATAATTCATGGCCAGTTGCAACGAAATTTATGGGTTTGGGTGCTAAGAAGGTCAATGATCCCAAACAAATAGTCTGTACTTTGGACCACGACGTGCAAAACAAGTCTGAGAAAAATTTAGAAAAATACAGGAACATAGAGAAGTTTGCAAAGGACCAAGGAATAGACTTTTATCCTGCGGGAAGAGGCATTGGCCATCAGATTATGATTGAAGAAGGTTATGCATTTCCTTTAAATTTAACTGTTGCTTCAGATTCCCACTCAAATACCTATGGTGGTGTTGGAAGTTTAGGTACGCCTTTAGTCAGAACTGATGCAGCTGCCATCTGGGCAACAGGAAAAACATGGTGGCAGGTTCCTCCTGTAGCGAAGGTTGAGTTAATCAACAAGTTACCGAAAGGTGTCACAGGCAAAGACGTCATTGTTGCATTATGTGGTATTTTCAACCATGATGAGGTGCTAAACCATGCTATTGAATTCACGGGAAATGGTATTGAATATTTGCCGGTTGATTATAGATTGACAATAGCCAATATGACAACTGAATGGGGCGCCTTGTCAGGTTTATTTCCTGTAGACGACGTTTTGATTGATTTTTATAGACACAGAATTCAAAAATTGCCTCAACCACATCCAAGGGTAAATAATGAATCAGTTAAGGAGCTTGCAGAAAATAAAGTTCATTCAGACTCTGATGCGATCTATGCAAAGCATCTCGTTGTGGATCTTTCTTCCTTATCGCCATCTGTTTCTGGTCCTAATTCCGTCAAGGTCTCTAGTTTCTTGCATGATCTTTCTAAGAAAGATATTAAGATCGATAAGGCATACTTAGTTTCTTGTACAAATTCAAGGTTGAGTGATATAAAAGCTGCTGCAAATATAATAAGAGGACACAAGGTCGCTGATAATGTTGAATTTTATGTGGCCGCAGCATCCTCCGATGTGCAAAAGGATGCTGAAGCGAGCGGTGCTTGGCAAGACATCATTGACGCAGGTGCCATTCCTTTACCAGCCGGATGCGGCCCATGTATTGGTTTAGGAACAGGTTTATTGAAAGACGGACAAGTTGGAATTTCAGCTACTAATCGTAATTTCAAGGGTAGGATGGGCTCTAAAGATGCATTAGCTTACTTAGCATCACCTGAAGTTGTTGCTTCCTCTGCAGTTTTGGGAAAAATTGGGGGACCAGAGGAAATAGAAGGAAAGCCAGTCCCAGATTCACATGAAATTGTAAAATCCATTACCGTTCCTGAGACCAATTCAGCTGAAACTTCTGCAGATCAGGGCTCTGTTGAAGTCTTGGAGGGATTTCCAAAGTCTATTGAAGGTGAGCTCATATTGTGTAACGCAGACAATATTAACACTGATGGGATTTACCCAGGTAAATACACCTATCAAGATGACGTACCAAAGGCTAAAATGGCTGAGGTTTGTATGGAGAATTATGACTCTGAATTTAATGCTAAGACAAAATCATCCGATATTATAGTGTCAGGATTCAACTTCGGAACAGGCTCTTCTCGTGAACAGGCGGCTACTGCTATCCTTGCTAAAGGAATGAAGTTGGTCGTTGCTGGATCATTTGGTAACATATTTTCTAGAAACTCGATTAACAACGCTTTGTTAACTCTTGAGATTCCAAAGTTGATAAATATTTTAAGAGAGAAATACGCCGATTCTGATGAATTGACCATTAGGACTGGTTGGTATTTAAGATGGGATGTGACAAAAGCTCAGGTCTATGTAATTGACTCTGATGAAAACTTGGTCTTATCACAAAAAGTTGGCGAATTGGGTACTAATTTACAGGATATCATCGTAAAAGGTGGTTTAGAAGGCTGGGTAAAGGCTCAATTACAAGCATCATCTTAGACATTTTCAGTTTGTATTTAAATAATAGAGAATTAGATTAACGTAATTTTATTTTTTTGCATTATAGTATTTTAGGGCCGTGGGGTGATTTAATATTTGTGTGATATTCAATTAGCAGTTCTGGACCAGATTGCAGATTGCAAAGTATTCTGCTAAGGCCGAACATTGTAGGAAATTTTAAGCCCAGTAATTTTAGGCATGGGATCGTCAAGATTATTACACTTAGCAACAAGCAAGCAATATATGTATGACAAGACTTTTATTGCAAAAAGAATTTATACGATCGTCAACCTTTTCTAATCATGCAAAAGAACAATAGACAGAGTAAATAAGTCACTACAGAAATGCTTTGTCGGATTTCCTGCTAAATCTCAAAATTCTACGGTATACTGACCCAAGCTATACAAAATCGCAAGTCTGTGATCATACTCAGTCTCGTTTCCAACTCATCATACTCTGCGAACAATCTCTTAACGAAGCATTTAATTTAGGATATAAAAGAAACGACTTCTGCAAAAGGTTGATAACGGTTTGGCTATGAGGCTATAATGCTGATAGATAACAGCATTCTTACAGAACAAACTGGCCGTTCATAACGCATTCATGATTTACGCACTAAGATTCCTAAAGACACCTAACCAATTAACAGCTTTACGTAACCTCTTACTCACTACTTGTCTTGACGCATGTTCACGTCAGCAAAAAAGCAAGCAAGCTTGATGACAAGTAGACGGTAGATAAAAAGAAAGTGAAATGGGGCGAGCTGGGAATTGAACCCAGGACCTCTCCCATATTCGCACTTCTAAGAGCGAAGACATTGCTATTTGCCCGAAGGGAGAATCATACCACTAGACCACACGCCCACCTTTATATGAAGGATGATTGAAGTTTGTTATATGACCCTTTTAATGGCAATTGCGATGATTACAATTTACACTTACAATTTTGAAATTACCCCTCTACTGGTAAGTCATGTCTGAAACATCAAACTTTAAACTTGCGTTTCATACTGTTACCGAAATGAGCAATAACAATCATAAAATATCATCAAATTCGTACAATACATTTCTAAGTTATCTATAGGACACTATAAGCTTTGCAATACTTGTTCAAGAAGTTTTGCTTTAAAGAGTAAGCTATCGTAATCCCTTTCTCGGCATTTTGCAACCACTGCTTTTGTTTGTTTACATTTCCTCAGTTCTCCCTCAATTTATGTTATTGTAAATTTGGTGTCTGAGGCTAGTGGATATTATTTTGTAATTATATGTGATGTTGTGAATTGCTTCTACGAGCATCTCTGCAAAGTTCATGATCAACATCAACCCATTGATGATATAGTATATCATCGTATCGAACATAAGTGTGATCTGATCAATTCCATTTTTGGACATCCCCGCTGCTATCTCGATTATTGGCAGCAAAATGTTACCTAGGAAACTGTACATGGCAATCGACCTGTTGCTATTTCTGAAACCACTCGTAACTGTTGTTTCAATGGTTTCAGGATTCGTTGGTGATTTTCAGCAACTTCTCAAATTCTTGATTTCGTTCACACTCGTTCAAATTAACAACTTTTATATAGAGCAAAGACTAACAAGTGGCCCCTGATTTTGTTTGTTTGTTTGTGATCAACCTATACTTAATAAATAATTGATCTATTCTGCTCTATCGTGATCTGATTTGATCTACGGCTCGGCTTTGCAATCTCGTCGCTTCTAATTGCAACTATCTTAAGTCACTCTTCTGTCTATAAAATTTATATATGATAAAAGTTACCCCAGTTCCAGGTTCATCTTTATATATCAGTTCTACGGAAGTGCTTTTTTATGTCTGTTGCAAACATCAGCTAGTCTAAGCTAAACATAGAATAAGAAATAAAGAATTGGCAGGGCTGCAAACTTATCATCAAATTTCAACATCAAATGCGGAGGTCTAGACTCCCCTCGTTAGAAGAAGAGCGTGGGGGGGAGAAGCTAATTAGCGAAAGCTAGTGTGTAAGTCCGAAAGATGCTGTGTTGCTGAGCCACGTAAACGCACCGTGAGGATATAAATTCCAGTGGCGCTCGCGGCACCTAGCGACAGTTTTAGCGAGAGACTTCGGACTCTAGAGCATTAAAATAAGCGATGTAGGCCGACTTGACTTCCACATAAAATGACGTCCACTCATTAACAACGTAGCTATTAGTCGTTAAATACAGGTTAATGCACCTGACCAACTTGACGATTGCTCTTAAAGTCTCTTCTCGACTCTCAGATTCTTGAGCACTTGCCTTGGGCTTAAGTTTCTTTGAAAAGTCGGCACGGAGATTCGATATTAGCGTCAGTAATAAGTTAGGGCGATCAATTAAAAAAGTTTCGAAAGTACTCGCTATGGGCACTCCTCCATCGGAAGTTGTCAATAAAGACACGAGATTGATACAGGAAAGGATGACAATATCTGACTCTTCGTCGAGTAAACCCCTTTCAATGATTTGTTCTCCAACCGTACCTAGATTAATGTTGTACTGATGGATAACTGCCTGATCGAGCGATATAATAGTGTATAGGAGTTCGTAACAAAGCTTTCTAATCTCGAGCCCTTCGTCTATGACGTACTTGTATGGACCCATTGGGATAACTTTCTTGAACTCGGGGTTTGACTTTAACTGGATGTAGATTTTAGGAAGTATGACGTCGTTGAGAATAGGCAAAATAGTCTGAGGGATATTGTGAAGGGCCGTTAACAATGTGCCTATATGCACCTGTCTTATTTCGACGCTCTTAATATCTAGCACAGGCATTGATTCAATAATAAGGTGTTGAAGTATATTATCTTCATCTAAGGAGCAATAGTTGATTAATTGCTTCAACACAACAATCTTTGTGTAGATTATTGCGTTGCTTGCCGTAGGATCCATTTCTATTCTATGAATTCCTTGCTTATCAAGCAAGATAATCTTAGCTAAGACATCGGCACTGTTTCTTAACTCTTGTAGGTTATCTAGGTCTTCAACCTGCGATATATTCTCCCAAACGCGGTTCCAAATCAAATTTTCAACTTCTCGATCTGTCAAACCTGAATTCAATACTTGCTTTATTGAAGTCAACAAATAGTTTCTCAATGGTGGATTTTCATCATAATCCTTAAGGATTTCTGGTAGGTATTTCGGTAAATCAATTAGCACGTACAACCCGATAGATCTGGATGATGCTCGTTTAATGGACTCATCCTTATCATTTATGAATTTAAGGAAATGCTGAAACCCAATCTTCTTTAGTTGAATTTTAGAACCTACATTGCCAAGATATTGAATATTAAAGAGCAAATTCATAGTGCTAGTTTTTTCTCCATCAATATATTGAATCAATTCAAGTTCTCTTTTATCAACTTCACCATAAAGCCTTTTCTGCACTGTTATAAGTGCTAGTATTTTTGCACTAATAAATAGCTCTAGATTTAAATTTTGAAGAAATACGTCAAATAATTTCACAGGTAAATCGATTTGACAGAGTTTCTCAATGAATAAATCAATGCTATTCAAATTGTAATCATCAATTTCAGTCAATTTAGTGTTAATAACTTTTTGAATTAAAGTGGTCAAAAAATCTTTTTCGACAATCATGGAACTGACATTTTTTCTTATAGCATCAAAAGCTAATGAGAGCTGTTGAAATTGTAAGGAAGACCCATTTGCATATAAAAACTCTACTAGGCAGTCGCAAACACCCTTTGGATCTTCTAGTGGACCTTGGTCACTAATCAAATTTAAAAGTCTCAAAGAATTGAAATAAATAGTTTCATCCGTAGAAGAGAGAAAAGTTTTAAACCTTTGAACAAGAAAGTTTGAAAAATCCGTAGATTTTAAAAAAAACTGCTTATTTTTGGGTGATTCCAATATTTCAACCAAGCTCTCCAATGCATATTTCAAAGTCACCTCGTAGCTTAATGATTCTTTAAATATGCTGATGATCTCTTCTATGTCCAGATTCGAGACCAATTTAATATTAATCACAAAGTCTTTTAATCCAACCAATGACTGTTGTCTGAGATCACTTGAGTATTGTCTATCATTAATTTTTCTCAGAATTAAATGGAACAAAGATTCTAATGATCCTTCAAACCCTCCAACATCTTGTGAATGGCCCAATGATCCGAATAGTATGACGGAAATGTTGATGCTCTCGCTTAGAATATTATAGAACGATGACTGACTACTGATTAAAGTGCACAAGTCTTCTATTATATACTGAATGACATTCTTTGGTACTGTTGCAATATCATAATTTAATAAAATGACTTTGTACAAACATAAGTAATCCATTGAACCATTTGTGTTGACATCATACTCCTTGAACTTATCAAATAGACTTGACAAGAATGTGCTGGATAAGTTTTCGTGGGCAGTATTCATCATACTCTCAACCAAGGACAAGAAAACTGAAAATCTTTCGACATTCTTACCAATTAGCCATCTTTCGAAAAGCCCTTTCTCTAATACAGGAAACACATCGCAAACAAGATGATTCAAAGGATCCCCACTACCACTCATGCTAATGTCTGACGATCTTCTTTCACTTGAACAAGCTGCATAATAAGACTTCGAGCTTTTTATTGAGGTCATGTCAATGATGGATATAAGCGCTTTCACGCTCTCATTCGAAACCAAAAAATTTCGATCTCCTATAGAATCTATTATTGGAGCAGATAGCTTTGAATAGATTAAAGGCAAATTGAGAGGAAAGTTTTCATTCAAGGATGTCGCAATAATGTTTGTCTGGAACCTTATCTTCCACGATATATCATTTTCATCGCCCTCATTATTCTCTTCATCGCTAAAGGCAATCTCACTTTCACTATCACTGAATTCAAGTTGATCATCTTGAGGTTCATTGTCTTCAAATTTAAGCGGATCATACCTAATTAAAATTATAATTATATCAATTATATTCTCAATGTAAGAGAGGACAGAATTGTAGGGGAGGGCATTAATGAAGTCATTTAGGGTACGTAGCACATCTTCTCTCAATGAATTATCCTGAACTAGCTTGTCATAGTCCAAGTCTTCGCTATCTAGTACATCGTTTTCAACTTCTTTCAAATTCAAATATCTGACCAAATCATCATATATGGTTTTAATGGAGGTTGAACTTAAGGTACTAGTTTCATTAAACCGATCAAGAGTGCTTACTCGATCTAATGTTAAAGAATATAATTGTAACTTCACATTAACTGCATTCATTTGTGACATGTTTGCTTCGTATTCTTTATCGATGATGGAAATGAGCTCATCTAAACCTTCTGAGCGTTGTGTATCATCAAAATAATTTAACAGTTCGTTATAAGCTGTACCAGCACGCTTACTGACTATTCCTGGGTAGCTGAACGAAATTGTAATTAGTTTATGAGCTAGGCTCGAGATCTCCTCTATATCCAAGACTTTGCCTACGCTAACAAGTAAATCAATAAGTATCTCAATTGTGTCTATGGTAATTTTATTTTGAAACATCTGTGGCATAAATCTGTTAATAATTAGCCTTGCTAAAGAGTTTGAAAACTTGAATTTGCTTTGAAATATTGAATGGATGGCCATGCTGGGAATGGACCTGGCAAAGCTCTTAAAGTCATTATTATCACTAGAATTCGTAAAGTTCATTTTCAACAATTGATCCAATAAATCTACGATACTATCATTTGATAAGAATCCAATGGCTGGATCAAAAGATTTCACTGCTTGACTTTGGACATCTGAATTCTGATCATTGAGTAATCGGAAAAGTACTGGAATGAAACCTTTAATTGACTTGGAAGACACTGAATTTGTGCTATCATTTACATATTTTCTAAAGTCTTCGAGAGCCATGAACCGTACATCCGGATCCACATCTAGTGCTTTATCTCTTAGTTGATTCAAGTTTACACGAGGCATATTTATGTAAGTTTAGACTGGCGTTGATGTGAAGTTCAATACAACGACCATGACTAAAAAGGGAACTTTGAAAAATACGAAGTGCGCACAGCAAAAACAAAAGCTGTACTCAAAATGGTAGAAATATATTGCCATTGCATACAAAAGTAAATAGCTTAAAACTTACATATCATATCGTCGGACTCAGTTGTCTGTTTTCTTTTTTTCTTTTATCCTCCTTTTTTTTCTTTTCCTTTTTGCTTCTTCTTCTTCTTCTTTTCTTTTTTTTCTTTCTTCTCTCTCTTCCTCTTTTTATCTTTCCTCGTCAATTCACCAGGAACAGCTTCCGCATCATCTGTAGCAATAATCTCGAGTGTCTTATTTTGCGTTTCTTCATCTGAGGATGTCATATTTTCAACTTCAGCTTCTTCAATGATCAAATTATCTCTTAAATCCTCAACAGTAGCTGCGTCGTTTAATGATGTTGAATGGGGCTCAAGTTCTGGAATCAGAGTCTCGGTATCAGAAGATTTGTCCTCGCTTAGTGAATCTATTCCAATGAGCTCAAATTTTTTGTCAAGAAGGGCAGTGATAAGGAGCCTGCATCGTAAAACGTAATCGTAAGTTGGCTTTTCCTCTGTATTTTCAGTCAATTTGGGATCAGATGTCTTCTCAAGTAACTCTCTTTTATCTTCACTATTTTCTGAGCCTTCAAGCTCCTTTTCAATACTAGCTTCAGTCTTTCGCATGATATCATTCCATTTGTCAATCACCGTCTTTAATTGAACCACTAACCTCTCTCTAGAAGCGCCTTGTAATCCCTCTAGATACTTTTTCAATGCGTCTTCATATTCGCTAGGGATATTTTCAATGTTTTTCAAGATCCAATTTTGTTTTTGTTTACTAAATTTCCAACCTTCTGTATCTTCATCGTATTGTCTTAAATATGCAAGTTGATCCCTTTCAGGTGGAGCAGGCCTTTCACCTTTTGGTAGCTTAATCCGCTTAGGGGGACGCTTGGCACTTTCCTGGCCCACATCAGCTCGCTTTCTTTTCTCCTTATTGATTTTCTTTGCCTGTTTATTTGTAATATTGGCACCGTCTAGATGGCCGACGACTGAGAGAGGATCATATTCTATTTCGTCCTTCACTTTTAACCCAATCCTTTTCCAAGCTGGAACATTTTGCTCCATAGTGTTTAATAACAGCCTCTTGTAGTAAGATTTTTAATTCTGTACTAAAATCTAACTTTGAATTAAATGTTACTGTTTTGAGCTGTAGACATCTCATCTCATAAAAAAAAAAAAACTATCTCGTTGAAAATGTTAATGTTAACTTCACTGAAATCTTTGACTCTATAGTTTTTCTACAGTTTTCAGTCAGCTGATACATGTCTGAGGTTCCATTGATTAATTAGAATGAATAAACATATCCTTTGATTAAAAGTTGTATATCAATTTCTCACTTTCATATCATGAAATTGCAGATGTGAAGATTTCGAATCTTCAATATTTGATCAGCCGAACAATGACTGATTGATCCAAACATCTAGCTATATTAATATACATGGTTTGAGTCTGTCAGAGGAATTACACCTCTGATAGATATAGAGATTGTAAACATTTATCTTTTACATAGCAATATAGCTTTTTCAAAGTAAGGGATCGTGAAACTGTTGCGGTGTCAAATTGCAGCTTGAGAGAGAATTTGCTGATGAATAAGCTAACTAATATTCGTTTATTGCTTCTTCTAAAGTTTCCTTTAATCGGTAAGTTTGTTGCTGTCCTTCTCATCAGCAATAGTGGATTTTCTTTTCTCGAAGTCATCTTTCCATCTTTCGAAACGTTCTTTCAAGTCTTCGGCTATCTCCTCTGAAGCCTTTTCTCGATCTTCTGCATTAGATACCTTATAGAGGGCTTGCATCACGTAACCAAAGCATGAAGTGATATATTCGTCCATTTGTGGGTTATCATTATCTGGATTTAAAATTTTTCTTATGCCTTCAAGAAGATTCTGCTGGTCTTGCAACAGAGGAAGATCTTTCTTTTCGTCCTGTTTCTTGTCGCTCATTTCTTTGTAAGAGATTACTCCTAGATATTTCGTGAAATGACGTTGCTAATAAAACATCATGAAAATCCGAATTTCACATGCCAATTTTTCTCCACAATTGCCTTAAAATACAAGGGCAAAAAACATCAGAATTATCAACTAAATACAATCGAACAAAATACATTTCGCTATAGAGCTATTAACTATTGCCATATTAAAGTAAAAAAGTGTGTGTAAGAACACATTAAGTGTCTTCACTTCTTCTCTTTTTCCTTATCAGAAGATTCAAATTTTCCCATAACATTCTTGGCTCCTTTGTTAGATGACTTTTCAGCTTTACCAAAGGCATCCTCGATATCGCCTCCTACTTTCTTTGCTTCTTCGGTACCCTTTTTCCATTGGTCTTGAGCAACCTTACCCAACTCTCCAAACTTGCTGTCTTTCGATTCTGATCCCATCTTTGTTAATTTTGAATAACTCTGTTAATAACTAAAGATGATAGTTAGTAGTTGCTATATTTCGTGAACCTCTGAAGATAGCTATATTCATAGCAATTTTCTCACGTGATGTGGTTATATATGTCGAAATTAGGTAACGCATATTAATAGCTATCAGCCGCTCTATGCTAAAGGGTACGCCAGGCAAGATTTTGCCAATGCTTAAGTTGAGACCCAAGTTAATTATTAGCGACTGGGATGAAACAATCACGCTGGAAGATACTATAAAACTTGTATCTGAGGCTGCTTACCTTGCGAAGCCGAATTTTCAACCTCCATTTAATCACTTTCTTCAAGTGTATAAAGCTGCGTACGAAGATTTCAACAATAAATTTTTAGTGAGAGAAGGTAGAAGAGACACCATAGAAAAGGAAATCAAATACCAGATTGCTGAACGGCAAGTCGAACAGACCTCAATTGACGAAATGGTTCGCAGGGGTCTCTTTGCGGGTATTACTCCATCACAATTTGCATCTCAGGCAGAAAAAGTTAAGTTGAGACCAGGAGTTGTGAAGTTTTTTGAGCATTGTGAACGATTAGAAATTCCTGTAGTAATACTTAGTATCAACTGGACATCCATAATCATCAAAGAAGCACTTAAATTAAATGGCATTCGGTTAAACAACGTTGACATAATCGTTAATGAGATTGCCTTTGAAGATGGAAAATCAACTGGTGAATGGCTACCAAATCCAAATATTAGAACAGGCATCGATAAACTAAATGTTGTGAAATCATTAAGCTCGCTTCACGGGGAAACTTGGTACATTGGAGACTCGTCAACAGATTTGCTCTCTGTATTAGAAGCCAATAAAGGGATCATTATGAAAAGTGAATCAATTCTCAAACACTTGAACGATCTAGCTATTAAGTTCCAACCCTTAAGATCTCCTCTAGACGATGCTACAAGTATTTTCGTTGGCGATTGGGAGGACATTACCAATGCTTTATAGTATATATTAAAGCTCATGATACTATATAGAGAAATCAACCGAATAAATACAGGATTTTCACCTCTTCCAATTATTAATTGGAGGGGCGTATTGCTGAAGGTGTGTAACGACACCTCCCTGCATCGGAAGGTATTGTTGATAAGGATAACCGGGTGGGGGTCCCTCAGTATGAACAACTGGATACGCAGCATTCGGTATCATTGGATTTGCTAACGGCGACCTTTGTACATGAGAAGGATGCTGTTGATGTAAAGGTGGTGGTGGCGGTCCAGGGATGGGTGGAAGCTGACCAGGTACAAATGATCCCAGTTGATAAAAATATTGTGGTTGATTTGGTGACCAACCTCTTTGTGGCGGTGGGAGTTGTTGTGGTTGTTTTGGTGATTTCTTCTGTTCTTGCTTCAAAGGCGGATGCATAGAATACGATGTTTGAACAGCTTCCTGCGGCTGACTAGCAATTATTGACTGTGGAGTATGAGATTCACGACCTTTTTGCAGAGTTGAGGCAGGCGAAGAATTTTGAAGATTAGGTGTCTGTTGATTCGATGGAGGTTGTACCAGTTTTGCTTGTTGTAATGGTATTGACTGTTGCTTATTACCTTGCACAAATGCAATTCTTTCAGATGGCAAAAGAGCCACCAAATCTCTCAATAATGAACTTGAAAAGTCTGGAGGTTCTCTTAAGGGAGGAATTTCTCCCTCCTTATTACAAGCCGCAACGAGCGCCTTCGCTCTGTCTTCAAAAAATTCTGCACTTCGCAAATCCCCAATGGCCTTAAATGATGCAGCAGATCTTACACAGGCATCGGAAGCATCCATTAACTGTTCGTCGCACCTTTCATAGACGCAACTTAGGCCGTCCCAGGCTATAGCTGTTGCCGGTGATCCTTCGTCCATTTGGAGTCTTAAAGCTTGTGAGTATGCTGCTAGAGCATCAGGTAGTTGTTTGAATTCCAAGTACAATTTTCCAACTGCAAGCATTGTAATTGGGGAATTAGGTGCTCTTCTCAAAGCAACTTGATAAGAATCATACGCTAATCTAGGTTCGTCCAATATCGAATAAGCCTTTCCTAATAAGTACCAAGGTAAAAAATCTCCATCAGCATCCTTAATTTCATTACTTCTCTCTTTCTCTAAATCAGTATTTTGACTTAATAAAGTGATCGCTAATTTCGCCCTCTCCTTCTTCTCCGACAATAATAATAAATATGCATGAGTCATTAAAATCCTTTCTGAGTTGCCTACTGCCATTTCAGCACTTTCGCAAACTTGAATTGCTCCATCTATGTCATTTATTCTTTCTCTAGCCGTGGCCAAAGCACACCAAAGTGCTATATGTTCATCGATTCTTGATAACGGTGGGGCTGGTAAAGACAATGTTGCGGTTAATTCTGCAACTGAAAGTTCTATGTTACCATCTGCTGCCGCAATTGCAGCTAATTCGGCATGTGCTGTTCTAGCCGTTTCAACATCACTACTTGAGAATTGGCTCAATGAATCGGGAAGAAGAGATAAGCAATGTGCCAATGAGCCTGCAGCATGATTTCTTGCGCCAGCTCTGATTAAAGTTTGAGCACTTAATAGCCATAACAAAGCATCATTAGGTGATAATTGAATTGCAGTTTGAATAGCTTGATGTGCCTGATCATTCATGCCTATTAAAGAATAGCATTCTGCTAATTCTTTGAAAACTGTTGGTTCTTTTAACAACTTTGGAAATGTCTCCAAGGATCTATTGAGTTTCTCTATGGATATCTGAGAGCCAAAGGTCTCATTTAAATTAATGTCATTGGTGCGTAAAGAATAACTCAAGCCACAAAGTGCTGAACTGTTTGAAGGATCATGTTCAGCAGCACTTTCAAATGATCTTATGGCAGCAACGGTAAGTCCAAGGGTATTGGCGCAATTCGCCAACGCTACCCATGTTTCAACTGCACATACATTATATTCCACTGTTGCATCTTGGCTCTTGTTCCCATTCACTCCATTAAGTTGCTTCCGCTTCAGTCCACTAATAGGTGAAGTTTGGGTCTGTCTTTTAGGCATTGCTTGGTGGTCTTGTCACTATATGACTTTTCTCTTGCCTTCCCTATGCGCAATCTTTGGCTAAGTTAGTTCCTTTTGACACTTTGGGAAGCTGGATGTTTCTGATAAACGCAGGTGTCGAAAACTGAACCAAATCAAAATCAACGCTAGACTACTTCAGAGATACTACTATCAGTCAGCCTCAGTTGTTTTAATAAAGCTAGTAAGGAAAAAAAGTAAATTTGGTATTCCTGATTTGCGTATTGGAAAGGCAACTTTAGCTTGACTCTACGTGGTTGTTAGTGGGCCTAACAAACAATACGAGAAAAGAAAAAAAAAAAAAAAAGGCACTCAAAAGGCAGGTAGCATACATATGTAGGTGCGTCACTTCTTATAAACGAAGGCTTACAATACAGTACACTAGCCAAAAACTGAAACAAAAGTACATAACAATACATATAAATCAGCAGTGGCTGTAATGATGGGTTCTGGGTGCATCTTAGAAGGCACATAGACAATACCAAATTTCTGTTGCCAGCACAGTACCCAAAAAGACTACGTCGATCTAATTCAGTACTTTTAATCAGTTGAGGCTTGGAAGAAGACGAGGCAGGACCCCGCTGAGACTAGAAGTAAGAGCCCATGTACTGGCTGGTTCAAACAGATCTCATCAAACACCAAATATACCTGTGACATTCAAACAAAGGTGACTTCATGAGCAGACGTTGAATTACACCCATACGCATTGAAATTTACCGTTGCTCTGGTACCGACGTATGGTAGACGAGCCCAGCGCGAAAGGCTACCATGAATCGGAGCAAATGACCAACATGGAATTACAAAAACTTACCACGCGCCTTGCTGCATGCAGCCAGGCTTTGAAAGCAGTCTAAAGTAGATGCACGAAGAAAGACTGCAGAACGCATTCCCGTTTATGAGCACTTTCCGCTCAAAATACCGAAAGTAATCTTTCAATAAACTTTCATGCATAAAATGATAGGGGCATTGCATATATGTGATCAGTCTCCTGCGATGTCATGTGGAACTTCTCTATATGCATGCGCATTTCGAAAAACGCTGGCAGATTCATAGTACTCTAACTTGCTGCGCGAAAAGCGTTCTGGTTCTGGTTCCGGACTTGGCTTAAGTATATAGCGGAATATGGTCAGGGAGTGCTTACTATCTAGTATATATTGCTAATCTTAGCCATAGATCATCATTCGACGCGGCAACAGATATTTATCCAGCATTATATGCAAGACCTGTATATAACATAAATTTCAAAGAGTTTGGGCGCAAGAATATCGTCTCATGGAGCCAGCATCGATATCCTTTGTTATTCTTAACTAGGGCCTACTCTAAGATTGGCGATATAGACTATTTAACGGTATTCGATATTATTTTACTGATCGCCTTAGCTTCGAGTAAGTATCCTACTTTTATTTTTATGGAATTCCACCTTTCCTCTTATCGTTTCCCGGTCGGAATCACTCTACATGAATTAACAATTGAAAGCCACCTACTTCATGGTCGAAGTAATAATACAAAACTTTGAGAAGCACAAGGCACTACATGCCTTCTTCGGTTACGCGCAGACCTGAATTTTTGATGTCATCGCCGATCAGATTCATATGTTGCGGCCCTCACGGGTGCTGCGGTTACGTATGGTCATACTAGCTTTCAGGGACAATCAACCACCGAGAAGTTAATACCTTTGCTACTCTAAACCTTCTCGTATCTCAACTTAGATGAAAATATTGCACTGAACTTCTTAATTCTTACCCACCTATTTCGTTTATTTTGATCTCAATATTAGCAACTAATCTATTTAATTTAACGACGCAACAGTATGGTCCGATAGCAGTGCTTTCGATCTAATTCGCAATATGCTGATGCTAGCGTATCTGCTGGAATAAAACACGCTAAGGTGCATTTTTCTAGTGTTGTTGTACGTTGACGTGCACGCACGATGACTTAGAAGCTTAGATTTTTGCTATTGTTTGGCGTCCACCATGCCTGCAGTATTTAATATTACATAATCGGAGCACAAAAGATTAAGAAATTCAATAGAGATACAACAGCCTTACAACATCGTCTTGGATCGTAACATTAGCAATATGATGAAACTTAGTACGCTTTATAAAATGCGATGCGGTTCGTGAGTTTATATAGGTTCTTTTCACATTGACTTGTTCTGTCACAATTCGTTGAGTCAATTATATATCATCTTGAGTCGATTGTATGCAGGTAAGTAATAATTTATCAATCTTTCTCATCTTGCGCTCTTTCGATGAGTAGGAAAGAGAAGAAATACTCCTAGAATGATTAGAGATATTCTTTTGCTTAGAAGAAGTTTTTTTAGCCGGAGATTTGTTCGCTTATCGTCGAGAGTGCCACAGACCTTGAGCTCTAACTTAGTTTCAAATCTATTTCAAAAGTGCTCATCATGTGGCATCAAGCTTCAGTCAGAAGATCCAAAGAAACCTGGTTTCTTTATTGAATGGCATAAGAAAAAACGGCTAAACAGACAAGAAGACAGAACATTTAATAAAATCATCTCGGAGTTACCAAGTGAGGATCGTAAGCTTCTCTTAAATAATGAAAATGTACTGACATTTGATTTAACGTTGCCTAAGAAAAATGAACTTAAAATAGAAGATCAGGAAAGTCTTCCTGAATGTATCAGGTGTCGAAATATTAAGTATAGGTCGAATGTTGATTTCGATGAGCTTCCAATTCATGACTTTGATAATGTGTTGACTTCGATACCTCCAAATGGAAACATAGTTTATGTAATTAACTGTCAAGACTTCCCATTTTCACTAAATCCTTCGATTTTCGCTTATCGTAGGGCCTCAGACATCAAATTCATAATAAATAAAGCAGACCTTTTGTTCAAACGGGTCGAACTTTCTAATAAGTATGGCTCAAAATTTTTTAAAGACTACTTGCACCGAAAATATCATGTTCCTCTTGACAATGTTATGGTTATAAGTGGTTTAATAAATTGGAATATGTCTGAGCTATTGAAATTTCTTGATAATGAATCTTATTTGATTGGGAGCGTCAACAGCGGCAAATCCACCATAATAGGAGCAATGCTATATCACATACATGAAATGAAACCAAAATATCTTTCATCTAGGGAAAAAACTCGAGCTCAAAAGAACGAAGATAAGAGAATGAATAAAATCTCGATGGTTGGTCTTCTGAAGACGGAATTAAAACGACAAAGGCTCAAGGAGAAGAATTTTAGAGCAAAAAGTGGACCGGGGACATCATTTATGCCGGGTTTTACTAGGGACCACATAATGTACGATTTAGGTGACAAGTTTATTTATGATGTACAAGGGTTTACAAATTTATCTGATCATGGAATCTATAGCATTATCGATCAGAAAATTATAAAATACATCAACAAAGGTTCAAAAGTTTTCAAAAATGGGATGTTTGATTCTCGATATGAAAGTGTTAAGGGAGAGCAATGTCTTACTATAGGTGGTATATTTTACCTAGTTCCACCTAAAGGTGCAATTTATCAAATAAGAAATTGCATTAATTACAAATTAAAAGAATTTGCAACATTTGACAAGGCAATAGACCGTTTTAGCAAAATCGAAAGCTATCCGGCTTTGAAACATGACTTCATTGTACCTAAATCTACACTAAAGAGTCTCCAGAAGTACATAATGCCACCTTTCTACGGTTCAATCGACCTTGTAATAAAAGGTATCGGGCATATAAACATTCGTCCTACTGGTAAAAGAGCCAACAACTTGCCTGCAGTCATATACTTACCCAGGGGAGTGGAAGCATTGGTAAGACAGCCAATATCTGAATATGTAGCAAAGTCATTGACTGGGAGGGATTCAAACGGAAATCTCTTGAAAAAAGAAAACTGGGTTTCCAAAAGTGTAACTTCACTTAAAAGCTACAACAATTCTTCTCCATTTTCCACGAGGCTCATACCCATTCCTTACTTCTCGTCCAGCGAACAAGAACTCTACGCTGCTATATCGAATTTCGTCACTCTCGCTAAGAACAAGCGAGTACTCTACTCTTCGGATACAATTTTCAACGAGTCAAACAGATTTGATTACTGGGTGGAAGACTAGTTGGCTATCTCTCAAATTTTACGTGTAACTTTACGTGTGTTTCCCAGTCCTTATGCCCAATTATACATTAGAACCATATAGACCTCTATCTTAGTGCAGTCAATTGAGATAGTTATGTACGTCTGCCTCTTGCGTCTGAAACGCCAATCTCACACATTTGCTTGCATGGTATCAAGAACTTAAGACAAGTTCATGCTTAGTAGTTTTCCTTTTTTGCACACAAATGAATTGGTTGCTATGTCTCCGCCTGTATCACCTGAGTTCCAATACAAAGAGCCTCTAGTTGAGACCCTTCGCAGCGAGCAACGCGCTTTGTCTACTTTTAATTATATGCAAGGAGTAATTGAACGCCTATTTTATCGCGCGAAATTTTGAATGGCATCTCGTAGATTTTTACATCAACATGGTGTGGGAGTGATATTTCCCGACTGGGGTACGTGAGATGCGTGCTTGATATCAACGTCAAAAAAGCTAAAATATATATACAAATCAGACGCCTTGTTCGATTCGTAATATATTTGGGATCTTTTGAACAAAGTGGACGAGTGAGGATTTTTTATTGGAAGTCCAGTAGTATAGTTTCAATCATGTTGAGGAGCCAAAGTAGTTTGAATTTAAGTGATGAGAGGAAGCCGAGATCTGGAGGATTCTTGTCTTCTTGGAGAAGTCGCAAGAGTCTCATTGGAGAAGCCGATAAGACCACTGACGAGCAAGTTTCGAAGCGCGGTCCCTTAAGCGCGTCTGTCTCGTCAATGGACTTGAATAGCCAGAGAAGAATAGATAATTCACACTCGAAGAATTACAGCTCAAAAGTTGCCAGAGAAAGACAAGGTATAGAGGATAAGGAAAATATACCCGTGAATATGTTACTAAAGAGTCCCATGGATAGAGTTTCTCAGCAAAGCTCTTCTTCAAGGACCATACGTCCAAGATCCAGTGCACCTTCATTGAACAGATCAAAAAGAAACTCTGTACATCTTGGTAGTGGAACAAGTCACTTTTCGATATCTTCACCTAGATTGAGAAGTGTACGATCGTTTAATCTCGCTTCTTCGAATGACTCTTCTAGCGTCATTAAAGAGGAAGATGCTTCTGTTCTTTCTCCTTCATCACAAGATACTCATAGTACAACTGACTCACTCATGGAAGAATCGATATCTCCCTTTGTAGACTCAGAGAATGATTATGTTTTAGAAAATGATGGCCAAAATGAGATCTCAGATATAAAATTAGGCAAATTTCGCCGAACGTCCAATCTCCAAAATATTAATGAGTTCTTTAAGCTGCTCAATCCCTCAAATGAAAAGCTTCCTCTTGTGAATAGGAAATCATTAGATTTCGAGCAATGTGAAATTAAGAATATTTTGAAAACTTTAAATGAAGACCATGGATATGTATTTAGCATGAAGTTGGTTGAAAATGCCCTTTTCCTTACAGTTCAGGATCAACCATTGGATACTGTCGCTAATGATAGCGGTGATAAAAGTTTTGAAAAAGAATTGAATAATACTGACTATTTAAACGTTCTCAGGGAGGAACCGTATCATGAGATTGACAATTTTTCAGTCATGATTTAAGATCCTACTAGATTCAAGATGTATTTTGATTCAAAGACTCAAGATTTTCGATCCAATTATCCATACCTCTTTTGTTAAAGTAACTGATTGGATTCTGCATTTCTTCATTTGCATAAGACCTGTGGGTCTGACCTACATATTATATAATAAAGGTGAGTTCACCCTTTTTTTATATCGCCCGGCTTAATAGATGGTGACATTTGTTCTCCAGAATATTTGTAGATGATCTCTCCGATTGTAAGTCGACAGTTCGATCATCATTGCTTACTTTGAATAGCCAATGCTCATTTCAAGGAAAAAGTCATTTAGTTACATTTTTGAGAAGATTATGTAAAAATTCTAAAATTCTAAAATTCTAAAATATGAAGTGTGAAAATCTGTCGACCTTTTCGCAACCAGAATCCACAAACCCACTACAATCAATCTAAAAAAGGACAGACAGACTCTTTCGTACAGCATGTGAAAGATCAGTGCCTACATATTTGAGAGTGATCTTCATAGCCAGTAGTGGCTTAATGAAAAGTTTGGTATTCTGCACTGCTAGTTATAAAGATCCAATTCAGACGGATGCATTCTATTATTGTCGAAATGGACGAAATGTCACTTTGATTTGAGCACTAACGAGTCTTAGAGACTGAATTGCTGACATGCATCTTAAAAAAACTTCTAGCTAAGTTTATCCAGTGAAGTATTTATGAAACTTTAGGTCAGGTGATTTTTCACAACATATCTAATACACAATATCAACATTTATTTGACTACTGGTTAAGACGATTGTCTTTTCAAGTAATAAGTCATAGTAGAATGCTTTGCAGATCTAGAATATCTTGGAAGACTACTTTTGAATCATATGCCAAGAGGTCTTACTCCAAGAGATCATACTCAAGTAGCATGAATCATGGAAAAAAAAGTTTTAATAGTTACTCAACGTTGGCTCTTATTGGTGGCTTTGCATTGGTAGGGGTAGTAAGCTATGGCTCTTATAGATATGGACGTCAGTCAATAATTCTGAGACCTCCAGAAGATGTCTTTCCGTTATCGTCTACTACGAGATTGGATGAAATTTCACCTCCTACTTACTGTACTGATGCCCAATTTAAAGAAGCAATAGCGAAGCTCAAAGAAATACTTGGTAGTGAAAAAGTTTTCGATTCTCCTGTGGAAATAGCGCATCACTCTAGAAATGAGTTCACGACTCATGTACCCTTAGAATATCAGAAACCAAAATATGTGATTTATCCAACTTCAACAGAAGAAGTATCGCAAGCTATGAAAATCATAAACGAATATAATGTTCCCGTAGTCCCATTTAGTGCTGGAACTTCCCTTGAAGGTAATTTCCATTCAACGAGACCAGGGATTGTTTTGGACACCTCGAGAATGAACAAAGTATTGGAAGTGCACTATGATGACTTGGATGCAGTTGTTCAGTCTGGTGTAAGCTGGCAAATGTTGAACGATGTGCTAGAACCGTCAGGTCTAATGTTTGGACCTGATTGCGGGCCCAGTGGGCAAATATCGGGTATGGTGAGCACCAATGCATCAGGTATCAATGCATCGAGATATGGTGCCATGATCTCGAATGTTATATCGCTTACGGTGGTATTAGCGGATGGCACGATTATCAAAACAAAGCAAAGACCAAGGAAAACAAGTGCCGGATACAATTTAACTGGACTATTTATTGGAAGTGAAGGCACCTTAGGAATAGTCACCGAAGCCACTGTGAAATTACATGTCCGGCCAAGGTATGAGACGGTAGTAGTTGGTCAGTTTCCTACCATAAAGGACACTACCAACACTGTAGCCCAATTGTTTAGGGCAGGATTACAACCAAATGCTATAGAAATGCTTGACGGAGATATGATGCACACAATCAATTATAGTGGCTACTTTTCAAGGGAGTGGCTCGAATGCCCTACACTATTTTTTAAAATTGGAGGTATCAACAAAAAAGTGGTAGACGAATATATAAGAGAAATGAAGCAAATTGCTCTCCAAAATAATTGTCAAGATTTCCTCTTTGCTCGCAATGAAGAGGAACAAGAAGAGCTATTCTCCGCAAGAAAAAACGCTTTCTTTGCGATTTTGAACTACGGTCGCAATGAAATTGATGAGGATATCAGACTTTGGGTCACTGATGTAGCCGTTCCAATCTCAAAGCTTCCCATAGTATTGGATAAAGTTAACAAACTCATAAAATCCTCTGGACTCCAATCGGTCATCGTGGGACATTTGGGCGACGGCAATTTTCATGCCGATCTCTTCTACAAGCCCGACCAGATGAGTCACTGCGAAAAAGTCGTAAACGAGTTGATAGACATTGGTCTCGCCAACGAAGGAACTTGTACTGGTGAGCACGGAGTAGGGAATACTAAAAGGGTTTTCTTGCTTAAGGAGCTAGGCTCTGATCCCGTAGACCTTATGAGAAAATTAAAATTTTCCCTTGATCCCAAAAGACTACTCAATCCCGATAAGATTTTCAAGATCGACCCTACCGATGACAGTCCTTACTAAGCATATGCTCTGTCTTTTAAATTATAGCTTTAGCTAGAAAGACATTATATGTAAATTATTTAATATAGAGATATTTAAAACTTAGAATTATTTTCTTGCCAAGTTGACTCCTATAGTTTTAGTTTTAATCTTGTCCAATGCTTTATCGTTATCGGGACTCCTTTTTTTTGCGTTCGACCGTATCTGGTTAATTTTTTTTTTTTTTTTT